CATTATTATCAGTCGGTGTCAGTATTGCATTAGTGGTTGCTGCTGCACTCAGTACAAATAAAATATCAACCAATTTCATTAGATTGGTCAATAGGTTTAAACAATTAATACAAAAGTAAAGTGTTGAGACTGGTGTCGATTATAAAATTGAATGTAATCGATTGTATTTGTATGTTTTGTATAGCAAACCAACCCTTTTAGGTTAACCAACAACACAGGGTTACTTGATTGCTTGTAGTGAGCAACTATCAAACTAGACAGTATGCTGCTCCCTAATCACAATATCATATTGATCAATTTGATGATCATATCGATTGAATTATGCTTTTACGACCCTTTGATCAAGTATATTGAAAAGCACCCTTCAAGAGTGTTGTGCAGCCACAAACGCTCCTTTTTACAACCATACTCATGTCAAATGGATCACTTTGATATTCATCCTGCAGTGATTGTATTCTGCATTGCAATATACAATGGCTACTACACATTGACTGCATTGCGTGTTTGATATACAACAACCATCATACGACACACAATCAGACTATAGTGTTAAATCTACACTTTGTGCACTCTTAGTAGTCATACATTGTACAATTACCAAGTTTGAACTCACATTCATATGTTGTGTTTGACTGTCAATGCTATCAATACAACTCTGCACACACATTTGTTGTATTCTGAATCACAGATACAATTACAATCTAGTTCAACAACAATCATGACACATGTCAGTAATGCAACTGTCTATCACACACCAACACTGTTATTTAGTGGTCCATTTACGTCAATATGGCTGCAAGTTGTTGTTATATCACGTATTCTAAACATGGTTTTGATATTGCACATCCAGTTCCATCACATTGCTGCTGACCCATCATTGTAATGCTGTATGTCACCATAATCATGAACATGGACATGATCGTGTGGTTTCACGTATAATATTACAACCACGCATGTCGTTGGTTGAATCATCACTACTATAATACACTACACTACACTACATGTATGTTGACATGTGTTGTACCAATTTGATTGCATTGCTACAATATGGTATGCTCCAACCTGTTTAAATGACTGTTGTGCAACATATTGATATTGACCACATGTGATACTGGTCACCAACAAAGTGATCAGCGGTATTCGATCGTATCATTCAATCACTGACTGCCAATACTTCAATTATGAATATTATCCACCATTTCATGACACCATCTGATACATTCAGTGCACAGTAGCTGATTGGTGCAATATGATCAATTCAAGCATACTATTACATTGAAATGGTGGTGACAATGCAAGGTGTTTATTGGACAAACAAGACTGAATGCTTACATGACAAATGCAAATTGATAGTATAAATCATATATACACACTGCAGTACAACATACTCTAAACGAGGTTGTTGATAGCGTGATTCCAGTTTTACAATGAAATTGAATTACCAAGCAGTTTATTATCCAAACATTGATTTACTATACACTTTTAGTTCTGGTGGTTTGTGTAGAAATATTCAAGTATGCCTTCTATATCCAATGAACCTCAGCATCTGTCGTTTGAATCTATCAAACCTTGATTCTGGTGGAAGAAGTTGAAGATCATATTCTTGCAGTACACTAGATTCACTTGAATATCTAGCAATTTTAGTCGTTGGTACAAAGTGCACTTTAGCTTCCCTTGAACCAGCATCGTGACTTGACTTTTGCTGATGTTTTTTAGAATGATCGTGTTTTGAGCCGTGGGGTTTAAAAGTGGATCCGGTTTTCAAGATGGATTTTAATTCTGGAGTAGGTTCAGATACAACTCTGATTGATTCTTCTTCGAGAGGTTCAAGAGCCAACTTGCGACACATCCATAATCTTCCTAGTCTCAGTTTCCTGAATTTCTTTTTATCAGATGAGCTCATTCTACGCCCATACCCTCTTCGTTTAGTTTCTAGTATTCTTTCCTTTGCCTTGGTGCTCATCTTGTGTGGATATCCGTCTCCAACATCAGTTGGAATTTCCATACCCATATTCCTCATTATTTTTTCGACTTTATCCAGCCTTTGCTGAGGTGTGAGAATGGCCGTTTGTTCTCTGGGATATAGTTTTTAGGAAGATGGCAGATGTCGTCATATAGTGTGTTGTCAAATATATCATCATCTGACTGTTTGGACTGAGAGTATGACGATGATTCATCGGACTGTTCAACAGAACTGTCTGAATCATCGGGATCTACAGTTGACTGGGCTACATCATGATTGGTTTCAGTTGATTGTTGCTCTGTTCCAGTTGAAGCGCAAATACCAGTGTGTTGCTGCATGTGTGTTGAACATTCTTTTACAGATTCTGATTCGCTGGCAGACGGACGATCAATGACTACTGCACTGACTGTCACCGACAACAGTGAAAACACAATAGTCGATATGAATTTCATCCTGTCGACGAGAATGAATGTGATAAAGCTTGTTGATTAGTAGGTCAATTCTTGGTAATGAATGAGCCAGTTGTGGATATGAACCATACCTTCATAGCGATTAAATATATGATCAAGACATACGGGTTATATGAGCTTATGCAGCAACAGCTTGACCGCCATTTAGGTATATGTAGCACATATACTCATGTGTAAACTCTTTTATGCACAGCCTTTCAACCATTGAATGAAACAGGGCTCATAGTCGAGGACTGCTAACCCTGACCCATATACTAAAGAATATGTCAAGATCGATTGGCATAGTCAGTCAGTTTCAAGTTACGGTCAGTATAGGGTAACAGTTTATCCACACAACAGCTGGTCAAATATTAGTGGTAAAATCCTTCAAACGGCTCTGCCTCAACACTTGATCTAGTGATATGATACTGTGTTGCAGTCCTGTTCAATGCAATACAGACTCAATGGTCATATCAGCAGTATCAATACTCTATACCAACTGTAATACTTTCAATATGCAAACTCAAAGTATTGCCAATGATTAGAAAAGCTTCAACATAACTCTTGAACTGTCAATTGTCATGCTATCAATAGTATGAACATCCGACTCAATACTGTACATGACTGATTGTCAAGAGTCTTGCAGCATTTACTTGGCAAACTGGATTCCTGTTTCGATTATACAAACATGGCATCAAACACATGTCTACTTTGGAACAAGACGTTGAGTTGAATGTCCAGCAATATACAAAAATATACAAAAACAGCACGAATTGAATGTCAAAACTCGATTACTAACAATTTCAAATCTACAGAAACAAATACGACAACTTGCAGTCTAGTCATGTAAACGGAATACTGACAGTGTTGGTGTGTAATAAACAGTCAGTGTCATGGACTGATTGACAACTCAGTGGTGTTGTTGGTGGTGATTGACATGCATGGTTGCATTACTGACATGTGCCATGATTGTTGTTGAACTAGATTGCAATCGTATCTGTGATTCAGAATACAACAAATGTGTGTACAGAGTTGTATTGACAACATTGACAGTCAAACACAATACATGAATGTGGGTTCAAACTTGGTGACCATACAATGTATGACTACCAAATGTGTCGAGTATCCATGCAGAATACTAAATGGTAATATGTGATGATCCAAGGGACTCGTATCACCAATGTTTGTGTGCCATAATTCCACTATTTGACTTGGTAAACAATAGGAATTACACATATTGATCAATTTACTTTTCTGATTGCTCATCATACATTCTACTTGTTCGTATCACCAAGATACAATCAATCAATTACTACAAGACTGACTATAACTCATATTTATTAATAAATGACTGTTCCAACCATTTCAACATATTATTGTTTTATTACATCTTTTCATTATCATTGAAAAAACCAAGTCTGCTGATCCTGAATTATTGTGCAACACCCATTACACTTTTGATTTGTTATTTTCTGTCAACTACTAACAGTCACAGATCATACACACACACCTCCATTTAAATTAATATAAATCAGATTACACAAAACTCCAACAGAGTTGTTGGTTGTTGATGAGCAAGTTGGATATAAAGTTGTTTTTAATCAATCCGTTGACAATCATGAGAGCATACTTTGATTTGTATGTATGCAATACTGCTGTCATCTTGTGTATGGTGTTTCGTATTCCTACAAACGCATTCCATTTCCAGCTGTTTTCTTTGCAGACATTTGATGTTGTGTAACAATGAGGGTGTAAAATGTAGTACAGAAATAGACGACTAAATTACATTTATTCCAACGGATTTAACACTCTTGTTCAAGTAAAACAGTATCATCCGATATTCACTATACACTACTTGTACGTTGAATCATGCCAATCACTTGCTATTTTAACAAGCATGAAATATCACAACACATATTGATGACCAACTAATATCCGAGTGTCAACTCATTTCAGTTTTGGTTTATGCTCATTTCTTGGCCCTAACCCTAACCCTTGACCATAACCCTTTTGAGGGTGAAGCTTTCAATCAACCATATGATATTCGAGTGTATGGTCAGATATCGGCTCAGCCAAGGTTACAGGTCAACATATAAAGGGAGACTCTTCAATGTCAGTTTGTAGTATGTCAATGGAATATGTGCAAATATTAAACATGGGTTTGTGGATACTGTCAGATTGTCAGATTATCAAAACCAGCCGAATCATTCGTATCATTTGAATCAAATAGTCTAGTGGTACCAATGAGTTGGTGTCAAATGCAATGTGTTGATTGGTAACCCAAAATGTCAATATACACAATTGCATGGATTCAGCAATGATCAATACAATGTATGGTAGTTGATTTGTGCAATATGATCAAGTCATTAGTCTAATACACATGGTTTAACAATACAGGATGTTTATTGAATGAATGACAAATGACAAGTAAACTAACATGCAATACACGCTGCATTACAACATATCCTGGATGAGGCTGTCGATAACCCACTGAGCTGCAACAATGTGACAAGTCTGATTGAAAAGTTTGTTGCTGAACATCAGAATCTTGAAAAGCTGCATCATGTTCAGATTATGGCAATGCTTGCATAAAACTATCAAGGAAGAACTTGTGACATTTTTCATACGCAGAAGTTGTTTTTGGTGAAGTAGGATCACCATTCGTTGATGGATCCAGACTCATGTACTGTTTAAGTTCTCCCATTAAAAACTTATTTTCGTCAATCAAAGACAAACTTTTATCCATGCGTTCCTGCTTCTCAGCTTCAAGTTTTACAAGAATGCCGCTATGCATCTTAAGCTCGGCTTCGGCAGCACTTAACCCATTGTCCGAAGTTTGTTTCATAGTCTCGACTTTTTGCTGCAGCTCAGTAGTCAATCCTTTTTCAAAACTAATGTAATAACTTACGAGTTCAAGTTTTTTAAACATTTTTTCGATTTTAGCATGGGTTTTTCCAGAGTCCTTGATATACGACACTTCAGTATCATCGAATGGACCGCAATATTCCTTAAGATCTGCTGATGTAGGATATTCTGGAGAGTCAGATCCATCAGCTGGAGTGCTGGTCTCAGCACTCGTGGCCGAACTGGGGTAAACTGGACTAGCTGTAGTAACTGAGCAGACAGCAAGGATCGATGACAGTAGGGCAATTGAGAATTTCATTTTGGTGGTTGGTTGAGCAAGTTGTAATGAATGTCATTTAACACGTCGATTTGGTGTCGTATTTATACACATTATTGGCGGGTAATATTAAAAGCATGTTCCTTGAATGGCCGCTCCAACGTATTGGCTTTATTTCATTTATCGCATTTATTTCCAGAGTTGGCATTGATTTACTGCTATGAATGTCAAGGTAACTTTAAAGGGATCTCCCTTTATACAATCGCCCGTTGCTTGATTTAAACCCTGATATCAAGATTGGTGACCAGAGTATATTGCCGCACTATGATGCCGCTACATAGCACATTCCAGGTGATATCATTACATGACGATACACAAGCAATATTGTCCATGCACTCCATTTATGTTGCAAACACTCGAGATCTCGCCTGTTCGACAACACATTATCACCAATACAATAGTATGTGGCATGATCATATTGCACCAATCAACTAGTATACGATCACTGGATACACCACACGTTGGTGTTTACCACTGTATATGTGTGATGTGTATTGGTTATAGTCCATGATAACGAGTTTATGCATACTGCTCACATCACACATCAAACCGACTCAGTGATATGCAAGTGTTGCAGTTTGACCAAATCGCAATCACCCATACGCATAGCAGTTATCACATATTGTCGACTGTCTAACTCGTTGACATTCAAACCGTGCCATCACTAGTCACAATATAATGGTTGACATGATTCAAACATGTCGTGGTTTAATGATGCTCTGCATTCAACTCGACTTGATTCATCAACTTGGATATTCATGTAATATTGGGTTTGTATCATCACGTTGGACTCGTTATCAAACACCTTGATGTGTCCATGCAACACAAACTTGATATACACACATTGGTTACTGTTTGACATGACTGGGTTGATCATACATACCAGACAATGCAACTGTATTAGTTGTATGATACAATCAATCATGGTTGGTTCATCACCATCAAATATCAAATGTTGATCACGTATGCATTGATTTGTAATTGCATGGTCTGTTGGCAATGCACACTATGATATGATTGACAAGTTGTTGATTTGCAGTAATCAGATGTGCATCACCTGTAACATTGGATGCAATTGACGAGTTGTAACCACAAGTCAATAATCATCGATATGTTGGTGATTGTATTGACTACATGATTGGTATTGATTAGTTGTCATGATCGATTGGTGAGCAATACAATCCACATTGATTATGACGTGTTGCAACTAGTTGATATATGCAGACTCGACTGATGATCGAGTATATGTTGATGTGTAACTCTGTCATTGTTGGTTTGGATTGATCGTTGCTACTGCTTGTATATGCAGTGTATACATGTGTGATGTATTGGATATCGATGTTGTGTATGTTGGACAATATTCATGATTCAAGCATCGACAGTCAAACATTGATTAACCAACAGTTGTACGATTATACAACTGGTCCGTGTATTGAAAACTGGTCAACCTCGATCCGGTTGTAGTTGAAACGGTGTATCACAGGACTCGAAAGTTGACAGTATTGTTGTGGTGTAATATTAGCAACTACGCACAGCTTGACATGAACCACAAAATAATCAAACACACAATCGCATATCTTGTCAATGTTGCATTGCATTGCATTGCATCAAAACTAATACTGACTCCAATATGTCTCCCGTTGTTGATTACAATGTGTTTGTGACAATATAACCATCCAAACACTTTTATATTTACATTTTGCTGTTGATAGATTTGCAACAACAAGATTGTCAAAAAACAAGTTTTTAGTCATGCAAGGACCAGTCTCAGTGTTTACAGCAACAAAAACATTCAATCTCGGAGCCAACCAACAACAATCATTTTTCAAGTCATGGATATATTTTGCAATAAACTTTGAATATTTGCCAATTCCAACTTTAACAAGGTTTAACAAGGTAGACATTTATTGGCTTTGTTTGTATGAAAATATGTTGCTTGAAACAAATACAAATCTTGCCGCTCTTTTTTTAAACTGGATTGCTGCATATCATATCGTTCAATATCTGTTTTTTAGTTTGTGTGCAATAACGAGGTGTGTTGATAATGCTCCTGATTGTGTTGGAAATAGCAGTATGAATTTTCACCATCACTTTTATTTGGAAACATTAAAAACAAGCATATTATAACCATATTCAATGGTAAAAACGGGAGTGATTGGGCAATTCACAAGCATGCACATAAAGCCGTATGATAAGACTGTGATATCAATGAATCCAATGGTCAAATGTTTGCTCAATAGACATTTTTACATTATACATGAAAAATTCGATAACGTTGCAAGTAGCATCTCTTTTTGAAATACAAACTTGATGAAAAGCGTTCAAAATGGTTGAATTCAAAGAATAAACGGCAATGCAACAATCAAGAGCAAAATCAGTCAATTACAGTTCAACACTCAATGTTCAACTCAGTTCAGGAAACAAATACAAACAAATCAGGAGTCTGATGAATAAAAGAGTTTTTGGAGAGTATTTCTGTTATTGAAAATCGGATAGTATATGCTATCAAAGATACATGTATTTTACACGAGATCAAACAGGTGTTACGAAACTATGTTGCTTCAACTTGGAAACACCAGTTATTGCATTTGATGATGTTTTGTCAGCTGAAACTTTAAAATAAGTTGCTTGACCTGTTTTCCAACACTATTGTGGAAAGATTGCTAAATTGAATATGTTGTATGAATTGAATTGATATGTTTCAAGAAAACAGTGTCAGAATCACTTGTTTTACACAATTTTGGATAAAATCAACTGTGAATGTTGACAAAAATGGCTTGGTAATGATTTGATTGAAAGAATGAGTGGCGGAATTATAGCGTACAAATGATACGACTTTTATAGATGTCTGTTTTAAGTAGTATCGTGAATATACAGGAACTTGTGAATGAATAGCGCAAAATACTAACCATTGTTGTTTTAATGTCAAAATTTGATTACATTGACAAACACACCGTTATTATACATTGTATGATAATGCAATAATACCATATTTGTCATTATTTTGACTATACAAGACACGATTGAAATCAACTAAAGTATCCAGTTGAATCTAGCCAGGACATTATATTTGCACAATTAGCTTGATTTGCTAATCATGTGATATATTTATAATCCTTCATCCAGACACAAAGGTTACAGATTATACTAAAACAAGGGAAATATCACACAATCAAACATGGATACACTACATTAAATATACATATAGTAGCAGTTTGTCACTAATGAATTGTATTCAGTCGAGTTTATTGAGAGTCTGTTTGTGACTCTTGACAGTGTCGTGAGTGTTTTCAGGCACGACTGCTTGATCAGTTGTGGTTATGGTTTCCTTTTGCGAATAAATGTACCACCTGAGCCTGAACCACTTGGTTGTTTATGCAATCTAACAGTATGCATCAAATTCATAATCAATACCAATATCAATCGATACACTCACACATCAATACCAAACAACTTACTGTGTTAATGGCCAGAGCACCTGATCATTGTTTGAAATAGTAGGATATCCATCAGTCGCAGTTTCGCATCCACATCCAGGACCAAACCCAATGCGTTTATGTGCTCGATCAAATGTGACTGCAAGTTGGGTCATAAATGATATACCGAGAACTGCATGATCCTTTGAACCAGCTTTTACAGCAAATCTAACTATAATCCAACATGTATGTCAGCTAGGTTAATCAAACAACACGTATTGCATGCAATTGTCGAATATTTACATTTTTCAGAATCATATCTCCACATATAGTCTTTGGAACCCAATTTGATTGTTACAACGGAGTTGCGATTTTCATCAGTTACGGGGGTTTGAGCAAACATTGTAATTGTAAGCGTTGGTAGCTTGCCCCAATTGATATTGTAGTTGGATTTGAACATTGGAGAATTTGCTTGTAGTTTTTTTTTAATTTCTTCTTTGTCGAGTTTGCGCCTAAGTAATATGTTTTTAGAAGTGATCGCATTACTATTAAGAATAGCATCAACCAACGCTGCCACGACTGTTTCAGGGAAAAGTGCGTATAAAAAGCATGTTTCCACACGCGAGTACAAAGTACGTCCATCTTTTCCTTGTTTTTTTTGGAATTCATCAGGCAGCTCCGCTGGTCTGCCATTGACTAGTACACTCTTGATGTTGACACTAAATTGATTGTTTGATGGCGATTCTACCCATGCAACACTTGTTCCATCCGTTTCGCATTTTGCAGTTATGTCCGTGTTTCCTATATTGATGAAACTTTCATGCAACATGTCATACTGACACAATTGAAGACTAACCTCGTTATTGGGAATGGCACCACCATTGTACAAAGCATCCATTGCAGTGACTCGTGAATGTTGATTTGGAAACGAGTGATAGCCAATTCCAAATACTCCTTGCTTGAGTGTTCCACCAATACCAACTATATCTGCCGATTGTCTTTCAACTGCAACTACTGGTAAATTGATGCCAGTTATCCCAGTACCTGGAATCGTCACAACGGCTGTGGATGTAACTCCATTATACTCATCGCCTTTGTACTTTATACTAACGGGTTCCCCACTTGAAATACTTTGTATAGCTAAACCTACATCGTTGCTTGAACTAGGAAGTGGTACCACTATATCAAAAACTGATGATTCGACTTGTAAATTCAACTATTTTAAACAACGCGACAAGTGTGAGATTGATATCAATGTAATATTGTTGACATCAAACTACAATGCATGACATGATACATACATCAACTCCATGAACATTAAATCTCATTCTGTAACATTGACCAGCATCACCACCCAATTCAACGGGTGATCGTTTTGATAGCCTATTGCTTGATTGACTGTCAATCCCAGAAGGTGATTCCAATGCAAGTCGAACTGCAGCAACCGCTTGTAACGCAAGTAGAATGCATTCTAGAGTAATCAGCATTGTATCGAGTAGTGTGATGAAAGTGTTTTGGATCTGGTACATGATTGCCGTTTTATAACAACGGCAGTTTTAAGGGTGACAGTCGGCAATCTCCAAATGGGTATTTATAAAACACAAAAACACCATGTAGGGTGAGCAAACCCAGAAACACCCTGTAGGGCGAATCAATACACAGACATTTCTGCTAGTGGAAAATCAATTTCAGTAGTATACTGTGTTGATATTTCCAATTGTGGTCATGTATCCAGTGGTCAGGTATTGTCAGATTATCACCCTGATTATGGATAGTTATCATCACACATACAATCCATTACTACAGCATATACTGTCACTGTATACCAAATATTTGACTGATTGTTCAATTGGTCGTGTTTTGGATCACTCGGACACAACAGCATCAAACAGCCTGTTGCAGTATTTCAAACCATGACTTTTCCATTGGTATGACTGCATGGTCATTTTAGATTAATGTAGACTGTACACATCAAACATTGCTGATCGTGCCACAACATGATCAACATCAAACTCGGCAAGCTGTCGTTGATACACCGAATGAGTGACGTTGTACTATAATTGAATTGGAGATTGGCAGGTCGTTCAACAAACTGGCCGTGTCGACAGGTCAGATTGTCATCGTGTACATGAACCACAATGGATGATCATGTCATTCAAATCAGCACACAATCTACTGATATATGCAATACAACACCACCAATACAATACAAACCCAATCACAAATGTGGTGTTGAATCCAATGCATGCGAGTACTTTTTAAACACATGATACACACTGATGGTGATGGTTGCTGACAGTCACATTGCAGTGTACATGTCCAATAGTGTCCACTGTCATGTCGATTGTTGCTATCCGTGACATCCAACTGTACTTGTATTCACCAAACGTGCACAACATCTAGGGTTGGCTGCCAGATGCTCTCATGTTTGGCATACAACTAGTCACCATCAGACCAAGCGTATACGCTAGTACAGCGCCATGAATCTATTGGCAAGTGGTTTCGATTTTATTCTGGCGCGTTGAGGGTTGGATGTGTACCAGACACAATGTTGTGGATATAACTGAGCCACAACAGGGTGATATCATGCATAATGGTACGGTCTGTATCTGTTTGGTAGATATGCAACCATATATATGACAGCCCAATCCGTCTTTTATCACGGGTTGGTTTTAGAAATGTCTGTTATTTTGGTTGATACATGTTTCTTGCATAGATTGGTAGTATTGTATGTATTTAGTCTGATTCCATTGTAAACAGTCTGGTTGATTACTCATTCACTGCTAATAACCCGTTTGTACAACATAATCGATCATTTGCCCAGTATCGAGTATTTCCAAATACAAACTTGAATGAAAAGTATTGCCACAATACTGATCAACTGTATTACTGTTTACACTGTGGTATTATTGATGTATTGGAATGTTTGGTGTTCAAATACACAATGATAATGGTAGTACAAATCATGGCAGTTGTACAAACTAAATGTGATTAAAGCCAATAATAATGTCAGACAAGATTGGATAATGAATTAGCGTGTAAATCATCAACATTGACCAAGATTGATTGAAATGGTGAGATTGAGTTGGATGGTGATGAACACAACAAATGTGTGTATAGAGTTGTATTGACAGCATCGACAGTCAAACACAATACATGAATGTGGGTTCAAACTTGGTGATCGTACAATGTATGATTACTAAGAGTGCACAAAGTGTAGATTCAACATTATAGTCTGATTGTGTGTCATATGATGGTTGTTGTGTTGATTCAAGAATCGACAGTGTTTATCCAACCAATACAGCCAATATCACCACTCAACTCAACGAATGATCGTTTAATGGCATGTTATTGGACTGACAATTTCAAAAGTCAATTTAAACAATATTTGTAATATAAAGTTTGGATTACAATGTACATTCAAGGTTTCATTCCTGTACTGAAATGATTAAATAACTGCAGCCATATCATTCAGCCATACAAATATGTACCAATCAAACAACCACAATTAAACTACACACTTTGGTAGTATACATGGAATATTGATACCAGTTTCTTGACTGTCAATTACTGCTAAATGTGTCCATAGTTGTCACACACTGTTTATTCGAGATGTGCAATCCTGGACAAAATACTTGGTGTACAATAGTGGATGACCTGAAAGGATTGGTTGCTTACCGTGCCAGATTCATGCTCTGACTCGAATGAATACAATTGATGAGATTCACCCATAATCACTGCTATATTTTGTCCAAGATTGTAAAAATGAATCAATGCCATTAAAACTGAAACTGAATAAATAGTACTTGAAATTTGCAATGATTTGGTTGATTTTTGTGTAGTACATGCCAACATCTAGTCAACGTTCATTTATTGCAATCAACCACTTGCTGAATTCAATAAAATCAATACTTGAACTCATGTTTTACACCTTCTACATTTATGACTGATAAATAGTAAAATGTAAATACTAACCAGGTTTTTAAAACTTGATTCTTGCATGAGCCGACTCGTCCAACTTTCCACCCCATTCTAACACCAATGATTCAAGTTCATCATAGTTTGCAATGCGTTTGTTGTAGCGCTGTTCAATGACCTTGCCTGCCAAATCCGTTTGCTCATGATTGGTACCGCAGAATATTTGTTTGATCGAGATTTTCAATGCAGAATTGACATCAATGGCCATAGAACAACCTGGATGATCATAGAGTGAACCATGAAAATACAGAGAATCTGATGCAGAAACAAAATACGTTGAATCTGGAACATGGTTAATGTTAATCTGTGAATATATGCTCATCAGACCAAAAACAGAGTCCAACTTGAGCCCGTTTAAAAATGCTGGCGGGTTCGGTAATTTCGATCGGAAAGTGGTCAGATCCGAGTTTGTAATATCAGAACCAAGTCGTTTTCGTTGATCCAAAACTATGATATAGCCAGAGTATTTTGCGCATTTCAGAATAAAGTATATATCCACTCCTGGTCCATTCTCACCATTGAGCACAATTTGCAATGTCTCGCCGTCAACCCAGTCAACGAGACAACAGCTGTTGTGTTTCCGAGTGATCATCCGTGGCATATCAGGTCCATATTGCTCGTTTGATTGGAAAACTTCAGCAATTCTGATGTGAACTTGAGTATTGAAAATACCTGAATCAAATCGCGATCCACACAGTATATCAGACAAAGAAAGTATCGATATTCCCAATACAAGAAACGAGTTGATTCTGATACAGTAGAAACTAGCACCAAAATACTCCCATGGTGACCAACGAGTCATGTTGGAAAGTGGATATTCAACGTCAAGCGACAAACCATTCAACGATGATAGGAGTGCCGCTTCAAATTGGTTTAGACCGACGCTTTGACTCAATGGCCTCTTCAAAGCCTGAACAATGATATGGAACGGTACAATCACTTGACCATCATCTTGAATTTGACACATCCCGTTTGAAACCATTTGATTCCAAGTAAGGTTTCTTGCAGAAGGTAGCGATGATTCAGAAAACGGACAGTTTAGTGGATATGTAACAGGCGTGTTTGTAAAAGAAATCGCCAGTAGCTTCAAAATATCAGCGAGTGGCAATTGAGGATATTGCAAATTTGAAAGCGCAACCATTCTTGCCTCCCGAAAATTGTGTTCGTTTAGATCAGCCAGTTTCATGGATACAACTTGTTTTGCAAACTCAGTCAGTAGTCTTGGCACTCCGCCTAGATAAAAGACATTTTGAGAAAAGGCTTCACTGACCACGAATCCACAGTGTGTATCCGAAATAAAAGGACAAATGACCTCCATTGATTCCATGTGAGTTAGAAACCGGATTGGCGTTCTCTCAATATTAGAATGTGATGGTTGAGCAATACGAATCATAATCAGGTCAGTTCCCGCCAACATACAGAAAAATGTAAGCCTTGACACTTTAGCACGATAAGAAGAATCACACAAGATATCCAGCAGAGAACTCAGTTTATCTTGACCGAGTTTTTGATACTCGTCGACTCCGACAAATAAAAGTATGTTGTCTCGAGTTTTCTGACTCCAATAAAGCTCAATGGTCGATAAAGCTAATTGCATTGTGAGCCCGCTTCTGTTTATTGGTGACTTTCCACGCATCCAAACATCGAACATGTATTGCGCCTTGAAAACCGAATGGAGCAATCTCCAGGCAAATGAACATTTGATTCCAAGGAGCTTGTCAATCTCGCCATAGGCATTCCCGTCATTTCCAAAAGAAACGATTGCCGAAAGTCGTTTGCCTTGGATCTTTGTCATGTCTAAAACTGTGGTAGAGCACTCTGTCATAAGTCGAGTTTTTCCCAATCCCGGTATACCAGTACAAACAGGAATACGTCTTGAATTCCGATCAATATTGCTGCGCTCTTGATGGGTGGCCATAAAGCATGATGCAATGTGCTGGAGCGATTTCTCTCGACCAGCCAGCGGAAATACAACTTTTTGATTAAGATTGGTTTGCTGCTGAGATAGCACTTGTTTGTCAGTCAAATCAACTGCAGAATTAACATTCGGCCCAGAAAGCCATTCCAAGAGATCAATGGCACCCATGGGAATTTGGTTTGGATTGGAAAACATTGCATCATCCGCATCACTCCTTGATTTTATAATCAGTGAATGAACGTAACAACCAACTGTATGTTGAATAGAGGCCAGGGGTTCATTCCCAGCAATGGATGGTGAGTTTGTCAGAGTCTATAGCATCAAGTTTCAATGAAAGTGCTTGTTTGGCTGCTGCAATTAGTTTCAATAAATTGTCGAATGGTCATCTCCTATACAACTCTGCATTAAAGTGGGTTTCAATTCCCACTGGTTGACTGCCGAGCTATTTGATACAAAACCTTTTGTCTTGCATTGTAATTTGTTGAAGAAAAGAAATGGCAAAATCCGACTTTAAATCCAAAATTTAATGGCGTGTGAAGAATGTAAGACAAATTCACACGCTCTGAATATTGTTTAAGCATTTTTGTGTGAAATTAAAACTGTCAAATTAAACATTTGTCATGTGTTCATTTGTATTGTTTAATCGAGTGTCAATTCAACTCAATTGATTACGTCATTCATATAATGACTCGAGTCTTTTATTCAACATTTTAATGTCATTCATTGCTGGATTTGTAAATGTGTTACAAAACATGCTGAATCTGACAGGTGGATGGTGATTGTTCCTGTCAGCCAATGAATTGGATTGACTGCAATATTGTTATTGATCGCAGTCACTGTTGGCCAATACATTTTAATACATTGACAGTCTCGACATCAACATTGCCAGCATTACACCACAACAATACTGTCAACTTTCAAGTCCTGTGATATACCGTTTCAACTATAACCAGATCGATGTTGATCACTTGTCAATACACGCACCAGTTGTATAATTGTACAACTGTTGGTTAATCAATGTTTGACTGTCGATACTCGATATGTTTGGTATCGATTGTTGCAGCTGTCGAGTGCCGTCATTGGTCATGCATTACCAGTTGTGTGTGGTTGACATTGATCATCATGACATGTATTCAAATGCAGCATACACCATGACATGTGTGACGTGTGTGATTGACTATAACTGATGTGGATTACAATCGATTGTGCATGGTAGTTTGATATCGATCGCAGTTGTTGATCGATACTCGGACTACCCGAGTTTGTATTTATGACTGGATGCTTGATTGGATACTTGACATGACTGGTCATATATGGTTTGTACAATAGTATGGATTGTACAATGATCACTGTCCAAATGTGCATGTCAAGATGTGCATGTCAAGTGCGTGTATAACCATGTTGACGATATTGGCCAGTTGACACATGCTGATCAACTCAACTGGTGTTGATTGTATACATTGTATGTATATACATGTATGGCTTGATCATTCGGATGTACATACTCGACATATATACCGATACGACAATCAGGTCGATAATCAGGTCGACAGACACCATCACAGCCAGGTTGTATGTGAACAATGTTGTGATGTCGAGTGACTGGATCCAATTGCAGTGTATATACAACGAGTTGTGTTCAAATAATGTAATGAGTGCATCAATCCAGAATACAAGTCAACCATGACATACAATCATAATGTGTAGTCAATACAACTATAAATTTGTAAACATAATGATTTATTGGCATGTAGTTTAAAAAGTAAATTTCAACAATTAATCAATATCATATTGTTTTGTACACGCTTATTTGAGCAATGTATACGCTTTGACACTCATTTCATCGTAAGACTTGAACCAGCCATCAAGCACAGGATTCAGTTCAATAGTGTGATGCTGGTCAGTGAGTAGATACTGGTTTAGCAGCTGTTTAATTTGACCCAATATCTTTTGAACATATTTTTGATGATTGGCCATTAGATATTTGATTGATTTGAGAAGTTCAAGCTTTGGACCATTTTTGAAAATATTGGCTGAACGTTGCATATCTTCTTGTTCAGTCTCAAACGCATTATAAAGTATCTGAGTATGCATTTTGAGTTCCTTGATCAGTTTTAATGATGGAGCGCTAGTGTCTTTAACATCCATCTGGCTGATATACTGCAATACTTTTTCAGTCCACGAAAGATATTTGCCAGAGAGCAACTTGACCGATGCATGATATTCGTCAATTTTCTGTTTAAGAGATTTTGGAGGATCTAATGGTTTTTTTTCTTCAGGCCAGATCATCGACCAAAGTCCGCTAAACAGTCCAGGTTGAGTGGGAGTACTAGGAGTTTCAGGCTGCTCATCCATACTCGGTGGTTTAGGAATATATTCGAGCAACACTGCAACAAATGCATCTCGTCCCCAATAGTCTCCTTTTTTATAAGCCTGATCACCATCAATGACAAAATAGTCTTGTTTGAGATCGGGATTGTATCTTTCGTCATCAATGACAAGCTTTTCAGTACTCTGCAGCTCCGTTCCAGCTAGTTCCACCAATTCGGAGACAAACGCTTGTTTATTTTGACTGTTTTCTTCCTGGGAAATGGTAGCCGTTGTATCTGGACCAGATGGAATATCTTTTTGCTGCCCAGATGGAGCGGCATAGACACTGCTGGACAAGGCAAAAGCCGTAGCAAGAATTGAAAAGTTGATATATTTCATTTGATCAAGTAGATGGAGCTAGTTATGAGTATAATTGTTGGGAAAGTCCATGTGTTTTTATAGTCGATAGGACATTGGTGCTTGTAGTATATATCAAGAATACGGAACTTGTAGCGTGCTATACCACGGCATCATAATGCGGTGTGTACATTGTGATTATGCATACTGGTTACCAGCCTTATTGACTCCCTATTCCTTGCAAGCGGAGTTGACTAATGAATCTGTTTTTCCATTTAACCGTTTCTCGTTTCTCGTTTCTCACTTCTCATTTCGGTAGTTTATGGCCATCTCCACTATTTTATTATGCAACTCATATTCAAATTCTGATGGCAAGCATAAAGTAAACTGCTTCAAAGCCAAGTACTGGTTGAATGGTCGGGGCCGTTCAAGGGATGTCGTCCTGAAACGTGATCAACTAACAATCAGTACATGGAAGTTGGGCTGAACAAATGGCATATCAAAGTTGGACTAAAGCTACTAGATAGGGTACTAAATAGGGTGACTAATATTCAGGGTTAAGGTTTCGTTTAGCTTTAAACAAGCATCTTCAATTTCATCAAGCAGCTGAGCTATTATCCAAGTAAATGTCAGTATTCTGCGGTCAACCAGCCTTGTCAAGCAATTTCACTTGAACTGGCATCTATTCATGCATATCCCCACAACTTTTTGCTATACAGCCCTAATACACGGCTGTATTCATTCAACCACTATGGACCTGGCATATTTGCTCATTTACTCAATCGACACCATATTGATTTCATATCAACCATTTCGTCTTTTTGTTTATTTGGTGACTGCCATATTACCCAGTCAACAGAGTACCAGTTTTATTGATACCAGATATGACTAAACACTATGTAATAGTGTGCTACAACGCTTGACAGTTTCAAATGGATGGCCGCCATTATAACAATAAACTGCCGATCTTGTAGGGTCACTGATGGATTGCAATAAAATAACGCAAACCTGAGCATGTCGAGTTGGAAACAAGCAATCCGATACAACTGTACACCATTCAGATACGAGATATGTTGGAGTGTAAAAGTATTTATTATAGGAAATCAGCAAAAATAGTAAAAGTAGTAAAAATGATATGATACAGATCATAAAAAGTGAGCAGTAGATGGATATAACTGGGTATGACTGAGTATTCATTAATAGAATACAACGCTGATGATTTTATACTAGTTTAATTGGAATGTGCTTTTACAACAGATCACTACAATGCAACATGGTTTTGACAAGACACCAATTGAAAACCAATAGTTACAAGTTTATCAGTTTGTGCAACAGTATGGATTGTATGATGATCACTGTCAAGATGCACATGTCAAGTGCGTGTATAACCATGTTGACGATATTGGCCAGTTGACACATGCTGATCAACCCAACTGGTGTGTATTGTATACATTGTATGTATATACATGTATGGCTTGATCACTCGGATGTACATACTCGACATATATACCGACACGAAAATCAGGTCGATAATCAGATCGACAACCACCATCACAATCAGGTTGTATGTGAACAATGTTGTGATGTCGAGTGACTGGATCCAATTGCAGTGTATATACAACGAGTCATACAACGAGTTGTGTTCAAATAATGTAATGAGTGCATCAATCCACAATACAAATCAACCATGACATACAATCATAATGTGTGGTTGATACAACTATAGTGACAATCGATGTTGATATACTAGCACACAGCATGCAATGCCAACACAACAGTTGCAAGTCACTGATCATCAATGTGACATTGTGGTTGCGGCATGAACTGCATTGTATTGATTCAGTTGATTGAGTGAATCACTGGACAATATGCAGTGATGACTGATCGTGTCAAGCTGAATGGAAAGCGTATTACTAAATCGTCAATGTTTGAACCATTTGCCATTTGAAAAGCATGAAATATCACAGCAAACTGATAATGTAATAACTGAATGTCGGCTCAGTTGCATATAGCTATGCAATATTATTTAAGCCTGTGCTTACTTTACTGTGACTTTAGTCACTTTTAGGGAGGAAAAGGGTGGGAGCTACACAACCAACCATGCGATATTTGAATCCATAACCAAACAATAGTTCAATCAATACTGCGCATTACCATACAAAGGGCTTCTTTTGAGTTACCTCAACACTAACTCTGATAGTAACACGAGCCCTTAGGACGGCTACTCAAAGAGTATGCTTTTGATACTCTTTCAATAACATAAATACAATCTAAATCCGACCTGTTGAGCAACAACTATTTACAACTTGCTCAACTAAACCAGTAGAATGAAACTTGCAGTGACTGTACTATCATCAGTTTTGCTTGCTTGCTCGGTCACTATCGCCAATCCAGTCCTTCCCAGTGCAACCGCAGATGCTGAGTCTAGCACTTTGACAGTTCTTCCCACTGCAACTACAAGCACTTATTCTAGCCCTTCAGCTGTTTCTGAATTGGATGTAGACTTATTTTATTGTGGCACACTTTCAAGGAAAGCCAAGAGCTTGATCAAAGCATACGCAACAACAAAACGTGGTGTCGAGACAACAGAAGAAAGGTGCAAGTTGATATCAAAATCGATTTCTTTTCAACAAAAATTGATACAACAGCTCAGTGAAAAAGTTGATCTCTTAAAGTCTGGATATTCGGCAGAAGATGATGATTTAAGTTATGATGAGGCTATTTCTGAGCTTTCAAGGGTACGTAAAGAACTTGTAGATTTCGAAATTCAACAGCAAGTGTGCGATAGCGAATGCTCTGTTTTGGATCGGAAGTTTTATTTGGCCGAAAAAGCACTTGCACAAAACTTTTTTCAAGGGTTTTTGAATGTTCATTCAGTCGGTGTATATATGAAACGCATCCTGGGTAATCCCGTCGTTATGAAATGCATCAATCAATTTTACAGTGGAAAACGGACTCCATTTCCAGAACTCGAGCATGCATCTACTAGTGAAACTCCCAGTTCATCACAAAGATATCAAAGCCATGAAAGTTTGCCTCAATCACCCGAGCAAGCAACAAACAATTCTGAGCAGCGTAAAATGGCTCTAAAAAGTTCTGATGGACAATCTCCATCTGAAGAAACGTCTATAGCTAATCCCAATCGAAAGTCCTCTAGAGCCCCTTCCAGTTTAACCAAAGTTTCCAAGTTTATGAAAAAGGTCAAATTACAGTTGAATCATTGATCCTGATGTGGAAATTCATCTGATTGATTTGAATTCTAATTTGAACTGCTTTCAATTTAATCAGCTGTTATTACAGCTGTATTTCTGATTCAACTTGTAATAAAATATAATTGCCATTTGATATTGGATATTGTATGTGCATGCATTGTATTTAATTATTTTACACAGTCTTGGTTGGCATCATATCATAGTATGCATCGACACTTGTATATTTCCAATACAATACAGTTGATTATATATTGCTTGTCATGTCGTATTGACACATGACATGCAACATCAATACCAACAATACTCATGTGTATTGATATCAGATCCGACCAATTTGACTGGTTTGATTTGTTCAAAAATGACTAGCCATCGATATACTTGCAGCAGTATATCATATTGCAACCGTTGATATCGCGCATCCAGTATTGGCATGGTCATCCAGATATACAGTGATGGATTCAAACAATGCATACCATGATTGAGCTATGCGATCATGATGTGTATCAAACAACTACGATACACACTGAACTGATCCAATGCATACATGGCTTGAACACATCACACAATCAAACATGGACACACCACATTAGAAATACATACAGTAGCGGTTTGTTTATAATGAATTGTATTCAGTCGAGTTTATTGAGAGTCTGTTTGTGACTCTTGACAGTGTGGTGGGTGTTTTCAGGTACAACTACTTGATCAGTTGTCATTGATGATTATTAACATCAAGAGTTCTAACGTACCATCATATCAACTATAAAATAATCATGGTCATCATCCATGCAACAGATAACCAGTTTTACTGCTATATCTATTTAGTCCCCAAGTTTCTTGTAATCAACGTTTGACCGCTTACTACCACGACGAATCCTGCCAATACGCAACACTATACTGCGATATTGTGTTTCATATGAAGTACTTGGTTCTTCAGGTAATCCAAAACTGTGCATCAAATTCATGATCAATATATCAATCAACACATCCACACATCAATATCAAACAACTTACTGTGGTAATGGCCAAAGCATCCGATCATTGTTTGAAATAGTAGGATATTCACTGGTTGCAGTTTCGCATCCACATCCAGAACCAAACCCAATGCGTGCATTTTGTAAATCAAATGTCAATTTAAGTCGGGTCATAAATGACATGCCAAGAACTGCATAATCATTTGAACCAACTGTTACAGCAAACAGGACTATAATTCAACAGGTATATTAGTCAGGTTAATCAAACAACACGTATTGCATGCAATTGTCGAATATTTACATTTTTCAGAATTTTCAATACTGATTATCTGCATATAGTCTCTAGGACCTAGTTCGATCGTTACAACGGAATCGCGATTTTCATCAGTTACGGGAGTTTGAGCAAACATTGTAATTGAAAACCTTGGCATCCTACTCCAATCAATAGTATATTTGTATCTGGGCATTAGATGGTTTTTCCATAATCTCATTTTAATTTTTTTTTTGTCAAGGTAATCGCTCCTTAACATATTATCTTTGACAGTGATCGCATTACTATTAAGAATAGCATCAACCAATGCTGTCACGACTGTTTCAGGAAAACGCATATTTAAAAAGCATGTTTCCACACTCGAGTACAAAGTACGTCCGTCTTTCACTTTTTTTTGGAATTCAGCAGGCAGCTCCGCTGGTCTGCCATTGACTAGTACACTCTTGATGTTGACACTAAACTGATTGTTTGATGGCGATTCTACCCATGCAACACTTGTTCCATCCGTTTCGCATTTTGCAGTTACGTCCGTGTTTCCTATATTGATGAAACTTTCTGAAGTCATGCCATATGGACACAGTTGAAGACTAACCTCGTTTTTAGGAATGGCACCATCATTATACAAAGCATCCATTGCAGTGACTCGTGAATGTTGATTTGACAACGAGGAATAGGCAAGCCCAAATATTCCATCAAACTTTGGATTGATACCAACTGAATCTGCTGATTGTTTTTCAACTGCCAATACTGGTAAATTGACGCCAGTTATCCCAGTACCTGGAATCGTCACAACGGCTGTGGATGTAACTCCATTATACTGTTTGCCTTTGTACTTTATACTAACGGGTTCCCCACTTGAAATACTTTGTATAGCTAAACCTACATCGTTGCTTGAACTAGGAAGTGGTACCACCATATTAGAAACTGTTGAATCGACTCGTAAATTCAACTATTTTAAACAAGTGTGAGATTGATTAAACCTAGTACAAACTGATATCAAACTACAATGCATGACATGATACATACATCAACTCCATCAACATTGACTTTTATCTTGAAACATTTGTTAACATCACCACCCAATTCAAGGGGTGATCGTTTTGACAGCCTATTGTTTGATGGACTGTCAATTCCAATTGGTGAGTGTAATGCAAGTCGAACTGCAGCAACCGCCTGTAACGCAAGTATAACGCATTCTATAGTAATCAGCATTGTATCGAGTAGTGTGATGAAAGTGTTGTGAATCTAGTACATGATTGCCGTTTTGTAACGACGGCAGCTTTAAGGGTGACAATCAGCACTTTCCAAATGGGTATTTAGAAAACACAAAAACACCATGTAGGGTGAGCAAACCCAGAAACACCCTGTAGGGCGAATCAATACACAGACATTTCTGCTAGTGGAAAATCAATTTCAGTAGTATACTGTGTTGATATTTCCAATTGTGGTCATGTATCCAGTAATCAGATAGTATCAGATTATCACCCTGATTATGGATAGTTATCATCACATTTACAATACATTACTACAGCATACACTGCCACTGTGTATCAAATATTTGACTGATTGTCCAATTGGTCATGTTTTGGATCACTCGGACACAACAGCATCAAACAGCCTGTTGTTGCAGTATTTCAAAACCATGACTTTTCCATTGGTATGACTGCACAGTCATTTTAGGTTAATCTAGACTGTACACATCAAACACTGCTGATCGTGCCACAACATGATCAACATCAAACTCGGCAAACTGTTATCGATACACTGAATGAGTGACATTGTACTATAATCGAATTGGAGATTGGCAGGTCGTTCAACAAACTGGCCGTGTCAACAGGTCAGATTGTCATCGTGGTACATGAACCACAATGGATGATCATGTCATTCAAATCAGCACACAATCTACTGGTATATGCAAAACAACACCACAGTACAATCCAGATCAAACCCGATCACAAACGTGGTGTTGAATCCAATGCATGCGAGTACTTTTAAACACATGATACACACTGATGGTGATGGTTGCTGACAGTCACATTGCAGTGTACATGTCCAATAGTGTCCACTGTCATGTCAATTGTTGCTATCCGTGACATCCAACTAGATCACAATCAATGTCTAACAAATACAACACAGTAAACTAGCCACGAGTATCCAAGAGTATGTCAATTGATGTGATCCAACAAAACAGCAGAGTATTGACTGCTTTGTTAAAGTGCATTCAATCAAGACACTCCAGTATCTCGAGTAGAATATCAGATTTTTCACCTTTGCACTGAATCCACAACCAATCGCACAGATTACAAACAAAGTTTGGACAAATCGAAATAGTTCAAATTTACAGCTGAAACCAAAATGGTATACAATCGCATTCATGTAGAGTTGAACACTATCTTGCAGTAATTGACTGTTGGTTTGGAATAAACAATGTTGAATATTGGTTGTAGTTTTGTACTTGACATTGACGGTTGATTCAATATACATTATGAATTATTATAAACAGTGTCAATGATATGATGCACACAAACTATGATTTTGAACTGAAATAGTCTTGAATCAGCGTTTGTCGTTTCTGTTGTATTCTGAATCACGGATACGATCACAATCTATTTCAATAACAATCATGACACATGTCAGTAATGCAACTGTTGTTTGCATGTCAATCACCACCAACAATCGCACTGAATTGTCAGCCAGTCCATGACACTGACTGTTTATTGCACACCAACACTGTTATTTAGTGGTCCATTTACATCAATATGGCTGTAATATCAATCAACTATTAGTATCCACTTGACTATCATCAACTCAATACATAAAATGATCTCATGAAAACAGGCTGTAATTGTACAAGCATATGCTGTTGGTGTTACAAGTTTATTGGTCAACTGTTGTATGATTGTTTTGGTGATGGTGTCAGGGTTGTGTCTGTTACCAATGGTACGCTACCAGCACAAACTCGACTGATCAAACAGCCATGTATACACATTGTTGTCAGTTACATCGAGTGTTTGTTCAAATAGGTCGATTCAAATGGGTTGCATATAACCGACTAATCCAGCATTCATCCATTGTCAAACAACCATAATGCACAATACCACCAAGTGTGCAATTACACTCGCACTGATCAGTCGTTGCACAGTATGCATTGGTCAATGTCAAACATATGTGTGTTTGCAACTAAATTGCAGTCCATGACATATCCACACGATCCAACATGTCAAATCATGTATCATGAGTCCAAGATTGATCAAAAACATGATCATGGTAAACACAGCATGTTGTTGCATATCAGACTCGATATATCGAGTGACAGTTGTACACTGGCTGATGGTGCACAGCGTATCAGTCACAATACATGCACGGTATTGCATTGCAGTCATTGAATGACAGTCATTTGCAATGTGATACTGATCGACATACATCAGCATGATGTGATGTGACCATAACCATGGTGGAATGTGTTGGAGTTGACATTGTGAGTTGACAATCGATACACCATGCACATGACTGGAACATATATATTCGAGTATGGTTTGGTTGGTGTCAGGTTGATCATGCAATCACATCGGTGCAACGAGTGAGTGAGCTGATGGTGATCTGAACTTGTTTCAACAACAAGGAGTTGACAGTCATGGATTTGCATGCATTCAATATGTGTCGCACACCGTTGTTGACTGTTGACTGTGTATGCAGGTCAAGTTACCACCAACCACCAACCAGATCCAATGCATACATGATCATTACTAGAATGACTGCCAAGAATATTCGCATCCAAAAGTTGATTATGAGTTGGTGGTTTTTAAGAACCGGACACAACCAACATGGTATTGGATACAGCAACATGAATATAGTTCAGTCACATGGTGTGATACAGTGGTTGTGGAATACAACACCCAGGTATTTGTAGTGTTGAACATGACGAATCTGTTGTTCGTGTAGCATCATATCAATTGGTAATTCGGAATCAAAGTGTTGTGGCCACAGAAACTGAGTATGTTGCATTTGACTACACCAAAGCTTATTTGACATTGTTCCATTCATTGTGCGAGTACACCAGATGCCAATTGGAGCAACTGATCAGAATCGGCAAATATCACAATATTGTCGGCATACATGAACCCTCACATTGGTGGTGATTTACACGATACTCATGCAATGACAATCGGTTGATATCATCGTGTATGTTGTTGATGAACATGTTGAACAGTAATTTGACAGTGGACATCACCACCGGATTCCATGTTCAATTGGAAATGGATCAGAAACCAATGATTCAGTTTGAGCACAAGCCGATGAGCATGTGTGCAGCGCTGTTAGCAAGACCAGTGTGCGTGGTGTTAACCACATGTGTTGCAGTTACCATATCAAGGTACCAACCATGACAGTGTCGAATGCATTTTGAATGTCAATCAACACAACAATAGTATTGAGCTGCACGCACTGTCATCGTTGAACAATATCAACTAGTGAACCAACCAGCACAGCACACTTGTTTGGTTTGAAATCGATCATGATCGGTGGTGACGAGTTTGTTGAGCACCACGATCCATCAACGTGTGTTTGCAAGACCTTGCATACCAGTTTATGACACACATCAATCAGTGTAATACAGTGTTTGTCATTTGTATCAATGTGATCACCGTTATTGTTGTCGATATATGCAGTCAGTACAATCGGTACAGTGTATGCAGACTGCCATCAGGTCGCATAGTGGCCGTCAACATATTGCCTGGACTGTGTGTAGCAGAACACGAGCAAATGGATTGGGTGGTTCATCAGGTGTATCATTTGGTGTATATAATGCGACTCGGTAGAATGTGATCAATATCCTGTTGTTTTTCAGGTGTTTGGTGTGAACCAGCTGCTGTATTGCATCAACTAGTCGATATCAAGGTATATCCGAGTCGAGATCAGTTGCATCGTCACGAATCGGAAACAGTTTGTATGGTGGAAGTGAATCACGTATATGCAAGTACTGTCATTACTGCAAGTCAAGTAAATGTCCACTATCGTCCATAGCAAGATGCAAGTAGTGATTACTCGGTATGTCAAAAATATTATCACTGCTGTACTGAATGATACGATTGGCATCACATCGCATCGTATAGTGGAATGGAATGGAGTGATGGTTGTTGTGTGTGTTGCACCACCAGACATGACTCGAGCTGCTGCAAATGTCATATCAAAACGATCATCAATACTGTCCGGTCAGGTGTGTCAGCAAACTTGATCCAGTTCATATGTTCATTGGCGCATTCAAGTCGCTGGATTGTTGCATTGTGTTTGTCCCAGCATGCATCTAGTTGGATGCGACAGAGTTCATTGTGATTGTCACGGATACTTGCTGTAATGTACATCGATATTCCAGTGTTACCATGTCAAATCGTCCGTTTGATTGAGCGATACAGTCGACGTTTATGTTCCCGAGCAGTATGTGCATGTGCGTGCAGTTGACAGTCATCCACTGTTGCATTGGCAGCATCCAATAACTGAATGCATAGCTCGTGTGTGTCCGTGTATGATCCATCAAACGCTGCATATATTCCACCAATCTAACATTGCAATCCGATCATAGGCATATATGCAGAGTTGTGATATGTTAGTTGAATGAGTGGAATGGACTGAATGAGTTGGTGCATGTGTATTAGTGCGGATGCAAGTGTAAATGACACATTGTCAGCAACCGCAATGTTCATGTTTACACGAGCAGATTTTACAAGTGTTTGTTCAGTCTCGTCACACACAAAGTGATTGATAGAGTGTCAATGACATGCAGTCCTGCTCACTCGAGTGATGTTACTGTCGGAGTATTGCCAGCATACTGTATGACAGTCAAACGCAGTATTCATGCGTGTATGATGCGTTGTAATGGCGCATATTCAGTGCTCCAGTTTTCAAACAGTAGCACTGATGAGTGATCGTCAAACGGAATAACTGCTGACAGGACATGTTGAATGGCAGACAAGACATTTCGCGTTTGATAGTCGCATGCAGCCGAGTGTCCAATGTACACAGCCAACAGTCCAAACACATTCAGGTGTAAAGTTTGGAATGTTTGCGACAATTATGGTGCCATAAACAGTCATTTTGCAAATCCAAACCATTTGTCAATACCGAATGGTGTCTCGATGTTCGGGAACAGTTGCCGAGTGTTGCAATACATTGAAACCACACACTGTGTGCTTGAAACTGTCCGTTGCAATGCAAGTCTTGGATAATCCACATAGTCGGTTTGGCTGAATATATGTCAAAGTAGTGAGTGTTTGCTGGCAATGTTTGACACATTGACTGACAATATTTGACAACAATTAGGAAGTGAAACACACAGTGAGGATGTCGTTGGATGCCTGCGTTGACAGTTTTTGTGTATGTGTCAGTTGTTGTACGGATGATTGGTGACAGAGTTGATGAATAGTGTGTGCGGAACATGACTCTGACACAGTAATGCGGACTCGTGCACCGAGTTGAGTTGTCCAGCAATCGATTTTGGAAATGTGTTTGATGTGATGGTTTGAGATGAATGCCAAATGACCACGAATATTACCAATTGTCATGACAGTTGATTGTTGATTCAAAACGTTGTTTATTTGGTATTAATGGTTAGAGTGTCACTCATTGACCTGTCAGATCAGCAAGTGTTATTTCGGTGAGTTTCGTGTCTATTGTAGTCACATCAACATCAGCAGATTGGACTACGGATTTGCTTGACAGAGTTGCAGATCCAGTTGGATTGATAGGCGAGCAACTGTGCAAACAACTGTGCGAGTTGCAGGATGTTTGAGATCCAACAAAACACTGTTTGCACACAAGTTCATGAATGCAGATTGCCAGACTTGACCATCAACTCGCAGTATAAATTGCGTGTACGACAGTTTACACGCTTACCCATCAACAATAAACCCACATAACCAGCAAACCGTCAACGAGCAGCCAGCTCAGTAGTCGGGTTGATGTTTTTTGTTGGAGTTTTTGGATCAAACTTGACCTGATTTGTACCGAGTTGGGTCATGACTACAAGTTTGACAGCAATAGATTGATCTACTAATAATCTGATTGTGTTGTTGATTGTATGGATGTTGGTAATCCGTTGCAGATTGATACGGAATGTGACCAGAATACTACAAAGTTTATTGAGTGTGCACATTGCATTCGATGCAAAACGCAATAAACAAATGCGAGTTGCAGCATTCATTCAAGGTTCGACACCAGTCGATACAGCATTGACCGCAATGGCATTTATGTCAACAATTGCACGACTACGGAATAAGTCGATTGTTGCTTGGCATTCCGTATCGACAGTCTGCGTGTGTGTGCAACGTGCTGTTGTCGCATATGAACAACTTGGATTGACTTTGTGGACAAAACACAGTCACTGTTGCGGTGATGTTTACAGTCGTGGAAATGGTTTCGAATACCACAACTGGCATAACAACTGCATGTGTTGGTGAGCAACCACAGTCCAGTTTGACCAAGATCTGTTCCAGTAATGATCGAATGACATTGTCGTGTTTGGTCATCATGACAACAATGTCATTGGTTTGACTCTGCGACTGACCAAATGCGCTAGTGACAGCGTTTCCAATTGAGTTCATATTACTTGCGAGGATCATGAACATATGACGGCATTGATGGTTGTCATTATTGGCAAGTGTGTTGCAGTTGATTGAAGATGTGAAGGAATGAATCAATATTCGATTGTGTTGTTTATTAACAAGTGAGTGAGTGTGTTTATAAAATAGGAGACAAGAAAGTCATGTGAATTCCAGTTCAAACGTCATTGTTGATGGTTTTTGATTGTTAAACTATTCAGAAATGTCTCACATTCACACACTACTAATGTCTCACACAATGCAAATCAACACTCTCACACTAGTAATGTCTCACATTAATGAGACATTAATTCTGGTGTAAATTTGACTAATTTCCAAATATTTAAATCGTGTGAATTGTCTTGAAATATCCCAAAATTTTGTTATTTTGACTCGATTAAAAAGTCGATTTTTGTTTTACAATTTGACAAATAAATTGCTTTTTTATTCTTTTTCTTTTGATAAAATGCCAAAACGATTCCTCAATGTTGAATACAACACTATTTCTACTGAAATCGATGTGACTGACTTTGAAGACCTGAGTGACGTTCAGGATGCCATCAAGTCTGAGTATGGTCCTGCTGTGGCTGACATTGATGCTCCTCAACTCCAACTCTACACCAACAGTAACAAGGACCAACTAATCAACACCTGGGCTTTACTCGACTCTCTTCCTCAATAATACTTTACTCAAGATGGTTCTTGTGCTGTTATTGGTTGTTTACCACCACCTTCAAGACAACCTACTCAAGCTGACCTTTTTGCCGCAGGTTCTACTTTAACAGCAGGATACAAGAAAAGAAGAACAAGTGAATGGGAAAAAGTATCAACACTTGCTCAACTTTCATACGACCCAAATTTGACCATTTTCGAACTTGACACAAATTACTTGGCCAAGACTGGTCTATCTACTCAAAAACTCATTCTTTATTGCCGTCCAACTTTTCATGAGCAATTCAGTTTTTTACGGGAAAAAGTCATTGATAATGGGGTTCTTGGTTGGATTTTAGGACCACCAGGAACTGGCAAGTCGACTACTGCTCTGGCATTTGCCTCAACTCTGGACAAAAAGGACTGGGTTGTTACTTGGATTCATTTGTACATAGATCGTTATCCAGTATGTGTTCGTTTGGAGAGCGATTCAAAGAAATCCCAGGAAATCTACGACAGCAATATCGACAAACTTTTTGATATTTTGCATAAAGTAGATGAATCAAAACAACACATTGTGTTTATTGATGGATACACTTCAAATGGACAAAAACACATTGATGTACAGCAAGCTTGCTATTCATGGCTCGAAGAAGACTGAGAAAAAAGAAGATTGGTTGTCGTTTGTTCAATGTCCTCACGTTACAAAGCAAAGTTGGAGGAAGATATGCTGTTGAATCTCAAACAGTTCAACGTCTATTCTTGAAAGGAAGAAGAGTATATTCATGCTGTTCAAAATGACGAATTCTTTAACCATGTCAAGGCTGTTTTAGATTCTGATTTACAGATTGATTCGTCTCGTGAAGACTTGGTCCGTTCTAAACTATACTTTGCGGGTGCTTCTGCCAGATGTATGTTTCTTTTTGCGACCAAAGATGTGATCCAACAAACATATGGATTAGTCACTTTTGTCAATGATATTTTTCCATACGTCAAAGGCACAATAGGCGATCAGTCTAATAATGTCGTGGATCGTCTCTTCAGTTCAAGTTTAGTAGAGAATGATGTGTTCCCTCGAAAAACATCTATTGTCAGTCAATTTGCCGGGTTATGTTGGCCATCAAGGCAGGACCAGACCTGATTCGTAAATTGGTCAAAGCTACTCGGCATGATGGAAATCCTTCTATGGATGGTTGGATGTTGGAAATGTGGTTCTTTGCCAGTCTTTATTACGACAGAGTAAAATTGTTTGACGAAAACGATAACGAAGTTCAAACTTGGCCAGCATCCAATGTCAAAACTCTGGATATCAATGCTTTTCCTGCTCTACCAGAAAATAATGGTGTTTGGTTTAAGCCAAATAAATGGGACCAAGGAGGATTTGATGCTATTTTCTTGGATAAAGGAAAAGGGTTGGTTAGATTCGTTCAAGTAACTGATGGCAACACACGTTCATTCAAAATCAAGTATTTCCACAGTTTTTTGCTGATGCTATGCCAATTGCCTCAATCGTTTGAGATTACATGCTTGGAAATTATCTTTGTTGCTGACCAAAAGAAACGCTCAACTTTCAAGGTAGCCGAACCATCGGCACCAGGCATGTTAACAGATTTTGGTTGGAGACTCGGTGAAGAGTTGGATAAAGTCAAAGTTGTTTTCATAAAGGGATGGTGCGATTAATTTGTAACTGCCGTCGTCTATCATAAAGACAGTGTATTCTAGTTAAAGCAGAAAGTATGAATCTGGCACAAAAAGATCCTGGAATTTCAAACTAATAAACAAGCCGGTACTTTATTTTAAAGATTTTGACAATTTTCCTCATCTCCGATAATTTGATATTTTTGGCAACTTTGGACATAGTTTGGCTGTAAACACCGGTTGATAAAACTGGTATCAGTCGGTGCCCAATATATACTACTAACAATTATTTGAAAGTATTTGATGTAAAATGCCCAATAGACATGTTTGCTCATACAATAATCCAAAACATACACTCGCATCTGGAAAAAGTATCCTACATTAAACCATCAAAAATATGGTTTGATTAAACTACTAAACATTTACCAATCCCTGCAAACACATGGGTGTACAATGATTTATCAAAAACTAATATTAAAAACACTGATCATACTACAATACAATTGTAAAAACCTGTCCGAGTTGTTGAAACATTACAATAGTTTGGATGTAAAGCCTGCGACTGGAGCAACAAAAAAGTTGACCAGCTTGTTCAAAACAATCCATTTTGACATTCATAAAGTTGCCATTAGCATTGTTGACGTGTCTGTCATATGTATGGAATATGAATGAACATGACGTTGAATTTAAACTGTTCAAGGGGAATGAAACTCATATCAGTAATATAGAGATTTGAACATCAGATTCGCAAACATTTGATTTTGTGAGTAGTCAATGAGTAGTCGATAAAAGGTCAGTATGGTTGTGTTTTTACTGGACAAGTCTTGAACAAGTCTTGGATTCTGCTTGATTGATAAACCATCAATTCGTGACGCAAGTCTTGATCTGCGTCTTGCCAAAGTCGATCAATTTGATATTCCCTTGACCAGTTAAAATCATGTTTCCTGGTCTCAACTCCTCATGAACTACACCAACCGATTAAAAGTGTCGAATAATCCAATCCAACTCATTGTCTGTTCTCCAGTCACAGTGTTTTCCAGGAATAAAGTCCAAACCAATCAAGTGAAATACTGTCCGTAATACTCACATTCTCCATAATAGCGTGCAACATATTGTAGATTGAGTTTGGCAAGCTTTTCGTAAATTGATATTTGATTAGCATTTTGAATGCATCAAGATTGTTGTAGGAATCACAATGTTTGACAACAATGTTGCAGTCATTGAGTCGAATGACTTGACCAGTTGCTCCAAATCCAATCACAGTACCAGAACAAAGTGAATCCACATTCAGATTATACTTGATTGTGCTTGAATCATTACTGTCAGAGTCTGTTGAACTGGAGTCTAATTTCTGCTGTTCAGTTTGATGGTCTTGTAAAACAAGTTGAACAAATACATTGCCTGAATACGACTAGGAGAACACAGATCGTTGTAAATGGAATGGCTGATACGCAGAGTATCTCTGACAGGTTGCCAAACCAAATAGGTAACATAACAAGTCACACATTCATAGATCAGATTGTTCAAAGCAAGATATCCATAAACTTGGTCAATCACTGTGCACACATCCATATGTCCAATATCTCCACAAGTCATTTCTGTTGGTTGGCACTGTGTATCCTCTTGATACACCTTTACAAGTCAAATGGTTGTCCATTTACAGAATGACGAACAGGCAGATCATTCGAGTCTTGCTTTCAATAAACGACAAGACTTTGGATCAAGACCAAGAACATTGTCCGAAGCTCCAATAAACTCGAGATGACTCTCCACTTGAGTTGCTGTTTCAAGCGTACAAGGGAAAACACTAGCCTTGCTTCAGATTGGTAATAATCTTCTTGGTCTTGAAGTATTCAGTTGAAGTTGTAAAGAATATGTTTAATGTATCAACATTACTTTCAAGTGTGAGTGTAATTCCTGCTGTAGTATGCAAAGCAACACCATCTTCAATGGAAATTGTGTGATATTCGTACTTTGCCGAGTCTGCTGTAAAGTCTTTTCATTGTCCACATACAATTGTGTTTTGGGATGGTTTCTTCTAGTGCCAGTAGTTTGAAAGAGTCTCAACATCCAGCAGTGTTTGATAACAAGCTATCGAGTCTTGTTACTGTAATGCTTTTGACGACATCTTGCCCAGTATTATTGTTTGATTCGATGAGTGAGTTGAATGGGTTGATCTCAATGGTCGCATTGTTTCCAATAACGGTAATGGGATCCCAGGAGTTGTAGTTGGTCTCTATTCCATCCACTCTCTATTCTGTAGTGGATAGGATGGAAACCAGCTACAACTCTTGGAACTCCATTGCTGTTCTTGGACTAGATCAAACCACTGGAACTGATCCACTCATCAAATACAACAGTGATATGCCTGGTCAAACTCTGTATCATCAACACTAGACACTGTAATGGACATCAACTCACTTTACAAACCACTCTTGTGAACCTTGTCCAGTCGATACACTTGTATGATGAACACAACTGTTGTGTGTCCAACATTCAATCAAAACCATTCATCTGGATCAAACCATCATGAACATTGACATCAAAGACATTGACACAATCCCTAATGTTTTGTATTCAAAAGTCTATTCTGGCAACATACAAATCAGCATCAAAATTCCAGTCGACAGACTGTCAACTACACAATATTGTCATGATTGGTGTCAGTGGATGTGAACAACAACCTGCTATGATATGTGTCGATATTGTGTATTTGACTGCTCGATTGATCCTGATTTCAGGGCAATGATTGACAAGTTGGCACCTGCCAAAAAGACGGACAAGAATCAATCAGTCTTTGAATACTAATCTAAAAGACTGATCCAGTGTTTGATTTCTGCTCGTATATTTGTTTTGAAAACACTCCGTGAAACAAATCCCAATCTTGATTCTTTTACATGGCTATGCATTCAAAGAAGTGGACGAACTGGTGGGCTTTTTTGTAAAATATTCGACCATCTATCTAAGCTTCCTTGGTCTGCGTTTGGTAAAGTCTATCAAGAGTTGAAATCATGGTTCCTAAAAGACGGTCGTGTTATATTTGACGAATCGCAACATATGCCAAGTCTTTTAAAGTCGGACTATCGTTCAACAACAATCCATTACTGCTGGACAATTTGATTTTCCTCGGTCGCTGTTTTCGTTTTTGACCAGAACTATTATCCAAGATGACTTCAACAATATATGGCGCGGAACACAAATGCGGATCTGCATTATGGATTTGACATACTCTGCTGCTGAACTCAAACCAGATAATATGTTGATATTCACCGACTTCAACTACTTGAAACCATCTGATATTTTGACACTACTATCGATGTGGCTAAAAGTCGATATGTCAGAAAACGCTGATATTCAAGAAGTCTCTTCAAGGTCATCCAAGACTCGTTACATCATTTTTACACAAATTGATCAACTCGACTGACATCAATGATTGTTATCGTGGCTCAATAAGTAGATGGACAAGTATCTCCAATACCAATCTAGTTTCAGCAGCACAATAGTCGGCATTTTTAATGGGTTTGATACTCCAGTCGATTCTCTCCTTCCAGAAACAGTAAAATAATGAATGTGGCAAATACATGCCAGATTTTGTCGTCATTTCCTGTATATAGCCGCAATAACAATCATTGATATCAGTCGAGTCGATCAATTTGTGTAAAAATGAAACAAAAAGTCTTGGACGACCTTGAAGAGACTGTGAGATTTCTTGAAGGTCAATATTCTTTGACACATCGATAGTAGTGTCAAAATATCAGATGGTTTCAAGTAGTTGAAGTCGGTGAATACAAATATATCCTCTGGTTTGAGTCCAGCAGCAGAGTATATCAAGTCCATGGTGCAGATTCGCATTTGTGTTCCGCACCATATATTGTTGAAGCCATCTTGGATAATAGTTCTGGTCAAAAACGAAAACAGCGACCGAGGAAAATCAAATTGTCCAGCAGTAATGGATTGTTGTTGAACGATAGTCCGACTTTAAAAGATTTAGCATATGTTGCGATTCGTCAAATATAACACGACCGTCTTTTAGGAACCATGATTTCAACTCTTGATAGACTTTACCAAACGCAGACCAAGGAAGCTTAGATAGATGGTCGAATATTTTACAAAAAAGCCCACCAGTTCGTCCACTTCTTTGAATGCATAGCCATGTAAAAGAATCAAGATTGGGATTTGTTTCACGAAGTGTTTTCAAAACAAATATACAAGCAGAAATCAAACACTGGATCAGTCTTTTAGATTAGTATTCAAAGACTGATTGATTCTTGTCCGTCTTTTTGGCAGGTGCCAACTGTGCCAACTTGTCAATCATTGCCCTGAAATCAGGTCGATAAAACAGTCAAATACACAATATCGACACAAACCATAGCAGGTTGTTGTTCACATCCACTGACACCAATCATGACAATATTGTGTAGTTGACAGTCTGTCGACTGGAATTTTGATGCTGATTTGTATGTTGCCAGAATAGACTTTTGAATACAAAACATTAGGGATTGTGTCAATGTCTTTGATGTCAATGTTCATGATGGTTTGATCCAGATGAATGGTTTTGATTGAATGTTGGACACACAACAGTTGTGTTCATCATACAAGTGTATCGACTGGACAAGGTTCACAAGAGTGGTTTGTAAAGTGAGTTCATGTCCATTACAGTGTCTAGTTTGATGATACAGAGTTTTAACAGGCATAATATGTTGGATTTCATAAAAATACAATACCTTGAGTTTAACCAGGCATATCATTGTTGGACTTGATAATCAGTGGTTGGCCGTAACAACCAACTGTATGTTGAATAGAGGCCAGGGGTTCATTCCCAGCAATGGATGGTGAGTTTGTCAGTCTATAGCATCAAGTTTCAATGAAAGTGCTTGTTTGGCTGCTGCAATTAGTTTCAATAAATTGTCGAATGGTCATCTCCTATACAACTCTGCATTAAAGTGGGTTTCAATTCCCACTGGTTGACTGCCGAGCTATTTGATACAAAACCTTTTGTCTTGCATTGTAATTTGTTGAAGAAAAGAAATGGCAAAATTCGACTTTAAATCCAAAATTTAATGGCGTGTGAAGAATGTAAACAAATTCACAGCCTCTGAATATTGTTTAAGCATTTTTGTGTGAAATTAAAACTGTCAAATTAAACATTTGTCATGTGTTTATTTGTATTGTTTAATCGAGTGTCAATTCAACTCAATTGATTACGTCATTCATATAATGACTCGAGTCTTTTATTCAACATTTTAATGTCATTCATTGCTGGATTTGTAAATGTGTTACAAAACATGCTGAATCTGACAAGTGAATAATGATTGTTCCAATCAACAATTGGATTGGATCGACTGCAATATTGTCATTGATTGCAGTCACTGTTGACCAATACATTGTAATATATTGACAGTCTCGACATCAACATTGCCAGCATTACACCACAACAATACTGTCAACTTTCAAGTCCTGTGATATACCGTTTCAACTATAACCAGATCGATGTTGATCACTTGTCAATACACGCACCAGTTGTATAATCGTACAACTGTTGGTTAATCAATGTTTGACTGTCGATACTCGATATGGTTGGTATCGATTGTTGCAGCTGTCGAGTGCCGTCATTGGTCATGCATTACCAGTTGTGTATGGTTGACATTGATCATCATGGTATGTATTCAAATTCAACACATCAACATACACTGTGACATGTGTGATTGACTATAACTGGTGTGGATTACAATCGATTGTGCATGGTAGTTTGATATTGATCGCAGTTGTTGATCGATACTCGGACTACCCGAGTTTGTATTTATGACTGGATGCTTGATTGGATACTTGACATGACTGGTCATATATGATTTGTACAATAGTATGGATTGTACAATGATCACTGTCCAAATGTGCATGTCAAATGAGTGTATAATCAGGTTGACGATATTGGCCAGTTGACACATGCTGATCAACTCAACTGGTGTGTATTGTATACATTGTATGTATATACATGTATGGCTTGATCACTCGGATGTACATACTCGACATATACTGACACGACAATCAGGTCGACAGACACCATCACAGCCAGGTTGTATGTGAACAATGTTGTGATGTCGAGTGACTGGATCCAATTGCAGTGTATATACAACAAATCATACAATGAGTTGTGTTCAAATAATGTAATGAGTGCATCAATCCACAATACAAATCAACCATGACATACAATCATAATGTGTAGTTGATACAACTATATAGTGACAATCGATGTTGATATACTAGCACACAGCATGCAATGCCAACACAACAGTTGCAAGTCACTGATCATCAATGTGACAGTGTTGTTGCGGCATGAACTGCATTGTATTGATTCAGTTGATTGAGTGAATCACTGGACAATACGCAGTGATGACTGATCGTGTCAAGCTGAATGGAAAGCGTATTACTAAATCGTCAATGTTTGAACCATTTGCCATTTGAAAAGCATGAAATATCACAGCAAACTGATAATGTAATAACTGAATGTCGGCTCAGTTGCATATAGCTATGCAATATTATTTAAGCCTGTGCTTACTTTACTGTGACTTTAGTCACTTTTAGGGAGGAAAAGGGTGGGAGCTACACAACCAACCATACGATATTTGAATGTATAATCAAACACAGTTCAATCAAGGTTGCGGGCTATCATAAAGGGATAACCTTTTCGAGTCTGTCGAACATTGATAACAAATCAACACTAACTCTGATAGTAACACTAGCCCTTAGGACGGCTACTCAAAGAGTATGCTTTTGATACTCTTTCAATAACATAAATACAATCTAAATCCGACCTGTTGAGCAACAACTATTTACAACTTGCTCAACTAAACCAGTAGAATGAAACTTGCAGTGACTGTACTATCATCAGTTTTGCTTGCTTGCTCGGTCACTATCGCCAATCCAGTCCTTCCCAGTGCAACCGCAGATGCTGAGTCTAGCACTTTGACAGTTCTTCCCACTGCAACTACAAGCACTTATTCTAGCTCTTCGTCAACTCCTAATGTAAACAGTATACACTTGGATGGCATTGATTCACTTTCAACTGGCACTAAGGATTTGTTCAAACAATTCTTGAAAAAAGAACGTGCTTGTGATGAACAAAAAAACACATGCAGCTCGATAGAACAGAACTATCATAGGCAACAGAAGCTGGTAAAAGGTCTGAAAAAAAGGGTTGACGCTTCAAAACTTAGATTTATGAAAGGCAGTGGCAATTTAAGATACAGCGATGATGGCGAAATGGAGGAGCTTAAGATCGAGCTTAAAGAACAGTATCTCAAACTTATCAACCTTGAAAAAAGCCATCAAAAGTGCGATTCCGATTATGGTCATTTTCATCTTGAACTAAAGCTCATCAAAATGAAACTCGTCAAGTTATTTTTCGGAGGACCTTGTAATCTTGAATTACTTGAAGAGCAATTTTTGCACATCATATTACACCCTGTCATTAAAGATTACCTTGTCGTATTAGGATGTATTGATAGCCTATCATCAAGATGCAAAAATGACTCTGATAAAGATCCTAGTACTGATCATCAACAGCGTCAAAAACCTAGTACTCAGCAACGGGGATACGAAAATCCAGCATATGAAGGTGAATTTTCTAAAGATCAATCTTCATCACATGGCAGTCCAACCTTTGAAGATCCGCAACAATCATCAAAAATACCGCCTAGATCTCGTTCCATTAAAGAAAGAGCCACCTCTGTTAGAAAAAGCCTTTTTTCAAATATACGGAAAAGTATTAGACTCAAGGGTGGAGCTGGATCATTATTCAAGCAACCCAAACATCAAGATCGTGAACCATTGATTTGAATGCCAGTCTGGATTAGCTTCAATCATGTTTATTGTATTTTTGTTTGAATAAAATAAAATACAATTATCATTTGGAATTGGATATGCATGCATTACATCTGATTATTCTACAGTTTTGGTTGGTATGGCATCATATTGCACATTGACACTTGTGCTCCCAATACAATAAAGTTGATTGTATATTGCATAATTGTGCACATTGATGATACTGACATGCATGTGTGTATTGATATCAGATCCGACCAACTCGATCAGTTTGATTGGTTTGACTCGCTGATTGTGGTGTCAAAATGGTTGCATCGATAACCTGACTGATCACACACATTTGTCGTGTCAAGTATCACATATTGATGTATTCAGTGATTATATACTGGTTGATTAGTGTAATATGATCACACATACTAACGGAATGTGAGCCATTATGTATGCACGCACAAAAATATAAATCATGACACTTGTTTACAATGAGCCAAAACATAAAGTATAGTTTACTGTATTACTAATATGAAATGTAGCACTTTTCATGTCATTTTTGAGCTCAAGTGATTGGGATTATCTCTTCATTTGGGTTTACTAAAAAGAGCATTTACTCTGCGAGAGAGTTTGCATTTGGAGGTTTTTTGCCTTTTGATATGAATTAAACAAGACGTTAGTACTCAATCTACTCCAAACATTCCATTCAGGATCAAGTTTAAACTTACTTTGGATGCCAGATCTTGTTGAATTCGTTTTGAATAGTAGGATGTCCATCTTTTGACCTTTCGCATCCACATCCAGGACCAAACCCAATGCGTTTATGTGCTCGATCCAACACGACTCTAAGTCGGGTCATGAAAGGTACACCAAGAACTACAAGCTTGTCTGAGCCAACGCTTACAGAAAATGCGTCTAGTTCAGCATGCATGTTAGTCCATATTAATTCAAGCGATGCATCCATCTCACTGTTTACCAAAGTACTTACGCGCATTCTCGCCAACTTGTTGCATATAATCTCTGGGTCCTAGTGTGACTTTTACAGTGGACTGTGAGCCTTCTGCTTTTTCAGGATTATTGGCGTTCATTACGATTGAAAGTGTTGGAAGTCGACTCCAAATGATAATAAAGTCTGATTTCGTCATGGGATACCCACTCCAAAAAAACTTTGAAATACTAGGAGTATCAAGCTTAGGAACGAATGCATGGCTTTTGACAATAGCTGAAATCAACTTATCTACGACTTCATAAGGAAATTCTACTTTTGTAGCACATGTGTCTATGTATGAATACGAGATCGATTCACCCTCCCTTTTTTTTTGAAAGTCATCGGGCAGTTCTACTGGCATGCTATTGACCAGTATTTCCTTGATACTGACGGTGAAACGGTCATTTGTAGGTGACTCGACCCATGCAATAGGATTTCCGTCTGTCCCACATTTTGGAACTACCTCCGTACTTCCTATATCAATATGACTTTTCTTGGACAATTTGTAAGGGCAGAGCTCAACACCAACCTCGTTATTGGGGATGAATCGGCCTTCATACCAAGCATCCATTATAGTTGCTGGCGTTGTGTGATAATAGGCCAAGGAAGGATAGGCTAAACCAAATACTGCCTGTCTACCCTGACCATCAAGAAGAGCAGGCTCCGTTGCCTGTTTAAAAATTCCTACTATTGGAGCATCAACGGCGGGTATGCCAGTTTCTGGGATAAATACATCAGTTGAAAACCCATATCCCTTCCAACTGACATCACGACTGTAACCCTCAATAGAAGGTTCTTCAAATGGAGTGTATGATATATTGGGTCCGTTGTAGTTGTTCAGATTAGAAAACGGTACGACTGAATCGGAACTTGTCGAATCCACCATGGATTTTATCTATTTCAAAAAACGAACCCAAACTTCATTAGATTCAAGTGTGCAGATGCTAAACAACTTGTGGTGATACATACATCGACTCCGCCAACATTGATGATGATCGAAAAACAACTATACGCTCTTTCATTTGATTTAGAAGGCTGCTTTGATAACCTAGTACCTGATCGACCAGATAAGCTTGGGGCATGTAATTGAACTTGAACTGCAGCAGCCGTTTGAAACACAAGTAAAAGACATTGAAAAATCCCTGGCATTCTATTGATAAATCTGTAACAAGTAAAGCTGCAATGAAAACCACCCAGACATTTTATAGTTACTAATATCAAGGGACGCAGCACTTTAAAGCAATCACAGGAAGTTGGTAACAGTATAAAGGGTTACTTTGGCTTGACAATACATATAGAATATATTTCAAACCACACGTGTGTTGATTGCGACTTTGTGCTTGGTGATTCTGTGATCAGCCATTGCCGACATTGATTACCATTGCACAGTCTATTACTACTGTATATACCTATTTAAACATTTCATTTTCATCTACAGTACTATATTGCTCAATAAAGTAATACTCTAGTATTTGAACAATATAACCAATGCACATCTAAATGTATCAAGCAATCGCTTGGGAAAACCACCCTTTAAACAGCGTATTGCTTTTTGTTCAGTTGACGCCCTCTCATCGTAGTGACCTTGTATAGCCAATGAGTAAAAATCAGGGGCAGTTTGTAGTGCACCGTCACAGCCATATACTGATCGAGAAGTCGATTTCACTAAACTGTAAACGTGCTTTCAAATAGAGTGCTGGCAGAAACTAATCAAGTAAAGCAATGTGCCATGTGAATAAATGTGCAGGTATATACATACTAATTGTGATTGGAATAATGGCTTGGAAATAAATAAAAAGTACAATCCATTGGATACAACAATCAAGCTGGTACAAACAAGCTCAGCTCAAACTCAATTGGTCACATATATTGCGATTATTGACATTAACCAAACAATAGTTGGACTTGAATACAAATTGAGAATATGTAGAATTGGTGCTCCGTATGGTTGATATAATGACAGTGACAAGTCTGACTGAAAATCAAATGAGACTATTATGTTGCATATGATTGTAAATATAAATGGTTGAAACCTTGTATGCATCAAGCCTTTTTGACAATACAACATGGTTTGATGTCGCATTTGTAATCAATACTACATACATTTTTATCTCTGATGGTTATAAACCTATATTTGATTCACTATATTCAATCATTTGGTTTAAATGTATCTGTTGATCATCTATAAACTAGAAGAAATAATAAAATAGCTCCAATTTGAACGTCAAGTAGAATAATAAACACAATTTCACTACTGTTGAATCTATTTTAACCTCTAATGCCATTTTTCAATTAAACTATTCCACTTGGCATAAACACATTCAAAAGGGTTGTATAAGCGGAACGGTGTGATACAACTTGCTATTATTCTAGAGTGCATGGCGAGATAGCAGACAATTTTATCCAGCGCGAATTTCAGAACTAGGTGAATCGGTTATCATTGGTCGAGTAATGAGTTCGATTGAGGAATTGACAGCTTCTATAGTAGCCTTATTTGACTCTAATGGCAATTCTGTGACGGCAGAAATCGATCTTGGGATAGTATCTAAACCCATCCTGTCACCATCTTTTCCTGCCAACGATGTAATAAACTTGGGTGTATTCTCAGATGATAAAGCAGGCACCAATGGCGTGGTGGAAACGGAAATAGAGCGTTGTGGGATGGAATTTAAATTTGTAGTTTGGGTAATCTCGGCAACTATCTGCTCTTTCTCGGCTTGTGCTTGAGGTGTTTGTTCTGGGGATACAGATGCATTATCAACATGATTTTCAGGGTTAGGATTCCCACTTGTTGATGCATTAGGATTTCCACTTGTTGATGCATTAGGATTTCCACTTGTTGATGCATTTGACTGTGATAATTTACTCAATGCTGCCGCATTATGATCCGGTGCTGCCACCAGCGCAGAAACCTCGAGTCTTCCTATCTGCAGTTCCTTGTTATATGGCAAAAAATGCTCATCAATGTAATCCAGTGCTTTTTCTATTGCAACTACCTCTGGATCAACCGACTTTTTCTTTTTAGATGTTGCTTTAGCAGACTCTGCTCCCTTCTTCTTGCGTGGCTTGTACTGTAGTGTCTTCATATCATTCATAATAACCTCTTCGATTTCGTGGGTTGCTTCAAAGTTGGCATTATTTGGATCGGGAACAAAGCTTGGGGATGCCTTTTTTTGCTTCACAAGCTCCCAATCCAAGTCCTTGAACCAAGAGTGTTTCATTATTTGATCTTGGAACCCGTTAGGTCCTGAGCCCAATCGTTGTGTTACATCCTTGACAAGAAGAGATTGTAGAAAATCATTTCGGTCTTTAGATTCGTGCCATTCTGGAAGTGGCTTGCTTTTTTTGCTACGTTTCTTGGCTGCCTGTATACGTAGAACGTGTTCAGGAGGTCCAGGGATAAATTTGGGTTCTACACGAGTAATGGCTTCTACTAAAGAAGTGTCTTCTGTTTCTCTAAACGGTCTCTACACAATAGATCAAAGCAAACAAGATGGACATTTTGTAAATTGACTAGAATGTGCTTCAAGACATGTTTTTCAAAAGGTTTAAAAACTTACAACACCATACGTGCACTCATAGAGGACTACTCCAAGTGCCCACCAGTCAACACATGTATCGTAGGGCGTTTTGGTAAACATTTCTGGTGCTACAAGAACAAAAATGTCATTTGGTTTAGCTAAAAGCTTATTTCATCCAATAGACATCAGCAATTGCAAAATATACCCATATATGCCATGGATCCAGATTGTGAAGTAGGAAGCTTATCCTTGATTTTGAATGCGATATTGAAATCAGTAACATATATATGACCTTTTTCGTCCAAAAGCAAATTATCTGGTTTCAAATCACTAAATCCAAACCCACATCGAATCAAAAGCACCAGTAAGTGTTGACTGTTGATAAAGTACAAGCAGAAACATTGATTATACTAGAATATAAATTGTATATCTAAACTACTTTACCGATGCATAATCCGCAGATTATGAAGATACTCGAGTGCCAATCCAACTTCTGCAGCATAAATTCTTAGTGTGTCCTCTGGAAATGTACCAAGCCGCAACAAATGGTATCGCAAATCGCCTCCAAGAGCAACATCAATCACCATGAACATGTTTTCATCATCCTGAAAGGCAAATCGCAGATTGACAATAAATGGATGCTCAAGATTTTCAAGAAGCATACGTTCATCAAACATGTGATAGACTTGCTTTTTTTCAATACATTGCAGCTTATTGATGTATTTGAGTGCGTATTTTTGTTTGGTAGTTCTTAGTTCGACCAACTTGACCTGGTTATCGAGTTTAGCAAAATGAAATTTGAGCAAGCAATATAATCCCAATGTCAGCAGTACTGGTAATCATTGGGAAATGAAAATTACCTTTCCAAATGCACCTTTTCCAATTACTTGGCGCAGTTTAAAATCTCTCAAGTCAACTATAATTTTATGTCCAGATTTATTTAGTACGATTTGTACACACCATAGTGACAAGATTGGAATTTGTTTTTATCAAGCATATGACCAAACCAACAACATATTTTAAATCAACAGCAGTTGGGATACAAACGACGAGAATAAAAGTTTAAAAAGACGAGCAAAAATAAATTCGGATACTTTTCAATTGCCATCAAAAAATCAATTGTATGAATATTTTAATATTCTTACCTTCGCCGACTGGCCGAGGGTCCTCTTTTGTGCTCTTATTTCCCATTTGAAATGCTGTTCAAAGTAGAGAAAAGGCCACAGTAAGAATTTTTCAGCTCAAGATATCAAGAGTTTGAAGTCAACTGCCACTCGCAAGCGTTTTAAAAACCCCTGCAATGCTATGGTGCAAATGCCTAGTATACGCTCAAACCTGGCGAGAAAATTTAAAAGACAATACAAAAGTGTTGAAGACGGCTTGATAGTCCAGCAAAAATATTAGCTGTTTGGCTTTATGTTAGTGGAGATGGCTGGAAGAATTAGACTACGAACCAAATAGCAAAATGTTGCAAGATAAAACTTTGTTACAGAGGCAAATAAGATGGCCCAGCAAAAGTCACGTCTATATATGATGTAATCTGCAATAGTTTGAAAGAGTGGATGAAAGGTTGAGGACCGAGATGTAAGGGAAATCCAACTCGCGGCTATCAGACATTCCAAACTGTATGACACGTCGCCAATAGCCTAATAAACCCAACAAAATGCCTGAGGGTGTTTTGTGGTAGTGGAGTGGTTGGCCTGTCAAGTCTGATGAAAGGGTGGATGTATATCCACACCCGTTCCAGTCAGGACTATCAGAGTGGACTAGATGCAATTCTTCAAGCTCATCTTCAAGTAAATGGTATCTCAGCTATTAAACTTTATAAATTTCTTGTCCATTATTACTACTTTCACTGGCCCCTCTTCAAACTGACATTCCAATTAATTGATAATCTCGACTCTTAATTTTTGCGTCAGATAAAAACTACTACCTAAAATTGCCTATATCAAGCTCTATATCGTTTAGAATTGAAAGAAAATGTCAAAATTCAATACTCAGCTGGATCGATTTCAAAAAACAGCAGCACTATCTAGAGCACCTGTTCCATCAGATCCTTCCCCAAAGAATATTTCCAGTGATGCAATACCTCGAGTTCTTCCACCAATATCCAAACATTCGGTTCACTCTCACGGTCCAATTACTGCTTCATTGATTCCCGCTCCTCAATCCACTTTCAATCAAACACAGGGCTATGCATCGACTTTACCTCAGCCGGCATTAAGATCGTATAGCTTGGCTCCCCAGCCACCATCAAATGATGCTCCCACTACTCGCGCTCGCACTCGAATGTCATCTGCTATAACTGGGCCAATAGCTTCTTTTCGAAGTGGTATGATTCACAGCCCTTCAAATCAATCTGGAAAAGCAATCCATCAACGATCAATATCTGCTCCCAGCCGTCATCAAGCTTCTGTTCCTCATCATCTAGAGCCAATTCATCATACCGTGTTTAATCCAATCAAGGACAAAAGCATATCATTTAATGAATCATCAAATATATCGCAACCATATCTTTCAACCTCGGATTCCAATTCTCCAGTCAACTCGCAATTGCAATTGCCGGCCCAATCTACATCACAAAATGTCTCGAATGGTTTGATTACAACTTCCACGGCATTGGAATCTGCTCATCACCATTTGACAAAGTCAGCACATCCTACATCTACAACCAACTCGCCCTATTCATCGCATGTATCGGTCATAAAACCATCTGGATCCATGTCATCGATTCGAGTCATGTCGCGAATGCAGTCAATATCTTCAGCGGGAAGTGGAACCAATACTCCACACCACTCTCGAATGTTTTCAACAGGCGCTGGAACTGACAGAAGCAATGCCTTTCTTACCACAAAAAAGGATGTCGAGTTTCTTTCCAAACTCATCCAAGACCAAGGATCAATAGATGTTACTCAGCGAGATAAAGAAGCATGGACACGCAAAGTACTCAAGATGGAAATCAAGTCGGCTGAAAAAGAAATGAGGCATCATGAAAAGACTATTAAAAAAGGCGATAAATTGGAGTTGGCTTTGGACACGCCGAGTGATGGATGGAACATTGGTAGCGGTAGTATAGGCATTGGCTCACCTAATGGATCTACCGTATCAGCTACATCCATTATATCCACAAGTGTTCATACACTAGGCACAGCTTCAAGCTCAACATTACCAACAGCACCAGCAAAAGTCGGTAAGATGGGGAGTATATCTCGACTTTTTTCTTTATCGTAACCTGCCAACTGCATGCATAGTAACTCTCAGCATTAACCCACATCAGCCTCTTTGCCTGAAGATACCCCTTATTTACAGTTGTATTCACGTAAAGTGGATCACTAAATAAGAGTGCCAAAATGCATAATAAACAGCCAATCTCATGACATGATTGGTGCCATCAAATTTACTGGACATCATTATGTCCTCTAAACTTTAACAAAGTTGACTGGTCTCTGTGCTCATTTTTGTATAGAAAACTAAATGAATGCTCCCATTCCGATTTCAATAAATCCTACATCCTTCATACCTCTTCAATCTCCAACCTTTTTACAAAACGAGTATTACAAGTCAACGTTAGATGATTGACATGGAAACAACAATTTTGCTTTTAATACGTGCAATATGTGTCTTTGAACTAGAACGCAAACGTATGTGAGATTAGAATACAGCAGATATGAGCTTGACAATATCAAAACAGTGAGCCCAACATCTAAAAAGATTTCATTTTAGTTCAAAAGTATAATATGGCTGTATTATATGATAAATATTGTGTTTGGAAACTGATCAAGAGAGTGTAATTCCAAACAAGTATTTTATTTTACGTGAATACAACTGTAAATTCTGATTTTTACCGCTGTAGAGTGACCAATTTTCAAAGCACACCTTGTCCGTCAACTCATCTTTTGAATCTTTAGTGGTTTTAAAAATCAACCCAATTTTGACAATGGATTGAAATGCTTTCAACCCAATCTTTGAATCAATGGTTTAAACTTTTGAATAGATGTCATATATCTTGTTGAAACCCTGTAAATAAATATCGATTTTCAAATAGTACTTTCCATGGGTATCATTTATTTTTATGTTATTAAACTGATGGGCACTCCATCAAATTGAACGCTGTATATTAAATAGGCATTTATAAAACATGTTACAGCTCTAATGCACCAACTTCGATAGAGCCTAATGTCATGATTGTTACGCCTGTAATTTTAGTGAAACATAAAACTGCGCCAACTTGCTAACTAGACACAAACAACAATAAAAGATTGAACAAGTAGCATAGATATCAAATCAAATACATGAATGAGATAAATAAAAAGTAGAAAAACTACGATTTTCGAATCAGGCGATCCAAAATGATTTGAATTGGAACCTGCAAAGGTCGAGGGTCATTATTGCAAGTATCTTCAATAGGTTCAGTATCACTGTCAAGCAAACAGCCACGAGACTGAGCAAGTCCTATGAATCTTTGAATCAACTGTGCAGTTCGAATAAGAATCTTGTGAAGCCGCATTTGCAATGACAAATCATTCACATACTACAGTATTCAAAGTATGGTTTAATCAGAAAAATAACAAGAATAAATTCTATTCAAAACAAGATTAGCTAACCTTGATAACCTCATCAAATGTCATTAAATGTCTGACAATAACATCTCGATGTTCATCCAAAATCGCCATTGCTATGAAAAAATGCATGTCGTTGTATGTAAATCGATTTGATGCTGCCACTTCCCACAAAACAAGTACATCTTCAAACTTGAATTCACGCTTGAAAAAAACTAAAAACCATCGAAAGCAGCAAAAAAGATTCAAAGCGTCGATGCTTTTGAAATGTGCATGAAGACCTGGATCAATCACTCTGATCAACTTTTCCATGGTATCGAGGTTGGAACGCATACCCGTTCCATCAACTCGAAAATTGTTTTTCTATTTCGTATATAAAGGTATTGTTTATGCATCAATTTTCCGCTAAACTAATCTGTAGATACAGCAACATTGATTTTCAAATGATTTAAAATAGTTTCCTATTCAAGCGTAATGCAATCATACCTTGCTTTCCATCAGGGACACAAAACACCAAAATGCATCTGCTTCTTCTCCTTGCATGACAACAAGAAATGGTGATGCCAAATCTGCCATTCCCTGGACAAATCCAAGACCGTCATTTTCAGGCACAGTGGTGTATGTGATTAATAGATTTGTCAGTTTTTTCAAGTTTCCTGAAATGGTGGGATTACAAGCAGTGGGACTGGCAGTATAGTCTGAACCAAAACGTGCATTCTCGTAGCTGTGACCAGTATCACCGACATTGCTTGTTTCTATAGATTCGTAAAACGAAAGCTGACGATCGGTTCTAACAACATCTTTTTCTAAAATACACATTACAGTATCAAGTCAAACATTAAAAACTCCAAAGCATACTAGCTTTAAGCCGATTTCTTTGATACAACATTTAATAAGCACTGAAATAGTCGTACCGATCTTGATGATATTTTCCAAAAACTCATTTTTGGTTATTTTTTCAGCAGCACTAAGCGATTCATCTGGTCGTTTAAGTAAATCCTTCCATGCATGTTTTAAATTGTCATATTGACTCCGTTTTGCTTTCAGGACTGACTCGCGCTGCTCAAGAGTGAAATCCCAGGAAAAAAGACCATATAAAAACTTCCATGCTTCACATCTAACCGACTCATCCAGTCCCTGTGATTCCATATAAACAAGGTCAATTCAATCCAAGCCAATAAAATGCATAAATCATTAGTAAACCAACTTACGCCGCGAAAAATGGCATCGCGGACAATCAATGGAGATACTCTGTGTTGGGTAGTATTTTTTAAAAGGCTTGGTGTAGCTGAACTAAAAGTCGCTCCGTTACTTGGACTGTTAAACCATTCGTTCCAGACTTGAGAGGATACAGGCGCATTCCGAACAGTTATTTTTGGTGGTGGAGCAAAATCGGTCTAATGCATGCACAAGGCAGAACAAAGTTGGTTCAATACAAGATCCAAATCGGGATAAAACCACATACATAGCTCACACTCAGTATCTCAAATGTTCCAATGTTTGTGTCAGCCTCGTGAGTCTCATCCCAAACCACATCCCTCAAGCCAGAAGAATAGCCTAGAGGTGTCATGGATCCTCGACGACTAAGCCCTTCAGATGAGACAGACACACATTCGCCGCTTCGGACATCCGAATGAGTCAAAAGGTCAAAGTCATCCAGTAGAGAGAATGAGTCGTTTGGAAGAGCCGATGCTTGCTCTGTCCTAGATGTATGCAGCTGATGTGCCCAGTGGGCTAGCTCGATTCGACTGGGCTCAAACGAATATGTCAAATGAGACTGTCCTTTCTGCTGTCCTTCTGTCCTGTGTCGAGATGATGGACTATGACTGGAAGATCCTTCTTGAGTCAGCATTGAAGCGGTTTCTCTATATATTCGAGTGACATGAGCAAAGCCTTCCAATAGCGACCATTTGGCCTCGTTGAATACACTAAAGAAAGCGATTAGTAATTAGCACTGGTTGATACCCTACAGAAACAAGTACATACTCGATTGGGTCGAATGGTTGTTTGGACATATTTAACTACTAGTATAGAGCAAGTATTGTCTACACAGATGTATGATGGCCAACAAGCGTACTACAGCCGTATTCACGTAAAATGAAACTCTTGTATTCTGCAGTCACTTCCCTTTGCTTTGGAATAAGCAGTAGTTGGATATTTGTTATGCTTATTAGAAATTGATTAGTTGGAGATATTCTCGGTTTTTATCATATTCATGCATTGCGATCTAGACATCGAGTTTGATGTTGTCAATACAATTCACATGTGTTATATTCTAAATCTCGGATACGTTGCGCTTTATTCAAGAACACCAAGATTGCACGTTTTAGGAATGCATCTATACATACCAATCACCAAGAGACCAGTCAACTAAAGAGTTTAAAGACAATATTATTCAATAAACTGACGCCTGCCATTTCACGAGACTGAGTCTTTTTAGTGCTTTATTTTACGCGAATATGTCAGATAACTGAATTGAATAAATATTTGGGTTTTCTTTGCTGATTGACTCGTAGCCGGATCGATTACAACTGATTATCCTTAATCTACTCAACCGTTGGCAGTATTCATACACTATTATTTGTTCTTGCTTTATTTCTATGAATTTTTTCACATTGAATCCACCAAATTACAAGTGTATATCAGAATATCACTTGGTAAATCTGTCAATTATAGCGCATCCACTGCAGATGATCTGACTGGTGTGTTAGGACTGACCATTAATGGTAGTACCGAGTTATTGCTGGTCACTGCATTGGAATATTTCATTCCAGGGTTTGACGATACGCCTGAATTCGACACAACTGCCCTACTGCCCTTTGAATTGACTGGCGACGTTACTTTTTTACGAAACTGATCGACGATCCTTTCAAACAGAAACGTTTCTAAAAACTAATACAGCGGTGTTTAAAAACCAAACATCAATGCATATACATTGTGGCTAGTCTACAACTATAAACAAAATGAATTACCATGTGAATTCCAAAAATACCAAAACATATCTGCATCAAACTGTAATGGGGAATATAATTATCCAATGATCCAACCACTCCAGAAATGATAAATATAGCCAATGAGCTCAGATCAAGTGCTAACACGAAATAGATCAGTATTTTTGTGCCCTGAACTTTAATAACTCTGGGATCAGCACTGCCATTTGAAACCGTTATTGTTCTAATATGCTGCTTTACTTTTTTAAGAATCAAAAGGTTTTGAGTGACTCCAATAATGCAAATAAACACGGCGTAAACAACAGGTCCTAATCCAGTCCACTATGTTATGATTATAGAGATATGTTCAAATTAGCAACACATGATAGTGTTTAAATTGACTTTACAACAGACATTTGTTTTCAAAATATATGACTGTTAACCAACGCATCAAATTGAATGTTTGAATGGTCATGCATTCATAAAAACATACTGTATATCTAAACTCGAAAATCAAATCATTTAACATAGACTCACCAGAGACAGTATAGAACCCATACTGTATTGCCACGCAATACCCTCTAAATAAGCCCCCAGACCTGTAATAAGATGCAAAATAATTGATGCCAGTCGCAGCCATTTGATATTCTCGGCATGGAACAGAGAAATATGCAGCAATCCTCCATTAAAACATGAAAAGATTTCGAGTTGGAGCATATTCAACGAAATCATACAAAGCTCAAACATAATGTTTCTCCAGGTATATAGCTCCGTATATGAAAGAAGATAGACAAAACAGACTTCAGACACTTGCATAAGTAGCCCAATAGCATTGATCAAAACTAAAAATATGATGGCGCGTGTGAAGCGCTTCCTTAAGCCTTGAAATCCAAAGAAGCATACGCCATACAGGCACATAAAAAAACCGACCACGCTAAAAGCAAGGCCAATAATTACCAACGGGGATTTAGTGAGCAGCAATGGATCAATATATATGACCATGCTCATGATTTGACTTTTTTATGTGTAAGAATCTGGTAGTGTTATTTTTATCGACCAACCCAATTATGAAGCAATGAAAATACGTAAATCAGTCGACTGCTTATCCATAAATAGTTTAGTGTAATCAAATCATTTGAAAGTAGATAAATGTATCCAAAAAACGCGCTCAAATGTTAAATTGTGTTGTACTCGCATAAAATGAGGCACTAAATAAAGGTGTCGAAAATAAATAATAAACAGCCAATCTTATAGAGTGATTGGTGCCAGTTTCCACTAAATTCACTAGAAAACATTGTCTTTTAGAGCCAATGCTTACATCACAGTTTCAGTAGACTCTACATCCTTGACACTTGTTTAATCTCCTTTAATGCAAATCAAACACTGTGCGATTGGCAGCAAACTACTGTTGCATTATTCAAACATGAAATCTTGTTTTTTAAGCTAGAACATGAATGTATGCAAGATTCAGAATACAACAAAGTTTCCTGTGTCATACTCGTTCCAGATATTCCTTGGTTGTGTGTAAAGACAACATCCTCAATGACAAGCACATTATCTGGTTGTAGTTTGTATAGTGGGCGTTCCTTGTTCGTTCAACTTTCCCAGCTTCTTTAAAGTTTGTATATTCTCATTCATTTTCACCTTGTCGCGATGTTCAAGACCTGCTACCCTTTCAATCATTCTGTAAGACTTGATTCCTTCCAATTGTCGTCCTTTATCTGTCCTGTCTACAAGGTCCATTAAAGTATCCTTTAAAAGTAATTTTGGATACAATCAAAAATGTCAAGTTGATAAGAATGTTGTAACCATTCTAAGCGATTCGATGTTTGTAAATTCCTGGCTTGTCAAAATACTCTTTTCTCGACAGATTGGAACTTGTAAAGGTTCGCACAATTGAACCACTCTACTTGAATGTATAATTGAAATTTAGACAACTATTCATTTTGCACAACAAAAATACAAAAAACAGATCAAGCAAAATTTTCAAATAAGCTATCCAAAACTTGAATTCAAAAATAGCATCAATCTTTAGTCTTGGTCGCAGCTCTTTCCAATATAGATGCAGCAAATATCCATGCGAGTGCATCCAGAGGTGGGTTTGGGACCACGGGAGGTAGCTCTAGTGGATCGGCTAGCTCTGGTAGTTTGAGTAGTCGATGGGCTGCCAGTGGTAGTAGCTGGGCTATCAGTGGTTGATGGGCTATCAGCAGTGGTTGATGGACCGTCAACGGTGGTAGCTGGGCTGTCAGTGGTTGATGGGCTATCAGCAGTGGTTGATGGACCGTCAACGGTGGTAGCTGGGCTGTCAGTGGTTGATGGGCTATCAGCAGTGGTTGATGGACCGTCAACGGTGGTAGCTGGGCTGTCAGTGGTTGATGGACTATCGGCAGTGGTTGATGGACCGTCAACGGTGGTAGCTGGGCTGTCAGTGGTTGATGGACTATCGGCAGTGGTTGATGGACCGTCAACGGTGGTAGCTGGGCTGTCAGTGGTTGATGGACTATCGGCAGTGGTTGATGGACCGTCAACGGTGGTAGCTGGGCTGTCAGTGGTCGCTGCCAAGGCTAGCGGGTATGATGGGATATCATCAGTGGTTGATGGACCGTCAACGGTGGTAGCTGGGCTGTCAGTGGTCGATGGGCCGTCAACGGTAGTAGCAGGTACGTTGGAAGGTTTGGGAGATGAAGATCCGGCAGCACTGAATACAGTGCCATCTACACTAGTAAGCTTAGGATAGCCATCAGTAGCGCGATCGCAACCACAACCTTGCGAGAAACCAACACGGCCAGCAGAACGATCGAGGACAATGTTAAGATGTGTGTGCATTGGGACACCGAAAAGCATACCAGTGACATTATCAAGGCCGTACATGAGGAAATTGATTTCACCCTTCTCATCAGCCTGCATGTATTGATGAGGACCAAGCTCGACACGGATAGTAGATTTAGCTGCAGAGCTGGGGGATCCAGATGATTTCTTGTCAGCAAGAATATCAAAAGAAATGGTGGGAAGAGCTGCCCAGTCAATGTTGAGCTTTTCCGGAATAGTGTAGTTGAGATTAAAGAAACTTTTAATTTCAGCGGGAGTAAGACTCTTGGGAAGACCACCACTGCTTTCAACAGCCTTTTGGAGAACATCGACAACAGCTGGGTTTCCAAGAATCAAACTGGTGCAAGAATCAATAACAGAGATACCAGAGTTAGAAAAGCCTGATTGCCAATTCTTTGGTAACTTTACAGGCTTGGATCCAATGTTTACACCACGGACATCGACAGTGTAAAAGCTGTCAGTACCAGATGTAGCCCAAACAGTGGTAGAAGGAGACGAGTTGCAGTCAGTAGCAGGCTCACTGTTTCCAAAATCAATATAAGACTCTTTTGCAAACGAGTAGGGGCATCCGTGGAATGCGATCTGATCTTGCTTGACTGCTCCAGTCTTAACCCAGGCATCCATGACAGTGCCATACTTGGATTTGTACTGGGCAATGCCAGGATAACCAACGCCCATTAAACCCTGAGAGTCATTTCCAGAAATGAAGATATTGTCGACGGTTTGTTCAAACATGGCAACAATGGGTGCAGCATCAGAAGTGAGAGAGGTGCCTGGCAGAGAAACAGTGGTATCCGCTCCAAAACCTGTAAAGCCAGAGCCGTCCATATAACCACCACTCACAATAGGAGCTTTGGGTGGACGATCGATATCAATAGCTGGTCCCTTGTAGTTATTGAGACCTTTGAATGGAACAACAGTATCACTAGATCCAGAATCCACAAGAAGGTTCAACTGCACAACATAGGTTAGTACAATATACGTGATAGCCCAAATACGCGTCCTGACAATCCAAACAGATGCATTATGAAAGTCAACTTACGAGAGTACCATGCACATCCATGCCAATGGTAAAGCATCCGTTAAAGCCTCCGTTAAGCCTTCCCTTTGTTGGAGAGCCGGAAAAGCTGTTGGATACTTCGACTGTTCTATCGCCAAAACCCTTGAGTTTTGGCATAGTTGCTGGAGTTCTAGCAGCAGAGACGGGATCATAGGCCGAAGCCAAGAGCATTGTAAGAAGGGCTGTAGTAATTTGAATAGACATCTTGGACTGTATAAGTTGATTTAGAAACTAGGAAATAGTGCACTCTTTTATATTCATAAAACTAATGTATATTTGATCACATTCCATGTTGGCTATGCTTTTAATGATTTGCATCACACATGGTTGCATTGTGTAATTAGTACTGCATTCAACTGATATTTCGCAAGCCAGACTCGTTAATCATTGGCTGGGTAAAATGCAGGCCTTGGCTTAATCAAATACCACATGTTTGATGCATTATTGCTTTGCCATTTGGTCTATCAATTAGCTCGAGTATCTCAGAATAAATATGATTAAGGGTAGCAACATGTGATTAAGTGGGAGCATGTTTATTTGATGATGCTTTTCACATGGTAGTATTCATGCATATGATAAAAATCACAAGTCGATACTTAGGACTCGAGTAGTTTTGACATACTACTAGCAGAGATGGATCTGGTCCTTTCAACGGACTTGCATGGGAAACACAGAATACCTACCCTGATTCTTTAAAGCAGAAACGATTCAAATCAAGTAGACACTCGTGTTTGTAATACAGTAGCAGCCACTTGCATAGCCCAACAAGAACTCGGTCAATCGTTGGTTCTAGTCAATACGTTTAACCTTGAAAAGGCTGTCAAAAATAGACTACATCATCAACCGGTTTTTAACCGGGCTTGCACTCGGTCAATTCAGCTACCGACTAAATTTGCAGTTGTGTAGTTTTGCATTAATGGGCATCAATTTGCTTAATTGGCAATTTTACAGCCGTATTCACGTAAAATAAAACACTTGTCCTGCATTAGTTGCCTCACTTTGCTTTGAAATAAGCAATCACTAGATATTCGTTGTGCCTATCTAGTGGAAATTGATCACTTGAATGGATCCTTTCAGTTATTTTTCAATAGACAACGACCATAACATGATGCTTACAAAGCCAAACTAATTTTAAACTGAAATTGTCCTCTTTTGACATAGCCATGCATTGTAGTCACCAGACTCATGTATTCCAATCCAGATATTGAACTCGATTGTTTTCAAACTCTGTACACACTCATATTGTAAAATCTCATATACGCTTGCACTCTAATCCAAGAAAACAAAGATTGTGTATCTTGGAAATGCAGCCACTGTTTCCATGCCGATCATACAATATTTGGTTTATAGGAAATAAGAGTTGGGGACTGGACAAGTATCAAGGATGTGGGATCTACTGGAACCGTGATATAAACAGTGCTTTGAACATTGGTTCGGCTTTACATACAAAAATGAGCACAAAATCCAGTAAGCTTTATCAAAGAATTCAAAGGGCACGACATTGCCCTGTAAATGTGATGGAAATTAGCACCCATCATTTCATTCGACTAGTTATTTATTATCCACTTGTACCCTTATTAAGGTCTCATCTTACGTGAACACGACTGTAAAAACATGGGCTTAACACCACTACCCTTTTTTAGCTGCTTTCAACGCGTTGTGGTGCCAATATATCAAAAGTATCGAGATAGTCTACCCCATCAACATTTTTTTCAACATGATATTTTATTTTCTTACAGCACAAAGAAAAACATAATTGCAAACAAGTATACGATAAGAGTATAAAATCACAGGAACTGCTCCGAGTCCCAGTTGGATCCGGTGCAGTAGAAATCAAACAATGGTGGATTGGCAGCAGAGGGAGGAATAATGACTTTCATGGCAACCAAAGTCGACAGCAAAACTCCTACACCTGATCCAGAGTCAAGAGCAGATGCCAACACGTAATTATACTTTGTCCACCAAGGTCGGCTGTATGTGAACAGGTAGCACATGAAAGTGAAGGATATGATTAAACTGGACAAAAGAGATGACTGGATACCACCTGCTCCAGCAATACCTGCCATGATGGGAAAGTGGACAAATCGCCAGTATGGATGGGGATATCCCTTGTTGGCAAGCCATGGCAGAATGGGAAGAATAGCACCAAAAAGATAGCCTAGATTGAGTGAAAAGTATGGTGACGACGCTCCAAAAAACTTTCCAGGTCCAATAGCACCCCAAATAGCACCGGCATTGAAAAAGGTGGTATGTCCGGGATACGACCAATCTTCGTTGCCAAGTGGGAAATAATCAATCGCAATCCATACGGCTGCAGTGTTGGAAAACGCACCAATAATTGTTCCCCATAACTGTGAAATGACCATGTGGACAGGATTGATGTGTAAATAATGTCCTACTTTCAAGTCATATGTCAAGGACAATGCTTGGATCATGATATTGTACGAGTATGACTTGAATGTCATGACAGCGACCGTTTGTCCAGGAATAAACAGACCCATGAGCAATTCAGTGATGATATTGAGGCCAAGCTGCTGTCCAGATGAACCTTGAATGATACCATACGGAATCAAAAAGATGAACGCGAGAACAAGACCGAAAAGAGTACCCCACCACGGCAAATGGAAAGGTGTAAAAATACCAACAAACAACATGACAACAAGCCAGAAAGCTAGCCATGACATATACATCCATTCAGGAATATCGGGGTAAGCCTTCATCAACTCATTGTGGATGTCAGCATGAGCTTCGTCAACCTGATTAAACATCTCCTTGGTTTGACGTATAATATCCTTATAGTACCAAAGAGCAACATGAGATATACCGCACGTAAGTGCAAAGAAAGACATGGAGTAGCTGACTGCAAACATCTCAGTAAGATAGATAGGCTTGACAAGATCATACGCAGTCTCGTTGAGCTCAAAGTTGTTTCTGTCATAGAAGCTAGTAGCACGAATACGAGCGCCGGTTTTAGTGAATAGAGCAGGAGTGTTGAGAATGGGGAAGGGAGTACCATCCTCAAACGTGTACACGTGGGCAAGAGTGGGATTACCAAATGTATTGCGATAGTATGTAATAGGCACGATGATCCACAAGACGACAATGTTGGAGAACACCGAGTTGACAATCACCCACCAGGGGATAGAAATGACACCCGAACCAATATTGGACCAGTCAAGTGAAAACGAAAGAATGCCAACACCAGTGTTGGGCGATGCGGATCCAAGGAAGCGCGCTGTTTTACTGGCATGAGTAAACATGCAAATTACCGAAAGAGCTTGAAGAGCGGTGGCAAAGAAAGTGGGGATCCACTGGTAAATGAACATGACACAAAAAGCAAGCCAAAAGAAAGAAAATCGTGACAGGCCGCCGACTTTCTTGGACTCTTCTGATTCTTCGGTTTCATGGAACGATACAAACAGAGCGACGGTAGATAGCACAGTGGGCCAGTACATGGCAGCAGGTCGAACAAGGAAGCGACGAGTCATACCCGACAGACCATATCCGATCATTTGAGTGGTAATGACAAACAGAATCGAATTCCAAAACGTAATTCTGGTATCACCCATAAACTTGTCAAACTTTTGACCAATGACGTTTTCAACACCGTAAGGTTGACCACCAGCAGCACCAGCAATCATATATACAAGAACGTGCTCCTTGATGGTGAAAGGACCAGGATTAAGAATACCACGAGGAAGAACAGCAGCCAAAAATATACCCATCGGGTATGAAAGAATGGCGGCAATATTGCTACTGATGTAAAACGAGTTGGTACGGAAAGAGAAAATTCCTGGTGGTATGCAAAAGTATTGATTTACGATTAATTACAGATTCAATCACGAAAACAGCTGCAAAACACTTACCGTTCATCAAGCCCAGCAAAACAGCAAAGATAGTGCCCAGGAGTATCATACGAATCGACAGAGATGGTGCAGATGGATCGTCGGTCTCGGGAACGATGCCCTGAGTATACAATTTAGCGTACTCTGCATCAACATCTTCAATGTCGCCTGATTTAAGAAGCTCCTTTTCCAAGTTAAGCTCGTGATCGATGGCCTTTTCTTCGGGATCCTTGTCCTTGGTCATAATGTATTTTAATTGTATCCTATTCTAAACAGCGTAGCAAGCTTTTAAAATAAAACGTCTACTAGAATGAAGTTTACCAACAGCGTTTTGGAAATGAGAGGAAACAGTTGTCAAGGATAGATATAAACTATAATTCAGAGACGAAATGGTCGAGTTTATATCTTGAACGGAAAATTGGCTCGACAAGCACAAGATTACAAAAAACGTAAAATGGCGTAAAAATGAGCACTTTGCTATCATCTTTTGTCGAACTGTACGAGTATTGGCAGTAAAGGCTGTGTTGATGGGAATAACATTACTGTGCAATTCCCAACCATGCATTACCCTACTAATGACCGATTTAAAGTCAAAAATCACATGCATGTGACTCAACATGTGTGAAATGTATAGACCAAAGCAGCAGTGCCTCTTATTCTATTACCAACACCAATATCAAATGCATTATCACGCTCAAAGAGCATTGCTTAGACAGTGTTTGATGCGGTCAAAGCATTGATCATGGTAGAGATGCAAAGTGGAAGAATGCAGTATGTCTCGACCAACGAATCAGTAATTCAAATGCAAAGTGTATACCAATCAAGACCACTTTGATCATGAAAAGCCCGCAAGATAGCGATGGGTTCAATTGTTTGCTGGTTGTCTTGAAACATATATTGGTAAAGCTATAAAACATTCAAATTCAAATATCAAGTAGACAGCCTGATATTATGTAAATCTAATTGTAGCTTCACACCATTCAGTCTAATCTGCAAATGCTTACTGTTTGGCATCAAACTATCTTAAAATTAGATGCTCAGCATACTCAGCAGCACCAATCAACCCTAATCCAGATCAATGTCCTTCAAGTTTTCCATCATGCTACAAGTGACCACAATACCCAGCCTCGGGGTTCAATCCCAATACACAGCACCATTTACATTGATTTATAAATTAATTTATGTGCATAGTCGTGTGGTCTCTACTACTGCGCATAATTATATTAAGCCTTTGCTGCTTGAGTTTTATTTAATGCAGCCAAGCATTAGTAAGTAAACCTGAATTGCCAATGTGGTGATAGATTGAGCATATAAAAATTACTCGAGACATGCTACAAAGACTACTGTCGAGTCAGGCAATAATTAAATAAGTTTATGCAATTTGATGAGCTATTGAGACCCACTAGCAATCTCAAAGTTGCATTTTTGAATATCTAGCCTAAACAAAACGCGGAATAATAAGATCCACAAGGATTAACTGGATATGGCGACAATACATGTTTGTTGATTCAAGATATAAATGAGCGCTTATTCTATACATTGATTTACAACAATTGTAAAAACTAACCCACTTGATCTGAACAGTGTATCATCACAAACTAGTCATTTACTTATAATGACGCCATAGCTCTATCCATAATGGCCGTCCCATCTATAAAATTGACCCAAGCCAGTATCTTTAATGCTGCACTGCTAATTTAAAAGTTTGGTTTATAAACATTGCTTTAGACATTACACTCGATGCATATCAATAAATGTCAACTACAACATTTATTCAAGATTAATGTGCCAGCCATGGTTCCCTCCAACGGTTAATGTAAAAACTGTGGATCGTCCCAATTGGCACCAATACAATAGAAATCATATACAGGAGGGTTTGCTGAAGAGTTGGGGATGACCACACCCATTGCAACCAAAGTTGCCAGCAAAACACCTACACCGCTTCCAGAGTCGAGAGCGGCAGCCAACACGTAATTATACTTTGTCCACCAAGGTCGGCTGTATGTGAACAGGTAGTACATGAAAATGTAGGATATGATGATACGACTTAAAAGTGAGGATTGAATCCCACCGGGACTGCCTACACCTGCCATGATGGGAAAGTGGACAAATCGCCAGTATGGATGGGGATATCCCTTGTTGGCAAGCCATGGCAGAATAGGAAGAATAGCACCAAAAAGATAGCCTAGATTGAGTGAAAAGTATGGTGACGACGCTCCAAAAAACTTTCCTGGTCCAATAGCACCCCAAATAGCACCGGCATTGAAAAAGGTGGTATGTCCGGGATACGACCAATCTTCAGTGCCAAGTGGGAAATAATCAATCGCAATCCATACGGCTGCAGTGTTGGAAAACGCACCAATAATTGTTCCCCATAACTGTGAAATGACCATGTGGACAGGATTGATGTGTAAATAATGTCCTACTTTCAAGTCATATGTCAAGGACAATGCTTGGATCATGATATTGTACGAGTATGACTTGAATGTCATGACAGCGACCGTCTGTCCAGGAATAAACAGACCCATGAGCAATTCAGTGATGATATTGAGGCCAAGCTGCTGTCCAGATGAACCTTGAATGATACCATACGGAATCAAAAAGATGAACGCGAGAACGAGACCGAAAAGAGTACCCCACCACGGCAAATGGAAAGGTGTAAAAATACCAACAAGCAGCATGACAACAAGCCAGAAAGCTAGCCATACCATATACATCCATTCAGGAATATCGGGATAAGCCTTCATCAGTTGATTGTGAATGTCAGCATGAGCTTCGTCAACTTGATTAAACATCTCCTTGGTTTGACGTATAATATCCTTGTGATACCAAAGAGCAACATGAGATATACCACATGTAAGTGCAAAGAAAGACATGGAGTATGTTACTGCAAAATACTCGGAGATATAAATTGGCTTGACAAGATCATACGCAGTCTCGTTTAGATTGAAATCATTTTTGTCGTACATGAGGGTCGGACTCATATGTTTTCCATATCGGTCGTACAATGCAGGAGTGTTGAGTACAGGAAACGGTGTGCCATCCTCATAGGAATAAGGGCCAATCAGAGTCGGGCTACCAAAATTCTGACGATAGTAGAGGATGGGTACAACAATCCAGATAACAAATACTTCGGATACGGCCATGTTGGCAATCACCCACCAGGGGATACTGATTGCAGCAGATCCAATATTGGACCAGTCAAGTGAAAACGAAAGAATGCCAACGCCAGTTTTGGGTGATGCGGATCCAAGGAAGCGCGCTGTCTTGTTGTTAGTGATCATACAGAGCACTGAGATGGACTGCAAGGCAGTAGCAAAGAAAGTAGGAAACCATTGCCACATGAACATGACACAAAAGGCAAGCCAAAAGAAAGAAAATCGTGACAGGCCGCCGACTTTCTTGGACTCTTCTGATTCTTCGGTTTCATGGAACGATACAAACAGAGCGACGGTAGATAGCACAGTGGGCCAGTACATGGCAGCAGGTCGGACAAGGAAGCGACGAGTCATACCCGACAGACCATATCCGATCATTTGAGTGGTAATGATAAACAGAACCGAATTCCAAAACGTAATTCTGGTATCACCCATAAACTTGTCAAACTTTTGACCAATGACGTTTTCAACACCGTAAGGTTGACCACCAGCAGCACCAGCAATCATATATACAAGAACGTGCTCCTTGATGGTGAAAGGACCAGGATTAAGAATACCTAACGGTAGTGTTTTGGAAAGAAATATGCCTATTGGGTATGAAAGAATGGCAGCAATATTGCTACTGATGGCAAACGAGTTTGTTCTAAAGCTAAATACGCCTGTAAAAATTGAACATATATTTCAATTGGTCAGAACCAATGACATGAAAAGCTTAAATATGTTCAATCAATCAGCAAACCCACCATTAACTAGTCCAAGAAACACTGCCCAAATAGTGCCCAGGAATATCATACGAATCGACAGAGATGGTGCAGATGGATCGTCGGTTTCTGGAACGATACCCTGAGTATACTGCCTGGCATACTGCTGATCCGACTCTTCCATGCTATCTGTTTTAAAAAGCTCCTTCAATGGCTCCAATTCACCATCAGATTGCTTCACATTCACGTAGTCCAACTTGTAGGTGCTGTCATCTTCCACGTATAATGTCATTGATTATATTGATAAGGTTGCAATTCGATAGAGGTGCAGGACTCTTTTATCAATCCTGCAAGAGGGTCGACGAGCTTCAAGGGGGACCTTCCTTACACATACACTCAAAGACTGCAGAATCTCCCTTATAGCCATGATGAAAAGTTGAGATGCTTTAACAAGGCTCAAGGGTCGGCTAATACACAAAGCTCTTGTATACACAACGTTGCATTTATTCACCATCAGCAAAAACACACCGTATTCGTGTAAACGAAACACTAAAATAAGGAGCTAAACGATCATCTACACCAGTTCCAATGAACCCCACACTTGCTCAATACTCTACATCAAACATTACAAATATTGCGTGATCAGCATAGACACAACAGTTGCATTTCTGAGACACGCAAACATGTAACTACTGCTGCAGCAAAAATGAGCTGGTAGAGTCTGATTATCAACATAGAATTTGAAGCCGATTATCTGGATTGAAATGGATGAATTGGGTTATAGTTTGATTTGCATGCATCATATAATGAGCGTTGTGTTTTAAAGGATTGAGAATGCTCCAGGAAAGCGCAGCGAATAGTTGGCCATTGTATATGTCAAAACCAAATGGTCATTACACGATAGTAATCCATTTTACACGAATGCAGTTGTAAATAACAACATGTCCATATCAAATAGCAGCGCCAATGCATTTTATCATCCCTTGTGTTCGGAATATGATTTCTACTCCTATTCCCATAGTCGCCTTACTGTGTTTCTTGTATGGCGTGATAATGATGCGCTTACTGGAATTAGCAGTGTAAGCGCTTATTCACAGCCGATTCTCGTTGATTCTCGTCAATCATTTGCCAATCTTGAATCGACTTGCAGTTCTTGAAGTGAATGTTTAATCACGTGTATCTGAGCCATTGAACTTGACAGAATCTCGACTTTTATCTAAACTTCAAAGTCGCATACTCGGGCATATATATTGTTGTAACATCATTCAATAGGAAATATCAACCATACAATCTTTTAAACTCAACCAGAGCGTACCACTTTACTAGTCATGTCCGGTTTTGACCAGCGCGTGCAGTTAAGATTCCGAGACCGACTATTCAACCTGCATGTGTCTGGCACCATCATGACTGCTGTCACAACTTCTCCAGACAATAATAAAAATCCAAACCACACTCCAGAAAATTCAGATTCTCAACCAAACTTGGTAGTTTCTCTTGAGGAAATGCCCTCATCGCTGTTTTCGTCTGAAAGTCCTGCCAATATTTGGACTGCAGAGTTTTCTGCCAGTTGTATGTATTAGTAAATATATAACCATGTATTTAGATAGAGATTATACCGCTGCTTGACAAAATACATGTTTGCTAAACATTCCTTTTACTTTTATGCACTGGAATCGAGGTAGATATTGAGGATATTACAATCAAAACTGGTAATTTCAAAAAATTCTCGATATTTGTCGAAATGCTCCTGAGTGCCATGCAACGAGTACGTATCATTGCATAGCTTTGGGTTTCAGCTCAAATACATGTATGCATTGGATTGAAATCTTGTCATTTTGCTTATATTTTAAATGTATTTGAAGCCAAACTCGACAGTTTCGCTGGATCTGCTGACTTGGCAAGACTTGGATGCAGTAAAAAACAGCGGTTTGCCAAACCGAACCAAGCAATTTGATGATGGTAAAATGTATTTGATCATAACATACGCTGTTGCGTTTGATAGGTATATCAGTTTAACGTATTTGGCTGATATTGGGTTGACCGAGTTGATTGGATTTATTTCACTAAAACAAACCGTCACTCATTGTAATTTAAATAGAGTTCATTATCCTCTACCACTTGTCAAACAAAATTCGCCAAAGCTATCCAGTAATGATGCACGACAAAAACAGCTTCTTCAAGACATGGCTAGCGTAAGTCTGACTCATGATAGTCGTGCTACCTATTTGTATTCTCAGCACACAGCGTTGACAATTTTGAAATTGATTCCAACTTTAGCTTTTAAAAGAAAATGACAAGTTGAGGTATCAGATCAAGTCAATGGAGCTAGATGCACACACCGCTCAACCCTCACACAATACTCAAAGGTAAACCTCATCAAATGCTATTTCTAATCGAGCTTTTATCTGAATCTATTGTTTTCAAGTCAAAAAGTTTATATTGACTTTGGATTTGAAAAAGTACTCAAGCAGAAAACGAATTACAGTCAGTCCTAGTAACTATTCGTAGAAAGTTGCGAGAGACTTTGCGTAGATATCCTCGAGACCGATTCAGTGTACGATCATGATATCTTAATTATTGAAATTAAATTATATGCACATCACTAATACATGTGATTTTAAAGCAATCTGCATACGATGGACTTTATAAATCTTTGAACGATATTTTTGAGCTTGCTCAGGTAATTTTTTGACTATTATTTTATTCCATATAGTTTCAAGATTAGCAGCTTAAAACTGATTTTCTTTTAGAACTACCATTGCAGCAATCAGTCTGTAAAAGCCACCTCTAAACCACAAAGATCTTCTCAATCCAGCACACACAAAAAACATCAAGTACGATCCTATTCAAACTCGAGTGCTCGATTGAATCGTCATTCATCGCCTCAGCTTTCTGAACGGTACTGGATTTATACTTGGGTTTTGGATACTTGCTTTTAAAGATGCGGTATTTATCTATAAATCATGACACATAATGTAGGAGTGGATATAAAGTCATCAAGTCAGAGCCATTGGTGGCAACTCGGCACGATCCACCAATTCGAAAATCAAACTCTTTGCGATCAAATAGTCGGTGAGCTTTACTACTTGAAATTTCTTGAACATTTAAAACGCACTGTTTAATTGAATTCTGGGTTGATTTTGATTGAGTAGGAAGCCATCCATGTCACCTTTTCGTCGATTTGATCCAACTCAGTAAGTTGATTCACGTTTAGATGTATATTTTCAACACATATCAACCGTGCATATTCTTGTATTTCAAAGGTATATACTAGATAAAGAGCGCAAGCAAGCAGACAAACGATCACTTAGGTATGTTTGAATCGGCGTATATTTGATCTATGCAATGTTTTTCAACACTCGATTGTGATGGACACGACTAAATGTGTTGTAATTTTGTGAATTAGTCGTGACCATATCTCCAGATCGAGAGATGTAACTAGAAGTTCATCCATTAACTCCAATTCGTCGTATGAATCAAAAAGTATGTGGCTTTATCGCATGGTGTTTTATAGCTGTGTATTATTGAGTCTATTGATAATTAGAATCTACATGACCGAAACTAACAAGAAATATTAAAGTTCGTGACAATACACATCAGGGAAGATCCAGCTCGAAACGCATACCTACTTATTCTTCACAGACACGTGAAAGCAGTATATCCATAGTAAGTCAAAGAACAAGCTATTTATTCATATTTTGGCATTGAGTAGCCGAGCTGTATACAATAAGATTTTACTTGATTCACTCTAACCCTTGAACACAAATCAATGCTTGTAAAACTGATAGAATGGAGAGCGATCGATATCCAAAAGCCGACCATCGTATTTGCAACCAGGTCCGACTAAAAAAAAGTATCTTGATGAAAACAGTCCAACAGACGATACTATTGAAAGTCGTTTAGCTCAGTTACAAATGTACCTCGCTTCTGTGGTTGATTAAACACCCTTTTTGCAGCTAGTTTCAAATGGCAAATAAATGGGTCTAGGCAAAGAATTATATTTGAACAGCAGTGATAGCTATACAGCATTATTTACGAGTGGAGAATGCAGATGATTTAAATAAAACAGTTGTGACATGTTGTTAAACAGGAGATAGATGGATATCCGTCAATTCCAGTTCGTCGTACAGGTCGTATTGGTCAAGATCCAGACCAGCATCCCATTGAGAATTCCCAAGCGTATCAACATTGGAGTCTGGATCCACGGCTGAAAGTTGAAGCCATCCGGTTTGTGCGATTATAAAAGCAGGCAGAAAGGGATAAATCAGGGCGTATAACCATTTGAATTCGGAAAACCATTGCGGTTTAGCATCGAGGGATTTAATTGAAGTAGAATTGGCAAGCATATTGGAATTGCTGGGAATAGGAGAATGTCCAAACAGTTTGAATGCATGTTGCTGGAGTAATCTGAATGGCAGCATGTATTCAAAAAAGCACCATACAGCAGTGCCTACTGCAAGCTTTAGCAGCTCGTTTAGTATGTCAGCATATGAACCCAAAGCGACACGATCATCATGTGGTAAGAGTTTGATGAATTCATATTTGGAAATGACTGAATAAGTGCCTACAAAAAACAGTACAGAAGAGTGTTTGATATAGCCCATAGTTGCTAGCAGTAAAGCACCAAACAGGACTGCATGTGGAGTAATGAAACCGTCAGGATGGATGAACAGTGAAGCCAAATGTTGCAAGCCAATGAGAGTGATGATGATGACAGAAATAACACATTTGATTTGAATAGCAGGCAAGTAGAGTGATGTTAGAACAGCATGGATGATTGTTTCTCTGAGCAAGTCCAGCCAAGTGCGTTGATACCACAATCCATACATGTTCAAAGTTGTTGTTTGTCTGTTTAAACTATTTGTTAATATGATCACGTGTTTAACACGTGGTTGAATTTGCATTTTAAACTTGAACGCTTTTCTGCAAGTTGACTGCTGATTGCGCTTGTTAGAAATTGGCATTTCAATCTGTGACCTTGCGTACGGTCGCGATCGAGTCAAGAGAACAATATTATATACTGTTTGCATGGTAATCACTCAATACTGATTTGTAGAGAGTTGAAGATTCAACATTTACTCGGTCATACAAGAATCCAAATAGCAATGCTTTCCAGAAACTGACAGCATAAAACTGCTACACTTTGTCACCCTTATTAGTGTTCTATTTTACGTGACCAAATGCAACCCTCAATCAATACATTGAAATCAATGTCCATTCAAAAGGAAATTGTCAAATGGACTGCCTCTACTCTGGAATGCTGGTCAGTAATGTCATGAATATCGCTTTCAATAGAACATCTTCTAACCTTTTTAAACCAACTTTCGACTGTATTTATGGAAACAACTTAGCATTGTATATATCTTGTTGTTTTTTGATGCAAGTATCATGCTGGCTTTTAGTTTATCTTGATGTCATGATTCTGACATTAATGCTGGCCATTCCATATTTACACTACAGTCAATTTTCAAGTCCTGGACATTGCTTACATCATACATATCAACAGCTGATCTAACAGAAGTTCTTGAGCAGCGTTTAAGTTCTGCAAAAACCTATGAAGAGTGGAAAACCACTGCACTGGAACTGGATGTGTATGTATACTCTATACATTGATTACTACTGGATCTGGCTCGTGCTAACAATCCATTGCATTGAATTGGGCTTGATAGTCTTTATGGTATGTTTTCAAAATACGCTGCAACTTTAGATTTACAAGATTAACATTCACATCTACTGATATGGACACTTTTCAACCAATAACGTTGTTCACTTCAAGGAAACACTTTATGGAAGGACATTCAAGAAGATCCAGCTTATGACAACAAATTGATCAGTTCTCGTCTAATTAGTTTAAAGCAGTCCCATGCATCAAAAGACTTTGAATCGATGATGTACTTGCTGAGATCGGGTAATTTTCAAACAATTATGCTTTGGATTGTATAGAAACAGGATCACTCGGCCTGATCATGTTTTGTTGCGGATTGGATTAGGGCTTCTTCGGAATTTGGGCGGAATATCTGATATTCGATTATACAGACATTCTATTGTTGGGTGAGTTGATTGAATAGGGCTGAATCTACAAAATACATGCTTTAACTATGCCAATGGGTGGATATGAGTCTTGGTTATTGAAACAACTTTGAATCTGTAGAACCAAAAATTTAATTCAGAGCTATATAGATGAAGTGGTCTCGCAATTCGAAACCATTTCGCTTATAAAATCTCCCACTGCCCAACAACAGCGCAAAGTTGAGTTGCTATCAGACACACAGCAAAGTTTTGGCAACACTGCTCTTCTTCTTCAAGGAGGTGTTACGTTTGGAATGTATCATGCAGGCGTTGTCAAGGCGCTTTTTCAAAATGGACTTTTGCCTAATATCATCAGCGGAACATCAGTCGGTGCACTGATTGCTGCGCTTGTGTGTATTCACACAGATGAAGAGATGCCCAAGATTTTTACAGAAGGTGGCATTAAATTGGGAACGTTCAAGACAAAATCAGCTCAAGGATCGTTTGCGCGAAAAGTAACCCGACTGTTCAATCATGGTTAGTTTTGCTAACTACTGTTGCATTTTGAATATAAATGGATAAAGGGCTTGAATGGTATTAAACACATGTGTGTGTATTTTTGACCAAAACATCAACGCTAGGATATCTTTTGGATGTGTCTGTAATTGAGCAATGCGTCAAGGATAATCTAGAAGACATTACATTTATGGTAAATGGATATTTTATTGATATCTACAATGCAGTGGTGGTACTGCTGTGAATTTAACCATTTAAATACGGCCTCGATATCAATTGTCTACTACAAAAATCAACAGGAAGCATACAACAAAACTGGCCGGGTCCTTAATATTCCCGCAGTGTCATCTGGTAGAGGAGAAGTACCACAACTACTCAACTATCTTACAGCACCAAATGTTGTAAGTTTGACTTTGTACCGTAGCATTTTTTAAATATGAGATTTTCTAATTTTCATTAATCGCTTTGGCTTGATGAAAAGCTTATTCGATCCGCTGCATGTGCTTCAGTTGGAGTACCTGGTTTAATTCAGTCTACTGGTTTGCTTCAGAAAATGCCCATGGGAAATCCTCTTCCTTGGTGTCCTTTACGTAAATAGATTCAACTTGATACCTGCAGTATTGTTGTTTAGCCTATACATTGACTAAATTATGTTGCCTGTTTACAGCCAAGGATAAAAACGGCTCCAATCCAATGCAAGTGTTTGCATGCTATGGGTTTTGTATTATGGATATAAATCTAAACTAAACTGCTGATTCATACTAATACTCTGTGCTTTCGTGTTGACTATTTCCAAACTGTAACAGTTTGGAAAACCCAGAAAAACGACTTGCAGAGCTGTTCAATGTGAACCACTTTATTGTATCACAAGCTAGTCCCTATATTTCGCCAGTTATCATGAAGAAAAGACCATCACTGTTTGGACGACTCGAGAGTCTTTTTTTAAGCGAATTGAGATACAGACTCGGTCAACTTCGCGATCTGGGATTAATATCACAAGTGATTACATCGTTATTTGGACATAAGATTCAAGGACATGTCACTATTGCACCAGAGCTGACGTCTTTGGTAAGAATACAAGCAGTATTGTCAAGTCTGATATATTTGGAAGTTTGGTATTTACAAAAACTTGCTGAATTATGCACAGGATTTTTTCAATCTGTTTAACCATCCAACAAATACAGCACTCAACTACTGGATTGAGAAAGGAGAGAGATCTACCTGGCCGCTCATGTCCCTTATCAGCAATCGCACCAAGATTGAGCTTGCTTTGCGAAAAGGTAAATCGGATGTTGTTTGTAATCTATCATCACGTGATTTATTTGCAAGCATTTCACTTTGAGCGATAAAAAGTTTTATTTTGTATTGTTGCTGACTTGAATTACTGCTGCTATTGACTACTGTGAACGCATACGCTTTCAGCTGTTTGTAAATCCAAAGAGCATTTGGCAAAGCAAGAACAGGAATACTTGAAGAGATTTGAAGTCCGTAAAGAAGAATCCAGAAAACGCAATAAATCCATTTCTTGATTGATTTCAATTAATCAATACTTGCTGATTATCCAACCTTGCCTTTCATTTATAATTACGAGTCTCGACTAAAAGCATTGAATTTACCAACTGCTTTTAAATACACTGACTTTTAAAAACACTATGCCAGCAGACTCAAAACCATCGACTGCTACTCGTCACAGGTCGCAACGCCGCGACGGACAGAAACCATCGTCACACACTACACGACCACTCAAGCGTCGATCAGAGACTCCAGGATCAAATGTCAATAAAATTTCAATTGGAAAACCAGGCGAGACTAAACATATAGGCAGTAGCAAAAAGCGTAAGCGCATGTCAAGTCCAAACACGATCAAAGTCGCCCCATCAACCACCATTGTATCCGATGCAGACCTATCGACTGATGCAACTCTCATGACTGCAGATATACAAACATCATCTCCGCAAGCCGCTTCATCCGTATCTTTACAGTCAAAACGATCTCGCCGTCTTCCTCGAACTCTTGCTGACTGTGGTGTGGATTACATTGATCACCAATCAGCTCCCTATTTGGATCGTGAAGGACCAACTCAATACACATCATTAATCAAACACCTTCTTTCGGCCAAACTTCAACAGATAATGACTCCAAAGCCTAGTTTGCGTCTTATTATTGTATGCTCATCTGCCGAACGCACGTTGGAGATTATCAAGGGGTTAAAAGTACATTTGCCAAATGTAAGAATACTAAAGCTTTTTGCTCGACATATCAAATTAGAAGAGCAAGTTGGATTAGCAAACTCCAAAATGTTTCCCATTGGTGTCGGTACTCCACACCGAATAGCAAAACTCTTAATGGAAGATGCAGGTAATTCGATCGTGCAATTGAAATAAGGTTGACATGGGTTTAACATCAACTTGTACTGAATTAAATTAGCTCAACCTGGACTATCTAAACTCATGCACGTCGTGTTTGATCAATCTTGTATGGATTCAAAGAAACTGCAGCTGTTTGATTCTGCTGATAAAGAATTGGCCGAGATTTTGGCAATTGCTACCCAATCCAAGTGGGGATTGCATGGAGTATAGTGTCTAGCTGCTTGCTAATGTTTGTAGTTACTTTGGCCTTTCAAGTCTTGTTCAACTTATCATCGTATTCACGTAAAATGGAACATTAAATAAAGGTTTCAGAGTAAACAGTCAGTTCCATGGAATGGTGTCAGTTTACTGGACATTATCGTGTTCTTTAAACTCTTTGGTTTACTGATCTCCTAGCAATTGACATGGAAACAACAGTTTCATTTCTGAAATGGACGATCCTTGTTTTCTTGAATTAAAGCGTAAAACATATTCGAGATTTTAAAATACACAAAAATGAGTGTATACAGAATTGTATTGATGTCATCAGAGTCCAATATATGTATTGCAATGCATGGATCTGGCGATCGTACAATGTATAGGTATGTCACAGAATTCCAGTTCAAGACCATGATTTGATAGTGTATGATGATTGTTGTGCTGAATCAATTGAACATGCTAATTTGTGGTAGGAAAGCGTAACGAATATTCAACTATTGTTTATTCTGAAGCAAAATGATGGCAGTCAATGCATGAATACAAAAGTGTTCCAGTTTATGTGAATACGGCTGTAATGAATTACAACTGTTACACCATGAATCCATATTCATTTAGAGGTTGGCTCTTGTTCTGGCGCTTCAATGATACCCTCCTTGGCCAGCATTGTTTCCAGCTCGCCGCTTTGATGCATACTAATAAGAATATCAGATCCACCAATAAATTCGCCATTTAAAAAAACCTGTGGAATAGTGGGCCAAGAACTAGATGTTTCCAGTAAAGTGTCAAAATGTTGAATGGCTAGATACTGTATGCACAGATGCAAGAGTAACAGCCGTGTCTTACGTGTACTCCTTGATGCCCTCGCGCACCTCCGAATCCGAGAGAACATTGACCGTCTTGAAATCCTTGACCCCTAAAAATAGCCAATACAGATATCAATCAGTTGACATCTGGTAAAGGTGTGTAGGTTCACCATTCTAGCAATACAATGAAACATAAGCCTGACTTACCTTGGAGATCAAGGATCTGAATGACAGCTCGACTGAATCCACACTAATGGGTTTAAATAGACAAGCAATTCAAGCGTCAGACTCTCAACAAGCCCATTGATTCTATTAAAAGATATGGCCGTAATCACATGTACCTGAGGAGAGGCTTTGTTTCCTTTCATGAACACAACAACAGGATGTTCCTTGACAGCCTATACAAATATCAAATAAAATAAGACTAAGGATTCAAAATGATGGAGTCATACTATTAGACAAGACATTTTTACCTTGTCAATCTGCGATCTGAGTTTGTCAGAAATGTTTCGATGCAAGATATGATTCACAGCAAGTTGCGATTTAAAGGCAGCGGTTCTTGTAGCAATCAATGGCGATTGAACACCTGAAAGCAAGCGCTAAATATAAATAAACGATCAGTCAGTTTCAATAGCTGGAATGAGGTTTGAAGATGATTGAAACTATTAGAGTTTGACGAATGAACTCAAGTGGATGATTATAAAAATCAACATGCATAAATAGCTGCAGTTCATATTTATGTAGTGCTGAACGAATTCTTACAGCAGTTCTTCCAAACATGACTATTATTGATAACTCGATCTGCTAGATGGTCGAGTGGAGAATCGCATCAAATGAAAAGTTTTAATCTCAAGTCACGTGTAATAGGCTCTGTTCTAACCAGGCCAGACTACTGGATTGACTCTGGTTTGCCTGTGCTGTTGTCGATGCATCGCTAAACTTGATGAAATCTACTTTTAATGTTGCATTGCTTTTCAGATACGTGACGAAACCTATTGTGTTGATTCAAACACGACTTTGGTCGACTATTCGAGACTTTGGCTTACCAAAAGTATTTCGAGTCAACTCTATCCTTTTACTGCTACATTAGTACAACAACAACATCTATTCTTTGATTTAAATATTCAAGTAATGAAAAAGTCTGGTTCCAATAAATCCATTAGATCCAATAGTGGAACACGAGGAATGAAATCAAACACCTCGCAACACCAACTCTCTCAAACCACTTATGCATCAGATACCCACAAAGACACCAATCAATCCACAACTACTTGGCCTATTTCTCATGAAACTAGTACAGATCATGAAACTCATTCTAATCCATCTTATACTTTTGTTGAGCCAATCAAAACAGATTCAGTTGCTTATATTCCACTGATGGACGTATCTCCAAAATGCCACGAATCAGATTTTCAAGACGATAATTGTCCACTGATATTTTCAACACATACAGGCACTGATTTGGATGAGGCAACATCTGCTGGTGATGGGACATCCAACAGTCGCGTCTCGCCTGATACAGCAACAAGCTCAGCTTCTCCTGGAACTCAAAGTAGTATTCCGCATACAATTCAATGCACACATAAATGCACGGATAACAATGGAGCTTGCTTTCGAAATAGTACTCAACATATCCCATCCGTAGCCATCTTTTGGGACTTTGAAAACTGCGTATGTACTATTTAGGGTTTTCAATTCAACTCGAAATGCCAAGTAATAGGTTTTGTTTCTGATTTAGTTTAATTTCAAAATTAAATATATTGCAAATGTATGTAGGCACCACCCGCTGCTGTTCCTGGATACGTTGCAGTTCAAAATATCCGTAAATCGCTTCGACAGTTTGGTCCAATTGTCCAGTTTCGAGCAAGTCTAATGATCTTGAACATTATATGTATTACAAACCATTCAGTCACAAACTTATATTTCAAATCTACTCTAGGCATATCTTGAAGTTAGAGAGACATTTATAAAGAGCATGCGAAGTGAGCTGCAATCGAGTGGATGCTCAGTGATTGATACCCCTCATAATGGAAGAAAAGATGCAGCAGACAAAATGATCATGGTTGATATGCTGTCTTATATAATCGATACACCAGCTCCAGCGTAAGTGATATAGATTGACATGCTTGAATTGGGTTTAAAATGGTGTGAATTGCAACCAATCTATAGATATCACGCTGTTATATCTAGTATTTGATCATGTACTTGTTTTATTTATTGACACCGACTGTAGAACCATTGTATTGATTTCAGGAGATCGAGATTTCCTGTATGCCTTGGCTGTGCTTCAAAACCGTGGCTACAACGTTGTTCTTATTGTACCCAACAGAGGAGCAAGTCCTATTCTTCGTGCACAGGCATCTATTGTTCTTGAATGGCGGTACGATATATTTGATGAGCAGGTTGTAGCACAGATGCAACGAGACCGCGATGAGGCAACAATGCGTGTGTCTAATCTTGCTCGATCAACTAGCCAGTTGATGGCTGCTGGTGGTAGTTTTGAAAACTTGGTGTGTAATAATGGGAATACAGGATGGAAAAGTGATTTTGGCAGTATGGGATATGAGAAACGGACTGCTGCTCCTTTGAATATCCACGTTGCTACACAGGATACAGGTGTAGAACATAGCAGTAATTTTGAGCACATGCAAGAGTATGAAAATGATATTCCAGCCTATTCACCACATGCTCCTGGATACTTTGATGCTCTCATGGAAATTCTTCAAGCTGCAAAGCAGTCTGGCTGTTGAGTTATCTTGCTTTAATGCATGATTAGATCTAGCACGTTACTATTTACTAACAAATATTTATTTTTGTCATAATACATGGGATAAAGTATTCAAACCAAGTAAAGCCAAGATTGCTTCAGAACTGATTGCACGAAATCCAATGATCCTTCAACGAGCAGGAGTGCACAGTATGGATGGTAAGGGAGCATTTTAAACACTGCCAGATAGTTTATTTAAACACATTTTGATTTTTAGATTTTTTCAATATGGCCGTCGAGGCTGGGTTGATTCGTATTGGCGGTATTGGGCCGGGCCAATGGATGACATGTATTTACCACTCATAGCCAGACAAGTATGTCTGAACTCAAACCAGAATGCTTTGATTGGTTCAAAAAACTGGTGCGTCAATAAATCCAGGGTACAAAAAATAGACCATGATTTAAAATTGTTGGTGGTTAGGGTTAGAGTTTAGATTCGCAGCATCAACTTTAGCAATGTAGTGCCTTGTCACTTGCACAACATTCATTTTGAATAGAATATTAAAATATATAAGCCACCAGTCTATGGTCTAGACTCATACAAGAGTAGTATTTAAAAAGTAAAACAAAGCCTAAAGCAGCAACGCATAATTCAACAGAATTTCCGGGTCAAAAGTTGAAGCGTGATGTTTCAATACAAGCTGCATGACAGACGAAATTCTATTGGCTGTTCCTTTTATGGTCGAAATTAGACCTTGAATTCGATGCAACGACAAGAATCACACTAATGAAGTTGTAAGAATACAAAGTGAATATTAGAGACATATAAAAGTAGTTTGATATGGGTTTAGAGTAGTGGGTATATAGTGGAATAAGGTATGAGTAAAGTATCAACAATTGGTATGGTTTGAGTTGATTTTATTCTGGTTTCACTTTCAACCCCTTTTATCTGAACCCGTAATTCAACCCGGAAATTCGTCGCGTTCTTTTAAACTTGAAATTCGTGCAGAGTCGACTTTGCTTCTTTACAACTCAACTTTATTAGAAAAGACTTGCTCTTTAAGCCCGATTATACACTCTTGTATTCTACTTTATACTTTTAGCCATGCAATTATCATTTGTTACTGCTCTTGTTATTTCTGCAACTCTTGTTTCAGCAGCAAAGGTTGAGCAGACTACCACCGACTCTGGGTGTAAGTAGTGTTTCTTGTGACACTTGCATTAAGTCTTGTTACTGTTGGATGTGCTGTCTATGATCATTTTTTATTAGTAGAAACAATTGGATGAGCCCACTGAGTCTACCGAATTCTCTCGACTGCATTAGTATGGTGTTGATTGTACTAATTGTCAGTTTGCCTGATTTCGTGGCGGTGGCTGAAATGGAACCATGTTTCAATCTTACAACAGATTGATACATTGAACAGTATAATTCCAATAATCTGCAACTAGTTTTGTTTGGATCGTCAGTAGGAGATACATTCATATCAAGAATGATCCCAATACTGCAGTCTGATCTTGTAAAACAAACCACAAAAAACACTGTAGATTCAATTGAATATTCGTCTTGATTCCAGCATCTTTATCCATCAAATTTGCGCTTGTATTGTTGATTATGGAGAACTTGTTTACTAATTCTTTTTAAATATTGTACACTAGATGGACTCCCTTACCAAGGAAGTGCACTTGCTCCCAGCATTTCTTCACATAATGCTCCTGTAGAAACACCTGCTCCTACTGCTACTACTTTTGTTTCACATGGTACCGAGACTCCTGTTCCTGTTGGTTCTGAAACTCCTTCTGCCACAGAGGACTGCGAAGAAGAAGTGCCTGAAGAAGATTGTGAGGAGGAAGAACCTGAAGAAGATTGTGAGGAAGAAGAGCCTGAAGAAGACTGTGAGGAAGAGGTGCCCGAGGAGGACTGCGAAGAGGGTAAGCCTTTGGATGCATAAGCTATTTGAGCTACAATCATTGATCGCGTATTGATAAATGATCATCTCGATATACTTACGCTTAATATGATTATATGTTGAATAGAAACTCCAGCACCAACTATTGTCCCAACTCCAGCACCACTTGGTGAAACCCCAGCACCAACTATTGCTTCGACTCCAGCTTCACTCGGTGAAACTCCGGAGCCAACTATTGCTTCGACTCCAGCTCCACTCGGCGAAACTTCGGCACCAGCTGCTGGTACTCACCATGCCACATTCGCAAACTACGGATCAACTGACGCTCCCATTCTCAGCAGCGCAAACAAGGCTACTCATGCCGTAGGCATCATTGGTGCTCTTGTTCTTTCCGCACTTATGCTTTAAAATGTACCATTGAACAGCTCTCTGTCTTGACTGCTCATGTCTTTACAAAACCCATTTAAGAGTTATTGTTACTTTTCCAAGAGATCCGACTTCGTTCATTAAAATCTTCCCATCATTGCTACTCATACTGTATCCTATCCTGTTTGGAAATTCTTGATATCAAGTAAACTCGGGTTTTGGAGTTATTATTTTGTGTTTTCAACATGACAATCTATTTTTATGGTCTTTATCGTTAGTTGGATAGATCTGGATTAAAACACATGTGACTCATGCTTGGTCATTAATGGAATCGATAGTCTAGAAAACATAAAATTGCTGTTTATACAACTGAGTGATATAACCAGAACATGGCTGAATCTAGGATGATTCAGGAGTGTATTGCAGAACTAAAGAGTCTGCTGGGCGTTGACAGGATTATTACAACCGCATCTGAACTCAAGCGTCGTTCGCATGACTTGTCATACCATGAACATCATGCTCCTCATGCGGTTATTGTTGTCGAGTCAGAGCATCATGTCTGTTTAGTACTCAAGACATGCAACAAGTACAGAATGCTTGAATGGGACAGGATAACACTGAATTCACTAGTCTGACTATTTTCTATTGTATGAACAATAGATACAAAGTGCCAGTGATTGCAGTGGCTGGAGCAACGTCTTTGGAAGGTCATACCATTCCAACCATCACGCATGGTGCCATCATTCTGGATCTAACTAGTATGGATAAGGTGATGGATGTACACGCAGAGGATTTGGATTGTGTGGTGCAACCAGGGGTTGGATGGGTGGATTTGAAGGAGCATTTGGAACCATTGGGACTGTTTTTTCCTCCTGATCCAGGTGCTGCAGCCTGTGTTGGTGGTATGTGTGGAACAAATTGTTCCGGCACGTTTGCTTGGAGGTAATTTGAACTTAAACTCATATCTTGTAGTGATTGCAATCTAACTTTTCAGTTTTTATTTCAGATACGGCACAATGAAGGACAATGTACTCTCTTTGAGAGTCGCACTTCCAGATGGGACTGTAGTAACAACTCGTAGGCGAGCTACAAAATCTAGTGCTGGATACGATCTCACTCGACTGTTTGTAGGCAGCGAAGGCACTCTTGGAGTAATCACTCAAGCTACTTTGCGACTTCGACGTATTCCTAAATTCACGGCTGTTGTGATGGCTCAATTTCAAACTCTCAAGCACGCTGGTGATGCTGGTAAGTGATAATTTTTAATCTTGCCAAGACCATTTCATCTCGATTGTATTTATTCTTTACACTTGGTCTGATTTACTCGATAATATACTATTTCAGTTGCAAAAGTTGTACATGATGGTTTGATTTTGAATCGAATGGAATTGATGGACGCGCATACTATCCAATCCATCAATATAAGCATCACTGATCCTGCAAAACAATACCGTCAATTTCCAACAATCCTGTTTGAATGCGCTGGTTCCTCGCAGTCAACTATTACTGAGCAATTTGCTGCACTAAAGGAAATCACTGGCCCAGTAGAAGCATCGTCTCCAAAAGGTTGTGTCGGTTTTCATGCAGCTTCTTCAGAGTCTGAATCCGAGCTACTCTGGCATCTACGCAAGCGTGCTTACTTTGCTGCCAAGGATCTTCGCAAAGACGACAAGCTTACGTCTCACTCAATGAGTATCCTCACAACAGATGTAGCTGTCCCCATCTCCCATATCGTAGAAACTCTCACTCTTTCGAGACAAGATCTTGACCATCATGGATTAACTGGTTCAATTGTCGCTCATGCTGGAGATGGCAACCTTCACGTATTTTTAGTCATTGATGCCACAAATCCAAAAGAGGTTGCTGATGCACAAGCGTTTCGTGATCGTAATGCTCGCATGGCACTCCAGTTTGGTGGTACGTGTTCTGGTGAGCACGGTATCGGGATAGGAAAAATACATTTACTATCTGAAGAAGTGGGTGTAGAAGCTATTGAACTAATGCGTAAAATCAAAAGTGTGGTTGACCCAAATGGAATTATGAATCCTGGAAAAGTGTTTGAATTGAAATCCAATCTTTGATACAATGAATTAAACGTGAAATCCATAAAAGTATGACTGGGATCAAACCAATCAACTAAATTGTTTATTCATCATTCTTTCACTACACAAAAATACGGAGGTAAAAATAACCTCATTGCGGCAACGGTCCGTTAAACTGCTTCCACTTCTACAATCAGAGTTGGGTTATAAAACTCGACTCGATTTCTTGATGATTAAAACAAAAAGTATACCATTACCTTGTGATCTAAACTTCGAAAATCATCCACCATCGACAACTGCACCAAGTATCGTCCAAGTAGAATCAATTCGCGATCAGTAGCTCGCATTGTTGGTCCATTTTTGAATGCCGTGATTTTAAGTCCCTATAGATACCAAGTCATTAACAGTGCAACAAATGAATACGTTTGGTTTATATAGCAAATTTGCACTTACACTCTGTGGATTCATGGCAAAATTTCGAGATAAATCATCAATATGTATCGTATCTATTCCATCAAGAATCAGTTTCATGAACTATATAGTGGATAAATGGGTGATCAACTTAACTAAAGGCATTGTATTGACCAGGAAATTTTGACCAGATAAACTGCAATGGCTTTACTTGATGTCGTTTTGGAATCGTCACAGATTTGCTACTACTACTAGCCAACTGCTTCTCTGTTCCCATAATTGAAAACATGGTGCTCTGATCCAAAACAAATGAGATGTGATACTCGGAGTGATTAAGCATTCCCAACTCGGTGATTTTCATCTCCAACCATTTCCATGACGTTTGACTCCATATGCATATGTCGTAATACACGTATACGGTTGCAAGAAATTCATGCAGCCCTGGACGAGAGAGTTGGTCGATATGCGATGCAGGTGTCTTGCAATCAAACAAAGTATAGTCCAAGTCCAAAACAAGAAGCTTTTTTGCCTTTCTGGGCTCATTGATGATACGAATTGAAGCCTATGCACAAACCAGCACAAAATAATCAATTATTTAAGCTTTCATGCATTGAAACGGATGTCATTGCCCTACTAGAAATAGTATCAGACACAACATATACCTTTTCAATTACTTTGTTCAATGACTGAATATTGACTGGATCCTTGTGTGGTTTGATTGTTAGTATGTCATTGCAATAGTCTACATCCATGTCATTCAGCACATCTGGAAGATCCACATCAGTTGGATCTTTGATAATCTGACTCTCAACTAAATCATATCGAGTAATATATTAGACGATTCATCCAAAAATCATCCATTCATCCATTATAATCTCACCCGAGCCCATCATGGTAAATACAAGCGAGTTGGATGGAATATTCAATGAAAGCAATGTAGCATCATCGTTTGGTAGTTTTTTCTTAATCAAACCCAATAGTTTTTGTCTACTGGCCAATACTTGTGTCATTTGTTCTAGTTGTTGTTTGAGTTCTCCGACAGTTGTGGTGGATGGTAATTGCAGTGGATATCGTTTTCCTTGCCAGACGGCAGTCATGTTGATTAAACCATTTTCATTAGACTCGTTAGCAAGTGGGTTGGAGTGAGTGCAAGTATCCATGCTTGGGTTGGTCCGGTAACTGTTGATCGATACTCTGTTGAAGGTAACTTTGGATTTATAACGAATTCTTGGTTCGCCATCTGGATTGAAATTTACATTTGCAGTGCTTTCATACTGATTAACTCATCTGCCAGAATTCGATAATCAAAAACTGAATCTATTCTATACTCGAATAAACATTGTGCAAATCATCATCAATCCCCAGATTCATAATATAAACCAAAATATATTTCAAATATTTCAAATATTGGAAATATAAAAAAACTAAATTGGTCCTCTATCGTCATTTGGTTGATGTTTGTATTTGTCGCCTAGCAGTACCAATCTGACAGCTATTTACTTTGGTCGCAAATCTCAACGAACACAGTGATTCTGGTATGCTTTCTGCTGTTGGTGACATATTGACAAACATGAGTGTCTTGCTATTTCCTCCTATATATCCATCGTATCAATAAAATGTCACTGATAAATCAGTACAATCCAGTCAATAGAATCATATCATTTAAATTTTACTTACCAAGTGAGTTTTGAAGTAGATACGTCAACTATTCAAACCATGTTCAAATCAACCCAATTCAAATTGCAAGATTGTCGTATCTCTTGATTAGTAATACGTTAGAATAAACTCAAACTATTGCTTCAGTGTTACCTTGGAGTTTCGATAGGGAATATGTGCTTCCTTGTTCGACAATGCAAAAACTACATCCCCTAAACAGCTCAGGCTCTTATTGATGGCTTGAGTTTCTTTTAGTCGTTCGCCTGTAGATCCAGAACTGGATAGCCGCTCAGACCCAGCCAAGTCAATCAGGTTGAGAACACCATAGCTTGTTTCTTCTGTCAAACTGTTGCTGCCAGTTAAACGAAGCGTGAATACACTATGACTACGAGATGATCGCTCATTGCAATTGGTAGCTGCAATGGCTCGATTTTGAGCTGCCTTTTTTAAAAGATGGAATACTTGTTTGGGTGTAGTAACCACCACTGACAAGCAATCCCATAAAATCCATCATGAAAAGGCATGGTCAGCATCACAGTATGTTCATCATAGATTGCAATCACAGTATAAATACATGGAGTAAGTATTACCATTTACCACATCGGTCACGCTTGTTCGGTTATTGCTATGATCGTGACGAATTTCATGCTTTTTTGAAGAGTTTTGCGATCCACTGATCGACGAATTTACGGAGCCCTCAGTGCCAACAAGTAAATCGCGGATAGTTTCATTATATATCTCAATAAACTGTGCCTCCATGGTGTATTGCCATCCTTTGGCTACTAAATTCTCTGCACTTTGGAATATCTGCTCAACAGCTCGAGGAATCATGCCAATATTGGGATCTTCTGGCCCACTAATTTGGGTTGGTCCCTCCATTCTAAATAGTAGCAGCCCATGATGAAAACATTAGCAAATAAACGCCCGTGTAAAAGCGTCAAGACGATTACAAATCATTTTGAACTTACGTAAATGTTTTACCACTTCCAGTTTGACCATATGCAAATATACACACGTTATACCCATCCAAAGCAGATTGTATAAGCTGAGAAATCTCCTCGAATATCTCCGACTGCTGTGCAGATGGACGAAACACCTTGTCAAAATCAAACGGATATGTCTTGAGAACGGTCTTGTTTCCTTGTGCATTTTCCTATAATCCGAAATTCACAATCGAGTTTCATTGACTAGTTTTCACCACACATTCACAAACATAGTGGATGGACAAAACTCACCTGAAATTGTACCAGCCCAATCGCACCTTCATCAGAATCTGAAAATGTAATATGAGGAGTGATGTTGGTAGTAGTTTCAGAAGCTTCTGCTCCAAGTGTTGGACGTACACGACAAAATACTCTGATATTTCCTTTAAGCTCCTAATAAAAAGTAAAGGTACCAGCCAGCAGCCGACATTAGCTTTAATGATCAGAAAATACATACTAATAGCAGTCAACTCGAAAGGTTAGAAATGAATACCTGAATTGTATTGTGAAGTTTTCGACGAGCAGTTTCTTCGTCGCGAAGTTTAGCATGCAACTCTTCAACAGTCTCACGGAGTTGTTTGCAATCTGTTTCCAAAGACACGACGGTACTATTGCGTTCACTCACAACACGCTCTGATTCTTCCAAACTTGTTTTTAATGCTCTGTTTGTACTTTCCAAAGCAATACTGGCTGTTGCTTGTGCAGATACTGCCATCTATTTAATGGCATGATGTTGGTACATTGGGTTTAAATCAAAGTGTCATGATAAAATCTAAAACAAACATACCTTGAGTTGAGTAATTTCAGATTTAGATAAAGAGAGTTCGTCAGACATGCCATCTCTAGCAACTTTCAATTCGAGTAGCTCCTTGCACAACTCGGTGACTTTTGACTCGTGCTCCTTGTTTATTTTCTGGATTTTTTCTTCAAACTGTTCGGTCAATATCTAAAGCATCAACAGGTGTGTATATAACAGTACAAGTTAGGAAAGAGTATTTCAAAATCATACTAATTCAAGCCCACTTACTTTTTTTTCAGACTGGATACTGGACAACTCTATTTCCACATGAGATACTTGTTTTTCTTTTGCTTGAACAGTTTCTTCAAGAGTAGCTCTGAAATGTAGTAGCTCATTGACTATTTCAAATAAGTTTAAAATCGTGTCAATGAGCGATTTTTGGCGACCATTTGAATGGATACAAAAGCTAGTTTACAATACAACAAGAAGCATACTCATGGCTTGATTTTCTGACAGTTTAGATTTCATACTAGATACTTGACAGGTAGAGTCGGTCAGCATATGTTTTGTAGATCTGTACTGCTCTTCAAGATCAGCAAGACGGCCCTAATTCATGAATATCACAAACCAAAGATGAATACTCGAAAATCATGCACCATCACATTGATGTCCAAGAATCCAATGTTCATAATACACCTTTGTATCCCAATCAGGTCGCTTTTTTTTAAGACTGGGATTGGTAGAGACAGCAGATACAGAGTTTCCTTTAGTTTTTAAAGCAGCAGCAGTATTAGTCTTTGGATTAGAAACAGTAGCTGATGGTTTGACTCTTGTAGTAACAGACGCTTTGCTTTTTGGAACAGTCAAACTACTCGTCATGGTCGATGTCCGACTAGATGTCCGAACTGACGCAGTTGCAGTTGATGTGCGAGCAGTAGGAGCAGTAAGAGCAGACTTGATACTTGATGTTGTAGGTTTCTTACGCAATGACTGTCCATCTCCATTGACTGTAATTTCTCCATTGCTATCATCGGCCTTTCTCTTCAATGTATGCACCTGAAAATCCTCTGGTTTAGGCACTAGCAGTGGTGCTGCCTTTGGCGTAGTAGGAATCTATTGTTTCCATAAATTCAATACTATTGTTAGCATTGCATTTATGGAGTGATATAACCATTTGTTTAAACACTGCAGCTTACCATAGATTTTGCCATTGCAGCAACAGATGCCTTTGATGAAGGCGGACGCAGTCGTCCTTTGGAAGCAGCCACCTATTAAAGTATAGTTTAATAACAATACAACAGCAACGATGTCAATGTACTTACAATGCGATTCTCTTTTCCAACAGTAGATTCGTTCATTTCAATGTAGATTCGAATCAGCGGACGAAAGTTTCCCTGTGAACGCGCAGTAAAAATCCATTAAAAATATTCACAGAATGCTCGCTAGAATACTCGATTCGTTCTTGTATTCAATCTACTTATTCATACGTAAATCAAGAATTTATCTTAATATACTAATTCAGTTATACTTGAAAATTGTGTATTATTAATGTCTTGAAAATATCGTTTATTCTTAAACTTTACTGATAATGACTTGAATAAATAATGGTCTTGTATGAGCAATGTCAAACAAAGAATGTCAATTAAAGTCAATGTAGTAGAAAGTGCAACACATGCTCAGCCATTGTTTATGCAAAGCAGTAACTGCAGGACAAGTGTTTCATTTTACGTGAATACGATTGTTTTATGTGAAACAATGAATTCAGCACAAGTGATTGTGTCTGTAAATCACATGATTTCACGTGTTTTTATTTTGACTTTTTGTGGCTGTAAGCCGCCAGTTTCTTCACCCAACAGTTTATTATCAAAACCGCGAATGATGTCAGGGCTGGCTTCGAAGCGTTTAGTAAAAGAGCTGCGAGATTTGAAGACAAAAGCCCCTGTTGGAATATCAATCAAGGATCCAGAAGACTCTCTTACTTGGTAATACGTCCATGTGCACTATCCACAGATTTGTACTAGTGCTATTTTGAAACTATTGGGCATATTAATATTCCTATTGCATTGACAGCTATTAACTGACGAGCTGTTTCATTTTAATATGCAATTGATATGAATTCCATGAAACCTGTACATGCAATGCTTGGTATACTACTGATATGAACGGAATCCAGTTGGTATATTTCGATTGATGGAGCACCAGGAACTCTTTACGAAGGGGAAGTATTTACTCTGCAGGTATGTATCATTACGAGCTTTATTCTGACTGCAGCTTGGGTGTTTAGTATGAATTGACTGCTTTAATGTTAATGGCTACAGTTCAAGTTTTCCAAAAACTATCCGCTAGAGTCACCCGAGGTATTTCAACACTCCATTGGCTTTTATTTACTGGTCATCTGTCAAATATATATTGTGAATCGCAACTGGATGTTTTGATATTTACTCTTGTATTCATATAGGTTATTTTTGTCAATCAAATTCCTGTTCATCCACATATATACTCCAACGGTCACATTTGTCTGTCGATTTTATATGATCAATGGAGCCCTGCATTAACTGTTGGCTCGGTTTGCTTATCTCTGCAAAGCATGTTGAGTAGCTGTACTAAAAAGGTAAAAAGTGCTGGACTTGTACTCGACTGATATGGTGTCGCATTCGGCTACTCTTTAGTTGGATATATTTATTCATCTAACACTTGGTGTGTATACAACTTGACAAGGAGTTGCCTTCTGGAAACGACGCCTATGTACGATCTTCTAGAAAGTCTCCAAAGGACACATTGTGGGCATTTCACGATGACACAGTCTAAATAGTTTCAATCTCACCCAAAAGACAATCACGTAAATATATCGATTTCAATCCGAATAAGGTGTGAAGAGGTTTAATTTTAAATTGCTCAATTACAATCGTGACAAAGTAGTTTTATGGTGAGCATATCAAAATAGTAGAGTAGAATTCAGCAACATTTTAAAAAATGGCTAGATGGATTAAATGACATACCAAAACCTATTACCAACACATTGATCACACCGTATTACCATCTATAACCGTCATGGAATCAGCGATTAATGAGGCAGGACACGGTACTGCAGGTTCAATGTCGTGCAAATCCAAATCTTTGGATTGTTCATGTTGATTGTATGGACCCACGAGTTCTTGCTCAAGTAGATGTGGTACAGCAAAACTGTCATCGTGGTGCATCACCTTGGGCAAAGTTGGTAGTGGCTTTCCAGAGCGTGTTGCCATCGATATCGAAGGTGAAGATAGAGATGGAATGGGTGGTGGTGGACGGATAGGCGGAGACAGTATTGCTGGTGTAGATGCAGCAGTAGTAACAGAAGGTGAAGACTGAGGCGTGGAAATAGGCACAGTAGATATGAATGGATTGAAAAGCACCTTTTCTCGAACCGAGGCAGTGTTTGCTTGTGCAGTTCCGGAATTAGCATTGACAATATCTGCCGCCCATTCGGCAACACGTTTACCAATGGCTTTTGTCTGATTTGCTACTCTTGCCTGTGCTTTGGGTAAAGGCGTTGACGCTGATGTAGGTTCCATCACTGATTCAACATCCATAAATGATTGCATCATAGGTGTAGTACGACCCTGTTTATGAGAGTGCGATGGATCTGTACCAGCATTGGTAGAAACTGAATCTGACTGGCCAGTGGGTACCGACAAAACCATATGACCAGAAGTCGAGTCTGGTATTTGTTCAGTCGAATGCAAAGACGAAGATGGCGATCCCTCAAAAATTTCAAGCTTGGATTGATGATCTTCATAAATCGTAATCACCCGAATAAGTCGACTTAAAATCAATTGCAACTCATCCTCATCCGAGCTTTCCACCAATTGTTCCTCATCAGCTGCACGTACAAGTATCTTATTTTGAGAATGAAGAATTCCAAGAGCAGTTCGGACTTCAGACAAGGTCAGAATATCTACATGAGCATGTTCATACTCGGCAATCACACTCGAAACTTCCTCTAGTCGCTCTTCTAAAAGTTCGCGACGCTGATCATCGGTAGCAAACCCAATAGATACTACTTCACCTCCACCAATTTTTTGAAAGTATTTCATCTTGGTTCGCATCCACTTGTAAAAATCTTGTTTTCGTTTCATGGACGATTCGAGTCTTGCTCGTTGAACAAGCTCATTGGTATGCGACTGCATCATACGTATATCAGAGTCAGAAAGAAGGGGCTCAATTTGTCTAGGTGCGACAGCCATGTCCTCATTCCATCTAAACAGGTCATTATCAAAAGGCCGATATCCAGGAGGCACATCGTCCAAATTAGGTGATAGAGTTTGAAATGTATTGGCCACCATATATGAAGGATCTCTTAAAAATGGAGTTGCTTCTTTTGTAAATCGAAGTTTGGATCTGTTTAGCTTGGCTTTAATAGATTCGTCAAAAAACAAAATCTCGTAGTCGTTGTCAGGTCTTTCCACTCTGTCAAGAATAAATTGAGCAAAAGCTTGTGTTTCAATGACTTGAGACATAAAGGCTCGGGTTTCGGTATCAAAGTCGGAAAGAAATTCTTGCTTGTGGAACCAGTCTTCGCCATTGAGTTCCAGGGGGTTTATATCTGTTTGATCAGGTCCCTGTTTAGCATTGCGATTGGATCCATTCAATGCCATCTTTATTCGCGACATGCCCGATCCAGACTTGAAAAGTCCGCCAAGATGGTTGCGATAGGTTTTCAACAACGAGGTGAACATTCTAAAAAAGTCATATCTGATTTTCTCTTCGCTAAAAACAATGCCACAAGGATGCGCATCTGTCAATGCAATACATCCAGAATGTATTTGAATATGGCAGCATTCGCACATGAAAACTTTATGTAGTTTGATGTCGAGGTTTTTGCGACACATACGACACACGGGAACTTCGTTTGTGCGAACAGTTTCACGACGAGATAACATCAAGGCTGAATTGATACTGCTGTGACGACGATCACGGGTGTCAAAATTCATGTAGGAGGGAGTGGTTGCAATAGTGCTTCCTGCAGTACTTCCTCCACCCATCCGTCTACCGCCAAGTGTAAACCTCCCCGCGTTGTTTCGTGTATCCATACTTACTTCTGATCGAGTATAATCGTCAGAAGATTGCGAGTCAAGTCCAAACCGATCAGCCAACTCTTCCACATCTTCAAACTTGGACGCATTATGAGATACCGTTTCAACCTCATGCGATGAGCCACAACTACTATGCATATTGGACCCGGTATCAGACATCTCAATATCAGCTATACGGTCAAGCGCAACGGGTTGTGTTGTTGGCGACAGAATCGGAATCAGCTCATGAAAGATATGGCCCTCTTTCAACATGACCTGTATTGGCGGTGAATGAATTGTACTGTCGTAAGGGCAAATTCCATTCATACCACCACGCAGTTCATCATGCTGTGAAAATGAAACATTCAAGGGTGACTCGACATCCTTTTGCAAGTTGGACGGAAGAGATTGCGAGCTGACGGTGTTGTTGGTGTATATGTTTACGCATGGAGTCGGAGTTGGAGAAATGATCGCTGGTGATGTGGCATCATTGGTATCTCCCACAGACACAGAACTATTTATATCACTCACAGAGGGCTGTCCGCCCCAAAACCGAGCGAGCATGTTTTTTCGTGGACTCGTAGAACCACCGCCAAACGAAAGTCCCCGATTTGTAGATGTTGACCTTGAAGGAAAATCTGGACCGGCAGATGAAGGACGTTGACGAAGAATTTCTGGTCCAGTAGAAGAGGGTCGAAGTCGTGATCGAAACTGGGTTTGCTCTCCCTGTGATATATTAAAACTCCCAAACAAAGATTCCAATCCTGGAAGCTTGGCATCATTTTCTGTAGTTTTTTTTTGTTCTGTACGACTCGGTGACCACCACGAAAATCCTTTAGATTGAGTCCGCTCCTCATTGTGTTTCAAAGATGTATTGCTACGACTCTCGGATCCAGCTACAGAAGGTTTTAAATTAGCTGTATCTTGTATGGGCTGTTGAGTATTTGACAATGCATGAGATGACGGCTGCTTTAAAGATGATTCGACATTGATATCACCACTCTCGTTTGACCAGTTTAATACGTCATCAGAATCGACAGCATCTCCATCCGAATGAGGGCGAGAAGGCGTTCTGTGTGGATTATCTGGTGACAAACTATCTGTGCTTGGTCTTGATGCGTTTGATGCGTGAGTCGAAACATAATCTCTAATCGCTGCAATGGAGTCACTCTCTTGTATGGTGGAATCGGTATATGCAAAATTATTTTTCTGGCAATTACGATGAGTATCGGCAGAAAATGAATCATATGGCAATCCAAAAAATGAATTCTGTGCCATAAAGGACTGGCTTGATAAATCACCATTGGATGCAATGTTATTAAACGATTGAGATGCTCCAATGGCAATGTTTTGGTTTTGCAATGCATTGGAATGGTATGATGGAACAGCAAAATTACCGCGAGTCCGATTAGGCGAAATGTTTGAACGCATTGGCGAGTTGGATTTGGCTTGAAGAAAATCGTTGCTAAATTTTGTATACATTGATTTAGGAATATCTTGAACTTTTCGTAATCCAATAAGCGAGTCTCCAGTTAAAACCACTTGCTGTTGGTTTGGAAATGCTTGTTGCATAGTAAGTGGAATCCCATGTCGTTGTTTCAATGCTTCTGCACAATCTGGGCTGCCACGACCAGGTGTTTGTGAAAAAAACATGGCTGCATGCTTTTCAAGCCGGGCAATAAGCTTGCGTCGCTCACGAGTAGGTAACCCAACAATCGGATGCGAAAGATCAATCATGTCATTGTCAAGATCCACCACACTCGCATCAGATGGTCTCCATTCCTGCTCAACAAACTTGCCAAAGTATTTGCGATGTACACCAACAATATACGGCATAGGTGCTTGCAAGTAACTAATCAGTCGAGATGGCAAAACAGGAATCAAAATATGATGCCAGTACAGCGGAAATAGCAAATGGCAAAATGCCTCGGATGCAAGATTTAGCATAGAATAATGAGACGACAAAAAAATCACTTTGCGCTCAGTCAAAATAAGCTCAAAGGCAAGAATGATATGATGCAACGACATGGCACAAAAAATGGGATACATGGAAAACTTGTAGTATTTTATGTAGCGACATGTTGAAATGTTAGCATTTCGTGTATGCTACATTAAACAAAGCCTAGCAATTACAAAAAAAGCTGCATAGGAACCATCATATTCACATACGTTTTTCAAAGTCGGGATGGTATTTACTGGAGGGCGTGAGCAATGCAACTGCTGGTCACCAATATTGATTACAATCTCTAGTTTTCCAGGTGGTGGTAAAGGAATCTCATGAATAATATTCACAATACATCGCTCAAGAGGAATATATCCGTGCAAGCTATCCGCGTTTCGAACCATGCGTACAAGTTCACAAAGCCAATCTTTAAGAATGTTATACCATGGCCAATGACTTAACAGTCCCAAACATCGAGGAACGTATACATGTTCGAGATTTGCAAGAATGGTTTGCTTCAAAGGCGTTAATAGCTCTTCGTATATGCATACTTTTTCTTCTTCGGCTGCTTCTAGTTCACGCCTTTCGTTTAAATCAACGCTGTCATTAACATACTCTTGTAATAATCTCAACTTTTCTTTGTGAAATTCAAGTTGAGATTTTACGTGTTGCACATATTCAATATCACTCTCGGCCTAAACCATCCACGTAAGCAATGCATTAGCAAATAGTCTATACAAAAGCAGTTGTTTGTGAACCACAACATAAACCCACCAAATTGTTTTCCTCCCATTCAGATATAAGAGACTGTAATTGGACTCGTATCTCTTCAGAAGGCTTCTCGTATATAATGATACATGTACCATAGCATTTAGCCCCATTTTCTTCTGTGATTATCTACAATATTATAAAGTTAAAGATCATTCAAACACAACCTGGCTTTACTTGGCAGAAATTTACATGCATTTGAGATGAAGTTTAAAACCACTTGAAAAACAAAATCTGTTCCAACATTCAATCTTAATACTTACAAAGCTATGAAAAGTATCAGGAGGCCGCTGAGATTCGTCATACACAAGCGTCAAATCATTTGGAAAACAAAACTAGCACATTTAACAAGTTAAAATTAATATCAATTGGTTAAAACGAATCTCAATGATACTGCATTTCGAACAAATAAACTTGTAATACCATGGGCACATAAGCAGGGAACTTTTCTGTATCAGACCAATCTTGCTTGGGGTACCGTTGAATAGTTTCTGCCTGAAAATGATACTTTAATGGATGGACTTGTTTTCCATCGACGCCTATTGCCATTAGTTTATTTTGTCAAGACAATAGAAAGCAAAGCGTGCCCATATTAAATGAATTGTAAGCGTATTAATGGAAAGTTGGAGAATGGCAAGATTAGTAAAAGTTGTTCAATGGATTTGGTTGTTCATCAATGTCAGGGTTAGGTCTTGCTATACATCAAGCAAGCAGAATTCAAAGATATTCTACCATTGGGCTCTTTGGGCTTATCACAACACGAAGTATTCCCAGTGTTTGCTTCTTTGATTAATTGAGCAGGACTTTTGACTTCAATCACCGATAAGTCGATTAGTGACCCATTGGTGTCGCATATTACCGGAAGACGTCTATCTATTAGACTTTTAGAGTGGTCCAGTCCAGCCTGAAAGAAATAATCAACAAAGCGTCCAAGGGCTGGCCGTGAGCTTTCCTCTGTCGAGTCTGGTAGCTGCGAGTCCTCCATTAAATAAATACCAACAAAAAGTAATGAATAGACAAAGTAGATACTATCGATATATGTTCAAGTTCTGGTTGATATAATAAATATCATCAAACTCGAGTCAAACTATTTTGAATTCAAAACTCGACAAGAATCAGATTTGATATCAAAACTTGTGCTATTCCCTAGTCTTTATTTTCAAAACAATATCTTGAACATTCACTATACAATCAGCAAAACTAATTTATAAACGCATTATTAATGCGAGTCGTCACATTTGTATTTATATTCTCAAAGTGGTCTGTATTGCTATCTCGTTGCTTTCAGAGCAAGATTTGCAACTGTTGGAAACTTGAATCAACTCATATCTGCCAATAATTTCACTGCTATTGCCCATTTGTATTGAGTTTATTTACAAGAGTACATGCATGACATACAACTTGAAAAGCACAATAGGTGATATTATGCAACATATTACTACTTTCCACGAGGCAGTCTGTTCCGAGTCGGATAGTTCTAGTGCTATGCCATGTAAAGACGTTGAAGATTATACAAGTTGTGGATGTGGCTTACATTTGTTGTGGTATAAATGCTCAAACTGGTGGCTTGACCAAACAATTTTTGCATGCTTGGATAATCTCAACAAGCTCGTACAGCTTGATTGAAGCATTGCAACATTTGAACTTGATAACTGGATTGTAAAGGATGAATCTGGTGATTGTACAATGTATGGCTATTCCAAAAGGAAAGGAAATGGTGAGCATCATGATGGTCATTGTGTCTGGAAAAGAATCGAAAATGTCAAGCCAATTTATAAAAGCATTAAATATCCAACTATTGCTCTTGGTGATGTTCTTTTGCAAATATTGATAGATTGTCTGTTGATTAAATGGTAGGATACACAAACAATAGACACTCTTGATTAAATATAGGGCAACGTCACTCTTTTGGTCTTGGCATGATCTTTAGAGTTTTTGGTTTGTAAAATTGTGCGATTGGTTTAGGTTAATGTAGACTATGTAGTGAAACTCTTGTTTTTGAAATGCTGCAATGGTTGCTTGTTTGTGGTTTGAATGTTTTTACAACCATATCCACATAGAATGATACTTTTCGGTATTGATCTTGTAATGATTGTCTTGGAATAAACAATCGTTACATGTTCGTTATTGGAAATTGATTACTTTTATTGAAACTCTGCTGTACTCTAATACCAGATACGTTTGCGCTCTAACTCGGGAAAACAAAGATCGCACGTCTCAGGAATGCAACTCACATACCAGTCACCCAGTATTTGGAAAAAAAGGGAAGTTGCAGGTTGAAAAGATGTCAAGGATGTGGAATGTATTGGAACAGAAATGTAAACATTCGCTCTATATTTTTGTGCAAGAATGAGCATGGAGATTAATGAGTTCAAAAAACAATATTGTTCAGTAAGATTGGCACCAATCAAACATGACTGTTATTATGTATTCCGACTTATTTAGTGTTTCATTTTACGTGAATACAGCTATAAAATATAACGAAATTGAATTGAAATAAACATTTTTTGCGCTCATTCCTCTTGCCTATTGACTAAACATGGCAGATGCCAAAATGATTATACTAGAAACCATCTTTTCTGATGTTGATCCGTCTATTATTGAATCCACACTGACTGCTCACGATGGTGACTTGCTAGAGGTACTTGATGTCATTTTTTTACTGTTGGCTATTTCACTATTCTCAAATCCATAGCTACTGATACTTACTATGACTCTAGACTCAAGCATATTTGGAAAAATACTTTACTTCAAATAAAGCTGCTGCTGCTGCACTTGGACCTAGAAATCAGACATTCCAAGAGTCGACAATGGTTGACTCTATACAGATAAACACGCTTGCTTCTCATTTTCCAACCATTGACCCTAGCGTGCTGAAATCTGTTTTAGACGTGTTTAATAACAATATGGACGAGGCATATACATATCTGGAAGAAAAGGGGCATGCTATGCATTATCGTAAAATAGCTCAAACTTTGACTGATCAGCCCGAATCTGACTTGAATGTTGATACTAGTCAGCAGATTCAAAGCCATGATGCTTCCACAAGCAGCACTTCGCTTGAAACTGAGCCATTACCTCCATATACTTCTGTATCAGACATTCTGTTAAAAGAATTATCTGAAAACCCTTTTTCCGATCCTGTTTTAGAACCCACTTTTGCTTTGACCACAGCTCAAGAATCTAGAACTTCAATTCCACCCCCACTTCCACCAAGAACACGCCATATTGATTCGTCTATAAATCAAACGCAGCTTGCTCAACAGAATATTCAGCTTGATTGCAATAATATAGCGAATGCTCATGTCCAATTTTCTGAATTTTCTAATCAGCCAGCATCTGCACAAACACCCGTCTCGCCACCTCGTGGAATAGCTGCATTTTCTCCTAGTCAAATATCTGGCTGGGAAAACACTGCCTGGTAAATTATAAACTCGAGTAAACTTGATCCAATGTTTAAAATCAGTGTTGTTCAATAAAAATAAGGCAGCGGATTAAATATCCATCAACTACCGCACTTTATTATTCAGTAGATGCATTTGGTTATAGATCTCCGAGTTCCGGCTAGATTCCAGTTCAAAGCTCGCGGTTCATTCGCGACTTCTTTCATTGGGTGTTTTTACTTTGAAACTCGAAAAGAGAACTCGTCACTATTTAAAAGATACTTTAGTAGCCTTCAACAAGGTATTCTAATAGACACTAGCGTGCACGAATGATGCAAGAGCCAATCCCTGCAACTTCAGCAGACGAGGTGCAGATTCTTTCACCATTAAATATTGTCACCACAGAGTCTGAAGTCTCTCCACATGTAGTTCAAACCATTGATGGTCCTATTCCAAACTCAAAGTCAAACTCAGATATCACTCCACGCAAACTGTCTATAACTCAACAATATCTAGTTTCTTCAAGTTCCGACCGTCCATTCAGCAGCAAGAGTGTGGTTTCTCGTGACCGTGCTAAATCTAGCGATATAAGCACATCCAATATGGACGAGAAACTTACTAATGAGTTGAAACTTCGACTTTTTACTATTTCTAGCAAGGCTTCTGCACCCAGGTTTGAATTAGGACTGAAACGCAAGTTGGCAAATCCAGCGAAACATTCAAATGATATCGCGTCGCCTCCGACTGGACAAAATCTGGCAGGAGGTGTAAAGCTACCTCATATGCCTCAAAAACTGAAACCCCTTGCATCATGTGCTACTGTGCCCCTAGTTCCTCAAAAGGTAAATGATGATTGTTTTATAATATCTATACCTTGAAGCGTCTCGGCTATTTTCGAGAAAACTACGACTGGATAAATCGTCACCATCTACATCATGCGGTGCAATGCTGATTCATTTGAAATCTAATTCAATTTATTTTTATAATTTGCTGCAATAATATTTTCACGCATATCAATAAGCAGTATATCCCAGATAGCATCTTTACGCAGTATAAATATCCCAAAAGCGAAAAACCTCTATTGCGTCCTATTCTTCTCAAGGCAGTTAAACCAGTCATTAACCCGGCACGGCCCATATCGGGTTATTATGCCAAAAAGAATGACTTGGTTTGTGTTCAAGCATCAAATGACATGGATCAAACCGATGCATATCATGACGAACTAGCAGACGTTATAGTTAATCTGACTCCCAAAGTCGTACCTCCTATTAGCGTAGGTCGTGAACAAAAACAAATTTATGCGAGTGATGATCAAATGGATACAAGTATGTCAAGCGGCGGAAATCTACCAGCTAGTACGAATAAAAACAGCGCATGTGCACAGATCGTTCCAGGAGTGCTCGACGAAAAAGAATCTGATGTATCCATTGAAGATATTGACAACATGGATATAGACGAGACTTCCCATGACACCAAATCTATATTGTTTAATCCATTGAAAACAAAGGAAGAATGCACTAAAGACTCGTTAAAACTCGTTCATCTTAAAGAAGATGATCCTCGCAGCCCGTTTGTGTTTCTCAAGTTTTTTTCTAGCCATCCCAACACCAACGAGTTTATTTACATGGTTCCATACAAGACATCTCTTAAACGAGATCAGCCCATGTTTAATCCATACAATTTGCAGGTTGTAAAGTTTAGTGAAATCGACACAAAATCACCCGATGGGTTCTACACCATGTCGTTCCAGGTAAGCAATGCATTCAATTTATGCAACTATTGAAATAGCTCAAAACAGCCAGAATCTAAAACATTAAAATTGCACTCGACGTATCTAATGTAAATTGTTTTTTTCTGAATAGGGAGTAACTCATTTCAACAGCCTTGGACACGGCGAGTTTACTCCTTTACAGCAATGGACAAGAGAGTTTAATCTCTTCCATTCACTACTTCGTATTCCCTTTTTTTCCCATTATCGTTTATGGAAGTGTTTCACTTTATGGAAAAGAACGGTTCTTCACACAAAAATCCAGCTCATCAAGAAACAGCTCACCAAAAACCTGTTTATTTTACATCCCCTGCTTTGTAAAGCCTTGCTGCAAATTCAATCCTTGAATGCAGAAATTATATTTAAAAAACGATTGTTTTCAATAGACGAAGAACAGAGCTACGAGCTTCGAGAGTTTGTCAAGAAACAAAAGCAATGTGTGGATCAGATCTCTGTTGTGACACTACGTACTTGGAATGACCAGATCAAGGAGATTGTCGAACAAGCAAGTCTAGCCTGTTTAAAGGAAAAAGGATTTGATGTACAAGCTGCACTAATCGCTCAAGCTGAGCTCAAGTCAGACACTGGTGTGTTGAGTAGAAAACCTACAAGTGGAGATGTTTGTAATTCCAACATGGTCGGCAAGAGCTGTGAGAATATCAATACTACCACGGGCTTGAAAAAACTATCGTTTACTGAGCAAGCTGCTCGTCGTACAGAATGCCGTCGTCTTCAGCGGTTTGTCAAGCTAGTCGACTATTCCATTATTTTTACCTTGCAGCAACTCGCTATTCAAAGTGTACAAGATCTGCTAAAAAGCGTATTTAAAGGATGTTCTGATGCTGATGTGATTGTTGATGGCAGTGGATCTGGAACGGTCGTTATTGGAGAAAATGGAATGGTGCGCATGGCCGAGTCCAACACTGGAATGAATGACAGATACACATTAGGCGAGCAGGAAGTTGCCCAAACTATTGCTGGAACCAATACCGCAACAAGTGTTCAAGTTGGCGGTTTGGTGGTGGGCAACGAGGTTACGACTACAAAACTGTGCGAGTGCGGCTTTGATGGGTTCTCTGATATCCTCAGTCGCATCATCATGAGAATTGCTCCACAAGTGAATTTGGTCGAGATTGCCGAGGAGCAAGGTTTAATGGTAGATGACAATCCAGATAGTGAATTGTTGGCAGATACATCCAAGATCGACACTGCTAAACTTAATTCCAAACATTCAGACAAATGGAAAGGAGTTGTTGATCAGCCAGACTGGTCAAAGCCATTTGTAGCCTTGTTCCGTACTGAGCTGCTTATCCATCAGCAAGATGCAACAAAACGATTTTATTTTTCGCCATCCTTACAAGACTATCTCGGGGCAATCGATACCATTTTTCAAATATATATGACTACTGTGGAGCGATTTCCGCCACTTACCAACTCTATTCCATTTTTGGATCCAGCCAACCTTGCTGGTGGTGCTTACTCTTCGATGCGCGGTCTTGAAGATTCAGAATTTGGAGAAGGACCGCAGATTGCTTCTATTGTAATGGACAGTGGATATCTTCGTGAGCTTTGTGGTCGCATTCGTGGTGTGTTTGTTGGAATGTTTTCTAATGCTTTCAAGTGGGCAAATACCTTGGAAAATGTACGCACCATGTGGCTTGAGAATCAAAAGTTTTATGGACTGGAAAACTTGCGTCAGTCAGCTGGCGAAATTGCCTATTTGCTGGCAACCACTCCTGAAGGTGTTGAAGGTGGTATTACGAGTGTTCTTTTAAAAACAAAGCAAGAAACAAATGCCCGTAATACTGAGCAAAATGCCAACGAACTTGCTCAGTCTTTTGCATCTACTATTCAAGCCGACAAAGGCAATGTTCAGATTGATAAAAAGCCGGTAAATATTCTTGAACTGATATCGCACGTTGCTTATCGGCCAGATGGCATCAGATACTCTCCTCTTGTGGAATTTTCCGATGAAGCGTTAAGCCGATTTGCATATCAAAAGCAGACTATGATGGATATTCCTGTGCGCTCCACCATCAACAACATTATCATTGATACCAATCAGCTAAAAAATGTTCTTGTGCCTAGTCCCGAGAGATGCTTTAACGAAGTAGCCAGTATTCTACCAAGCATTGCTCGTGACAAAAACGAGTTACTTCTCACTGAAGTTCAAATGTGGGTAAAGGTATTAAACACACATCCGACTCACGTTGAGGGTTTTGTAGAGTATCTTGGATGGTTGGAAAAGGTTCGAGAAAGTATGCCTGTTGTAGATCAACTTGAAGATGAAGTGTCTCGCCTTTACGCTCTTCTTGAAATGTACAAGATTCAAATTCAACCTACTGATTTGGCCATGTTCCAAACTCTTGGACCAAGCTTAAGATCACTTAAAGACTCTGTTGATGTTGCCATGGACACTCGTGAGGAATCCATTACAAGGTTTACAATTGATCTTGAAAAGAGTATGTCTGAACTGACGAGTGAGGTTTCAGATATCCGCAACCGTGCTCAAGATCCCATGATTCTCAGTTCAACCACAAAAAGCGATGTTGCCATTGCATTTTTGGAAGATCTCCGCCAACAACTCGAAAAAGTCGAGATTCTTAAGAAACGATTTGAGCAGTGGGGTGAATTGTTTAAACGCGGTGGAACGGCAGTCGTTAATGAAGCAGCACCTGAAAAAGATTTGAAACCTATTGTCGCAGCAGCCCCACTTACTGGAGGATTTGGCACGAGTAAAACTGGATTTGAACTTGAAGAAACCAAGACTGAGATTGAAATGAAACGTATGCTATGGACTAGTCTCAAGGAGTGGGATGCACTTACCGAATTTTGGAAAGCACAGTCGTTCGAGTCACTTGTTACGGACGATATCAATACCAAGATTATCATGTATCTCAAGATTGTATATAATCTGGACAAGGCTCTGCCTCCAAACGAAGTTGTTCCTAGACTCAAGTCTATGGTTGAAGAGTATAGATACATATATCCAACCATTGTTGATCTACGCAATCCCTCTCTTAAGCAGCGTCATTGGGAAAAGATTCAAGACGCAATTGGCAAATCGCTCATTAAAGATGAAGGTTTCACGCTTTCTAAATTGATGGATTTACGTGTCTTTGACTTTAAGGAAGAAATCAGTGGGATTTCAAGTCAAGCTGGGTCTGAATCGGCTCTAGAAGAAATGCTTGGCCGTGTGATCAAGAACTGGAGTGAAGCAGAATTTATTGTTACGCCATACCGGGACAACAAAGATGTGTTTATTTTGGGCACTGTAGAAGATATTCAGACGCTGCTTGAAGATTCGCAGGTCATGATTGCTACTATCAAAGGCTCACGTTTCATTGGACCGATTAGGGTCGAGGTTGAGCGCTGGGACAAACAGCTATCTTTATTCTCAGAGACGTTGGATGCGTGGCTAACATGCCAGAGAAATTGGCTATATCTCGAGAGTATTTTTTCTGCACCAGATATCCAACGCCAATTACCTGATGAAGCACGCATGTTTTCCCAAGTGGACCGAAGTTGGAAGGATGTAATGCGTAAAGTATCGCGCAACTCGAATGCTATAAAATCTGGAACCCTTCCAGGGTTGCTGGAAACCATGCAGCAAAACAATGTTCTTTTGGAGCAGATCCAAAAGTGTCTTGAGGATTATTTGGAAAGCAAGCGACTTTTGTTTCCCCGATTTTACTTTTTGTCCAATGATGAGCTGCTGGAGATTCTTTCGCAAACCAAGAACCCACAAGCTGTCCAGCCTCATTTGAGTAAATGCTTTGACGCTATAAAGAGTCTTGAATTTTCTTCAAACGATCCAAAGAGTATTGATATTGTAGCCATGATCAGTCCAGAAGGTGAGCGTGTTCCTTTTCTCAAGACTGTCAAGGCACGAGGAAATGTTGAAGCATGGCTTGGAAACGTTGAAGAAGCCATGGTGGCTGTATTGCGTCGACTTATAAAAACATCCATTGCCGATTTTGAAGAAAGTCGCCGATCTGATTGGGTACGTGAGCATGCTGGGCAGGTGGTTGTTACCGGAAACCAGGTTCTTTGGTGTCGTGATGTCACTGAATCTCTTAAATCAAACGAGCCTGGAAAGGCTCTTGTAGCTCTTAAACAAAAATGCATCACTAATCTTTCTGGCGTTGCCATGCTTGTGCGGAGCGAGCTAACCAAACTCCAACGCGCTATTCTTGGTGCTCTCATCACTATTGATGTCCATAATCGTGATATTGTTCAAGGACTTATTCATGCAAAAGTGACCGGTTTTGGTGATTTCGAATGGATCAAACAGCAAAGATACTATTGGGATGCTGACTTGGATACTTGCCATGTGAAGATGTCCACGTCTGTGTTTTCCTATGGATATGAATATCTAGGATGCTCACCGCGTCTTGTTATTACTCCACTGACTGATAGATGTTATTTAACTTTAACGGGTGCACTTCAGCTCAATTTGGGTGGATCTCCTGTTGGACCTGCTGGTGAGTTTGATCTTTAGATGCAAACTATATTGTGCTGCATCAGTTGATTTGACTTTAACAAGATACTAATTTTAACTGAAATTTGCTTTATTAACTAGGCACTGGTAAAACAGAAACCGTCAAAGATTTGGCCAAAGCCATGGCAAGACAGTGTGTGGTTTTCAATTGCTCAGATGGTTTAGATTACAAGATGATGGGTAAAATGTTTGCTGGTCTTGCTCAGTCTGGCGCATGGTGTTGCTTTGACGAATTCAACCGTATCGATATTGAAGTGTTATCTGTTATTGCCCAGCAGCTGTTGACCATCAAAAATGCCAAGGACATGAAGGCCACCAAATTCATTTTTGAAGGAAGAGAAATCCGTCTTGTAGAAACTTGTGCAGCCTTCATCACTATGAATCCTGGATATGCTGGCCGTACCGAACTTCCAGACAATCTTAAAGCACTATTTCGTCCTATTGCAATGATGATTCCCGACTATGGTCTTATTGCCGAGATTATTTTATTTTCAGAAGGATTCGAAAATGCCAAGCCTTTATCGGGCAAAGTTGTCAATCTATACAAGCTCTGTTCTGAACAACTATCCCAGCAAGATCACTATGATTTTGGTATGCGAGCAGTAAAATCAGTTTTGATTATGGCAGGTGCACTAAGGCGAAGCATTCCAGAATTAAGCGAGGATGTCGTACTCATTAGGTCATTGCGCGATTCAAACCTTCCAAAGTTTTTGTCGGAAGATATTGGTTTATTCAAGGGTATTCTTTTGGATCTTTTCCCTGGTGTGGTGGTTCCTGACAGAGATTTTGGTGCACTAGTCAAGGCAGTTGAAGCTGTACTTCACGAGCGTGATCTTGACGTTGTGGAAAACTTTGTGAGCCGTGTTTGTCAGCTTTCTGAAACCATGCAAATTCGCCATGGTGTCATGCTCGTTGGTCCTACAGGCGGTGGAAAAACAACGTGTTATGAAACCCTCCAAGAGGCATCTGGCAGATTGCACGACTCGGGACACTCTGAATTCAAGCATGTGAAAACGTGGGTTTTGAATCCCAAGTGTGTTGAAATGACCGAGTTATATGGTGAGTTTAATATAGCAACAATGGAATGGAAGGATGGACTTATTGGCAGTATTTTCCGAGCCCAAGTCAGTGACAACAGCCAAGATGATAAATGGACCGTGTGCGATGGCCCTGTCGATGCGCTATGGATTGAAAATATGAACACAGTGCTAGACGATAACAAACTGCTTACTCTTATCAATGGCGAGCGTATTAAAATGAACTCTTCAATGCACATGCTATTTGAAGTTGCAGATCTTGCTGTGGCGTCTCCAGCTACTGTTAGTCGCTGTGGTATGGTGTACATGGATCCAGCAACTCTTGGTTGGCGCTCATATGTCAAGACCTGGATTCACAAACTTCCTTCCTATGTAACAGAAGATCTTAAAATCCATCTGACCATCTTTTTTGATGCATTTGTGGATTTTGGTCTTCAGTTTGTTCGTCGAAACTGCAAAGAGTATATCAAATCTGTTGATTTGAATCTAGTTGCAAGTTTGTGCAAGCTATTAAGAACCTATATCAATCGCACCAAAGAAATTGATTTCAAAGCATCGATTTTGGAAATCAAGCCTCTTTTTTCAAATATCTTTCTATTTTGCTTTATATGGTCTATTGGAGGAAACTTGGCAGACGGATACCAAGAGTTATTTGATACTTTTATGCGCGAAATGCTGAGTGCATCTTCTGTCACTGAGATACAGATTCCATCCTCGGCTAATGTGTTTGGATTTTTCGTTGATTTGAAATCACGCAATTTCGTTTTATGGGATGATATTGTAGCCAGCTTCAAGTTTTCAGCAGATATACCTTACTTTGATATGGTTGTTCCAACTACGGATACTGTCAAATATGCCTACTTATTAGAAGCGCTGGTATCTAATAGCTATCCAACACTGTTTACTGGAAACACTGGTGTAGGAAAATCTGTGATTATTCAAGACTTGCTCAATCGGATGGCAAAAGCAAACAAAAATATCAATGTCACGCTCAACTTTTCTGCCCAGACAAATAGTGCTCAAACACAGCAGGTTGTGGAGCTCAAACTAGAAAAGAAAAGAAAAAACATTACTGGAGCTCCAATTGGGATCAACAAGGTTGTGCTGTTTGTTGACGATCTTAACATGCCAAAGATGGATACATATGGATCTCAGCCACCAATTGAATTGCTACGACAGTATCTTGACTTTGGTGGATTCTATGATCGCGAAAAACTAACCTGGAAGATTATCCAAGATGTTGATTTGGTTGCCGCCTGTGCTCCCCCAGGAGGTGGCAGAAACCATGTAACGTCTCGATTTTTGCGTCACTTTAATATCCTCAATATTTCAGCACCAAACGAACTGTCACTATCCAAGATCTTCAAATCTATTGTTGAGGGATTTTTAAAACCCTTTTCTACCGAGATAAAATCATCATGTGAGGCAATTGTTCACTCTGCTATTGAAATTTACCATCGCATGTGTACCGAGCTTCTTCCAACACCTGCAAAGTCGCATTACACGTTCAACCTGCGTGATTTGTCCAAGGTTGTTCAGGGTATTTTGCAAGTACGCCCTAATGTCATTACAACAAAAACAGAATTAGCTCGTTTGTTTTGCCACGAATCATCTCGAGTTTTCCATGATCGGCTGATTGATGATACAGATCGGCAGTATTTTAACAAACTTTTATCAGAACTTGCTGAAAAGAATTTTGGGACGCCAATGTCAAAAGAGAGTTTTTCACAAACCCCAATTATGTTTGGCGATTTTTCCAAGCGAGGTGTGGCTTCAGAGGATCGTATATACACTGAAATGATTGATATGAAAGCAATGACTACTTTGCTAGAAGAGTATTTGGAAGAGTATAACGTGACGATGAACAAGGATATTCGATTGATATTTTTTATGGATGCCAAGCAGCACATTACTAGAATTTCCCGTATTATTCGCCAGCCTAGAGGCAATGCTTTATTGGTGGGTGTCGGTGGTACAGGAAAACAGTCTCTTACTCGTCTTGCTTGCCACATTTCAGACTACCAATGCACTCAGATTGAGCTTACAAGAACATATGGCCAGGAAGAATGGCATGAAGATCTCAGGAAACTATATCGTCTTGCAGGGTTAGATGGAAAAAATACAGTGTTTTTACTATCGGATACGCAAATTAAAAAGGAAACCTTTTTAGAAGACATCAACAGTATCCTCAACTCTGGAGAAGTGCCTAATCTGTTTGAAACAGACGAGCGTGAAAAGATTTTGGGTGATTTAAGGCCGCTTGCTAGAGAAAAAGGCCTAAGTGAAGATCGGGACTCTGTATACCAACTGTTTATCAGTCGTGTCCGTGACAACCTTCATATTGTGTTTGGGACCAGTCCTGTGGGCGATACGTTTCGCACTCGATGCCGTATGTTCCCCTCGCTTGTAAACTGCTGTACCATTGATTGGTTTGATGAGTGGCCAAAAGATGCGTTGCTTTCTGTTTCTCGCAGATTTTTCGAGTTTGTTGATTTGGGAAATGACGATATGAAAACCAAAATTGCTACCATGTGTGTGGAGATTCACGCATCCGTTGGCGAAATTGCCAAGCGGTTTTATTCTGAATTGAGACGAAGGTACTACACCACACCAACATCCTACTTGGAATTGATTAATCTTTACATCTCCATGCTTCAGGAAAAGCGCAAAGAACTTGGATCTTCTAGAGATCGACTGCGTAATGGTCTAAACAAATTAGCCGAAACAAACGTACTGGTTGCCAACATGCAAATTGAGTTGGAAAATCTTGGACCAGAACTTAAAGTTCGTGCACAAGATACTGAAACCTTGATGGTCAAAATCGCCAAGGATCAAGAAATTGCTGATGGTGTTCGAAAAGTTGTATCAGAGGAGGAAGCTGTGGTGCGAGAAAGAGCGCTGCAAACTGAAGCCATTGCTACTGAGGCACAAAGAGATTTAGACGAAGCACTTCCTGCACTGGATGCTGCCTATAAAGCACTGGATGGACTCGAGAAAAAGGACATTGCTGAATTAAAGGTGTTTTCTAAGCCACCTGACTTGGTGCTTATGGTCATGGAGGCTATTTGCATTTTATTCAAGTTCAAACCCGACTGGGAAAACTCGAAAAAACTGCTTTCAGATCCCCAACTCATGCGTAAGATGGCCGAATATGACAAGGACAATATTCCCGAGAGTTTGTCAAAAAAACTCAAAAAATACATTGAAAGTCCTAATTTCAATCCAGATGCTGTTGAAAAGGTGTCGAGAGCATGCAAGAGTATGTGTATGTGGGTCGTTGCCATGGATCTATACTCGCGTGTTTTCAAAGAGGTACTTCCCAAGAAAAAACGTTTGGAAGAGGCACAAACTACTTTGGAGTCGACTAAAGCAAAGCTTGCTGAAAAGGTTGAAGCGTTGGCAGAGGTTGAAACCCAGTTGGAGAAACTCAAAGCCAAATACGAAAATTCGGTATCTTCTAAACGACTACTGGTTGACAAGATGGACGAAACAACACGACGACTGTCGAGGGCAAGTAAACTCACACTTGCTCTGGCTGACGAACAAATTAGATGGACCGACTCTGTTGAACGCTTAAATTTGCAAATAGAATTGCTTGTTGGTAACATTTTCCTTAGCGCAGCTTGTGTTGCGTATTTTGGTGCATTCACGTCTAATTACAGAAGTGAGCTTGTGCAGCGCTGGATTGTTAATTGTCAATCTGCTGGTATCCCAGTATCAGAGAATTTTCACTTGCTGGAGCATCTTGCAGACCCAGCTGTTGTGCGCGATTGGAACATTCAAGGACTTCCTGCAGATGCACTATCAATTGAAAATGGTATTCTTGTTACCCGTGGTCGTCGTTGGCCACTTATGATTGATCCCCAAGGCCAGGCAAATCGTTGGATTCGCAACATGGAAGGATCCGAGTTAAAAGTAATCAAACTTTCCGAACCCAAGTTTCTTCGATCTCTTGAAAATGCCATTCGAACTGGACAGGCTGTTCTTTTGGAAGATGTTGGCGAGCAGTTGGATCCTGCGCTTGAACCCCTTTTGCTAAAGCAGACTACTCGTCAAGGCGGCCGTGTGTTGATGAAGTTGGGCGACTCGTTTGTGGAATATGACAGGAATTTCAAACTGTATATCACTACAAAATTGCCCAATCCTCACTATCTTCCCGAAGTATGCATCAAGGTCACAATTATCAATTTTATTGTCACAAAAATAGGTCTTGAAGGTCAGTTGTTGGCGGATGTGGTCAAATTGGAGCAGCCTGAGCTTGAGGAACAACGAAACTCTCTCATTGTGAATATTGCTGCAGACAAGAAACAGCTTAAAGACATTGAAGAAAAAATTCTAAAAATGCTGTTTAATTCACAAGGAAACATTCTTGATGATGAAGATCTTATCAGTACGCTCAATCAATCTAAAATGACATCAGCAGCAATCAATGAGCGTGTGTTACAGGCTGAGCAGACTGAGCAGGATATCAATCTGGCTCGTGAAAAGTACAGACCGGTTGCTATTCGAGGATCAGTGCTTTATTTTGTAATTGCTGATTTAGCTGAAATTGACCCCATGTATCAGTTCTCACTAAAGTACTTTGCCAACCTATTCAACAACTGTATCGTCGAGTCTGAAAAATTCGATGATTTGAACCGGCGTATTGAAATTCTATGTACCAACACAACATTTGAGGCATTTTCAAACGTTTCTCGTGGACTGTTTGGAGCTCACAAGGTGCTGTTTGCATTTATGATTTGCATTGAAACCATGCGTGAAGATGGGAAAATCAACGAGCTTGAATGGAACTTTTTCTTGCGCGGTGGTGGTATGCTAAGATCTAATCTTCCTTCCAAACCCAATGCACGATGGCTATCCAGTCATATGTGGGAGAATCTGTGTGACTTGGCCTACACTATACCACAATTTTCATACATTATTGGCCATATTGGCATGTATCCAGATGATTGGGAGTCACTTTTGGAAGCGGACATGCCATACATGCTACCAATACCTGGAGATACGACAATGCAATTAACCGATGTTCAGAAAATATTACTGATAAAGGTATTGCGTGAAGAGAAGCTTGTTTCTACTGCCATTGAGTTTATCAAGAAAAACATGGGCGAAAAGTTTATTGATATACCGCCACTTGATCTTGCCAAAGCATACAAGGATACTTCGCCTGCATCTCCACTTATATTTATTCTTTCTACAGGATCGGATCCAGTGTCATCACTTGTGAAATTTGCCAGTTCTCCAAAAGTTGCAATGCAAGACAAACTGCACATGATTTCACTTGGTCAAGGGCAAGGTCCTATTGCTGAAGAATTGGTAAAGCGAGCCATGATTAGTGGCGATTGGGTGTTTTTGCAAAACTGTCATTTGGCCGCATCATGGATGAATAGTCTCGAGTCGCTTGTCAAAGAATTTGGGCTTCCTGAAGTTGAAATAAACCCAACATTTCGACTCATTCTCTCGTCCATGCCGTCCAAAGTTTTCCCCGTTGCTGTTCTTCAGGATGGTGTCAAGGTTACCAATGAGCCCCCAAAAGGCTTGCGAGCTAATCTGGCGCGTAGTTTTGCTGACGTGTCTCGAGATTTGTTTGACGACCATCCACCACAGGGTGTCAAGTTTCGCAAACTTTTGTTTGGCATATGTTTTTTTAACGCTGTCATTCATGAACGAAAGAAATTTGGTGCGCTGGGATGGAACATTATGTATGACTGGAGCAACTCTGATTTAGAAGTATCCATTACGATTTTGCGAAATATGTTGCAAGAATACAAGACAATACAATGGGATGCATTGCTCTATCTGACAGGAGAAATCACATTTGGTGGCCGTGTGACTGACGACTGGGACAGACGATCACTAAAGTACATTCTACAAAGGTTCTACACACCACAGATTCTTGATGATGTGTATAAATTTTCTTCGTCTGGTATTTACTATGCACCATCAGATGGTGATTTAGCATACTTTAAAAGCTATATTGATGGGCTACCATTTACTGAAGAGCCATCTATATTTGGAATGCATGAAAATGCCAACATCAGCTACCAAGTACAGGAAACCCGGCGATTGATCAAGTCTGTACTAGACGTTCAACCTTGCTTGATGAATGCTGGAAGTGGAAAATCAACCGAAGACATGGTAACAGAAATTGCTACAACAATTTTGGACGAGTGGCCTCAAGTTCTGCATATCGAGGTTCCAAACAACCTATCTGCTACTACAAAGTTTTCCGGTGCAGGTGAAGGCAGCGACAGTTCCATTTCTGAAAAGCTGTTTAAACGTGATGAAAGTGGTCGTATGATTGATTCGCTAAGTACAGTGTTGCTCCAAGAAGCCGCACGGTTCAATAAGCTCAACAGCTTAATTCGTGCATCTTTGGAAAGTCTTATTAAAGCAGTCAAAGGTTTTATTGTAATGAGTCCTGAACTAGAATTAGTATTTAAAAGCTTATTGAATAACGAGGTATTTTATATTCAGGAATACTTTGTTGTTTTGCAATGTATATCAACTCAATATTCTGCATCGTGTATCTACTATTTTAGGTTCCTGACGCGTGGGCTAACCATGCATATCCTTCGCTCAAGACACTTGGTTCATGGGTTAAAGACTTTCACAAAAGAATGGAAATGATTAGAAAATGGGCTACAGAAGGTCAGCCAAAATGGTTCTGGCTTCCAGGATTCTTTTTTCCTCAAGGTACACTTTTATACAAACAAATCTGATGACCTCGTTGAACAATGTACACTTGCTATAGTTTAACAATGCATTGTCATATTTTAGGATTTCTTACTGGTGTAATGCAGAACCACGCTAGAAAATATAGTATTCCCATTGACACCCTTATCTTTAATTTCAAAGTCAACGACTTTGATGAAAACGATCTACAGCTTCAGCATTCTCAACCACCTTTGAGTGTTGAAGAAGAAGGGATATTGGTGAGTGGGCTTTTTGTTGAAGGCGCAAGATGGGACAAGGAAAAGCGGTTACTTCAAGACTCGTTTGCAATGGAAATGTATTCTGTAAGTTTTCGGTTTATCTATTCTGCATATCATGTATTTATAGATTGGCATGGTGCTAAGACATGCTGTATAAACACAGGCTATGCCATTGATTTGGTTCCTGCCATCACAAACTGCTCCATCAAAGGACAAGGCATATATTTGCCCACTATACAAGACATCAGCACGCGCAGGAACACTATCAACCACAGGTCATTCGACCAATTTTGTGGTGACTATTTTCCTTCCATCAGACAAGCCATCAGATTATTGGGTAGCAAAGGGCGTTGCTCTTTTGGTAAGTTTCTGCTTGTTTTACCAAACTCGCTCAATTATAAAACTAACACATACCGACTTGTTTGTATCATTTATTCAGTGTCAACTCAACGAATAGTCTCATAAACCAACCACTAGCCATTATTCAATATATAATTCCATGGACTGGGAGTTGCACAATTCAACTGTTTGGTATCAAAAATATCATCCGAGCTATTGGTACTTGGGTCTATCAATAAACTATTTGTTAGCATAGTCGTATTAGCGTGTTTTTGATCCATTTGAGGTGGAGTCTTTGGGTGTGTGGTTTTGGTAATCGGATGGGAATGTTTATATATTATGTTGGATTGACAAAGCGTATCAATGTCGGTATTCTTGCTTTTAATCGATTTACCAAGTAATGGATAGCTGGTGGCTCTATGACTAAAATGGACAAAGGTGCTCATGGCTGAATCTAAATTGGTTTGTAGATTTTCTGCAGATTTACTGTGTTGACGTGTATCATTGCCTGATTCAGTTGTATGGTTCGTTGTATTAGATATTTTTGGAAAGTGAGACTGAGGCAGTATTGACAATTCTTTCAATCGTCCACTGGTTTGTCGTTCAGCCTGCATTTCCCGTCGATGTTGTTGTGTCATGAGAATATAGTTGGATATCCGTTGCGAAACAACGCTAGCCAAAACTTCTGGTGGTATAGGGTTGCCAGAAGATAAGTCTGCTTGTGTGTTTTGTCGTGATTTAGACTTGTTTTTGGTACCTGCTGTTGTCCAAACAATCTCCAATGATCTTTTTTTTTGACGAGATTGCAGGACACGAGCATGAGTTGCGCAAATGGGAACTACTGAGCCATCATCTGGCAATCTTTTTGTCAAAACATCATTTTGAGTAAGAAATGGGAGTGCACTCGAAGAAGGCAATCGTAAACCTTGATTGCGCTCAAAAGTCAAAATATGAGATGGTATGCGAGCAGGTGACAACTCGATTGCAATCTCCAAGGGTTTTATAGAACATTTGGGCTGATTGATTTTATGCTTATCTGCTACATTTCTCTGCCTATTACAATGTTCACATGTACTACAGTCCTGCTGATATGAACTCTTTAGCCTGTCCGTCAATTTTTCAAACGTGGCATTAGCAAAAGTAGACTTGGTTGGTGGTTGATTGACAGTCAATAGTAGTTCCTGAAAATGTACAGCTGGTGGGAGAATGTGATTTTTTGGTTGATCCTCATAGAGGTTTCGAGTAGTTGGTCGTTTAGATTTACAAAAAGTGGCTTCTTTTAGTTCTGCACTGTTGGTTTGATCTGACAATACTATACTTTGATTCCCCCTCAAACACTGAGTTTTTAGATTAGTTACTATCGATGTTTTTGGTCTATCTTTAGAAACATTAATCTGTCCTAGAATGTATGGAGTATGGTGTGTGGCATGATGGGTTTGATTTGGAGCAACAGTTATTTTAGTATGCTCTCTAGCGCGATGTGTGTTGAATGATTCAGCCAATGGATCTGCTACAACGTTTAAAGTTATGGCTGGCTTTTCACTGTCATTATGTCCATCTATAATGTCAACAATCCAATTCAAAAGTCATCAATCAGCAAACAGCAAACCAAAAGCAATGCATTCCAAGCGAAAAATATCACACACCTTTATCCAACCTGTCTTTAATGGAATCAACACATTCAACTGGATATGTATTCTGTTTTGATGCATGTATAATTCGCGAAGCCCTTTCATTCAAGTTATTCACATTGAAACTGCGTGCCAAATTCAACAAAGCTGCACCAGATCGATTAGGTTTAACAGCTGATCGGTTAGGTTTAATTCTTTTTGTTTCTTGATTAAGCAAATCAAGTTGCAATTGAGACATTCGACTTGTTTTGGCTAAAGGAAGTCGTGAAAATGCCGATGTTACACGCAATTTGAGCACACGTTTTTGACAAGTACTGTTTTGTTTTTTGCCTCGAGGGTGATTATGAAAATTTGTGTTGGAAGTCGAGGTTGTTGGATCTGATTGAATTGATGCAACTTTCTTGTTTAAAGTGTTTAATTTAAGTAGCTGGATATCTATTTGATTGAGCTCCTTGGGTGGATTTGAAATTGAATCTGGCTGTTGTGGAAGGATTGCGGTCAATGGACGTGTAGTATCATGTTGAAACGCATCAGTTTTTCTACATCTCCAAACATTACGAACAAATGGAGTACTAAGACGAGTAAATGCTGTGCTGTCCAACGTTTCAACTCCAATATCCGTAAACTGTTCATGATGAGCTAATGGTGGTGCCCTTGGTCGCGGTGGTGCTAATGGGTACATGACAAGCTTAAGTTTATGTGTCTTGAGTTTTGGTAGAGTTGCCGTAGGGATACTTTCAGCTATTTCTTGTCTGTGTGATTCTACCCCGATTTCAGATGCGTCAGTAGTGTTTTCATTATTGAGCGTTATTACATCAACTTGATCTGTAAATGTGACTTGTGATGGTATCCCCAACTCGGTGGTTGATTTTGTGCACTCATCATTTAGATTTAGCTTGGAATTAGATACAGAATCATTAATGGGCACCCACTGCTCCGCGTATTCAGCTACATTATTTACTGTAATATCTAGATCCGTCTTGGACAATGCTAGAGCAGCAACTGAGGAATCGCTGCATGAATTGTTAAAATGATACTCCGAAGATGCATCCGATTCAATCTCATCTGCAAACAGATCCGTTTGATCACTTCCACCACCATAATATGGACCCAAGTCATCTGCCCAGGGCACAGTTTGATATTTCTCATTGTCCCCAGTTGTCACTGGTCGACTTTTCGGTTTACGTCTTGCACTACCCGATTTACTGATTGTGTAATTCTTGATCAACTCGATGCTTTGCTCGTCAAAATCTTTGTCATTGTCGCTATAGTTGCTGGACAACTTTAGGTCTGGTAAAGAATCTGTATCGGTTTTAGTAGTAGCTTTTGGTTTTTTAAGGCGATTTTTGCTGATTGCACTCGAGGGAACCAAAGTGACTGTGAGCCTATCGTGTCTGGCTGGATTAGACAGCTCTGATGCCGAGACAGTATCATTTATGGGATCATTCTTTTTCCTTTTCTGTTTCTTGGGTTTGGATTTGGACTTTTTTGGTTTTGATTCTATGGGTGGTTTTTGTATAGATGTATGATTTGGGGTACGTGGTTTCTTGGGTGTTGCTGTAGATATGAATGATGAGTCCTTTATGGGATTGACTTTAGATGGTGTTGTACGTGTATTGACCATACCCGCCTAATGATTCCAATAGCCAAGTATACTGTGCAAACTCTGCGATGGCTATATTTCACAGCTACCAGCTATAGCTACTGATAAAACAGCAAGACAGACAACAAATCTAGAAACACGCTTTTGCTGAAAAGGACAAAATAAACTTTTTGTGTTCTTGGAAACAAATATCGGCTCTTTACATGGCTAGGACTCAGCATAATCAAACAAGTCATGGCTATCATTTACAAAAAAAATCGACGTATGTTGGAAATATATCAATTCATCACCCAACTGTCAAACTCCAATCTCAAAAACAGCACGACCAAATCCACCACTCACCAAAAAAATCTACAACACTGTCACAAATGCAAGCCAAACCCGCCCATTCATTGCATCTTGCTGCTACAAAAAAAAGTTTGAAGCATGTCTGGCATTCTTTAGACACTAAAAAACAGCTGCATGAGTTTCGGAGTATTGAAGGGATAAAAAAGTTTGATTATGAGCCCGTATTGGACGATGCAGAATGCACGGAATGTGAAAGCACGGATACTACCGAATCTGATTGTGACTTGCAAGCAGACTCGTTTGAAAGCCCTGACCGTAAGCTAGCAGGGACTGTCAGCTGTGATCACTTTGAGTCTATATCTCGCCATGACAGTGAATTGTTGACAGATATGTATGCAACGTCTGAAGCGACCAAAGTGGATATACATCCGCATAATGAGACTGAACAGACAGAATGTGATGATCATAGCGCGTCTAATCCATCATGCTTACATTTTCCACTCGTACTTGGCACCAGAGGGAAAGTATTGACTCAGAGTCAGTCTGGAATCAAATTGAAGTTTTTAAATCAAGCTCTTTGTAAAGGTAAATCGGTTAAAATTTGTGCTGGAATAGATGGGAGTACTATTTTATTCAAACTGTATTGGTGTATTTGTAGAGAAAAAAGTTCGAGATTTCAAGCCAATTGAAAAGCAAGTTGACCATATCCAAAAATGCTCGACAGAACCAGAAACATTGGCACAAAAGCTTTACACTCCTAGCGTTTCTTGCCAATCTCCCCTTGACTCGAACATATTTTTCCAAGTATTTCCAGACCACAATACAACATCAACCCAAATTTCTCGTGGACAGTTGGATACTCCCATTGTGTACACTACAAATCCCATTTCAGACTTTGATCCCTATAACCAAATATCGAGTGACTCAAAAAACTACCGGCTTACTTATTTGGAGCATATAAATGATGCACCTAGATCGCTATCCAAACCTACCAGCACAACTCAGCTATTTCAAACTCCAATTGAAACTCAAACACAAGATCGCAACATCAAGATGCGCCAAATAAACCGTGGCGACGTTCCAAACCCATTTCAAATTCAAAAATACACATTGTCTGACAAGGCTTCCAACACATTGAATGTAATGTCTAGACCTATATCTCAGTTTGATTCAATCTCACATACATTGCAAAAAAATACAATCTCGCTTCAAAAAGCTAAACTTTCAAAACGACTCTATCCAACAAAATCATCTACACTTCCAATAGATACAACTCAAGCCCCAGGCACTCAGTTACTCAATCCATTTATTCTTCACAAAATGCATCAGATGCGTTTACATGCACCAACCTATAAATATAAAAACTTTCAATGCAAAAGAAACGCGGATCATTGTAAATTGCTTGGAATCGTGATAACGTCAGCTCATGACAAAGATATCAGTGAAATTTACGGAAATGACATTGCAAGTGCAGTTGAAAGAGAGCATATGCTTGACATGATGAAGCGTATGTATGAAGAGTCGCTACCACAACAATCAGATGCTCTTGAAACAGATACCCAGATGCTGCACAAGAGTTTGGTGGATATAGACGAGTCAGTGACACGATCACAAGGATTGTCAAATTGCTCATCTAAATCTTTCGAGATTGGACAACTAAGCAAATCAAAAGATCGGCCTGTGCTTAAAACCACAGTTGCTACCGTACATAATACATACAAGACAGCGACTACACTACCAATCACCCTTCAACAGCTTCAAACAAAACCGTTTACTGCAAAAGCAACATACAATGTTCGGAACATCATGACACGCTATGGTTCCAACGTTTCAGTTACAATTGACGGGGCAGATAGAGGGAGAGATAAGTTCCAAGCATCTAAAAAACTGGTAAAGAAAATAAGAGCCAACTCTGAATCGTCAAAACCTTTGTGTTGTCCAGCAATCAAGGAAATTAAAACTGGATTATCAGAAATTGCTCAGTCAACTCCTTCGATGTGCATGCAAAGTTCCACTATAAAAACGGTTCTTGAGAAAGATGAACGCGTACCATGTCTTCACAAGCCTGCATCTTCTGAACCATCAGATGAATCAAGTCGATTGTCAGTAAAATCTGCCTTGTCCACGTCACCACATTGTTTATATGATAAACCAATCCACAATCCCAGTACTTTTATTCCATGCCATCACATCAGCCATTCATCAACTGAAAAACTTGCAGCAGTCCATAATAGGACACCATGCAAAACATCATACACATTTAACCACAAACAATCTATTCTTTTAAATATGAATCTAGCATCATCTCTTGAAAACAAAGAAACAAAACCTTTTTGTTCTGAATCTTCCTACCGACCCATTCAAAAACAAAAACCGCACTTTTCCAAACTGCATTTTAAGCAGTTTACACCTCTGGGTGCTGTAAAGGCCATTCAACCTAAAACCGAGTACAATTTACCTCGACTACAGATGAATTCACATTGTGTGCATATAGATCTTGCAAAAAAGCATGATCTGGGTACGCAAGCTTTTAAAAAAACAAGCCCGATTGTACATTGTGGGATAATATCATCAGCATGTGAGCCACACCTTTCACCCATGAATTTAAAGGTAAATCCAATATGTGATAATAGCTAAAACGTGTTGGTAAACCTTTTACAATTTTGAAGTCTAATCCCATTCTAATTGGTTTTGATAGCATGAAACCAAAAGATTAGAGTCAGATGCAAGTAATGGGATCAGCAATGTAGACGAGGCAAACCCTAGTCCAGTAGTACACAACAACAAAACTTTGAAATTGCCTGCATGGATGCATTCTGCGATTGAAGGATTCCAATATGTAGATCAATGCATTTTAAAAATTCAAAGGTAAAAGATTACTTGATGTTAAATCTAGATATTTCAAACTTTACTCAACATACTCAATCAAAAATTATATGGATTGTTGGATGTGTGTTAGGTTTTGGAAGATTAGACTGTATTGTCGTAATTTCCACTTGCGTATCTTGTCAGTTATTCTTATTCAACGCCATGTGCGTTTTTTGAGAATACGCCGAAAATGTGTCGAGATGATTAAATTGGTAAGCGACTGGAGATTTTGGAATCTATGAGTGTGGGTTTTACACTAAACAATGTGCCCATCATGAATTAAATTGATATGCACGCATGGATGGAGGATTGCATGATGTACACTAATGTATATTATTGAACTACAACATATTTTAGAAACAAGCCAATTCCATTTTGGATAAATCATTATTTCGGAATCGAATCCATGAGCTTGACGATGCCTTGAGAGTATCCAAACAGAATATTGGCGATAGATACTACAACTCGACGCCTTCAGCTGGAACCATTCAAAACCCATCCAAACGCATGTTGTTTGTCAATACACGAGAGATATTTAGTCACTATCGTCATTTGCACACAGGCAAGTTGAACACAATGCTATACGAATCAGTACCATCGGATCGTGCTATTGTATGGAATCTATATGTGATGCTATGGGATAAAATTCATACACAGTATGGAGTTTTTAAACAAGAGCCAACAATGAAATCAGGACAGCAATTCATTCAAGGACAAAAGGGGTCCAAAGTAGCTGATGTATCGCGACATGAATCTAGGATGAAAACACAGACCAGCGAGGTTATTGCAGAACAGACACCCTTTACAACAGGAGTTGAACAAAACAAAAGTATGACAGGATACAAGTTTCAAGAATGGGATGAGATGACAACACAAACTAGACAAAGTAGTTTTATAGAACAAAAGAGAGAATTGATGGCAGCAGCAATGAAGAATACACGCAGATACACGCCAGAGAAAGTGATAGAACTTGTTTTTGAGTGGAAAGCAGGAATGATTCCTACGCAATATCGACACTGGAAGAGAAATCCAAGACATGGAACGCAGTCGATTCGAGAACGCAGAGCGTCGCTGTTTGCTTGAATCAAAAGCCAGACGCGCGTTGCTGCAATTGTTTGTCAACAACTTTACAAGTCATGAACCCAGAATAGTTGAGTAGAGTGTTGGTCTTGTTGTATGGATTTGATTTGGTGGGCCATGAAGGAGTAGTTCTATATCTTGTATTACTTTTAGATACGACCTTGTTCTGCCCAGCCCCTGGTTATTCTAAGACAGGGTTATCAATCTACTCTAGTCGTCAATGCTATCTGCAGACTATTGACTACTGGGAAAGCCTTGCTAGTTCCTGTACAACCCAATCAGGACTCTTTCCTGTTCATGTGTTGTGTAAGATGGTTGAATAGAACAAGGGATGTAAATTCCTATACGAATGCAGCCACTATTGCCCATTCCGCTTATTGTTTTCACTACTGCAAGGGTAAACTATACTGATGGGTCTGCGATGGTTGACAATGGTGTCAGCACACCATTCAGTAGTGTTATCACTATCAAGTGTGATGCTGTCCTTGTGTCATCATCAGATCCATTCTAATCACCACATCAACCCTTCCTTGATCCCAGTCACCTCTGTGTTCATATCAACCGTCCAATGACTCTCACTTGTCAAGACCATGTCACTCATCTCACTTTCCTTGTATTAGCGACTATCTCTTCAAGCTACTGCTTATCGGCGACTCGGGTGTCGGAAAGTCTTGTCTTTTGCTTCGTTTTGCTGTAAGTTCTGGACCGTTTGCTTATTGCATTCGAGCGAATTCATTATGAATTTGTCCAAATGCAATGCTGTCTTGATGCAATGGATGTCTAACACATGTCTCCAACAGGATGATACGTATACCGAGAGCTACATCAGCACCATCGGAGTAGACTTTAAAATTCGTACTATTGAGCTGGAGGGAAAAACCGTCAAGCTTCAGATTGTAAGTTGCGAACCGTTGACGTGGTGCTGTCTGTTGTGCAAATGATTAACACTATTACAGTGGGACACTGCAGGCCAAGAGCGCTTTCGCACCATCACATCATCATACTATCGTGGAGCACATGGCATTATTGTCGTGTACGATGTTACTGATCAAGAGACATTCAACAATGTCAAACAGTGGCTGCAAGAGATTGACCGGTTTGCGTCTGAAGGTGTTCATAAACTTCTTGTTGGCAACAAGAGCGATCTGGAAACAAAAAAAGTGGTCGATGCCAAAACTGCTGGTGAGTTTGCTACCCAGCTTGGCATTCCATTCCTTGAGACATCGGCCAAGAATGCTACCAATGTCGAGCAAGCTTTCCTTACCATGGCAAAGCAGATCAAGGACAAGATGGGTGCTGCTTCGTCTGCCCAGTCTAACCAAGCCAAGGCTAACATCAAGGTTGGACAAGCTGTTGCACCTCAGCAGAGCAGTGGATGCTGTTGATTATCAAAAAACAGTGTTGCGTATATGCAACTATAAAAACTTTGAAAATAAGATCTTATTCGAAAGCTTAAGATGACTTTATACTGTCTTGTTTTTGACTTGTTCTTGACTTGTTCTTGACTTGTCATTCTTGGTTTTTGTAGCATCAAGAGTTGTTTTGCTTGCTTTATTTCACATTCGGTTTTGATTTTTTTGTGTCAAGAGTTGGCCTTTGCAAACCATTTCGATTCAATAGCTTTTAGCTTTCATCCTTTTCCTTTTACTCCGCTATCTAGTTTCCATACAAAAAATCGTTTCTATTTTTAAATACTTTTGTTTTTTTTTGTTGGTGATTTCGTGATGGGAACAACGTTGGATGATCAAGTCATCATCAGTTTAAAACAGGATATATACGGTCTAATAGGAGTCTAGGACGCAAGTAGATATACAGACGTCTAACCCTTTTTGGTATAGTGATGCCAAAAAGATATTAGACCGAGATTCGGTCGGGAACAGTGTTTTGGTTTAAATAGACTCGGCATGTACCGTCCGATCCACCAGATGCCATCACATCTCCAAAGTAAGGATGATATGCAACCGACCAAACTCCCTCGTCGTACTTTCTACGATGTGAAGATTGTTCCTGAATGCATCTTCTTGTACCCAAATCCCACCATCTCAGCGAGCAATCGTGACCTATTCATTCAGTGCGTGAGTTGGATAATATACATGACAACTTAAAGGTTCAAACTTACCCCCAGATACAAATGCAAGTCCTCCAGGTGAAATATCCAAACATGTTACAGCATCAGAATGTGCTGCCATAGAATGCACACATTTTCCTACACGATATAATGTAAATATACGAGTCTAAACATACATCAAAATTGCACAACGGATTGAATCGTGTTTTGACATTATAGTCATTCAACATACCTGACTGAATATCAAACAATCTAATCGTGTTGTCTTCGTGTCCAGTGATGGCAAGGGATTGGAATGGATGACATGCAAGTGCATTAACCTGAGAACCAGCTATATGATCCAATAAAATATGGGTTGGTATCGTTTAAAACTACAAAAAATGGTTCAATTCACTGACCTGTAGAATCCAAACTAGCTTCAAATTGCAAAACTTCTGTTCCAGTTTCAATGTCGAAAAGCTTGACAACACCATTTCGATATCCAACAATCAATTTGGTCAAATCGGTATGGGTCCAACTCGTAATAGTGGGAGTCTCGTATTCTTTGTTAGATATGGGTGCACTTTGACCAGTCAAACCACTTTTTACTGAACGATTGGCTGTACCATGATACCATAGTGTGGTTTTTAATGATGGATTGGCAAGGGTTGTGTCCCATAGCTTGACTGTACCATCAGCAGAAGCAGACGCAAGAAGTGATGTTTGTGATTGCATTGGATGAAGACGCAAATCCCAGATCATATCCGAATGACCCACATAGATGTGCTGTTTTAATTTCGAATCTAATAAAAACCGTTAAAAGCACAACACTGACTCGACAATATCGAATAATAGACTAAACACTTACTGTACGCTGGATACAATGGCATATCTAGCTGTGGAATCTGCCACATACAAATGGTTGCATCACCACCTGCAGAATACACTCGATCACCTTCTTCTGAAACCGCTAATGTAGTAACAACGTCCTTGTGTCCTCTAAATGTATGCATGGGCTCAATATCCGGACTATGTAAAGTTTAACTATTAGCAACTTGAACCAAACAAACAGATGTATAGCAAGTATATCTAAAACTCACTAATCGTTATTTCGAACAGACCACATTTTGACTGTATGATCCTCGGATGCGGAAAACAAGACCATTTTTTTAGGATGGAAAGCAACATCCCTCACCGAATCAAAATGGCTAGGAGAGTTGAAACTGATTGTAAATCATCTTGACTCAAAAAAACTCGGCAGTCAAAACAGCAAATCAAACCTTTTTAGTGTATCTCGAAGCTGCCATGCAAATTCGCCTTTAGATGTAAGCACGACCTAATACAAAATTAAATAGGTTAGTTTTAAACGTATCAAACTCGGCATAGAATATAAATATAAAACTACCCACTCTTTTTTGTAAATCAGTAACATTGACAATATCTGAAGTCTCATTATCAGGCATGGTATTTTGATCATCAGCTACAGCTATCAACAATGTTTAGAAACGACATCAATACAAGCGCATTTAAAACTAAAAAGAAGAATCAACAAAACAACTCTAATGGATTGCTTACCAAAATGAACTGCAACTTTGTTGGTTGCACCTTTTCGAATAGTTCGATTATGATCCAGTATGACATCCTAAAACCAGTGTTGATCAGCATGCATACTATATCAGATTCGTGTTTCAATAAAGTTTGCAGAGTTAAAAAATTACTTGGTCATCTAAAGTTGCCAGTTCAGTATCTGAAGTGTCCAATTTAGTCTTGTTTAGCTGAGAAACGATTGAATGATCAGTTTCCATAGACTCCACCTATCAAATACATGTAGAAAACATTGAGTACAAAACCGATCCATTCCATGTAAGCCTTGGCATAGATTCAAAACTCACATTTTGAAATGGTTTTGTATTAGAAACATCTATACGTTCTATTGAAGATCGCCTATTGACCTCAAAAGCAGATATAAAATTAGTGGGAGCAGATTGTTGGCGTGCTTCAGTTGGATAGTGTGGGTTGGATGATGCGTCTACCCCACTTGAAGCGGAGTTTGTGTTTGATAAATATTCAACTGTGTTTTGAGATACTGGTGGGGATGTGTTGTCGTTTTGTGCAGAAACACAGCTGGCACGCTTTCGACTAGCAGAAGAAGCCCATGTAGTAGTGGCCAAAAGAGAATCTGCTTCTTTAAGATAACTAGAGACGTGCAAATTGAGTTAGTACTTTGGATACAACCGAGTAGTTTGCTCTGGGCAATAGAAATCCAGTCAGATCAAGCGTACCTTTTCAATAATTCACGACTGCGCAAGTTTCCATAACCTTTTGAAAAACTCAACAAGGCACCATTGGATTGTGGCAGTGAGTTCATGGAATCAATGATATTCACCGGAAGCATTAAACCATTACCGCCGACAGTAATACTTTTACTTTCGTCACTGTTGATTCGGGATGGTGCAGAATGATCTTGATTTTCTTCATTCGATGATGGAATATATGGATTTTGCATAGCAGTAGATATTTCTTGAAGATTGACAGAAGAAAAGCTGTAATTGGTTGGAACAATCTGGCTAGATTCTGTAGGGATTTCAGTAGGACTCGACTGTAGATCCGATCCAGCAGACAGCGTGACGACGGATGCGGTAGCAACCTGCTGTTTCTGGGCCAATGCCATGTATTTGGATCTAGACAAATGAAATCAAACAAGATATATACAAAGTGAGAGATTTGAATCGAATATTCATGACTGTCATGAACTGAGAGTGAAATCATTCCATGGCATGATTTAGACGTAACAGCAAGCTCGAAAAACAACGTCTGAATAACATTCATCAATACCTCTCCTGACGCAACGAGTATTCCAACATCTTGACTCTTCTAAGAAGATCTGATTTGAGATGTTCCAATGCTTGTCTTTCTCCTTCTAGAAATGCAACTCGAGCCTAATTCAATATGACAACAAGAGTTAGACGAAGCAGTCTGAACACATGAAACCTTGACTGCAGTCATGCCATACAAAATACACCAGAAATGGTATTCAAAAGATGACTTGAACACATCTCATTCAGTGCTTATAGCACTCATCACATACTTTCAAGTCAGCTTGTTCAATCTCCCACAAGTTGCGTTCTCTTTCAATGACTCTCCATTCAGACTGTAAATAGTGCAAAACTCCTGGAAGCGAGTAGTGCTGGAAGGGTGCGATGTCTGTTGGTTGCTGAAGAGAATTCTGTTTCATTGTTAATAATTGTCGCTTGTTGTTCATGTTGTTCATGTTGGATCCAGCAGCAGATCCCATGGCTGCAACGCCTGTCTGAATGTCCGTTTCTTTCATTCAAAATATTTGGTGTCAAGAAACTTGCTCACAAGACAAACAGTTTTATGTGAGCAAGAATCCAACATTTACTTATTGCAAGTTGTCTTGACAATATTTATTATTCTTGATATTGTAACGATCATTACATTTGAGTTTCAAAAACATCTCGTTTTAATCTTCATGTTCGCGATCTAGTTGAACACATCTCGTATCGCAAGTTGTCCAATAACTCTACAAATAATTGGTTTCAAAAAACATTTCGAGTTTATTCATCCTTGTAAATGTTTCCAATGAAACTCCAAATGATCATCCACTAATCAGATTCATCGAGTTGCATTCAGTTTAAAATGATTCTACTTTTATAACAGTTTATCACAAAACTTACCAAATGTGGATATAAACCAGTAACTATGATCGTAACCTTCTTGTAGTCGATATTCTACTAGCAGATGCGATTCGTTTGTATTTGCGCTAGCCACAAATCGATCAGGAAGCAACTGTCCGTCTTGTAAAAAAGAATCCTCTGATCCTTGATCAATCAGTACTGCCAGTTTGGGTCCGGTATATTTGGATGCCAGTTCAGTTGCGTCATATTGTTTCCATGATTCTTTGTTCTCGGTTCCCAAATAACCTCCAAACGCCTTGACTCCCCATTTACAGTGGATCGGATTTGCTAAACCATCATACCAGCAGATTAAGTCATGTTGATGATACTCAGTTTATAAAACTGAATCCATTATAAATCAAAACTTACAGATTGGAGCAAATGCAGAAACCGACTTGAAATGACCTGGATTTCCAAGTGCACAAACCAGTGCACCATGACCACCCTGAATACAAAACAAGTGTAAATAATTAGATCAGAATTCATTCAAATCATAATTATAAATCATAATTACCATGCTGTGACCAAAGATTGACACTCGCGACGGATCAATGGGCAAATGAGCATTCACCAATTCAGGCAATTCGTGCATGATGTATGAATACATTTGATATCGAGACCATTTAGATTCTGTAGCATTCTACAGTCGTATTCACATGGAATATTAAATAAAAATGTCAATCTTGTGAAATAAAGACCGTTTCAGTTCAAAATCACAGTGTGTATTATACAATGAACATTGTCGATTTAAAAAATCAATTTGCAGTAGGAAAGCATAACGAATAGTTCAGTCTTTCAACAGTTACTGTAAACATGGCATCAATATTACAAGTTTGAATTAAAGTCATTACCACATAGAAACCAGCACCAGATCCAAAATCCCAACTATCGTCTTCTCCATCGATGCCCAATCCTCTAGGACTTGTATCAGGACAGATCAATGCAAGACCCAGTTGACTAGCCTTTTTAATTGCTCCTGCTTTGGTGATAAAGTTGTCCTACAAGAATAAAACAATTCATGAGACAATGAGGTTAAAGACTTGTATAAATGACAAAGTACCTCATTGCAGGTCAGTCCAGATAGAAAATAGAGAGCAGGGATTGCTTTAGAAACGGATTTAGGAAGAAAGACAGAAAACTTCATTTTGCATGCCAGAAGAGTAGAATCATGAGAGTATTTGAATACAATTCCATCGAATGTCTTGGACTGAGAGAGTAATACCAACGGACTAGTCATGGCTTGAAGATAAATCAATTTCAATGCGATTTCAATGCGATTTCACAATCTGGTAAAAACAGTCAATTCGAGTTTATAAATTGTTATTCAATAAAACTGCAAATAACTATTACAAGAATCATCAAAAAAACAATCCATATTTTATTGCTTGTTAATTCGTGTATTAGAAACAATGGATTGCATGAGATTCAAACACCAATCGCAACGTGAATAATTAACCCATTTAATCCGCAATCCGTCAGGTTTCTTCTGTAGTAGACTGAAATGTGAATTCAGAAACAGGTTTAAAGATCGAGTCGCTTCCAACAATCCGAACTTGTGCATCTCCTTGTGCAAGTAACCCGCATTGTGCCCACACGTTCATCTGGTTATGTGTGAATGGACCATACAAGTCAGTTCCCGTTTCACCCCATTTGTACTCGAATGCTTCTGATTGTGCTTTTTCAGAAAGTGGTGGCAAAGGAGTTCCATGAACCCAGTCGTCATCTACGCCAAAGTTGTAATATATTAATACTGTATAAACCATCAAAAGCAACACTCAGCGCGATTCATCCTATCCATGACTTCAATACCAATTAAATCTTTGCTACGAAGTAGACGAACAATTTGCTCATACGATTTCTCGTACGCTGATTGATCGCTATCAAACAAATGGCTCCCCAACGCAGTAATACGCTCAAGTGCTACTTTGCGTTGCTTGATCATGTCTGGAGTCAATCTACTTTCTATATCAGCGTCGCTTTTCTTTACATCCTTTGCTTTTTTTTTCTTTGATAAAAATCCAATTCGTTGAATAGTCTAGATAAACTTTACATTAGCCAAGTTGCCATAATTCAGTAGTACAGTGATCTCCATGATCCAACCACCGCACCTTGATGAGAGTCTCACGGGGCTGCATATATCCAAGCACTTCACGCCATAACATGTTGATATCCGAATCAAATACAACATCCTCGACTTCCTTGTTCTTGTCCATCTGTGCTTCTTTGGCTCGTCGCGCCTTAAATTAGATTGGATAAAGTTGGTCAAATAGTTTGGCTCATCTTAATGTGCAAGGCAAAATCTATAGTTACCTTTTCAATGTCCATTTTGGAGAGATTTTGAAGCCACGAATCATGAATTGCATGCTCATCCTTCTTGACTACATAATGTCCGCTTTCATCAAACTCGCTAAAACAGATCCGTTGTATATCGTTAGTATGATACAGTATCAACACACGCACAATATAATTACCCTTCATCCAGCTCGCGATCCATATTGAATGGCTCGATTTTAACTGTCCCATTATCATCAATGATATCGTCAAAATCCTCACGCCATTCCTGTCCGTTAATCTCATTGCTTTCCAAATGCTTTTTTGGAATACTAGTTGGATTCTTTTTATCAAATCCCTCACCAAACATATCATCGTCTTCATGATCAGCCTCTGGCTTTTGATCGTTCTTGTCATCGCCTTCTTCGTCATCTGCATTGTGCCAATGTTTCGGTTTACCGAATTTGGAAAATCCTGGAGCTGCTTTAGTTCCATCTCCGTCATCATCTGTATTATCGTCTGAATCCACGACATCCTCATCACTTTCATATGCATCAGATCGGACAGCACCACGACGATGTTTAACTACCAACAACACACATGAGTATTCAAGAGTGGATGATGTTACGATATACACAACCCAGGGTAGTAACCCAAATCTAGAATAACAATCCTACATGATTCAAGTTCTTCGTCCATATCGTCGTCATCCATGTCGCAACCAGAAGTAGCTGCCCAACCAGAACGAGTGATGTTGTGTTGAGACTTTCGTAGAATGGTATCCGATACACCCTTGATGCCAGGTCTGATGGGATTCATAGTATGGAGGTGTGTAGTTGAAGATTCATCATCTAGCCCACCCAAGACAGTAGACCCACCAATCCGCACCTTTTTACGAGACTTGGACAACTGAGTAGCAGAGGATAGAATAGATGGTCTAGAATCAATAGTCTGAGACTCTTTACGTTTAAGATTAGACATGATCAGTTGCAGATAGTAAAATCTATGAATGTCACTGAAAGAGTTGATTGCTGTTACAAGACTTGAAAATAGCAAGTTTGATCCTGTTTGGTTTAAAGAATCGATCATATCAATTCATTTTAATTGCAGTCATATTAAAATGAATTCAAACCAGTTTACTTTGGAATCAATAATCGTCAATTATTCAGTCTTTCTATTATAAACTGGTTTAAAGTCTAACAATGTTCGTGAAACTGACTGTTTATTAATGTATTTCGACTTTGTTGCAGATTCGGTCAAATCAATCTATGCATGACGAATGGCATCTAAAACGTCTTTAGCACCACGCTCAATCAATACATTTGCAAGCGCAGTTCCAAGTTTATGAGCCATCGTTACTTTTTCTTCAATGTCCTCCGAGTCTAGATCCATTGACATGGCATGTCGGAGTTCAATGCTTCCATCCAAAGAAGTAACTGATCCAGTAAGACATAGTACATCTATGCCAGTATCGTTGGGTTCGATGCTGGTAGATACACCAAGTGGAACACTGCATCCACCTTCAAGAGAACGCATAAAAGATCGTTCTGCAGTGCATCGGATACGGGTTGGTGTATGATTGAGAGGAGCAAGGAGTGATCGTACACAAGTGTCGTTTTCTCGACATTCAATTCCGATTGCGCCTTGACCGACTGCATGAAGAATAGTGACTGTGGGCAAGATTTCGGTGATTCTATCAGTCCATCCCATACGATGAATTCCAGCATATGCAAGAAGAATGGCAGCAAAGGGCGATGCTGGATCGTCAAGTTTCTTTAATCTGCAATGTCATATTGTATTTAAAAATAAAATGTCAGTAAAGAATAGATTGAATCAAGGTTGGCTTGGATTTCTCACCTGGTGTTCAGATTGCCTCTCTATCCAACACATGTAAACACAATCATCCGACAGAATGACAAGGTTTAATTAAATGATGTTTTGGTTTACTACAATACACGGATTTGCAACTTACGATATCTTGAAAGACCAAATTTGGAAAACGACGTTTGAGTTGAGCAGATCGACGCACAGAACTTGTGCCAATAATACTTCCAGCAGGTAACTGAGCCAGTCCTGTAAAAGAATGCTTGAGACTCATGATGACAACATCATTGGGTTGCTCACGCTCAAGGATAGCACCCACCATCATTCCAGACGGAAGTTGGGTGGGCAAATCCTTGAGAGAATGAACGACAAAGTCTACCGAGTGGTCATCCAGAGCCATCTCCAGTTCTTTGGTAAAGAGAGACTTTGTTCCGATTTTCGAGAGAGCGACGTCCTGAACTTGATCGCCAGTAGTTGTCATGCCATTAATATCAAAGGTAAGCTGCGGATATTGCTGTTTCAACAAGGCCTGAACATGAGTAGTCTGGATCATTGCCAGCTGAGATTCTCTAGTTCCAATAGTGAAATTGGTCTTTGAAAAGTCAGTGACGATTACTTTGTTGTGAGTGGACATGACTGACATGAATTCAAAGCTGTTTGCCAATTGTTGTGGAAATCACAGATTTCCTGTTCGTCTGAATAACAACCAAATTGGATTCAAAAAATTGCAATCATTTTTAAATATAAAATAATTGATTTTTATTACAAATATGTTCAGTTCAACAGACTGTAAAATGAAATCTATTTAAAGCAACAGTCAGTAAATAATATAAAATTTCATCTAAATCAAATCATGTTTTCAGATATCTAATTGACATTCAACACAATAAAGTGTGCCTTGTACATGGCACGGTTCTGTCCGCCCGTCAATATATTATCATCATTAAACGCTACGTAGCAAAGAAATCAAATGTAAACTTACTTGTGACATGCATCAGTGTAAAAACAGCAATTTAAAATACAATCAAAAATAATACTTTACAAATTAGTCAACAATAAATAATATACTATGAATCATGATCAGTAATATATAAATGATTCTCATCAGACAAGGCTGAATATTATTCGTAATGATAAGTCTACATGACAATAAAGTGTTCAGACTCTGTGGTCATTTTTTGTAATCAGAGAGAATTCATATATATATTTAATCTAAAGAGTATATCTACGACAAATACTAACCTTGCTGTCGATCAGTTGCCAGCACTTTTGCCAGCAAGCACAACTAGCAAGAAAAAAGAAAATTCAATCGAATATATAAATTACCTGAGGACTGCAAAGTTATGTCACGTGTGTTTTGAGCTTGTAAATCACCATATTGGCCAATGATGGCAACAGATCGCTAACCCGAGTAAAGTGTCCAGAATGCATGTACTCGATATCCATACAGTAGTCGTGCTCAAAAGTAAATACCTTTTTCAGCGACTCATATTAAACTAAATGGAAATTTACAGCCGAATTCAGTATCAGGGTCAAGTGGATAAAATCGACTCCAAAACTGACGATCGTACAATGCATGATTATGCCAAACAAGGATCATCTCAAGCTATAATTTGGTCGAGTATCACATGATAGACGTATCTGGAAGAATTGGAAATATCTATCCAGAAAGCAGTGAGTCAATCTGTACTAGGAAAGCATAGCGAATGACTCTATCCCAAAGCAAAAAGCAATCACTGCAAGATACAAAAGTGCTTAATTTTACATGAATACAGCTGTAAATCCATGCACTAGAAATCAAGTAGATTCAAGCTTGATTGCATGTCTAAACTCCGCTGTTTTGCCCTTCATACCAACCCTGATATCACAGCCTTTTCTCCGCTTGCCTTTGCTGGCTGCTATACAAGGTGTAGCAAGCATGTAGCATAAATCTCATATTTTAAATTAGATATACAGTAAACATAATATGACCAAAATGACATTAAACAACCTCCGCCATGATAAGCCCGTTTACCTGGTGACACTCCACTTTGGGGTAATAAACATCATACTCGAGTGTTCAGATTGCTCGAGTTTCAAACACTATTTGGATCAACACACATAGCACCAGCAGGAAATACGCAGTGTGAACACAGCCTTCGATCTATACAAATACTCGCTCAGCCCTTCGTATATATTTTTGCTTGGCAAGTACTCCAGTCACCAATCGTATTCAAACTCGGTCAGTCTCGTGAATCCTTTCAAAACATCCAAGTTGGTTACAAGTGACTATTAGCCCTATTTTAATCTGCAGCGTCATCCAGCATAGCTACTTGCTGGCATTTCAAAGGATTTTTCAGTTTCCCAACTGACCCCAGTTACCAATCACCTAAATCTTGCGAGTCAATTAGCCTGGTGAGCACATTTTAACTGGCTTTTCATTCCCACACCAAATCAACTGTCTTGTCAAAAAGTTGCTTAGTTTGCAGCGACGTTCAGAGTGCAGACATTTCAAAGTTTTAAATTGACAGTTGATGAATTAAAGGTGTTGAAACAACTCTGTCACCGCATCCTATTAATCTGCATCAACTCATGTCATGTTGTAGATAGAAAATATAACCAGAAATCTAACTAGTCTTTTCATGTTGAACGATAAATTACTCCGACTGGATTACTGATTAAAACTCATGAATGTCAATTTAGAATTCCGCTCCAATATTGTATATTTGTTCAGTCCTAGCCTTCACCGCATAAACTCGTTGGAATCAAAGTATTTCTGACCTCAAGAGGTAGTGGCATTGCTTACTTTCCGCTCTTATTTACACTCCGCTCCTACTCCACTACAAACGTACTGGCCATTTGCTTCGCGTGAATTCAAAAAGGTAGGAAATAAGTTCAAGTGTTGCTATTGAGCAACGTGTGGGTTGCTTCAATCCTCTTCAACTCCTACAAAACTTCCGCCTTTTACCAGTTTGATCAGAGCTGAAATTTGTTGAATCAACACCAAAGCTCCGCCGCACTTTATCTACAGATATTTATGTATATCTGACTTGAGCTACAATACTTGTTGGCTTCCAGTAATAATTTATTAAATACTAGTTGCTATCGAGTCCAAACAAGTCCCTTTTATTTTTATTTACGTTAATTCAACTTTGATATTCACCAGTCGGGCCTTGCTACTCAACATTGACTTGATTCTGCCTTGATTTGCTTTTATATATCTGACTGCCAGGTCCGCCTCTGTTCCAAATATCATCTACTATTAGACTTGCGTATATTTTTATCGACTAATCCAATCTACACCTATTTTGGTTCGACAAATTCTGTTGATAGGTACATCCAAGTGCTCTATATCTTAATTATATCCACCAATGCTATCTTCAGTTGATCCATACCAGCAACACCGCCAAACTCAGCGACACCGACAACAGTATTTTCAGGATGCCGCTTCATCCATCCTGCCTGGTCTAACCCATTCCAAATCTCACTCTTCTTTAGCCTCGCATAATTACGTTTCTTCCGTCAACAATAATAATTCATCCGATACTTCCGCACTTCATAACTCGTTATACGATAGCCGTCAATATCAGCAACAGTCATTGCGCGCGCCATCGATTCCGCGTAATGGTTTTGACACTTCTGATTTAAACCATTATTCGCATCAGATGCAACATTCGCTACATCAGCAACGGCCCATAACCCAGTCTATGGATCAGTCACAAGACATTCAAAATCAACAGCAATATACCCAGACATTGAATCCTTATCGTGGCCAATATCTTCCTACTGTACATTCTATGCAAATTGCCAATCACCATTCTAATGCAGTGCAGCAGCATCAACCCCATAATCAAAGTCGTACACAAAGACACCAGCAAAAATCACTCTATGAAAGTCTTTATTCCATGCCGGCTTCACATAATATACCAAGCACCGATTCATTGGTGGCCAATGCTGGATTGACCTTGAATTCTTTTGCAAAACGTGTTGCTGCTCACTTGCCAAAAATCAAGGTGAATCTGCCCACATCGTCTGCACAACAGCCTCCACAAAAATCGTTGCAACAGCAAGTTCATACACATCCCCAGCAACACGCTTTTCCTTATTCATCTCAGATGCAGCAGTCGTTTCCAGATCCTATGCAAAATCTCGCTGAAAAAAACTCGCTTCCAACCCCCGAGTCCATCTACGATCCAGAAAAAGATCCCAATCGATACGATGCTTTATTTGCTTTTGAAGACCTGGTGAGCTCGAGTGATCCAGACGAATACGGATTTGAAATTTACACGTATATGAGGGAGATGGAAGACAAGACACTTCCACCACCAACACTCATGGACAATCAAAAGGAGATTACTTGGAAAATGCGACGAACATTGGTGCTTTGGTTAGTCGAAGTGATTATTGAATACGATCTTCGTCAAGAAACCCTGTATCTTACAGTAAATATCATTGATCGTATCTGTGCGCTTGCTCTTATTGGACGTTCTCAATACCAATTGCTGGGCATCACAGCTTTATGGATTGCTGCCAAGTACGAAGAGAATCACGGCAAAGTTCCACTCCTCAAGAACCTTTATCATATCTGCTGCAGCTCATACAGAGAAAAGGAGTTTATTCAAATGGAAAAGTTTATTCTTCAGAAAATGGGTTTCGAGTTTGGTATCCCCACACACGAGTTTTTTCTCAAGGCACACTGTGCATTGTACATGAAAGGACAGGTGTCGCCTGAAACACGAGCATTGGCTCGATACATTCTTGAACTCACAATTGTTGACCAGCAGTTTGCTGGCGTGAGGCCAAGTGTTTTAGCGCGTGCGAGTATTTTCCTTTCTGACGAGATTCTGGGTAATCTGCATTGGTATTATCAAGACCAATACCTTAGGAGAACCATGGATCAGCTCATGGCATTTATGGAGGATCCACCAAAGCAAATCTATCGAAAGTTTGCATGCAAAAAGTTTACATTTGCAAGTCTAAGAGCCAAAGTCTGGCTCGAAACTCTCAGATATCAACAAACTGTAGATTTGCAGGTACCAAAAGCGCCTTTGAATGATGGGCTAGATGGATGTCAGTCTGTCATGTCCATGTCAAGACATTTACACGGTTCTACTGGACTGGGTGATGCCATGGCATCTTTACATTTGACCACTTCAAGCATGCTTCCGTTGTCTATGACGAGCAGTTATGAAAGTAGTGAAAATACTAGCCAGACATCAGATGCCAGAGATACTACCGTTAATGGATCGAATGTTGGCATGTGCTCACCGTTTGAATCTCATCCTCCATTGCCTCGGTGCGTCTCGGATATTCCTACACCCGCGGCTGTAGCTGAAGCCTCCTATGTTTTGACCCAGCTTGCATCGTTTGCTCCGCGACCACTACAGACCACTGCTTCTGCAGACCATGCGTACTATACCCAACCACATCCTCTGTCCTCCGTCACAGCGAATTTTGCACACTCTGTTGGTAGGACTTTTACAACCGCACCCAAGTTCATTCCACCACAGCTACCAGCAATGAATATTGCACTTTTATCCTCGTCCTGTCCGACATACATCACTTTTCCCAACACATCTACCGAATCGTACAACTCCAATCTCGCAGCCTCGTCATTTATTTACTTGCAGCCTACAGTCAATTCCAACACTCCATCTAGTCAGAATACCTCCCTCGATCCTACTCAATATTCTTGGAACCCCCTCCCTATCAACACAACTCAACCCAACACGTCAAGCACCACACTCTCCACGACACTATCCGAACAAGAGGGTAGAATGGCCTAAACAACTTGGTTTCCAATCAACACCATCCCGTTGATGGATGTACATCTCAAATTAAATCCTTGGGCTTATCAAATTATTGACCTGGTTCATGACTACGGGAAAGCCCATGTACCATGAACGGATTTTATTTAAATAAAAATTATCATTTAAACTCTATTGTGTCTTGTACACCTCCATACACGTATTCAAATGTCTCGTATTGTAAACGTTGATTTCTTTAACGGTTCAAATCAATGGGTTTTTAATGGTATCATCAGAGCAAAAACAAACATCATGGAAACAGTAGATTCAATACATCAACATCAACACCAGGCATCGCAAACCAATGATTATAAATCAAATGTCAAGTTCCATAAAATAAATGAAAAAAAAGGTAGAGGATGGTTCAGGACTATCTGAAAAATAAACAGGATAGACAAAAATAGTTTGCATTCAAATCGGTATCAACGAGTTTGAATGCATACGCTCGGTTCAAATGACTGGCGTTTATGGATAAGTTCCAGCTCGTTGATGTGGAGGCAGATGCATGTCGTTCAGATCGGGAAGTTTCGGAAGATGGTTATATTCAGCAATCATCTGCTTGATAGCAGGTATGATTGAATGATCTTTTTTCAATGCATCTAGTTTTAAGTTGCTGCGAATCTCGGGATGCTGTTCAAACCCCTTGAATATGATAGAAGCCACTTCATCACGATTCGAAAACTTGTGATTGAGCGTTTTTTGCATGGACAGAATCTGCTCGTTTTGGCGATTGATCACTGTGGTCATGAGTCTAATCAAGTTGGCCAAAGCGGCATCGGACGACACGCTCTCGTCAGAAAAATCGCCACAAGAAAAGGGTAAATCAGGTGTAGTTTTGGATGATACAGGAGAATCTGCCGTAGTCAGTTGCAGCATTGTGTTGGTTGCTGATGAAATAGCTAAAGCCGTAGAGGGTCCAATTCCATTGGTTGAAGAAGCTGTAAGAGAAATGTCTGTACTGTTGATAAAACTTTTGTTTGAAACCGTATCGGATGAGTTTGAATGTGCTGTAAACTCGATTTCTTTAGAAACTACAGCTGCTTCTGTACCAGATAGCGCATCTGCTGAGGCTGTGGTGATAGGAACTGACTCTGTAGTTACGCCCAATGAAGTCGCGGTAGTATAAAAGGGTGTTGAAATAGGCGAATCAGTAAAGCCTTTTGGTGGGGATAAAGAAATGTTTGATTTACAATTCGGCATGGCAGAATTGCTATTATTTACTATTGGTGGCAAATTTGTATCATATGCTGAATGTGAGGTACAAGTAGTACTGCTGTGTGCATGAAGATTGGATTGAGGAAACTGTCGCTCCAATCTAAAATCTACAGGTGGAACAGAGGTATAATTGCTAGATCTGTCGGTAAAATTGGGTATCTGTGACTGAGAAGTAGCTGTTCGATGATGATACAACGATGGATCATACTGATAGTTTTCCAAAGTTTGAGCGTTCGAGTGTAGAGAATAGTGTTGATTATAGTATTGTGGCCGACTCGTAATATTACCATCGTTTGATGGAATGTGGTTGATATTAGTTGCTTTAGAAACCGAGTCGGGTGGTGTCCAGCGATTGTGCCGAGTCTGATGCATATCCACGTGAAGCGTTTCATCAAATGACTTGCGCTTCTTGAATGCAGGTTCTTCATCAAAACTATCACTTGTTCTGTTTTCCTCGGATCTGACTCGAACGCGATAGTCGCCTAATGGACTATGTGATGTTTGAGCAAACTTTCCAATGAATGGCGATGGGCGATGAACATCTGAACCTTCAGAGCAATCTATAGCCAATATGCCATGTAGAATTAAAAAAAGATATTAGCACATTAAAGCTTGTTTAAAAACGAGCAATATGAATACTGCCAAGATTTACAGGTCAAATCATTTTAGCGCTTACTAATGGTTAGACTATTACGATCAGAGTAAGGAATTGTCGGAAAATAGGCAGTGGTGGAAGAGTTATGCTCTGGGACACTGGAAGATTGATACTGTCGTGCACGATGTTGGTGATACTCGACATGAGTATACGGAGCCGGTGAGCTATGAGTTGTACTGCACATGGTTTTAGTATTGGTGTGCGAGTTGTATGGGTAGATGGGATATGAAGAGCCATATGGCACAGCAGATGAAGTGAAATTGCTGTTTTGCTGACAAGACAACCCCGAAGCACCTTCTGCCAAACGATTGGTAGATGGAGAAAAGGCCGCCGCGTTATGAAAGCTTGATTCCATACCAGAATTATTTTTAGCAGGTATAGAATGAAAAAATGGACCTCGAAAGCAGTCAATCTTGCTCTGAATTTCAGCGCAAAGGCGATCAGGCTCATCTCCAAGCTCTGGATCAAAAGGCTTGCCCATGGAAGAATCGCGTACTTTGCTATATGACAAACCAATTTAGTAGTTGAAAGAGTGTAAGTAATTATACATTTGGAATTTTTACTGGACAACGTTATGTCACAAACTCAATAAAATTGACTGATTCTTCTCTTGATGATCAGCATGGAAACAACTGCTGCGTTCCCAAAACTGACATCTCTGTTCTCTTAAACTGGAACACGTTTGTGAGATTAGAATACAAATGATTTTGTACAGAATTGGCGACAATCAAATTCAATATCTGGATTACAGTGAATGAATTTGGTGACTGTACAATGTATGGCTATACCAAAAGAATAGATTCAAAACTATGATTTGGTTGTATACATTATACGATGAACGGTGTGCCTTGAGTCTATCAATTTGACAGTGCTGGACAAGACATCGCTCTGCCAACATGTAGCAATGCTAACCCTGACCGTTTTTGTTGTGGAAAATATGGATACCGTTTTGAACAAATTTGCAAATTAAAATAATCAAATACAAGATACGTACTCTTGGAAAGATTTGAGAAGCCGGTGAGCTACATCACGACAAAGACGTTCAGAAATCACCCCAGCACCACAACCAAGAGACTTGGATACATCGTTTGCAACCTGAAGCCATCGTGCATGCTTTTCGCCATGTACAGCTGTGAACGGCATGATGGAATTGGCAGTATGCAAGAGAACCACCTCTTCAGATTTAGTGAGTCGTTTCATTGTCGTATTTTAAATAAAAGATTACCGAGTTTTTGCAGTTGGTATGACCAATAAGGCAGACTGAGATCTCTTTAATACTTGAAAGGTTAAAGGCAAGCTAAAACGGATCAAATTTGGCTGGGTTTAAAGAAACTGAGTCTATATACGTGTATTAGACAAAAACGAGTTTGAGAAGATTGTAAGTTGGTTAATCTCAAATTTATAATGTAAAAAGAATACTGAGAATAGGGTGCAAGATTGCTCTCTATTTGTATAGCCAAGCAAAAAATTAGGGCGGTTCACAGCCATATTCACATAAAATGAAATACTGAACAAGGGAGCCAAAGCATGCAGTAAACAGCCAATTTTCATGAAATTTACTGGTCTGCATTGTGTTTTTGAACTTTAACAAAGCTCACCAAGTTCTCTTGAGGATCAGCATGAAAATAGCCGTTGCATTTCTGAAATGTGCAACTTTTGTGTTTTTGAGCTAAAGCGCGAATGTATGAGCTTAGAATACAAGGTGGAGTTGGATTGAGAGCAGTCAAGTTCAATATCTGGATTACAACGGATGAGTCTGGCGATTGCACAATGCATGGCTATGCCAAAAAGGACAGTTGTAAATCAAAACCATAGTTCATAAACATTGTATGATGGCCGTTGTGTCTATTAAAGATGCTGCAAATTATAGTAGGAAGGAACAGTAGGCATTTAACCGCCGTCTATTCTCGGGCAGAATAAAGGCAGTGACTGAAAAATACAAGTATTCCATTTTACGTGAATACGGCCATAAAAGAATGTTTGGTTCAAAGAACAAGATGGTGGATATTTGAACGTGCTTTCTATTTTTCAAAAAAGACCGAGGAGTGCCAGACATATGTCATGAAAAGAATAAACGGCAAATCAAAACGAGACAGAAAAGGGTTGCACCACAGTATGTACAAATACATGTAAATACAAAGGTAGGGGGTATTAAATTTGAAGGTATGTATCAGGGAGTGTCAGATAACTAGAATAATGGAAAAATCTTCAAATATAAAAAGTCCGGCCGAGGCTGATGGGTATAGACTGAAAAAAACCTATTCAAGCCACGATAATGGACAAAAAACACTAGCACTTACAATCAAATACAACAGCGGAATTATAGCGTTAGAAATGACCGATTCAAGTTTTTGGTACGCCTTTCGAAAAGTTGGTAGATTCGCAGTATGAAGCGAATGACTGTTTGAAAAGATTCAAGCTGACCAAACTGACAAAAATAGACAGGCTCTTGGAGCAACTCTAGTTCAAATCATTGGTTAGAACCATACACATGTAACGGAAAAACTGCGGTAGTGCACTAAAATCTAAATACGTCTTTGCTTCCTGCTTGTATACTGGGCAAAATCGTTTTTAAATAGAAATAGGTGACTGAAGCAGAGACCCTTACCTTGTATTTAAGATTCAGAAAGCTGAATAAATTCAAATGGTTTCTGAGCTGGTCTTTTGCTAAAGCGATTCGGGAAAAGCAGTGTCAAGTATACAAACTCAGTGCAGACTTGTATGGGTGAGATCGCAATGATAAAGTACTAGAATGTATAAAATAGCAGGGCCTGCTAAAATTAGTCAGGGCTTTTAAATGTTCGATTTAACAAGCAGTTTAATTACTTGCAGCGCCAGTATCACTCAAAAGACACTTGCAGGCTTTTTAAGTCGAACCTCAGGATGCAACAGGAAAGATGTGAGATTTATAGCAATCTCTGAGATGCGAATGGTGACAATTAGCGGAGGTATTTATATCCGACTCGATAGAAATACTGGTCAAAGCTTTGCAAACTACCGGAACTGAATACAACCGAATAAATAACCACAAAATAATCCAAATGCGGAATATCGCGTAAAGCCTTGACTCGTGTTTTAAAAGTATAGCCATCTAAATCTGGCCATTCTATTGGCTCATGCACATTTCTTACCACTCAGATCCTTTCATTCCAGTCATATTACTATACCGTGTTCAAACTCAATACCCTATATGTTGAAAAATATTCAACGACGTTTAGTACATAAACCATCAACAGAAGGCAAGATTATTTGCTGCATGACTGATAACACGTCATTTAATTCTAGAAAACTACTGTATAGACTCGAGAAAATGAACTGCAATGCAAAAATCATCACCAAGTCGCTCATTGATATCTCTGGGAATCAGTTGGTTGGCTCATTTTTATTTTAAAACTTATGCAGATTATTCCACTCTAGTCACCAACGGTATCTAGTTGTCAATACGACTATTTTTTCAAATTAGCGCATGCTGCACTCTGGTAGGCATTCTATTTGTAAACGAACACACTCGAGGGTCAAACTGTACGGTCTCATGCCAGTGTATAGACAGCTAGTTTAAGCTTCTCTAGAGTGACCTAGTGCATGTTTCTAGTATCGCAGCAGCGAATAGTTGCTTGCTTGGTTTGAAATCTTGATTAATTCTACACGCCGAGATTGATTTACGACACATCAGCTCGAGGCTTTGACAGAAGCAGGTACCAAGTGTAAGGAAGCCGCAACAATATTTGGTCCTGCATATTGTAAATGCATTACAGCATAGCAGGGCGTTGCGGTGATTTTTACATGAGCGTATTCACAAGTGATGCCAAGCTGACACTCAATAAAATGCAAGGCATAATAAAGCCAAACTATGAATATTCTCAGCCACTTTTCTAAGCATATTTTTACATTGCTCCGTCCCTATATTCGACTCTGATGAACATGTACGCACGAGTATGGTTGAAAATGCCACGTGCTTGTCATGACAATACCTAGCTATTTGAACCAAAATAGTATTAGCAAGCATCGCGCACACATGGGCTTTATCCATATACCACAACGGCTTTGCTTGGCATAAACCAACTCTGAAGCGTGTACGGGTTAATTGCTTAGAATAAAGTTTGCATACGGTGATTTGGAGATGGCAAAGGTTCATTTTACACATGCTTAGCTTACTTGGCATTGAAAACGTCAAGAGTGAGTTGCTATAACATTTTTCCTGCTCAGGCAAACTCAAACTCTTTTGAGGCCGTAGTAGTTCAAGACCATCGAATGATACCAGGCTTTTAACCGATGTTTACTGCTAAATATATGGAAAAATGATCTAAACCATGATCTGCCTCTGGAATAATTTCGGTTAAAAGCTTAGGTCGACTGTAGGATAATTGAACAGTAATAGTAGCTTGTTTGGGCCCCGTACTTTCTTTAGAATAACATTAGAATTGTCTTGTAGCAGTAGTTGTGATCGAGTATCCGCAGATGCAAACAGATCACAATTACATGTTTATTTACAGTCGATTTCATGTAAAATAAGAGCATTTATCCTGCAGTGATTGCTCTATTCTGCTTTGGAATGGACAATGGACAAGTATTTACTGTACTCTCCTACTGGAAACTGAAGGTTTCTTCAATATATTGTAAGCTCTTTAATCATACTGTTCATCATACGATGCATGCAATCAAACTGTGGCTTTGTAGTTTATTCTGGTACGCATTGTCAATCACCAGAACCATTGATTGAAATCCAGATATTAGGTTCAACTGTTAAACTTTTGTCTGTTTCATTCTAAAAACGTCATGTTCATGCTCTAGTCCAATAAAACAGATTGCAGTTTCGGGAATACAACTGTTATTTCCATGACAATCACCAAGAGAGATACCTGCCAGCCTTGTCGATAAGTTTAAAGGGTATAGTATTGACCAGTAAATTTGATGGAAATTGGTTGATTATCTATTGGCACCTCTATTCAGTGTTCCATTTTACGTGAATATGGCTGTAATGCAATGTCGAGTCCACTAGCACCCAATCGGCATAATTGTTGGTCTAGACTAATGCAAGCTTCAACTTGAATCATATTCTTATAAATGCCTCGTAAATCTTGAATTTTGCACCACCAGTTGCCACCATGACCCAGATTCATACCAACCCATTTGATGAGTACTAAAGTAAATGGATGCACTAATACTGTCAATTCTGTTGATGACTACATGGCATTAATGAATTCGATGCATGCAGCCGTCTGCTAACTGAAACCCCAGTCGATATCCCATAACGATCTACAAAGGCTAAATGATTGTAATACTTCCCTGATACAAGTCCATCAGCTAGTCAGTATTGGCTGGACGTACAATCAATATTTGTTTGTCATTCTCCACGCTTTTATACTTGCAACTTGTATTCAACAATGGGACTTTTATCAAAGGTAAAACAGCAACAGGCACTGGCAACAGCGCAAGGTACATCCACCGATCCTGCTTCAACTGGACCACTCTCCCATCAAATACAAGAATCAGTCAACATTACCTACATTCGTGAGAAACTCTACTCCATTGTTACAGACAACAAACTCCAAGCATGGTACAATCCAGACCGACTCACAACTCTCATTGATCATCTTACAACTCTCAACTATGCATACCTTCGTCAAGAATGGAAAGTCTATGGTGACCTTGTCTATGATTTGGTTTCATTGGCCCTATACGACATTGTCTTTTTTATTGACGACTCTGGATCCATGGCATTTGAGGAAGACGGAGAACGTATTCAAGATTTGAAACTCATTCTAGCAAAAATAGCCAACGTTGCAGGATTGTTGGATACCGATGGTATCCAAGTGCGTTTTATGAACAACTCGACTGAGATTCATGGTGTGACGACTCAAAGTCAGGTTGAAGACTTGATTGGCAAAATAAGATTTTCTGGCATGACACCATTGGGAAGTCAGTTCAAAGCAAAGGTTGTTGATCCGATCGTGCTGGGTCCTGCTGTTAATGGGACTCTTACCAAACCAATTCTTGCTATTATTGTAACTGACGGAGAGCCAACTCGAGAGCCGATCGATACACTTCAGGATGTGATACTGGATGCCACTCAGATATTGGCTGGCACCGGCTGTGGTGTAGGTGCATTGGCCATACAAGTAGGTCAGGTCGGAACAGATCTAAAAGCCCAGCAGTTTTTGGCAAGATTGGACAATGATCCAGCAGTTGGAAAAATGATTGATTGCACATCCAACTATGAGATGGAGTCGGAGGAGATGATGAAAAAAGGTGGCGAGTTGAGTCCAGAGATGTGGCTATTGAAGCTGTGTGTTGGTGCTATTGATTCTACTTATGACGGGATGGATTAGATTGACTAACCGATACTATCAAATTGATCCGTACAGCTGCTCTATTCACAGCTCTATCTTTACAAGATTCCATGCAATCTCAGCTGTATCTATGTAAAATAAAACGCTATCTTGCAGTCTATTTTATTTTGGAATAGGCAATGGTTAAATATTCATTATACTTTTTATTGAATGATGTTCATAAACACGGGATTCTGATCCATATTCAAGATTTAAAAAAATTCGCAAGCAATTTTCTTTCATTAAAACTGAACCCCATCAATTCTGCTGTGGAATCCAAGAATCTTGTATGGTTCTGATGGATATCCACATTCTGTGATTGGGGAATAATAGTAACTGAAATCAGTTAAAGAGCTGGTCAATGACATACTTGCTGGTGTTTCGTCTCGACGATTGCTTTCCTGTGGGTTGTTGGCCTCTCGCACATTTCAATGTTGATATGATCGTAAGATGCATCAATAAAATGTTGATGGTTTCTAATACACATGTAATAGTTTTTTATTCTCAAATGTACCTTTAACTTTGGTGCAACTCACCATCAATGCTTGCCAAGGTTTCTAACTGTAAACCACTTGTTTAAAACACAAATGGAATGATATATGTCAATATTCATCTCAATCAAAACTGTACTTTTTACTGTATCGCTCCAATCTCGAGTAATACAATGAATCATTACAATTAAAAAAGTATGAAATCACAAACCATTGGTCTGATCAGGTTATTGAGTTGCCAGAATTTAATGTTTACAGTTACAATAGATCAATAAATCAAAAGTTGACAAGACGATAACCTGATCAATGATTTGTTTAGTATTCGAATATATTGAAAATCAAATGTAATATGAATACAGTTTTATCCAGATGTTGAACAAGCTAGAGTGATACATAAATGAGAACACGATAATCTGCTCGACAAGAATACGCCACGATACTAAATACGCAAGCTTATAATCAATATAAATTGCAATGGTTTACAGATACAATTACTATTTTTCGTTCCTGATTGCATGGTTTCTTGGATAAGTTGCCTCGATCCCAAGATTATAGGAACAACCATTTCCTGATTGTGATGATGAATACCAAATGTAAATCAAAGACTCGATCTGGCAACAGCTGATCGTACTCGTTCAATGAATACCCCAAAACTGGCGGTATCTCGATATTACATGAATCAAGTCCGAGTCCCATGATGGATACACTTGTAGATGCCAATTCACTCGAACAGACTAAAAAACATCGAGTATTTATTCATTTAGATTTGGTATGAAGGGTTTACTTTTTATATTGGTATCCATGGTTTCTAATATAGCAAATCCAACTCGATACATTTAAACAAGGATGCATTTTACGCTCAAGTAGAGCAAGTTCGACTTGGACTGCCTCCGACAGTCCCACTTGCAGTACAGCAGTGGAATGGGATGATTGCCATAAATTATGCAGCAAGAGAAATGGGAATTCATCGGTTTGGATCCATCAAAGATGCCAAACGAACATGCCCAGAACTGTTACTGGTGCATGGTAAACTGTTGAATTCTTTTGGGCTTACTATTGAATTTATCGAGTTTGGTGGCAACTAATGTGTTTTAATGTGAATACAGTCGCCACGTATGCCGATGGAGATACTGAACCAAAATATCATCCCAATCCTTCTCAAAAGACTCACAAAGTTTCATTAGATGTATATAGGTATGCTGAATTGATTTCAAACCACTGGCTCAGAGGTTTAAATTCACAAGCTTGTTTATCTCTGAAACTACATTGGATATTTAGACAAGCAAGCAACAAGATTATGGATATTCTTTCTAAATGTGGAAGTCCAGTCAAGCAGGCTTCTATTGATGAAGCATACGTGGATATTACAGACTATGTCAACAAGCTCATCGAGTCGGGATATTGGAAAAATATAATGTCCGAATCTCACTCGGAATGCAAAGACCCGCAAGATGAACAGCAGGTTCACTCTGACATGGGTCCCATGGTACGATGGAACAAGGACACGTGCAGTGCGATGGGGGATTTAGTAACCTCGTATGGGATTTTCGATCTTCAACTCTATCTTGGTTCTCGACTCAGCGCGAGCTTACGCAAACAGATCTTTGACGAATTGGGGTATACATGCTCAACAGGAATTGCACATGGGAAAATATTGGCCAAATTGGTTTCTTCTATCAACAAGCCCAACAAGCAGACAGTGCTACAAATCGAAAAGGTTCCCGACTTTATGAAGACAATCAAATTGTCAAAAATAAATGGAATGGGAGGAAAGTTTGGCGCAGAAATCATGAAGACGTTTCAAGTGACAATGGCCCATGAGCTGTGGGTGTACTCGGCGGATGAGCTTGTAAAGCAACTTGGATATGAGCATGGAACGTGGCTGTATAATGCATGTCGAGGAATAGATTTTCAAAAGATTCAGGGACAGACCAAATCTCAATCCATGACTGCGTGCAAGAACTTGACTCCGAATATTCATTCGACTGATGATGCACGCTACTGGCTCGGCATTTTGGCTTCTGAGTTGTATACAAGAGTTAATACTGAGTTTGAGACGAATCAAAGATGGCCCAAGCTATTAGTGGTAAGCTTTTTTGACTGGGATTTCATTCGTGTTTACGCATTTTGTGAGATTGTCTAAATAGCCTTGGAATTGGTGAGTTTAACCTGGTGATCCTTAGTTGCACTTTAGAAATCCAAACTGTCCAGCGGACAAGTCAAAATCATGCCCATTCCCAAATCAGGCACAGTTAACAGGCTCTGATGTCATTTTTCAAAAAGCATGGGTTATGCTGGAGTCGGAACAAACTAAATTGCCTTGTAGTCGATTATCATTATCAGCAACCAAATTTTTAGACATAGATAACTCTACGAGAGATCTTTCCAAATGGTTGCAGAAAATGCCTGCCGTGCCATCTGACGCATTCTCAGATCCTCTTGACGAGCCTATTCTATCCATTTTACCAGATGAAACGAGTTCAGTAGCCACTCCTGTTGCGACTGGATCTTTGGATAGCCCTGACGATTACCACAAGGAGTTTCAAATCAAATGTGATCAGTGTGGCGAGCTTATTGATGCAGATGATAACAGTCAGCGAGAGCATGCTGATTTCCATATAGCACAATCGCTTTACAAGTCGTCACACACACGTCGTGAGCCATCTACAGCATCAATGTCGGGATCTGTGTCGAAAAAGATCCAGCCAGACAAAAAGAGTGCATCTCGCACACAACGACGGAAACCTGGAGCAGCTAATACTGAAAAGTTTACAAAACTGACCAATTTTTTTAAACCTCATTGCACCGAGTAACCATATGTGTGCTTACAATCTAGTACAATGGTTATGCTGGTAGATTGATCAGCAGATAAGCAATGAATGTTCATTATTTTGGACAAGTATTGATAAAATGGTTGGTGGGAGTGGAATGAATCATGAATTTGCCAAGATAACGTAGTAATAATAAGCAGTACCAAGAGCAGCAACACCAAGAGCAACCCAAGAAGCGCCAGTCAGTAGTTTTAAGCGCTGTTTTCGATTGTTGGTATCTTTCATGCCATTTTTGATGCGTTGAACATGGTTAGCAATACACTGCTGTTTTCTAAGTCTCAAGGCAGTTTTATCGAGAAAGTCAGGGTTGGCATGAGTGTCTGATAGAGTCATGACAGCAGCTGAAATAGTTTGAAGGTTCGAGTCAAAACAAATTCAAATCTATAAATTTCCTTTCAGCTCAATCAGAATCAACTTGCCATTTGGCCCACCAGCTGCAAATCCTTGAATACCGGCTCAAGCTGATTGCTGTTATCTATTCTGGCAGCATTTGCCTAGATTGAATTTCTTTGATATCCCTACAAATAGGATCAATTCTATTATTTTGATTACCGCTACTGTCGCAAATCCTTCTATTGCCACGACCGGCCTTTAGTGCCAGGTCGAATTCGCTTTTCAAAAAGAAAACTACATTTTAGTTTAGTGTATATAAGCCTGTTGGTTTATTTGACTGCTGACTTGCTAATATAGCCACCGCTTGTGCCATCATCCTGTACGAATAGATAGCTATTCACTCCGTTTTTATAATTGTCAAGCACGCTCATAATCTACAAGCCAATGCCAACTGCTACAGTAAGTTTGCTCATTAAATATATACTACAGAGTATTAGAGACTAAGAACTGCTGCAACTTGAGATATTCTGCATAATTTTTTATTTTTATTGTCATTGAAAATGCTATAAATGCAGACTTGTTGAAACCCAGTATGGATGGTTTGTTTTGGCATAGTTGGGTTTAAAGGCATTCCTTTTACCATTCTTCATTTTTTGTAAAGGATGGTGTGGTGTGTTGCTAGATTTGAATCCTGTCCTATTCGTCTATGATCCGATCATGCTATGAATACAATCCGCGACATCTGACGACGCTAGCAGTCGTTGATGCATGTTTGATCTTTTTGGATTGTATAGCAATCCTGTATTGGGCTTCATCACACATGCTGGGTTTTGAAACGATATTAAACATAGTTTAGTATCTCCCTACTGTTAAACTACATTTAGAAGCAACCCATAGGCTAATTTAAACTTGTAAATCACAGCATTATGCAGCCTTGGCGCAAAAAGTTATACTTGGGTCATTGAGTTTAGAACGAATAGTCAAGGTTCTTGAAATCGAAGCGCTTGAAGAATATAGGGTAAATAGTTGCAATCAGTGATGTTGGATATTTTACAAGTGCTAGAATTTCATGATATTGACAATACGTATGACACTGTTGGATACATGTATATAGCTTCCATGGACTCCACCTGAAAAGATCTTGACAGAAAAATATGTTCCTCCTGCTCTTGCAATCACTTTTGGTGAACTTAGTTTCAACTCTTCGTTTAATACAATACTGAGATCCAAACCAAATGATCAAGGTTTTACTATTCAGCCATCTCAGGCTGCCAACATCCGTACTAAACTAAAGAAAGGCTTGCATTTGCCTACACCTATTGGTGAAGACTATACCATTCTAGACAATTCGACTCCCACTGAGGCTGGATCTCCATTTTATGTTGGCTCGCATTTGGTTGAAGAAGGTGCAGAGTTAAAATCATCAAAAATGTTTTCAAAACCCAATGTTACATCAAACAGTACGTGTACGAGCTTAACTGGCGATATTGCATTAGTTAAAAAGGATCGTCCTCACCCCATTACTCCCAAGTCTCAGCTATCTACTCCTTCTCAAACTTCCCCTACTACATCTTCCAACAGTGATGGGCAATGTCCACCCACTCCCGTATCAACTACCCCTGCACCATTCAATTGGCAAAATCTCCGCAGAGATACTGCGACTTCATCTGTGAAATCTAGTGCTGCATCGGCTCATCATGCATCCTCCTCGATGCATCAATTGGTCAAGCCTAAAACAGCACTTTCTCAAACTCATTCTACTCTGACCAATACGTATCATGAGGCTCGAGCCGTTTTGGACAGCAATCCCAACTATCAAGGAAAACTCATTCGTCCTCGCGGTCTCAAGAATGGTGGAAACATGTGTTTTATGAACGCAATTCTGCAGCCGCTCATTCACTGTCCACCTTTTTATAACTTTCTCAAAATGTATGAAAATATTTTCAAGCATTCATTTAAAAGCACAACTCCTCTGATAGACTCTATGCTTCAACTTCTCAACGAATTCAAAGAAGAAGAGCCAAACACCATACCACTCCCTCCAGCTACAAAAGACTATCGCCCATTTGTTGGAGAATATGTGTATGATGTTCTTCGAAAATCAAAGCACATTGAGTCTCAAAAAGGCAGACAAGAAGACGCCGAAGAGTTCCTTGGGTTTCTGTTAGAGGGACTTCACGAGGAACTGCTACGCGTTGATAATGCGCAAGAAAAAGCTCGTGAGAGTCGTAGCATGGACTCACATAGACTATCCAATGGCATGATTGCTCCTCAGACTACTTCACCTACTCGTGGGGCTATTGTTGATGGTGAATGCACGATCACAGCCGATACGTGGATGGAAGTAGGTAAAAAGAAAAAAGTTCAGCCTACTCGCACTGTTCAAGTCAAAACCACTGCTATTGCACGTATCTTTGGAGGCCAAATGCGATCTGCTGTCAAGAGTTTTGGTAGCAAGGACTCGACTACATCAGAGCCTTTTCAGGCACTACAACTTGATATTACTTCGCCTACTGTCAACACGATTGAGGATGCTTTGAGAGAGCTTACTCTTCCCGAAGTTATTGAAGGCTACACGAGTTCGGAACATCCCGACGTTAGCTCGAATGCGACCAAACAGACCTTTTTGGAGGTTCTACCTGCTGTATTAATCCTGCACTTGAAGCGATTTGTTTATGATAGTGTGGGTGGTACTCTAAAGGTCTCCAAGCACATTGCATATTCGACCGAACTTAAAATCTCGACCGACATCTTGGCTCCCTCTGTACGAGCCACTCAGAATAATACAAAGTATCACTTGTTTGCAAGTAAGTTGTGATTGTATTGCGGACAAAATGAGTTTTGAGAATAAGCGCCATGTCTGACCTAATTCTTTTGGTGCCTGATTGCAATCTAGTTGTAAACCATCATGGTAAGCGTGCTGCAGGAGGACATTATACCTGCGACGTACTACGACAGAATGAATCGTGGCTTCATATTGATGATAGTGACATTAGCATGACTACAGCCAAGGCAGTCACATCAGAGCGTCGCGACGGGCAACCTTATATGTTATTTTTTGCCAAGAGTTGAATGACTACAAGCAAATGATTTTCTAAATGGGTGCTTTTTGCGTATTTTTAATGTCTTGTCGACCATTGTATAGCAGAACTTGCTGGTTTTACCAATGTTGATCTGTTGATGATATTTTGATAGTGTTACTTTGTTGGGATTTAATCTTAAACTTTCTTTATTTCAACATCTATATTCCCCTTTTTTGATCGTTATGTCTGCATGGTTTCATATTTTATGCAACTGGATGGGTGGGCTGAGGCTGGATAGATTCTTAAATTAGATCAAGAAGTTACTATCATTTAAATGGACAATTTACATGGTAAAAAGGTTATTGGTCTGCAGTTAGTTTCCTCTGCCGGGTTTAAAATTGCGTGGTTAAACTAGCCTCTTGTTCTTTGTATTGTTTTTTTTTTGAATAAAACTGATGCTCGATCAGAATATGCATGCGATACTCGAACTGTTTTTATTGGAATATGCATAAAACTGATTTAAAGATTCTATTCATTGTTTAATAATTCAAGAATTTCGACTGAATTCAACTCAGCCGAGTTTGAATTCAAACCAAAATCCAACTCGACGTCCGGATATGTTGCATGAGCTTTTAGCTGGATTACTGGGATATGGCAGTGCCTTGTCTTTGGATCATCTTCCTGGTTTACATCCATCTGAAAAACAAATTATTGTCCAGTTACAAACACTGGGATCCAAATATGTTCTCATTACCAACTTTGTTCATACCATTCAAAAAGGCATCGACTGTTGCTTAAAACCCACCACTACCGACAAGCAAACGTTTAATATTACAGAAAGTAGTCAAAATGGGTTGTATTTAAACGCATTGGCAATGGGAATTCAGACAGTTTTGGTTGAACCGTATCGCACAACTGTAGTAGATTTAGAACGACATATACTGGATCCAAATAATTCTATTACCCGTGGTGGAGCTACTCCCGTATCTATGATTGCTGCCATTATGGAACCTGTATGTATTCATTTACATGTCTTGTGTTGGTCCATGTCTTGCTAATGGGGTTGTATTTTATTTGCAATGGGTTGAATTTCCAGTTTCAGTTACGGTTGGACCATGTTTTGCAGACAATTAAAAAAGCTTCAGATTCAACTCTGCCTGACGATCAACGTTATACTGGAATCCATATTTTGGATTTGTTGCGTGACCAAAGTGTATGTGGTATTCCATCCGTCAAAGATCTAATGCACAGGTAAACCAACTTTTGTCAAACATCAATCTTCAAATTCCAATACTAACTTTTTGTAAAAAACAGATTGCATGCTGTTTGCATGCGAGTATTTTGTAAACAGCTCATGTGTTGGATGATGTATGGACTGATTTCTGATCCATATCAAGAGTTTTTTATTGTTGCCAAGAATCAGAAACGTGGTGGAAATGCATCTACACACGTTTTGGATCTGCAAGAATTAAAGTCCATGACTTGGTAAGACGCATACCATGTCAAACTCAATTCTCATAATCAAGTATGAATTCAACGAGATGCATTGGACTGATTGATTACTGTGAATTTAGGACTGGTTTATTTGAAATCAGTAAAGAGAAACTCCCGTATTACATATCTATAGATCTTGCTGAAACTATACTATTTAATGGGAAAGCCATGTCCATCATATCTTCATGCCGACCAGAATCAGGTATATTTTATATGGTTTGATGCATGACAAGTGCAGCTATGCTAAACAAATCTCCACTGTGTATAATTGATTTATAGTAAATGAAATCATTCAGCAATATACAAACAAAATTGCAAATGTATGCCAAGAAAACATATGCAACATACCAAATCAAATACATGACATTGTTACTATATGCAAAGATATGAACAAGCAAGTTACTCGTATCATTTGGGACATTGTTGTATTGGAGAAACATTTACCAACACATTTGAATGTAAGTTGCCACGGCTTGTTTTGTATGGATCAACAACAAAGCATGTTTCATGTGCATATTCTGACTACATTTTGCTATAGGCATTTCGCGATGTGTTTTTGGCTGGAAAAGGAGACTTTATCTTGGAATTACTGAGTGAATTTGATCGTCTTAAACACTCCATGAACACAACTTTGGTGAACATAACTAGTCAGGGTATGTATTTCAAAGCATGGCTGAATTGTCAGAGTCGGCTGATTTTAAACCAAGATATGTTTAATGTTTAGATGTAAAACAAGTGTTTCACAAGTCATGGACACGATGTGAATGGCCAACAAATATGACTGAACACATCAAGTCGCGATTCAGCCTTGTTTTGTCTAGTTTACAATCTTCCACACCTCCGAGCGCATCTACTCCTCAGATTGGTACGTATAGTTCAACACCACCTGATACTCCAGTAGAAACTTGTCATTACGCTTCACACAGTCTGGGCGTTCCGCTTCGTCTTGATTACGATATATCATGGCCATTGGATATATTACTCAATAAGAGTGATGTTGACAAGTACAGCAACGTGTTTATGTTTTTAATGGCGCTGCGAAGGATTCATGTGCGACTACAAAGGGTGTTTCGTGAAAGGGGTGTCAATGTACTACCTTATCGTCAAAGTGTTTGGACTGTGCGATGCCGCATGCTTTTTTTTATCGATTGCTTGTGGTCCTATATTCAGGCGAGTGCAGTTGAATTGGTTTCAATACTGCATAATTCTATAGTATCCAAACTGAAACTGCTATATCCTAACCACTTTAATGCATTGGTTACAGATGGATTTAATTGAAGTCGAGTTTCAGCAGTTTGTAAACTATACGCTTGGAAAAAACACCACCGCGAATCATGCTGACGATGTGAGTGCACATTCTTTATCTCTTGCAAGTCCAAATCATTTGGAACATACTAGCCCAACGACCTCCATAAGTGATGATATGCCTAGTTTTGATGATATCCAACGAGCACATATGAGATGTCTTGAACGAATTTGCTCAGGATGCTTTCTTGACAATGGATCGATTGTTGGTTTGGCAATACGCGAGGCTATAGATTTATGCGATGGGTTGTGCGGACTTACCGAGCGAATAGATCCACATGGTAATGGGCGATCAGAACATGTGTTGAACGGGGACATGTCTGCATATCAAGCTAACATGGCAGCTGAAATTGAATCGATTGGTCAGGTTAGTTTCAATTGAATCCAACCATTTGTAATACGTATTGACATTGGTTTGGAAATGTATTGTTTATACTGTGATAGCAATTCGAAACACGGGCATCTACTTTATTTCAAGCTGTCTCGAGTGTCCAAGGTATGCATGCAGCCAAGTCATTGGGTCAACTTCTTATCCGTCTTGATTTCAATACGGCCGATTGCACATTTTCTCAGGGTGGAATGATGGCTAGATGATTTAGTTTACAACTGTGTAAAGATTGCTTAAGCAAAATAGCGAGTTTGACAAACCATCAGAATGGGTTGGGTTGAAGCCGTTGACGGGTTGTAGATCTAGTACTGAGTTGTAATGTGGTGCAAGGATTGTAAAGCTCAATGTCTTGGCTTCAATCACTTTTGTCTATGAATAAATTGAGAATCATTACTAGCATTAACTGGGGTTTGCATGCTACAGATTCTACGTAGACTTGTATATACCGAGTGCTACCAAATATTAAACTTGCTTTTTGGGTAATCTGTCAATTTCAATCATTTGACACGATGCAATAAACTCGAATGGCTTATAGCAAGACTATATTTTGTATTTAAACCAAAGACTGAACAATGAAACTCAATCCATCGTGTAAAATGGCATCCATCCTGTGCTTACAAGTGTAGTCTATCATGAGCATCATACTCGATCTAAACCCGTGTTATGGGATAAACTATAAAGCAAGTATTGAGAAGTTCCAAAACCATTCCACAGTAATACAACCAAATGATAGATTGAATAAAGACGCAGTTTCATTTGAGATGTGTAGTCCATTGCATCTAATCCATTTTAAAACGTCAAAGATGTGGCAGAGAATCAACATTAAACGACAGTACCAGCGCTAAATAAAAACAGGATTGTTAGTCAATGCAGAGTGCAACAAAAGAATAGTTGTATAAAAATACCTCGATGCGATCTTGGGCCAGATATCAGCGCACTCCTTGCCAACGGGACCAGTGATGGCAGATCCCTTCATTTCACCCTTGGGGTTGACAATAACACCTGCATTGTCCTCAAAGTAAAGGAAGACACCATCTCTTCGACGCCATGCCTTTCTCTGACGGATGACAACGGCAGGATGAACCTTTTTACGAAGATCGGGCTTACCCTTTTTGACGGTGGCAAGAACCATGTCACCGACACCAGCAGAAGGCAGACGATTAAGACGGCCCTTGATGCCCTTGACAGCAATGATGTAAAGATTCTTTGCACCAGAGTTGTCAGCACAGTTAATGACTGCGCCGACAGGCAAAGCCAGAGTCATGCGCAACTTGGTACCAGTGGAACCGGAACGGCCTAGAAATGAATAAAGTTAGCAGGATTCCATTTATGATCCAATACAAGTTGTCATGCATCCACGGGATAAAGATATTCCAGTAGTGAGTTTAAACAAAGGCATGAATAGATGGATGCATGGTTGTGTGGATGCATGACTGTATGGATGCATGACTGTGCATGGTTGGATGGCAACACACCTCTTGTTGACATTTGGTGCTATTCGTAATGGAAACTATTGCCAGTGACTTGAATGTGCGTAACTTTACTGAACATTTATTCTCCTGAGGGTGTTGATATTTACGGGTCTTTGACAAATTCACTGCAGTTGGTTGAAATCGTTTTACATCAACTTTCTTCCCCTCACTTACTCCATACTTTGTTACAATGGTTCGCTTCCTCAAGCCCGGAAAGGTAACCATTTCTGTTGTCTCTATCAGTAGTATTGGATTTGTAGGATATAATCCTATTGCTTTCAATAGGCAGATCATGAACTTTTGATCTCATCCAGGCAGACTTGAGTTGCAAGCACAGTTGGACATGCAATACATCGCAACTACAAAACTATCCATCCACTACGGATTGATATGGATAGACCATGCATGCATGCGTATGAATTCATCTGCTTATGCACTTTATGTTATACCTTGTTGTGGATGGATGCATATTTCGCTTGAGCCGACCAATCCAACCTGCAACCAAGTAGTCATTCAGGATGATTTTTCGCTGCATGTCCACATCACATGGAACTGCTACTTTGATACTTGTTTATCAATTCTTATGCGTATAGATCACTGCATATAGAAATACAGCATTGGATGTTTACCAATACTACTCGATGGACTGTCAATCTTGAATATATACTTCAATGGATACTAATCCGTTTTGTCATGATTAGGTTGTTCTCGTGCTCCAGGGCCGCTACGCTGGTAAGAAGGCCGTCATTGTCAAGAACTTTGATGAAGGTACCAAGGAACGTCCCTACCCTCATGCCATTATTACTGGCGTTGAACGTTACCCTCTCAGGATCACAAGCAGCATGAGCCAGAAGAAGGTTGCCAGGAGATCCAAGATTAAGCCATTCATCAAGGTTATCAACTTCAACCACATGATGCCCACTCGGTAAGTGTAGATTTGATAAGCCTACTGATTGTGGTGTTGACAAATACTTATTTATTGCATGTGTAGTTACAATCTTGACATTGACCTCAAGACCATTGTCACTGGCGAGTCTGTCAAGGAGCCATCTCAACGTGCTGGAGCTCGCAAGGCTCTTAAAAAGGTTTTTGAGGAGAGGTACAATGCTGGAAAGAACAAGTGGTTTTTCCAAAAGCTTCGTAAGTTGATATGCAATCTTGTAGTGTTGATTCTAGTTCTAACAGTTGAATCTGGAATGATTTGGTTTCAATCATTTTAAATTATATGATGATAGGTTTCTAAGCGGATTGTCCAATACACAACCTTATTCTGAATTTCCTTTTTAAAAGTATTGAGTGAGAGGGATCGATAGACTTGACTTTTGGGGTGGAAATGAGTTTATTGTTTCTGTTCAAATGCATTCCAGATGCGATCAGTAAAGATGCCTAAAGGCCGAGAATGAGCCCACTCCTCTCTAAGAGAAGCAATAATAGTAGCACGATCAACAGTAGAGTTGGAAAGAGCAGTTTCAGCATTGGCAACAACCATTGCATCCGTCAAGTCCATATGCAATTGGTCCAGAACTAGACTCTGAATAAGATCGGTACATTTAGTAACATCAATTGGTAGTGGAGAGTCAGGAGATTGAGTTTGTCTCTCCAATCGCATTCCCAGTGCAGCGACATTAGGAAGCACCAGTGCACACACCACTTGCTTTCCTAATGCTGCGAGAGCAGCAAGAGCACCATACACTGTTGCCAAAGGCTTCAGTGGATCCAGCATTGCTCTTAGCAATGTCTTGGTGACTCTTGGTTGGAGTGTTGGATATGCTCCACCAAACTGCACACAGATATGAGCAGCAAGTTTGGCCGAGTATAATCTCAACGCCCAATGATCTTCATCCCCCGCTGTCTCCCCGCTACTGTTTCTAGTCATTCTCTTTGCAACAATACACGTTAGAATCGATGGAATCAGCTGGTGTAGATAAGGCTCTGGATCTAAATCTACATTGGATAGAATCCCTCGAGTAAACCGCATAATCGTCCAGAGGAGTTCCAGATCTTTGAGTGATCTTGTCACTGTATCTGAAATAAACTGTACAAAGTAGGGCATAATACCCTGCACGCCTGGATCTTTAGATATACTCTCAATTGCCAATGAGCGAATCTCGAGATCCTCGCTGGTCAGCATCTCGGTGATTTTCTCATAGTACATTTGAAGTTCTTTTGTAAGAACTTCTTTTACCAAGAGTGGGTGCTGAGTTGTGTCGCTAGTGGAAGTCAAGGATTTCTCTCCTCTACGAATAGTAGATGTTGTTGCTTGAAGCGTTTCTGTTGTGGTTTGTCCATCTAGTATGACAAGTGGTTAGTATCAAACAATCGCATTATGCTGGGTGAAATTGGAGTTTGAACAATCGTATATACCAGATGGGGTTGGATTTTGAACAATCCTGGGCTGAGCACCATCAACAGCCAGCCAGTGTGCTAATAGAATTCAGATTCAACTATAAGTTAATATTCATGTTACATCAGCAACCTGAATCGACATCAATCACATCATTACCTGTATAGGTAGCTTCCAAAGGAACAGGAGGAAGAGGTCTATTGATTAAATCGTCTAAATCGTATTCTTGATCCTCAAGGTAGTACAGTACCTGAGAGCCCATTGAAGTCATTTTGAAGTTGGATGGAGCTCCATTGATGTATCCATATAATGGCTAATGGCGAGTCAGCAAGAGTTGTATAGATCCAAGATTTAAAACTGAAAATAAGCCTACCTCAACATTACGAACAGACAATGCAGAGTTGATATCAGCAGATGTGAGTTTCTGTCGTCTTGAATGTCGCATAAACTTGACGGCTTCCTGTATCATTACATTATACGATGGTAAGTGCTGGATCAGATGAATAACAAAAGCCTAGAATCAGTAATGTACATGAATGATTTCTCGCATGCGATACTCAGTATCCTGCAAGAGAACAGTTGCAACTTCGTCTTGCATCGATACGCCCACAGACTCTGCAATGGCCAAAATGGTCTCCTTTGGAAAAACACTCATGATGTGCTGTAAGCAGTGCAAGTGCCAAATGCAACAACTTGTTTATTCCATGTACCTGAGGGTGATGAATTTATAACTACATGTTGCAGCGACTGCTCTAGAATAAACAATGGTCAAGTATTTGTTGGGATTTTCCATTATAAAATGATTCGACATTCTCGGCTCTTTAAAACAATGTCTATGATGCATATATAAGCTGCAGCGTTTTTATAAAAGAGTTCAAGATTGAACAAGTGTGTGATGGATTGGAACTGATGCGAGCACTCATTGTTGACACTATTTCCTAATAAATTTAGCAAGTTATCATTTCATGAGATTGACTGTTTATCAAACACCCTTATTTGTTCCACTTTACGTGAATACGGCCATAGTTCATTACTAAACTAAACCATCAAACTCTAATATCGGATGAGTGGTAGAAACCCTACACCAGGAGCCTCTAGCAACCAGCAGTATGAATATTTGTTCAAGGTACTGATTCTCTTGATTACTGACTGTTACTGTGATGCATTCTGTAATTCGATCAATGCTGTCAAACTACAAGGCAGTCTATACCGATTCCATCATTTGTGTATGTCCATGTTTGTATTAGTACGATATGCTAACTCTTTCTATTTATCCTGTTGTAGTTTATCAGGTAACAGGAATATCATTTGTGACAGCTGGGCTGATTCAACATGCTCATCTGATGCTATTGTACAGACCAAATCACTCTTGTATAAGAGATAAAGACTAATAGAATACTGACAATCACTATTCCATCACTTGTGTGTACTGTCAAACCAACCTTTGTCTTGATCCAGTGTCGGCGACAGCGGGTATGAAAACTGCTTAAATCAGTCTTATTGCTGTGCATGACTAATCAATTTAAACTTTGTTCTACTCGGAGTAGTGTTGGTAAATCCTGTCTTCTGCTTAGATTCACAAACAATGCAAGTAACTAGCCTTTGATTCTAATCTTGGGTTGAGTCGTCCACACTAACCCTGGTATTTTACAATTAGGAATATATGCCAACTGAAACAACCATTGGTATCGAGTTTGGATCGCAAGTAGTCCGTGTGCAGGACAAGCGAGTTAAACTTCAGATTTGGGACACTGCAGGTCAGGAAAGCTTTAGATCCATCAGTCGCGCATACTACAGAGGTGCTATTGGATGTCTACTTGTTTATGATATCACAAGAAGAGATACATTTATGCATCTGATGAGTTGGTTGGATGATGTGCATCAGCATGGCAATGACAAAGTAATGACTATTCTTGTTGCCAACAAGTGTGACCTGGAGGCTAAACGCCAAGGTACCAGTTTTTGTTTGCAGTGTTTTGCATGATGGACTGGAATGCAAGTTTTTTATTCAACTGTTTGATTTAGTGACCAAGGAAGAAGGCGAGGCATTTGCAAAAAAACATGGATTATTGTATCTGGAAACATCTGCCAAGACTGGATTTCAAGTTGAGCAAGCCTTTTTGGTTCTTGGTACCAACATTTTCAATTCGCTAGATTTGTCAAGAGATGTGTCGCAGCTTTCTGGCAAGTGTCTTGCATTTGTTATCTTTAGCTTCAATCTCTGATTTTTAATGCATTTATTCGTATTTTGAATCATGTAGATGCCGACATTAAACAACTTGAGCAACATGGCGTAAAGGTCGGGCCTCGTCGCCCAGCAGTTATTGTTTCACGCTCAGTGCAGTCTCAACAAAATAATGTCTCTTGCTGCAATATATAATAGCTGCTACTCTTGCAGTATCTTTTTGCATCCATCACTTTTACCGTGATTTCTTTTTGCCTTTGTCTGGACATCACATAATGCCTATATAAAAAATTCGATTACAAACCAATGTTTCTGTGATTGTAAACAGCCAATTTATCTTGTAGTGCTTTGTTAGTCGGCCGTGTATTTGACTCGACTGCATGTATAGTTGACGTAAATATCATTGAATACTTCAAGTTTAAATGAATGGACAATATACAGGTTAAATTCGGTTGGGTTTGAAGAATCTTGAGCCTTGAAACAGGTTACAATGGTTGAACACGATTTCAATATGCTTGAATATACTATCATTAAATCTCATTATATTGACAAGACTGGGAGCTGTTTGTCTCTGAAATGGTTTTTGGCATAATCTAGAACTGGCATTATATGCTCATTATACACAATCTCCTGGACTCGAGCTGCTTCCATGCATTTTGCTTTTCAAACTATTACTCGATAGCCATCAATTATTTCAGTGTATTTTCACTACTGCTATCGTGATGGAATCACTCATTGCTGTATGGAGTGAATGTTGGATGATATGGAATCTGCTGCTAAACAGATACAGCACTACACACTAATATAAACTGTACTAGTCGGAGTTTAGTCTTGGTAAAAATAGTGTCTTCCAAACAGTCCAGCACAAGTAACATTAAGCTACACTAACATCACTCCGCTACAAGATCATATATTACGGATTCCCACTCGACTGTTATTCTTGACAGAACGAGACATCCAATATACACTGGTTGTGTTGGGTATTATCATAGAACCCAAGCATTGTCCATTGGTTATTAGCGAGCCATTAAGGGTTACTCATCACTACAAGCGGCAGCTTATCAAGCAGCTGTTTCGACGTTTCACCTTTTACAAACTTTAAAATGGATACGACGATAGGCCACATCGATTCTTCACATGGCACATGGAATGAATTGATTCCTGAAGACCCGGGTCTACGAACTGCTCATTTGACGTATCTACTTCTAGGTGTGGTGTATATGCCAAGCCCTGTAGGGACTAAAACTTGCTGAATCATGTTAATATCCTGATTTTTAACTTGGAGTATAAATGATTTACGGATTGCATAGGTGGTTTTGTTGGTGGGTTTGGTCTTATCTCGCTGATTGTCAAGGACAGACTCTACATGTCTGAAGCCATGGTTGCAACGATATTTGGCATTATTATTGGTCCTGCAGGCTGCAATATTTTTAATCCAGAAGCCCTATTTCCAGGACAAGTCAATCATGTCATTCTCGAATTTTCTCGCTTGGTCATTGCTATTCAATGTCTTGTTGCAGGGATTTCTCTTCCGCGTAGTTTTATCTGGAAAGAGCGGCAAAGTATCACGATGCTACTTGGGCCTGTCATGTTATACATGTGGTTGATGTCTGCTTTGGCTATTTGGGTCGTATGTGGTGTACCATGGCAGCTAGCACTGATTATCGCAGGTTGCTTAACTCCCACAGATCCCGTTTTGGCCAATTCCATCGTAAAGGGAAAATTTGCCGAAAAGCATATTCCGTATCATGTCCGGTTGTTGCTATCGGCCGAGAGGTGATTTTTTAATCCGATTGAATCATGGTCAACTATTTTAAATCTAACCTTGTTTTTATAATACGCGCAGTGGATCCAATGACGGGTTTGGTGCACCATTGGTATTTTTTCCTGTTTATATTTGGCGTATGAGCAATACAGGAGAGGCTATTGGATGGTGGTTGGTCAATGTTGTTATTTACCAAGTAGTTCTTTCCATTGTACTCGGAGTCATTATTGGCACTTTGTCTCGCAAAGCCCTCAAATGTGCAGAGAGTAATGGATGGATCGATAAAGAATCTATTTTGGGATTCTTTATCGCCATTGCATTGGTAACGACGGGGGCCTTGTCACTCTTGGGTGTAGATGATGTGCTGGGATGTTTTGTTGTTGGAGCTATATTGTCTTGGGTGAGTGGTTATGAATTCGTGTATTGCGTTGAATCTTATTACTAATGTAGTGCTACCGACCGTGTTTAGGATGATTGGTTTAATAGACAAATTGAAGAAACGCATATTCAAGAAGTTCTTGATGCGCTCATCAACATGTCGTTTTTTATCGTGTTTGGAACGTTGATTCCATGGCATGAATACACTGCTGTTGAAGGAGTGCTTTCTATTTGGAGGATGATATTGGTCGCGCTATGGCTGGTCCTTTTGCGCCGATTACCGATTGTCGTATTGCTGAGCAGATGGATGCCTGCACTCAAGAATCAAAAAGAGGTTTTTTTCTGTGGTGTAAGTAGTGTGTATTTGATTTCATGTAGAAATCGTGAATGTGTCCAGATGGACTGCGTAATGCTGTGATTGATTTATGCATCTAACTGTACCTGTGCAATGACTTGTTGGATTATAGTGGTTTGGTCCAATTGGAGTTGGAGCGCTGTTTTACTGCATGATTGCTGTCATCTATTTGCAAATTGACTACAAGCCTTTGTTTCCGATTGTTGCTTTCATGGTGCTAAGTTCGATTGTACTGCATGGTGGATCAGTGTCACTATTTGAAATTGGCATTACTCGACACTCGACATGGCAAAACAATCGACTTGCAGCACAGATTGCTAGTGCGATGCAAGAACAACAAGGCAATCAAGGCAATCAAGTGGTCATTGGTGGATTAGTCATTCCTAGTAATGGTAAATCTTGAATTTTTGCATGATGCATGGTATGATGGAATGGGTTACCAACTTTTATTTTGAATCTTGCAATCTATTATTAGTCACCCCTGCAACAGTTGAAAGCAGATCTGTGATTGAAATACCACAGAGCAAGGAAGACCAGGCCAATCCTGGCCGCGACTCTGGTCAAATTGATCAAGACTGTGTGTCCGAGAGAAAAGGTGAAGGGGTGCCAACTGGACGTGAATCAGGAGCAACGGTAATTCAATCTGTATCAGCCATGGATTTTGAGAATACAAACCCAAGGTCTAGTTTGGATATACGTAGATCCATCAATGCAGATAGATCTATGCAAGATACAATACCTCTTGAGGAGAATACAAACGGTGGATCTCGACAACCCAAAATATACACATTTCAATAAACTTGCTCTTTTCATAAAATTCACCAGTTGGTTTGGTTTGGGTAGCACGAACAAACCGAGTCAATGAAATCGACAAGCGAACGGATTTAAATCCAAAAATAATTTCCACTGTTTCTTTTCCTTACAATCAACACTTGCCATGACTACTCCTAAGTGGGATGCTCGATTCTCTGGTTCAGTTCCTCATGATACAAGCTACTATACAAAGTGCATGCTTGGAGGTGTTCTTGCCTGTGGATTAACCCACACTGCCATCACTCCTCTGGATGTCACCAAATGCAATATGCAGGTAATACTATGTTTTTTAATTCGTATGGCCAAAGATGTTTTAGTTGCATTTGTTCCATTAGATCATCACTGTTGTGTATATTGTGACCCATGTCTACTGTATCAATTGAGTTGATTCCGTTTGATCTGCCAGTGCCCTTGATGGCCATTGAGCAACGGCATGTGCAGATCACTCCAGTATGAATTTTTCTTGTCAAGACATTGATGACCTTGTAATGAATGTAGAAATGTCTACTTTTACTATAAACACTTTTGGTCTGATTGATTGTTGTTGCCGTTTCGTTCTTGGCCATCAATCCTTTATTGGCTTTGTACTCACAGCCTCGATTCAAACCCACTCAATTTGATTGCATGCTGTTTTGATGCCATGTTGTTCCATGACTGATCTTGGATGACCAGCCTTGTTTGGACCCGATTATTGCTCTTGTTCAATCCATTCACAGTCTAATACTCGATTCATCTGGCATTTCCCCTGACAAAGTGCTACTCTGATATTCACACATTCGATTTGAAACTTATGATAATCTATAGGTCGACCCCCAAAAGTACAAGGGATTGGTCTCTGGTCTTCGTACCATTGTAGCCGAGGAAGGTGTTACTGCCGTGATGAAGGGTTGGTTCCCAACCTTGCTTGGCTACTCTGCTCAGGGTATGTTCAAGTATGGTCTATATGAAATATTCAAGGATCAGTACTCTACAATGGCTGGTGAAAAGAACGCTCAAGAGTACAAAGGATTGATCTGGTGTGCAGCTTCTGCTTCTGCCGAGTTCTTTGCCGATATGGCTCTCTGCCCTCTTGAGATGGTCAAGGTCAAGGTCCAAACCTCTGTCCCAGGCACTTTCCCCACTGGCTTTTTCCCCGCTGTCTCTGCTATGAGTGCTGCTCGTGCAGAAACCAAGTTCCCCTATGGCTCGCTTGTTCCCCTCTGGTCTCGTCAGATTCCCTATACTGTTGCCAAGTTCTTTTTCTTTGAAAAGATTGTTCAGCTGTTCTACACCAAGGTCTTTACTAATCCCAAGGACTCATACTCCAAAAGCACTCAGCTCGGTATTACTTTTGCTTCTGGTTACTCTGCTGGTGTGATCTGTGCTATCGTGTCGCATCCTGCCGATACTCTCGTGTCGCTCATGTCTAAGCCTGCCAACAAGGGAAAATCTCTTGGTTCCATTGCCAGTGAATTTGGCTACCTCAACTGCGCTACCAAGGGTCTTGGTACTCGTGTGATTATGATTGGTACCCTCACTGGTCTCCAGTGGTGGATCTACGACACCTTCAAGTCTGTTATGGGTCTTGGCACCTCGGGTGGCAAATAAACATTTATTTTCTAGGTTGGTCTCTTTTAAAACTGGCTATTCTGTTATTTTATGCTGGATATTCTATCAAAAATTGATAAACTGGGTTTTACTGCGACAATTCTAAAAGCATTAATACATGCAGCGTGATTTATATGTAAAGCGTAGCAAATGCAAGGAGCCGCTTATCTCTCCGATACCAGGTGGATAGGCGTAAAACATAGTTTGTGTATAAAAGACTTTGAATCCGCATGGCTTCTTAGTCATGTAGTGTATCGCAATTCTTGTTGTTTTTTCATTTTCAGTCTGATCAATGCCATGCAATTGTAATTCAATTTTGGTTCCTTTAATCAAGTTTGGGAATCCAATATACGTTTGCAATACTATCAGCCCCTTTCTTAGGTTCTATATCCATGTTATATCAAACATCCACTGATAACCAAAAGATGAATCCAAGAATGCGCCATCATTGTATTCATATTCTTTACCACACAATTCAGCACATTTCAACCATTTTACTGCACGGAATAAAATTACTGGGAATAAAATGTTTGTTAGCCAATGTGGTACATTGTTGACAGCTTAATAAGCTTGATAATAGAATTCAAACAAATCTTGGCGCAATACTTTTCCAAAATTATAGTTTGTTGTGGCTTCATAAACATCTCATTCCTTGCACTTTCAGATATTGTGTTCTTGTTAAAGTGTAAACAGCAGATATTTTTTGACAATTTTGTCGTATAGTCTATATCTAATACGCCATTGAGGATACCAAGTGGGCCTGGATAGCTTGAATTACATCTACATCTGCCATCTTCAATAGCATAGACGTGTTTAGCCAACACCTGAGCTTTATTCAAACTTGAGAGTTCAACTTATCCACGATTCGAGCGCCTATTAATACGACAGGATGCGATATTTTTCAACTCTATACAAGTCATTATTGGTGGCTTGTATTGTATCAAGTCAAACCACGGCGCTACGACCACTTATGAAAACGTACACTACATTGTCCCTGTATATTATGGGCGACTTTGGTGATCCTGTTATGGATAATCTCGCGTTTGGTAAGTTCATTCACATTGTCGTTTTATGGGGTGTATTGTCATGAATCCGCTTCCTATAAATACTATAGTAGGAATTCTTGGGGTTTTACTTTTTTTACAGATTTACAGTAATACAGTATATGTTTTGCATTGTAATATGCAACGCATAGTGTAGACTTATCTATCGTTTCACCATATATCAAATTAATTTTTTGAACTAGTACTCCCACTTATCCAAAACATTATTCTTAACCAATGATTTATTCAGCACTATGATCATTATTAATATTTTATGACATTTTATTGCGTTATTTAACCCATTTAGGTGCTCGAATGGCTGCCTATGAAATCAATAGCAATAATGATATTCTTCCCGATGCAACAATTAGAGTTGGTAACACGTTTCCTCCTCCATCAATCTATCCTGCTATGGTGTACGACTATACTAGCGTCGTATGCACGCAGAAAAAGCAATATGCTGTAATTGGTCCCGGAACGACTGCTATAGCAATGCCAGTGTTTCTTACTTGTCCATCTGTAAGTTTGCCGCTATTTAAATCAGTCATATTGGTGTACCTTTTGATTTATACCAATTCTATTTTTTAGACACCTGGATTTAGTGTTGGCGCTGCTGGCGATCAGCTCAGTGATAAAACCTTGCAAGTGCCTTGTTTTTTATTGATATATGATGAATCTTGTCAAGATTCAACTAAAATAATCAAGCCCAGCTGGTACTAACTTGTGTTTGTACATTCATTTTGGGATTTCAGATATCCATTGTTTTTTCGATATGCTACTACTTGGAGTCAAAAGCTTAATGTTCAAATTGGATTTTTTAAATATTTTGGATGGGATCGGGTAAGAATACATGTGCAACAAATCTTGTCTACTTTTATTTCACTAATAATTCTACTTATTTTTGCAAACTACACATGTAAATTGGATTAAAACAGATTGCAATGCCATACGGTGGTGATGCAGTATTTAGAACCGCGGCAAAAATCAGTATTCAGACTTATCCAAATTATGGCATTGAAGTTAGTGCAAGTGTGTTGATTCCAGATCCACCTGTTTCAACCAACAACTATTCAGATGTATTGCGGCCAATTTTTACTTTTTTGCAATCAACAGATTTGAGAATCTTTAATGTTTTGGCTGGTGCAGATCAAGTCGCAGATTGCTTACACATGGCAAACTTGACTGGACTCCTTGGTCCCAATTATGGTATGTTTTTAATTACACTTTATAAATTTAAACACTGTTTTGGATTGTTGCATTTTAAATTGACCATTTGATTTACGTATCTAGTATGGACAACTACACAGGCTGGCATTGATCCCAGTTATTTTTCGTCGCGATGGGGTACATGTTTGATCTAAAATAGCTTAAATCTTTGTAAACCTACTTCACTAATACTAAAAATGAATCAACTCGCCCATATTATCTAGGTGGTCTTCAACTTTCACCATCTTTGCTTAAATCAGCTATTGTATTATCTGAAGTCAATGGACCATTTGCCAACAACCCAAACTATCTGAATTTTATCCCACGATTCAAAACATACCTTAGTGGAGTATTGGCAAGTCCCGAGGTTCAATTATATGGAGGAATTGATCCAAATGCAGCCAGTGATAGTGTGTCATATGGTCCATTGTATTTTTATTCTGATTTCAACTACACGGTACGTTTTATAGATTTCTTGGATTTGCATTCAAGAATAGTAGCTGGGAATACTGACTGATATTCGTGCATTTTTGGTTAGTGGCCTTCGTCTTTGGTTGCAATCGGATATGATGGCATGTATGCTATTGCTCGAGCATGGGAAAAGGTATTGTAAAGCTTATTATTTTATCATGCCATCAATATGTTTTGTGACAAACTTTTTAAATCTTTGGGTTTCAAAATATTATTGTCCAACTTAGACAATCGCGTCGTCTGGACTTGATGCAAGGGCATTATCCAATGGAACCCTTCAAAACCAAGTCAAACTTGCCGATATTCTTTCAAATGCCCAGATAAATACAACACTCATGTCACCTATTTTTGGCAGCAGCGGAAATCTCGTACCACAAACTTACACTTTAAACCAATATGATGGCACTACACTATTTTCAGCACCAATAGTTGCGTTATTATCTAGCTCAGGAAATAACGGACTATACAATTTTACTGTAAATCGAGCCAAATTTTCATGGTATGATTCGTATTGTAGTTTTGAAATCCAGGTTTAACATTAAACGAGTTGCAAGCATACAGCTGCAATCAATACAAGATCATCCTTGTATGTCTAGGCAATTGTGTTGGATAACTAACAGCATTTTCAATTGCTTGTGCAACATTGAATGTATAAATATAGGGGTGGAAATCGATCATTCAGCGACACTCCAATTGCATACACACCAACTGTAGAGATTTATGTTCACTGGGAGAGCACTGGTACAAAAGTCATGATTGGTATGTTGGTTTAAACATTACATTTTAACTTGTTTGATTAAATCTCAACCAATCATAATCGGTTTTATTTTTCCACAAATTCTGTTAAAACTTGTAGGAATGGCTATGGTAGCATCAGCCTACTGCATTATTCTTGCCATTATTGTCATGATTTACCGTAAAGAACCCTATGTTAAATCTTCGTCGCCTTACATTCTTCTCGTCACTGCGCTTGGATTGGCAATCATTCCCTTGAATGTATTTACTGAAATTGGTGCATATCGACCTCTTGCGTGTCAATTACGGACCTTTCCCACTGTATTGGGTATTACTATTGTGATGGCATCCGTATTTGCCAAATGCTTGCGTCTCTATGTAATTTTCTGTCGTCCCATGTCATTAAGTAATTATATAACCATACTGACAAAAGAAGCCGCGCTGTTTGGAATAATGGCTGCGATTGTAGCAACTATGCTGGTAGGATAACATGTATATTTTTTGAAGCGTATGTTGTACAAGATAAATTTGAATGTCTAAAGCAGTTTATACATTTATAGGCTGTGCTGATTGGATTTAGTTTCGGAGCCTCTTTCCAGAGCACAGAAGTGTACATTGATTCCACCAACACATATGTATGGGCATGCGTGAATAAAAGCAATGGGACAACTGTGGGTCTGGTGATTGTTGGAATATTAATTGTTGCGCTTCTAGTAGCCGTGACAATCCTCGCTTACTATATCCGTGCCATTCCCGATCTTTTTAACAACGTTCGAGAAACCATTCATTCCATTTATATCATCACTGTGCTGGCGATTGTTACTCTCCTTCAAGGTATCATGAGCTATAGTCTTATTGAAACAGAATTTTACTCCGAGAATGGTACAATTCAGCTTGCAGTGATAATTGTTGGATCTATTCTTCTTGGCACGCCGCTTCTTCGCCAAATGACGTCCAAGGCATTATTTACTATCAAACCCTTCAACAGGTCCACAAGGTCTCGCATGTCGTATAATAATTCAACCAAGAGTTTTATTGACACCAAGGCAGAAACATCTACCTTGGGTAATATAATATTCAAGGGGCAAGTCGAAGCCAAGACTCATAAACTTGAAAAAAAATATGAGGAAGATAAAACTCGAACTTCCCAGTTGATTGTCAACAAAAGTACCGCGACTTTGGAAGAGATTGCGCGTTTGAAGTCTAACCAACAATCTATTTTGCGAAACAAGTCTGGTAAGTTTGCTGTAGTCTTAAAACTATTGCTTTAAATAATTTGTACTCATGAATTGACTAATCATCATATTGAATGCTAAAGCTGTGACGCAGATTGGTCGTAATCTCAAGCAGTGGAGACGTATTCGAATTATCTTGTTTCTTGATCCAGCATATGCAATTAGATGCAGCTTTCATGCTGACCCAAACAATGTTTTCTATCACGGATTTAGCAACACTGTCAGTGTTAGATCTATGAAAGAGACGGATTATGGGTTCACCAATGTAGTGGAGCTTTATTTTGAAGATCACATGGTCGCTATTCCATTTGAAGATGAATTTAAAGTATGATATATTGCGACTTTAAAATGTATCGTTTTTATATGTAGCTTTTAAATTATATATGCCTGACTATATTGTGATAAAATTTGTACATGTAGATGAATTCATGGACAGACGCCATCTGCCGTACGGTAATTTCTCACGAAGATCCCAAACAGCTTAAAAACATTGGTCCAGACGAATATATCACAGATGTTGAAATTATACGCCAAAGCAGTTCTGAGCCACCTGAAGCATCAAATGAACAAAGTTCAAGAAAAAGATCATCTACAATCAAATCTCGACACTCCAAAAAGCGATCTTTTGTACGCCAGCTATCTGTCAAGGATTCAAATAGATCGAGCAAGCATGTACCTAGTTCAGTAGATGCTGCACCCAAAACAGAATCAAACAGAGCCAGTATTATTTCTTCTCAAGCTGATTCCAATCGATTTTAAGCTCATGTTTTAAAAGTAAATGTTTTTTACAAACACGCTGAGCTGATTATTTAATTGACCATACAATTTGAGTGAGCTAATCAAGTATCGTTTCATTTGATATCTCAATAAAATCAGTATTTTAAAAACCTTTATTTTGACTCTTGATTGTACATTTGACGTTTTATGAAACGAACGAGAACGCAATGCTAACCAGTAAATGGGAGGAGATTGACAATGTATTATGTATTTTGGTACTTTTATTTACCGAGTAATACTGTGACGTGTAAATCTGGCAATTGAATAGGTTGTGTTTTTTTGATTTTGATTTTACTAAATTCAACTCAATGAGCACAAGCTTTACCCTTTTCCATTCGCAAGCTTCAATTGACACTCTTATCAACAGTCAGTCGTACGCTACCACATGCAACCAAATATCACAGGATGTATCATCAAGCTCGGGTTTGGCATGTGCATCCAACTCGGATTGCACGTCAGTCAGCTGTAATCTGTCCTTGATTAGTAACGTTTACACAACCATGTCATTTTCGCGTATGGGTACGTGTAGCAGCACCAATTCAGTGAGTGTAAGCTTTCTGGGCTCTAGACAGTCGTTTTATGCTGGCGGAGCCATGTCTACTGGGCCATGGTATCAAAACGGCACTACATATAGAATAATGGATACTGGCATGGTTTCTGCTTACAATAATTACAGTGTAATGACCTTCAAATTGGGATATACTTTGCAGAATTTGACGGGAGTATTGAGTAGGAGCGCGTGGGTGACGCTCATGACACCCAATTGTACAGCAAGTAGCTCGAGCAGTACGCCATCACCGTTTACTTGGGTAATTGCTACAGTAGTAGTATTATTTATAGTTGCTGCGTGTATTATCCATCAATGTCGTCGACGCATTATACGAAATCGAGTGACAGCACAACAGGGTATTCTAATGTTGGGTCAACCACCAAAACCGATGGGATCGCCAGCTATTGGATCACCAATCTATCCGCCGCTTCCAACGTATACACAACAACAAACTTATTCGCCTAATCCGGGATACACTCAAGCCAATTCAGCAGGATACGTAACATATGCCCCCAATATTACTTATGATACGTATTACCCACAATATCAACCACCCATGTCAGCTCCACCACAAATGAACATGCAACAGCCAGTGCCTCAGATGATGGAAAGGCCGCCAATGACGTATGCAATACAACCAAGCGCACCCGTCATACCCTATACTAACATAAACGATCAGCAGTATCAGCAACAGATGCAGCAGTATCAAATGCAACAGCAGCAGCAGTTGAATGGAGCGTATCAACAACAATATAATTTTCAGCAGCAACCCAGATAATTTCAACTCGATGGTGTAGATATGCGATCCATTGAAAAAGAGTGATGACCAGTATAGATGATGTTTATTAATAAAGTCCGACTTTTCATCACTGAATTATTATTGAATCTACAACTGAACAGCTAATCAACTTGTAACCATTTGTATTTCTGTCGTCATGAACGACGATCAGGAAGCTTTATTCGTGTTATTCGCTGCCAATTGATCATCCGTTTGAAACCCTATTTGGACCATCAAACAGAATAAAGCATCTGTTGATAGCGCATTGTCATCATTACTTATTTACTAGCATTGTATGACCTATTTATCCATATACTTTGAATCTGAATCAACAAATCCATTGTCGCTAAATGTTCAAAATGTTCAAAATGTATAATTAATGTTTCAAATGATTGATGCCAGTTTACTGCATTTCAGGTGATTGACATGAAAACAAAAGTTACATTCCTGAAATTGATTTCTTGAACTAGAAGCACACATGTGCCTGCACTTTCAGAATGCAGCAAAAGAGTTTGTAGAGTTATACTGACAATATCAGAACAGTTAAACACAATATTTAGAATATAATGAATGAATCTGGTTTCAAACTTATTGATCGTACAACGCATGCCAAAAGAGAGCAATCTTAGTTTAAAATTATAGTTTGTGTTATATGATGGCTGTGATGATTGAAGAGTTGATTTTTAATGGAAAAATGAATATTTAACCAGTATTCTGAAGCAAAGGGAAATCACTGCAACATAAAAACCTGCTGCATTTTACGTGAATACGACAGTGATAAAACACCACGGAAACATTACAGGATCTTCATCTAATTGTCCTACTCGTACTGAATTGTTCTATTACCAAACGACTTGTCGGACCCGAATAAGAATTGTGCTTATTGGTATGCACATTGATATAGTCATTTTTTATTGCAAACTAGCAAGATTGTTTTTGACCTCATCTGATGGCTTGCTGATTACCTTTATCATATTCACACCTATTCTGATTAAATCTTAAATAATACCAAGTTCAGGATATTAATCTTGTTGTTAGTCAAACGCTTACTTTGCAGGAGGAAATTGCAGCTTTCAAGCAGCAGCTTGAGCAAGAAAAACAAATGACGTCCGAAATGGATATTGGTGCCAAAGAGTCTTTTGCCAGTCGTGTTACTGCAGATAGTGGCCAGCCTTCAGCAGCTCTTTTACAGAGAATTAGTGAACTTGAAGATAATACTATTGATCTTGGATTCAAGTATAGTACTGCATGCCAGGAACTTCAGGAAGCTCGTGGTCGTATTAGTATGCTAGAAGCAGTTGTATGCAGCACCGAGTCGGACAATAAATCCACTATCTTGGAAAGAGATAAACTGGCCTCTCAATTGGATAGTTTTCAACAGACTAATGCTCAGACTATATCTGATCTTACTTTTAAGCATAAGCAAGAGTCTGACGAGTTTATTGCTCAAATTTGTCAATTGAAAGCGGATTTTGCCAAAAACATCGAAACTCACACTCGGCAGCTCCAGACTGCTACAGATCTTGACCAAAGAGATGCCGAAATAAAAAGCTTACAACTGGCTTTGAAAGAATCTCAGGAAAAACTCGAGTCTGTTCATGCCTTGCAAGTGCTGGATAACAGTGCTGACAAAAGTCGCGATGGCCAATGTTCCAAAGAGTGTACAGATAAGTGTAAGCGATTGATGGATGAGATCGCGGTGCTTTCTCAAAGACCCACTACGCACGATTTTACAACAAAGGTCGCTGAAATACAGACACTCAAGGCTCAAATGGATATTTTGACGGAAGAGGCGGATGATGTGGAAAAGTTGCATCGTTCTCGCATACTAGCAGCCGAAAATGCTTTTGCTGATCTCAACACTCGCAGTCAACTTGAAATCACCCATCTTTCTTCTCAAATAGATGCCTATGTGTCTAAAAACGACGATCTGACTAGCACAGTCAACACTATGCATGACCAATTGGGTTTGGTTTCTAAACAAGCTACCGAGTCTGAAGAACGTGCTCAACGTGTTGAAACTCACTATCAAGCACTTTTGAAAAAGAGCCAGTTGTATGACTTTGAAATTGTTGAACTGGCTACTGGTAAAGATGCCATTGAAAAAAAACTGCTTTCTGAACAAGAGTCTCATAACACACTTGTTGCGCGCTTACGTGATGATATCTCCACTTCTAAAGCAGAAATCGAGCAATTGAAACAACAGTTGAACACTTTAAACCATTCTCTTTCTACACAATCTTCACAAGCTACCATATCAGCAAATCAACTTGCTCAAGCACTCGATGAACTGGATTGCACCAAGCGTATGTTGGAAGATGTCCAGTCTGACAATGCCACCAAGTATGCTGCTCTTGAAAAGCTTCACTTTGATACTGTTCAATCTAACTTGGAAGAGTCTCAAAATCTTATTTCCGAAAAAGCACTTTTAGACACTCGTATTCAAATCATGAAAACTGAATTCGATACTGTTGTTACCAATCGTGATGCAATGACTAGCCATATTGCGTCTTTAGAAACCAATCTTTTAAATGTTACCACAGCTGAAAAATGTGCGTTGGATGATCTAGCAAAAGCTCGTACAAGTATTGACACTCAAATGGCTCATATTGAAACGCTCGAGGCTGAGCATAAAGATTTATCATCTCGTGTACAGAAACAACAATCAAAAATTGACGAGATCAATCAAAAAGCCTGCTCAGATGTGGATAATATAAAATTGTCAGTTCTACAGATGCAGGATGACATGACTGCACTGCAATTGAGACTTACCGAAACTACTTTTGAAAAAGACACACTTACTGCTTACATTGCTGAACTGGAGGGTAAAATAGCAAAAGGAAATACCATGGAGGATACCGCGGTTGAAAAACTTGCCCAAACTCTTGGAGAGTTGGAACATACTCGCGAGTTACTTGAGGAGCAAAAATCTAATGCTGCCGAGAAAATAGCAATAGTGGAAGAGTTGCATAACAAGGCAGCGTCACAGACTTCTGATTTACTTGAGCAAATGGCCGGTATCATGTCTGACAAAGCCATAACTGACGCCCATATTGAATCTATCACTGCAGAACTTGAAAGTACCAAATTTCATTATACTCAAATCAAAAATGAACTTGCTTTAGTACAGGCTAATATGGATGCGCTTACTACAAAACACGCTGCTCAAAAGGCCGATACCACCGTGCTGGTTAATCAAAAAGACTCGCTTACTAAAGAAATCGAAAGTTTAAAGAATCAGCTCGAAGTTTCACTCGAGTCACTGGCACAACTCCAATCAGCTTATACGGCTGTTTTGAATACTCCTATGTCCTCAGAAACTGCACAAAAACTTGAGCAATCTATGCAACATATAAGCGAGCTTGAGTCCATTTTGAGCAGCAAAAGCAATAGAGTAGATCAACTTGAAACGCTACTGATTCTACTTCGGGATGACCCTGCCACTGTATCTGCAAAAATTTCCTGCTGGACTTCTAAACTCACAGATACAGTTTTTAATTCAATGGATACCATATCATCTACTTGTCCCGTCTATCAGTGCGCAATAGAGATCTCTGCCAATATCTGTGAATTAAAAACCACGCTAGATTCTATACATCAAGAACACGACTCTGCACTTATGGAAATTCAAACCAAGTTGGATCAAAGTATTCATCATCATGATACTTTGAAAAAAACCCATGAGGAGGCTGCAATCGAGTTTTCAGAACAAAACACACTTTCGCTAAAGCTTATTGAAAAGCTACAATCTCGTCAAGAGGATGATGGCATACTTTTTGAAGACGCACAAAAGAAGCTTGCTGATTTGCAAGCTGAACACGCATCGTGCACGGTGTTCATTGAGGACTTGCAAAACCAAACTAAACTGAAAGATGAGGCTTTGGCATCATTTAAAAGTATGCTATTGTCCACGCTCAGTGAATCCGACTTTGCCACTCTATCTGCTTTTACAGAGTACAGCGTCGAGTTTTTCACTACTATCACGAATATTTTGCAGAAAATGTTTACGGAAAGTCATAATGGACCACATTTTGCCGAGCAGAGCCAAAATATCAAAGAGCAGCAAGAAACCATTTCAAAATTGTATATGCATATCAGTGAACTAGAGAAATGTGAAGCAGCTACAAAAACAGATCTGAAAAATACACAAAACGGTATTGCTGCTTTAAAACAGCAGTTTGATGAAGCTGAACTAATTCTTGAGCAAAATCGTGATGAATTACAAGAAAAAACCAACCAACTTCTTGAGCGTGACAAGACCATAACTTTATTGCAAACTGCATTAGATACAGCTTTAGTCAAAACGAACGAGCTCGAATCGATAAACACTGTGTTGGAGAATAAAGTGCTGGAGAAAGATAATGATGCTGCTCTAACTGTCGCATTGGATAAACTGGCAACTGCAAATGTCAAGATTTGTGATTTAGAAACACAAAGTGAAAAGGCAGAGTTGCGCTTGCGAGAGGTATTAGCAAACGAAGAATTGTTGTTGGAACGCACAGCTACATCAGATCTTGCTTTGGAGGATTTGCAATCAACAATCAAGAATTTGGAAGCCGATTTCAATGTCCAAATCCAAGAGCTGAGCGCCGATATTGAGGCCAAAGCTGATCTTATTGCTCAGTTCACCACCGCATTGCAGTTGGCACAAGAATCTATCGAGGAAAATGATGTCACTACCGAGGCATCAAAAAAACTCGTTAAATCATTAAATGATACGCTGGAATCGGTATGTATCATTATCACAGTCTTGACCTGAAATGTCATTTTTGTATTGGCGTTTATCAGTATCAAGCAATGTATGGCATGTTTGGTTTGCTAACCATTTATTATTTATCTTCTTGCTTGTAAATTAAGCGTGACCAACTTGTATCAGAACTAAACGATAAGCTCGAATCAGTACAGTTGTTGCTGAAAGAGTCACAAATCCGTGCCGATACTTTGTATCAAGAGAATGTAGCCATGCTATCACTACAGGAACAGCAGGCTTTTGACGCCACAACTGCCAAGCATTCAATTGACCAACTTGAGCAGCAAATCAGCAAACTACAAGCAGATCTTCAAAGTGGATCTGATCAAGTTCAAGCTTTACAACAAGAATTGGCCATTCTTCAACAACACACTGCAATTCCAAAGCAATCTACTGAAGTTCAGTGTGACATTATAGACTGGGATCAATCACAAGAGGCAGTTTTGCAATCTGAATCTTATAAGAATGAGATGGAAAAACAACTACTGATTGTTAGCTCGTTACAAGAAAAAATACAACATTTGGACAAAGAGCTGCAGAGTATGATTAGTGTACATGCTGCCCAAGACGAAAAGTTTGCGCTGGAAATATCGACCATGACAGTAGAGTATAAGCAATGTATAACAGATCTTGAAGCTGCCAAAGAAGAAAGCAAACAGCAGAAATTGACGTTAGAAGATGCCAATCAGAAGTTGAGTAAACTGGAAGACAAAGTACAACAGAGCGAGTCGGAGCTAGACCTGTCCAAGTCGTTGATTGAACGAGCGAATGAAGATCTTGCCAAACGCGATTCACAAGAGTTGCTGTTGAAATCTGAGCACGCCAGGATGTCTGCCGAGCTGAATACTATAAAGAATCAACTAAATGATACAAGTGACGAAAAAGAGAAATTGGTTCAAGAGTTGACCGTGCAGCTTGAATTAAATCAGAAACAGTTGAGTAGCACCATACTATTACTGGAAAACGCCAAGTCAGAGCTTGCTTGTATGAAATTAGAGCATGCAGTCAAAGTAACCGAGAATACTACGTTATGTAAGGAAAACATGGCACTTGAAAAACAGATTCAAGCCAGTACATCTCAATGCCTTGTTTATGAGCAAAATGCAGCAAAAACTCGTGCTCAATGTGATCAGCTGCAATCAGAAATCAAGCAGCATTTAGAAAAACTTGGGTTCAATTCGGAAGCACTTGCAAAACAAAATTCCCAGATCAACGAGTTAAATCAAGCGCTAGATCAGTCTACAAAATTGATCATCTCTTTACGTGACAAATCCAAATCACAAGCCAAAGAATTGTCAATCGAAACTACGCATACCTCTACTGATGAGAAAGTCAAGGAACTTGAGCAACAACTCAACACATTGAAGGAACAGTATAATGAATTGGAACGGGCACATCAAACATTATCTGACGAGTCTGCTGGTCGTGTTAGCACCATCTGCACCCTCAAAAATCAAATTTTGCGTCTGGAAACTCGATGCAGTCTATTCAAGGCACATTTGAAGCAAGTTAGTAATGTCAGCAGCTCGAGTGATGCCTCATTGACTGTTTCTGGTACAACAACTGATACATTGACACGCAAACGAATCAGGCCAGGTGTCGATGCTGGTTTAACTCGTTTTAATACTACAGTTGATGAATCTCGTGCTGCTATTGCTGCTGAAGCTCACAGCCAACCTGGTATTAAACCCAACTTTTCTCAGCCACAATCCTCATCTACCGATGCTGATGATCCACACTCGCCAAAAAAATACAAAACTACTTTTAGTTAAAACGACAATGGTTTTGGTCGCTAATAAATTACAGACTTGTGCCATTACATTGAAAATGTAATTTTTACCTTTTTACTCTGTAATATGAATGCATGTTTTGATTTCAATCTGATTGATCAGCGCTCAAAAGTATTGGGTGGAATCCTAGCAGTTTTTGCCATTGAATGAAAGCAACGTTATTCTTTCATGCCATAAAATGTGGTTTTGTTTATACAAGTGATTGACAATTTTAAACGTAGAGTAAAACTGTAATTTATATTACAATTTATCTGCATAGTTTGCTAAATATCCAATTAAAGCCTTTACTCTCTAAAATATATTCATTCATAAAAGTAATTTGTTGATATGAAATGGATGCTTTTATTACTTATACATATTGTGTTTGGAGCACATGTGGCAAACTTTTGGATTTACAAACACGAAATTCGAATCTATTCAAAGTTATCTAGAATTACACGCAGCCCTCATGAGCCAGACATTACCCAGTAACCCCATTGATATAGTTTCAGCGATTGTGGAAATCAATGACCATCAAAACAGCACATTTGAAAAAGAGATTGACGAGTCAGAAAATATTGAGCTGCAGTTTCAGCGCTTTTCAGCATCGGTTAGAGCCGACAAATCGATTTTTCATACACGCCCAACTAAACCATTGCTGCCACCATTATCTGAAAAACTAGACTATGCAAATACTGTTTCAAACCAGTCTGAAAATGAGGCATCAGTCAAATACAGGCAAATGTTTTTCAATGCGACAGACTATGTTGGCCTATTTGTCGTAAACCGACCGACGCAAACCACTGAAACTGGTGTTGAAACAATTCGAGATACTGAACACAAGTTCCAAGATTTATTTTCGGTAATACATGTTTTGATTTAATGGGTTTTAATTGCGTAGACGATTTTTTTGACGCATATTGAATAACTGTTATGTACCATGATGGGATCGTGAAACTCAGGATATCGAAGATGCAAGACAATTTTTAAAAGATACACTTGAGAATGATTTGGGTTTGATTGGCAACGCTCTATCCAAATATATGCAGCACAGACTTGAGCTACTGCAGAAAACTCACGAACAAAATGTATCTCATGTGAGGAGAGCATATCGAGCCAAACTTGCTGACCATATAGCAAGAATTACCTTTGATGTCCAGGTAAGATAATATCTTGTGCGATTGATTTTAATCCAAAATGCCAATGTTGGATAAGAATGATTTTAAATCACCTTTGTTTTTGACTGAATACTACAGAAAGAAAGAGAGGGTCGACTGCAAAAAATCAAATACAATCATGAGCAACAGATTATGGCTCTTGAAAATGCAATTGCAGATGGAAAAGGGTTATTTCGACATGCCGATGCAAACATACTTAAATTGCGCGATCATGTACCCAGACTTCAATTATTGATGAAGCGACACGGGATTATTGATATAGAGGTACAGTTGTTTATTCAAAAGTTTGTAGACTTGCAATAGTCTCTCACAAATACCTCGTATGTGCTGGCTTAAGCCAACACCGATTGTTATGTGGCAATAATACTTTAGACGGGAGTAGTCGTGCTCCATGTTATTGACGATCAACGGGTCAGACAAAGCGAGCTATTAGAACATTATCAAAAAGTCTTGCAGGCCCGTGACAACAAAATTAAACACCTTCGCGAACAGCTCAAGAAACTGCAAGGAGAGCTAGCTTACAAGAACGAAATCAAAACCATTTGCTTGGAAAAGCTAAACAAAAGTGTCAATGCCGAATTTTCTGAAGTAGATTTATTCGATAACAATGTTGGTAATCAAAAAAGTTCAGCATCTAAGCCATCTAAACCTAGCGCTCGAACACCACAAATATCTAGCGCCGCAACATTAGGCAACGGTCAAGCTAAACGATCTGGCTTGACGGAATCCCAGCAAAATTCTTATCGTTCAAATTTTGAACAGAATAGCAAATATCTTGCCAAAACATACTCTCGAGCAGCGACAGCTTTGTCTTTAATGGGCGACGGAAATTTATCGGAAATTATGTTTAGCGACAGTTATGATTTTCAAACATCCAACCACATGAGCCAGATCGATCAAGTGCACCAATTGTTTGAATCCAAAATCATTCAAATGAACGAAGCCCATTTGGCTAAAGTAGCATCCATTACCAAATCTACAGAAGAAATTGAAAATGCACTTTGCTCAAAGTTTTACTCTATTCAAGAAGCTAACCTAAAAGCAAACAGTGTGTTGAACCAATCAGGAAAAACACGGTTTGTTATATCTGAAACAGCCAAGTTGCTGTTTCCACTAAAAACAAAGTTTGGAATCCCAACGGCTACTCAATGCGATCGTGATACCGAGGATCCATTTGTACCCATGGTTTAAAATCATTGAAAATAAAAACCATTCAAGTTTTAAAACAATATATTAACACGCTTAATGATCTTTTGGCAGGATAGTAATCAACCAACACACAGGATTTGAGTAGGATAGATATACTGAGTATAACATGAAAGCCAGTTATTGAGTCTTTGAATATTATCGACGGTGGTCTTGAGAGTTGCTGCAATCTGCCAGCACGAGTCTCCTGCAACAACCGTATATGTTTTTTGACAACTAGATAAAGGTGGCGGAGGAGGAACGTTGGGTGGAAGCGGAGTTGTTGGATGACAAATAGGAAACCGACTATTGCAGTAAATGCAAATAGGTGAACCTAGTTTCAAGTATATTCATATCGGATTGACAAGGTTGAAGTCAAATGTTAGAGGTACAAAATAAACCAAACACACCGACAATAAGATTATAATCTGTCAGTAAAATACCTGGAGTCAGATTGGTGCAGTCCAGCACAGGATAGTTTATTTCAAGCAAAGATGCCGTTGAAAAGTTGAATCGCTTTGCCACAGAATTACAATCATCACCATTAATAGTCACATAGATATTTGGACATACGGGAGCTTCTTGGTTTGAATTGGAATCAAGAGAGTTTTTTTTAAAAATAGTACCATAAACAGATGGCATGTTGGTACTGGATAACATGGATGAAGATTCATGAAATCTATTTGATTCTGGTAAACCGTCGCATACAATGCTGCTTAAAATCATTGCTATTGTCCAGACTACAGAATACGTAACAGTATGATGTCTGCGCATATTGAAGATTTATAAATCTGGATTTTATAGCAGTCGAGTAAACCATCAAATATTGAAACAAATGCCAGATTTAGTCTCGATGCAAACTCCGACCAATGCTTTGACAGTTTATCAAAAAGTTGATCAAATAGAATCAAGAGTTTAGTAAACCTCATACAAGACCCATCTGTGCTGCTCACTTTGTCAGCACCTGGTCAAATAATATTGTTAAAGTTTTCTAAACAGTTTTTGGTTGGATTCCTATGCTTGCCCCAGTCTTGAGCAACATTTCATTAATGAACAACCAAACACCACCAGATTCTGTAACAAAGGTTGTTGCTGCTACAGCAATGGACTCATGCGCACCAGTAGATGACCAGCCCAAACATTTGACTCTTACAATCAGACTGATCAAGTCTTTTGAATATCGTACATTCAAAAACCTTGTCCTTCAGCATATTGATCCAGAAATGCTTGTCAAAGACCTGAAAATCCTCGTTTTAGAAAGTACAGTAGTCTGTATATAAAATACTTGTTTATTAGACCAAGTCATATATGCTTATGGCATTATATGGATCAACTTGATCACAGCTGACGACTTTATTCGTTTGTTTGCCAACTTGATTACATCGATTGAACATTTTTTTAATAAATCACAGAAATCAAGTCAACTCCAGGATTAAAACCATACCATAACACCGTATTCGGTAAGATTACCAAATGGATTGCATTACTGTATGTCCAAATTTTAAATACTGCGCTTGCTTAGATGATTAATTCAATCGTGGATTTGCATTTAGATTGCCTGAAACTCTATGTCAAGGCTCATGGCTCCAAAGTATGTGCAACGTTGGTGATTTTTTGGAATGTCTGATTTGGATTCATTGGGAATCTAGCCAGATTTTTTGTTCGACTCTCCACTAGCACTTGTTAATCTTTTATTGATTTGGTAACAGACGCAGCATCTTATTATCAATTTGGACCATGATGAAGGCAAGGATACGTTTATCATGGATGATAATCTTACTCTCTCGGCTCAGAGCGTCGAGAATGAAACGGAACTTAGTTTTTTTAACCACGAGTTGTATACTTTATACAAGGCTCATCCCAATAACAAATGGTAAAATAAATAGAAGCAGTACTGCAAGATAAATGCATAAGATGTTTTATTTACGTCAATACAGTAGCGAGTCAATGCAATTTGAACCAATCGGTCGTTGGAAAGTATGCAGTGACGGTATTACTACTTTGAAACGAATTTTCTACAAAGTGAACAGCAAAAAAGTTAGCAGCCAATATGATACTATACAAACATTGCAAATTTACCTTGTGATTGAAAAAAGTACTTTTGTGATTCAGCAAAAGATGTATTAAACAGTCCATCAAATGCATTCTCGAGCTGTTTGCCTACTGTGTATCGCTCTCGAGTACATAAACGACGCAACACCAATTCATCGAGTACCTCGTGCAATTCAACGGGGGTCAAAACATAAGCCAATCCTTTTTGAATCCGAGACTACAGATCAGTAAAAACAGTTAAAACCAGTTTTTACATATAACAAGGCAGGACAATGAGAGTGAACAAATATACGATTATTTCATACTTCATAGATGCCAGGTTTGCATACAATAACTCCAAGAGTCGATTCAAGACATGCGAGCCACACAGCATCCAAACGCGATCCATTCGAGTTTGTCCAAAGTCTGGTAGGAACATGCAGCAAAACATCATCACACAGATTTGAGCGAGTCTGCTTATTGGCAGTATCCTCAATAGGATAGTATGCAAGTGAGGTATCAAGCCTACTCGGTGATTCAGACTCAATATCAGGCATAATGGGTGAATGCCAATGGTGCGCATATGGAAATGCAACATATTGAAAAGTCTTGAATCCAACTTTGGAAATCATGGGAACATGTACACTCACAACTATCGATTTTAAAATATCCAAATGAATGTCCAAAGAAAATGCAGTATAGTCTGTGTAGCTCAATTCCTGCATAGAATATCATCAGAAATTCTCATTAGTAATTAGCGTGCAATTCAACACATGCAAGATGAAATCAAAAAAATCATGCAGTCGATTCATCAAATTCAAACTACAGTTTAACAATTTTATCAATGCATTACCTGAAGTTGAGTGTATGTTTTTCCAATAATTCCCGCCGTTTCAATCGCATCAAACAAAAGTCGAAGATAAGCGCCATTAGCATCAGATCTAAAACTGCACGCCTCATCTAGCAATTTGTTCACATCCGTATCTTTTGCAGAAGCTCCTTTTAAAATAGCTAGATTGTTGAGTAAAGCTGCATTTTTGGAGTTTGATGTAGATTCATGGTGTAAAGATTGATTCAAGTCGGTGCAAATACGTTTGAGAGTATCGGAATTAGAATGCGATGGCAGCTCTTCATTGTCATTAGCCGATTTCAGTGAAGCAGTGGGTCGTTTTGTAGTTGTATTTCCTAATGTAGGTGGTGTGTTTTGTCCATTATTGGTCAATGACACGTCAATAAAAACGTTTTGACTTTCAACTCCAACCGATGCGTCCCATTTGATTTCAACGTCTATGTGAATATCACCACTAACTGCACAAGATAATAAGGCAGCCACCATAGGACCTTCAAAAAAATTATTAAGACGCCATGGACCATTCTGGGCTTTAGACTGAATCAAGTTCCACGCCGAAAACGTCTCTGGTATCATTTGTGATCGAAGCGGACCTGTAATTGCAAGCAAAAACTTTTCAGTAAGATTATACTGACGACCAGGAAGACGACGATGGTCAACCAAGCCAGCATAAGTGATTAGTCCATCACTTCTCAAACTTGATATTGCTGATGACAGTCGATCAGATGAAAAACAGGTCAGCAATAAAAACACTTGCGCAGGAATGTATAATGAGGATGGTGTTAACAAAATGGCCTTGATCATCCAATAACATTAAAGTATGCGTCATTTAATATTATATCAAAAGTTCAATTTTAGTTAGCAAATGCTCATTATACATCAAGATCTTAGACATATGAGCACTCGATATAGTAGAAAATCATACCTTGACAATTGTTTGAAGCTTATTATGCTCAATATATTGCATAATCGAGTCTTCATCAGCCATGCTCTCCAAATATGTTGATTTAGGAAAGTCGGGAACTGTAGAGTCGCTATTAGTAAGTGTTATTGGAACACAGTACATAATGGCCATTCGCATTCGTGTGCTGGTGCACAAATCAAGGCCATCGTTCAAAGGTACTCTAAATTCTTTGGAAAGCTCTCCTTGTATTGGACTAAATGTATACTCATTCATCAAGGTCTCATAGTTGGAAGGGAGTTTAACGTTCAAATTGCTATTATTCAGCTGACAGTTTAAACTAAAATAATGTTTAAAAGCATTCAAAATTATTGTAAGTATAAAAGACTTGAATAGGTCAAATTCGTGCAAGGTAAAATCTAATCGAGTGTGTATTTAGCCTAGTACGATTTATCTCTGGCGTATGAAATGATCATACAAATATGCAATGATGCATTAGGTTAAAAAACACGCTTTCAAATAACATACCTTAGTGAATCTTCGGAAATAGACGCTTGAAAATAAGTTACCATATCCACGAGTTTAAACTCTGATGGTTTTACATTCGATTGATTTTCAAAAGCATTATCAGAAAGCCCCTGTTCATAGATTCTTGGCCAATATCTACGCAGCATATACAGAAGCTTGACATTTTCAAGAGATTTGCACAATCTCACAAATCTTCTACGGCATGTATCATAGTTTTTTGAACTTTCAAAAAGTTTGGAAATCGGAATCCAAGAAATACGACCAGTATAAAACCGATGTAATAAAATTGTGTGACCCATTAAAATCATTCTGTCTTCTTCAGGCGTCCATGCGTGTCTAATTCGAAGTTTAGAAATTGAATCAGTATTATATCTCGTGTATTCGGATTGGCTAGAGTCTGATAAGGGCAATCGAGACGCTATCGCGTCATCTGAAAATCCAACTCGCTGTAGTGCATTAGCAGCCGCAATTCGAGAAGGGCGAATCACTCGAGATACTTTAGACTTTACTCGTGCACGCTGGGCAGTCTTGAACCCAATATCTTTGCTCTTGCTATCATCTGTAGGCATTTGAGTTGATACAGCATTGTCTGTTCCAGATGATGCTGCTTGTGTAGACAATTGGTGCTTTCGAATGCCCAACAAAAACTTTCGTGCCTTGTTCTCATTTTGCTGTTTGCAGCGAATTTGCTGCATTTGTTTCTGTGAAAGCAGCTTTTCTTGATACTTTCTATAAAAGCTCTTGATTCGTGGAACAATCAATCCAGTTTCAACAGCAAGAGCATGGCAAATCAAGTCGTTTTTCCATGGCGTAGTTCCATTTTTTCTATCTATTTTGCTCATCAATACTGCTATTTGTGCAGTTGTAAATCGGTAAGTAACACGCCAATTGCGCGTATGAAAAAGACTATGCTGTAACTTGGATTGACTGAGTGAAATATTAAAGACATTGGACAAAGAGTAGGGTTTGCCCGATTGTGACTCCATTTGAGACAAGTCGCATGTTGAATGGGTCTGGTCCAAAGACTGACCGTTTGCATTATCAATATCTGACTCGTAGGCTTTGATTTTGGATTGAAGTTTGTGGCCATCAACAAAATAATTGGTAGAATGGGCTAAACACTGATTCTCCAAACGAATCCAAAACGAGGCAACATCAGACACCGATCGTATATCAATATGTCGAATCAGCAGTGGCGGCATCATAGAATAATCAAAAAGACCAGCCCGTCGCTCAACTCGGAAAAACTGTGGCATATTGGCTAGAGACATCATCCAAGATTTTTCCAACTCTTTTTCAACAGTTCCAGTTTCGTCGGAAGCATGTACTAATCCCAGGCTACATAAATCGCTTAATATTAGATTGAGACCTTTTCGCAGTCTAGAGTTATATATCAAGGGGCGAATAGATGGCTCAATGTTGCCAATGCTAAGGGTAGAATAGTTTGGACTTGACATGATAGCATCAGCGATTGAGGATTGAGAACACAGTCCAATACACTTTACAAAAATGTCAAATGGAAGCTCTGAAAAGAAACGCAACGACTCCACAATACGATTGGTGCGTACTCCGTCTTTTTCTGCCGCATGGCCTTCATCAGCACTGTTGCTATGTGACGACATAATAGGATTGAGAACAGTTATGGTGAACAACCATTCGTAGAAAATTTTGGCACGAATAAACTTGGCATCCATATAGCCATAGTTGAAAGCAATGGCTCGACTAGTCTCCAATTTTTCAGTCGTATGTTGTGGTTCTAAAATATCTGCTGAATCACCCACAACTACATTATTTACCGTGGAAAGAATCTGTGGGGTTGAAGATGGAGTTTGCTGAGAACGCACTAAACACGTATTTGCTACTTCAGATAGGTTAGACTGCAATGGTGTAGCAATAGGTTGACTAGACTCATTGTCTGAATCAAATCCGCGATGCAACTGTAGAGCATTCATATTTTGATCTGAACTACTACCAGTGGCAATATTCTCATCTGCTGTAAAGTTGGAATCAAAGTTGAGGTTGAAATTAGGTATGCGGTTCAGGTCAAAATTCTGATCAAAAGGCGCTAAAAAGGGGCTACTTGGATGTGAGTCATTCAACTGTAGATCTGCCATCGAGTCTTTAAACTGATCATTTCCAAATGTCTTTGTGCCGTCAAGGGTGTCTTCCATTGCATCATCACTCTCTTTGTTGTCGTAATCAGCGGTTGAATCTATAATTCGACCATCTTGATCAACACGTTTTAGTCGCTGCACTTGGATCTGGCTGCTTCTCATAACCTTTTTAATAACCGTTTGCGGTTTTAAAATCGCCTCTGCTCGTAGTATTTTTAAATGATCCTTTACTACTTTGCTCTGTGGTGTCAAACTACCATGTAGCATAATTGTTTTCATACTTGTTCGGCCAGTCAGTGACATGATGGAAAAAGAGTATAGTTTAATTTTGCCCTCGCTTTGAAGCATTTTGCCTGCTCGCTCCACCGTTCGTTTATCTATTTTGCTATATTTAACCGGTGCCAAGTTAGAATTTCCGTTTTCTCGTTCCATTTCAAACTTTTTCAAAATGTCGCCTGATTTTGACGAAATAACAAGAACGTGGTGTGCCTCAAGATATTCAAGAATAATCTGACTTCGTGAGGAATGTGTATTGGGAACAGTCGATTTTCTTAATCTATTGCTCAGAGTGAGGGAGGGGCTTGTAGCTTGCGGTGTGTTGGTTAGAGGTGTATCAGGTTGAGTAGACGTATTGTTTTGAATTTCCCCGCTCAAGCTATTTTCATCAAGCAATTTATCCACTTGCGCAACTTTGTTTAAAGGTGTAGTAGATAGGTTTTTCGAGTCAGTGGCACGCTTAACCAATTGTGGTCTAACCACTTGATCGAAAAGTACACGCTGCTTCCATAATGATGCTTGAGATGGATTGCATTTTGAAGAACAGACCCATTTGCCTATGGGTGTCCTGCTAAGTTTGTATTTGCGACAACGACCATGGTACCATTTTTTGCATCCAAAACAACAAACAACAACAACACTTGGATCAAGGTTTTTTGGAATAGGCATATGGCAAATCTCGCATGCACGTCCAGTAGATGAAGAACCTGGTGATGGCTCGGTGTTGGGTGCGATAGATATTAAAACAATGGGTTTGGTGAATTGAAGAGTGTTCTCTGTATCGGAAGTGCTGTTTATTGCTTCACTTGGAGTATGAATCGAGGCTTCTTTATCTATAATATCCGTACCGACAGATTCGTTTGATGGTGGAGCCAAAGCTTGTTTTTTTGAAAACAAAGCATCGCCTGAATGCGTTCCAAGAGTCTCGAGTGATCGTTTTTTCTCTTTTCGAGTCAAATAGTTTACTGTTGGGCTTGAATCGTCTTGTTTATGTTGCTGGGGTTGATCTAATTGAAAATGAGCGTTTATCTCCAATTGTGCGTTTCCATTACGGCATTCAACTTTGCCCGAGGCAGTGCTACAAGCACGTGTAAGAGTAGATTGTCGAGTGGTCATAGGTGGCAATGTGTGCTCCACCATAGGCAAGGGCGTAAGGATGCAATCAGTGCCATCAAAAACAGCAGTTTTATTATTCACCGGATGGTCACTTTGAGAAGCATGTACACTAGTTTTCTTTTTCGACGCTGAACGTGTATTACTATCATCAGTAAGCGAACTAGATACATGAGCAGGTCTACGGCTTGATTTCCGCTTTGATCTTGGAGCTGGAATAGACTCGACAGCTGGCAGAAGGGGTAATTCTAAAAGTGGGCTATGCTCTGCAACCAAAGATTGCGAGCCAAGTGTCGCATCAGTAGCTATGATTGGACAATCAAAAGTGGTATTAGACTTGGTCAAGAGATTCCGAGGTGTATCTAAATCAAATTTGGCTGTTGGATTGGCAGTCTTATCATGCACATTTTGGTGATTTTTAAGGCGTGTATCATCATCACCTATCACAGAATTTGCATCTTTTGTAGCACAAGGCGCACGATCAAGTTCCACCATTCCAAGCATTCGAGATGAATATATGCGCAGCATATGTGATTTAAGCTGATTATCGGCAATAGTGGTCAAAAATGGCGTTTTCGTAGAAACATTAGTGCTCATCTTGGTCGTAATTTGGTGCAGCATGCGGAGATAAACTCCTCCAAGTGCTTTACAAATATCTGATATGACAATACCCTCCGTGCCAGTCGATTCTATAATATCATAGACCTGTTTTTGAATAGGCACATTGCTAAGAAATCGACCAGCTGGTTGTGAACAAACAATACTGTCTGGCACATGGTTGGTGTGAATAGTTTGGTCTGCTAATAATGATGCAGATGGCTGAGAAAGTGGCTGGGCTGTTTCCGAGCACAATAGTGCACTTTGATTGAGAGTCGATTTACTGGAGCTAATGTATGCGCGATTACCACGCACGCATTTAACTGTGCGAGTGCCATTTTTGATTTTTGGATCAACGATGTTAATGCGATCCAAATACTGGCTGTTGACCAATATACAAATAATACGAAAAAATGATTTACGGGCTTGTCTAGTTTTTTGAAAATTCTACATGTGATAATCAAAGACAACATAATGCTTTTAAGTTTAAACCACTTTGGTTGTTACTTGATTCACTATAGCAATCCAGTACGACTTACAAGTGCCAGAAAAATATCCTCGATAGCCATAACTTGATTAGCCGATCCCATTACAAGAGACATGATTGTTTCCTTGATGCCATCAGGATTAATAACAAATTCCAATTGCTCATTACTATTGGCAGTGGAGTCTATAATCAGCTTGGACGACTCTCCTGCATTTCCAAGCTGAGCAATCAATCCCATATTTTTCATGTATGTGTGATATGCTTTGCACTCATCAATGAATCGTCGATGAACACAGTTTTGAGTTCGAATCTTATTTTTGACTATGGGGTAATTCAAACTAACATGACAGATCTCGTCGTGTTAGCACAGTCAGACATGCATTCAATATCATTCAAGATGATTTCAAAACAGACAGATGCCTGTGTATACAACGTACATGAGATTTGACTTTTTGAGAACCTTGATAGTGTAAAATGTAGATCGTGGATCTTTTGCCAGTAGTTTAGAGATTTCCGATTGGGACGCACCGTTTTCACGTCCCTTGACAATCACATCCAACACTTCAAACACATTGTCGCTAATTGGAACGGTACTCTAAACACAAACAATCCGAGAAATACAATGTGATCAGCAGAGAATGCATAAACTACTACAAAGTGGTGAATTTAGTCCAGTCCTACTTTGTTGATTTGCAAAACCCTGAATCGGGCGGTTTCACTTGCTACCAAGTAGATTTTCAATGGATACGCTTGCTCGAGTTGACTAAAAGGTATATTGGACAAATCAGATCTTTCCAACTATATATTCCAAAACAAACTATTAATGCAGGTCAAACAGTAAAATAGGAAAATAAATAGAATAATGTAGTACCATTTGAGCATCTTTTTTTGGGTTCAAAGGACCGTGATGGAAAGCGAGGTCTCGAAGTTGGAGCATCTGTCGAAACAAAAACTGTCGCATGTTTACATCAATGAGCATACCTTGACCACAATGCAGATATAATAAAATCAGTTGGCAAGTCCAATCAATAAATAGCCAGTCAGTTTTACGATATGAATATTCATTATAGATTTAAACAGCATCATCTGTATCAAGAAGATAATCCAGTTTGTATTTGAAATCCAATGATTCAGTCTACTTTAGAACTACCTTGCTTGGCTGGCTCATTTTCCAGTATTGACTGTTTCGCTTCAAATTCAAATGCATTGGATGATTCATCCAAACTCTGACACTGTTTTGAAATCCGTAATTCGAGCAGACTCCATAGCCGATTTAAAGAGCAACCTAACATTTGAGTTGTTAAAGCAGATATAACTTGATAGGAAACAAGCCAGATGAACAGCATTCGAATCGAGTAGGTTGTGTACCTTGAATGCCATCAAATGCTACTTCCTCCACACATGCCACTAATGCCGAGTCCATAAATGGATATGTTTGGTACTGTTGGTTTAAAAAGAGTCAATCCGACTATAATAATAGTCCTGATGTCAGATGTATAAATTATTACAGCCGAAATCAACTGCTTTGTGGGTTGAAATCGTTTGTTGGCTGCAAATGTTGGATTCAAATCATGTCATTTGAATCAACACTAAAACTATAGCACACATACTGAAAAATGAACTCAAATACTCGCACTACAAAGATTCAAAATAGACTAATTGGGTTTGAAGGTTTTAATCAATTCAATCTCATACATGACAGTCGATGCAAAACACATTCCGTGGCAAGTCAGTAGTAAAGAAACTGATAAAAAGTAAAAATAAGCATGCAAGAGGAATAGACTATGCAAGAGCTTAGATCTAGACCTCTTGGTATGATGTGGAAAACAGTTGACGACAAAAAGCAAAGATAAATGTGAATGAAATATCAAAATCTAAACAGACTCTGACTAGTATGTACATAAAACCAAAGCTGACAAACGATGATCAAAAAGGCAAAAAGTATTGACAGATTGACTTTGAGAACTACATGACAATCTCGTCGAGTAACGCCTTGTCAGGATTTAGTGCTTCAAAAAGCTCAAAATCAAATATCTTTTCGTTATACCATGGATAGTTTGGATCTCGAGGAGCAGTAGATGGTGCATCTTTCATCAATCGCTGTGCCATTTTATCAATAGCAATTACGGACAAGACTGTTTGAATATATGCGTCAATCAAATCATCAATTCCAATACCAAGATGATTAAAATCCTTGCGATCCATGAGAAGCAATCGCTGAGCTTCAGTAGTCCATTCACCATCTGTTTTAACCGACAAATTGGTGCCAAGCATCTCCCATGAAGTTACTAGTACACCATGAGTTGGAATTAATGTGAGCAATTAAAATACATTCGAATCTATAGTAGACAGCTGAAACCTATATACAAGAACTTACATTCGGGATGATCTTCAAGGTTGCGACATAGTGGAGTCCGAGCCTTACGCGCATAGCATGCAACCGGGCGAAACCCGTTGCTATTGGCAGTCACCATCATACGCAAGTCACTTACATACGTATGGTTCTTTTTATTGGGAATCGTACCCACATGGAAAAACTTGCCAGCACGAGTAACAGAAGACCATGAAGCATTTCCAACAAGCGATTGCACAATAAACTTGTCGTAAAAATGGTCGGTGTTCATAAAATCATCCAGCTCCTTCTTATTGGTAATGGTGTAAACACCTTGGCCAGCGTTCGAGTAGGGGACTTTGAGCACGGCATGACCGCCCATAGAATCAATCCACAGTGGGATTTCGCTTTTGGTTACGTTGCGAATGGTTTCAGGCATGCGAATTGCCATACCAGTGCCAGTGAGCTCCGAGTTGAAGAAATCGTATGCACGAGAGGCCATCATTTTATTGCGTCCGCCAGCCAGACACGATACAATGCTGTTGAGAACAATGGTTTTCGAATTGATGGGAATACGGTTCCATGGTTTTTGAGTAACGTAACGGAAACAAGCACGAATAGGATGCCATGTTTTGTGTTCATCTCTCAGGTACATCAGACCATCAATCCACTTGACTGGTGGATCAGGATCTTCAACATAGTATTCTGCCAGCCAAACCGTCTCCTTGACGGTATCGGCAAGAACAGCAGCATACCCCGATGCCTCCATCATGTTCTTGTCACACACCACAGCAAGATCACCAAGTGATTTGTCAGCATTAGCGGCCAGTTCGCAAAAGGTGGAATCAATCACAATGCCATAACCACCGTGTTCGTGCTCCTCGCCAATTTCAGAGAGTAGGGGCATCGATTTTTGACCAGATGGACATGAGTTGGTCTCAACAATGATCATTTGACGTTGACCCTCGGCAGTTGTAACATGAAAAAGATCAGATCCTATAACAAATGCATAGAATACGCAACATTAAACTAGATATCGATATACGAGAATCCAAACACTGCATAATGGAAAAGAGACATACCAGCCCACTGAAAATACTTGGGTTTGTATTTAAGAAGCGATTTCAACGAATCAAGGTTGACTTGTGGATTCAGATGAGTATATCTAGCAAGGATACGTTCATTGCCCAGTGAAAAGAACGATGATACGAGTGGGTGGATGTTGGCATTAAGTACTCGCGGGTAAAAATGTCGCTCCGCTTCAAACTCGCCCTCCTGAACTTTGCGGGCGTCCAAGCCAGAACGAGACTTTGTGGGTATAAGCTTGGGAGAAGCTATATCGACCAATACAGGGGAGGAAGTAGTAGAGGCAGGCTTAACAGGACACTCGGTAAGTGAGGCAACAGTTGCTCCATTTTCCGCATGGTTCATCTTGACAGCAGCACCAGTGGAGGTACGCACAATTCCAGGTGTTGAAGATGAGCTAGAAATTAATGGAACAAAGGAAGCCTGCTCGGCAGCAATGGCGGTGGATCCACACACAGAGTCAGAAAAAACAGCTACGTTAGCAAGGGAGTGGTTGCAAGTCAAGCTATGAGTAGATGATTTATCAGTATCATCGGTGTTGATGCAAGGATAGATGTTTACAGCAGGCACACGAACAGACTTTTCTAAGTATGCAGATGGAGTAGAGTGAGGATCAACGACCTGAGATTCCATTATGTACCCAATAGTACAGATACAATATTAACAACTAGAATAAGAACAAACGTGGGTTAAAGTTGGAAGAGTTGAGATGTAACAAAAGCTGCAAACACGGTCTTGTTCGACTAGAGTATCGACCTTGTATTATAACCTCACGGTTTACAAGTGCGTGCTTAATTCAACCCGAGTTCATGTATAAATCTATTGGCTTACCTGGGCTATATATGTTGAGCAATACAAACTACCGCTTTAAAACAACTTGGATTTTAATCAACAAGCAGTCTAAATAACTAGAATACCTTGCCAAATAACTAAAAACCATGGAATATAAACTCATGAGCTAATGGCTCATAATGCCATCGACTAATTCAAGTCAGGTTGACTAGTGCATGGCTCGCGCGTGATTGGTGCTGACTACACGTGGATCAATCGTGTCCAACGACTCGCTCATGTCAGTCACTGAAACAAACTTTCCGCCTTGTTTTTGCTCAGGATGAATCAAAAACTACTATATAATGGGGTGGTTATGAGAAAGGGAACGTTTATAGTAACGTCATGTTCATCTAAGCATCTACTACCAGAATGGGCTTTATTCTATTCTGTGTGTGCTTTAGTATCTATATACTTATATCAAACATACTTGCATCAATACCTTGACATTCATTCTTATTTTGTTGCTATTTTAGCCAACTTTTCTGGTTGGCATTCCTTGTCAGTCCATTCAAACCTCCGACTCTTTACACTTTTTGGTACTCCGCTTATATATGATCTCACCGACTTGCGCCGAGTCGGATTCCCATTTTACAAAAATAATTCGAGAAATACCCTCAACCGTTCCGACTCTACCCACAAACTCAGCTCATCAATCACCAACTCGGCATGCATCTGAGCCAGCTCATATAGACTGTTTTGTGCAAGTATAATCTCCACATTCATGGCATTGAGTGTAGGAAACATACACAACAACACACTATGCTATTATGTCATTCATTTCAAAAAGCGGGTTAGTTGCAGTATTTAAAAAGTATGGGTGGAATACTTTGACAGGTGTGGTTAGATTAAAAGCCATAAACTCAACTGGATTCTGATCGTGATGCAGCCATCCTCTATTCTCCCACATGCTTTGTGACCTCCATGGTTTGCCATTCATATATTCATTCTTGACCATGGCATCCGAGTTGATTTCTGAATCCATCAGCAATGCTATATCATTGCCCAGCTTTCTAAAATTTAAATAGTGTTGGCGCTTGTTCAATTCAAATCCATTAAAACGGCCCAGAAACTTTACCTAATTGAATGAGCTACATGATCTAAACTGCCACCCAAAGTCCACCTGAGTGATGTCCCAACTTTTTCTTTTAGCACAGAAGAAAACACGCATAGATGAGCCAATACATGTTGTACAGGAGGTGTCATGGCAAATGCCTCATTGCCACTACAGATTCCTGTCAATATGAGATGGATTTGCGTAAATCGCAATGCTACATCTAAAATGATATTTCCCAGTGGAGAATTTAAAACCAGTGATGGATCAAACTTTCTCTCAATATGTTGAATTTGCACCTGGGATTGCTGCGATAGCATTTGGATGGGGTATAATCTAAAACAAACTTGTCAACTGGATTCAAACTCTATTTAACATTCAAAATGAAAATGTCAAATGATCTATTTACATGGTACAATTGCGTTCATCCAAAGCAATGATCTGGACCGAGTTACTTGATTTAGGGTTGCATAATCCATACGACCGTTCATAAAGTTCAATGTGATAGCGATTCGCAAGGTGATTAACCAATGCGCCATTGAGAAACACTGCCGGTGTAGCCAAATAGATATGGCTTGAAGTATATAACTGCTCTGATGAGTCGACCACATTTTCGGTTTGAATGAATGGAGGATGCGTGTTGAAATGGCTTGGGGATTGGATATGAATAAAGGACATGGATGGTGATGGTGCATCCATTGAACGTGAGAATACTTTTGTGGCTGATTTATCGCGAATCCGAATATAGTCATTTACAGAGTCGGAAACAGAAAATTGAACGATAGATGCAGTGTTTTTTTGCAGACATACACTTGGATGATCCATTCCTCCTGTCATGTCATCTTCGTATTGACTACGAGTTCTTTTATTTGCCATTGAGTTGCCGACGTCGGATACTGTGTACTTTTTACCGATCGGCAATTCGGACAATTGCGAAATAAATGTAGTCGCGACCTGATCTACTAGAAATTGCAGATCTGAATGTTTCAACGGCTCATACTTTATCATCAACTGCTGTATCACTTTTCGTGAGTGTGAAAACACATCCATTGCATATTCAGCCAAAAGTAGTTCTTTGCGCCATACTGTTGAAGATATTACCAAAGGTTTGAAATGGGTTGAGCTTATCTGGCTATGTTTATTGATGGTGACGAGTGCGTTTGTGAGGTCCCACGAAAGCATTTCAAGTTGACAAGTAGTAGATACTTTCATTGGCTTCAAGTCAAGCAAAGTAATGGTAGATTTAATGTTGGGTGGTGTATTTTGACTTGATTGCGCCAAACATAATGCTGGCATTTCTGTTATTTCTATGTACACCAAACATAAGCTATTCAATAAGAATCTAGAATAAATTGGAAAAACAAGTCAATATCCACAATTACGTTTAAGCCTATGCGTGGATGGCTGATCAAAAGCAGCATCACGGACTTCCTTGTAAAGCACGTTTGGTACATGACTAACACACGACAGTAGATCTTGAGCAATTGAGTGATCTGAAATCATTGAATCAAATTCTTCTAAGCTGTTTGAGAAGATATGATCGATATCCAATACACTGGACAATGACTCTGATTTTAAAATGTTATGCAACATCAAAGTACATTTTCCAGTATGAGTTGTGCTGATGTTTCTTGTCGACAAGGGTGGTTCTAGCATTACAACTCGGGTTAGTTTAAATCAGCATCATCGAACTAGTAGCAACAGATGGTCGCTTATACAATTTCACAATAAACACAACCTAGTGGTTCAGCATGAACACGATCTTGTGCTAAAAAGACTTTGAACTCCGTAGTATCTATAATTTTCGATTTTTCTACAAGAACGTCTATAATGCAATTAAATTTCAAGATTAATGTTTGTGCTTGTATATACTATAGACATGTAATGCAAAGCAGTATACATTCCTTTTAACGATTGATGGTCGGAAACGAGTTGATCTGCATCACATTCGCTCATTTGTGAGATATTCATGGTGGACACTTTGATACATGGTTCATTTTTTAATGAACATGAAGATTTTTCTGGTATAATTTGTTCCATAAATTCAACGTCAGATCTGTCAACACACAATTCGCGAAACAACGTCGAGTCTAAAGATTCGACCGAGGTAGTTGAAACCAATGATACCGTTTGTAAATGATCTGAACAGTCATGCACACTATTGAAAATACACAATAAAATAGTATTAGAAAAAGCCTGATATTTCAAGTGTCATGGAGATATGTGATCTTACATGGACTGTAAAATTTGATGCAACGGTTTGTTTTTGAACGAGTCGCAAGTAGTAAATGTTGGTAATCTGGCAATAGTTTTATGGAATAAATCTCGTTTAGTCCGATTAAAAGGGGAAAGGGACACAATAGGAGATTCCAGTATGAATTGATTGCTAGAGCGTTGTATTGACTCGAACCATTCAATGTTTGGATCTGAAAGATGAATGTGAGAGACACAATCCAAGTCATCTCTCATGGCACATGAAACAGAACACTTTTCGAAACAAATATCGTATAAGAGTTTATCAATGTTCAGTTTGTCTTGGATGCAACACGGCACATGGTTGCAGTTCAATACAGGATTATTCGGTAAAGGCTTTAATGACGAATCAGTATCTGTATTGCAATAAAAGGTATTCTCTAATGATGTAGTGGAGAGATACGAGACGAGAGTGGTCTTGGTCAATGCATGATTTAAGCCATATGCACACAGTCGTTCAAGTAGATCACTTTTCCAAGAGTCTTTTGACTCCATGCTTTACAATCAAATACAATATTCAACAAGCAATATAAGCTGTATTCACGTAAAACACTAAATAAGAGTATAATAAACGACCCGTTCTATGTTTGATTGGTACCAATCTTACCAAACATTGTTTTATAAACTCTTTTAGCTTATTATCTTTGCTCATTCCTGTTCCAATATATTCCCTACTTGTTCAATCTCCGACTTTCAATATTATATGATTGGTTGTAATCTTGAACTAGATTGCAAATCTATTTGATATTAGAATGCAACAAAGCTTTTATACAATAACCAATTTCCAATGAGCATTTATAATTGCTGTTCATTTCAAAACAATTACTGCAAAATAAATACAAAGATGTTCCATTTTATATGGAGATGACTGCAAAATGTTTGAATCTTTAGCATAAGATCAATTTATTCCTGCCAAGTGTTCAAAACATATTTATATCTGTTCATCTACCATCCCACCATATGCCTAAGCCTTGCGTTTAGCGACCTTCTTGGCAGCTGGCTTCTTGGCGCTCTTTTTAACAGTCTTTTTAACAGTCTTCTTGGCAGCAGTCTTCTTGGCGGTAGTCTTTTTGGCAGCTGGCTTCTTAGCGCTCTTCTTGACAGTCCTTTTAGCAACTAGCTTCTTTGTAGACTTTTTCACAACAAGCTTTCTCTTGACAACCTTTTTAACAATCTTTTTTACTTTCTTGACAAGCTTTTTTTTAGGCATAACCTGTGCACGGGCATTTTTGGTCAAAGCAGCCATCATATCGGTGATAGTTTGAGTCGATTCTTTGGTGTTGGCCAAGTACTTTGCATTTTCCTTAAACCATTGTTCATATGCTCTCTTGTACTCGTCGGTATATTTTTCACGATCCCCAGAGCTCATTCCATTCCACACCTTGCTCAGAGCAGAAGTACGCTTTACCAGTGTCGATGTGGCATTTTCGCCAATCAGATCAGCAAGCTTGGAGTGAGGGAGAGCCCCAGCATCACGCATAAAGCAGAACATAGCAGAGGTTGGGCGTTTTGGAAGATGCACGTTAACTGGAGGCTTTTGGACTTTTTTACCAAGAGCCTTGCGCATTACATTGATCTTGCGAATAAGAGTATGATGAGCCGGAGTAAGCTTTTTGAGATACTCAGCATAGTCCTTCTTGTACTTTTCGAGAGCAACAGAAGCCTTGTCGAAGTACAACTTGATATTCCAAGAGCAAAACCAGTTAGTTGGGCATTAAACTATTTACACAAGACAGACTGATCTACCTTTTTTGCGCTTGGAGATGTATTGTGCCACATCTCGGCTATTTTCTTCGAGGCCCACACAACCTTTTTAGCACTAAGCTCAGGTGGACAGTCCTTGAAAGTCTCTGCATTACTCTTTACAAAGAAAGAGTAGGAGTTTCCTGGCTTGACTGGAGGAACAATTTGGGGGAGAGCAGGCATATTCTTGAGAATATTCTGGGTCACCTTACGCTTAAGAGCAACCTTGTTCACTAAACACATGGCAGATCAGTTACCGAAATACACAAAGTATAGCAGCATAATTTAAACACCCGGGGGTTTGGAAATCAAGAGTAGTAGCTCATAGTATAACACGAGACTATACAGTTGAAACATGGAATACGCAAGGTAGCATCTAGTTCAACTGGCCACAGTGAATCTCAACAAAACAGTCAAGGGATAAATAGTAGACTCTGAGCACGTAGACTAGCAAGGACATCAATATGAGTCAAAGGTACTATGACAAGCAACACAACTTGCCTGGTTTCGAAGTAGAGAGTCCTGCCAAGTGACGACATGAAAGAAAGGGGGAGCGAACAGTATCATAACGAGTATACGAACTAGTGATAGAAGACGTATAAGAGTACGATGAAAATACAGAACTTTTTGTAAAACCTCCAGAGAGAAACCGAGAGGACATTTTGGCTTAGTGTAGAGCAAAGTTGTGGTACCAGGTTCGGACTTGCAAGACTGGGGTTTTATACAAAAATATTGGTTTGACAGTTGTGCTTTCACACTGCTATTGGCTGACAGACTGAATTTCATGTTCAATCTTTCAACTCGTCAAAACCATTCAGTTTCTGACAGCTGTAACAAGCTTGAATCAATACTCATTTCTCCCATAAAGTTAAGCTGTTAAAATAGTCTAATCGCTCATTATCTATTTACTGCCATATTCACATAATAAACACTACATAACAGTCTGATAAACTGCCAGTCGTGTGGAATGATGGATGCCAGATCGACCACAGCATTGTACCTTTAGACTCGTTAAAGTTAATTGACCTGTCTTTGGTGATCGGCATAAAACAACAGTTGTACTCCCAAAACATACAATCTTTGTTGTTTGAAATAGATCATGAATATGTGGTTTTAAAACACAACAGAGTTTTACTGAGCCTAATTGACAAGTTAAACCCAATATCTAGATCGTAATGGGTGAGTATGGTAGTCTTACAATGTGTGGTAATATCAAAAGTGGGAAAGTGATAGTTTGACTGCATCATATAATGGGCGTCGTGTTTCAGAAACAGTCAATTTTTAACAGAAAAGAGCAACGGATATTAAACTATTGTCTATTCCAAAAAATAGATTGCAAGATAAATACAAAAGTTATATTTTATGTAAATAGGCTGCCATGCATATGCTTCAACTTTAGTTTATTTAATGTACTCGCCACCGTATCAAGGTCTATATAATATAATCAAGAAAGCACTATGGCTACGCCAAGTTCTCAAAGTCAATGAGAAAGGGGCTCATAGTGAACAGTCGCCTTGGCATCATTCAAATATAGATTCTTAATTCGGCTATACTCTTGTTGAAGTTCATTCAGTAACTGACGCGACTGTGGTAGCCGTTCTTCCAGCTGGCTGTTCCTCAACACTGATGCTATATTCCATAATATACAAACACAAATCAGTTAAAATAAACATCTGTGTAATCAAAATTAAATATCAATTGCAAGACACTACCTAGATTACTTTCAATAGTGCTGATTTTGGAGTCAACCAACGACATCATATCATTCAAAGTTTCAAACTCGTCTTGCGATTGTAAGCGTCCACTTTTTTGGGCTCGCTGAAGTGCTGCGACAGTTGATAGTTGCTTCATTAGCTTTTGTTTTTGTCTTGTATTGGCCATGTTCAATGGTTCGTGTTGAGCATCCTTACTCATCACACCATGTCTACTTTGTTGCTGTCGGAATTTAGCGTCCAACTGAAGGTTGAGTTTCTGTCGCGCACCCGTTGATGACATTGACTCTAACACTCCGTTTGAGATTATGCTGCTACGACGATACGACACTTCCCCTACTTCCATACGGTGTTTTGCTGATGTATCTGCTGGCGGGACATAGTCGGCCAATGTAACAAAATTGTCACTGCTTTCTGTGAGCATCCACATGCTACTTGCCGGTGTACCCATGAATTGTCGGGGAGTGTGTGATGGCATTGGCAGATTATTTGACACATTTTGTTGTAAACTCTCCGACTGTCGACATGTTTTCAAATTAAGTGGATTCTGATTCAGATGTTTATCATCAGAATCTGTCAAAAAAGGTTTGGTTTCGTTGCAAATGTCAGTGACAGCATCCATAGCATCGTCGCGCAACTGATCTTGTGTAACAAATGCGGTTTTTCGTTTTAAACTGGCATAAGTTGGTCGTGCATATGATTCTTCTAAAATTCGCCAATATGAAACTGGATTGGCCAAAGCATGTCTGAGTGCTCTAACAGATCCTTGAATTGTGCTTGGAAGTGGATAGACCATGCTGACCTTTGCTTCTATTTTATGATTTGCAAGACTATCCACACTGCTATGATCACTGTCTGACTCATCTTTGGTTTGAGATTCACTTGTGTAACTATATGATTCGGATGTGTCACTGTCGTTAGGCGAAGCAGCATTAAGCCTGATGCCTTCTTTATCAAGCGTCGCGGATGTAGATAATGGCATGCTTTGATTATAGTCATTTGGTAAGCATGATTCATCCTCACGATCACCACCAGTAATGTGCACTCCAGTCAAAAACGTATCATCAATATGGTTTGGATCATATTGGATTTTTTTGGTTGATGAAGTAAAATCATTGTTGGAAACTTCTATTGGCTGACTCGTATCATGTAGTTGCGACATGATGTCACCATCCTTGTATGAAAGATGCATGTCGCCACTTGTATCTGTCTTGTTTGAATCACCACTGCATTGATTATTTCCAGATACATTACCACCATCAGCATGACTGGAGTGAACATCAGACTTGATATGGTTGTGCACGTCCGTACTACCTATGGCAGGTTGATTAGAATTTATAGAAAGTTGACTTGCATTTCCTTGTAGCTGAAATTCGCGTAGCTTAGCAAGCTTTATCAACTCTCTAACTGGTGGAATTTTCCCACATTTAACAATTTCTTGCAAATCGCTGTCAGTAAACTGATATTTTACCCGTCGTTTGCGATCTTCTACAAGTGGTTTAGACGCAGTAAGAAGGGGCTCATCAACCACGTGAGGTGCAGCAATATACGAGGAAAAGGTTTGATTTTCTTGTGCACGATATCGACCAATAAGTTGTGGTTTTTTAATTGGCAGTTTGATGTTGTGCCGATCTATGCGGTGGATAGCAGACGTGAGTCCAAAGTTTCCATTCGACTGGGCCAGAGAAAAGGTTGATGATTGTGGCTTCAACGGTCCAGCCATAACTAGCTCAGCTTCAATACTAGATTTAGGCACCTGATAGCACACATCTGCAATAATGATTCCATATGTAGAAAACAACTGAAATATATCCATAACAGCTTTATCGGAAGATGCTGGTGTTTTTGGCAAAAGATGTTTAGGAGCATACTGTTTCATGATTGAATTTCCATGTAAAAACACCTTGCGTAGTCGCTGAAGACATATAATACCAATCAAGTCGTCCAAAGTGCTAATTTTGTTTTTTATCAGAAATAGCTCCTCCAGACATTTGAAGCCATTGAGCTTAGTCAATATGTTTGGACTGGTTTTCAAAAGATCAGTTGGTGTCCATTTTGATTCCAAGCACTGATCTTGGACGTGACTTGGGATTAAAGGTTGTAATGATTTGATAAAGTTGTTACTGAGGTTGAGTACACGGAGTCGTGGGAGAGCCTGAAGTATTGTCCAAAAATTTGAATGATCAGGCACGCCTAGACTATTATTTTCAAGAATCAGCACCTCTAATGACTGGAATCCTATAGGCGAAACTGCAACTGAAGCATTGAGAGTAATCATTGCATTTAAATCTGGTTTTACGACAGTTGTGTCAGGCTGTATAGTTTCCACTGGTGCTCTGGTAGATTGACAATTATTGAGTTTGTTTTGCGATTTTGACGAATTTTGAGATTGTGTATTGTTTAATTGAATTTCACCAGCGTTTTCATTCTCTGGATGCTTTTGATTTGGCTCATCGCCTTTGAGATCGTGATCCATCTTATTCAGATGACTGTCATTATGTTGGTATGGTAAATGATTTACTTTTGGAATATTGTCAGAATTTGTCGAGTGCAATGGGTCTGTTTCTTTTGATGTGATTGTGTTGTTTTCAGGACTATCCAGAACATTGGCTTGAGCCGCAAGTTTTTCAGACAAGATTTTGTGTTCGATAAATGAGTGAAACAAGGAAGGACTTTCTGCGCTTGAAAATTCATTTTCGTGTGCCAACTGTGCTGTTTGCGTTGAATCATTTGGCCATGATTTCTGGTAGGGTTTATAAGCATCATCCAAATCAGACCGAAGCAGTGTTTGATCGGTCTGGCAGACGTCGAATAGATTTGCGTCCAATGCAGCGACTTGATGAGGCAAAACCAATTCAATTACGCGATCATGCCAATGTTCCATATCCAAGATGGTCGTAGCTAGCCTTGATATATTGTTGCTTGTCAAATCCAAGTGCTTTAAAAGTGGAAATGTAGCAAGCACGATTTGAGCTGATATGTCAATGGCATTGAAGGATAAATCCAAGTGTTCAAGCTTTTGAAATTTGCTTTCCGACTCCAGATCAAGAGATGTCACGCCGTTGCATGGAAGCAGTAGAGTTTTAAGAGATGGTAATGTGCCTAGTCGAGCAAAAGGCAGTGAGTTTTCACCTGCACGCAAAGTATGCAACTTTGTAAACAACGTCAAATCATCTTCAACAACATATATGAGTTGTTGTGATGACAAGTCGAGCGAGTATACAAATTCTGGATCCGTGGCTGGTGCTCGATTAAGCTTGTATTGGCACATTCCATTAGGTTTGGTTAAAAACAAATTGAGTTTTAAGATTTGAATCAAATTATACATCAAAGTTAAATATACGATTACCATTCTAAACCCGTCGAGCAAATTAGGAATTTCTTCGTATTTGCCATTGACTTTTCGGATCGCAGGTTGATCATCTTGATCACCAAAGTAGTTTGGACCAACAATTTTTGGAGAGTAATTTGGGAAATGGGGTGTTTTTTGAGCAGAATGTCGCACTCGATGAGAATTTAAACGTTTTGAGGATGGAGTGCGTTTTGATGTTGACCAATGAGTTGTTGGGTGCAATATATTCGTGTCGACAATAATTTTATGAGGCTTTGTTTTTTGTAGTGATGTATCTTGCTGCAAAGTAGCTTGTAGAGGACTATTTAAAGAATCGTCATTTGTAGATGGGCTATTTGGGACTGGGTCAATTTTTGGAGGGTTAAATTGGAGTTGCTCTTTTTTTAAAGGTGATGCAGGAGTCTTTGAAAGCAGAGCATGTTGTTTAGGTAAAGTAGATTGAGATTCAAGCAGTTGAGTATTTTCGGAAAGTGTATTGTCTATTGGGTGGACAGACTGCCCATTAATAGGCATTATGATCCAAGATGGACAAGTTCAGTTGGTCCTCACGAACGCGGTTTGGAGTTTACACAGCCGTATTCACGTAAATTGTAAGATTTGTAATTATCCTGCAGTGATGATTGCTTTGGAATATACAATGGCTGAATATTCGTTGATATTGGGACTAACTTGAATGCTTCTAGTTGTTCAAAGCACAACGACCATCATACAAGATTAGACTATAGTTTTACACTGAGATGGCTCTTGTTTGGCATGCATTGTACAATCTGCAGATTCACTCAAATCCAGATATTGGATTCAGCTGTTTTAATGCTGTAGCAGAACTCGTCTCTGTATTCTAATCCCACGGATGCGTTTGCGATCTAGTTCAATGATTGCAGGTTCTAGGAATGTCATTAACATGTCAATTACCCAATGTGTGTAGACAAGGAAAGTAGAGATTGAACAAGAAATATACAGACTGTAATGTGAGCATTTGTTCATATAAAAATGAGCCAAGCCCAGCAAACTGTTGATGAGTTGGTGGGCATAAACTGTTTAGTAAATTCGGGGTAGATTGAATGAGCGCCAATCAAACCGACTGACAATTTATGTATTTTTGGCACCCTTATTTTGTTTCATTTTACGTGAATACGCTAATACTAGAGTTATGCATTGGTGGATTGGTTCTAATCAATATGGTCTACTGCTAGTATTTGCTATTCTAAAAGCAGTATTTGTAATTCAATCAGTTGCTCAGGTTGTCAATCAACCTACCACTGCTTTGCGAACTACTGTGATTCGTACTTTTTCTCCTGTTTCAACCACTGTACCTATTTTACCAAATACTCGTATTGCCACAAGACCACTTCCAAAGGCTACTACGGTGCCAAGACCACCCCCAAAGGCTACTGCAGTACCAAGACCCCCACCTATAATAACTGCGAGGGAGGGTATGAGCTGCACGGTACAATTGTGTGAACGAGGTCTTGTATGGTAATTAAAATTCATTAAACTTGGCCATCACTCGTTAATTGCTTTACTGACTTGTTTACTCTGAAAATATTTTAGTTTAATTGGACGATGTGTTCGTCTTCCAACCGTTCCAGAAGGCACTTTGATTACAAGCGATCGAAGCCAGAACCAACCCATTCCTGTATCTGATCAGTTTCCCAACTCGAGTGCAAAAGCCTTTGTTTTAAACGGTGTTGTTGAGTCTGCTAATGTGATAGTAGCTCCACCTACAGTAGGAAAAGTACAAACGACTTTACCCACAAGTAACTTGGGCAAATCTGTATCAGGACAGCATGCTATTTTGACATCCATCTCATCCACTATGTTTATTTTATTCATGTATGCTATCGTTCTCTGAGATGTTTTCATTCTATATTCAAAACCATGTATTGATACAAGCATTGTAATACAAGTATGTTTTTATGAATACATGAAGAGGGGAAATACTTGATCGATATGACTGATAGAATGAATGCCGCAGTATTTTAGTAAATATGATAATGCTTGACAGTTGAACATGAAGCAGCATTTCATGCAAAGCATTTGAAATTGTATATTCTTATCTTGACATTCAGTAACATCTGCAATGACTACTGCTCGGATCTCTTCCAAGGTACAACACATGCTGATCAGTATGTCCTCATGGCAATCATTCTTTTCATATAAAACTAAACCTACGCATTCCTTGTCAACAGGCTGCTCATCGACTATCGTCACTAAACCCAGGCGGGACGGTATTTGCAGAATTCACTGCATTGGCCAACAAACACAAGGCAATCAACTTGGGTCAAGGATTTCCTACTCTTCCCGTAGCTGATTTTATTACTCAGGAAGCTGCCAAGGCTATATCTACTCAGGGAATATTACATCAATACACTCGTAGTGAAGGACATCCTAAGCTGGTTCAAGGTAGAATGATGTCATCTTGATCATTTATATCATACTGGCGGAATAAAAATGACTTGCGGCAGATCTTGAGAGTCAAGATCACCCATCATTGATCTGCATGTCTTGCTAATACCATTTGATGATCTAGAGCTTGCATTGTTCTATAGCTCCAAGCTTGGCCGTCAAATCGATCCATTAACTGAGATTGTTACTACTGTTGGTGCTACTGAAGGTATATTTGCATCTCTTGAAATACATTGTTATAAGAATTCGCACTAGCAAACCTTAGTATTTTCAGTCCTGAACAATTGAATTCTTATATTGGTATCTGTAAATCACTAGCTATTTATTCGACAATTCAAGCCTTTGTGGATGTTGGAGACGAGGTGATTCTGATGCAGCCATTCTATGATTCATATCCTGCATCCATCTTGCTTGCAGGTGGTAAGCCCATCGTCGTGTCTCTTTCTGCTACTCCTGGAAAGCGTGGTCGTGCTAGCGATTGGACGCTTGATATGGATGAATTGCGCAAGGCAATCACCCCAAAAACTAAAATGATCATGATCAACAACCCGCATAACCCACTTGGTAAGCATCGATGGCTTGGAACCTATAAACTGTCTTATTTTTTGTCTACATTTAAAACAAATAACATCAAATAATGTACAGGCAAGGTCTTTACCAAAAAGGAATTGGAGGCTGTTGCGACAATCGCACGCGAATTCGACTTGCTGATTGTTGCTGATGAGGTCTACGAAACTCTTACGTTTTCTGATAGCTGTTCGCCGTTTATCAAGTTTGGTGTGTGATTGATGTGAGAGTATTTATGAAATTCTACAATCAAATTAACATTTGCTCTCTGAATCCACAGCAAGTCTTCCAGGAATGTTTGAGCGCACTATTACTCTTGGAAGTATTGGCAAAGCATTTGGAGTTACTGGATGGAAAATTGGCTGGGCAATAGCACCTCCGGCACTTTCTCGTGCAGTCTGGCTTGTTCACCAATTTATTCCATTCTCCATTGCGACTCCTCTCCAGGCATGTTCTCTAAAATTTATAAAACTAATTTTACAAGGTGCTCATTTAGCTAACCCGTCTGCCTAATTCTGTATCTAGGAAGCAGTTGCCGAATCGCTCAAAATTGCACAACAAACCAGCTATTTTCAAGACACATGTCGTCAGTACGAATCCTTGAGAGATTTATTGTACGAAGGCCTCGAGTCTATTGGCTTCAATCCCATGAAACCAGATGGAGGCTACTTTATTGTTGCTGATGTAAGCAAGATTCAAAAGGAGTTGAACATCCAGGGCGATTTTTCAAAATTCCTCACTACCGAAGTTGGCGTGACTGGTATTCCTGTATCTGCATTTTACCAGTCCCAAGATCAAAGCAAGGTATCGCATCTGGTACGTTTTGCTTTTTGCAAGGATCGTGCCACGATTGAAACTGCTTTAGAGAGACTTTACAAGTACTTTAAAAAATAAATGCTATTGGTCTTGAATCTGAATAGCAATAGATTGGGTTCTGCAACACATCAATATGATAAAACATTGTCCAATAAATTGCATTCAATCTATCATGCTCACAACTTTTTTCAACCCATCAGCTGTTTTGAATGTACATTTCAACACGGTTTGTTTTCAAGGAGAATACTGCACAACGGACTTTTGAGTCTTGACATTTGAAATTCAAGGTCGAGTATTCTTTCAAGCTCATCTTGCTTCTACACCCTTTAATTAAAACTCCACAACTTGGCCGCTGACTCACTTGGTGAGTGATACGCCGCACTTTAAATATGTCAGACTATAGATATGGCGGAGCCCAACTATCCAATCCTCCCCAGCGCGGCTCATCCGAAACCATTGCAGGAAACGCAGCAGATGACCTGTATTCATTTGAAAAAAAGGTAGTGTTGGTTTCATTAATTGAAGAAACGACACAGCTCAACCATTGTAATTCATGTGACTAATAACCATGTATTACTGATACCACGACCTATTTTGTATGGGGTTGATGAAATATATGTTGGTGACTTGTTCATGCCGTGATTCAACTTGTAGACAACAGGCGCGTATGGTGGGTCAGGACGAACAGCAGCTGGACGCGCACCACAGCCGACATTCTCCCTTGGTGGTCCTCGTACTGGTCGAATGATGTCGTCTTATGGTGGAGACTCAAACAGTGGTGGTCGACCCATGACATCTGTTAGAGCTGCTGGATACTCTAGCCGGGGTAGACCTGGCATGATTTCTGGACAAACGTTTGATCCTTTAAACCAAGGCATGAATATTTAAATGCAAAATTATAGTCTGTTTTATTATCAACATGCTTGCACAAGTAAAATGGTTTTAAATGCATACAGCTCTATCTGAAACTAACCAATAAGCTATTTTGAATTTGGATGTACCATTAAATTGTGACCAATACATATATGTAGGGCAATCTTCACAAACCCAAGACCGACAGCTTGAATTGTCACCAGAAGAGAAAATCAAGGTTCTTGAGCGAAAAGTTGGACATATTATTGAAGAATCTGCCTTTTTAGCAGCAGAAGGCAACTTTCAACAAGCTCTCGACAAAGCCAAAGAGGCTGGAAAAAAAGAACGGCAACTTTCCAAGCAGCGCGAAGAACTCAACCTTGGCGATCAAATCAATTTAGATCTAACCTATTGTGTTTTATTTAACTTGGCCAATCAGTACCATTCAAACAAAATGTACCAAGAGGCGCTCAATTCGTATGCGGTGATTGTAAAAAATAAGCTGTTTAATCAAAGTGGAAGACTGCGCGTGAATATGGGGAATATTTACTTTGAGCAGTGCAAATACGGTCAAGCAGTTAAAATGTATCGCATGGCTTTAGATCAAATTCCTAGCACAAATCGTGATTTTAGGTGAGATTGAACTGCAATTCATGTACGCTGCCTTTTGCTTACATTTTGTGTCAGATTGAAAATTATGCGTAATATTGGAAGTGCATTCATTAAAATGGGACAGTTTCAAGATGCCATTACATCATTGGAAGCTATCATGGAAGGAAATCCAGATCATCACACAGGTAAAAACATGAACCATGAATGTACCTACAAGATTCATAACACACTCATCAACATTCAACCTTTACCATAAACCCATTCCATTAGGATTCAATTTGATTTTATGCTATTTTGCAATTGGAGACAAGGACAAGATGAAGAAAGGATTTCAGCGTATTATTTCAATTGTCACGCCCATGATTGAGCAAAACGAAGATGCTCTTGATCCATCAACTAAAGATGAGCCAATTGAAGATCACCAAGTATTTAACGAAGATGCGCTTCGTTCCATTGCTCGTGATCGTGCAAGAGCATCTGAGCGATATATTATACAAGCAGCTAAACTCATTTCACCCAGTATCGATACAACATTTACGCTTGGTTACAACTGGGTGATTGACGCTTTAAAAACTTCAGCTTCGAATTTTGATATGGCATCCGAACTAGAAATTTCAAAATCAATTCATTACCTCAAAAACAAAGATTTTACTCAAGCTATAGAGACTTTAAAAACTTTTGAAAAAAAAGATCCAAAACTGGTAGGTACTGCTGCAACAAATCTTTCATTCCTGTACTTTTTAGAAGGAGATTATAAACAGAGTGAAAGATACGCCGACACAGCCATTGAGCATGATCGATACAATGCCAAGGCGCAAACCAATCGAGGCAATTGTGATTTTGTCAAGGGAAAGTATGATCAAGCTAGAGATCGGTATCACGAGGCTATTAATGTAGATGCTATCTGCACTGAAGCCATGTACAATCTTGGTTTGGTGTACAAACGAATGAATAATTACAACGAGGCGCTGCAGTGGTTTGAAAAGCTACATTCGATTCTACGAAGCAGTCCCGAAGTCATTTATCAAATAGCTGATATTTACAACCAACAAGGAAGCACGCAACAGGCCATGGAATGGTTCAATATATTGATATCAGTGGTGCCAACAGACCCATCAGTACTTGAAAAACTTGGAAGTATGTTTGAACGCGACGGGGATAAATCACAAGCCTTTCAGTACTATTCTGAAAGCTATCGATACTATCCATGCAATATGGATGTTATTTCGTGGTTAGGTGCATACTATGTAGACTGCGAGGTGTACGAACAAGCCATTCAATTTTTTGAGCGTGCTATATTGATTCAGCCAAATCAGGTCCGATGGCCACTTATGATTGCTAGCTGCTATCGAAGAAGTGGAAACTATCAACAAGCCTTTGATACATATAAGCGAATTCACGAAAAGTTTCCCGACAATATTGAATGTAAGTTGAATTAACTTTCAGATTTTTCAGGTTCTAAACTATTTTTACAAAGCCTTGACTGACATATTGCCATGTTTAACGCGAATACAGGCTTACGGTTTTTGGTTCGTATATGCACCGATCTGGGGATGAAGGAGGCTACAGAATACGCATCAAAACTTAGTCGAGCAGAAAAAACAATGGGATCGAATAGCTCACCACCGAGCGAAGGTGTATTGAGCAATAAACCAGTTGGTAATCGTGCTACAAATTTGGCTACAACACCCATGACTGATAGTAGACAGTCGTCGGCAGGGATAGCCAGCAAATATAATGTTGATCAAGAACCACCTGCAAAATATGGCTACGAATCGGCCAGCAAAGTACATGGAGGTAACGATACATTGATTCGAAAGCTTAGCGGAAACGTAGCAGTAAGTTGAATGGATACGATTGATAATAGTTGAAGTAGATTTGAACTAGAGATTTTTGTTGTTGATAAAAATGGTTGTATAAATGCATTATATTAACTCTTGTCAACTTTTAGAAAAAATCAACACAAGATGATGTTAGTTTTCAAGATGATGTTTCTGGATTATTGCCGGATTAATGACGTTAACACTACACAACCAAATCACACAGTGAATGGATTGCACTGATCAATCTCTTGGAAATTAGTCAGTTTAAATCCATCACTTGTTTAAAAACGTTTGGTATGAATAAAGAAATTCAATTCATTCGACTTGCATGAGAATCTGAGAATAATGCGAGCTGGAATGTTGATTGACATTCACGAATAATTTATTTTTTATTCTTTAAATTGTACACCTCGATAGCAGCCTCAACAATATGATTGACATTAACCTGCTGAGAGCTGACAAGGGCGGAAACCCAGAACTGATTCGAGAGTCTCAAAGAAAGCGAGGCGGCGATGCAGCAGCTCTTCTTGTTGACCAAGTGCTTACTCTGGATGATGAATGGAAGAAAGGTACGACCATGAATCTTGGTTGCTGTTGATTTGTCATGTTTACACAGGAAACAACAGTGACATGCATTCTACACTGCATTAGAACCATATGATTTACTACTACAAACTACCCATTTTGTTTGGTATTGGTTATATTCTGGCTCTTTAATTTCAATGTTCGATTTTAACCATTTTGAATCCAAGATGGTTGCATGGGGTTGGATATCAACCATCATTCCATGTTCACCATGACAATCCAAAATTAACATTTGGGTTGAATTTATATCGAATCATTAGCCCGGTTTCAAGCTGATGAACTCAACAAGAAAATCAACCAAATCGGCAAGGACATTGCTCCACTTGCCAAGGCAAAAAAACTGGACTCTCCTGAAGCATTGAAGCTTAAACAGGACAAGGAAGATCTATTGAAACTGAAACAGGATCTCACTGAACTTTCTGTTCAAAAAGAAAAACTACTGCAGTCTAAGCTGCGTTTGATTGGTAACACTGTTCATGAAAGTGTCATTGTATCCAATGACGAAAAGGACAATTTGGTTATTGAAAAGTGGTGGCCAAAGGATCGTACTGAGGCAGCAGAAGTAGATCGTCGTGCCCAGTTGATTAAAGATGGCAAAGGCGTTTCTGGACTATATAGCCATCATGAGGTTTTGGAAAAAATTGGTGGTTACGATCCCGTTCGAGGCAAGTAATGTACAGCAGATTTAAAGTGTATACACCAAGTCTAATCTTTTTTCATGCTATGCTGAAATACCAATTCATTCGACCTCTTAGGCACCAATGTTGCTGGCCATCGCGGATACTTTTTGACCGGACCTGGCGTTGATCTCAACTTGGCATTGATGCACTATGGTCTTGATTTTCTTGAAAAACGTGGCTACACTAAACTATGGACTCCGTTTTTTATGAAGCGTGAGGTCATGGCCAAGACTGCCCAGCTGGAAGATTTTGATGAAGCTCTTTACAGTGTTGAAGGTGAAGCGGGAGACGCAAAATACATGATTGCTACCAGTGAGCAACCTATTAGTGCATTTCATTCTGGAGAGTGGTTTTCTGAAGCCGATGAGCTGCCTAAAAAGTAAGCTTTTGTATTGAGCCAATGTTTGCTGCACATGTCTAACAGGCTGTACCGTTTACCGTTGTGTATAATTTATTTCAATGTCAAACAGGTATGCTGGATCATCCACCTGCTTTAGAAAAGAGGCTGGCGCACACGGTCGTGATACCTGGGGCATTTTCCGTGTCCACCAATTTGAAAAAGTGGAGCAATTTGTACTCACTCATCCTGAAAAGTCTTGGGAAATGCACGAAGAAATGATAGAGGTTGCCAAGGAGTTTTACAAGAGTGTAAGTTGGGACTGATCGATTTAAGAAACTCGTGCGTCTGGACTGTGTAGACCCATTGATGTCTTGATCTAATGATGTATGGAATACCATGTGTAGCTTGGTTTGCCTTACCACGTCATCTCGATTGTTTCTGGTGCCTTGAATAACTCAGCAGCAAAAAAGTATGATCTTGAAGCCTGGTTTCCTTTCCAGGGCACTTATAAAGAGTTGGTATCGTGCTCCAACTGCACCGACTATCAATCCCGCGAACTTGAAATCCGATTTGGCACTAAAAAGGTAATAGGCTTTACATGCATCAGCCATTGTATTTTAAACTCACTCGATCCTCTATGGCTTTAGGCAAATGATGTGTCCAAAAAGTATGTCCATGCACTCAACTGTACATTGACTGCTACGGAACGTACCATCTGTTGTATTCTTGAAAACTTTCAAACTGAAACGGGTGTGGTGGTGCCTGAACCCCTTCGCAATTACATGGGTGGAAAAGACTTTTTGCCTTTTGTAACAGGCTCGTTCAAGGTAAGAATTTAAAGTGTTGTTGACATGTGAATCGAATGGATTTCGAGTATGTAGGCTCACAGCAAACTTTGACTATTTAGGTAGCTGCAGATGTTGCTTCTCTCAAGATCTAGGATGACAAATATTATGCTTGCATTCATCTTTCAATTACTCACATGATTTCAAGTAATAAACCCACAATATCTGCAATATCATATTTAGCTCATAATGTATACTTGAAGACACAGATTTACGAAAAGTTTATAAAACTGAAAAGTAAAAATAAGAAGATTGCTATTGAATTTGTCAATCAACCAAGCCACAGCAGTGTTTTAAAATGACTCGATGTTTTTGCTTTGCACAGTGAATGAAGGTGTAGGGAGGTGTTGGATCAGAGAGAAACTATAAGAGAAATAATAGGGAAACAAGATATCTAACCCCGGGCCTAGGCCGACTTTGTCTTTTTGGGAGCACGGTATTGTCCAATAACAATAGCGTGATCACGCTCATAGGGCTCAAGTGTGAGCTGCTCCTGTGGTTTCACCTTGTCTTCTTGAAGCTTCTTGACTTCTTTTGCAAATACTGTGGCAGCATCTACAGTAGAGTCAATACAGTTGGCCTTGATCGAAATGACAATGTGTCCTCCGTTCTTGAGGAACAGATGCGAGTTGAGTGTAATGATACGTGCTTGATCGGGTTGAGCAACATCTGCAAAAATAACATCTACCATTCCAACAAGCATGCGATACTTGTGAGGGTGACGAGCATCCTCAATAATAGGAATAACGTTGGTGCGTTTCTTGGCCATGTTGATCAGATCGCGTCCAGAACGATGTGAAAACTCGACAGCATAGACAAGACCAGTGGGGCCAACAACATCAGCAACATGTGAAACAGAGGTTCCACTTGCTGCACCAAGATAAAGAACTTTTTTGCCGGGAGCAATGTGAATGTTGTCAATACCACCCAAAATACCAGCAGCGATCTTTGATCGGAAAGGATTCCACACACGATATTCTGTCTTGGTTCCATCGGCGTTCTAATAGTTGAATAAGCAAATAAAATGTCAGGATAAATTAGTTTAGATCCAGCAAAAGTAGAAATGCCATGATATGGCCGATTCGATAAAAACTCACATCAACAGAGATTCGCTTTTCACCATAGACTGATTCTCCAGGAACAAGGTTCTTGGTACACAACATGTCTTCTTTACCGGAAGCGATAAACACACCTTCGTGACGATGGGGTTTAACAACAACCTTGGATCCACCTCTGGCACCACCACGGCCAGCTGGAGCACCTCGGCCACGACCACGGCCACCTGGAGCACCGCGACCACCACCACGGCCTCCACGATCACCACCTCCAAACTTGGACACTGCACCACCACGGCCACCGCCGAATCCACCACGACCACCACCGAATCCACCACGACTACCGCCACGGCCTCCGCGATCACCACCGCCGAATCCGCCACGACCACCGCCAAATCCTCCACGACCACCACCACGTCCTCTTGGTTCTAATATAAGCGATCAAAGTGATAGAAACAGCAAAGTGTTGAAATGTCCAGATTACAATAGATCCCACCCAAAACATCCAGTGCATAAACGGCAATAAGTGATGGTATGCATTGACAAGGACATCAACAGGAGATTTGAAACAGCGCAGAACCAGATTTCATCAAGTAATAAAAGGAAAAATTATCGTTAGTCACGCCATAAAAATATTTTACATTCAATCACTTGAACAAGTCTTGTCAAGACTGGATTCTACAGCCATAGCTTCACCATTACATTCCTGTAAATATACAGGAATGTAATAGTGTAATAACAAGGTCATACAAACACCATCAAAACAGTGGGTCAGCTAAACAAACGCACCAAATCCCATTGCTTGTGTAAAAAGTTTTTTCTTTTCTGTAGTGAAGAAAAAACGAGACTAAAAATTCCCAAAATTCATTTTGGCACTGAAATTTGCGTTTGCCCAAATTTCAATTCTCGATGCATATTCAGTTTTTCAACAGTATTATCGTATCACGCGATGGACTGTGATTGGTTGGTTTGTCGGAGAGTTTTCTCAAAAGAAGCTTTCAAACAGCTCGACTTTATGGATTGATCAAGTGAACAAACCATCCGATACATAGATTGTCGAATCACAAAAACATAGGATTAAATCAACCGAATTGATGGTTTATTCCCATACCTGTAGAACACGATTAGGCTTGAATGAGTTTGTCAAGGAGTTTAAACCCAACATTGACCAGTAAATTTGATAATTGATACCCACCATTGTCATGAAACTGGTTATTTATTATATATTCTGGTACCTTGGCTTGGTTTCATTTTACGTGAATACGGCTGTAAAATATACATTAAATATACAAACTGGAATAAACATGAACTATGCAACGACGGCTTGATGGTAGCCCCAAGCAGCGTAAAACTCGGGTTAGAGAGTGTTTAGGAAATAACAAAAGGTATACTGGTCATGCGAATGGACTGAGTAGTGTGCAGTTTCAAAGCAGATAGGAGTGTAGGTTTTGATCGTTGCGGTCTTGGAGGGTTTAAACAAACAATCACTGCAGTATGGTCCGGATGTTGTGACGGAGGCATCGCTACTGCAGTCATGTTGGAGTATCTAGGTGGTTGCTCATAGGCTGGTAGTTGCTCACTAAATCTCATTGGTGTTTCTGTGGTTGTTTCTGTGGTTGTGGGTTGTGGTACTCTCCGGTTGAAATTTCTCCATAGTATGCCAAGGACACAGAGGACCACAAGGAACAGATTGACAGCAATGATGGTCCCAAAGATTGGAAATGTGCCTGCATACTGTTGTGATGGTGCAGACATGAAGGATTGAAAGGATAGCAAGAGTTGGGTTAAAGAGCAGGTGCTTAAATGTTGGGATGAAACTGATGAATACCCGGCTTCACTCCGACTGGCATGAGCAGCTATTGGAATATAGGATTGCTTGGGCTTGGCCGGGACTAAGCGGCTTTCATGTTAGAGTGGACAAGGATCAGCCATATCATGTGTTACGTTGGCGGCTATTTTATCTGCGCCATTGAGCAATATTCAGTACATGAATTATCATTCGTTTTACAATGGAAAAACAATTGCATTTTTCCATTGCAAGATATATACTTGATGGCATCGACCAATTTGTACATTACTATTCAGTGTATAGTCCACCTGTCAACGACACTCTTGTTTCAGATGGATACAAGCACATCATTTTAAATGTCCAAGATTCAAAATGGATGAATCGAGGTAAATACACCTTTATAATGATTAGCTGTGTATTGAGAATAAGCATTGATGATGGATGTCTTTTGCATGCTGTGAAATCCAACCTTGAATCAGGATAAACTCTTGCAAATTGGCTGGATGTTTGCTGTTCTTGAATCGTAGGAATGAGTGGATTAAAATAGAGAATTCTAAATCAACTTGAATGTGTCGTAGAATCTCCACCTCATTCAAAACCAAATTGTTTGCATATCTACATGTTCTGTAAACAAGTGCTTTAGACACTCCCGACTACCAATCCTTTAATGCTACATGTCATGATTGGGTAAAATGTTTGATATTCATAAGCATTGGCCCAGATGAGCGCGAGCAAGAGCGATCAAGACGCCAAAGTAGACAAAAGGCTAATGTCAATTCAGCCAAAACAGTCTTTACTAAACAAAAAAGGAAAGCGGTAGAAAAGATACTGTTTGTATTTGCAGTTAAGTAATGGAGATCACAGGTAGAAAGTCACATCAACAGACACTTTGTCTTTCTTGTTTTCTTTTTAGGCTTTTTATCCTGCAAATCCATCATAGACGCTCGTTTGTTTTCATCTCTAATCGACCGCACCAACAGATAATACGCTTCTTCGACATTGATTCGACTACGTGCGGAAGACTCTACAAACTTGCACCGCATTGTTCGAGCCAACTCTCGCCCATCGTTGGTAGAGACTGTCCGCTCTGCAACTAAATCGCATTTGTTTCCGACGAGTACCATGGGAATCCAGTCACGATCCTTGACACGTAGAATTTGTTGATAAAATGTCTGAACTTCTTCAAACGATGAGCGCGAGGTGATGGAGTATACAAGAAGAAACCCTTCTCCAGATCGCATGTATTGTTCACGCATAGCTGAATACTCTTCTTGTCCTGCTGTATCTAGAACGTCAAGAAGCGCTGTTTCTTGATCAATGACGCATTGCTTGCGATAAGAGTCTTCTATAGTTGGATCGTATTCGTCCACAAACTGTGATTGGATAAACTGAATTGTAAGAGCAGACTGTAGAATGACATTACACAAGGTTGTATTAGAAACAAGAATACTTGTTAGTCAATTTGCATTTCAATGGAATCCATCATTACACTAGTAAAAGAGTTGGAATAAACTATTGCAATTTTGGAATGCACACAGCATTGAAGAATTGGTTCAAGAAGGGTCAACAACATCAGAGTTGCAATGCCAGTCTTGATAAGTAGAATAACAATGAATTGGGATTGGTTGCCAATTAAGCATCCAGTAGAGAAGCCAACTGAATGCAGAGTGGCATTGAATCATGGCAACTTCAGCAAGCGAGAAGCATGATGTCAGTTGCATGAAGATTGAGTGTAGGTTAAGATGTTGCAGTTGATCATCAGACACTCAGTTGTCAGTAGCTGGGCCATTCCAATCTCTAGACAAAGCGGGCCTAAATGTAACAGCCTTTTAGTTAGCGGCATGCATGGAGAGTGGAGATGTACAACATGCTATTACATGCTATTACAGTCTGTTGCATGATATCAAATAGACGATAGAATCATTGACTGCATGGACAAGGACCAGCAGAATACACTCCACGCTCCCATTGACCAAAATATACTGCAAGAATGACAAGAGATGGAATGGCTCAGCTAACGAATTCAAAGAGTTGGAGTGATTGACAAGGTCATGATAGACAAAGCCGAAGCACCCCAGTCGTAGCAAGCAGACGGTCAGGTTCCAATTGCAGTCTAGCGATATTCTGTAAGTCCAATGAATAATAATGCTGAATCTATGCAGTAGCTAGAAGCATTCCAGACCAATGTTCGGCAAGATATCATACAAGAGTGATATAGAGAATGGTGCATCATATTGAATATGATTTTGATAAAGACCAAGAGCGGAAAGACCAGACAGCACTAGACAAGTCCTGTACAAACAAGGATACAAAAGGGCAATACCTTTCCGACACCCCCGCCTCCTACAACAACTATCTTGTATTCTCGCACAAAGCCAGACATGCTACTATAAAAGTTATCAGCGAGAATATCCTGCAATAAAATGAAGAATGCAATTGATTACTTTTGACAGAATAAAGCGCGTTGACTGTTGGATTCCACCTCGACTTGCATTTCAGTTGATTTAGTCTTGCAGCGTTCCACTCTTCAATTCAATAAAGACTTGATTTTAGTCAATACATTACTCGAGCATCTACTTGTGGATGGTCTGATCAACCAAAAAAAAACACTGCAAAAGACAGATGAAAAGGTTTGACCAGTGTGGCTCGTGGTTTGATCCGAGTCAATCCACCTGTTGGATCTACAGAATAAGAATACAAGCTAAACCTCGCGTTCTGACGAGTCTAAAAGGTATTCTGGTAAACGAGTTGTATTACCAGCAAGTCAATACACAAACTGGTATGTTCTTGTCATGGCTTACACTATGAGGGGTTGTCTTGCAATTCTCAATTTCAGATATCCACACAAAATCACACATCAACATCCAAATACACTGCCCAAGCCATACCATAATATCTGAAAATTAGATTAAAATAAAGCAACACACTCGATTTGAAAGATGAGCATTATGTCTGCTTGACTTTATTCATTCAAGTTTTTCAACCGTCTCTGATTCCGTAATGAGATGATTCTCAAAGTGTTGGCTTGTTCATGTGCAGACAACAGTGTCCAATTTGTAATACGACCCAAAGTTCCATCCTAGTATCAGACAGTATTAGCACAGTAATATAGTCTAGAATATGTCTACAAGATATCATACAGTATTCACAATCACAGGTCCTAGTCCATCCAAAGGCAGTTTGTGATTAATTGGTAGAATGGGAACAGCAACAGAGTGAGTATCTTGCTTGGATTGAGTGTATTCGATTGTCATTGGTTTTGCTGGTTCAGTTAGTTTGACCGATTCAGTTGTCTCAGCCAGTTTGACTGTCTCAACCAGTTTGACTGTCTCAACACGTTCATCAGCCATTCCAAACTCATTGAGCTGAAATCTTCAATTTTGTCGTTTTTTCCTGGGGATTCGCGTGGGTTTTAACGAAATATTTTTATTCTTTTATTCTACAAATCATTCCATAATGCCAGCTGTTCATCCAAAACAGAGTCTGGAAGAGACTGATGATTTCGATATCAACTCCATCGACTTTAGCGACTTGGAAGAAGAGTTTAAAGTTACTCCTAATTCTAGCTTTGAACAAATCATCATTCTTGATGGCTTGCCTGTCGTTGATGAAGCAAAGGCTGTCAAACTAACCAATGCCATTGGAAAGATCTTCAAGGAAATCAATGGTGGAATCATCACTGGTGGCATATCTATGCCCAAAGACAATAAGACCAATATGACTAAAGGGTGTGTTGAAGTCTGACTGGATCTGTTCTGTCTGTAATGCCTTGTTTCTAAATCTTGATCCCATTGCATCACTCTAATCTCTTGTTGACTTGCATCTCGTTGCCGTATTTCTAGATATGCGTTTATTGAATTCTCAACTGGTGCGGCTGCTGACATGGCCGTCATTCTTGGCAATGGCTTCAAGTTGGATAAAAATCACACTCTGTCTGCTATCAAGTTTGATGATGTAGAGATGTATGCCAATGTTCCAGACAAGTTTATACCTCCTCCAGAAAAAACATTTCAGCCCAAAGAACATTTAAAATCTTGGTTGGCTGATCCCAGATGTCGTGATCAGTGGGTCATGATCAAGGAAGATGAAGTCACTGTTTACTACAATAATAAGGCTGAAAAACCTGAAAAAGTCGAGAGTCGCATGGTAACCCATCTTTTCTATTTCAATTTTTATTGCTGACATATCTAACACTTTGTCTCCAATAGAAATGGACAGATTCCTACGTTGCGTGGTCTCCTCAAGGCATATACCTCGTCACCGTACACAAGCAAGGAATTGCTCTATGGGGAGGTCCTAGCTGGAATAAACTCTGTCGTTTTGAACATCCAAATGTCAAGATGCTTGAATTTAGTCCCAACGAAAAGTATGTTGTGACTTGGAGCCACGAGCCCTTTAAAACCCCAGAAAATGCTTTCCAGGTAATTCTCATTGGTTGTGATACTTGTTTTTTTCATTTGAAACGATCCATTTTGAGATGACAATACACATTTCTATTTGTCAATGCTTGAGATTTTAAAATCAAGATTGGCTATAGCTATATCCGAGTGTCTTGATCTCCATAATTATTTAATAGAAGAGGGATGATGATATTCATTGACTACGTTTTGAGGATAGTTGTGACTATTGATACCTGATCCCGCATTCTTGCGGTCGACTTGTGTTGTTTAGAATGATCCTAATAGTATACAGAACAGAGATCTGATCCTCTATATTCACTTGTTTGCTTGATCATCCACTTTGTGTGATGGCATGACTAACCCGTTTGATGATCCAATTGTAGCATTTTATTGTTTGGGATGTCAGCACTGGACGCCAGCTGCGTACTTTTGGTAATGAAGGCACCGGTATAAATCCCAACGAGCCTCGTTCAGGACCAGCTACCACCATCAAAATTGACTGGCCCGTGTTCAAATGGTCATTCGATAGTTCATATATTGCAAGAATGACTACAGGACCACAGGGCGGTATAAGCGTTTACGAACTTCCCGAAATGGGATTGCTGGACAAGAAGAGCATCAAAGTAGAAAACATCCAGTCATTTGATTGGTCTCCATCATCCAATCGCCTTGGATTCTGGACTCCTGAATCCGGCAACATCCCTGCGCGTGTGACTGTTATAGAAATGCCTTCCCGCAAGATCACTCGTACAAAAAATTTGTTTGGTGTCATTGATTGTAAACTCAGTTGGCAAAACGATGGTGCATATGTGCTGGTACAAATCACTCGCCAAAAAACCAAGAAGCAGACCGTGACTAGCTTTGAGATTTTCCGAATGAATGAAAAGGAGATTCCTGTGGATGTCGTCGAGCACAAGCAAACCGAAGATGTCATGTCTACTTTTTGGGAGCCTCATGGCAACCGCTTTGCCGTACTCTCCACCGAAGCCCAAAAAACATTTATCAATTTTTACGAAGTTGAACCTCATACAAGCACTTCGGCCAACATTGGCACCAAATTGCTCAAGTCTCAGGAAGTGAAGGGCATCAATCAAATCAGCTGGTCTCCCAAGGGTAGATTCTGTGTTTTGGCTGGCCTTCGTGGTATGCAGGGTGATCTTCAGTTTTGGGATGTAGATGATTTGACCATTCTCAACACGGGTGACCATTACATGTGCACTGATATTGAATGGGATCCCACTGGTCGCTACCTCGTAACATCCATTTCGGCATGGCGTGTTCAAAGCGACAACGGATTCATCATGTGGAATTTTGCTGGACAACAGATTACCAAACAAAGCGTAAACCAATTCAAGCAATTTGTCTGGCGTCCACGACCCAAGACACTGCTCAGTGCTACTCAACAAAAGACAATCAGCAAGAATCTCAAAGAGTACAGTGCTCGATTTGATCGTCAGGATGCTATGGAGACCAACAAGGTATCTCAAGAAGTTCAAGAAGAGCGTATTGCACTTTGGCGTGCGTGGATGGCATACAAGGCCAAATGTCAGGAAAAATACAACCAAGATCGTCCTACTCGTATTTCTCTGTATGGCGGTGTTGATCCTGATATCAATAGTCGCCAATCTGAAAATGTCGAAGAACTTGAAGAATGGATTGAGGAGATTATTGACGAGACTGAAGAAATTATTGATTAAATATGATCTATATGAATTATCTCTTCTTTTTTACTATAATGGTTTTGCAAATAGTATTTGAATCTAGACCATTGGTTTAGTCTAGATCTTCTGTAACGAATCATGCAATACCAACTTTTATTAAATACATTGAATCTATAAGTTGATCAGAGCTGATAGAAATGCTTTTTTGACTAAACCGATTCATCATCATCAGTCTTGTCTCGAGGTGATCCATTCAATCCACCATATTTTTTCTTTGATCGTTGTTTCTGTTTAGCAACTCGTCTATGATGTTTGTCAAGTTTAACTGCCAGTTTGGATACATCTCCATTAATCTGCTGATCCAGTTTCAGTAGCAAAAGCTTTCTTGCTTCTCTACGATTGGATGCAAGTTCTCTGAACCTTTGTGTCTATACATGATGGATCGTTGGCAAATTAGTTGTTGTCAAGGCAATGCATTATCAAACATGAATGTATAAACTGGATTGGATTGATATACAAATTACCTCGACAAATAATCCCGTTGGTGTATGCCATAACTGAACAGAATGTTTACACTTGTTAATCTTCTGACCGCCTGGACCAGATCCTTTAGTAAACTTTTCGACCAAATCAGTTTCAACAAGTTGTACTGGCAGTCGTTTTTTTACTTCTTTTGGTACTTGAGACTGAGTTGGTTGAATACTCAAAGTTGCTGCAGAGGTTTGTGGTGGAATAGAATGTTGATTCGATTCAGATACAAAACGAACAGTTGTGAGTTGTTGCCATTTACCAAGAATGGTTTTTGTCAATGTTGACTGCATCGTTTGTTTGATGAGCATGATGTCGAGTATTGAGTTAATCTTGACATTCTGTTCAAAATCGATAGAATTCAAATTTGAACCAGTTTCTCATTGCATCGCTTATTTCTATTTCGTCACTTTTATTCTTGCTGTCATGTCGAGCATTACATGATTTTCAACCAAATAATATCAAACTCATTGTTTTATCCAATACAAAAAGGCATTATAGTTTTTTATTCATCGTGTTGCAACTGTATGCATGTAAAGTGAAGTATTAGGAACTCGACGAATGTTCAATTTTTTTAAATATTGAATGACTGGCATCAAGACAATCGCTTCATTTGACATGCAATTGTATGTCAAAGTGGAACCAAGACAATCAACTCATTTTACACGAATGTGTTGAAAAATGATCCAATCAACTTCACCTAAACTTTAAACATTATTTGAGGCGTCTTGGACTCTCATGAGTTTTGTACGAGTGCCTGCACCAGTGCAGATTCAAATCGCACCAAATACAAGCACAAGTTATACCGATCAAGCTGAAGGTCAACTTTGGGATTTACACAATAGACAACCTACCATCATAGACCTATTTGGGTTGGGTCAAATCCAGTCATGTGTAGCCTTCAAAACATGTCTCATGGGAATACTCATGCTATGGACTGGCGCAGTCTTTTATGTGGTAATCTAAACATTATTATCTTGAAATGCAACACATTGACTCAAATCCCTAAACTTGTCTTGTTCTATCCAAGTCAAACTCAAGTCTGAATCTATCATATTACTGTTTATATTTAACAGCTTTGGTTACTACAGTTTGAAGAAGCTACTATGGTGAATGATACGCTTTCCATTCCAGTTTTAAACAACACTTATCTCGTAACAAATAGCAGCCATGATGCTTCACATTTACCTTATTCATGATATACTACACGGTTGATGGTGAGTTGGGTCTTGTATGAATCAGTCATACTATATTGATCTTCTAACATCAGATTTACAATAGCTAGTAATGGATGGCTACATCCTCACTGTTTTGGTGATCATTACATAACAAAGCAGAATGATTTTAAATACCATCAATATACAATTTTATCATGGCTGAAAATACTGTAATCTCGAGTTTATTTCTAACCAACTGTATGTGACACAAACCAGCTTGGGGTATAATTGAATATAACTACTATTAAAAAGTAAAACGTGTACATGGCGTTGACCAAATAGTCTTGCTCCTACAAGTCTCAGTCACGACCGTATCCATGTGAAATGAAATACAAACACGAGAAAAGTATATAATAAACAGCCAATCCCATGAAATCCTTGATTTATCAATCTCCAATTCTCCTTTGACTCGAATATTGGATGACTGCATGAAAACAACAGTTGCATTCCTGAAACGTGCAATCATTGTTTTTCTGAATTACGATACAAACGTACGAGTTTTCAAGGTACAATAGAGACGAATTGGATTAAAAACATCAAAATTCATCATCTGGATTACCATACATGGATCTGGTGATTGTAAAATGCACGGTATACCAAAAAAAACTCCAGTTCAAAATGATGGTTCGATTTTGTATGATGGAAAATGCTTTGAAGAATTGAGAATGCTCAAGTCAATGTGTAGTAAAAGAATGCAACGGATATTCAACCATATCCATTCCAAAATAGTCAATGCAGAATAAATACAAGACTGCAGCATTCGTGACTCATTACATGCTGCCATCCTGTTTGTGATTGAAACTATGAGTGAATAATGTACCTATAAAAAACTTCCAGAAATTGCGTATGCTAGCAGATTGGTTCTCTACTAGATCGTCTGTGAATGATTGGATATGCTGGGCAAGATACTGCCGACAAGGATCAGATACAAGTTTCGATAAAAGAAGCAATTTTGTACGAATGTCAACAGCCTCGCTAGCCCAGTCCGCATTTTGGTTGGAAGCAATAAACGAATCGGATATGAATCGTTGAATGTTCGCCAGCAATTTAATCAGATGCTTGACATATGCTTCAAATATAATGGAGTGGGTTGAACTCAATGATGCTAGTAGCCACGGATGAAGACTCCAAAGACATACTTGTCCACTTTGTAGATGTTGTGAAAGAATCCATTCTTGAAGAATCTCGACTATTTGGGCTACTATTGAAGGTTGAGCATAATGATACGTCTTTGATTGCGAAATTGGGTGCGATATAAAGCGTCCTAATTTTAATGATTCTGGCGGAAAGAGCATCATGACTGCAATAATTTCCTGTAGTTATTGGTCAATAGAGCCAATTTTCCATTAACACGAATGAACTCGAATCAAATAGCACTTTTACAAAAACCTTGAGCATAATCTTACCACTAGTTCGGAAGTTGTAGCATGTGGCATGAATTTATCAAAAAAGCTGTATATGGTTTGCTTCAGCTGAAGCTGGTCTGCAGATTCAATCCAATTGCATTGGGAAATACAAGTGGAAAATTCAGTCAATAGATGACGGGCAGCTACACGACTGAGTATTGTATTTGGATGAAATCGATACATAAACTCGACCACAATCAAGTCTGCATGGCTGATGGACAAAAAACTCTCGTCCAGCAGCGCATTTCTGTAGCTTTTGTCAGATAATACACCCATTGGACCAGAAAATACTTGATATCGATCTAAATGGAGTTTCACCAAAGATTTTTCCAAATCAGAAGAATGGTTTGAAACACACTGATATTTTGTTCCAGAAATCAATCGATCCTATTTAAAGATGTGTCAACATTTTGTTTAAATTGATTCAAAATTAACTGTATGCTTTACATCACACATCTCGAAACAGTATTTCCAAAGCAATAGCTCACCTGCAACAAAGATTTGAACAGGATTTTAAAAGTGGGCAGTAATGGCTGTGTTTGTGCCATGTAGAGTTTCAAGGCCATCGACCAGGTTTCTTGCAAGATATGGGCAGGCGTCCATGGATTTAAAATAATTTCTACCATAATAAGAGGTTTTAAATACAAATTGGATTGATTCGACGAGATGAATGATTGATCTGAATCAGGCTGGCTGAGGATTAAATTACGGTTTCTAGATTTGTACTTTAGCTTGAGTGGTGCTCCAAGATGAACATCACCTGCTATTGACCACAGTTTGTCGTCGGATATTTGGCTAATAATTAATAAAATTACATTTAATACACAGTACTAGATAGATATATGATTATACAGATTGAGGTGCATGTCCAAAACTAAATGTTTTTATTAAAATGCAATTGTCTACTGACATTCTTTCAATACAAACTATCCATAGAATACACGATGAAATCTACTTACCAACCCGAAGCGGATTCTGCAAGCAAACAGATCTTGTGCAGAATGGAGACAGATAGTGTTCGAGCTTGGTCTGTGGAACATAAACGAAAACAGGACATGAACTGTTTAAGCAATTCATCACAATGTTCTGGTTGAAAGGCTTTATGAGCGCTGCTCATGAAATCCAACCGATTAGTTGATAATTTGTTTGGCCAAATGAAACTGAATTGATTTGGTCAAAGTATCGCATCACGTGATATTTTGAAAGTATTCGACCAGTTGTCCAACCTGATATTTCAAGAGCATCTGAACAGCATTCAGTACTTTTATTGGTGTTAGTAAAATGACAGACTATGACACCGCGCAAAGAGATGAGAGTGAATATGACACAAAAGAGTCGGACGTCTTTTCTAGCAATGCACAGACTCTAGGCAATACTCAAGGTCGAGCGAGTGTTGGATTCAAAGACCAAGTTGATGGTACCAGAACCAGCGCTACAGCATGGTCACAAAGTCAGTCCAAGTTTAAAAAAGATGCTGGGTCATTTGTTTCAGAAGACACAGATTTTCTTTTGGCCAAGTCGTTTATGAACACCGTGCCAAATGGCAAGACATTTAGTCTTTACGACCATCTTGCAACTATTGTCAATCATGTCCTCCAAACGCGCTCTCCAGTCGCGTTAGGTAAGCATACGAGTCTGGCACTTGAAACAGGACCACCCATTTTGTAATGTGTTGCAACTACTCTTTGTAATGCTGCGTTGGTTTGAACTTTGACGAGTCAACCCCAATTCCAACTACTTGTGTATTTATCCAACTAACTGAATCTAATACACTAGATAATTTTGAAACTTTGTCTGCCGACTTGAAGCGCAATCGGTTCCGTACTGAACTTCCAGGAGCACCAACTTCCCTGAGAGTAAGTCCAATTTGTAAACCTATCCTTGTTGTCATGTCAGCCAGTCTTTAACGTCGATATTGCCTTTGTAAACTAGGAAACTATTTTTCCTTCAGGCAAAACTGAACTTGCCAAAAAGCGTGCTGGGTTATTTTATGTAGGTTTTGTATTTAATTTCTAATCCCAACCACGTAGCACATGCCAATATAATGGATATGTTCTCTACAACAATGCATTCATCAAATTTAGAGACAAACTCCAGAAGAGGCAGCAGAAAAAGCCAGTACTGATGTTGGGGAGATTCCAGATATTATGGATCTTGCGAATCTTTGGGAATGGGCAGGAGTAAGTGATGTTCAATTTCCAAGCTGTACTATTTTCTTTGATGGTCGAGTTTGTATAATTGAAGGCTTGGTTGATGTTGATGCATGTTCAAATTCTTGTAGGTTTCGTTTGGAAAAGAAGAAACTTTTGTGCTATTTCTTTCCATCAAAAAACTTGTGGAAGAGAAACCTTTAAAATCGGTTCGACTTTGGGGCAAAGTATTTGGAACTCATGGAAACTATATTATTGTCGAGGCTGAGATCAAGGAAGGCTCGGCTGATGAAGACGACGCAATCGCCAATGCACCCCCAATCTCTAATGCTGAGATGACAGAACCCATTTCCGCCAAAGATAGCGATGGTCAAGAAAAGCCAGATACAAAAAATAAACTTGCAGAAGAAGCCGAAATTGGACTGCCCAAACCCAAAACCAAGCCAGTGAAACCACTTACCAAGGAAGTTCGGGTTGGCGTCAACAAATATGTGTATTATACCACACCATTTGGTAAAGTTTTTATCACCCACTTCATATAAACCACTGTGTTGTATTAGCGATTCTAACATGTGGCCAACTTTCTAGCTGGTGGCCCATGGACTCGTCTTCCAGATGTGATTCCTGAACTTCTCCAGGCTTCTCGTAAGATTCACAAATATTTCACTGGAAATCTGTCTGCCCATGTAAGTCTTTGCACAATTATTCTATTCGACTCGTACAAAAACCAACGCATCATATAATTTTAAATAACTGGACCTTTAGATTTCAAGTTATCCTGCATTTCCCGGTACAGAATCACATTACCTCCGGGCCCAAATTGCCAGAATTTCATCTGCCACAGTACTAAGTCCCAATGGATACTATATGGTTGACGCCGAAGAGGCAGAAGGAGAAGAAAGTCAAAGTATGTATTTCAGCTATTCAACATGTATATTATTTATAATTAAAAAGTCAAATTCAGTAAGCTTCTATAAGCATATAACGCATCGAGTTGTAAACTAATTCAATATATGCATGGCTGGCTGTGCTTGTTATTTCATGTAGACGGTGCTTCTATTATCATCAATCCTGAATTTGAAGGATTTCCTAATGACCAACTTATGAATCTTACTAATTGGGTTCACCATGTACCTTACATTCTTCCCCAGGGTAAGGTAGGTTGGGAAAACCCAACTGCTCGTGTAGAGAGTGCAGAGGGTGACGATGAACAACGCGATGACGAGGATGCTGGAGATGAAGGTGGCGATGAAACTGTTGAGCCAGAGACAGGTCCAGCACTGCTTACTGCTATCTCTGGTGACGAAGGTACATGAATCATTTAAACTATACCATTTTAGGTCTACTAGATTTGATTATTTTTCATGTTATGCAGTGATATTAAGCTAATCATGATCTGTGAGATATTAGATCATGGAGAAATTCCATCCTGGTCTTCAAGAGTATGCTCCAATTTATCGCCGAGTAAATTCTCACCCGTAATGCTTCGTAGTAATCGATGGCCAGGAGCAGTTGTTGTTGCATACAATGACAAATTTGCAAATATTTATATTGGTGATGGTATCAAGGATCTTGGTCATACCTCACATAGATTTGTTCCGCCTCGCCTTGGAGACATTCAAAGGGAATATTCAGCAGGAGAAAATACCGAAGAAAACACCGATCCACTTAATGAGCAACTTGATCCTACTGTAGAGCAAGAAAAGGAATTTGATGACGAGAAAAAGTCAAAGGACTTGGTGGGGAAAAAGGATGGAAGCGATAACGAAGATAATGCCGACGAGGAAGCAGAAGAAGATTAAGTAGTATGTTTTAAGCTCAGATTGGATGAGTAATAATAAATCAAGGATTTAGTTGAGTCAGAAAAGTAATTGGTAGTTTCAGGTATGTTGGCGGACTGTCAAACGGACTGAAACTTGACAAATGAAACAAATTGATTCAGAGTATTACGTGTTTCAATGAATTTGAAGCAGAGCTTGGCATCGGAATTCACACGAGAATCTTATGGATGCCAACTGAAGATGCTTGAGAAGGATTCAATGAATTGATGAGTCGAAACTTTTACTAGTGTCGAGTCTTGAATGAATTCAATAGTAAAACTCTACGATAATCACAATACAGTTTTAATTCATTAGTAATAAATAAGCTTATTTCCAACATTTCAATAGAGTTTTACAAGTAATTAAAATACATGAATTAACACTATACAGATTTAAATGCAGTTGAATGATGAAACCTGATCGTGGCGTAGAGATTTGAATGCAAGTCAAACCTTGACATTCAAAGTAAAGTTGATTTGCTTAGGTTGACTGATAACAGAGTTACCAACGCAGCAAGTCCATTCAACACTCCCAATGACAAGCTTAAATACTGTTGCTCATATTGAACAGCAACTGCTATCACTGACTTCCACTCACAATGGATTGAATGCTTCGCATTTATCTGACGACCCGATGTTTTCCAATAGTCATGATGGGGTTTATAATTATTTGAATACAACTGTCAACGATAGTGATGACGATGAAGAGGATATTCCCATTGGAGTTGCTTTACTTCGTTTGTCTTGCGAGTCGCAGCCAGCACAACCATCTTTTGAATCATCCATCGCACATGTCCATCGCACTCCATATCCACTACAGACTTGCACATCCTTACTTTCAGTATCTTCCTCTACATGTACACCCACATCACACCCCTCTCCTACTTCCAAGTTGTCTCTATCTATTACTACCCCTGGCTCCGATCCTGTCATGTCTGCCAGCACTCTAGTCCCGCACTCTCCGCTTATGGCTCTGCTTGATGAAGAGCAAGTGTCGCTAGCGACATCAGTGCGTTTGCGTGAGGCTGCTGCCGAATTTGTTGGATTAGACGAACATATGTATTCATTGGCTCCGTCAGAGTTTAAGATCAGAGCCGTTACTCAAAAGGTAGAGCATTTGGCCGCAGAGATTCGAGGAACAGAAAATGAAGCGGCGTATCTACAGAACCAACTGTGAGTTATGCTAGATTTGCATTGTATATTTGGTAGTGATTAGAAATTTAAACTTTTGTTTATCGAATGACAGGGAACGAGAGCGTCTTAGTTTGAATAGTCCAGTAAGTATAGATTCTTGGTTTAAACCATGCATAGCTTGTTTTACTGCCACATTCATGGAACACTTGTATCTTGCTGTGTTGCCTCGTCTGTTTTGGAATAGACAATAGTTGAATATTCGTTGCACTCTACTACACATCGATCACACTGCTTGTTCAGCAGATACAACATCCATCTTATCTGATGTGAATTGGCACTCATCACTTTATGAGATGAACTGTTTATTATGTATTTTGTCTGGCATTCCATTCTGAGTGAATACAGCTGTAATATGCTTAATCAATTACTAAATATTGTATAGTTTGTAACTCGAGCAAAAAAGGCAGACGCCGCAGAGGAAATAGATCGTATTATTATCAAACAGGCTCATGTATCTGCTCATATGAACACTTTAAACTCACAATACCAAGAATGGTCTGCTACGGTATGCCAAGTGTTGATTTTTCATATGCATCTTTCAGTGTACTGCTTTCTTGCTATATTATATACATACTAAATGCGTTTGTGGATACTTTAGAAAACAATGGTCGAGCACAATATTTGTCGTCTCAAGCACGTTCGAGATAGAATGCAACTGCTTTTTGAGCGTGTTTTTAATGAAACTCGCAAAGATTTCCCAATAGAAGCGCATTTGGCAGATTTGGTACTCGAGTCTCAAGCCAAAGTTGCTGCACTATCAGAAGATGTGGGCTTATGGGATATTGTTCGATGTATACTTCAGCGTATGAATTCTGCACTAACAGAACGATGGACTAAATTAAAGCATTTGAATCCTGTTGAACCTATTTCTGATGAAACTCCATGCATATCTGGTATGATGCTGTTTCAGAGTGTTTATTGTAGTTTGATATATTACTGACAGTTGACATGGTTTGACTTTACAATAGAACTTCAGTCTACTTTGGATAATATTGAGCTTGACTACACACAAGCGAGAAAACTTCAGCCAAGTCTTCCACGGTTTCCTGCTACTTCTAAACGAAAAATGATTGGGTCAAATAGAACACTGGTTGGGAAAATTATGATTCAATGTTAGTATCAAACATTCGACTTTGGATTGGATATTTGCAATGATTTGCTGACTGTCTATTTGATGCAACCCAAATTATTAGCACGAACACGATCTGTGCAGGATATTGGACGACTCGTGTATGATATCCGCGCAATATATAGTCAGGTTTCATACACGATTCAAATGAGACAGATTCATTTACAGGACATGACACTCAAACTCAAGGCACATCAAGCGACTCTTACCCACGAGCGCACGAGAATTCTACAAACTGCAGTTTTGGCTCGTGATCGTGAGCGTGCACGCCGGACTGATGTTCACAGTGATGCCTCTACTGCTGCTGAACATGATGATGACTATCCTCCTCCCTATAGCCCGCCTGGATACAATTTTATCCAGTCTTCATCAATGGCGTACGGATCTGCTTCTTGTGACACTCTATCAAGGCATGCACATATTATACCAAATGTCCAACGAGATGAGACCCATGTCTCATCTCTAATAATTAATCCTGACAATGTACACCATGAAACTATTGCTACTGATGATGGTTTGTCAAGTAGTGAAGATACTGTAAATTTTTCGCTGGTACATGATACCGCGAGTGTAGAAACGGCCAATAATTCATTTCGCTTTGACACGGAGACTTCTGAACAGATTCAAATGATTGAAGACGATGATGATAATCCTATTGGACTTTTGCTTGGTATTGAATGCCAGCGTCAAGCCTCGCAGCAGTCATGCTCAGAACCCTTGGTCGTTTCACCAACCTCTGTAGTAAATTCATCCACATCTCTTACTCAACTGTCATGCAGAGCATCGAACCATCACTCTACTTTTGCACGCAATCTGATTTCTGATCCAACTACTAAGCCACTTTTATCTGAACCCACTTGCTTGCCAACATCCACACAAGAAGGATATGTTGCATCTTCGCAAGTTTGCTTATGCAATTATAGAGATAGCAGACGGTGTAGTTTACCGCTTTCATCTGACCATAGTGCGTCACTCTCTATGGCTTTGCAGGATTCATCATTGCAAGCAGACTCTGTTGTAGGTAGTAGTCTTGGTGATGATATACCATTGAGTCGATCATTTGAACCATCGAATTCAATGGGTGGCAACGGACTACGAGGTCGTATACACTGCCGATCATTTACTACGCCTGTGGGATTGATTTCTAACAATGGTAGAGGCGTGGATGTACATGAAAGTGATGTATCAAATATATAAAACAATTTGAAATGATTCAAAGCTTTTTAGACAAGTCATTGTAATACACTCGAGATTTCGGACTGGAATATTCCGCAAGAGGCTGAATAGAAAAAGGGGTTCAAAACAGATTGATTTTTGCCTTTTTGTTTTGTGGGCGTTTGAACAGTTGTCGCCTGACTATAATGGAAACACGGACGACTAGACCATCAGCAATCAGCAATACATTGAGTCAAGAGGACATACGATCAACCAAAGCAAGTCCTAGTACTGTTTATAAAGAATTGGTAGAGTCATCACACACACCACTAGCTGGAGCTACAATGCAAACAACAGAGCCAGCTAATGGCATTCCAGCCAAGGTATTCAGGACGACTCCTCCAACAGCAGCACTTCCACCAAGGCCTGTTCAACTAGAGTCTTTGTCTGAATCCAACACAGAGCATCCTGTACCAATACTCTCACAACAGCATAACATGGCTGGTTTGTCTGGAACTAGGCAGCAGAAAATACAAAATGATCGTCGTTTTGAAGCACATGAAAAGCTTCATAGCCAAGCATTGTCAACTCAAAACAAGTTGGATAGACAGCCCAACCCTACAAGCAAATCAGCAGTTGAATTGGCTTATCATCATGATGGACTTGCATCTTCTAAACATACGACTATGAACATGAGGGATGCATCGAGAGACTTTCATGGCTCTGACATGATGGCGCCCAATTCACCACTTTCCGGATTTCAATCCGAAAGACTCGCGCAGCCCCACCCATCTCAATCATCACTATCAGTGTCGGACCTTTCGACTCCGTATGAATCTCAACGACCTTGTATAGGTGTTTCTCGTCAGGGAGCATCTCATATTATGCCACCATTTTCATCTAATCAAAGACCTGTACCATCTTTTATGCTCAGTACCTATCATGACCATCCAAATCATTCTACACTGCATGCAACTGCCATGAATGATCCAAATCAGTATGGTGATGCTGGTTATCTTCAACGTTCAGCCATTCCAAACTCAATAAGAAGACCTTCTGTTGGATCGCATATGCAATCAGAATACTCGACAATGATGGTCAACAGACCTAGACACAATGCAAAGGCACCACTCAAAATTCTTTCAAATGACGATGACAACAATCCCAGTCACAAAACAGGAATTACTCATATGAACAGTGATGCTACATTAGCCTCTACTGCCTCACTCAGTAAGCATCCTATATACAGTGATGCTTTTATAAATGGTGGTTTGGATGGTATTTTATCTCAATCCAAACCACAAGCTCGAAGATATTGCTATGGAATGTGCAGTTGGATGGGATGTGTTGCTTCAATCATTGCTTTTTTCGTCTTGGTCATAGTCATTGGGGCACTTGCATTTGTATATACTCCTCGTCCATTGACCATCAAAGCAATTGGTGCATCTCAAAGCATTCCTGGCAGTGTAACTTATTTGAATCTCAACAACGACACAACTCCGGCAATGGCTATGAAGGCTGGAGACCTCAACTTTGTTACTAAACTAGGATTGGGATTAACTATCCAAGTGGAATCATCCAATATTTTCAATCTAGTCTTTGAATCAGTAGAGCTATCAGGCAGTCTGATATCTTTGGTGGATGGATCAACACTTCCCACAAGCTCGTTGTTTAATATGACTGGAAGTGTTGCTGGTGCATCGGTGCCCCAGGGTTCAAGCACATTCAATATGCCAATATTCTTTTATTGGTCCATCAATGCGCCATTGAACAGCAGCGAACCTTTCACTTCAGCCCTTGCCAAATATTGCAGTCTTCCGCCACCATCCTCCACATCCTCGCTTTTGTCCGGTGCAGATACCATAGATGGACCTCAAAACAGCGATTCTATTGTGGCGTCCAAATCCAACACCTTGCAAGTCAACTACACTCTTGTAATGCACAAGAAAATTCTCTTTTGGAATTATGCTCCAGGCATTTCATCTCAAATATTGCAGATTCCTTGTCCATCGCAGTTTGGTGACTTTTTGATGACAGTACAAAGTGTAACTAGCAGAAACAATTCAACCGCTACTAACCCACCTCGTACAACTTCAACCACTGTTAACCCACCTCCTGCAATGCCAACCACTGTCAATCTACCTCCTACAATCCCAATCATCGTTAATCCACCTCCTGCACCATCAACCACTGTCAATCTACCTCCTGTAATTGTTACATTTACTTCTCGTCCTACGTCTGTAGCCATGGTGACATCGCTGGCAACTATAATGGATTCTTGAATCGATCCGCAAAAGTGAATTTGTTCACTATTAAAATAGATGATCTCCAATAACTTATGTAGCTTTTTGCTTCAATAAATATAAATGTATTCTGATCAAAATATATGTAGATATAGTGTTGAATATATACGACTGGTTGAATAAATGCCAACACTGTCAAGATGAACAGTGTAGTTGATCAACTGGATAATCACCCGATTCATTCATTACAATCCAAACCTTGAGTTGGGTTGCTTTGATATTATCAAACCTCATTTTATTCCAACATTTTAAATACAGTTTAAAAGAACGATTGCACGTTTGAGGAATAATTGTTTTCATGACAATCAATTTAACAAGTTCAGTCGACACAATAATCGGTAATGTGATGAGAATTATTATTTTACACTTGTGAATCTGCGTGAATACGACAGTAAAAGCTCAAGTTTATCCCTTCAATCCATCCATCAATGTCGCACCCATTCAACAACCTGGTCGAGATCTTATCAGATTCATTCTCTCCTGCTGTGATTCTTACTGAGAATACTCAAGATTCTTCTACAAACAAGCCATCTTACTGCAAATTATACTATTCTCAGCTACGCACTCATATTCAGCATCTTCAACAGCAAGAGCCGTTTTCCCATCTTCAGCCTGGAACTGCAGTCACTTTCCTACTGTCCAACTCATACGAGTACATTACAGTCTTTTTTGCAATCCTTGCACAACGAGCAGTGGCTAATCCTCTCAATCCAAACTATACGGTGGATGAGATCTTGTTTTATTTGCAAGATGTTCAACCCAGCGTAGTGGTGGTTGCCAAAGATGCTGCCAATGTGGAAACTGTCAAACAAGCAGCTTCAAAAGCCAATATTCCTGTATATGAACTGAGTATGCAAGTGGTTGCTGTGCATTCCAAAGTGACCAGCACTAACTCTCGTTTCAAACATAAGCTACGCTCTCCTAACAACACTGCAGCGTCTATTCAACACGTTGATGTTGTGCTGGCAACACATAGATTGGGATCTACCATCGCATCATCAGAATCCCATAAATTAAAACTATCCAATCTGCGTCAAACATACTCTCTTGATGATGTGGCTCTCTTTCTTCATACAAGCGGTACAACTGGTAGACCGAAAGGTGTCCCTCTTACTCACAGAGGCATTCTTGCATCTATGCGTAATATTGTCGATGCCTACAAACTTCAACCCACCGATCTCTCTTACTTGGTCATGCCACTCTTTCATGTTCACGGTCTGATTGGTGTGACCTTGTCTACCATGCTGTCGGGTGGAACTGTAATAGTTCCACCTAAATTCTCTCCAAAACGATTTTGGGTAGATGTGGTGGGTTTAGGCGCTACATGGTACTCTGCTGTTCCTACAATCCATCAGATGCTATTGATCACAGCAAATGAAACCTATCTGGAACATAATGGCAAACTGCGTTTTATTCGTAGCTGCAGCTCAAGTCTGTAGGTTTTAATGTTTGGATCATCTAGGAAATTGGTGATTTGTAAATTAACTTTTGACTTGTTGTTGATACATGTAGTGCTCCTGCCACTATGCTCGAATTGGAGCAGCGGTTCCACGCTCCGGTTATCGAAGCGTATGCCATGACAGAAGCCTCGCATCAAATGACAGCTAATTTTCTTCCTCCTGGTATACGCAAACCTGGATCGGTTGGCAAAGGTCGTGGTGTCAATGTACGAATTCTTGATGACAATGGAAAAGAGTTGTCTGGAACTGCTGTTGGCGAAGTGTGTGTTTCCGGACCCAATTTGTTTACAGGTACAATCTCGCCAATTATTCAAAGTGGATCTTATACTTGAAATCATGCATTAACTAGTATGCTGTATTGTTTGATTGTATCAAATAGGATACCACAACAATCCCAAAGCAACTGCAGAATCTTTTCACATTGATTCCAAACACCAGCGATGGTTCCGCACAGGAGATCTAGGTCGCATGGATGAAAACCGGTTTGTGGTGCTTGTAGGTCGCATCAAAGAACAAATCAATCGTGGAGGAGAAAAAATATCCCCTGTTGAAATTGACCAGGTTTTACTGCAACATCCTGCTGTGGCCGAAGTGGTTACTTTTGGTTCTCCGAGCAAACTTTATGGACAGGAAATCGAAGCTGCAGTGGTTTTGAAAAAAACGGGCAATGAAAACAAGGTTACTACCGAAGAGGATTTAAAGGTATTTGCTAGAAAATCACTTGCGGCTTTCAAAGTTCCCTGTAAAATCCATATTGTCGATACCATTCCAAAAACTGCTACTGGAAAAGTTCAAAGAAGGGTTGTATCAGACCACTTTCAAAGTCTCGCGCTCCATGCTAAATTATAACCTTTTGTCAAGACCATCTATGCTATCGATTATGTAATGTTGCTTTACAGCTGTATTCACAAATGAAACACTAAATAAGCTAAAATACATAATAAACAGCCAGTTTCATGACATGATTGTTATCAATTACTGGACAGCATTGTATCATGAACTGTTTGACAATTGAGTGGTCTTTTTCATAGTGACTGACATGCAAACGACAGATATACTTGCAAACCATGTAATCATTGGTTTAAACTCGAGCGTGAATGTACAAGTTGTTAGCACACAACCAAAATGAGTTGAATTGACAAGTCTAACCTAATATCTGGATCTCAATAAATCTGGTAATTGAGCAAAATAAAATGAATAAATCTGATTTATTGTCAGCATTTTAATTCTACTCCAATTGTCATCTGACATACGAGTATTACCCGACTAAATATTCGTAGCCTCGCTGTATGGAATAAACTTGACCCATAGTTAAGATACATGTCTTTAATTTCTATTACTTTAGAATCCTTTATTCTGTTATCCAAAAACATTCAAAGCGAATACAATTCTTGCCCAATGTACTTTTCAGTGAACTGGGTTTAATTCATATATGATGCGGTTGAATGAACGTATTCATCGTTCATGTCTGTTTCATTCACATACGTATATATCTTGCATTCATCATTTTCGCTTTTGGAAGGGCTGTAGGTCGAGTGGTATATATCTTGTGACGGATTGTGTGATTCCCATAATCGAGAATGAGACCGAGATCGAGAATGGGATGTGATTGGGTCTGAATCGTTGAATATCGGCATTTGACGAGTATCGTACTCGGTATAACTCGGTTCAGGCTCGGGTTGATCTTGATACTGTTTTATACCCAACGCGCCATATATTCTTGAAAAGTTCAAACATTCCTCAAAAGAAGTTTTTAAAAACAAATCTAAATGGTGATCTACAATACCAAAGTATAATATCAATATCATGCTATAATGAATCAACTGTGATGTTGAGGGAGGGTGTCAACAGTATGTGTATGGACTCGAACAAGGTATTACCATATACGAATTGTTTTAATCGGAATGCGTAGGAAGTGGATTGATGCACATTGACGCCTAGGTGTGTAGCCAATAACCTCCAGTTGGGAACACCATCTGCACCTCCATGAAGAGTAATCAGATACAGCAACAACGTCATGGACACATTTTCACCCCGAAACCGTGGTGGGGCCGAAAATGCTGCAATATGCTTTCCACAGGGTATGTTACAGGTTGACGAGGTGGTTGTAGGGCAACTCGGATACGTTGTGTTATGAAGCCGATAGTGGTGCATGTGAAGAAACCATATGTATCTGCGACGAAGTGATACGTCTATTTCCGGATCCGGTATAAATTTAACTGCAAGGTTGGAGTAGTCTTGTGGAGTGGTATCAGGAGCCAATGTCGGATTGTTTGTTTTACACTGACCTGTGGTATCAGTCGCGTTAAATGGACCAGGACTAGGTTGGTGGGTGAATGAAGTACATGGAGTAGGTTTGGGGTATAAAGTGGCTTGGCTTGGTGTATCTTCAGTTTTGTTTTCAGTCCACAACAATGGGTTGGGATTATCAAGAGTATTGGTCGATAAGGTGGATGGACGCATATTTGGGTATTATAGACCAACAGGTTTATTTTTTCAATTCGCTAAGCAAGCAAAAGGCAGGATAAATAGTTTGACAGCTTGAAGAGTAGAAGCAGTAAAGGATAACAGTATATAAGACAGAGACTATAGTGGTGGAACGTCAACCACATTTATATTTCTTCACACGTCACATTGTATGTTTTATCACGACAACCTCAAGAATGATGGATCATATTGTTATAATATCATGGATAGACAAATGGGAATGACTGCTTCACATGATTCAAGACTACCTCATGTAATTAATCTAAAGGAAATATATCGCGATACGAAGTAGCGCTTTTCAGTTGAATTTGGCGGAGTTTCTGCTGGCTATCATGTTTATATATTTTAAAGATCCCTGAAACCCAACATGTCTTGTCTGATAAGCCAGTTTTAGCTACATATCCACACGCGAAAAAGTAAAATAGTAAAAGTTCATCCAAACATCAACAGTTTATTCAATAATATATTTTACAAGTGATATTTACTATTAAGCCAAAATAGTAACTGTAACCATACCTCGATAGCAACCATGATGTCTGGAAAACAAAGTAACTCGAAAAATATTTCTACAGTTGTAACGGTCTAATTTGTATCGATTTGCAGTGTATATACTGCATCTCAAATATTGGCGTTTCTATTGCTTTGAATAGTAATATGCAGCTGTACTAACAATGAATTGTATTGGACTCCATATATGTGAATGCATCATCTAGTTTATAGCGCTTTTGACGAGCAACGAATACAATTAAAAACACTAAAAAAACAGCTCAAGGCATGGGAGCATCAGTTTTTGAATGAAAATGGAAGAAAGCCGGATAAGCAAGATATTGCCGGATTTGAAGATATGGGTAAGATTGTCAATCACTATCTTTGGGATTCGTGCTGTATGTAATACTGTCTAGTAGTCCATCACGTTCAACCGTGTTGGTTGAATTATTAGTGGAGCAGCCACGATTGGTGTTCAATATGTAGTATTTGGTTCAAAACTTGAACGCGCAAATCATGTTTGGTTTCGTATCGTCTGTAGTCAGTTAGTACCTCGTACAGAATCGCTTGCCAGACCTATTCTAACTAAAACTATACAATACTTGCAACTGAATTAGCCAAAAAATACAAATACTATGCCAAACTCAAGGTGGCAATGGACAAAGTCGATGCACAGCGTATAGCAGAAGAAAATCAAATCACCAAAACTGTTTCGGCCGCAGATATGGTGCAGTTTGCTTCAAACGCATCTATACCAACCCTTGATCAAGCAGCACAAAATGTAAACGAGAAACCCCGATTGGATACGAGTCAGTATCACCGTGACTCTATCAGATCCGCAACATCAAATGCTTTTCAGGAACTATCCAGCAGCAGACAAACAATGGATCAATCTAATCCAGATATTGCTGCAAGATCGCCAGTCAAAGCATCTGTGCTGGACAAGTCATATTTAGTGTCCAAAACAATGTCAGGAGAGAATACAGAAACAAGCCAGTCTCAATCACCACTGTCTTCATTTGCAGCCCAAAGCCTATTTGATTCAAAACTATCATCGTATGCTGATTCAAATGTGCTATCTATGACCGCGGCTCCAACTCCCATCCCAATAACTAATAGACCAAAGACCAAAAAAACAGTCGCTGCTGGTGCAATGAAAACTGCTGATCTTGGACAAAATATCAACAAGTTTTCCAACTGGACTCAGCGACAGCAAGCTGTAGAACAACCATCCGTTGTGACGGATGTTCAAAACACAATGTCTTTTAAGCCCAAAGGTATCTAGTATTGAGGAATTCATTGTTGCTGATCAAGCTCGAAAAAGCATGGATATTGATGGCTAATTTTTAATGTAACGCCAGATGACATTTTAGACATGTTTTCCAAGGATCCAGGGCATGCGATTTTAGGAACTCGTATTGATGATGATCCGCGACCCAAGCATGCGGATACAGCTGGTATGACGGATCTACAGGTGCAGGATTTCATTAGTCGGCGTTGTCAAATTATTGCCAATAAAGAGCTACCTGCAGCATCTACTTTACCAAGAGGACGTGCTGTTGCGTTACCACAACTGCCACAAGAATCAATCTCTACTGAATCCTCAGTGCAGCTAAAATCCGAGTTACAATCGCCCAAGATTTTACTTCAGACTCAAACAGCCAAAGTGATTTGTGTTGAATCGACAGCATTTGCTGATCCAAAGCTTTTAGAGTCGCCTGCAGTAACACCTTTGACGCCTCGAGCCGCGTTTTCTGCAATATCCGATCCATCCAAACCGCCTTTACAACCTTTTTCAAAATCAGATATACCATCACCTGATGATTCCAAGTATCCATTAGACTCTTCGGCTTCTCAAGTAGTAAATCTTCAGCTGCTTCCACCAACCAGACCAGGATGGTCCGAAATAGAACGCCCTATAGAAACCTCGCCTTTGTCAATTTTTAATTCAAAATCCGACCAAATAGAATCCCCACTGCAAAACTCTTCAAATACTACATCGTCTGCTTGTGTAGACAGTTTGAAAGATCTTTCTGCTGAGAGTGACGATAAACTCCATGCGATTCAGCCTATTAGTCCAACCCTCATAAACGGATCTTCAAATTCCATGAATGCTCAATCTTTATCACCCATATCACCTGTAGTGAATATGCAAAAAATGCCATCTTTAACGGTCGAAAACTATTTTCTGTGAGTTGACTGTTTCTGTGATTTGCATCCTTTTGTATACGTTCAACTTTGGTCTGCTATTTGTACTTTTTTTAAAAAAACATGTTGGATCACTTTTAATACAGCTTAATTTTATACTAACCTGATGCCTTTGATGAATTGAACCGATTTAGACGACTGCCAAAAGAAGGCGTTCTTCGATGTCGACTGACACGTAAAAAGAATCTACTAGACAAAGCCAACCCAACTTACTTGTTATACAACGAACTAGAAGACAAGTTTATGCTTAGTGGGAAAAAAAAGTTGATATCCAAATCTGTGCATTATATTATTTCTGATAGCTCAGAAGACATTAGTAAAGACTCGCCACACTATCTCGCTAAACTCAAGTACGTGATTCAAGGCTGAAAGCAAAAACAGCATATTGCAACAGATTTTTTGCTAATTGATTTGATGCTTGAATATTGAAACTAACAATGTAAATAACACCAGGGGAAATTTTAAAAGAAATAGTTTTATTATGACAGACACACGCAGTGCCATCAAACAGCGTGAACTGACTTGTGTCAACTATGTAGGCTGCAGTATGGCTAGATTTAAACTGAAATACACATCAAGCATTGAGCAGAGTGGAATAAGCTAGCTAACCCTATTTTTAATTGACAGAGTAAAAATGTGCTTCCTCGCGAGCTTCAAGTAGTTATCCCTGCACCTATCATTGATGAAAGTGCAGTACGTTGTATGCTTGATCTTTGATTTTCAGCATCTTTATTTAAAATTCCCATTGCACGTTTTCTCGTGTAACTGAATATTTTATGTTGGTATATAGGAGTCTGGATTTTCAACAGATATTATGGTGGATGTTAAATCCAAAAACACCAACAAACTCTTGTTTCTTAAAAACAAACCTCCAAGATGGAACGAGCAAACTCAATCCCACTGCCTTAATTTTGGTGGTCGGGTAACTCAGCCGTCTATAAAGAATATGCAGCTTATTGCAGAAAATGATGGTAGGCGTATGTTTAAAATGCAAACACTTGTGACAGAATAGATAACTGTAATGTGTGATGGTTTCAAAATGTAGAAAATCATATCGTACTTCAGTTTGGTAGATGTGGACCCGATCTGTTTACTCTGGATGTTCGATGGCCAATGACACCCATTGAAGCATTTTCTATTGCTCTCACGACTTTTGAGGCTTATGATAGCACTTGATTCTTGATATCGGCTTATTTGTAAGACGCGAGAACTTGGATTTACAGTCGTATTCACGTAAAAGGAACACTATCTTGTAGTCACTGCCTCTATTTTGGTTTAGAATAAACAATGGTTAAATATATATTGCGTTTTCCTATTAGGTAGTCTCGATTCTTCAACAGTCATTGCACGATATAATTAAATCATTTTTTCTTTTGGTGTAACCATATATTGTACGATTTCCAGATTGGTCCGTCACAATCCAAATATTGGGTTTGACTATTTTGATGTTTTCAACCAAACTCTTTTTTGTTGTATCCTAGCATATCTTATGTTTTCAATCCAGTTCAAAAAGACAAGATTGTAGAAATGCAAGTTGTTTCCATACCAATCACATGGTTACTTGCAATGTTTGATTTGTAGGAAAGAAGAGTTGAGGATTGAACAAATGAAGAGTGCACTTGAACTGTGATGTGATTGAACATTCGTTAAATTGTTTATACAAAATATACACGAGAGAAAGACCAATGAACTTTGAAGAGCACTGTTTAGCGATGACATCTTTTGTGGTGCTATATTTTACGTGCCTCTTTGCTGTGGGTATATCAGCTTCGTCGGTTGATTACGGCCGTGATAAAAGGGACGAAAATGCAAAAAACAGCATTTATTTCAGTAACCCAACTTTGTCATATTTGAAGCCATTTTGATAGCATCAAGCAGATTGCTGTTGCAGCATTCCGGATGCGAACGCTTTTGGTTCATAAAATTGCAGTTGTTTCAGACTAGCGTACGATTAGACGAAACACCAAAGCCCGCGTTGGAGCAAACCAACACCAAGCTCAGCAAGCTCAGCAAGCAGTCGCCGCTGGACCAAATGAGACACTGTATGAATCGAGATAAGCAGCGGATATTTCATCAAACTAGTCGTGTCAACAAACCAGACTGTCACCATGGTACAGGAAATACGATCGATGGATGATCATGCCATTCAAGTCAACAGATAAATCATCTACCAATATTTGCAGCATCACCAAAAAAGCACACCTTCGGACCAAATAAACCGATTCTAGCAAGTGTCGAGGCAGTATCCATATCTCAGTTTCAGTGGATCCCGTATCCTTGGCACTTGCTCAAACCCCGACTCTACAAACCGAGTATTATGACACTATGTGATTGGTATGAAGACAACAGTTGTATTCCTGAAATGGTTTTTTGAACTAGAAGCGCGAACGTAAAAGTTTAAAATATATAGCAAATGAGTGTGTTGACAATATTGAAAGTAAAAACAATATATGGATTACAGCGAATAAATATGGGTTTAAACTTGGTGATCATACAATATATGGCTATGCCAAAAAAAGAGCAATCCCAGCTCAAAACCATAGTTTGGGCACTATATGATGGGCGTCATGTTTATTGGAGGATTGAGAATGCTTATTGAAGAGATGGCCAATATCTAGTAGAAAAGCGGAAGTAATATTTAGCCATTTTTATTCCAAAACAAACAAGAGGCTCTGGCCGCGGGACAAATACAATGCTTCGTTTTACGTGAATATGGCTGCAAACTCGCCATCCTTTTCCAAATGGCTTTTGCTTTACAATGCTACGCCTATCCCGATCGTTTATATTGCCCTAAAACCACTAGTAGCCTCTTTGCAATATCTTGTAAAAATATGAAACACTCACAAGATATGCAAACCGTAGCCGCTGAAGTTAAAGACAGCTGCTGATTGGTGATCATTGTATGTGGTACCGTTGTATTTCCTTATGAGATTACAAACAAGAAACTGGATAAGCTAGTTTTTTGAAAACCAATCCCGAGTACACACGGAGGAGCCGGACCCCTGTAAAGCTTGAGTTATTTTAATTTTACAATAGTTTTATTTTTATTTAAACCATCGTTTACAGCCCAACTGTATCGACCAATCTCATTGTATTTTCACTGGGAATCGTGTTTCAAAGCGGCTTAACGGCAAATCTGTCCAACCACATCTTTAGCAACTCTTCCCTCGAGCGGATACTTCCTTTTCAATCTCACTATTGCTATTGATTGAACATGGACTCCTTTGCTACACTTCCAACTTCACAAAAGCTTGAATTCGCTTCCTGCACCACAAGCCGTTCATTACCAACTGACACTACTCGCAGCTCTGTTCCTCTTTCTGACTGTAAAGCCCAGCGTAGGAAACGAAAATTAGATACGACTGAGTTCGACTTGAGGGAGATGATCGTGACTGATCCATTGACGATTTTTGCTAATATAGGTACAAACAAACTGCCAATATGCACACCCATGCCTTCTCCTACGATCGAGCGACCCAAATCTACACTGCTTCCAAACCTTTCCAACTAGAATTTAATGAAGCGACTATTTATAATGACGACTATAACCGACATGAATCTCCATTTACCAATTGCAAAATCTACCCGAGTAATAAGCTCCTATGCATGTATATTGTCCCCAAATTTTGGCGTGCAACTTATTCGCTGGTACAACTCCTAGCAAGTAGCCTTACCAGCTGGCAGCCATACATTTTTAGTCAACATTATGTATTTGATCTATACATTTGTTGGCCTCTGCCTCTACCGAGCGGCGCACTCAGCTGATATTAATTCAACGAATAACCCTTGTGGCCTTTTGCTGAGCGACTGTTTTGGGCTTCTTTCAACCAAGTGGTCAGCAGATTTGGCAGTTTAGGGCTGCTTTGCGATTGCAAAGCAGCAGCACAATGTATTGAAACCCGGAAGCTTATACCTGTATCTGGTAAAATGAAATGTGAATGGATTAGAAAGCACCAGTTTCATGGCGAGCGATAAAGGGATGAAACGGAGATAAAATGAAAAATTCTTAGCAGCCATCACCATGTCTTATTATATGCTTGGGATGGTACTTGCATAAAGCTCATTCAACTACTTTTATGTATGGCTGGATTTGCTTTTTTGTTTGATTGCTTTTTTGGTGATGCTGCAAATATTGGTAGATGATTTGTCTGTTGACTTGAATGGCATGATCATCCATCGATCGTATTTCCTGTACCATGGTGACAGTCTGGTTTGTTGACACGACTAGTTTGATGAAATATCCGCTGCTTATCTCGATTCATACAGTGTCTCATTTGGTCCAGCGGCGACTGCTTGCTGAGCTTGCTGAGCTTGGTGTTGGTTTGCTCCAACGCGGGCTTTGGCGTTTCGTATAATCGTACACTAGTCTGAAACAACTGCAATTTTACGAACCAAAAGCGTTCGCATCCGGAATGCTGCAACAGCAATCTGCTTGATGCTATCAAAATGGCTTCGAACATGACAAAGTTGGGTTACTGAAATAAATGCTGTTTTTTGCATTTTCGTCCCTTTCATCACGGCCGTAACCAACCGACGAAGCTGATATACCCACAGCAAAGAGGCACGTCCCCAGTAGATAACCAGCCATTAAAAGCTGCTTGAATCCGTTTGACAGCACATTCAAACCGATACATCCTTAAAAAACAATCTTGTTCACTTTGGATGTTTATTATACACTCTTATTCAATGGTCCATGCATGTGAATAGATTGGTCTTCAATTCCAGTCAACCCAGTATCACGTGATATTCCCACAACTGCTTGCACAGTCATGCGTGTACGCTTTATATATCAGAATTTTGCACAACCCATTTGAGGATTCTTCGGGACCTCATCAAAATAATTGGATACAAACAGAGAAGATTAGCATGGCTCCCTGTGCAAGGATGACACGCAAAACTTGAGTGGATTGCCCTTCTGGGCAAGTTTTTTTATTGGATGATTGAAACTTGATGGTAGGTCTATTGCTATGGTATATTTTAATAAAAATGCACTTGGAATGTGGCGGTGTTTTACCTTTAACCCATCAATATTGCTTCATATCCTACACTGAATCAATCAGTAAACCATTGATTTTGAATGGCACGGCTATTTAGTGTGTGTGTAGTATCCACTCTGCTTCATCAATCGGCAGTTGCACATGTAGAATCTCGTCAACAGCCACTCCAATTTAACCATGAGCACAATGCACAGACAGAGTTGCATCTTTCGGGAAGGTTTTTGCATCTGACTGATATCCACTTGGATGTGTAAGTTTGTGCAACTCATTGATATGGCATTTGTTGATTGATTTCCACATGCATTGCTCATGTAATTTCATATGTTGCAACTTTTACAAATCCATAACAGACACTATCAAGAAGGGTCATCCGTTTCTTCAGATTGTTACTCAAAAAAAAACCTCAAGAAATCCGACAAAGTAGCAGGATTTTATGGTGCTCCTGGGTCAAATTGCGACTCGCCTGTTGCTCTTGTTCAAGGCACCTTTCAGTTTGTAAAGCAAGTTTTGAAAAATCCAGACCATGGAATTGATTTTGTTGTATGGACTGGCGATAATTCTCGGTATGCCACATCCCTGATTGACACGCATGCCGTTGTAATCATGAATGCAATCCTATTCCAACTCATTGTTTTTGCACCATTTACTACTTTTCATTTAGCCATGACAAAAAGAATCTAAGAATTAAAGAGGCCGAAGTTGCCGAGGCAAATCGGATTGTTACATCGTATATTATCGATGCCTTTTCAGACCCAAAACGCCCAGGTCATGCTACAGTTCCTGTACTGGCATCTATTGGAAACAATGATATTTATCCACACAATCGACTTCGATACTCTCGAAAGGCAGATACTCCAGTTTTAAACTTTTTTGCAGATCTTTGGGCACCATTTATTCCAAAATCACAAGATGCCACGTTCAGACGAATCGGCTCATACATGGTAGAACTCACTCCAAACAAGTTGTGGGGTGTTTCTCTCAACACGTTGTATCTGGCCAGCTTCAATGGTGCTGTTCCTGACTGTCGTCGTCGCAAATGGCCGCTTGCTTTTTATCAAACAAACTCGGCAGATAAAGTTCAATTTGATAACGACGATATAGAAACAGAAGCATCACATAAATTGTCAGCTGGTGATGATGTATTAAACTGGCTTGAAGTGGACGTGCTTATTCCTGCAAGGAATCGAAACATTTCGGTTTATATCTCAGGTCATGTTCCACCTAATGTAGTTAATTACGGAACAGATTGCTACTCTGAATTTTCTCGATTGACATTCAAGTATCGAGACATTATCCGAGGTCAATTCTATGGTCATATGAATATAGGCAAGTAGTTGTTGAATATTTTGGTGCATGCTTTGTATTTATAAGCTTGTAGCTTAAAACTGATAGAAAGGTACTGCGTGTGGATTGATGCTGACAATCTTTATCTAGATCATTTCTTCTTCACCACTCCGGATCAAGTTTTGCGTCGATACAGTTCATCCACGAGTCTGCAATCGACAGACTTGACTCGTGTCAATACTAATACTGAACTGGTTCTGTTTTCTTCAAGCAAACAGAATGATGCTGATGAAAACCAAGTAAAAGGTGTCGTCACTATCATGTCACCATCCTGGGTGATGCTATACTTTGAGTATCTGATTCTGCATTACAAAGTTGTGCAAGAAAGCAAAATCATTCCACAGCCTATTTTTGTATCACCCTCGGTCGTTCCAGTCTTTAATCCGGGTATTCGAGTATACATCTATGACGTGGTTTCTGATGGTCTTGGTGATCCGAATCTCAAAAAACGCAAGAATATTCCAGCAACGCGATTTGGTACCTTGCTAGATTATGAGCAATACTATGCAGACTTGGAGTACTGGAATAGAGTGACTGATGTTGAGCGTGCAGCTAGTGTAGATGGTGTAATATCTACTGCTGAAACCCCACATGACAAGTCTTTCAAACACCAGACACCTCGATCTAAATACTTGTATGAGCTCGAATATAATAGCAAAAGCCTGTATGATTTATCTGGACATGGAATTGACACGAAAGGATGGCTTGATCTTGCCAAGCGTCTTGGTGGTAGCACAGTTAGTCAACCCAAGCGACGCAAGAAATCAAAAAAGAGCACCAAGAAGTCTACTGGAGATGATCAAGATGAAACTACAAAAGACAGATGGAATCAGCAGCAGAACAGCAAGCAAAAAGAAACTCGAAATTTGCGTCGACTGTTTTTTTCTAATATGATTGTTCATCTCAAAGGACTGATTTCACCTTTTGGATTATAAATAAACATTTTACGTTTTGATGATCAACAAAATTGATAAAACAAGATTGAAATCAACGAATTGAACATTTGTAAAACATTGAGATTTTGGTCTTGTCACAACTAAAACAAATTGAGAATCATTTCATGGCATCTGCAGATAACCATCAGCAGGCGTTGCTTCAGACATTGCTGACTGGATCTGTGCCAGAAAAAACAGATGCTCTCAAGGCATGTGTAGATTACATCAGCGACAATATTCACTTCTTTGCCATCAACTTTCTGCCTGTCATTCTACCTCTTGCTAGCCAAGAATCAGATGCCAATCTTCGAATTCAACTCTTGCAAGTCATTGAAAAAGTCTGCTCTGTCTTGTCTTCTGGCTCGCAGGAAGTCAGATATCCAGGCATGCATCATCATTGAATTCTTTTGAATTTGAATGAGTCTGAATGGTCCAACTCATTGCCAATTCTTGAATTGTTTAGTTATTGCTGGATGTATCGAGGCAGTGGCCGTCATGTTTGCAGATGAAACCATCAGTGTACGCAAGAGACTCATATTGACACTGACAAATATGTATCCAGAAGCATTTCGGATTCTGTAAGCTATATTCTCCCATATAAACAACCGATCTGGTCGCTTGTGTTTAGTATCAATTCAACTGATTTAATTTGTTATGCAGTTGTGTAACACCTGGCGATTCAAAATACTGGCAGATCTTGTCTATCCTTAAAACCCAAATCGATGGCTTTTTTGTTCATGAGAATGAAGGAATCCGGATTAATGCCGCTAGATATTTGTCCAAAGTAGCCATTATGCAAGCACCACCCGATGTAACAGATGTAAGTCCATTCGAGTTTTTGCTGTCTTGATTTTATTTTTTAAAATTCAGATCTGATATGCAGCTGCTAAACCCATTGTTTGCTGTTTTAGAACGACACCATCGCATCTCTTAGTCTAATACCAGCAGATCACCCATACATGAATAATCAACAACTTGTTGCTGAATCGGTTACGCTACTTGATAAATTCCTAACATTGCTTCGTGCACATGCTCAGTAAGTTTATACCTGGTTTGTTTTAATGTAATACCAATAGCCCGATTTTAACTCGGTTGATTCAATAAGAATTCAGGCCACTGGGCTCTTTACTTCTGCTATCATCAATTGTCTACATGATATTATCATTTCTCGAAAACAATACGCACAGGCTGCTTTAAAAGTATTGCTAGAGTTTTTTAAGCAGCAACGTCCATCACATTTAACCTCATTCCAGTACAAGAGCGTTCGTCGCACACTAAAAGTCGTGTTTTTATCTGTTTTTACAATTGCTTCACTGGAACCCATACAACCAGAGATAATAGAGGCTTTAGAACAAATTGGTGCTAAACCATACGAAATACAAGGTCGATTGCGCCGTGCAATGAAACGAAGCATACCTGCTGATTTTGATGACGAGATTGAAGACTGGAAAAGAGCAAGATTTGCTGTAGGCGTATTTGTGTATTGCTTATGAAGTTGTCGTGGCACATGTCAATGTTTCATGCTTACAGTATATCAATTGGGTTTAGGTGCACGGAACTACAGAGCCTTCATACGAACAAAGAGCAGCATTTGCAGCAAATATCCTTTTGGTTGGAATTGAAAAGGTTCCACTAATGGATGTCATTGAAACCATTATTCAAGTTGTTGGCACTCGAACTACAGAACAGTTTGAACAGGATATCCAGGTGAGAGAATCAATTGCATTCAGATGCGTGATATGTGACTTTGTTGACTATATACTGCGGTATCTGTTTTCGGTTTTTATCTTTACTAACTAATGGTGTCGCAGATGCATTTGGAAAATGAAGCTATTAGAACTGAAAAAGAAAAGGCTGCTCAAACAGCTGTCGTTCAAGATCCTCGATTACGAGCTGCTGCAATGCAAGCTGCTACTCAGCCAGTTGTTCCAAAAGTTGATCCAGTGGCCGAGGCACTTGCTCGTCAGATTCAACAAGATACGTCTAATCTTATGGCAGAAATTCAGGTTTGCATTCAGTTGCATCAACAACAATTACAGGTTCAAGCCGTTACACAGACTCAAGCTGGAATTCCTGGTTTTAAAGAGGAAACAGATTTGAATCATGCTGGAGGTATTGACGCTACAATGAAAGCTGGTGCTGCCATAGGATCTGGTAGTGCATTGGCACTTGAAACTTTTGTTTCGGCAGAAGAACGTAGTGAATTGGTGGTGGAAACTCTGGAGCGTATTTTTGCAATGGAATCGCATTTTTCGATCCCTACTGCAGCAGGAGCCAAACTCCCTGCATTAATTCCTCGAGACAATAACAGTATTCTTGCCGCACGTCTGGGCTGGATAGTAATGACCATTAGAGTAGTAACACGATCGAGTATGCAGGCAGATCGTCTTCGCCAAAAGCTTTTGGATTTTATCTTGGCAGACTTTAAAAAGCGTGTCAATATTGCAATTCTGTGGCTTCATGAGGAGCAGTTTCTAAGTCAATCTGGCAATACCGACTCTTATACAATTTGGCTCAAGAATATTCTAGATGGTCTTGCTTGTGATAGAGAGTCCCGCAATGGTAGTACGGGCACACTACAAAACCCTACATCTGATCGTATTGATACATCTGTGCGCGATAATCAATTCGAAAAACTGCATGCAGCTTTGGATCCTGAAGACCGTGCATTTGTTCGACTTTTGATTGAATCACCAGTGTTTACAGACATTGCAATGGATCATATTTTGGCGTGCTGTGAATCATCAAACAAGTATGCTTTGCTATCTATATCTTACCGAATTTACAATCATATCCTGTGCAATTGCGTCAAATTTCTTATTTTTCTTGTCTTTTAGCATTTATCTTGGAGTCTCTGCATTAAGAGAGCTGATAAATTCTCGACCGGCCGTTCGAGACAATTGTTTGGAAAAGCTTCTCGCATACTGCATAACACCGGGTGAGCTTCTATCATGTTATAATCTGACTGATACCACGCAGCTGTATTCTTTAACTACTAAATTAATATATCTAAACGCTAGATCCACAACTTCGTTCCACCTCGATTATTATTACTCGCCAGTTATTTGAAAATCACAAGCCTCTTTCTGCAACCATTTCTTCCTTTTCGCTCAAGCAGCTGGCACTACTCAAAAGTATTCCGGAAGTTCCTGTACAAGAGGCTGATCATAAAGTTGAGGATAGCGATCAGGCCAAAACCAATACATTAGAGAATGAGTCGGCAATTGACACCAGTTTGGTTTCTCAAAAAAAGATATCTGCAGGTATACGAAAAATGCGTATTGTTTTTGTACCTTTATTTTACCTTTGTTACCAACGCTTATGTATTGAACAGAAGAACATAAAGTATGGATGGTCCAGGAAGTAGCTCGACATTTGGAGTTGTATTTGGCACTGTGTAGTTGCAAGGATGCATTACTTGACGAGTAAGTGGCATCTATATTTGTTGATGATACATCTGCAGCTACTTTCATCAAATATTACGACTCTGTTTAACTGTTTTAACCATGATTAAATTGTAGGGTGTGTTTACAACTCCATGAATTCCCTGCATATATCCAGGAAATCGTATCGCTTCAACTGGTTGGGCTTTTGCGTGCCATGTCTGTACACCCTGAGAAACTTCTTAGTCTTATATCTACCTTTCCAGATGGAGCAGAAGTTATTTCCATTAAAGCGATTGAAGTGCTTTTGACCACCGAACATGCTGCTCTAGCAATAAAACAAGCAATAGATGCCTATATGCAACGCCAGCTGGATGCTAGATTCTTGGTTATTATTATGCCACATTTGGAGCGGGTAAGGATCCTATTATTTCAACATGATTCCTGTTTAAAGTCGACTTTTGCTTGAAAATTGAGCATTGCTAACTTTTGAATGGTTTGGATCAATTTATTGATCTAGGCGCAAATCATGAGCGAGCTGCCCAAACTCATCATGACATTGGACGGAACCGAAAAAAATCACAACATTGTTTGTGGTGTGGTGACCCAACTTATTTCTGCCGACAACTCGCTTGCAGATGGAGAAGTTAAAAAGGCACCTCTCACTCCAGCGGAATTGCTCATCAAAATCCACCAAATTGATGATATAGTGGGACTAAAGCGTTGTGTAGAAGGTATCAAGTTTGATTTTTGTACTAAACATCTGATGGGTTTATTCTCAACATCTGTTTTTTCTATTTTAGCTACTTCGATTTGTTTTGAAATGCCTGATTTGTTTAAGCAAGAAGTTCTTGCTGTTACTTTACAACATCTTGCCGATCTGCCTACCTTGCCCATTCTGTTTATGCGTACTGCCATTCAAAGTCTTGGTGCTTACAAGGGACTTGTCAGTTTTGTAAATAACATTCTTGGGAGGCTAGTTGGAAAACGAATATGGGCCAATACACAAGTTTGGCAAGGATTTATTCGATGCTGCACGGTAAACCCATTGTTTTAAATAACGGTTGATGCCAATGATACAGTGTGCTGATTTAGATGATTCGTATTAACTGTTTGCACAACCATTGTATTGGGGTTGACAGATTATGTTTCCATCGTCCATTTCCATCATTTTAGCACTTCCTAAAACACAAGCGTTGGACTTGATTGACAAATCACCTAACCTTCGTCATGCACTTCAAGAGTATTTAGGTCAACTATCGACTCAGCAACGCGCTCGACGTGATTTTGTTGTTCTTGGTCAATTACTAAATGAAATCACTGCTAAATAATGTCTTTGATCGTATCTAACAGACTTTGTTGAAATCATTGGGATTGTTTATTTGTGTATGCAGTGTGTACCTGTTTTTCTTCGGTTGAGATGTGTTTGTAGATTGGATTCAGGGATCGTTGTTTGAGTAGTTTTTGCAACTTTTTATCACGCATTCACGTCATTGTGTTCAACTAGAATGTATGGGATTTAAAATATACGAATGAGGTAGTCAAAGGTAGTGTGACTGAAACATGATTGAGCAAGTTTTGGTTTTTTAAAGCTTGGTCGACCATGAGATCGCTTATTGTGCAGTACCCATCTTCAATCATGGCAAGATCGGGTTAAAACATGGTATACATGTATAATATGATGAAACATGGCATTTATTTCAGAGGCTCGGTAGTAGCATTGCCCGAATTGCAATTCACCATCACCATAAGTTTACCATCTACAAGAGGATCTTCTTTTGGACGGATATCGCTCATACTCCATGGAACAGAGCCACTATTAGGCAAGGGTTTGACTTGAGAGGCTTGCAAGCTTTTATCAGCCAATTCATGGTTGCTGAGACTCAGGTTTGACAGAGATAGAGCTTGGGGTGAACCGGGGTTGGGGTGTGCGGGTGGATCGTGAAGTTGGGTTCGGCTTGCTGATGGAGTACTAGAAAGCTTATTGATTGCTTTGACAACATCGATGGCTTTGCGGAACATGCGACGAGCATCGAATCCCTTGAGGACCTGTGGAAACAGATCTTTGTTGGATACATGAGTCATGGTAGGTACCTTTGCTGCTGTTGACAGCCAAGGATGTGCGAGAGCTTGTCTCGCGGTAAATCGGCGACTTGAATCAACAATCAGCAGGCCACGAATAAAATTCTTGGCATTATCTGAAATGTCTGACCAATATTCATCGTCAAACCGAAATCTTGCATTCAGGATATTCTCCATTTCCTCGTGTGTACCCTTTGTATGTAGATCGAATGGCATGTAACCACAAAGACTGACACGGGAAAAATATGGCGATGAGTCAGGATCATCAAGCCATGACAAACACATCAATACAATAATTCTTACAGAAAGTACGTCATGACTCCAATACACCACAGATCAACAGGCTTTCCGTGGCCAGCTTTTTTCAAAATCTCTGGAGCCATATAGCCAGGGGTGCCACATGTTGTTCGCAACACATCCAGTCTGTCGGAATCAATGATTTTGGATAATCCAAAATCAGCAATCATGAGTTCGCTATTTTCGTCTTTGGTTTTGAATAGTAAATTCTCTGGCTAAAATAGGGATAAAAGTTTAGTTTAGTCCATACTAGCGTATTGCCTTTGATGCAGTGGAGAGTAGTTTTTTTTATTTGCCGCTCACCTTGATGTCACGATGAACAATATTTTGGTCATGAAGGTATGCGACAGAGTCGACAACAGTCCGTACGATATTGACAGCATCCTCTTCGTAAAACTGACCTTTCTCACAAATCCGACTAAACAGCTCGCCACCAGTACACAAATCCATGACAAAATACAGATTGTTTGGCGTCTCGAAATCTGAAAAAGGTCAACACAGATCCAGGGTATAGTTAGACACATTGATAACCACCCATCACGAGTTTAAATGGACATACAATCCCATAGCGTAACAATGTTTTTGTGGCCTTTGGAGACTCTTTTGAGAACCTCGATTTCATTTAGAATCATGTGTTCTTTGCCTTGCATGAGCTTTTTACTGATCATTTTGACCGCAAACCGCTCACCTGTCTTCATCTGTTTGCAAATGAAAATTCATTGTTGAATACAACAGCAGATACGAATGGTAAGCAAGCCATTACTAATTGGTCGAGATCAGCAAGGCGGTGTTGAGGCTGAAAACAACGGTCGACATCCAACATGAATTCCGCAATAGCGCAAGATTCAAATGAATGCTTGCATAAAAACAGTCGATAGAATAGGTGGAATTCAATCTAACAAGTCCAGCTATTACCTTGACAGCTTCCTTGACAGTAGCATAGCTACCTTGACCTAGGGTTTTCCCCGTCTTGTGTGTAATCAAGACAGAAATTATAGAAAACAATAGAATAAATGATTAGTATGCTTAAGCTTGATATAATGAATCAGCCATGCAGGTGTGGAATGCAGTCTAGTGCGCAAGTCAGGGTTGTGTAGATTTTGATAATACGGCAGTCGAATTGAAGTGAATGGCCGACACAGAATCTAATTCGAGTTGATAGGATTGATATGGTTTTCATAAGACTGTATTTTTGCCATGCTGTTTGCATCAAGATTTGGTGTATGCATGCTGGCTATTTAATAAGTGTATCGCACGTCTATCTGGTGAGGATTGTAGCCAAACGTATAGCTATGGTCGATGCAAGAAATAATTTGTATAATTCACAAACATGGCTAAAGCATTGTACCTTGTATTCACAGGGAGCTAATGCAGACATGAGTACTATAACAGTTGGTAATACTCGATATGGGGAAAGTGCAAATCTTGCTGATTTTCTCAAATTTACAGCTGTATTTCACCTGAAAAATATATCAAGACGATTCACTAGTTGCTGCATGCATTCCAAGTGCATTTTTATTAAAATATACCATAGCAATAGACCTACCATCAAGTTTCAATCATCCAATAAAAAAACTTGCCCAGAAGGGCAATCCACTCAAGTTTTGCGTGTCATCCTTGCACAGGGAGCCATGCTAATCTTCTCTGTTTGTATCCAATTATTTTGATGAGGTCCCGAAGAATCCTCAAATGGGTTGTGCAAAATTCTGATATATAAAGCGTACACGCATGACTGTGCAAGCAGTTGTGGGAATATCACGTGATACTGGGTTGACTGGAATTGAAGACCAACCTATTCACATGCATAGACCATTGAATAAGAGTGTATAATAAACATCCAAAGTGAACAAGATTGTTTAAGCCATTGGAGTTGGCTAGTATTTCTGCAAATGATTTTCATGCATTTCAAGATTCGTTTCAAACTTGAAAGCATTTAGAATACAAAACTTGAGTGCAGATGCAAGTGTTTTATTTTATGTAACTAAATTAAGCTTTTGTTTTAAACGACAATAACCAATTCTAAAGCAATCAAGACGCGAGTTTAAACTGGGACAACCACGACAGGAAATGAGCAGTGTCGAAGCACGTATGTAGCAGTAGATCCCATAAGCAATGACTTGATGGTACTAGTTCCTCTGCGACCCATGACCACGCAGCGAGGATGGATACTGGCGGCAGTTGAACAGATGGCATCTTTTGGAGAGTTGGAGAGAACAACATGAACTCTCAGCCGACAGTTTCGAGATTTATCAAAGGACTCTGCTCGAAGCACAAACCGATCCAAGATCACCGAAGTCTTGAACATCAATGTACAAGGAGATTAGCAGGATAGTATAAAGGGATTCAAATAGTAATATCATACCAGTTGGTCCAATGCAAGTTTCAAGTCAGCAGAAGAAGGTTCCATCTTGCTCCTATATTCTGATTCGATAGAATGAGCCATGCGACGACCAATTGAACTGCGAGGTTCACTTTGATCCGCATCCATCCACATGGAGGCTAGTTGCATGTTAGTTTGAATACCAAGACAGATATCTGGACATGGACTTACATCTGGATTTCCAAAAGAGATAAAGTTCTTTAGAAGAGACCACATTGAGTAATACGATAGCATTACAAGAACTGTTTGTTTCAGGGATTGATGAAGTGAGGTTGTGACAAGTCCAGTCAAAGGCAGTTTCTGCAGAAGTCGAACCATCCAGACAGACTAGAATACAGTCAGTGCAAGAACCATCTACATGATGAGAAACAGAGTTATCCAGAACATGGTCTTGCATGATTCTTGTGCAGTTTGGCTCTTCAGACGAAGCGGGCTCAAACAGTTGTTGATTCTCTTCAAAGGCAGACGAACTCATGTTCTGAACGAGACTTGCAGGACGCAGTGGAATTGGACTGTTTGTCATGTTGAGATTTTCGAGTTTTTATCTGGTCAACTTTATTTATTCGATTGCTATCATGAACCAACTGGATTCGGTCAATACAGATCAGAATACACTATGGGATTCCCGTAGATTGCTAGTCGTCTCGTTATTCTTGCCATACACTCCTTCATGCATTGATCTTCCAACTGTTCCCATTCAACCTACTGTTCTTCCATTACAGAGTTTAACCCGTCGTTTAAGTCTGGTTTCTACCATGGCAAACATGAAGGCTTTACAGAATCCTACTAATCTATTTCCATCCTCTGTCTTCAATGACCATTCCAACATTCATTCCAAAGCGGAACGTCAGAAAGACCGGATAGCTTGTTCTGATCTTGACGAATGCATGATCCATTCTTCGGGTGCTGGCAATATTGGACTCCAAAATGCTGTCAATGCATTCAAGGACAATACTATCAACCGTATGTGGATTGGAACTGTCGGTATCAATACAGACGATATTCCACAATCCCAGCTCGATAGTTTAAGAAATAGGCTCATCTCCAAGTATTCTTCGACTCCTGTTTTTGTTCGTCAGGATGAACTGGATGGTCACTACAATCAATTTTGCAAACAGGTAACAGTCGACATCAACTGGACTTGTATCAGATATCCAGGGTGTTCTCATGCATTGGATTTGCTTTTCGTTGATGTGGAAATAATGACTGGAATCCATCCAGTTATTATCACATGTGCTGGAGAATCCCATCAATCTCTTGACAATACATTTTGACTGATTCTGTTTTGTTTAGGTTCTTTGGAAGCCATTTCACTACCAATTGCCTGACTATCCAAAACCCAGGGGTTACGAAGAAGCCGCATGGCAACATTACACAGCTGTCAACCAAAAATTTGCTGATGAAATCGTCAAAGTTTATCGTGACAACGATATTGGTAAGCTTAAATCTTCATCTTGTGTGGTTTTCTGTCACTATCAATATTCTTGTTCAGTAACTCAACATCAATGTGATATCAATTTTAATGTTTTTTTGTAAACTGTCCAGTTTGGATTAATGACTATCACTTGATGCTTGTACCTCAAATGGTTCGGCGTATGATACCCACTGCCACTATTGGTTTCTTTTTGCATATTCCTTTTCCAAGTTCTGAAATATTTCGATGCTTGCACGTTCGAAAGCAAATTCTACAAGGGCTATTGGGTGCAGATCTAATTGGATTCCAAGTTTGTATTTTATTGCTGTAAATCTATCAATCGTTTCCTGTCTTCATGGCTAAACTCATTGTCACATTCCTTGTATAGACTTATGCGTTCATGAGGCATTTTTTAATGACTTGTACTAGGCTGCTCGCATTAGAAACAACACCAAAGGGAATCCAATTGGAAAACTCGGTCGTTGGTCTTGGGATCTATCCTATTGGTTTGTTTTAATTGGATTCATATTACAGTGTTTGTCTATATGTTTGGTGAGTTCCTATCACTAATCTATACATTAATGCTTAGGAATTGACTTGTCATCACTTAATGCAAAAAGGTAATCACGCTTGTTAAATACTTTTCAGCAATCTAATCCTTATGCTTACATATTCTGGATTTGGATTCATACAGAGCTCATCCTGAAGTAGCAGAAATCATTGCTTCGCTCAAGGAAAAATACCATGGAATGCATGTTGTGATTGGACGAGACAAGAACGACTACGTTAAAGGTGTACGTCAAAAGGTTCTTGCATTTGAACGATTTCTGGTGCAGCATCCCGAGTGGCATAATCGGGTTGTTTTAATTCAAGTCGTCCTGTCCACTACAGAAGCAAATGAACTTGAAACTCACGTATTGGATGTTGTATCTCGCATCAATTCGCGTTTTGGAGCAATTGGATATGTACCTGTAGTGTATCTGCAGCAAAATATCAGCTTCAATCATTATCTTGCTCTTTTATCTGTAAGTCATTGCTATTCCTATTGGCTCAACGATCAAACTCTACATTGAATGGCTATGCTTTTGTAATTTGAAACTAATACCACTAGTTTAGATTGCGGATGCTTGTCTTATCACATCCCTTCGAGATGGTATGAATCTCACATCTCATGAATATGTGGTCTGTCAAGAGACCAAATTCAGTCCTCTTATTATTAGCGAGTTTGCTGGAACGTACGGGAGCTTTGGAGCTGCAATTAGGGTAATCATACATGTCTGAGTATTTATAATTATCTACGCTAAAATGTTTTTGTTATTCGTGCTGTAATGGGGGTTTATTGCATTTTAACCAAATCCAGATTAATCCATGGGACGGTCAAGAGGTAGCCAATGCAATCAATGAAGCTCTCACCATGTCAGCAGATGAAAAAAAATATCGATGGTCTATGCTATATCAATATGTTTCCACCAATACAGGTATGTGCTCTACTATATTCTAATAATGACTACGTCGACTTTTTTGTAATGTTTGACTAATTCACAGTATAAATGGTGTTTAGCACAATCGTATGTGGAATCATTTGTGTCAGATACTGCTCGCGTTCATATTGAAAACATGTCCATCATGTCAACTAGCATTCCACGACTGTCATTCAAATCACTCTATGCAGACTACATCTCCTGTCATTCTCGCTTATTTGTAAGTTGGAATTGGAATGACATGTTTTTCAAAAGTGTTGGGCGATATAATAATGGTATCATAACCTATTCTATATGTTTGATCGTTGTCGCACTTTTATATGTAGCTTCTGGATGATGAAGGAACGCTTTTTTCAAATTCACTAGGTTCAACCATTCCGGCCTATTATGCCGAGGTTAATCGTGCCAAGACGCTTCTGCGGAATCTATGCGAAAATGAACACAACATTGTGTATCTGATGAGTGGTCGTAGGCGAAGTGATTTGGAAGCCTTTTTTGAAATACCATCCCTTGGTATTTGGTAAGCCTCGTTGCTATGTGTAGTTACTAAAATGCACAGCGATCTAAGTCATTTTGTTTATTCCAACAAATTTTTGTTTGAAATAGTGCCGAAAATGGATCGTTTATCAAATACTCGGATCGATCCAAATGGGAAATTGTACTTCAAGATCAAGACTTTTCGTGGCGTAAAAAAGTGCTTGAAGTGTTCGAGTACTACACAGAGTAAGTCGCCCAAATACTTTTTTTAAATTTTAAACACCGAGTGCGTAATTAACCACTTGAAATGCATAATATAGTCGAACACCCGGCTCATTTATCGAGCAAAAGGAGATTGGTATACTGTGGCATTATGGGCTTGCCGATAAAGGCTTTGCTTCTTGGCAAGCTGCAGAGTGTCAGAATCATTTGCAAAATACTGTCACAGCAACGTACCCCGTGCATATTTTAGCAAAGCAAAAATGTGTCGAGGTTATGCCTCGAAATGTTAGTAAAGCTACAATGGTACAGCGCATTTTGGAGCATCATCAAGCTCGATCACAGCGACGCCAGCACTCTTTTTCACTACATCCTCAGCAACCTTCTTCGCCACTGCATGCTCCTACCAATATGCAGTCTCGATCTCTTCCGTCTGGCCTCAACTCTCAACTATCGTTGTCTGATCATATTGCTGACACTTCTTATTTATTTTCAGGAAATCTTGAGCCTTTTGAGCCAAGTCCTTCTTTGCTTGGTAGAAGCAATTTTGATTATCCAGCTGACACAGAGTATAATCATAGCAATCGAGCAACCATTAGCACAACAAATTCATCCTTTCATGGCACTGATACTATTTCCATTGCAAGCATAGATTCGCATTCCAGCCACTCTGCGTCTTTTCATTCGTCGCAGCTGCAACCCATGCAGTCATTTGGAAGTGCAACGCCATCGCGCTTTGAACGAATCGACTTTATACTTTGTATTGGAAATGATCGATCTGATGAATGCATGTTTGAATATTTGGGTCGATTGGCGGTTCGCGAAAATCGTAGTCGTCGGCTAGAGGGTGCAGGAAGCAACTCTCCCCTGGTAGAAGCATACGATCAGCGACACTCGCGACGTAACACCAGTCAAGTGCCCATGAGTTTGAATACGAGCGGGGATTTATTTGTTCAAGGTGACGACAATAGCTTTTCACCCTCTACTGAGCCTATCTTACTACCTGGATCCGAGGTAGCTGACCAACTATGCAACAGTCCTTATCAGACGGATATATTTCAGTCATCCAGTGTGCCGACCGAATCCACAATGAATTCTCATATGAAACGTTATCGACACATTATTACGTGCACTGTTGGTGCAAAATGCAGCTCTGCTAAATCATATCTATCCAAAGTTTCTTCGGTGCTCGATGGATTGGAATACCTTCATTCACAAGCGCAACAATCCATTTTCTAGCCTTTCTTTTTGTTTTAGTAAATGCTTGATAGCTTCAAATATATCATTACCAAGTGGATGGGTTTAAATTGGTGAATGAGTATTAATCATTTTTTATTCGTGCTACTATTACTATGATGTGGTTTGGATTACTATACAGCCTGTCGTTTTCTATCTGCTTCAGCAACCTGTGTGATATCTGATAGTTTTGGTGTTCAAAAAATAGTTTAGGATGTCAGTAAAAAAGGAATTGGATGGTAATATATGGGTGATTACCTTGCATATCAAGCACTCTATACTGCAATGCGTGTAGTTTTTCTGTCAGTGTTTTTTGCTCTGTAGATGCGCTCATGGACATGATTGCAGCGACTCCAGTAGTCACCGGCACCGTATTCGGTCCCTGCACATTAACATCGTTGCCTTCCCCGCCGACCGTGTCGCTCTGAACCACGTTGACCACTCGAGATCGTACAGCAATTCGATCATACAAATCATCAATAGCAAGCTTGGTTTCACTAATAATTCGCATTCTCTCTTTGCTCGAGTTGTCCCGCTCTTCAATACGCTGTTCAAGATATGCACTATTCTGCTTGATTTTATCAAGGTACTTTTGCTGTGTACCTAATTTTGAGTTGTAGACAAGGATCAAGTCATTCTTGTCCTTGTCAAATTCAGTGTTATTTCTCGGTATTCTGCCAAATTTTCAAGAAATTTGGATCCAGTATGGCTTACTTTAATTAAACCAGCAAGCTTTGCTTGAAGTTTTTCAACCTCATCCTGATTGCATTGAACGACACTTTTCAGGTCATCGTTGGTTTCTACAAGCGTTTTATGTCGCATGATGATATCGTTGATATGGGGCTCGTTCACATCAAGATAATCAGGTGGTAAAGAGTCCACTATGGATTGGAGGTATCTTTCATATGTTTTGTGACGATCTATGTTGAATGCAATGATAACAGTTAAGCGGTGATTTAAACGTGTATACAAAAACTGAACTACTCAACTAATCAACTTTAGTATTTGAGCTCCTTTGGATTGCTCGTCTTGCAATTGGCGCTGAAGCAATCCCAACTCAACTTCCTATACTTGTTCAAAAAATAAACTTAATTTGCATTTTAAATCTACATGTCATCAAGCTTGGTGAATTGGAAAACTAGCAAGTCATTCGAGTATCTAAATCTTGCCTTGGATTCACGCAGCTTTTTTTCATTGATGGATTTCACATTTGCTCGTTGTCGTTTTGCATCGTTTTCTTTGAGAAACTTTTCAAATTTCGTCACTCGATCTCTGATTTGTTTTTGCTATTCTTACACGAGTCAGACAGAATCGAATCGCTGGGAATACAGTCGAGTTGAGTAAAGCATATTCGTTACCTTGGCTTTCAATTCCTCTTGCTTTTCTCGACACTCTTCCATGCGTTTGGAAAATTCAACTCGTTTTTTTTCAAGGAGGGTTTGAATGGCATGCATCTCCCGCTTTTTCTGGAGAAGCAGAGTGGATTGCAATGTCTGACGGTTTTCAAGCATAGTAGACGCCTAAACTCGATTATAAACAACATCATTGGTGTTTATATGATTAGTAGTTAACCTGACCATTGGATTGATTTTAAAACTTGGATCTTCTTTTTCACACCGAATTCAATTCACCTCATTCTTGTGTCCAGTCATGACTCCTTGGATGCTGTTGATACCAAAAATAGTTTATCTACAGTGAGTTGGTCTATATCTATTCATGTGCATTCATATTGAGTTTATTTAGCTATCTATACATTTTTCCTCCCCGCTGGGTTACAAAAGTTTCATTTTCACGGTGGACCACATGGGTCGCTCCTTCGACCACCACTTCGAGGCCGTGACTTGGATGTCTGTGCGGTTCGAGCAAGCTAGTGACAGATTTTACTGCATGCTGTGAGGTATTTCGTGTACTGTTGCGTGATGGGCTATGTGGAAAAGAAGATACTCCTTTATCATTAGGAATTTTAGATGTATTGGGAGAGGCCATTTGCTCGAGTAGTTTGGAGAATAAAAGTTAATTCAACTTTCGCGTTGCATTTATTCAAATCTTGTGTATCAACTTGTTGGCACGCAGTGTATAGTATCAAGTATAAGATTTGAATGGGGTTTCATGTTGTATGTATACTCGAGTCAAAATTCAGATGTTCAGTATCTAACAATGCAGTTGTAAACAAATACAGGTTCGGCAATCCAACTTCATTTCAATGGTTGACCAAAATACACTACTCGAGCTCCTGAAAACTAACTACAAAATAACCAAAGAAAATCATACACTTGATCGAGAGAATTTATCATCAGGCGACCGGAAACTATCAATTTCAAGTTGCTTTTGGATCTTTATATATCTGTAAAGATACATGTTATATACTTTACAACGCTGTGGTGAATCTACACAACACATATATAGAATGATTAGTTGAATGATTCACCATTTAAATGATTAAATAAACCAGTCCATCTTCTTACTTATAAGATCTTGCAATCGAGGTGCAATAGCAACTTGTTCATCTGACAAGAATCGACCTAAAAACAGTAGTCATATGAATTCATGTTTTTAAAACAACAGGCAAAAGTTGGCAAGTACCTTTTTCAGATGATATCTGATCACGCAAATACTCTTGCATTAGAACACCAAAAGTGATTAGTCCTTGTGGGCTAAATGCACCAACCATGGATTGATGTTTTGGTCTAGAACAAAATTCGGATGTTGCAAAAATGATTGCATCCAAAAATTCCTAGTAAAACAAACCATTAGACAATGAAACGACTCAAAATATCCAATAATAAAAGCATCAGACATACATTTGATGGAAGTTGAAAGCGAGTGGTAGCTGTTTATAAAATTTCAATTATCGGTCAGATATGAATCAATTATCATTCCAATAAGCATATCTTGATTTTAAACTTACCCAATTCAGCTTCTGGAGTCATACATCCAGATTTTAGCGATTGTCTTATACTTTCAATATCAAACGTTTCTGTTGGCTTTACAAACGTGTCTTGAAAATACCGGCTAGCGTTTTGATCTACAGTGACATCCAGTACTTTATAATGGTCTCGACACCATTTTGCTTGCATTTCATGCTTATAATACTCGTCCCAAGAAGCATTGTTTGGTAGACTTAATGTATAGTCGAGTTCCTTTCTTTTTGGAGCAATACTACTGCCAAACATGATTGAAGACACCTCACATATCTGCGGTTCCAAAGGTTGCTTCTGTATCTGAATAGCCCGAGTAACTTCATTATCTTCCTCATCTGGCGTGTACATAAGGTTGGATACAGATGGAACACTTGGACCTCCATCTGAAGGCTCGATTATCCACGGCTGTATAAACTTGATGAAAGGAACCCGTTGTGCAGATTCAAGCAGTACTTTTCTTTTAAAATAATGAATAGAGTGAGACAATTTGCTGTTGAACAAAGCCACATTCTTCATACGGAACCGCTCTAGTTTTCTGACTCGATGAGCCGAGCCAGTAACAAGGGACTCATTGAGTATACGTTGAGAGTACAAAATTCCCAATGCCCTATTTGTAGTTCGCTTCTCATTAAAAAAAGGAATGACAGAACATCCTTCAGAATGATGTATTGCATGGTCAGTCTTTGAGGTAGCTTCCACTGCCCATTGTGGTCGTTTGTACGCATCTTTGAATTGAATGCGTTTTTTTGAAAAGTCCAACATCAGCAATGGTAAATCTTGGTAAAGTGCAAAAATCAATTTTGAAGTTAATTATAATTCATGTTGAACGAATTGCAGTCCAACGATTCACACAAGTTCGATGATTGACAACAGTCATTGAAATAAATTCATGTGTAACGAGTTTTTCAATTGTTCAGTGGGAATCAAGCATTCCATTCGTGTTTATTTTATTATCGTGCGTTATCAGGACATCACTGGCAGGAAATCTAAGCAAAAAACACAATACAACCATATCAACCATTCCTGGATCGTCAATCATGGACAAATGCGCCTTTCTACCCAGCATATCAGAACTAAATAGAGTGCCAATATTCTCTGCATCTTCAAGGTGATTGAAATGTACTTCGTATCTATGCACGTTAGCAACTTGTGCTAATGACGAGTGAAACAGCTGCGATATTTCATCAAGAATAGTCTTGATGTGCTCATTATATGAATTGGCGGCATGGGTCGACTTTGTTGAATAGGTTGAGTTGCTTGACGAGTTTAACCCAGACTGGAGTACGGATGGCTTTTCACTTGTAGATAGCCTCAATCCCAACGTGCCTTCATACGGAACATATTTATCCTGGCGTGATCCATACAAAAAGATGTGCTTAAAGTTTTGAATCGATGAATCCGAAGCCAGTTGATACAATAGTGTTTGTCTTGGATCCGAGTGTTCACGCAAATTAAGCTGGTCAATGCATTTCGATCTTGATATAGCCTGATACACTCCCATCGCTGTATTCAAAGCGTCGCGTATATTGAGTATAAAAATACAGATACACGTTCAGCATTCACATTTCAAATCACACCACTATTCAAAACGCTTTTCGATTACAAACAAGTACCGTTTACCTGAAGTAATAAACATGTTTTGATGCAACGCGAGTGAAAAATGTGGAGATCCTAGTGTAACAAAGGTGTTGAATAACCCAAAATACTTTTTTAATGCTGGTTTTCGAAACGCACATCGAGCAATGATCCCACCAAGACTATGACACACAAACGAAATACTCTGTAGCGTTTGTTCTTGGATGCTTTCAATAAATGCAACAATTTCTACCACCAAAAGATCAGCCATAGAGTCTATATCTTCAAACGTATCGTCTTCGTAGGAACTTGAATTAAGAAATTTGCAGGATGATAGTGGAATACCCAGCTGAAACAACATGCTTTTAAAATGATTACGATACTGATGGAAATCAAATGAAGATCCTGCAATACATGATATTTGGATTAATTAGCAATGATCAGAAACCTAATACAAAACCTTGAAGCATAGTATACCTAATAATCCATGTACAAATACAATAAGATAACATTTACTTGTATCTTTAGAAACTTTGTCTAATTGGCTCTGATTTCCACTCAGTGTATTCAATAATGGATTTGAAAATGAATCAGAAGGTTGCGCATTACAATAAAACTGGTTTAAATAGTAACTCAGTTTGGTCAGATATTCCGAAGAAGAGTTTAAGGTGCCAAGCATGTCAACAAAATCTTGAATAGACAAATACTCCAGGTCACTAGTTAGAAGCTCATCAAAACCTGTTCCAGTATATAAGCTACTGAAAGCGCGCTGCAATCGAAGATGCGACAACGAATCACCACATAATGACACATTGGAGTGAATTTGAGAATTTAGTTTGCTAATGGATTGATTAGATGTACTGTCGAGTGATTGTGGCGTTGCAGATATTTCTGGCATTGAATGTGAATTTTTTTTTTGAAGATCAGTCAGTAATGGATGCCTATCTGTAGGATAATCTTCCAAAAAAATTGATTTTTTTCTATCCATATTTAACTCGTTTAAATTACATGATCAAACAAAGAAAACATAATTCAAAAATCATTGCCATTTTAATATATACCTTGAATTTGCTAAAAACTCCAAAGATGATTCTAGCTGATCATTATTAATCTTCTCGTGCATTCTTTCAAGCCGACCAAGTGTATATATTGTCCTTAGTCCCAATAGTCCTTTGAATAAACACACTACACTTAAATCTATATAACTTTTCCATGCTTCTTGAATCTATGAGTTTATGCAGAATACAAGTAAGCGTGCCATAAATAGTAATACAAGTACGAGAATGTGTACATACTAGAGGTTTAAGGTTGTTTATCAGGTTAAAAAGGTGGCATGATATTTCAGCTTCGGTTTGATTTTTTCGCTACATGATCATGTATACACATCCATAATAGTGATTAAACAGCGCATTTGATACACGTATCACAATAAAACGGTGTGAAATCCAGTCATACCTCAATAGTGATCCATTTTCGAACAAGTGTTCCAATTCCAGACATCAAAGTGATTTGTTTCAAACGGCTAAAAACAGGAAATACCTCATCCACTATTTGGTACGTGCTAGGCATACGATCCTCATCCATACGAGGCAATGATGTACGAATTATATCATGTATTAGTTTCACTGGTGCAGCATATTCAATATTCTTTTGAATTCCCTGCATCAACTCGCTACTGTAAATATACAGATCAAACAGTGTCCAAATGCATCCCAAAGCAACAGTAAGGAATTGGGACAAGCAAGTACTTTTTGATGGGTTAGACAAGAAGCATTGCGAAATTTGCTGTAAAGGTGTTGATGTGCTAGAAGCTTTGATATTGGTGTTGGATAAGGATCTTCGCGATGTAGTTACAAAATCAGATGTTTGAGCATTGAGAGGCCACGATGAACCCAATGCTCCTGCAATGGAAGTTAATAATGTTCCAGTTAGTGAGGCTCTCGCAGCTGATTTTGAAGTCAAGCCAGTCAATAGATCCTCTGTTTGTATATCAAATCCCATAGGTGATGTTGCAATAACAATATCACAATTGGAGAAAAAAGTTCCATCAAAAGTGACAATATGATGGTGCAATGAATTTGCCCGTATAGACATTATGTCATTGAGACGAATGGTACGAGTTTGCTGCAGTTGAAGCATATCTGGATCATTCGATCTAACGTGTGCGACAGTTTAAAAATAGATTAAAATCAATCCAACTCTATTGAGGGTATGATAGTAGCTGAATGTTTTAAAATCAAGTTAATATCAAAAAGTAAATCAACTTACTCTCCATCTGAAAGAAAATACAGCTGAACTTCCAAATAGGCACATGTATCCTCTTCAAACGCCTGCGTGTCATAATACATATCATGAAGTTCAAATATGGTTCCACACAGCAATGGAATGGTTTCTCCTTGGGTAGTCAAATTAAACGTGTTGGATGCAAACACTGAATGAGATCCAGAAGTCATGGATTGGTGTTTGGTAGCAGATTGTAATGGGTTTACGACGGACTGAGTCGATGGTTGTATTTGAAAAGTTTGATGTGGACTACATCGCCATGTGCATTTTTTGTGATTATTGAGCGGACAAGAGGTTAATTCAAGAGTGTGCGGTGGAAATATGTGATAACGTGGATCCCAGCTATGTTCTAATAATAGATTACATGAGTTGAATATCAGAAGCATAATGATGAGTGTCAGATTAGTCAACTCCAAAAATCAGTCTGGTTTCATTGAAGGATCAATTCACTTTGGAAGCATTGCAAACCACTCGAGACTCATTTGATTTTTAAAGCCCTATTTCATGTAAAATGCAACACTAGACGAATGTTCAATCACATCACAGTTTTGGTAAATTTTTGACTTGTTCAGTCTTCAACTTTTAAAATTGAACATTAAAACATTGGGTGATTGGCAAGGAAACAGCAGTTGCATTCCTGCAATCTTGTTCTCTTGAACTTGAACGCGAATGTGGGATTTCAAATACAACAATGAGTTGGATTGGGCATTAGAAAGGTCAAACCCAATATCTGGATTGTAATGAATCAGTCTGGTGATCGTACAGTGTATGGTAATACCAAAAGCAGAAAGTGATAGTTTGATTATATCGTATGATGAACGTTGTATTTCAAAAGGTCGATTTCTAATAGGAGAGTGCAACGAATATTCAATCATTGTATATTTCAAAGCAAGAGATGGTCATTTCGATATAAAGGTTCCATTTTACGTGAATGCGGCTGCCATCCATCAACTGATATACTCAATGCTACTAGATACTCCAAAAAGTGATGCTATACCTAGAACAGGGTGCTGTAAAAACTCTTCTAATTTGATAGTGCGGATGGGCAGAGCATCAATACGCTTTTCAGCAGAGTCTTTTAAGCTGGACTGATTACAAGGACTGCTGCGCTTGTAAAGTCGAAGTTGGATTTTATACAATCCTCTTTGATAAACATCAATGTTTTTAAAATGGCCAAGACATACACATGCATGGACTGACTGAACAAATGGCATAGATACTATCAAATGTTGATGAATGCTTGATATGCGTTGTTGAAAGTCAAGTTCCAATGAGCGGAGAAACTTGTCAATGTCACTCGACTTGATTTTGATTGAAAGTTGACTATCAAGCACTCAGGTTTGACGGAGGAATGTCGATCCATTGGATTCAGATGCTGACTGAACATTTCTCGTAATCAGATACACGACCATTGTTTATTTCAAAGAGTCGATCACTGCAAGATGAATGCAAGTGCTCATTACGTCAATACGCTGTAATATAAGCTGAAGTTCAAATATTATTTACAAGCCAACGGCAGAACCAAACATTTTGACAGCCAACTGCATAAGAATATCTCGTCTCTTATCCACCGACAGTTTGGTAAATGCCTCGTATACTGACATGCCTTTTGCATCTCGAATCTTTCCTAATCGATCACCGCAGTACGATCCAACCACAGCGCCAGGAACGTTTAAAACAATAAATCCAAGCAAGGCACCTGCCACTGTTCCTATAGGCTGCCAAAAATACTTTGGATTGGGGACTTCAGGAACAAGTAGATCGTTAAACACACCACCGAATGTGGCAAATGGGTCTACTGTAATGTTTGAGAATATGCCATTGGTAGTTAAAAGGGATTCGTCGTACTTTTGTCGTCGCTGTTTATCACTAAAAACTGTGTTGGCCTAACTAGATATGAAATACAAGGAATCCGCACATGAGATTGGTCAAGAGTATCGTACCTCAAAGCAAAGTAAGCATTTGCTATATCCTGGAATCTAGCAGCTGCATCTGGACTAGAGTTTCTATCAGGATGGAAATTGAGCTAAATATGAGGCAACTCATAGCAATGAATGGATTAGTAAGCTTGTACATTCATGTACATTGAAATCGAGTCAAAGACATGAACAGTCAATGGTCACATATCAAGTGTATTGGGTTATCTGAATCATCCTACCGACTGTTTAATGTAAGCTTGACGAATCTCTTCATCCGTAGCGGTTTGAGAAACTCCAAGGATCTCGTAGTATGAGCTGATGACGGGCATGCTTTATTTGGATTGATACAGTCGTGTTCATATAAAATAGAGCATCTTTGTATTTATATTGCAGTCACTGCTTCGATTTCGCTTCAGAATAAACAAATACTTGCGCCTTTCTATTACACATTGCTTTTTCAATAGACAGCGTCCATCATGACCATCAAACTACATTCTGTTGTATTACACATATGGTTTCACTCTAATCCAAGAAAATAAAGACTACACATATTGTGAATATAGCTTTTGTTTTCATACCATGTAGTTTCATGACAAACTATTGATTATCTGCTTATAAACTCTTGTTAGGATTCACGTGAAATATTAACAAGCTAGTTTTATTGTTTCAACAATTCAAATCAATTTATTTTGTACATCAACTCAAACTAAATCATTATTGTCCGAACATGTCAAGAGCAATCTGGTTTAGTCAAGTGAAAGTCTTGTCACGTGTCTAGACTCGATGGTTTCAAACTTTGAATCTGACTATTAATTACTCCCATTGCTAAATACTATTTAGTTTCTATTCGTGATCATGATCAGTGCCCAGCATTCTCTTTCTGATTCCACTAATTTTGAAAATAATCCTAATACTTCAACTGAACCGTCTAATGCCAAATCCCATATTGCCAAGAACGACATGACTGAACTGAGTCTTCGCTCATTAACACTTTCAGACACTACTGATGAGCCCTTGCTTAAACCTAATCCTAGGCGCTTTGTATTGTTTCCTATCCAGTTCAATGAGGTATATTGAGCTTATCGGGTCAACTTATTTTTCTTCAAACTGCATTTTACTGCCATATTCATGCAAAATGCATATTTCTGTATGTCTTGCAATAATTGTTCGATTCCGCTTCGGAATGAGCAATGGCTAAATATTTGTTGTGCTTTCCTACTACAAATTGACTGCCTTTTCAAGACAACCTCCATCATATGATACAACTGTAGTTTTGGGTTGATTGTCACTTTCCTTTTTTGGTATAATTATACGATCACCAGATTCATTCAAATTTAGATAGTTTGACTACTACGACGCTGTCAATCCAACTCTAAACTCATCTGTTGTATCCCAAACTCAAATATGTTTGCAATCTACTTCAAGAAACAAACATTGCACATTTCACAAACGAAATACTGTAATGTTCAATTTCAAAAGTTGAAAGAACGCTTGTCCAATAAATTGGCATCAATTGCTTGATGAGACTGACTATATATTGTGTATTTTGTCTTGAATACTCCATTTACGTGAATGTGACTGCAATGTTATTTCCAATCAACTCATTTTACATTGTAACAATAGATCTGGCAGGCTTATAAGAATCTGGAGGCCAACTTTTGGAGCGCTGAAGAAGTGGAAATGTCCGATGATTTGAATGGTAAAAAACTGTTTACTCATATTGCTACTATTATTTGCTAAAGTGTGATGCATTATGCCTTGCATATCCTTTAATTTAATGCTGTTGACTTATTTCTTGATGACCTATGATTATCTCAGTCCACTTGCAATCCTTCTAGTTCTACTGTGTTTTCAGACGTGTATCTACATAGGCTACTCTTGAACTACTTGCTAATATTTTTACCTATTTGTACTTTTTTTGTGGAGCTAGGCTTTGAACAGCTGTCTCGCAAGGAGCAGTCTTTAATGCTACAGATCACCAGCATTCTCTGTATGGGATGTGGGCTAAATAACGAGGCCATCCTTTCTCGCTACTCGGATGAAATCCAAATCCCTGAAGCTCGCTGCTTTTTTGGATTCCAACTCATGCAAAAGAACATCCACTCGGAACTTTCCATGGTTATTCTTGACATGTTTTCTGAATCTGAAAAACAGCGTGATGATCTTTTGGATGTGATTCAACAACGTATGCGATAAGATTTTACATGGCTATGTAGTGTCTTGTAACTATACTTGATATATGTCTGTTTCTAACCACTTTGGAAAACTCTTATTTGGCTAATTTATCATACTTTAGTTCCAAGTCGTACAATGTGGACCGAGTGGGCTCGTACTCACATGACTCGCTCTGAAGAGCCCTTTGCTCTACGAGTAACCAGTCTTGCCATTTTCCAAGCCATTCATCAGGTTTCACTTCGTGATATTATTGCTTTTATTGCTGGTCCTGAGACATCGACTCTTCCCGTCACCAGTTCCGAGTCTCATCTATTGCACGGTGTTGTTCACGCTATGCACAAGATCCATCACGATCAATTACAATATCTTTCTTTCCTTGCTCTTATTCAATCTAACCTTGTTCGTCGTGCAGACACTCAATTGGTTCATCTTATGGCTCGTGCAGCTGTTGCAGCCGAGCACACGCTCATTGACGATGTGTTCAATCTTTCGACTGGAAATATCTTGCTTTGTGGAAAAATAGTGCCAAAGGAAGCACTCAAGGGTAGAATAGAGTTTTTGACTGACATGTGTCTAACCACCATGGGATACCCTGCCATGTATCATGTGCAAGATCCCATACCATGGATCTCGGTTTTACATGTGCGTGAAGCCAAAAAAGGCAGCGCAGATACACATACAACTCAAACTGTTGTGTCTGCAAAACCCAACATGCAAGAAGACCATGCATTCACTGTTGATGAAGATTTCTAAATCGATTTTCCTATTGCTTTTTTTTGTGAATGAACCTTTATGATTTAACCTGCTTTTATTTTTAAACATTGGCAATAGAATGTCAACCAAGACACATTCTGCACTAGACTATCACCAAAATACAGTTATATACAATAGGAGAACACGTCGACAAGAACGAAAAAAGTCGGGAGAATCTGCAGACATCATATTTCAGCAACTTTCTTCACATATCCAAACTTCAATCTGAGCGTGTTCATCCAATACCAATTTGGAAAATACTCGCTTGCATGTTTTTTTTAGTCGGAAATCCCATACTAGCATTGCCAGATTCCCTTCAAAGGCTACTGAGGAAAACATACAACTTCCGCAGTGGGATAGCTCTGCAAATCGAATTTCTCTGTAATCGGGGATGGAATAGCCATCTCTAGCAAGAGCAATAGATTCTGATAGTGTGTAAAGCGGTTTGCCTGTAGTCATATCCCATACTGCAATTTCGTTGTGATGTGCACCATTGGTGATCAAAATGTGACCATTCATGGCTAGAGTCATGGGAACATGCGAAGTACGCTGAGGTAATATCAGTGGTGGGGGAATAAGAACTGGTGCTGGTGGGATGTGTGTAACCGCATGGACTGGTTGCATTACTTGTATGGGTGCAGCAATCGGTTCCGTCACGAGTGCTGCAGTAGCATCATGCAACAGGGTTAGAGTAGTGCCTGATCCTACGTGAGATTCGACAGGAATGGTACCCGCTTCGCCTAGCGCATCTGCTACTGTTTCAATGCCATTGGGTGCACCAGTGCCAGTATACGTGGAAAAATGAGGCTCACTTGTTTGTATAGAGGATACGGGTGCGGGGACAATAGTCTCTGCAGCTATTGGTTCAGCCGTTGCAGCAAGATCTTGAACAACAGAATTCAATCCATTTTGCAGCGTTCTAGGAACATTCGTATTGGATAGCGTGTACACGAGCTTTTTAGATTTGATCGAATGAACATAAAATGTACCATCATACAATCCGCACACCACGTAGTCATCCCATATACTGACATTGAGTAGTTCTGTGGGAGATATGGTGCCAATGTATTGATCTGGGACAGAAAAGATTGCTATGACATCTGTAGTGTCCATGTTCCATACAACTACTTTTCCTGAATGCCCGCCACCAACAATATGCCGTTTGTGGACGTTCATGGAGTGAATCACACCAAGTTGCTCAATGGGGTTAATGCGAGAATGTTCGGTGAAATCAGAAATACGCCATACAAAAATAGCCGAAGAATCATCAAACGATACAAAATTTCCATCGTGATTGGCCAAAACCAGACTCACTGGTCGAGTATGTCCACGAAGCACGTGCTGAGGTTTAACAAATGGTGTAGAAGGTAGTCCAAACGTCAATGGCTCAGCAGCAGGCGGAACAATATCAACAGCACCAACCAATGAAGTGGAGGCGGATGAAGGATACGCACCAGGAAGGGTTGACGCGAGAGTATGCGATTGTGGTGTGGAAAAAGATGCACTGTTTTCAATGGTAGTGTGATGTGCACCAAGAATTGAAACATTTAGATCTGTCGAGTATGCCATGGCATTGACCCAGCAAATGACATCTCCGCTGATTGCGACAGTATAGGTGAGTTGTGGGTTAGTAGGCCACGCAAATAGATTTGACCTTTGGCTTGGTGTGTGTTTTTGCGATTGGGTGATTTTAGGATTTTTACTAGAAGCAGTTTCAGGATTCGGAGTATCTGGTAGGATTTGAAACTTGTTTTTGAAGGACGCAAACAAATAGCGATTTGAATTTAAACCATCACCACATTTATGTATATTATCATGCATCATGTAGAGTTCTTTCCAAGATGAGGCCATAAGTGAATTTGTTATGATACCCCATGTACGTTTGCATAGCGACCGCCAGTAGGTCATATCAAATGCACAAACAATAGAATGCCATTCCTTGCATATACTTGATACGAGTAATAAGCTATGAGCATCCAACAAGCCAAATATTTGAAAAAGTATATCGGTAGGAAAATGCTAAGACATGATTATAGATAGAAACAAAAGAGTTTAAAGGTGTACAACACACAAGTGAGCAATAGGGTTAGAATAGACTCGACGCCTGTTTTACAATGCCAGTTTAAAATTCAAGCCAATACATACGGGAAATCCAAGCACTATTATTGCTTTAGTAGCCATATGAGCATTAGCAGGATGTGCATGACAGGAATGGTGTTGAGTAGGATCACAGCGACAGTTTACGGCAGTATGACTGTCAAGCTCCCAATTGGAGCGAGACTGGCCTCGAAGACGAAGCTTTTTGTGTGCACGAGGAGCAAGAGCTGCAGTGGATAGAAGGTGGGATTGCTGTCGGATACTCGAATCGGTATAGTTGTGAACATCGTCACTTGTAGTCAAGTCGGTTGAATGCACTATGCTTGAAGCTAGTTGAAAAAACGAATCCTGTCGTTGCTGCTCAGACAAAACTGGATTGGCTTCAATGAGTCTCCATTGATCCATAAAGGACAATGACATGATGTAATAGAATTGATGTTGGGAATACGCAATTACAACTGTATTCACGTAAAATGGACTACTTGTTGGATTGCTTGGAATAAAAATGGTTAAATGCTCGTTGCGCTTATTACAAATTGACTCGAGTCAATACATCCGCCATACAAACTCTTGTGCTAAGTGTTTGATACACTCTTTAAAAATCCAACAATTGAACGTATTGAAAATGAAATGTTGTTCCATACCAACAATCAAAAGACTAATGACTTTTCAAGTTTAAAGGACAATACTGTCTAATCATTCCAGACTGGCTGTTTATGTATTTTGATGCATTGATTTAGTTTTCATTTTACGAATAATACAAATTGATCCGTCAGGACAATTTTGAGCAACCAATGTCTAGGCTGACTAGGAATTTTGCATTGACAGTGTCAGGTATAGGCATGTATGGCTTGTCTGCCTATAGTACCTATCAACTGTATAAAATATATCAGGCACCAGAGCCAGCACCCAATTGCCATGAACCAAAGAATCAGTCTCCGTATCAAAATGTATACAGTGCACTTGCACCAGATTACGATTCCAAGATTGATTGGGATGAATATCTTTTGGGTATTGGTAGGCGACGCAATCAGCTTCTTGAGCATGCAGTGGTAAGAATGACAACGATGCAGTTTGAATTGATATTTGAAGCCATTTGGAATAAAATTGGACTCGATCAGCTTACACTCATTTCGATTGTATAAACAGGGAGATGTCTTGGAAGTGTCTGCAGGAACAGGACGCAACTTGGAATACTACAATACATCTAATATTACATCCTTGACACTTACAGACAGTTCACCAGAGATGCTCAAACAAGCTTATACCAAATTCCAAACCAGTAATCACCGACATCGTTACCATCGCACTCCACCCAAATTCATAGTCATGAACTCTCAACATATTCTAGACACAACACAAACCATGATGCAGCAAGAACAACCTGTTGCACAGTATGATACAGTGGTGGACACATTTGGGTTATGCTCGCATACAGATCCAGTTGCAGCATTAAAGGAAATGGCACGAGTGTGTCGTAAAAAGACTGGCCGGATTCTGCTGTTGGAACATGGACGCACAGGATCGTGGGATTGGCTCAATACGGCACTGGACAAGTTTTCTGGAGATCATGCTCGGGATTGGGGTTGCTGGTGGAATCGAGACATTCTTGGGTTTGTAAAGGATGCTGGCTTGGAGATTGAACAGGTGAAGCGGTATCATTTTGGTACCACTTATCTGTTAGTGTGTAAACCATCCAGGAATCAGCAAGAAACTCGATAGTCTTGATGTCAAACAGTTCAAATGGAATGGCTGGATCGACTGCATGCGTTTGGATTGTTGACAAGATTGAATCTTGAAATAAAGTGTCTCATTGTGCAGTTTTTTGTAGCCTATACTATAGCCATGAATTTGAACTGTAGACTGAATCTGTCTATGGATCATGTAGATACGCTTTATTCTCAGTGTCGCCATTGTCTCTCTCTTGCTGAATCCACAACAGTCGATGATATTCAAGAAGCCAAAAACTGTCTCACGCGGCTGGCCACTATACATCATCATTCTCCCAGTCAGTTGTGGTTAGCCATGAATGCATGGCCTAGTGATCCACTCTGTGCAATCGACTATGCATGTAAGGCTATTAAACAAACACCACAGGCAGAATCTTGTCGAATGCTTGCAAACTGGTTATGGGATATATCCACACATTCATCAATTCCAATACATGGTGAGACGAATGAGTGATATGCTATCATGATAATGATTTCAAATGCAATAACTTGAGATTCTATAGCATACTAATGGCTGACTGCATTGTTTTGTGGATATGGGTTAGACACGATTGATTCTGCATCAGATCTAGCTGCCATTCTGGGATATGATTATGATGAACCCGAGTTTGTTTTGTTGAACCCAACACACATTACCAACCATAATTGTCGTATTATTTCTATATGTCATGATGCCGCCATGTCTTATTGGGCTCAGGCAGCAGAAAAGTTCAATGATGACGCGAGTATACAACAGTTGGCTATTGCAATGTCATCCGTCAATGACAGCGAATCTGCTTTCAAGTGGTGGCATCGTGCTGCGGAAACGGGAAACAAAATGGCCATGACAGTGTTGGCTCATCAGTATATTGCTGATTCTAGCAATTCATTGCAATCAGACAAGAGTCTTGTGAAATCCACCAACCGGACTGTCCAATCCAATGATGACAAATCCACACTGTTTTCTGAACACATATCAACAAAAAGTGATTCACATCAAAACAAAAAGTATAAAGATACTGAAAACAGGCTGCTTGAATATGTGCACATGACAGCAGATCAAGGTGATCCATTATGTAGACGTGCTCTTGGAGATGCGGCATTGGGCTTGTTGCAACTGGGTCAACCCACCTCGTCAATAGTATGTCATTCACCATCAGAAATGGAAGATTCCAAAACACCACTTGAGTGGTACTTTTCAGCAATCGAATCTGGGGATAAAATATCACTTTTGCGTGCAGCCATGCTCCTCTACTTTGGCACTAAACGATCACCTGTAGATGCCATAAAGGCTATAGAGTACTTTGCAGCATCTGCTCGTGAAACGCAGGAACAGCCACGGTTAGTTCAGATTGCTCATTTGGTACGAAATGGGGACACTCGGTCCGATTTGAAAGCAAACGCCGAGCAAGCGTACGAGTATTTTAGCGAGTCAGTTACCAAGGATGGATGTGCAGAAAGTATGCGAATTCTAGGGGATTTGCTGATGACAGGAGAAGGATGTAAGATGGATACACGACGAGGATTTGAGTTGTATGAGAGAGCTGTCGAGCAACGCGATGGCATGGCAATGATATCGATGGTGCGATGTTTATGGTTGGGAATAGGAATTGACAAGGATCGACAACGAGCAAGAGAAACAATGCGAAAGGCAATGATGATGTTTCAACAGAGTGACATGAATGGAATGTACGGTGACAGACATGTATCGATATCAGATGGTGAGGTGGACGCAGCCATTGAACTGATTGCCATTCAATGAAGTGACGGTTCGGATTGAATGTCAAACGCGATTCAGTTTTCTTTTTTGTTGAAATTCCATTCAACGTAAAACATAATGGCATCAGACGGCAGTAATTTGCATAACCAGAATGGCAGCAACTCGCTGCCTGGTGGTGACAACACTACCGGTGTAAGTATCAGGAGTTCTAGTACTTTCTGAAAGTCTGTACTTATCCTATAATGATAATTAGGATTTCAGCAATGCTTTAGAAAAGGCAAAAGCTATGGCAGCTCGTTTTGCTGCTGGTGCAAAGGCTCCTCGAGGTATCTATTCAATCACAAATGATCATGGTTCCATATTCCTTTCAAAAACAGTCTGCTTGTGCTGGATAGTATAGACGGCTATTTGAAGTGGTGACCTGTTCACCTTGTAGGATTCATCTAGTTGATTATCGTAATAAAGTTGGACTACTTTATGAATCTACTGACCGACTATACTCTGTTCATGATACTGGTAATACTGACTAACCCTGTAAACATCATTTTTATATGGACATTGCTGGAACTTGTTTAATCTTGTAGAAGATGGACCATCTCATGGTATCAAGCGACCCAATGACGAGTTTGATCATGATTCTCGTCCTGCTCCATCCTCTGGCTATCGCCGACAGGAAGATTCCGAGAACCAGCAACAACCATACCAGCCAGATATGCATGTTGGAAATGATCCACAACAACAGCACCAGAATCAATACCAACCTCAACAACATCAGCAGCAATATGGCCAACCCCAAATGTATCAACAACAAGGTCATTACGGCAGTGCACCTATGCCCTATGGCGGTCATGCCGGTGGTCATGCTGGCGGCCATGCTGGTGGTCCTCCCACTTCCCACTATGGACCACCTTCTGATCAGCAAAAGATTGTTGTAGTGGTTCCTCCAGGAAAAGTAAGTCATGCTCATACAGTGTCTAGGATATTTATACTGATACGCTCGCATTAATTTACAACTGGTGTAGGCGGGCATTGTTATTGGTCGTGGCGGTGAGACTCTCAAAGGCATTGAGCGTCAATTTGGTGTTCGTATCCAGCTAGAGCCATGTAAGTCGGATCTGCTGTTCAAATTTGTCTGATCGAGTCTCGTTGGTGTCAAACCCACCTGCTGTGTTGTGTATTAATTGCTCTTGTTCATCTAATTAGCGGGACCCAGTGGTGATATTGAAAAGTCGGCTATTATTACTGGTGGTTTACAAGAGATCGAGGCTGCTAGCAAGGCTGTTCAAGAAATCATCAATGGCACTCCACGAACGGGTGGTAATGGTGCATACGGTCAATCTGCAGCACCTTATGGCGCTACACCATATGGTGGAGGCATTACTGCTCATGTTCAGGTTCCTCAAGCTCATGGTGGGTTGATTGGTTTTGTCAGCAATCTCTGTCAAGCAAAATCACGCTTAACGTTATTCTTTTATATATATTGGTCACTTTTGAATACTGTAGTTGGTCTAGTGATTGGCAAGGGCGGTGAAACCATCAAATCGCTACAACAACGGAGTGGTGCTCGAATTACTGTTGCAAAAGAAACTGAAACTGAGCCGGGTGCAACCACTCGAATTGTCACTATTTATGGAAACGAGCATGCTGTTGCTACTGCTCAACATATGGTTAATGAAATCATTCAACACCAGCAATTTCAACGTGTAAGTATTTATATGGTTTTATTTGAATATTTGATGGAAATCAATACTGATATTTGCTATAGCAAGTGACTACTTATGGACCACCTCCAGGCGGATTCAACAACTACGGACAATACTGCGAGGTTGTCATGGTAAGTTGATATGACAAGACCGCTCTATAACTTATTATTTCGTATCTTGATGAATTATGTTTTGCCTGCTTTTCTTGGTCTATATTTTGTATGAATGTTCGCTTCGCTGTATTTTCTTTGCTCGTATTGGATTGTTATTTGCTCGCCTCGGATTTACTATTATTTGTTGCTCGTCTATCTTCATTTTATTGTGGATCTATTTTTTGTTTCGCTGGATACTGTATTTTCTTGTTGAATTTGGTCGATGCCACTTACCCCTCTTCAACATGCTCACTTGTTGTATCTTTCAGGTTTCTGCAACCAAGGTATTTTTTGTATTGCTTTAAATGATCAGAATCCTGTGGATCTGTTGAAATCACACTTGTTTTGTCCTTTGATCTACTGTATTCTTCATGTAAGATGCCTTTTATTTGGTGTCTTGGACTTGCTAGATCTTGATTGATCTATTTCTTTCCTTCCTTTCTTCCTTCTTATTTCTTTGGTGAGTGTGAATATGGTGGTTTGAGCCATTTTCCCTTTCATTGGCTTTGCCTCCTTGCTTAACACTGTTTTTATATCAATTTTAAGGTTGGACTTGTTATTGGTCGAGGTAAGACATTTTGCATCTTTTATTGGAAACGGCTTAGACTGTTATTGTCTGCGCTTCAGCCATGTGTCTATACAGTGCTTTAATGCATTGGTGATCAATTGTGTGACTGTGGTCGAGTTTATGTAGTTTTAATCATTGACACATGGTTTCATTTTTATTTGGTTCAAAAGGTGGCGAGACCATCAAGTCGATTCAGGGCGAGTACGGTGTTACTTTAAAGGTTGATCCCAACACTGATGCTAATGGAGAGCGTCGTGTTGCTGTTTATGGTGAGCTAGTCGCAGCGATGCAGAGTATTGTGCATCTTTTGCTAACCTAACTGATGTACATTCTACAATGATTGCTATTCAATTCATTAGGCCAACCAGATGCCGTTGCACGTGCCAAGGAAGCTGTCTATGAGCGTGCCATGTCTACGGTAAAATAAGCATGACTCGACTAGATGAGATTTATTTTGAACTGATTGCTAATGCAAGTTTGTCTGTGTCTCTGGGACTTACAATATATAGAAGCGTGTCGGTGGTGGTCGAGGTGGTCGTGATGGACAAGATCCGTATGGTCAGCAGCAGCCCCAACAACAGTATAGTTATGCTTACCAGACTCCTGCTACATACACTGATCCTCAACAACAACAGGGCTATGACTATTCAGCATATGGTCAATACGATCCTGCTACATATGCCGCTGCTTATGGCCAACAGGCTGGTGTTGCAGCTCCTGCTGATGGTCAACAACCAGGTACACGCTTTTTACCTGTTATTTTGAAAATGCTCATTCTAACATTGTTTGCTGTACTTTTTGCAACCTTTACATTGATATCTAGCCTATGATGCCAGCCAATATGGCGGTTACGATGCCAAAGCATATGCTGACTATTATGCACAGTATGCTCAGTATTATGGATACGATCCTAATGCTCTTGCAGCAGCTACTGACGGATCTGCTCCTGTTGAAACGACTGGCGAAGCATCTGTTGATGCCACTGGCACTGCTGTAGACTCCCAGACTGCACCCAAAGACTCAGAACAATCCACAGAAGAGACTAATGCTGTTGATAGCTATGATGGACAGCAAGATAGTAGTCAACAGGTTGACAATAGCGAAAGTGTAGTCAATGCCACCGAAGACTCGTCCAACTGAATCGGTCCAGGTTTTGACACGTTTGTCTGTTTCTGGATATTTAGACTTGAGAATTCCATACTTGTTGACTTTAAGATCCAAAAGGTTTGAATTTAGTATAAGCAGAGGCATTTGCAAAAATTTGATGCATTATTTTGTCTTTTTTGAATGGATTGTGAATGAACATTTATGAATAGGACACTTGTTCAGCTGTGTTGACATGAAATGGAACACTTGATTCTTGGAATATACAATGACTAATAGTTGTCGCACTCTTTAAAACACTTTATACTACAAACCATTGCTTATTTTACTGAATACAGAAGCAAATCCAAACTCGGACAGTTTTTCATCCAGATTTCATTTGATTGTATTTTTGAATTTATCTGGAAATCACCAATTACTTGCATCTTGTGTAGCATACTTTATGAATACTTTGGCAGACAACCCGCTTTTTGTCGGTATGGACGATAGTGGTGATCTAGATGCTAGCATGCCATGGCAGATGGAGACCACTGAACAAAGTCTGGACTTGTCTGGACTTACAATTGCCTCTACATTGCCAACGGTACCCTTATCAACACTCGAGGAATTGATTGATAGTATTGATAGTCATTTGAATACCAAAACTGAGGATATAGAGCATAGCATGTCACTTTTTAAGCAAGAAAGGTCTCGACTGCTAAATTCTATTTCTAATGACATATTACTAGAAGCTGTAGATAGTAAAAATGTAAAGTACATGTGTTTGCGTCTGGTTACATGACTGTTTCCAAATTCATATTCTAATCACTCGAGTGTTTATGTTGATTGATACATTGTGGCTGATGGAATCTGTATGATTCGGACATGTACTCAGGCATTGGAACCTGTTTGGAAACTGAATGCATCGATTGATATTCTTGATCAGTTAGAAAACAACAGTATGGCGAGTATGCCTTGTCTAGGTCTTTCTGCCAACGACTGGACTCATTTTGTACATCAAAGTTTAGATCGACAAGTAAGTGTTGGGTTCAACCCTGCGTGACTTTTATATAGATGGTGCATATTGAGTGAACACGCGGTATTTCATGTCGTACCTGTTGCATCAAGAGCTATCCATCCACGCTTCGATCCATTTCAGCAATTGATACAATCTATTTCCAAACTAGGTTTCTCCAGCCATCCGAGCCATGTATGAGCAAAAAGTCAACCAAGTAATTGTTGACAAATGTCATGATTTGATTCGATTTTCATTGGGATTGTCAGAAGATGCAGGTGTAGACTATTCGTTTATCTTTATTCATTTTACTTGCATCGAATCTTTATGTTCAACTGTTTATTGCATCGGTATATGCTTATAGCTATCCTTCCACAAGACTTGCAAACCTTTACAGCACATCTCGATCACACATTAGCTCAAATCAATCGCAATAGAGTAGATATCCTTCAAGGTTATATCGATATTCTCGACGAATATGAAAAGGTACTCGATAACCATGCGTATGTGACACATGGCATTCAGTCGTGGATCGGTTCATTCTGTAGCCAAACTCAACCTGTGCTGCATGAATCGTTTGCATCGTATTTTGAAACCATCCATTCGAATTTAAGATTGAAACTCGAGTACGTGTTTGCATTTTGGTTGGGGTTGAAGAATGGCTACTAAAGAATTCAATGGCTGTTGCATTAGGTGCTTGAAATTTGATTTGGTGGGTTCAATTAAGGATAGTCGAGTGGGTCAAGACATGGAAAAAGCAAAGTAAGGTGTTCATTGGGTGTAGATAACTTGGTTTATATCATATTGTATTCATGATTGAATATAGCTTTACGGTGAATCCATGACTAATTTATATTGCTGTTTAAACACTAGACATGACTTGGAATATGCAAATAGACAGATTCAAGCCAGCTTTGACCAAATCACAGCAGAACTGAGCCAGTATGACAGTTTTGGCGACGAGTTTCACAAGATTGTCAATGCTTATGCCATGTATTCACAGGAGTTATTGACGATTGAGCGCGATCTCGCTCGACTCGATACATGAGATGAATCAGGCTCAGTACAAGCCATTAAAATAAAGCCATTCTAACCAGATCTAGATTGTTATTATATCGTCCAGGTTCAATTCAAATGGTTTATTAAAAACATACATGCAAGGATCGCAAAGGACACTCGCATATATTACCAGCCACTGGCAGCGGGCTGCTCGCCAGACCATTCATTGTCAGCAGCTGCACCCCAGTCACCATCACCTTCAGCAACGGGAGCAACAGCAACAACATCAGCAGCACCGGCAGTGCCTTCCCATTCAAGAGCAGCCTGATCCTCGGAGGTTTTCCACTCATCAGCCTCGGCCTTTTGAGCAAGAAGCTCGGCTTCCTTCTCAGCCTCTTCAACGGGGTCACGGTAGAAGAACATGTCAACCATGATATCCCACTGGCTTGTACGCGCAATGGATCCACGAAGACGGAGAACCTCACGAGCAAGGAGATACCAGCCAAGACCGATTGCGTGACGGCCCTTGTTGTTTGTGGGGATGGCAACATCAACAAACTTGAGGGAAGAGTCAGTGTCACAGAAGGAGATGACGGGGATGTTGACATAGGAAGCCTCAATAATAGGCTGGTGATCCATAGCAGGGTCAGTAACAACAACCAGACGGGGCTCACGGAACGAGCGAGTGATGTAATTGGTGAAGGTACCGGGAGTGAAACGTCCAGCAATGGCCTGAGCACCAGTGTACTGAGCAAACTTGAGGGCAGCACGCTGACCATAAGGACGAGCAGAGATCACACAGACATCAGCAGGGTTTTCAATGGAAGCAATGATACGGGCAGCAAGAACAAGCTTCTCCCAGGTTTTGCCAATGTTGATGATGTTGACACCATCAGTACGGCGCTTGAAGACGTATGGAGCCATTTTAATCTCAGAGTTCTTTGTGCCAAGATGGGACTGATGGATCCAATTGTTCAAGATTGAGTGATCATTACAGAAAGGTCCGAGCAGATAAGATTGTAGAAATAAAACACATGAGTATCCAGATTTCACAACACAAGCACTCCAACACCGAATGGATTCAAAAGTCAAGCCATACCTGGGCAGCAAGAAGCATCTGCATATCGGCCTCTGTGGGAGCAAGAATGGCTGGAACCTTGGACATGATGAGTTTGTTTCCGGAAGCACGACTAGAATATAATACGAATAGTTGAATGTAAGTTGGAGTTCAAGTTGCAATAGACTGACTCAATTCAAACAAGATGCATTCATCCATGCATGATGGATGGATGAATGCATGCATGATGGCTTGCATAGTCAGATGGATGGATGGTTCAGTAGAATCTAGCACTCACAGTTCCAATTAGAAATGTATCGGGTAAGAATAGGAGTTGGAGAATAATTGTTAATGTAGAGGGACAATGAGGGACAGTGAGGGACTTTTGACGCGTTATGGCAATATTCATGTAAAATGAAACGAATACTTTCATCAGTCTCAGTATATCCTTGACTTGTTCAATCTGTAACTCTCCTACAAAACACTAGATGATTAACATGAAAACAACAGTTGAGTTTCTGCAATAATTGGTTTGTAAACTTGAGTGTGAATATGAGATTCAGGATACAACAATCAGTTTGATTGGAAACAACCAAATCCAATATCTGGATTGCAATGAACGAATCTGGTGATTGTACAATGCATGGTTATTCCAAAAGTGGAGAAAGCGATAGTTTTTATTATAAGATGAACGTTGTTTCAAAAAGTTAGTTTTTAATAGAAAAGCGTAACGAATATTAACTATTGTTTATTTCAAGAATCGATTGCTGCAAGATAAATACAAGTACTTCATTTATGTGAATACAACTGCAGTATATTGCTAGTCATTATGCAATCGACTCTTTCACAACAACTACCGCAATACTTTCCACTCAAACTGAAAAAGTGTGCTGCTCCAGCTGAAGCCTTTTTTGCTTGTTTTGAAACCGAGGCTGCTCCAAATGGTGTAAGTTGCTATCCATATTGTTCATATCCATATTGCATCTGCTTATGTTTTATTGATTATAACTGGCAGGATCGAGATGTAGCACGAAAAGCCATTGCAAAGTGTGGTGAACAACTCAATGCATACAAGGCTTGCATGGACAACTTTGTCGGACCCAAAGCCGCCAGTCGATCTGTTCCAGTGACTGGATGGAGCAGATGGGTTTCATGGTCTGCATGGACTGGTCAGGCTTAAGTATAGATATCAAACAGATCCATAAGATCTAGTCCTGCTCGACTCATTAAACATGCATTTATTCAATCGGAGTTGATGATCTTTTAGTGTGCATTGGTATACTTTTATTTTGGTAGTACGTTGTCATTGGACTCTACAGTAGGATATACTTTCTGTAAGATGGTCAGTACAGTGTCCAATAAACACGACAATAATGTGCGATTATAGACTATACCCATGAAAAGTTTGTTTTTGACTGACAACATAAACCATTGGTTTGACTATTCTTTGACGTTGAGCTACGGGCAGACTGCACAGCGGTTTTTTGGCCATGCGAGTATTCGAGAGTCGTCAATCCATGAATGTCTGATTGAAAAATCAATTACACGAATGATTCAATCTGCAATGTTTAGACTCGATATCAAATGCAGTCATTATTGTCGTATAATGCATACCAACTCACATAGATACATATGTAGACTGATCAAGTATGCCAAATACACGGTGACTATCAATGAGAATACTGCATCAACACCAGTAATCCACTGTATGGTGCTTGAAGCCAATCCAAACCCTAAATACGATCGACTGTCAATTCAAATCTGATATACAACAACTCGATAATCATATTTACACCTTACCACTGTTGTTGGTATTTGAACCATTGATACTGCATACGATCAGCACATATACAGCAACAATTGTCATGGTCAGTGAATGTGTGAATGCAGCAAACATAGTTTGTATATACAATCTAGAATCGAATAGTTTTTGGCGACGAGTTGGCCATTGCAGTATTAAAATCACAATATCAATATCAATATCAGTGTCAACATCAATATCAATACACATCACATACCGATAATTATAGTATCCGATGCAATTATTGACATAGAAACAATGGTGATCGATTCGACGGACACATTTGTTGCAGTATCTGCAATGGAGCGAGTCTAATCTCCTATACTTACAGTGTTTAGATTGCAGTTGTGCGTTCAGTTTGATGTAGTCAATATATACAATCGACTCACACATTACATGCACATACTGTGCAAAACTGCAATGATGGATCGTGTGTTGGCATGCCATTTGTAGGTTTAGCAGATTGAAATGGATCCGGTTTATAGTCCAGTCCGAGCCTGTAGTATTGTTGCACTCTGTTGCCATGCTGTGGAACTGCAGGTGTTTGAATTTTGGACTCGGATGATGGTGTTTCGGTCAAGACCACGTTGTGATGATACGATTCAGTATATAATGACCGGTCGACTGGATCTGACCACATGAGTGCCATGGACAAAACAGATAGTAATACTGCACATGATACTGACCATACATACAGTGTAGTTCGTATAGTCATTGAAGCAATCACGGACATATGAAGAGTTAAGAATACACTTAAACTGACCAAGACATATAGAATAGCCAGTAGTTGACGCGGATGTAATGGCAGTTGAAGTCCGTTTAGTCGAACAGGTAAAGTCATCATGTTGTTGATATCGCTATTGTGTATACGAATAGCAGTGTGGTGTTGAACCAGTGAAGTCATTGAATCTACAGAATAATGTAATTTAGACTTTCTAGTCAAAGTTGGTTTCAATATTAACGCGAGTCATTCGAGTGTTTTTAATGACAGTAAAGTATTGTATAAGATTATTAGTCAGTTTCAGTATCAATAAAGAATATTTCTAATATAAAATATTAATCCAAATTCAACCATTTTTAATGAATTTTATGAAATTTCAGCTCAAAATCAACAATTTCCAAAACTTGAAACAAATTCAAAACTGAATTGCAAGCAGCTTCAAATTCAAATTTGTTTTTTTCAAACTCGAAAGAAAACTCGAATTGAAACAGTTTTTGTTTTCTTTCCTTTCACTCGACTGAATTTCCATTACATTATGGCTGCTGAAAAGTAAATGGTTTTGCTTGTTTCTTGATTGTGTTTGATATGAACATCCCGTTGTCAATGGATTGAACTGTTGCTTGTGTCAGCACTCGCACTCTGCTTTTATTACTGTCTGGCTTCAGTAAAATCCCTGTTTGATGCACTTTTTATTTTGGTTTAGTGGATGATGGCTGGGTTTTCGCTTTTGGGTGATACATTCATACCAGTTTAGACAATACAATCAAGTCCTACTATGCATGGTCTAATCACTCGAGACTTTTTTACTGCTCATATGAAACCACATTCCGGGTGTGCTATCAGGGTTTCATAAAGGGTTTTACTATTGCATTTGGACAGTATTTCTGATGGCGGATTGAAAATGCATTTGACTTTTAATCTACTCTTTATAACTATAGTCCACTTGAAGAATACAAGTGTTTTCCAAAATGGTTCATGATGCAATGTTTTTTTGGTTCAAATGGACTAAATTGATGTTTATTATTTTTCTTGATAGCCCAACGCACGAAGCTTCGGCTGGACTAGAAGATCTCGCCGAGAATGACATTCAGGTACAGTGTTATTGCTTCTTGTGTTCACTTGAGTCTTGCTGTTCACTTTCATGTCTTGTTTTATACTCTGCTAACACTGGATTTGAATCTGAAAATAAAACTATAGACCAACTTTGATGAGCGTGCTGAGACGTTTGACGAAATGAACCTCAAGAAAGAGCTGCTGCGCGGTATCTTTGCTTATGGGTAAGTTGCACTTCTGGTCTGATATATATCCAGCTATTGGATTGAGATCAATTACAGCATTTAGATCAGATATCTTACCATTGGTTAATGTTTAAATAATCTAGTTTCGAAACCCCTTCCATCATTCAGCAACGTGCTATTCTCCCCGTGCTCCGTAAGCACGACGTCATTGCCCAGGCTCAGTCTGGTACTGGTAAAACTGCCACCTTTTCCATTTCAATCTTGCAAAATATTGACGAGACTGTGCGTGAGTGCCAGGCTCTTGTTCTTGCTCCAACTCGTGAGCTTGCCCAACAGATCCAAAAGGTTATTTTGGCTCTTGGTGATTTTCTCCAGATTGAATGCCACGCTTGTATCGGTGGTACTAATGTCCGTGAGGACATGGACAAGCTCCAGGCTGGTCCCCACGTTGTTGTTGGTACTCCAGGTCGTGTCTTTGACATGATTAACCGTGGTGCTCTTCGCGCCAATAAGATCAAGATGTTTGTTCTTGACGAGGCTGACGAGATGTTGTCTCGTGGTTTCAAGGAGCAGATCTACAACGTTTTCCAGCTTCTCTCCAGCGAGATTCAGGTGGTTCTTTTGTCTGCCACCATGCCTGCTGATGTTCTTGAAGTAACCAAGAGCTTCATGGTTGACCCTAAGCGTATTCTTGTCAAGCGTGATGAGCTTACCCTCGAAGGTATCAAGCAATTCTACATTGCTGTCGAGAAAGAAGAATGGAAATTCGAAACCCTTTGTGATTTGTATGAAACTGTCACTGTCACTCAAGCCGTCATTTTCTGCAACACTAAGAGGAAGGTTGACTGGCTCACTGAGCATATGCGTGCTCGTGACTTTACTGTCTCTGCCTTGGTATGCTTTATTGCTCTGAATAATGCATTGTTGCAGAATACTGTTTCTCACTCTAGATTTAATCTTGACAATATAGCACGGTGAGATGGAGCAAAAGGAGCGTCAGACTATTATGGGAGAATTCCGATCTGGTTCTTCCCGTATTCTGATTACAACCGATCTGTTGGCTCGTGGTATTGATGTGCAACAAGTCTCACTTGTCATCAACTATGATCTTCCTACCAACCGTGAAAACTACATTCATCGTATTGGTCGTGGTGGTCGTTTTGGTCGTAAAGGTGTTGCCATCAATTTCATGACCACCGAGGATCAGGCTATGCAGCGTGACATTGAAACTTTCTACAACACTCAGGTCGAGGAAATGCCAAAGTCTATTGCTGGTCTTATTTGATTATTTTTATGATATATCATTTTGGTTGACTTTGCACTCTCAACCTTACATCTTTCCTACTCGTTCACCCCCGCACTTTTGAATTTTGCAATTTCATTATGTTGTATTGTCAAATAAAAGAGGCTTTTCATTCGCTGATAGTTTATGCTTTTCTAGATATTTTGGTTCGGATGCGCTGTTTTGAATGCTCCTCCGATTTGCGTTTACGACTTGCCTGCTTCATGACATTCTTTTGAATACGGCGTCTTGAACTTGCTTCCGGGTCTACAACGGCTTGGATCGATTTCTGTGTGCGTCTATCTCTACGCACTTTTTCCACGCTGAGATGCACTGTGTTGTACATGTCAATATACGCTGTTGTTCCAAGTTGTTTTTGAAACATGTTCATCACCTCGAGAGCAAGTTGATGTATTTCCTCTACGTTATTTTAGGTTAACAAGGCAAGGCATGTTAGTATACATATGACGGGTATGCACTTGCTATATCTGGTAACATTTACCTGCTGCTGGGCCCTTGGCAGTATCGTTTTTGGCCGATCGATACAATGTAGAAATCATACACATGTAGTATGGATGACTGACTTCTTTAGGAATGTGCATCGAGATTGCAGCAAACCATTGAAACACGCTTCGTCGCTAGTATTCACAAGTATGCAACATTTGGTCAGCATTTAATCCATTGGTTGAATCAGGTAGCCCAAGACTTCAACATCACATTATATCATTATTTACCAAAATAGGACCGCGTCTCTTGCTTGCATCCAAACGAGCCAGATATGATAGTCGTCGAGTAAGCCACATGAGTACATTTCCTTTTTCGTTTTCTACTTGAACAAGTTCAATATCGTCCAGTGCTTCATTATCTTGTGTACCTGTTATTCCATCACCACTGTCCTTGTCATGTGTGCTTTTTGAATCCACAGTGTTTGACACATCTGCATTGACATGCGTTGTTTGGCATGCCTTGTTAATACTTAGTGCCAAGCAACGACCTAAAAACACCAAATTTTTAACTGTTTGCTTTGCAAGCTCATCCGACACTAAATCAGAATCCAACTGCCCACAGCATCGTCCAGCCAGTTGTTTGATATCCGAATCCTGAGCAATCAACACATGCATAGTGGAACGTTCAACTCCACCAACACTTCGCGTGTCTGGATCGATATGAGAAAACAGTAGTCCAATCAGTTTGGCAGACATGCTACGAATCCATTGATGTGGATGAAGAAGCAATTGGCTCACACTTTTCCAGATCCTCATTGCATGAGAATCAGATGCATGCAAAGTGTTGTTTAGTACGCTAGGGAAAACAGACACAATCTGCAGCAGCGTGTTGAGTGAGTAATATCCTAGTTCCCACAGAGCCAGCTCTGTATTTTCCTCGTCCATACATGATGTCATGGTGAGATGGATTGCAGCATCGTTCATTCGATTCTCAAGCTCTTGAATCACTGATACCAAAGCACTGTCGATACTTTCAAGCACATTTGGAACCCATTTTTCCGAACGACTACCAAACGTTTGAATCACAATTCCAAAAACTTGTGCTGCTGTGCGACGCAATGCAGGTTGCTGATGCTCCGTAAACCATTTAAAAACTAATGTAATTGATTTTTCTGATTTTGTTACATCTAGTCGTTTCAATAGCTCTCCAACACGCAATGCAGACAATTTTCTACAGCGTGACGAGGAGTCATTGACAAGAGACATGACCAGTGCCAAAAACAACATTTCGGCATAGTCCTTGATAATTTCATCAGAAAATTTAGCAATGCCAATACTAAGAACTTCAAGGATTGATTCCCTGCCGGTTTCATGGTCATATTCCAAGTTTTTGATCATGTACGTGATTTGCTTGCGAAATCGGACATGACCGTGTGGATAATCAAGCAAAAATTGCATGTAAGCCTGTCGAGACAATTCACGCACTTGACTGCTTTGACTTGTCACAAGCAGTTTGATGACAATATCCATCAAATCATAAATTTCCTTGAACACATACTTGCGTCCTAATATGGCACGAATAAGTGAAAAGGTTGTTGCTTGCCGATCTGGTTCTTCCAAATCAGGTTGAATCAATGTTGCAAGTGTAATGATTTGGCTTTCAGATACAGACACCTCGGAGCAATCGCGTAAAATGATCGTTAAAAAGCGGAAACATTTCTGAACAAGCTCAGACGATGTTGTAGTGGACTCGGAAATGATTTGGAAAACACGTTCGACAAAAACGGGATAAAACTTCTTGAGTGATGGCAATGGTGAACGTATAACATTACACAGAATGCGCAGTGTAATTACATTAATAGTAACATGCTTAGAACAAAGAGATTTTTCAAGCACATCGACCAGTGGATCCATCATTTGTAAATGTTCCTTTTCGCGCAAATCGATACGCTCACGTTTGAGAGCTGTATGCAAGAGTTCAAGACCAAACTCAACAAACAAATGTGCATTAGCTTGAAGATATTTGAGAGGCTCAGTTGGATCGTTGCGCTTCAGCTGAATAGAAAAGTTACGCTCAGCATTGGATATTGCCCTGGGCTTTATCGTTTCATACTGCACAAGTGCCAAATTTTCTGTAATCAAGCCATGAACAAACTTCATAAACTCCACCGTACTAATGCCAGAGTTGGTATTTATTCCAAGCGCAAGTCGTCTAAAAATCTCCTTGATTTGCCGGATAACCTTGATGTTTCCAGTTTCAGCCATCAACTCTTTGATAGGAACAATGACTAGATTGATTTTTGATAGACTCAAAACTCGCAATGTTAATTCGAGAGTGTCGAACGATTTAGTTGTCCTGATCTCACGCATTTTTCCTCGCAGTTCTTCTACATCTCGTTCCTTTCCCGTATCACCAAAAATATCATTGATGCTGATATCAACAATAGATTTAATACAACTATCGATGGCTCCAGCTTCGGTGATTGGGACTATAGCAGTCATGAGTGAAAAAAGTGTATAGCCAAGTACATGCAGCTGATAACCACGCCTCAATGCTGTTCTCAATTCCTTGATGATAAAAGAAAGATACATTGGCCCAAGCATCACAGCAACTTTAACAAGCGTTTCGCGAGTAGCATCACGAGCGCTTTGAATATGAGACGAAAGAATATTGCACATGGTCAAAAGTAGTTTTGGCAAATACATGTGCATTGATTCAAGTGGAAACTGCTTGAAAACCTTGGTAATGGCAATGGCAAGCGGGATTCTAATTGGAATGGATTCGTCATCTTTAATCGACAGGATTCGCTGAAGATGAGGAAGTATTTTTGTAATGGTAGCATCAAGAATCTTGGCTGATTGAAGCTGATAAGCAGTCAGCCCTTGCTTATTAGACGTGCAATCCTCTGCATTAGCTGTTTGAGGATCCGACAAAATAGATTCAACTGAATCGATACTTTTTTGAATCGTATCAGAATCAACAGTCTTGATTTGATTTTTTCCATCCATATCTGAATCCTTGTCGTCAGCAGCCGTTTCTGTTTTGGTTTCCACATCCACATCCTCGTCATCTTCAATTATATTATCTTCGTCATTGTCGGCATCAGTAGCGTCCTTTTCATCCACATCCATGGCAGCCACATCTTCGCCTTTATCGCCAATCAAATCAAAATGAAATTGATCAAGAATATGGACAAGCGAACGCACCATAATTTTTTCCAGTCTGGGCTGTTTTCCAATCAAGTTTAAAAAGCGTTTCACCAGTGAATAATAGTGTGTCCATTTGAGCGTGCCAGCACACGCACCCAACGTGACAATAGAGTCATTGATGACATTATGCTCTTGAATGCGATCAGACTCAAAAATAAAGTGAGAAACAAGTGGCAAAAAGATGTTGGCTATGTTGTTGGATTTAAGCTGATGAGCATTACAGGCATCTGCTAATCGGCGGAGTGCTCGTTGACGTCGATGAACTTGCAAGTGATAAATATTATTGAAGAAATTAACTTCGTCATTGCCCTTGGCAAGCAATACAGTCATATCTTCAAACTGTGGCATGCTGGGAAAAGTTTCGACAAGCTGACCCAATAGCGTACAAAATTCTTGACGAATAGTTATGGATTTGTGCTTAATACCGATTTTAATGCTCGGAAGGACGAGATGCAATACAAGATCCATGTAGCTCAAATCACTCCGAACTCCCGTCGCAGCAGCAAATGGAGTCACGTCATTACAAGGCTGTATACCAGCCTGAGTTATAAATCGTTGTATGCCATACGATGCACTCGTTCGAATTGAAAACTCTTCTTCCTCCTGAGTATAAAAAACAAGATTGTACAAAATAGGCCTCCACTGAATCGGCTCAAGCGTTGTATAAAGCTCTTCGTTGATTTTAGAAAATGCACCAAATCGTCGATTAAAATCAGGCTCGTCCATTCTTTTTGGAGAAAATGCATTCATGTCATCCAGTAAATCTGCCACAATACTCAAATCGCTTGGGTTAAAAGAAACAAGCTGTCTGAATACAAACAAAAGCTTCGTGCGAGCAAGTCGAGTTTTGAGAGTACTAAATAACTGACATACCACAGGGTAGTATACCGACGTGTCTACTGATACGGTTGCAAGGGTAGGCAAAATGGGTATGAATTGACCAAAGATTTCCAAAATATCAACCTTGGTGATTTCAGGAACAACTCGATCGGGACGTTTCAAAAAAGGAAGCAGCATTGTAACTAGTGTTTCGGCATTGCCAGCCACAGTGACATGGCTCGACAACGCAGATATGACACGGATGATCCGCATAGTAATGTTGTCACCCGAAAAACGCACTGGCCGCCCATTAGTTCCACTGGATATAGTATTTTCAAGAACATACTCCAGATGTCCCAAAATAATTGTCATGTGTGGAATTAGCATAGTTTGCATGATCTCTAGATCTGGATAAGACAAATGCAGTTTTTGAATCGACTCGATCATTCCAACAACAACAGAAACAACACTGGCGTGAACCTTTTTAGCAGAAAGCAGTGAAAAAACAGATGGTAGTAATGTACTATCGTATTCTGTCAGGTAACCAATATACTTGACATTTTTTGACCAAGATGCAATCAGTTCAAGCAGTGCGCTTGGTGCTTGCGTGTTTTCAATATGGAATCTAGAAAGCCGATGAGAAATATGCGATACAAACAGAGGTTTGATGTAAGGTGAAAAATCAAAGTCTACTTCTGTGCTAAAAAGTTGAATAAGTCGTTGAACAGCCAGCACACGGACTTCACGAAGCTGTCCCAATTCAAAATCTGGGGTTATTGAAACACATTCCTTGTCTTGATTAGCAGCTTCTCGAATTACAGTTTCTGAATGATGGATAAGATAAATGATGGTCTTGAGGATTCCAAAAAGATGCGGTGCAATAAGTGAGCGAAGCTGCTTGAACAAATCTTCCAATACAGTCATGAAACCTATTTGTTTTTTGAGAGGGCCAACCATTGACGATTTTACATTGTCGATGATAACTAGAGAACCGCCTGATTCAGGATCGGCTTGTAACAAAATCTTGCTGAATGGTTTCAGCATGAGGTCGATAATATACTGGCGCTCTTGAGTCTGAAGCCCCGCTACAAAGGAAAAAACTGCAATACGACGAGCCTTTAAACCTGTTTTTGACGCTTGTCTTTGTCGGTGACTAATTAGCTTCCCGTATAGAATTCGAGAAATAGTATGCATCAGCGCAGGCTGATCTACTGTATTGATTTTGGAGTAGAGATCTTCCATATCAATAGTGGATAGACTGTCACGGAAACTTTCGTCATTAATAAGCCCATAAAGACACCCAGAATATGCAGCAACACCTGGCTGATTCCATGTTAGTACACAGTCCAAAGCGTGTTTTTGTACTTTGGCATCACCTTTTGTCAGCAGCTGATTGAATATTGCAAATAGCTCTGTAGAGAATGCTAACCCTTTTGAATTACGAATCTTGGAAAACATCTCTAGAAAGGCCAAAATCTTTGTACGAGCATGAAGTGTAGAGGTATTTGCAGGTTTCTCGGTCTCGTCGATTGCCTTTTTATCAAGTTCGGTTACTTTTGTTTCTGTGGATGGAGCAGTATCATCATACTCGTCGCGGAACATTTTAAGAAAGAGTGGAACAATGTCTTTGGAATAACGATTCACCACATCAGGAAGACTAGCAAGTGCTCGAATTAACAGGCAATAGATGTTGACAGAATCAACTCTTTCAAGAGCAGGCTGAGTAGCAGAAACAAACAACTCCATGCTGCTTAATTGCTCGGTATCGAATTTTCCGACTGCATTTTTCCAAGTAGTTTCAAATACCCTTTGATTGGAGCAAGAGAATTGAATCTTTTTGAAACCTCGTGTCTTGCCAGACTTTTTCGATCCAAAGTTTTTTCGGTACTTTGATTTTGATTCAAGTTTGGTGCTATTTTCAATCTCCATTGCGTCGCCATCGCTCTCTTCGCTGTTGTCATCGTCTATTTCAACTCCCTCATCTAGATCAGCGTTTTCTATTGTAGCATCTAAAGAAAGCTCATTTACTCCCTGAGCATCCATTTGGTTTGTCTCGATTGAGTAACTTTGATGACCAAAATCATCTGAAGTCATGTCCTTGGCCAGTTCAATGAAACTATAAAATATCGGCCAAAACTGAGTACTGTATGATTTGGCGACTGCGACTAATCCTTTTGTAGCTTCGGGCCAGATGACATTGAAGTTGACCGAAAACATGGCACAGAGGTACCGTACAGTGATTGTTTCATAAAGAGTAGGAAGAGCCTTGGAAGATGCAAGAATATCCAGTTTTCGAAGCAAAATGACTTTGTCACGAGCATTGGCTACAGTGTTGGACATTTGCTCCAAATCCAAACATATTTGAAAAATCTGGCAAGGACCGCAAAGCGACACGTCCTTGACTGGTTTAAGTGGTACTTGTTCAAACGCACACAAAATACGCAAACTGCAAAGTCGTACTGGAGAATACACCGATCCGACATTCTCCTGCAAACATTTAACAATGGATGGCAGTGTGTCTACAGAAAGTAACTGCTTGGAATCAGAAGATAGGCTGATACTTTCAACATAATCAGCTACACCGTTTAATAAAGAAATATTGGTTTGTGCATACTCTAGGTACTCCACCATGACGAGATCCCAAATTTGAGCCATAGAAATCTCGGTTTTTTTTGATCGTATATGCATACTAGATAATACCGATCCAGCAAGTGATTTGAGCATTTCTTTACCATCGCCCATGACTAACGCAGAGTTGATGGTAATTTCTGGCAAACTCTTGAGTTTTTGCAAAATCGAGACAAGAAGTATTTTGTACGTGTCAAACAATGCGTCTTCTGGTACAGAAAGATGCGTCAATACAGAGATAGCAGCGTAAAGAAACGCAATACGAGACACATCCAATTCATCACTTTTTTGATTAAAGTTGGCACGCATCTTGATGTAATCCAGAGTTTTCAACCCAATATTGATGGTAAATGAGGCTGAGCTTTTATCGTCAGATCGTCTAGCAAATACATCAGTTTCGGAGAATCGAATAAATTTAGTTTTATCTTTGAGAGCGTGGGGAATCTGATTGGAGATTTTTTCAAAATCATCTCCCAGGATTGAAGACAACAGTAGTATGCATCGCTCCGGACTTGTGTTCCAATAATGCTGTACAAACCCAAGTGCAAAGGGAAAAATGAATTTCGCAAAATGCACATATTCGGCTCTCAGAAGCGTTTCAAACAGATAGAATGCCAAATCAGAGTTTGATGACGTGCAAATTAATACAACAGTATTCCTTCCACGCACCAAGGCATCTTCTAAGGGGGCATTGATTAAAAGCAAACAAAATGATTGCACAAATGTAGCTTGGATCTTGGAAGTGGAGTGTTTTCCTAAAAGTACTGGCGTTGCCAGTTTGTTGAACAATTCGAAAATAACTGAATACTCGTTAATGCGCGACCCACGACGAAGACCAATCCACTGGCTAATTAACACCAAGCTTTGATTCAATCGTGAGACTTGTTCAGAAGTGGAAGCGTTGCTAAAAGTATCAACTGTATTTATCATGATTTTCCATAAATCAGACATGGATTCCTTGGAGCCATAGTGTCCCATGAGAGCCATCAGTTTTTTGCACATTCGCAATCCAGCACTATTTCCGTGCTTTTCATTTTGATCAAGCGCAATAGTGACAATGTTTTGGAAAATTTGGGGCGATTTTGAACAAAATGAACCTTGTACTTGCTATCATGGCAATTGTGTCAATCCAAAATAAATACATATTAGTGATTCAATATCAACATGATACTTGTCAATTTAAAACAGATTCAACATACCTTGACTGTTTCAAAATATACTAAACTAACACTTTCAATGTATTCATTTAGATTGTTTGTCAAGAGAGTTTCCATGATAAAAGTAAAGACCTTGATCCGTTTGTCTTCCTCTTTAATTTTTCGAAGAAGAAACCCAAAGGATTCTGCGGCAAATGAACGCACATAAAGTTTTGGATGTTCCAAAACAGGAATGAAAAGACTATGCATTTAAATGGGTTTTGATAACAGTGTGCATAGATGAGCTTAAATTAAAACAAGAATGAATGTGAAAAGACTATAACCTACCTATACGTAGCTTCAAGATCCACTAAAAGTTCCTTGGATAAATATTTAAATAAAAAAGCAATATTGTTGAATACAGCCTATAGTTTAAAGTGGTATAGAATTTATCCATATAGCTGTAAGTGAGCAAGTTACCAACAAACATCAAGCAAACAGATTTTATCCAAAATCATTCAACCTACCTCGAGTACTTCAGGATGCGTCGAGGATTTGACAAGTAATACGATTGATTGAAATACAACTGGGAAATGAGGATAAAACTCTTCTTGAAGATCTTTTGCAAGAGCAGTAACAAGACTAAATGTTCAAACAATTAAAATCAGCTCAATACTGAACGCAGATGAATGATATAATCTGTTGTGCATCTGGGCTAACCCAAATGGATCGACACTATATATCATACCTAAGAATAGGCTGAATTGCTTGACTTTTTGGAACGGCAAGATGCTTTTCAAATGCTTGGACAATACATTCTTTATGGTACAGAATCTGCATCAAAGACCCAGTATATTTGCTGATGTCGTGCTGAAAAAGAGTAAAGTGGGTTGTGCAATTGAGATCACTCATTTGAGTCAAAGTGTCTTGAAAAAATGACTCGACATCCTGATTGTATTACAAGTTACATGTTCAGCGTATCGATACATGGTTGATGTTGTGAAATGCATAAAAAGCAATTTTATGAAAAAAAATAGTATGAATTAGCAAGTCGAGTGCAGTATCAAGTTTCCAACCAAATGCAAGACTAACCTCGCTAGCATCCGATACTTTAATCACTCTATGGATTGAATTGATTTTAATATTCTTGATTCGATCATTAAACGATTGAAACTGAGTTGCAGGAGTGTAACATTTGAAAATCACCAAAAACCTCAAACTATTAGTAACATGATGTGAATTCAAAAATCGATACACCAAGCATGTGTACCTTGAAACGGTTTGTTCCTCCAGATACATTGAGCTGTTTAACCTGAATGGTATCCATAGTAACAACAGCCTTGAAGGTCAAGTAAAATATCGAATAAAGTGAAAATAAAAAAAATAAAAATTTATATTTCAGCCGTATTCACGTAAAATGAAACTTGTATTTATCTTTGGAATAGATAATAGTTGAATAGTCTGCATTTTCTATTACAAATTGACTTGAATCAACACAGCAACAATCACAAGATTTATGCTTTCAATCCAGACATTGGGTTGACTACAAACTCATGTATCCTGAAATATCACGCTTTCAGGAAAATAAAGATTGCACATCTCAAGAACGCAACTCTACATGCCAGTCACCACAAGAAAAATCAATACACTTTGTCAGAGTTCAAGCAGCACAATGTATCTAGTAAACTGCACTCATCATTTCATGAGATTGTTTATTATGTATTTTGACTTTGGTATTTCATTTTACGTGAATACAGACGCAGATTGCAGTATAAATAAAATGCAACTTTATCCTGATGTTCTGATTGGGATTGAACAGAGCAGTCTGATTGCGTACTTTAATTGTTCAATCATCAATATAGTCAAACATGTTATCTTCTAAACCGCTGTTTTTTGTGAATGTGTGTTCCCATTGAGGCTGGATGCTGCAGTCGGTATCGTCGAAATGCTTCACGCAAATGGTCTGGTCTAATCGGTATGTTCTCCGGTTCTCCAATCTCCTCCATATAATTAAGTGCTATACAAATCATGCAGCACATGGTCAGTGTCTTGATGATACGTGATGCTTCGATATAAACTTGGTAGTTTACCTTCTTCAACAATCTCGCCAACAAAAAGCTTGCCGCATCCACCAACAATAATACCCACCGATGCAGGAACAATCCCGCCTACAATATTTTGCAGATACTAGACAAACAATACATTGAACGAGGTTTAGACACTGTTTACAGTTCTCTAACAACTGATCGATAAGTACCTTGCGCATTGACGACTTTGGTAAATGTGCCCGACGATAAACCTCGTATCGTTGCAGCTGCTCAGGGTTGAATGTGTCTAGTAAAGCTCTAGATCAAAGTCAATGGGTTAAAAGGTGAATAGACTCCATGTATTCAATGAACTTGCAGCCTAATAACCAACTACAACATGGCATACTATTGGCACGTACTTTGTAGCTTCTCGATCTTCAGCAGTGGCTGCTGGCATCTGCAGTAACTGTTCATCAGCATCATCTTCCTCTTCATCTAAACCTTCCTCCTCCATACCAGCATCTCTCAACTGTGCTGCTCCATTTCCAGAACCCACAAGTCCACTTGGATCCTGTGCATTGGCCGAAATGGTTGCTCCAGCTCCTCGCTGAATTGCACTGCTGCTAACCATAACCGAGTCGTCTGCCATCAGCGACATAGAATCCATAGGCGTATCTACTTCATCCCGACCAGCACCAGTTGATCCAGCATCTCCAGATATGGATGCTCTACTTTTTCCCCTTGCCCGAGGTTTCTCTGACAGGATCTTTGCAGGCTTGGCTTTGGCTTGACTAGGAGGTCGTCCTCTTGGACGCTTGACTGTTTGAACCATTTATGATCAACAGACTAGATGTGATTGTACAAATAGCGTAATAGGCATAAAAATACCAACAATAATTCTGTCACAAATTCGCCAAATTCTTTCAAAAATATTGGGCAAAATGAATTTGACAACTCATTAGTTTAGCCAAAAACTAATATAAAGTTGAAAATTGGCCAAATCGAATGCTCAGCTCAACGCTCAATAATGGTTGGCGTTCCATCAAGTGTTGCCAAGTACAGGACTGCCTTTGAATCCGCAGAATCAAGAGACTTGCGTGGTCATACAGGAAAAGTCAATAGTGTGAAATGGAATTGCGATGGAAGACGAGTAGCTTCTGGCTCTGCAGACAAAACTGCCCGTATATGGACTATGGAACGCTCGGTATGATCTCAATGGCTTCGACCTGTTCAACTATAACAATGAAAACATTTGTAGATTCGCTGTTTTATTCTCTCGAACATTTCTCTGATCTATTCTCTGTCATTTTTATTTATTCTCAGACACTTCGGGAATCTACCGAGTTGAGAGGCCATCAAGGAAGCGTTAGCAAAGCAGTCTGGGATCCAGATCATCCAGACAAATTGGCAACTGCTTCTGTAGATTGCAGTGTCCGTCTTTGGGATGTACGAGGTATTCATTTTTATTTTAATATTTGCTAAACTCTACAATTTAAACCATTACACTTGATCACTAAAACTTGTCGATCCATTACTACATTTGGAATTTGGAAATAAATGCATGCGTTGCAGCTCATCGCTCACCATCCCACACAATTCAAACAAAGGGAGAAAATATCAATATGTGCTGGAGTCCTGATAGCCGATGCATTGCTGTAGGAAACAGGGTAATCGCTTTTACCGTGACAATGCATTGATACTCGATGCATCGTATTCAGCATGTACTTACACAGTGGTATCAACACTATAGGATGATTTAATCACATTTATTGATCCTCGTGGTGGAACAGATGGCGAAGGCAAAAAGACATATATTTGGCATACGCTTTCCAATGAGCATGAGGTATGTAGTCTCAAACAAATAGATTTTGCTCTGCAATTCATCATCTATCTAGTGCTGCCGAGTAGATTTAAAGGTAGTTTAATCCGATTTAAATTTCTGTAACCGACTTTTTGCTTTAGATCAATGAACTAGACTGGAATTATGCTGGGGATCTATTGTTTCTTACTACTGGAGAGGGTACTGTCAAAATAATCGAGTTTCCCTCATTCAAGACTGTACATTCATTTAAAGCACACACTGCCAATGCATACTGTATAGAATTTGATCCTCGTGGAAGGTACAAAACAATTGAACGATACTTGATGTGGCTTTATTCTAATCTACACTGCTTCGACATGCTAGATATTTTGCTACTGGTGGTGCCGATGCAATCGTAGCTCTTTGGGATATAGAAACACTAACAAGCTTGCAAACATTTAGTCGTCTCGAGTAAGTTGATTTATAGTGTGTATTTTGGTTTTATTTGTAAGGATTCACTAATTGGCACATTGCAAACCTATTTTGTGTTCCAGTTGGCCGATTCGAGCACTGTCATTTAGTTTTGATGGAGATTTTATTGTATACGGATCTGACGATAAATGCATAGATATTGCAAGTATTCCTATTATCGGATCTACATGTCTTGACAATGGTTTATTCGAATACTCACTTACAATATATATTAATAACAGTCACACGTCGAGTCAGGAGAGCATATATTTACTCTAAAGACGAATGCAGCAATAAATTCGCTAGCATGGCATCCGACTAAACACATTCTTGCCTATGCAACAGATGGAAGCGATCACAATGGACGACCAGCAAGTCTCCAGGTCTTTGGATTCAATCGGCAGTCCTGACAATGTGGCTATTTGGAGCAAGACATTCATCTGAGAATAAAAAAGATCAACTTTTAAAAGCTATACGAATCCAATGTTTAGGCGAATGATGCCATATGGGATGCACTTTCAATAAAAGCAATACTTGCTCTACTATATATGCTACCATGATAAAAGGATTTACACACCACATTTATAAAATAGTTTAAATGATCTACCTTGAAATCCAGTCAGATGCACAACTTGGATACCAGCATCAGTCAACATCTGCACTCCAGAACAGTTTTCGACCAGATTTGGAGGTTCAAGAATCCCAATCAACACTTTTGAAATGCCAGCATCGATCAGTCTATTTACACAAGGAAGATTTCCAGATAAACGCAAACTGCAAGGTTCCATAGTGGTATACATGATTGCATCACGCATCCTGTCAAGATCTAATCCTGCATGCGATGCCTTGATGAGACAGACTTGCTCAGCATGAGTATTTCCAGGTAATTCTCTCGAATAGCCAGTGTATACTGTTGATGGATGAAGTACCAAAACTGCACCAACACAGTATGCAGACTCTGATGGGATTGATTTATTTGCTTCAGCAATTGCCAGTTTCATATAGGCTTGATCCTGCACTGATCCTTGAACTGACTGCATTCTAGTATGGCATAGTCGAGACCTTTGCCATGACAATGAACAGCAGTGAGATATAGTGGATAGACTGTATAATATACAGAATTTACCGTCAAACCCCAAAACCCTTGCTCAGAGAATCTGCTTCAGATTTGCATTGAACTGCTTGCAACTTCATCTAGTCAAACATGCCTGCTACCGTCACCTCACCCGCCGGAATAGTTGTTCATCCTCTAGTGCTGCTCTCGGTGGTCGACCACTACAACCGGACTGCTAAAAACACCAACAAGCGCGTGCTTGGAGTCCTTTTGGGTCAACAGACTGGCAATCACATCAACGTTGCAAACAGCTATGCCAGTGAGTAACTGCTGCTCTGATAACATTGCACTGTTTGTCATGCATCTCTGCGCTATTTCACATTGGCTGGAATTGACAATCATACATCTGGGCTTTATTACTATTTAGTGCCTTTTGAGGAAGATGAAAAGGACCCATCAGTCTGGTTCTTGGATCATAATTATCATGAAGCCATGTACGATATGTTCAAAAAGGTTAATGGTAAGACACTGTCTTTGAAACTATTTGTTTATAATCTGGAGTTGTCGCAATATATCTTGACATGCACATGGAAAGTTCAAGATCTGAGTACTCTGCTTAATCCAAATTGTATCAACTCCAATATGGAATATTACTACTATATTATCTCTGCATTTCCTGATGTTTACTATTTCTATCAATTTATTGCAATGGCTTTAAGCTCGGGAAAAGATTGTTGGCTGGTACCACACTGGTCCCAAACTTCGTCCATCCGATCTAGAAATTAACGAGGTGTTCAAAAGGTATACAGCTAGTCCTGCACTGGTTATTATCGATGTGAACCCTAGTGAGCTCAGCATTCCAACCGATGCCTACATGTCCATTGAAGAAATTCACGATGTAAGTCGAGTATATTCAAGCAGATTCGACTTTTGCTTTACATCTACTGTTTAAGCCTATATCAATTGAATTTTGTAAATTATATTTAGGATGGTACTGCAGCCATTAAAACATTTGTTCATCTTCCATCGTCCATTGAGGCTGAAGAATCCGAGGAAATTGGTGTTGAGCATCTTTTGCGTGATATCAAGGACACATCTGTGAGCACTCTTTCTACCCAGATTACTAGCCAAGTCAATTCCCTCAAAAGTCTGCATGTTCATTTAACCGAGATTCGGAACTACCTTTCCAAAGTACTTGCTGGAAAATTACCCATTAACCACCAAATCATCTACAATCTTCAGGAAATTTTCAACAAACTTCCCAACCTATCTGTTCCCACCACTGTAAAATCATTTGCTGTTAAAACCAATGACGAACTTTTGATTATTTACCTGTCGTCATTGATTCGTGCTGTCATTGCCCTGCATGGATTGATTGACAACAAAATCATGTTGCAAGACCATGAAAACAAGGAAAACAATGCTGCCACGGGAAAATTAAATATCAAGGATGTTACCAGTGAAAAAGATGCCACTGCTGTGGATATAAAGGATACCAAGAAATAAATCCTATAGTCTGTTGAAACTTTGAGGGTTCAACTATTTGTCAACTTTAATTTGGGCAGATATCTACTTATCAAAGTATCCGAAATAAAACTTATCCTTTATTACTTTTATTGACCATCTTGATAGGTTGATTGCAACGCAGGTTGAATATTTGATGATCAAGCAAACGCAGATTCAACTTGATTTGTATTTTTGGACGAAATGTTGACCCTTTTGGCCAAATCTTTTGTCCAACTCAGCATTTGTGTTTAGCCTGATATTCAAACTATGGACGAGTAAGTCGATCTATTCATGCTCTACTAGTAGCTCGGTAGTCTACAAAATACATTGTACAATAGGGTTCAAAGAACTGCTTTTCAATCCTTCTTTTGAATGCACCTCTTTATCGAGCATCACCCAAAATACTTACTAAAAGTAGTTCATGCACGATAAACTAAACGAGCCAATATCCAAGACATCCCAACTCTACATGAAAGACTAACTCTTTCTATCCATGTTTAAATTTCGATTCTAGTGCAGAAAAACATCAATGCAAAATAGTGATTGATGAGAAGCTCGTTCGAACAGGAGAAAAGGACAAGTAAATATCGTTTCATAGACTGTATACTATTGATGGTCGAATCCATTCATATTACTCTTAGTGCGTACTGCATTTAAAATAGTGTCTAACCTCATACACTCTATCGTTCATATATCGGACAATACTGCTTCAATATACTTTTTGGTATTGGATCATTAGACTTAAAGAGTATCTAAGACTACGGCTTGTAGAAAGTGGCTGGAGAGATAAATTGAAAGCACATTGTAAAGGTTGGTTGATATAAACTATTTTTAGATCATAACGCTGATCTGGGTCTTGCTTAGATGGTTCAGATTTGACACATTAGCTACATGATTCCAATTCTGAATGATTGGATAAGCTTGTGCATTCTTTGTAAAATGATTTAATTAAATAATCCTGTAATTTACATGTTCGATATAAACTACTGTCTATTAGAAGTGGTAAAAGCAAAGGGAACAAGTAACGCATCTATAGATGAGCTCATCAAGGAGATCACACCGCAAGCACGAGGTAAGCCAACTCTTGTCAATTCTGTGCAATCCAACCTTGCAAAAAGTTTTATCAGCATTAGCTAATGAGTTTTATTTATCTTCCTTTTCAGCAATGGTACCAGAAAACATCAAAGCAGAGCTACATTCGCGTATTCGAAGATTCTTGAATGAAAGCGAGACGTGATACCATTAAATCCATTCTTGATGTGTTTTAGTGATGGTGTTTTTGTTGAAATCTAAGTCCACAATATCCTGCAATATCCAGAAATTCAAATTGTACAGCATAAACCAAAATCATTAGCATTTAGAATCCGAGTTGGATTCGTAATGATCAAGATACTACGAATTGCAGCTATATGCAGATTTACATACCGCATGCCATGGGTTGATCCTTGTCCTATTTTGAAATATCACAGTAAACCAATGGTGTCAGTTGAATAAATTGAACAACACAACATGATCAAGCGATAAACTAGCACGGGGTTCATTCAAAATCAGTTCGATATGAATGGCTTACCAAGTTGATGAATACTTTGGGATGTCCAAGAGCACCACCACCTACAAAACCAATTTTTAGTCTTGACATAGCATGCCACCAATATACTTTTAATAAAAGCAGTCATCTTAACCTCCATCACAGGATGTACGACGAGCTTCGACCCAGGTAATAGGAACTGCCTGAATGAACGCCTGAGCTGAGGGTGGATTCGGCTATATAAACCAGTCATTAACAGTAATTAGCATGATTGAAATGGTTAAATAAAAAATGGATTGTTTTCATCATTCAATCAGCAGATGGACACATTCAAAGTTTGCTTGATACGCAATCGAAATAGGAATGTGGAGCAACTAAAAAGTAAAATACCTGCAAGTCCCAGTTGGTTTGTTCAAATCTATAAATCAGTCGATTACAATAAACAAATAGTCAGTACAGTGTTTTGAATGGCCCAACAGAAAGTATTAGTATCTGATAATATCTCGAGATACCAGTTGGCTTGGAATGAAATCCAACCAAAAATCACTAAAAATGCAATACAACTCCAACAATGACTTCAGCTGTATAAACGATATGAATTAAAGTATCATCACTACAGTCTAGTATCTCACAGAGTGACCATTTCGAATTCTCAAATGTAGTGCAATAGAACAACGAGCAATCAGCCAAAGCTTCACCTAGCAGCATTAATGGCATCCTGTTTAGCCTTTTGACTGCTACTCCAAGTAGTGTCCCGATTGGAAGACTGCGGAACCACTAATTTTGTGACGTTTGACATGGCTCTGCAAGCCATGCGCTGGGTTGTGAGTCTTGCAACAGCAGTTGTACGCAACATCTTATCTGTAGGATTGCGTAATGTGGTCAAGTGCCAACACTCGAGAAATTTGGCCAAAACCAAAATTTGGATATGAAATCCAATACCTTTTTATTTGAACTCGAGCAACTGTAGAAATAATAGCAAAACAGTAATCGTCCAATTGGAATAGTAATGCTTGAAATATTCATGATTGTATAACAGCATTCAAGCAAGTTTGGTCTCGTATTTTAGTTTAAATGGAAAAAATCATGAATAGATTGTGCTGTTGATTTATCAAGTGAGCAGTTTTGTAACTGTTGCCTACTAGAAGTAATCACAGACTTAAATGACCCTAATCCATCTTGAAGCACGTACATTTCTAAAGTTCAGACATTGACAATTATGCGTATCAATCAGTATCTTAAGTTTATCCAACACATGATGGGAAATATGCAGTTTACCATGCATAGTCAAGCCACCATGATTTTTGGTACAAAGAGAAAGTATTTGAGCCCATCGATCATTTCTGGAACATCCTCCCAATTCTGGATGAGTAGAGATGGCTAGATCTACATAAGCACGCGACTGATACAACTGCTCAGAGTCGAGTCCAGTTACAAACGTGCAAAGTGCTTCAGAGATATGGTGGGGTTCATAAACTGGTTGGAATACTAATGGTAAATGCAAGTTTAAACTGTTTTTCAAAACACACTTTGTAACGTAATCCTGCAGTCGAATCATACGCTCCGAATGAATCATTGTTGGTTCAATACATCTTACAAGAATTATAACATGATTGAATCGACGAAAACAATCCATCAGCCTGACAGTAATAAATCAAATATAATTGACAATTTTAATGTTTATATCAAAACAATGGCCAGTATGTGGTCGTGGGAGACAGTCTAACCTGGTAGACAACTTATCGAGATGGGTTGAGTTCAAATCATCATCCGAGGTCTCACAGCATAATAGAGTTAGAGAATACCTCGAAATAGTCATATCCTAAACCAATCCAATTAGAAACCAATGAAATGAATGTCATGGATCAATACTGTACAATACCAAGTGATTGGTGCATATTTAAACAAACCACAGTCCAGTATTACATATCGTGATGATTACTTACTCCAGGAAGAGTTGGTGTAGGCTCAATAGCTACCCGATCATTAGTATTACATGAATTATTTAATAGATAAATGGTAAACCAATACAATACTTCGAAAGACAAGGTTGGAATCTAACTGGACACGAATATCCCAGAATGTGTGCATTAAAGACTTGTTGAACAGGATAGGCACCACCATTGTAATGAATGAAATAGTTCAAAAGTCTAAACTGATAGTTTGTCAATATATCGAATGAATAGCCAAATCAAACAATCAGCAATTCAACCCAGAATAACACTATCAAGTTACATTGTTGAATTTATAATTTATTATAATTTATATTAGGACATGAATGCATGCACAAGCATGAATTATAATATTCTTCAGATATTAAATCGTAAAAATTCAATACATCAACTTTCCACTCTAGTTTCATCATTCAGATCCAGTTTTCAATACAACTGCAGTATATTGCTAGCCATTATGCAATCGACTCTTTCACAACAACTACCGCAATACTTTCCACTCAAACTGAAAAAGTGTGCTGCTCCAGCTGAAGCCTTTTTTGCTTGTTTTGAAACCGAGGCTGCTCCAAATGGTGTAAGTTGCTATCCATATTGTTCATATCCATATTGCATCTGCTTATGTTTTATTGATTATAACTGGCAGGATCGAGATGTAGCACGAAAAGCCATTGCAAAGTGTGGTGAACAACTCAATGCATACAAGGCTTGCATGGACAACTTTGTCGGACCCAAAGCCGCCAGTCGATCTGTTCCAGTGACTGGATGGAGCAGATGGGTTTCATGGTCTGCATGGACTGGTCAGGCTTAAGTATAGATATCAAACAAATCCATAAGATCTAGTCCTGCTCGACTCATTAAACATGCATTTATTCAATCGGAGTTGATGATCTTTTAGTGTGCATTGGTATACTTTTATTTTGGTAGTACGTTGTCATTGGACTCTACAGTAGGATATACTTTCTGTAAGATGGTCAGTACAGTGTCCAATGAACACGACAATAATGTGCGATTGTAGACTATACCCATGAAAAGTTTGTTTTTGACTGACAACATAAACCATTGGTTTGACTATTCTTTGACGTTGAGCTACGGGCAGACTGCACAGCGGTTTTTTGGCCATGCGAGTATTCGAGAGTCGTCAATCCATGAATGTCTGATTGAAAAATCAATTACACGAATGATCCAATCTGCAATGTTTAGACTCGATATCAAATGCAGTCATTATTGTCGTATAATGCATACCAACTCACATAGATACATATGTAGACTGATCAAGTATGCCAAATACACGGTGACTATCAATGAGAATACTGCATCAACACCAGTAATCCACTGTATGGTACCAAAAGCCAATCCAAACCCTAAATACAATCGACTGTCAATTCAAATCTGATATGCAACAACTCGATAATCATATTTACACCTTACCACTGTTGTTGGTATTTGAACCATTGATACTGCATACGATCAGTACATATACAGCAACAATTGTCATGGTCAGTGAATGTGTGAATGCAGCAAGCATAGTTTGTATATACAATCTAGAATCGAATAGTTTTTGGCGACGAGTTGGCCATTGCAGTATTAAAATCACAATATCAGTATCAATACCAACACCAACACCAATACACATCACATACCGATAATTATAGTATCCGATGCAATTATTGACATAGAAACAATGGTGATCGATTCGACGGACACATTTGTTGCAGTATCTGCAATGGAGCGAGTCTAATCTCCTATACTTACAGTGTTTAGATTGCAGTTGTGCGTTCAGTTTGATGTAGTCAATATATACAATCGACTCACACATTACATGCACATACTGTGCAAAACTGCAATGATGGATCGTGTGTTGGCATGTCATTTGTAGGTTTAGCAGATTGAAATGGATCCGGTTTATAGTCTAGTCCGAGCCTGTAGTATTGTTGCACTCTGTTGCCATGCTGTGGAACTGCAGGTGTTTGAATTTTGGACTCGGATGATGGTGTTTCGGTCAAGACCACGTTGTGATGATACGATTCAGTATATAATGACCGGTCGACTGGATCTGACCACATGAGTGCCATGGACAAAACAGATAGTAATACTGCACATGATACTGACCATACATACAGTGTAGTTCGTATAGTCATTGAAGCAATCACGGACATATGAAGAGTTAAGAATACACTTAAACTGACCAAGACATATAGAATAGCCAGTAGTTGACGCGGATGTAATGGCAGTTGAAGTCCGTTTAGTCGAACAGGTAAAGTCATCATGTTGTTGATATCGCTATTATGTATACGAATAGCAGTGTGGTGTTGAACCAGTGAAGTCATTGAATCTACAGAATAATGTAATTTAGACTTTCTAGTCAAAGTTGGTTTCAATATCAACGCGAGTCATTCGAGTGTTTTTAATGACAGTAAAGTATTGTATAAGATTATTGGTCAGTTTCAATATCAATAAAGAATATTTCTAATATAAAATATTAATCCAAATTCAACCATTTTTAATATAAAAATCACAATGAATTTTATGAAATAGAAAATCAAGCCATTGCTTGCATAACATGCTGTTATGTGAATTATATCCAATATTGTGTCAGCCATTTGAATCCAAAACTCGACATGAATTGCCAAAGCTTGAAATCTCGATTTTGTATTGGCTAATCTTTACATTTGAATTCAGATATCGATATTGGGGCAGTTGCTTGCCTGCTAAATACTATTACAACTGCTGTTTTTTACTCCGAGTATGGATACTTCAGACTTTTTTGAAGATGACTTGGTCCAGATGCCAGATACATCGATAAGCATTGTGGCCCACCAGGCCAGTCCGCGACTCGAATTGAATCCAAAGAAACCCTTGCAACTACCCAAAACAATTCAAGACCAGCTGGCAGAAGACTGTATTGACTGGGGAAGCGATGACGAGGAATACAATGACACAATTGAGGCTCATAGCCTAGAAACTCCTGTGCCTCGTACAATACTTTCAACTCGGCATGATCTGGATGATGGGGAAGCATTTTGGGACGAACCAGACAAGCCTTTGGCTACCATCCAGCTTACTAATAGTATGGACACCCACAGTGGAGAACGTGTTGGTTCAAATGTAGAAGAAAAGGTATTTGACCTGCAGGATTCCAACTGCAATTGGGACGAGCTTGAGCTGGATTTGATGGAGTTTAGTTTGGGTGACCAGCAAGACTCGGACTGGAAGGACGCGATGGCCATCCCTCACAGGTCCATAACAGCCTCGTCTTCCAGCGTGTCATTGGATGTCTTGATCAAGGAAGGCACAGGTCATAACCAGTTGGATTCTCCTAATGTATTGTCGATAGACACTTCTATCAATGTTTTGTCAAAACAGCCTCGTTCTTCAACTCCCTCTGGAATGCATTCACCTGCCCTCTCGGCAGTTTCTTCCAGACGATATATGCACAGTCCAGCTCCAAGTTCAAATGCATCTGTTGTAGCTTCAGAGAGTGATGATGAAGGTTTTGATGATATTGATTTTACATCTCAAACTCAGAATCTAGTGCTGCGAAACTTATCCTCCAACGATACAACTGATAGTATCGACCTTTCTTGTAATGATTGTCATAGTTTTCCAAAGAACCGGACTGAGCGTTTGAGTGCACCGTTGGATCGCTTGAAAAAATATGCAGAGAATAATCTTGGAATTAGCTTTTCAGATGATCCTTTATGCCAAGATAATGACTTGGATCTTGATTTTCCAAATACTACAAACGACGAGTCACTTGCTGATCGACTCAAGTCGCGACTTGATTCAAAATTTACAACCCATAGCAATGTAAGCACCAATGCCAAGAGTACTTTGCATCATGACAGCGTGACTCCCAAAACACCGTCAAAAAAGCCAGTATCCCAGCATTCAAAATCAAAGCCGCATCAGCAGTCTGGTGATCGAACTCCTCATCAGACAGTTCCAATCTCGCCTCTTTCAATGGCATCGGTGGATACATCTTATTCCCAATTTGGAAGTATTACTAGGATTCAAAACTATTCGCATCAGATTAAATCACAGGGAAGATCAGTGTCGACTTCAACTCCAACTCGTACTACTTCCACTGCGAGTGTGTCTCGACTACAAACAGCTTCGTCGCTTGCAATAAGACGAACGCCTGCAGTTGTGCAATCTCATCCTATATCCAAACCTACACCAAAAGCGTCTTTGAATACAGCATCCTCAGTAGCAAAAACTGCGATAACACCCAAGTCTTCTGCGACCAAGTCGACACGTCTACCTTGCAGTCGGCTTGCAACTACAACGCAACAAAATGTTGGCAAACCACCTGTTAGTTCATTTGGAGCTGCAAGCACTTCAAATCTTTTACGAAAACCACGTACAAAGGGTCATGAAGGAAATGGAACCGAATTGGATCATATCGAAGATTTACCGGTTGAATCTACTCCACGTATGTCAATATCAACATCTATCAGTTCTATAGCAACTATGACTACTGAAACCAGTAGACTTCGAAAATCTAATGCATCTTCAAATAGCAGTAATGCTATACGACCTGCATGGTCTAATTCAAATGTAAATTTAAGCCATCATCAATCTACTATGCACAACCAAACAGCATACAAATTTTCACAACGGCCACCGACAGCTCGTATTGCGTTTGGTCGAACCATGGGGTCGTGTGGTGAGTTTGATATGCGGCTAAGATGAATTGAATCTAGCAGAATTGTTGTTGTAACACTAACTTGATTATAAATGCGTATTCAAGATGAACGAGACATGTCTCGTAGCTCAAGTGGAATGCTTGGAATGGGTGGTGTGCCAAATTATCGAGCTACTGCAAAGCAAGCGACAAAGCCACCATCAAAGAAAAAGGAAATCAAGAAACCAACATTAATAAGAAATATGGGCGTGGCAGACACCGTTAAAGGCAAGTATACACATTACCATTTCATATATGCGTGTATTGATTTTAGGCTGTAATAGTTTATTCAATTTTGCTATAATTATTCTAGTTGGTGATATGGTCTATAATCCAATACTTCAAGTTTGGGAAGGAAACGAAGCTATGCTATCTGATTTTGAAAAGGCAGTTGTAACACCACATCGACCTGCTTTGATTCAGAATATTGCTGCCTCGAATTTGAAAGCTGAATCGATTGGTGGAATGGTATTTGATCCAGACAAGATGTGCTGGATTGGAAACGAAGAGGAAGCAGATGTATTTGCAGAAATTGAAATGGATATTCCAGATTGTTCCGATTCAGGTAAGTTTGATTTTTCTGTTGGATTGATGGAATAGTACAATACATGGTCATGCTATAGTCTTTGAGTATCAAGACTGTCATATGGAGGCTAACAGTTGTATATTGCTTAAATTTAAATATAGTTTGCACCAAGTCTACAGCCTTTTCTTTATCCAAGGCAACTAGTGAGGGACTATATATATCCGAAGCATTTCATAAACTTTTCATGGGAGTCTGGTATCCACGCGTTGTACAAGATCGACGATTAGTTATGCGTGATATGTCTAAAGCGCATCTATATGAAATTCGAACTGTAAGTAACATGATAAACATTATTTAGCATCACGACTTGATTTTAAAACAGTTCAACTCAATCTTTTTGATTACAATAGATTCTTGAGCACCAATAATAGGGTGCTAATTCACGTTGTTTTTTCTGATAATAAATTGCTTCTTTATTTGCATAGTGATTGTTGGGCTGAAGGTTTGGTGATAATTGGACATTAGAATGTTGCCCATTAGCTTGGTCTCAAATGTGTAGCACTTTTAAGAAATATCGTGTAGCATTGATATAGGCTTCATTCTGAATTAAACTAGTTATGGTTACACCAATAAATCAAACAAAAAACTACTTCAAGAGAATTACAACACCATTTCCTCTTCCTCTTCCTCCTCTTGATCCCAGTGTTTTGGAGCTTTCATGGCAAAATCAGACTTGATCCATGCAACTCCAGTATTGTCGTCAACGGCAGATTTCTTGCCATTAGGCTTACTAGCATTTGTTGCACTACGAGTGTTTTCCTCTTTTAGCGTTTTGATAAATGTTTGCTTGGACAAAACAGGTGCTATTATTGTATTACATGCAGGTTAAATATACATCTCAATCTTGCACTGATATAAATCAATGGTTACCTTCTGCGCTGTGTTTTTGAACTCCGTCTTCTTCAAGCTCTTCAGTACTTCGTTGAACAGCTCTAATTGCATTAAATAGCTGCACGACTAACCCATCAAATCAATAAGATCAGTCATCTACAGTATCTTAATAAAACGATCATAGTCCAGACATACCACCACGAGTTGCAAGCTTTCTAAGTCGTTTTTCATAATCTATGCCAGTATGATCGGGAATAACTCGATTCTTTTCATTGTATGCTTTCCGTTCAGCAGAGAGTACCTTTCTTGCTTTTGCATCCAGCTTTTCTTCATCAATATCCGTTTCAATCTTTCTTTTCTTTGATAGAATGGGTCTCTAGTTGTGGAGAATACAAACGTTAAGCCCAATGAAGTAAATGAAAAATGGATATACTTGCCAACTTACTAATTCTGTGCCTGATGATGCATCATTTGACTTGACTGGTGTATCTGATGTCAAAAGCTTAGAAATGGTTGATGCCAGTTTGGAAGATCCTTTCAATGAAGCTGGCAGATATTTATCGGCAGATGCGCTGTCTTCAGCTGAGATTCCAAAAAACAATTTGGTTTGGCAGTAAAAGGTTAGAATGAGCCATACAACTGTAAACCTGTTTCTAACCTATAAAACCACATACCTTTACAAGATGAAGCATCGTCCTTATTGTCCTCACTTTTTTCATTCATATCATCAGAAAGACAAACATCATCGAGCGTGTCCATGATATCCTCATCATCGAAAGCAGATTGTTCTTTGTCTTCATCAGAGGATGAATGGTATGCTTCAATTGCCTTGCGGGCTGCTTTGTGAGCAGCCTTTGTGGGCTTTGCTTTTCGCTTAGTGCCTTGTTTCCTTGATTGCATTGGAGCCATTTATAACGAAACGATAGTATAAGAATGGAACAGTGACTTTCCAGACAGGTTTCAAGAATTTAAAAAAAGTTTTTCGAGTTTTCCACTTTTTTAATATTTCAAAAAACGTATTTCCAATTGTTAGGGTTGCATTTCTACAAGACTGACATAATATAAAATACAATGAATTTATGACTCTATTCGTCCTACTCCAAACATCAGAAACTCATCAAATATTTAAAAATCAGGTTTTAATTATCCTAAACGATCAGCCATCAAATCAGCCTCCATAAGTTCTATCTGCTTTCTACGATAATCACGAACAGTCGAGGATCGTCCCCTTCGACTCCAAATGCCTGATAAATAGTATACACGTCTTTAGTCAATTGCTATACACTCGTGTTTGATTCACAATCAACTTACCATGGTTGGCATTTTGGCATCAACAATATAGTGGTTATCACAGTGAGGACAGTATTCATCTTGGTCGTCAAATTCACTACGTTGCAAGATTGGATTCCAATCCAAATGCATCCGTATCATGCACATATTTTATCAAAGTTAAACTACTGTCCAACATATCCGGACACATCTACAAGTCATACATACGCTAGATCCTTTCGAAACGTTTTTTTACACTTTTTACAGGCAAATACCATTTCAACAATTTTCCTATTCAAAATGGATACCATTGTATATTAGTCCATTAGCCATTGCTATAAGGAGACCAGCACTTGTTTTTAAAGTAGAAAGTAAAGATGGAGGTGCAGATTGAATGCGCTTTACCTTAATTTATGGTCGGAGCTTTCTTCATGACATTCAGGGCAATCAAACCATTTTTTACAACATGGTGCTCGAATTGAAACCTAGTAGATGAACAGTCCATCCATATATGTTAATTCAACTCCTTGTTATTAAGAATGCATAGCAATGAGCTTGAGCATCGGTTGGGTTGGATTTACAATAAACTGTAGTCGGACTGTCAAGTTTTTTTATTCTTGTCCGACTTGGATAACAAATTGAACCATAGAACGTCACATCCGGTAGTAGAAACAGTTTTATACCTGAGCATTAAGAATATGTTTGCCTGGAATCGTTCAGAATCACATACATCAACCATTGAACATGAATAGGTCGAGTTAGTCAAGTGCCATGAATAGTCTTTGACAAGTCAATGCAGATATAAAAATGTGATGGATAGAGTCTGTTGCTGGAAACAATAGGTGTGTACTGTAAAGCTACTCACACATTACTGAATCAACAGGATTTAAATGAGGAAAAACTCGAGGTTTGACTTTTCAATGCCATTTATTCAGCGTATCGTTTAAATTCTCTGCCATTGAATTACAAACTATTTTATAAATCTTGCACATTCTCTCCATCTTCAAGTCTTATTCAAGTGAACAACTACTCGATTTCATTTAGTTTAAAAAGGCAACACATTCAAAAATTGTCCAGTAGATAGATATCAGTGAATAGATGTACTTCAGCATCACAGAGTGATGTCCACACCTATACGAGAAATGGAAAATGCGTTTCAATAAGTAGGAAGCTGAAAAGAATGTAGACTAGACAGGATATAAACAATGGTGCAATATAAAAACAATGAGTATGCTTGGAAGAAAAATAGATAAACCAAGACCGAGGCAAATACAAACCAACTGTTGAATGATTCAACAATGTTGGTCAATCTCGAGGTTATTTGTCAAGATGAGAATCTTTGCTAGTCAAAATGCCAATATACACTGCGCGCATCCAAAAGTATAGGCTGAAAGTAAAAAGCCAAGATTAAATAAAAATAAGCCCATTCCAAAAAGTCGTTGATGGATCTAGAATGGCCAAGGAAAATGTCAAGTCTGAAAAAAACAGAAACGCCCCAGCATAAAAATCACGGATACAAAGTAAATATGACTAATGTGAAGGACAGGTAGGTAAATAGGTTGTAGTGGTGGCATCAAATATATACACGATTAAATCAAATAATAGTGAATTGAGTAGAGTAATAAGGAACAAAATAAGAGGGTAGAATGGGTATACGGATAAAAGATCCAAAAATAACAAGTGAAGATTTCGACAACAAAAAATGACTGTTAAGATGACAGAAGTCTCGTGTTGTCTTACAGTCTCTTGCAGAATACAATTAAAACATGCCATTCATGCCACTACCCATGCTGGATAGTACACTATTGTTGCCATTCATACCGACAAGTCCAGAAAACGACGAAGTCTTGTTCATAGAATTGCCCATACCATGAGCAAGACCTATATCATTGTAGCACTGACCAGGTCCAGATAGCATATTGATCGTGCCCATGCCACCAAGACCATTAGACACCTGATTAAAATGATCGCGCAAGATCTTGGTTTGAATCCGTTTTCCATAAGGAGTGTTGCGAATAGAAGGCAGAATCGGACGAATACACTCTACAAGTTGCAAACGCTGAGCAGGCTCTGCGTAGTCCAGTGATGTCTGTACAACATAGTTTGCATAGGAATCACGCAAAAGCTTATCCAGTCGCTCCTTGTTCAGCAACTCATCAATCAGCAGTGCACGGGTCTCTGAGCTAGCAACGCGAATGCATTTCTCAATGACATTAGAACTAAACTTTTGGACAGACAAAAGACAGATGTTGCCTAAAAAGCGATGGACAATGGCTTCACTGAATTTTATCTCGGCAAGATCAAGAACATACTGAACAACATAGTTTCCAAAGGGATCTTGAACAAGGGTAAGAGCATGATAGGTAATTTCAGCAACAAGCTGCACACGCTGTGAATCAGATGCATGATCGATGCAGCGCTGCAACACACAGCAACCATGGCGATGAGTTGCAATTTCAGTGCAGTGCTTTCTGACGGCATTATAAATAAACTGGTTATTTTCGTGTGAAAGACGGTTTAAACACTTTTGAATAACATGGTTTCCATTCAAGTCCTTGATGAGACTCACGACATTTAAAGCAAGAGCACGCACAACAGTAGATATTTGATGATGTGTAGAAAGAAATTCGATTAATTTCTGAACCGCTCGAGTGCCATGCATGTTGAGGGATACTGCAGCAAGATCAGGAGCAACGTGCTCAACTAACATGTTACGCTGCTCCTCAGTACAGTACTCAAGAAGCTTTTGACACAGATAATTTCCAAATGGATCTGTCATGAGCTCGGCAAAATTGGGGAAAATCTCGACATAAATCATATCAAGATGCTTCTCGTTCTGTTCTTCCAGCTTGCGCTGAAGGTATCGACAGCCGTGCTGATCCTTGCTCAGTACTGAAATCTGTCCAACAAGATCCTCAAGCATAATGCTGGAAAATCTGCTAGCTTCTTCTTGCGAGTGCTTTTTTTGCTTCTGCAAGGTGGCATGGAACTTGAGAGCGTTAAGATTGCTCATATTTGCAAATGGAAGTCCCTGCGCGTTGTAAGGAAGACCAGAGTACATCATGTTGAAGCCGTTGTTCATGCCACTCATACCAGATTGACTATACAATGCAGCTGCAGTCTGGGGACTGATTCCGCTCATGCTAAGAGCATTAGCATTTGGATTGAACTGCATAGAATTGTTGGTGTTGTTTATTCCAATAGGATTGGACAGAGAAGATTGCATCGATTGAGTACCATTATTGCTGAGTGCACCCATGTTCATGATGTGTGCAAAATTGCAACGATCACCGCGAGAGCAATAGCCTTGCAAAAAGTAGCGACAGATGCCATAAGAGCCAGGAATGGAAGCTGCATCCAGATCACCACCAGAAGCGGTCATTTGAGACTGAGCAGCGTTTTGCTGCATCATCAGATACTGCTCTTGTTGCTCAATCAAATCTCCCAAAGACCCATTGATTCGAAAGGCACCCAGATCAGGGGAAGAAAACGATGGAGCCAGAGCCGTTGGCTTTTGTGGATAAAAGGAAGCATCTCGTAACTTTTCAAAGCTCGGCGTGTCTGATAAACCAAAAGCATTAGTTGAAATAGGTAGCTGAAGATCAGACGAGAAACTACCAATTGAAGAAAATCCAGACGTACACGAGATTGAATTAGATTCTCCAGCCATGCCACCCACTGACTTGGATGTGGAGTAAGGTACAGTTGGCCAAGCAGTTGATGAATAAATAGAAGACTGGGCTACAGTGGACTTTTGTTGGTGAAAGGAAGCCATGCTCCCAGTCGAATAGGACTCGCGACGTTTCAGAATAGGCATTTTGGGTTCGTCAGACGAAGTGGGGAAAAAGCTACGAGAATAGGCATTGTTGAATACTGAATCGTCGTCTAGCATGAACTTGTCGCTAAACTGATGAGGAATAGTAGACTCGGCTCCACTCTTAGCCTCACCGACAGTGGGAGTGCTAGATAAAGATATACCATCTGCAGAAGGATCAACTCCATTATTTAATGTAATGTGACGCGAGCCTGAAGGACGAATGAGGTTTGTGTCGGGACTAGACAATCGAGAACAGTAAAATATGGAATAGCAGTTAGAGTCGATCTAATAGTAAATTCTTTATCAAAAACATCACTCATGCACCTTTTGTCAGCTCTTTCCAAGGACAAACGCTCCATGCCCCAAAGCAGTGTCAAGTCAGCAGAGCTGTTTCTTCGGACCAAAGGTATAGCTTTGGATGATGGATATGGGATGGACAAAGCGCCGGGATTAACAACAGGAGAGGGACCATCAGAAACGACGGAAAGTCTAGCAGCGGGAGTTGAAGATCTACGACGAGAATCGTGAGCGGATAGCAAATTATGGTTGTCTTTGTTCAGATCTAAGCCATGTCCAGTAGATAGTGTGTTTGTAGAACTGTCTTGAACAAGCCCGGTAAAATCAAGACCAGAAGCCAACGAATTAGAAGAGTTGAATCTGTCTTGCACAGTGGAAGTGGCCGCGGCTGTAGGAACCTGCAAGCTGGCATTAGTGGCCATTGTTCCAACTGGAGCAACAGACCTCAAGGTTGAACCAATTGATGGACTAGTAGACTGTAGTAGATCAGTATAAACAGCAATGTTAGTTTCAACAGTAGGAGCGGAGATAGTTGTGGTACCACATTTGCCCATATCTGAATCTAATAGTCGGAGATGGCAAAGTAGGCAAGCAAAAAACAAGAGAATGAGCACGACTCAAAGAAAACAGCAACAAATAGTGAGGATGAGTGAGCTATAGGTTAGAAGCACAGCTACATTTTGCATTAAGAGCGGAACAAGTTGGTTGACCACTCGGCTCGCTTGCATTTCAATGCTCACGACGCGTTTATTGATCAACCCAGTATTCAAGGCCATTAATGGGGTCGCTAGTATTAATCCCTTCGGTATAGCCCAACTCAAAAACGTGTAGCAATTCAACTGTTTTTAAAAGGTTTCAACCCCAGTCTTGATCCATGCAAATATTTTGGATTTACCTTTGTATTCGATGCAAAGGCCATAGAAATCTGGCAACAGGGTTCTGCAGCAGGAGCAGCATGTGGCATGGCAGTGGCAGTAGTAGAAACAATGGGATCTAAAGGAACCACCAGAGCAGACGCATGTATTGGGCTGGGTCGTAGCTGAACCAGTTCGTCATTTCCCACAGTGCTTATAATAGTGGTTTCCACGGACGTACTGGGTGGACATACCTCTTGTTCTGCACTGCCATTGACTGGATGACTGGAATGGCTAGATCTAAGAATGTGATCTTGAACTAAAAGGTCTTCTAAAGCAGATGCAGCATTCCTATGAGTCGTACGACTGTCTGGAGAGGAGCTTTGTAGCGCATTAGAAGACCCCGTATGCTGTTGAGTGAATCGATTTCCAATCATTATTAATCGGAATGGTTCTGGTTGAGAAATAAAACCCATGTATATCGAGTAAACAGATTATGTAATGGTCAAGTTAGATTCAGTACTTTTAAAGCATCGTTTAGTTTGTGCTGTCAAGCCAGGGTTATAAACAGTTCATGCACTCATTGAACTGAAAGGTTTAGAATGCCAACTTTTTGGCTTGATGTTCATCTTTGGTGAAAAACTAGTTCATTGCTATCTGAATAGTGAATGCACTAGATATCACTTGGGTTTTGATACATTTATAAACTGAGCATACCTTGTGTCTATATAAATGATAAAGATTAACTGCCGACACTAGATTATTTCTTTACTGCCTAGTTCAAGATGAATGGCTTCAAATTCAGATTTAAAATTTAGGATAAAGCGTCGAGTCTGCAGTGTTGGTTTAGTAATATACGAACCCAAGATTTAGAATATAAAAAGTGAATTGGTCGCCTTTTGTAAGTCAACTCGTTGGCGGGGTTAAATCTGTTGCTATGGCAGCGTTGGATGGATGCGGAAGAGGTCGAGGAGCACAAAGGATCCAGTATGTCAAATACTATTATCGCACATTTTTGCTTTCTGTATTTCAATCACTATCATGCCATTTGACATGAATACAAGGCGGAGTTGGTCGGAGTCGAAGCATCACATGGCGTTGGTAATTGGCTTTCCATATCGTGTCGTGAGCTTATTTTCGTCATTCAATCCAGTTTTCGTGAAATAACACTATCTACCATCAATAAAGCCATACACCGTATGTTGATGTACACATCTGCAATACATCATGGTGTTTGTCTTGATTCAAAACTAACATCCTTGTTCAACTGTCAGTCTATACTATGTTGAATAGTATCACATGCTATGCTCTATTTTATAAGCGATGAGTTTGCAATAAAATCTCGCAAACAATGGCATTCCGCTTTCATAATGTATATTATTGTAAAGCAGCATTCGAGTATCTGGTTATTTGAAAAAGGAGTGTTCATATTTTTATGGTATTGATTAAATGATTTCATTAAAACTGGTTGATCTGTTTCATAAGCCATACAGTGCCTCCTTTTTAATCACCGACTATTGAGTTGATTATATTTCAACATCAACATTATTGTTTGTCGTTTAAACTCGAGTATGCTATACCTCGGTTTCGTGGGCACTAGCAAGGTTTTTTAAATCTCGCTCCTTAGTGCTGGCTGCATTCAAAAATGTTGGCTTTACAGCCGTATTCACATAAAATAGAACACTATCTTGTAGTCACTGCCTCTATTTTGCTTCTGAATATACAATGGTTGGATATTTGTTGCGTATTTCTAAGAAATTGACTGCATTGCCTCTTTAGTTGGCCTTGCCAACTATCCTGTGTCTGGAATCACACACTGTACAAAACCACTTGGTTCAATCCTCTGCAGGGTTCAAGAACATGGAGCTCTATACCTCGCGACATTGCTGTTTATTGAACAATTGACAGACCATGTTTAATCAGTGAAGTTGTAGCTTATGAAATGGTATGTTGTCTAGAATCAAATGTGCATTGGGAATGTTCTTGCAATGCCATTGTTTAGAAAATATGGAATATCAAAGCACTTACAGCTCCATTAACCTCCAGACACAGCGACCATCATATAATGCAAACTATAGTGATATCTTTTTTTGGTAGTTATTGTACAATCACCAGATTGACCCATTTCAATCCGGATACCGAGCTCAACTGTTTCCAACAAAACTACAAACTCCTATATTTAAAAACTTGCAGATATGGACACGATCCAATCCAAGAACAAAATCAATCTTGGAAATGCAAGTGTTGTTTCCATGACAATCAGCCAATTCTTGTAGCAGAGTTGAAGATTGTACAAGTGTCAAGAATGCACAGAGACTAAACATTCGCTCAGCTATACAAAAGTGAGCAGAGAAAAAGAACGATATTGTCCAGTAAACTGCCATTTATCACAAGACTGTTTATTGCAAACACTTTTGTTTTATGTGAATCCAGCGGCAAGTCGTAAAAAAAGTCGGCAAGAATCAGCTACAAAGTCGATATGCGATGCGCTTTTTAATATTTACAAATCTTACCAGAATCATTACAGTCAACCTGAAATAAAAATAATAAAACCTGCTCTGACTTGACAAAACTTCTAGTATTGACAGTGCCAAAGACATGGAGTTTCCCAGATGGACCTTTCCATTCAATAACAATCCGATTAAATTTGGAACACTTACAAGTGTAGGTATGCATTTGACGCCTGAGCATATAGCCGAGAATCCTTCAGACTCGGCCGATTCACCAAACCAAACCACACTCAACCCTGCTCAAGCCTTGGACAGTATCAGTGGCGGCTTAGCTAATCCAGTGTTTATTCATGAAAATATCAAAAAAAGCAAGTTGGGTTTATCCATAATTAGCATGATTTGATGCTGTTTGGGATCTTGAATATCAGTGCACTTTGATCGATCCACTAAACCTCAATATTTAAATATCATGTATTGGTTTGTTCTAGGATATACCTCTTTGTCAAAAATAATCAAGACTTTTCCTCGATCGTATATGTGGGAGAGGCGAGTACTGCCCAAAAACATACATCTCGACATTGGGTCTATGGTGAGGTGTAGACCTTGAGTTGTCATATTTCAAAGTATTACTATTCTCACAGTAAAATGTATTCCATGCTATCTGTTTATAAAACTCGTTACCAAAATTTACTCGTTGGAATCCAACTGCAATTAGCTTGCATACTATGACGCATCCTATTACGATGCTTACGTGCCATTACCTCTTCTAGATGAGCTTGTTACTGAGCAGATTAAAATGGAATTTGAATACTACAAGTTTGATTATTTGGATGGCAATCGTCTTCATTCTTGGCAAACTCCGGATCGTCGTACTACATGGCTAGCACATCCGACAGGACAACTTCTCAATCAATTATGTGTGTCAAAAGTATTCTTATTTAATCTTTGATTTAAACAATCTATTTAACATGCATTGCATTATAGGTATACGTAAAATGATCAACAATGATCATTTCATTCATACCTTTTCTACTCATGGAAAACTCAGTGCTTTCCATGTTTTTGATACACCCATTTTGCAAATAGTATCCTCATCATCCACACTATCAGTAAATGGCCCGGATCATCTAGAAAATTCTAATGGTATAGTTGTAACTGAATGGATTTTGGCTGTGCATTTACCGCCAACTCACAAGTCACCTTTAATCTTCAGATCTCTTTGCAGTTAGGACCTTTCAAGGAGCTCATTTTTTTAAACTAGAACTTGACAAAAAGGGAATGGCATATGCAGATCTTAAACGAGAGTTTGCCATGTCACCTCACGTACTCGATTTGACTTTTAACCCTGTCATTCCAGGCTATGTCGCATCCATTCAGCTTGGCGGAACAGTTCAGATTTGGGATGCACAACATGATGGGTTGAGTTGTTGCTTTAAGATATGTTTTAAATGGATTGATACAGTTTATTTACCAATCTGCTACATTTTGCATAAAAATACATTAGGATGACAATGTGGCGCAAAGAAAATCCTAATTCAGATACATTGACAAATTATCAGTTGTGGAAATCATGTCAGTTTGGCGTTCATCCTCGTACACTATTGGTCGCACATTCTAAGCAAGTAGAGATTTGCGACTTGAGGGTATGTGACGCTATAGGCAATGCGCATTTCTATAAAAGCATTACATGAAATAGCTATTTGTGATGCATAATGCTGTTTTATTCTAATTGTTTTTTGCACATGTATGCATTTTTGGATAACTAGTCACCTCCAAAGTTTCCCATTTCAAATGTATTCAATGACTTGGGACCCAAAGAATATATTACTGGAATGGACCGTAATCCGAACTCACCATTTGAAATTGCACTGGTGACGACTGATCGTGCTATTGTAGTTGACACTCGTTATACAAAATACCCGATGCTGCACTGGGGACTGAATCATCCAATTGAGTATCAATTTCATATAAAATACCTAAACAATTTAGGCAATCGAGACTTGCATCAATCTGGAACAAACCATTTAAATTGTAAGTTTATTGCTTGGTGCATAAAAGCTATTTTATTCAAATTTAGTATGCTCATCTAATGCTTCATATCTGCTTCAACCATACTCGATTGATTTTATATCCAACTAATATTAGCCACATTTGCAACGTGGAGTCGGACTCAAACGGAGATTTTATTTTATGACTACGAGGCTACTAAATCGAATCCACCAGTGACTGTAGGGGTTCAAAAACTAGTATCATATCCAACACATCCACATGTTCTTTTCCCACCAATGGAGACCATGCCTTGTTTGCCAAGACGTAGTGATGTCAAACATAATGATCATGAAATAAGCCAAATTATTCCACCATGGGCACCACTAGTTGGCTTTGAAGTTATCCCAAATATAAAAAATGATGGGTTTACTTTATTGCATCTAGCATGTGACGGAGCGCTTTACGCCCAGGCATATGGTGTAGATTCTACTGCAGACGATAAGCATGATCAACACGACACAGCTTTGGAAAATAATCAAGTGGAACAAAAACTGGATAAGCTCGAGTCTAGTATTTATAAAATTGAAGTTAAAAATTTGGGAAATCAAAAGATTGAAACAGGTACAATTAAAAGCCATCGGCTTGTAGATATGAGGATCCTTTCACAAAGTAAGTTTTTATTATTTGGTTGCCAACGGCTTTATTCAAAGTACCTTGCCAAGCAATTTGTCAAGAGAATGCGGATTTTAACTGAAACTGGTTTTATTTTATAATCTAGTAACTAATGAAATCATACAAGACCAGCTTCTTAAAGATTATTTTAAAACTGTTGATGTGACTTCGGATATTGTGCTAGATGGCACAATTCAAAATATGTAAGTGCTGCGCCGATTTTATTTGTTTGTAAAGTGCATTGTTTGGGCTAGATAGATATTGGTACTCATTCATTTGAGTATTGATTTTGTAGACGAAACATATTCGCAACCCACACAAATTCAGATCAAGCTGATACTATTTTACCGACACGGGCGTCACTTACGAGCTTCTATAGACAGCTTAAAGTTTTTTTGAGTGATCCAACTACCAAGGCAAAGTTTCCAGATATGACGATATTAGACCCGGGCAATCAATTTATGCTTTTTGGTTTCAACACTGACCTGAAACCACAAACACTCAACGAACTCAAAGAAATGATCAAGGGCATCCTTATCTGTGATGAGTCACATGATATGACTCCTTCTAAAGATGGATCCCTCCTTATAGGTGATCAAGCTAGCATTAGACTTTTGGCACGAGATATGTGGTTTTCTCGAATGGTAATGATTCCTACTAAAACCACAGTGGAGAGTCTGGGTGATACTTCCATAGCAAGTGATACTGTAAGCGATATGGTCTCTGACGCAGACGAAGCGCAATCCGTGCGGGGCGACAATACAGATTATAGATCTGACTCTAGCAATGATATCCAGTCGACTCAACCCGATAAATCAACACCTGTCCGTCGCTCATTAAAGGCATCGCGTTCATCTCAAAGGCCAACACAAACAACTGATACGACTCAAAGCATGCCACCAATAAATGGTTTGCTACGATCGGCAGACACAGGCAATCCAATTATTAAACCACCAGCTACCTTTTGCACACCACTATGTTCAAAACCCTTTAAAATCAGCGGGTCAATATCTACATTCAAGGACATGTGGGATCACCCAGAGTTCTATTACGATCCCAACGCAGTATCAGAAAACTTTAAGCACGGAATGAAGCAAATAGTGGTGGATCCTCGCCAGAAAAAACGAAAATTAAACTCGAGTCTATCAGCTGCAGAAGGTGCGGTTGTTGGCACTGGTGCAAATGGATCAAGCCAAACCATGTCAGCACAAAATGTATATACACAGGAATGGGCAAGTCAACAGACGGATATGGGTGGACCATCATCGGTATCGTTGTTTGAAGCTTTGGAGAAATCAATGTCACAACCTGCTGCACCTATGATTCTTTCAACAATGAATGCAAGATCTACTCAGGCGGAATCCAACTCGCAGCCTAATGCAAGCAATTCAAATAACCTTGCCGTTGGTGGTAGTAGGGTTTCTGGAACGAGCGCATCGCAAAACACAGCACTTGATCAGAGAATATCGAAATCACAAACTACACTAAAGCATGGTTTTGGCAATTCTCAGACGCCCAGCTCGGCCAAAAAACAAAAAAAGTCGCGTACAAAAGGATTTTAGAATATCGAATTGTCTTTACAGCGTATTCATGTCAAACGAAACACCTTTGTATTACTTTTGCAGCCATCTTTTCTATTTTTGAAATACGCAATGTACTCTAAAATCTTAGATATGCTTGTGTTCTAGTTCAAGAAAATAAAGATTGGAATCTCAAGAATAAAACTGGTGTTTTCATGTCAACTATTTAATGTTTATTTTAAAAGTTGTGGATTGAACAAGCAAAGAGTGCATTGAAGATGGAATATGAATTTCATTTCATTTCATGAGATTATGACTGCAGTAATGATTAAACCACGTGATTTAAATTCAACGTTTAATTTGGCAGCTTTGAATTTTCATCCAGTTTTACTGAATCAAAAGAAATGAATAAAATGGTAAAACTCCGATTATCGAAATGGATTGGTTGTCTGAGAGATCTGCCTATATGCAGTATGTACAAAATAATAACCTTGATATTGGGTTAATGGTTTAGGACTCTTCAGCAATAACTATGCCTGCTACTGGTATAACTGGTACTGGCACCACTGCTGGTCTGCAAGATGCAAAGGACTTGACTCGTCTGGAGCGAATTGGTGTGTAGCTTATCTGTTTGATCTTGAAAGGCAGTTTGTAGCATTGGGCCTGTTAAATGGATGATTTTTATTGTTTCTTTGAGTATATGAGTTGTGGTTTGGATTTTTAGCCGTATTCATGTAAAATGGACCATTTGTATTTATTCTGCAGCGACTCGTTATCTTGCTTTTGAATAATGATTAGACATTCGTTGCAATTTCCTATTGAAGATTAGCTACTTCAATAGACATTCAACTCTTATTCCAAGCCCAACAACCATCATATAGTGCACACAATCAAACTAAGTTTTGATTGTGCTCTTTTCCCCTTTTGGCATAACTGTACATTACACGATTGACAAGTTTGAACCCAGATCCAATTATTTCAATATTTTCAATCAACCTCCACTTTGTTGTATCTTAAACTCAGATACGTCTGCATTTTAGTTCAAGAACAAAGATTGCACGTCAGAATTGTCATTCATGAGATTGACATTTATTTAGTGCTGTATTTTACGTGGATACGGTTGTAAAATGAGACTGGAGTTTTAGATTAACTCGTATATCACTGATTCAGATGTGATATTTGGTGGAGAATCACAAAGTCTTGCATACCTATCTACTCATATCAAGGCATATTTGAAATCTCAGCATAAACTTATACTAATTATTTTTTAATAATATTAAATGCGTTTTGTAAGGTACACATTCGCATATTCGAGGTCTTGGTCTGGATGATGCGCTTGAGCCTCGTGCAACATCACAGGGTATGGTTGGTCAGCTAAAGGCACGTAAAGCTGCTGGTGTGATTCTAGAGATGATCAAGCAAGGCAAAATTGCAGGTCGTGCTATCCTTATGGCTGGTGCACCAGGAACTGGAAAGACTGCCATTGCCATGGGTAAGCTAGCATATTTTTGTCTAATTTTGCCATTTCCAACAAGACTTTTTTCTATTTCTGTGTTTGAATAATATTAACCTTTCAATTAATTCTTTAGGCATGGCACAAGCCCTTGGACCTGATGTACCATTTACCATGTTGGCTGCATCTGAAATCTTTTCACTAGAAATGTCTAAAACCGAGGCTCTTATTCAAGCATTTAGAAGATCGATTGGTGTACGCATTAAAGAAGAGTCTGAGCTAATTGAGGGTGAAATCGTCGAGATTCAGATTGATCGCGATGCTACGGGTGTGGTGTGTTAATGCTTAAATATGTCAAATGTTTTTATTTGCAATCCATACAGTTGCATTTTTACCTACGGATAACATGTTATATTTTAAAAGGGTGCCAAATCGGGAAAGCTTACTCTTAAAACCACCGACATGGAGACTGTGTATGATCTTGGTCAAAAGATGATCGAATCGCTTAACAAGGAGAAGATTACTGTTGGGTATGTCACAACTAGTAAATACCTTTGATGGGTATCAATCCATTTTGCATGTTTGTACATATTTAGGTTTAGTTTAATTGAAGAGCGTGTATTTTTTGAATTGTGATGTTTAGTGATGTCATTTCCATTGACAAGGCTAGTGGACGTATTACAAAGCTTGGCCGTTCGTTTACTAGATCCAGAGACTATGATGCCATGGGCCCAGATGTAAGTTGACATTGATTTTCTGTTACTGGCTTATCGAGTCATCTGACTTTGTTTTTAGGCTAGATTTGTTCAATGCCCTGAAGGCGAACTTCAAAAGCGCAAGGAAGTTGTACATACGGTGACACTTCACGAAATGGATGTGATCAACAGTCGCTCACAAGGATTTATTGCACTCTTTGCCGGTAACATGCTTTTGTAGACTATATTGAATCAGTTTGGTTTTGTGTCGTTAGATCTGATTTGGGTTTTCATTTAGGTGACACGGGTGAGATCAAGTCGGAGATTCGTGAGCAAATTAATGTCAAAGTTGCAGAATGGCGTGAAGAGGGAAAGAGCGACATTGTTCCTGGTGTACGTTGAAATTATATGTTGAATAGTTTATTCTGCCTTGACAAACTATTGTACGATCCTTGTACTCACATAATTTTTGATAACATAGGTATTGTTTATTGATGAAGTGCACATGCTTGATATCGAGTGTTTCTCTTTTCTCAACCGTGCTTTAGAAGATGATTTATCCCCTATTGTCATTATGGCTTCCAATCGTGGCATTACTAAAATTCGTGGCACTAGCTACATGTCCCCTCACGGTATTCCTATTGATTTACTGGATCGTGCGTTGATTATCAGCACTTCTCCCTACTCTGAGGCTGAAGTGCGTCGAATTCTAAGTATTCGATGCGAGGAAGAAGATGTAGAAATGACTGAGGATGCTCTGGAAGCGCTTACGACTATTGGAATGGATACCAGTTTGCGTTATTCTATTCACTTGATTACCGCTGCAAATTTGGTTGCTCGCAAGCGCAAGGTAATTTGAGTATATATAGTTTGTTTAAAACCTTGTTCACGCAAAGTGAAACACTGTTTTTTTGGTATTGCCATATATTTTACGATCTCCAGATATTGGGTTGGATTGTTTTGATGTTTTCAGCCAAACTCTGTTGTATAATAATCTCGTACGTTTGCGCACTAGTTCAAGAGCAGAGATTGCATATTTGAAAAGTGCACTTGTTGTTTCCATTCCAATCACTCAATGTTTTGTAGGAGAGTTGGAGATTGATCAAGTGTGGAATGGATTGGAATTACAGTGTGATTATTTGGTCAATTGTTTATACAAAAATAAGCATGGATGACAAACACCAATAAGCTTTAATGAGTTCAAAAGGCACAATGATGTCCAGTAAATGTAATGGGCATTATTCCACGAGACTGGCTGTTATTGTAGTTTGGCACTCTTGTTTTATTATCCATTTACGTGAATGCGACTCATCTTTATATGCTCTACTTTTTAGGCCTCCGAGGTGGATGTTCAGGATATTCAGCGTGTTTACTCACTGTTTCTAGATGAGGGCCGTTCTGTTCAATGTAAGTTGAAATTCGTTTTATTTTTCTGCTATTCAAAATCTTACTGTAGTTGGTGTTATTAAGCAAGCATAACCAAACACATTCGACTTTTTCCTGTCATGCATTTTTAAATGAAACAGATCTCAAGGAGTATCAAGATCAGTATATGTTTAATGAAGCCAGCCAAAGCACTATGGAAATCGACGCTCAGTCCTGAAATCTTGATAAAAACATCACTATTAAACAATTTCTTTTTCTTTTGCCAATACAGCTGCATCGGTATCCTTGATGTATTTGTCTGTCAGTTGCTGAATATCCTTTTCCAACATTCTACTTTGATCAGAGTTTGGTTTTAGAGATGTTCGTTTGAGTGCCGTTCGTGCATCTGCTCTAGCACTGCGAATACGCACTCGACATGCTTCTGCTATCCTACCAATGTTTTTGATAATTGTTTCTCTGAATTCCTTGGCCATCCTAATTGAAAAATACTATTAGATTGTTAGATTGCCGACACAACAACAGATCTGACCCACCTTGGCACGGGTACTTTTAGACTAGATGGTGGCAGAGACTGTGGGTTTAGTCCCAGATTAGCATCTCTAACTGCCTTTTCCACAACACTGACGAGCTATATATGCAATGGATAAAATGGATTTAAAAAAGTGAGAATACAAGACTAGTTTGAATGAATTTGGCCTTTGAATTACCTGCTCATCAGACACAACGATCACAAGTGTATGAGCATCCTTGACAGTGATCTGGGCAACATCGACCAATGCAACCGACTTTCCTTGATGTTTAACCCTGACAGAATCCAGTAAAGCAGGATTTGCTCTACCCATCCGAATCAGACCCAAATCCTTGCGTAGTTTTTCGACTGCATTCTGCATCAGTTGTTCGTATTTATCCATTTGGAATGCAGGTTCAGACGAGCTGTCAATGTCTTGAGTGTCTGCTTCGACATCACTGCCGTTATTTTTCACACTCTGTTTTTTGGACGACTTTTTTGATGCATAACATCTGTGAGTAGAATGAAGTGACCAAGTAGGGATGGCAGTTGGATTGGATAAACCAAGGTTTAAACTGGAACAAGTTGTAGGTTTTGTCAATGGTATTCTGACATGCTGAGTGAAAAAGCGAATGTAAGCACGGTTCACACTAGGCAAGCACAATCTTGCAGCAGTGATAGATCGATACATTGAAAATTGAATATAAAATACAGTTAAACTCTGAGAATTTCAGATTATAAAAAATGATTGAATTTTCAATATAAAAATAGTTGAATTTCAGATTATAAAAAATAGTTGAATATCAATTCAACAGCCACTTGTTCGCCACTGCTGATCCGCTCTTTGAAATTTCCTTTCTAAACAGTTCAAATCTGCAAGTAACAGCCAAAACCATGTCAACTTTTGCTTGGCTTATTAATCAAGCAAGCGGAATGCTCATTGGCACCGATGCATTGTCACATTCTACTTCAGAATCTAAACCAACTGGTGGAGCTGCCATTGACCGTCATTCTTTCGAGTTTCTCAGGTGTGTTGTTGAAACGGAATGTTCAACTGAAAATTCTATCAATTCATATCAAGATACTGCTAGGATTTCTTGAAATCAATGGTCAGTGTCTGATTCTTGTAAATTTTAGAACATTGGAACCTAGAGTACATAAAATATTAACCTTGTCGGCATTGCAATTGGGCAAACCGCAAGTTCAGGCTGATTTTGCTGCAGACATGAGAGATTTGGCTGAAGTATTGGTTTGGTCAGACAATAGAAACCTGGACGATTGTTTTGCGTAAGTCATTCTAAAACCTATCGCAAGTCGTTTGAATTCACTGGTCTTTTACACGAGTTCAAAGTGTTCATTGCATGCTGATTTTCGACTTTGCTGACATTGCTCGTATAGATTGTTTATTGAGAAAAATGTACATCAAGTGCTGTTGAATATTTTAAAACATGCTGCCGATTTTGACGGGATCATTCTTGCTGTACTCAGATTCTTCAATGTGTTTCTCGAGAGCGTCAAGAGTGGAAATATCATGTATTTTATGCTGTCCAATTACTACATCAACGACATCATCTCAGTCCCCCTTAATGTAGAAAACGAAGAAATATTGTCCTATTTTGTCACTCTATTAAAAAACATTTCCAATAAGCTAAACAGTCGAACTATTCAGCTACTGTTTAATCAGGCAAGGTTTAGATTCGAATCCTGGATAATTAGAGCAATGCCTATTAGAATACCTGCTAACAACTTGTATTTAACCTTACAGAAAGCCCGATCATATCCGCTATTTTCGCAAGCCACTATTTATCATTATCATCAAGAGTCCATGGTTCGTGTTGGAGGTATGCTTACAAACTTGGCTAGACTGATGCGAGTAAACGCCATGGTTTATATGGACTCGGTCTATTTCTTTTAAACACTTGACTAATCGTTAGTCTACGTTTGAATTAAATTGCAGTACGCACTATAATTCTTAATCTTCTTAACGTCAATGATCCGGAAACTCTTGATTTTATTATTCAAGACAGATTATACTTTATTGGTGTAGTAGACCACATGGCTGGAATTCTTCAATCACTATGTGGATTCATGGAAGTCAAAAGGTATTAAACCAGTGAAACTTTGTATGACTGATAAATATCTAATGTTCTATTTTAAATCGGTACGATCCTTATGCTATTTAGTCACGCGGATTCGCAAGAGCAGTTGGGATTGTTTTTGGAATATCTAGAATATTTAAACGAAATTTTTTCATTGGAGTTGGAAAATGCCAGCAAGCCTTTAGCAGCGGCATTTTTAGAACGGATTGTTGTAGCATCCCTAATGGAAAAACTCTTCAAAGGTGGAGATTCTACAGTATGTTGTCAAGTGTTTGGAATATAACTTGTTTTTTAAACATTGAAAAATAACTTGCTACTTTCAACATCTTTGGTCTAATACGATTGCATATTTCTGTTTAATATCTAGGCCGTTGCTATTTTTATTTTGACTCGAATTCTAGCTGGCGGTATTTGCTACCAGCCTCTTACTGATTTTATTGTAGAATTGCTTTTTTCTACAAAACCTGCAACCCCAAAAGGTAGTGTTCATGTATTGTGGGCAGTATTACTTGGAATATGCACATTGCTTACCTTTTGTTTATTCTAGATGCTTTATCTCCATCAGATTCTAGTTTCTCTCGTGCATCTTCCATACTTTCTGTTGGGTCTAGCCTGGACATCAATTCAAGTAAGATCAAGTAAAATTCAAGAATACCTTGTGTTAGAACGCGTTTAATAGAGTTAATGATTAATTGGTAATTAGATACGTCTGCTCGACAGCTTCTAATGGGTAATCTTTCTTTAAAGTCCGATATGCAACATATGATGCTTACGTTGGCATTACTGTATACGATTGTCACATCAAATGTATCACACAATGTACTGGATTCTGCAAAACTTTTATCTGCCAAAGTGCGGAAAACAAAATCGATTATGAGCTCATTGATGGACTTGGAAGATCCCACTGATACTGTAGGGAACAGCACAAGCCCGGTTTCACTACAAAGCGACACTAAAGATATGTTCCTTGAGTGTGATTTTAAGCTGGTGGATCGACTAGTCGCTATTCTTGCTGCAGAAGAAATTTTTACCTATCCACTATTTATTTCACAGTTGGTATGTCATTTGATAGTTGAGCTTGTAGGAAGCTCATGCGAGTTGCCTTTAGAAACCAATACTTTGATAAAGGTAATTGATTGTGTTGAGTTGCGAGATTCAAACTGCATCAAAAACGATATGCAGTGATTAATGGTTGCATCATGTTTAAATTTTGTAGAATTCGTTTACCCAAAGCACCACACGCTTCAAAACTGCTTTGGACATTGATGCATCCATGTGCATGGATATTTACGAATTTGAGACACAGCAGACTGCGTTGAGTCTTGATTACATTATTTCCAATGGCAATTATTTGATCCAGTCATACAATCAATCCAGTTTATCTGCCGACTCTACCAATCTGATTCCGCTTAGTATTGCTGTTAAAACATGGCTATTGTTTTATGATTGTCTTTGCAAGATTGGAATGAGAAGAGCTATCCTACCACCTGCGTTTGACTGGGCTAGCCAACCCGTACTTCCGAATTGGAGTGTTTGTGGTAATTTCATCTAGCCAATATTTCTAATGCTAATGAGCAGTTATTAAATCTGATGTGCTATACTAATTGATCTTATTTGCAGATATTGCTCCATGTGTAGTGCAAAAAACAGAAAATGGTCTTACCTATCCACCAGAAAATCGATATTTTGTAGAATGCGAAACACATTTTGTACTTGCAGAGCCTCTATCTCGCAAACATCAACAGGAACGTGCCACAACAGACATTGCTGCAGTGTGTCAATACATGCGTTGGCCTAGAATCCAGGTATGCGCTTTGCTTGACATTTTCAAAATGTGATGTTAAAACTAATGATTGCTTCATCACGCATTTTATCTGACATGTATAGATTGAGCTTGTTGGTGCAGATTTGTATGCAGTGGATGTGCTTGAAGTACAGCCAATATTTTCTGATACATCCATTCAGAGAGTCACATCAGGTTTATATGGATTCCAAGTGATTGTGGGTAGTAAAACCACATGGCGCGGACGACTTGTGTTTGGTGCGAATGATGCTCAAGAGCGAGTCCGTGGATTTATTGCACAGCAACAATCGGCAGCTATTTTGGCTTGGAAGCGTAATATAGAGCATTTGCTTGAACAGCTACGATGGAGATATGCATGACGATCTTTTTAGATTGGTGTAGAAACTTGAAAATGCAGTATGGCGTATCAATGTATTTATTATAAACTTTAGATTGAAAAACTTTTATTATGATTCGTTGTATTTACAATATTATTTGAATTGGCAAGAGTTCTATTCGGTCACAGAGAGTTCCATTCTAATGCATGGCAGATGTCGACTAACATTGAGTCTAAAACGTTTGATAATACTAAAAGTCAGCAAGTCATTTGCAATATAAACGGAATAGATTGGGTCATTACATACACATCCATCTTGTCAATAATAGGTTCCCAAACATCTATTTCTTCGTGCTGATAAAGTTGTGTATCTTGCAGTACGGCAATCCCAGCCTTTCTCTTGGCAATCTCAACCACAGTAACTGCCTTGTTTATTGCTTTGCTTTCTCCTTTGACGATCACTCGTTTGGATGGGCTCTGAAAGCAATTTGTAAAAATGCGATTCGTTAGCAAATATCCATATAGCAGTGCAATCGCATTGTATATCAATACATTTAGTACTAGATGACATACCTGCAGGTGTTTGAGAACCACATCGACATACGTTTTAATCTTCCCACCGCTATGGACAACCACTTCGTAATCTGTGGTAATCAGGTCAAGTTGGTTTGGAACTTGAATGGTTTGTTTCTTTCGATAGTTCTCCACTAGTATTGAAAATGAATCAAGTCATGTTAGTGAATTGATCAAGCTTTATGTCTGAACCACTCTTACTCTTTGTTCAATTCGTAACAGCGAATCCAAGATCAAAACTGATAAAATTGAATCAAAAAACATGAATTTTATTCAGTTTGTCCGTTTATTCACACAAAACACTCGTATTTGTCTTGCAGTGACCATCTTGGAATAAAAATGGTCGATTGCATTGCTTGTTGAATTGATAGTGTCAATTTTTGATTCACAACAACTATAACGATCTCTTTTTTGATAGTTATTGTATAATCATCAGATTCATTCCAATCCAGATATCGAGCTCTGATGTTGTCGACAAAACTCATTTCTGTTGTTTCCATTTCAATCACCCAATGCTCGATTTAAAGAAAAAAGTTGGAGATTCAAGTGATGCCGAGATGCATTGGAATTGTAAACATTCAATTCTTGGTATTCCATTTGACAAAAATACAACTGGAAACTTTGTATTTTACTATCTGCTATATAAATATTCATATTGATAGCTTGCATTTTATAGTTTTTTAAGCTCGAGTACAATTCAGAGTTTTTGGTTCAAGTTAAACTTCAACATTCATTTATTTGTAATCTTTATTCCAAATGATCGATCGTCATAAACCCATTGACTCAACAGAACAGTTTAACATTACCATCAGCTCCACTGGTAAACAGCCAAGGCTGAGTGGGATGGAACTGACATTGAAGTGCACCTATTAGATAATTCCAAAAGAGTTCAAGAATTAATATATCGCTTGTTCAGGAAAGATTCGACTGGTCACCATAAAGTACATTGAATATAGCTTACCAAGGTGAGACACAGGCTGGTGTGCTTTAAGTGACTTGACTGGTACAATCAACGGATTCTGCATCAGATCGTTGTATACCATACCATGGAAAACAATAACTGTGCCGTCATCACTGCTGGAAGCAAACAAGGGATATCGTTTGTGGTATGCTACTTGACGAACGGCCTCCTTGTGGAATCTATTCAAATCAAAGTATAAGCAATCTAGGCAAGTATCAAAGTGTTTAAAATCAACTAAAAAACTGCGATTTCACCTTAATGTCTTGTAAGGTCTAGCAGATAAATCCATGTCAAACCAATGCAATCGCTTATCGTATGTGCCCACAATCAGATTGTCACCTAAAACATATTACAAATATAAAATCAAATTTACAAATGTTTAGGTTTAAACTGCCGTTATTGATCCTTTGTATACAACTGCTGTTTACCTCCTGGATGAATATCCATGCTTGAAATCCATTGTGATCCAGACATCAATTTCTTGACAAGCTCCTGCTTGACCAAATTGTATACGCGAACATAACGTTGTGTCTAACCAATGAAAACAAAAACTCATCAGTTTATCTATATCTGATCGTTACAATGAATGGATGTTTCCAATAGGTGTCTATTGTAAAAGCATCAAAACACATACAGCAACAAATATGATAGGCTTGAGTGGATGAAACAGCACTTGTTGTACCAATCCCTTGGATTTTCGAAACGGTGTTTGTGATCGACCAGCTGAAATCTGGTGAATCTGAACTGCACTGGTGGCAGCTAATTAAATCAAGTCAGTTGAAAAAGCTCGTTGATAATGCAAATAAACAGGCTAAATGCTATGCACTCACCATCTGGAGATACCGTTGCAAAGTAGTCTCCCTTGCGATGCCAGCTTAGTGAAGTAATTCCCTAGTACAAAATACGGTATATTTAATGATTGGAATAACCCAAAAGTTGACAACATTCATATAAAACTACCTTGGCCAATGCAATTCTAACGCGGAATCCAAGGAGCTGTTCCTCCTCATTGGGTCTACTCCATTCACACGACCCAGTGGGATTGCCAGCTATAATATTAACCAGTCAACAAAAGTTTGCAATGATCAATGCCATATTTACCAAAATCACTCACCTTGACTCAAGATATCAGATAAAAGCTCAAGTGTCGCTTCTTGAAGATTGTGATTGATCTTGGTTGGCACAATTAACATCACTTGATTATCGCTATTAAACATCACATTACAAAACAAGTATGGTAAAAATTAGTCTATGCCAAACACAGTTTTCAAAATTGTAAAAGCTCATCAACATACAAAACAACTGCAAGCAAACTGGCATTTTTGTTGGGATTCCAAGACACGTTCATGATAGAATGCTTAAGCACAAACTTTTCCACGCAACATCCAGAAGAAATTTCCCATATGCAAACAGTTTTATCATCTGAGCCAGTAGCCAACCATTGCCCAGAAGGATCAACACTAAGCGATCGGACACGTGCACTGTGTCCCTTGTACTCGATGGATAGTTTTGAAGGAAAAGGCTGCAAGTCCTGTGGTTTAGGAAGCTTGGGAATAAGCGACTCTGGATCAATATTCAACTAAGTTGAAAAGTATTGTAGAGTAGTAATGAATGTTAGCAAACTTGTATACTTCTCATTTTAAATTAAAAAGCATGCACATACTTTGTTTTTAATTGTTCGTGGACATAAATACAAGTCCAGACATCTACTAAATCGCTCCTGAATAAATCGTTCGTATGCAGGAATTCGGCGCATACTGTTGAACTTTTGTGGTATGAAATTTTTCTGACGATCTTCAGCATCAGTTTCCTTCCATTTCTTTTCCTCTTCCGGACTGTAAAGATACTCGGCAGGAGGATTGTACGACTCCATGTGTTCTAAATCCAAAACAGTGGTTAGAATCATATAATCAACATTGGTAGATTGATGAGCTAGCAGCAAGCCTTGAAATAGTCGAGATATTTACCAGGAAGAGTCATCTTTGATGCTGCAATGTGATTAGGTCGATGAATCTCATTTGGTGCAGATTCCCAAATATCGTAAAACTTTGGCTTGTCTGAAGCTTTTGGTTTATTACTTTTACCTGGAACAATCAAACCAGCTTTAATGGCACGAGCAATTTTCATAATCTAGCATTTATAAATACCAATTTTAGTAAAAAATAATCAAAAATCCATTGCATCTAGCCAAACACATGCAACTCTGATATGTCTGTACCTTGCTAGCTTCAATCTTTGATGGAATAAACCGACGCTTAGGCTCAGGAGCAGCACTAAGAGGCATAACTTCAACTTTACTTGTAAACCATTCAATGGTTGGCTAAAATTGTATGGTCAAATAAATACAACTATGAGTACCAGCTCAAGATTAATTGCATTACAACCAAATTGAATCTACATACAGCATATGGATCAAATTGGGAATCAGGAAATTCGTGATTATGGATTTTCTTGAGCAAACCGAGTTCTTCTGAAGTAAGTTTAGCATCTTTTCCTTCCATTTTGTCATGAACGGAGCGCCTGTAATGACACCATTAGCGTATAATTGTATTATAGAAACAGTTGTAATACAATGTCACATATTTGAACAATATAATTAGTCATGGAATCCAACAAATCATTTGAATCAAAATAAACTCGTATATACGATGCTAAACATACCAAAAGTCTTTATCATCCATTGCAGACAGGAATGCGTCCAGCTCATCGCCCTGTGCCGGTCTCATGATTTTTTTTCCATTTATGTCGTAACCAATATGTGGGAAATCGTCGTACCATTCCATTGGAATATTTCCAACTGTGTTGTGGGTTTCTTCATCAGAGGAATCGCTATCGTAAAAAGGATCGATTTCTGTCTTGTCTGCTCTGCGGAGTGCCCTAAACAAATTTTTGCTGTTCATTTCTTTTTCAATCTCTTGATATTCCTTGTCACTGTCGAGTTCATCGCCAAAACCATCATCTTGATCGTCATCTTCATTGTCGAAGCTGTCGTCTTCATCGTCAAAACTGTCGTCTTCATCTTCATCGTTGTCGTCTTCATCTTCACCAGCAGTAGTTCCATCCGCAACATCCGATCCATCAGACTCTTCATCATTGATTTCAGTAAAGTCGTAGTCTTCAGCATCGTCGCTTTCCAGCAATGCTGGTTTAGCCAAAGTTTCCAATGAACGTTTTCTATTCATAAATTTCTTTTTTTGAGAAAAAATAATTGAGCGAAAAACAACACGACCGACGAATCATCTCCTCAGGCCACAAGTATGCCAATTAGTGAAAATTAAAGTTTTTCCCAACAGCAATTCAGGTAAACCGTATCGCATATGCACAAGTATGTCGTTGATGCATTTCTAACAGTTTAAAATATTCAGATTGAAACTCTGTCAGATTCATCTGCAATGAATTGTTCTGGTAGTGAAACAGTGGTGATGCTCTCGGATCAACATCAGATAACATTAGTCGAACCCATGCATAGCAAGGATGCGTCTGAGCATTATATTATGCACATCAATGGAAACTCTTGTTACGGCACCAGTGGATCGAATTCATCCTTGGTTCTTGTTTCAGCAAATAGTATTCATTTCAATAATCAAACATCCGAATCTGCAATGAAATCCATCGCACCGTCAACATCTGTAATGCACTCAACTCTCCCGTTTGGGTTTATACAGTGTGTTCTCGCAGAATTATCTGAAATAGGTTTTAGTCGCATCACTGATATGGATGGGTTGTTCCAGCACATTTCTATTCAGATTAGGTAATAGCAGTTTTGATAGATTTTGTCTGTTTGAAACTGCTATTGCTAACAAAGCGATATGATTGAATATCATTATAATTTGTGTCTTGAAAATATGACATTAAAATAGTGACCGTGCAGGAAGACCACATATACTGATGATACACATCACACCAGCTTATCCACTGGAACCACCAACATGCCACGCAGACCTGCCAATGGAACTTGATCCAAGCAAGGTCAAAAGCATAAAAGATGCAGTTGAACTGCATGAACAAGCCATCAACCAATACAATTCACTTTGGTCCGAATTGGAGGATTTAGACCAGCAAGCATGGATTATTGAAAAAACCACCACCACTCGTCGTATAGCTGTTGGTATGCATTGTACAATGACAATAGAGTTGAATGCACTCAGTCCACGATCTGCTCCATTGGCAATGAGTTTTCTTGGACCAGATCAGGCTGTTGTGGAATTGGATCGCAAGGTTGCATCAATCAAAACAGAGTGGGATTGTCATGCATCTGTAGTAGTAAACCTTGAACGACTATTAGGAATGGTGTTGCCACGACAAAACACGCCTCATGTGTTGAATCCGAGTGGAGGTGTTGATCAAACGACAACGTTTGAATGTGGTATTTGTCTTTCATTCCATCTTGAAAACGATACGGACCAACGCAGTATTCCATCGTTTCATTGTCCTAATACAAACTGTGGTCAGGCATTTCATCGCGAATGCATTACAGAGTGGTTGAGATCGGTGCCAGATACACGACAGGGACTATATCTCTTGATTGGACCTTGTCCGTTTTGTGATACTCCTCTTCCAATCGAGTCGCTGGCGATTCAAAGATAGAATGATGGTTTACATCTTGTTCAACAACACTGCTGTTCAATGCCTTGTTTTTAAAAGTATTTACATATTCAAAATAACAAATCAATCTTTATTCATTACAAGTCAACATTGGGTGATTGATGTGGAAACAATCGAGTTGCCAAGACGTGCACTATTAGTTTCTTGAACTAGAGCGTATCCAAGTTTTTAGGATACAATAGAAATAGAATGGACAGTTTTTCAAAGAATTGACAATGTCTATTAAAAGTCGATTTCTGGTAGAAAACCACAACAAATATTGAACCATTGTTTATTTTGAAGCAAAGTAGAGGCAATGACTGCAAGATGAATACAAGTGTTTCATTTTGCGTAAATACAGCTGTAATAAAGGGATGTTGGACAACGCACAGCAAGTGAAACCCGACACCGTCACAGCTAGAAACCACAGTATATTCATCAAAAGAAAAGGTAAAAGCCCCGAAAAGACGGATAATGGCTAGTGTTGGCAAATGTGGACATCAAAAAGTTATGACTGGGAAGTATTGGTTGTCTGAGGAGCTGCAGTATTTTTAGAATCACCCGCATTGCGATGATCATACTGCTGATCATTCCGACCACGACTGCGTCGATTGTAATTAGCACCGTTAGAACCGTCACCGCTCGAGTTTACAGTTTTATTTCCACCTGTTTCATTATTGAACTGCTTGAATGAGCTACCATTCGCATTGTTGTTATTGTGGTAATAGCTTCCACGATTGTTATTGTATCTGCGCTGATGACCGCCACGCGATGAGCCTGTTTGTCCAAAGGTCTCCATATTTGTCTGGCGCTCTTGAGTTGCACGTGTGTGACGATCGATCCATTGCCCTTCAACACGGTCACGGCTATCGCAGGAAATATTGTCAAAGAAGCCACCCTTGGAGTAGAACTGAGCATCGGAATTCAAAGTGGCTTCAGTTTGAGCCTGTTCTGGAATTGCACGATCGAATTTAGCATTGGAGCTTTCAAAGTCAAACTCTGAATCAGGAATCTCAGTCTTTTGAGTGCGCTGGTTTTGAAAATTTCTATTATAGCGGTCATTATGATAAGATCGGTTTGTACCTCTATGTCCACGGCTGTGACGATTACCATCATTGGTTTGCTGCTGGTCACGATCCTGAGTTGTATTACCACCAGCTAACAACACCAAAACATTTGAATGAGTATAACATTGCACATATATACAACGACGACATATTTGTCATTGCAACATCTACAAGCAACTAGACAGTACAACTGTAGTTGAATCAGTGTTTTCCAAGTACCTTTTACAACAGGAGGTTTAGGTGGAAGAGCTAAAAGATCAGTATTTTCTTGAGGCAAATCAGTATGTTTTGCTTGAGATTTGCGTGCCTGATTAGACTGGGTGGGTTTTGGCAGACCAGGATTTTTCTTTGTTACTCCCGAATCTTTGGATGGCGGCTCTCCACCAATCTTCATTTGACCAAGAGATTTTGCAACGGCTTCAGAAGTGTCTTGTGTGGATTTAGGTACTGAGGATGTTTGAGAAACAGTAGCAGGGCCTGAGTTATTGGCAGGACGTGAACCTCCGTGGGCGTTCAAAGGTGCATTGCTATTATTAAACTATTATTTTCAACACAATGCCAGTTAGAAATGCAGTAGTTCAATTTTGTAGTTTAAACCTTTAAAGAAAATAATCAACATTGCATGCCTTTTCAGTAGATGATTTCTGCAGCGCATTAGAACCGAGAGATGGAGATGAAGCAGCATTAGACGTGTCTGGAACTGTAGTCGCTGAGGTTGTAGGAGTATCGACAGACTGAGGCATTCGCACAAAAGTAGGATGTTGAGCAGATGGTTGTTGATGCTGCTGTGAAGGGTTTGACCAGTACTGTTGTGGGGGAGGATGTTGATAGCCTACACCCTGCTGATATGGATAGTATGGGTTCATACCTGGATGACCATTTTGCAGGGGTGGATAGCCAGGCTAACAAAACCATAGGATTTAATCGATAGCGTGAATACAAGTATAAAATACCGATCGTTGCAATCAATGCATCTGCCGAGTAGGAGCAGTTTAGAGAATACAACACAGTTAAAAATGAAATATCAAAATACCTGCTGACCACCAAGATGAGAAGGTGGATGAATGGGCATTGACTGGGGTCTAGGCTGAAGAACTCGTAGATCGCTGATATCGCTGGCTTTAAACATGATTTGAGGGAAAACGTGATCTGAAGGCATGATTTCTTCCATAGGATTCAAGGCACGACCTTCAGTACCATAGCTTCGTACTAGAATTAGATTTAAAGGATTAGAACGAGTAGAGAGAGACAAAGCTAGTAACAGATAAGAGACTCTAAAGACTGGTTTATACACCATGCCAGTAGATAGTAAGAATGGATATTACACTTTGGTCTTGTCAAAAGACCAAAGTGTAATGTATGACCAGATACGGAGATTCCAGTGTAGTTTGATAGACAAGCAGATGGATTCGGTTAAGATGATAACATTAAACTGCATTACTCTTAGCAAAAGAGTTACTGACTGGTCCTTGGACCAGTCAGTAGAATACGTTTACAAGGACGACTCAATCAGATCATCCAACACCATTCTTTAGAAATGATGTTTTTTCAAGACAGCAAGTCATCAGAGACAACGGTTGAGTCCTGCCAGGGATGTCTAGCACTAACAACGACTTGGTTCATTACCTTGCTCTAAAGAAACTGCTCCTTCTTGAGGATTGATGCTCAAAAGTGTGCCAACAAAACGAATGTTGGACTTTGATGTTAGACTGATCAAGGCTCCCAATAGGGGCAAACCATTACTATCCATACTAAATTGGTAGAGTTGATAAAGTGATTGTTAAACTGAATTCTTTGAGGAAAGTTTCAACTCACAAACTCGTCTTCAAATCCCAATTTATTAAGCACTTGTGCCAGATGGTCGATATTCTTCATTTATTTACGTGGTTTCTGAATAAAAAACATCCAAAAATGTCAGGATGTCGAAAAAAATGTATTAAAATAGTCCTGGTCAAGTTCGTTGTGGTTCGTAGTTTGTTCATCAGAATGCATGCTGGATTTATCAGTTAATGGCAACTCAATCAACTCATCAAACTGGTCAAATTCGGGAATAGTGTTGGTGTTAATCTGGTTGAGATGTTCTTCCTTTGGTTGTTGCCACCGATTGATATCATTCGAAGATAGGGCATTACCAAGCAGGTCTGTGCCTTGCACTGGCAAAGGCCAGGTTGGATGCATTGGTCTGGATCCATCAAGTGATGACTGGCCGCTTATGGTAGATGATGCTGAAACCATCGGATCTGGTTGTTGCTTCATCAGTTCCATAAGCGGATCGTGTTCGTCATGACTACCTCCTAAAGTTGGATCGTTTCTTGAAATCAAATCTGACATGTTCCAATCCCCAAGATGTGTTTGTCCTTGCTGTAGTCCTGCCACTGCCGATGCAATATCATATACACGATCCTGCAGCATGTCAATATCTTCAGATACTTCTTGTGCCGAGTTATTTACTGTCGCCATGCGATCCGATGATTTTTCAAGTTGATTTAATAACTGGGGTGTACCTGTTAGGTTGCCAGCACCCTCCGTCAATCCAAATAGCGATGATGCCAAAAAGTCTGGGTTTTGCAAAAGGTTGATTGTTGATGGAATATCGTTGTTTAAATCTATACCAATTATATAAGCAACACATCAAAAGTCATTAAACTGCAGATCCTTAATAGTTAATCATTAAAATCGACTTACCAACATGTTGAGTAGTTGCCATGGTGGAAAGTTTGTCATTTGAAAATGTGGAAATAGACGGTACAAACGCTGTTTCTATATTGGGTACTGGAATAGGACCAGCATTACCACCCATCAAATTACTAAAGTATACGTTATTGGTCATATCGTTAAAATTTTGAAATGCTGCACCGTTGGAATTTTTCTGATTGGAAGTATTCACTCTAGAATCTGGACTATTATTCAATGGCACATCTGGAAGTTCAATCCGCCTACGCTTTTGAGTCGTCACATCAGGTTTTTTGTTGGAAGAAAACACGGAAGCCAAAAACCTCAATATTTTGTCAATAGTTTCCTGTTGCTTGGTATAGCGCTCCCGCAATTGAATCGATTCGTTCCAGAGGGTTTCGTTTTCACTTTGAAACTTTTGAATCTCTGCACTGATGGTAAACTGATGCCGTTTAATGGCTGAAATTTCATGAATAACAGTGTTCATATCTAGAGTGCCGTCTTTTACCAGTTCGTCCGATTGAGTGTTGGTACGACGAACAGCAAAACAAAGAAGATCTGGTCGATTTTTTTGAAAGTTTTTGTTTGAAAACTCCAGAATCTCTTTCTGTGTGCTAGCCAGTAATGATCCATGCTCAATGCTCGGTACTTTGTGAAACCCATACATGTTCAATTGTCGATTGAAGCTGGTAAAATTGTTGTGTTTGAAAAATCTGGGAAGCACCACTTTGGAAAATGATAGTGGATTGGATACTATTACCACGCAAGCAAAGAGACAGGATAGTATTGGACAACAGTAGTTTGTAAATCAGCAAGTTAAAACCAGTGTGATAGATATCAAGTGATTCAAAATCGAATTACCTAAAAAGGATGTACCGTCCTCATTCCACTGAATATGCTCGTCTGTTGAGGGGTCACTCACCATGCTACCATTTGAGTAAAAATAGATTAGCATCAATACTTTGAATCAGTAATACACGGCATAGAATGGATCACTAATCTAATGCCACACACTTGTAAAGCTTGTTGAGGAATGCAGGAATAATTCTATTAGGCGCAGGCAATCCTCTCCGTTGTGCACTTCCAGGCTTTGCAGTTGCAGCGGCAACAGTATTGGAAGTAGACGAAGCCGATGCATCAACAGGGGTAGTAGAACTGCCAGAACCTTCTAAAATAGTAGAGTCGAACGGCAATGGAAGAGTACCGGCCGTATTCATCAGCGGCATAAATGAATGGTTCGCGGAAATAAGAGATTTAAGCGGTTCAGTGATTATAGGTAGACTGGGTTTTTGTTGTAACAAAACGTTTGATTCTGCTTTAAAAACAGCATCGGATAACGATCCCAATGATTCTGTGCTATCATCAGCATGTATGGCTTTGGATGATGTTTTTGTGTGAGCTTTGGGCGGACTTTCCTTTTTAAATGATGTTTCGGGCGAAGAGGCAGCAGGAAGTGTGGATAAAGCAGAAGCCTTTGCAGACAATGATGATCGTTTATCTTTCAACTGGTCTTTCTTTTTTGAAGCAGTCCCAGCAGTGGTAGATTGGGATCCCCGCAGAGTCGCATCATGAGTTGAACTGCGCCTGTTTAGAATGCAAGTCAGAAGGTCTGTCATTCAAAAACAACCATCATATAGAGTGTCTTACGTTTGTTTCCCTTGTTTTTCAGAAGACATGTTCAATATATAAATAGCTTGTTTGGTGAGTAGATACAGATATCAACTGCCAGAAGAGTCACTGCCAAAATAAGAAAAAAGTGTCAAGTTACACTCCCGTATCACGTGGCATTCTTTATTCAGTCACGAATTCACTGCCGTCTAAATCTTGTTTTCGTACTTTCACTTGAAACGTTTCTGTGTTGATGCCAAAAGACAAGAGTGACTCAAGCCATACTTTCTGTCTGTCTGACAATCGATCTCCTTCTCCCTGATCATCACGATATATAGTATCAATCTACTGTCTTAACCCTGTTCAAATTGGTGTCAATCGCTTACTTTGACCTCGACTAGCTTAAATTCTCGTTCTGCTGATTTCCATAAACACAGATCGGGAACTCCTCCACGATGAGCCCAGTATGTTTTAGCATATAATAAACATATATGAGCTAGTCCTGATCCTCCTATGCACTGTCAACCCAGTAAGAAACTACTACTCGTTCAATTACACTCGTGAAAATCAAATCTTACTTGGGCAATCTCAACAAGAGTATCACAATCAAATCGTTTCCAGTTCACACCTATCAAATGTTATCAATATACTGTCTACATATCATAGATTAAAGCTTTGATGATAAAACATTTACTTGCCTACACATTGGGTGTTGCGTGGCTGTTCTTTGTCAACCACTTGTCTGATAATCAAAGGAAATTCCCCGCTTTTAATCGCTTGTATTCGGGTTTCTATCGATTCCTGGCGAGCAGTAAAAAAATACTCAGTGTACAGATCTAATGGTGCGGCTATATGTAAAAACAAAACTCGGTAATGTTAGTCATTGTCTAATAGGTTGATCCAATCAAAATAAAATCAACTCATATCTAAAATACTTGCACTGAAACGGCGAATTAAAAACAGCAGGTATACTATCGTCAAACAAAATATCCCAAAACAAAATTCCAAAAATAGTAGTAATAATACTATTTTCTGCGTGGATTCCTTTCCATCCTTGCTTTGCATAGTGTTGAAGAACCAACTCTTCAACGTGCATTGGCGTGTGGTTTTCATCTAAATATATTGCCTTTCCTCCCGTTTCATTTGAAAGTTTATATGCTAAAGATTATCTCGTGTGAGAAATAAAAATCTGGCCAGATTTCAACGGCATTCTGTATACTTACCACTCATTCTGGATGACGGTACCGCACGTAAACTATCAATATTCCATAACGCAGGAATTCCTGCTTGCTTGCTGCCAGAAATTCTACAAAGTCGACGTAAAATACTTGATCGATGGGCTAGGTCATAGTTGGGTGTCAGCTATGTTGGTATATTCAACAAAATCATGTCCATTAAAATACCTGTCTGTACAAAGGTATCTGATAGTGCTTCTATACACTTGATCTTGCATGATTTTTTATTTACATGCCGTTCAAGAAGTTTGACAAGTTCATCGTACCACGAACCTCGCCGTCCTAAATATAAAAGCCTAAATACATTGGCACAATCGATTCATAGTTTCATTCATCATATCACTTACTTTGATACAAAATTCTTTGGCTTAATAGTCCATCTAGTACTTGAATAGCATCATGTGGTTTTTTGAGCTGGATTAAAATTGATGCATAGCTTGCCACGATTCGTGTAAGAACTGCCGCTGTGAACAGAAACATATGCGTGTAATCATGAAAATAAAGTCAACAGACCAAACGATTCAACTTTTAGATTGATATACAAAACTCAATCATTGACAAACGTAACTTGCCATGTGTAAATACCATAAACCAGGGAATCCCGGTAACATGGCTTGGATGTTCTGCAATAATTAGCAACCACAAATCAAACAAAATCGCAGCCTTGTTGCAAAACTCAACAAGCTGACTTTCAGCCGGTTTATCTGCAATCAACTCGGCCATTTCATGCTCCACTTTTAAACTTGTAAAATACAGTTCAAACTCGGCTTTATCAGACCACACCAGCGATGTTCGATGCACAGTGTATTGAGCAAACGATTTTTTGCTTTCATTTGAAGCAGATAGATTGCATAAAATGGAATTGGTAAGAAAGCTGTCATGTTTTGGCCACATGGTTGTTCGATTGTAAATGACAAAAAGTCTGTAAAATGCACTACGAGCCAACTCTGTTACTTTTAACAAAGGCCCGACAATTTCTTGAATCAACTTGATCAACCTCTCATGAGCTTTTTCCAAAGTAGAAATCCGTCCTAGCTTAGTAAACGTGTCTAAATTCAGTTGATTATTCACAGTGGCTAAGAATGATTCGCGTAATACAGCGAGCTTCTTTCCAGATGTCGCTACTCTATGGTGTTTAGCCAAATCCACCAGCTGATCCTTTTTAAGCAGATCGACCCATTCTTCTAGTGTGCTGGGTCCATCAAGTACAATATAGTCTGCATTTACGAGTTCAGCCAAGATCTGATTGATATCTTCGTCTTCATGTAACTTGATCTTGTTAATGTAAACGTACTTGCGAGTTCGTCTATTCAACAATCGAAACATTACAATTTGCGATCCCTCTGATAATCTGTCAAACCATCTCAAAACAGACATGTGTTGATCATCAAGCAAATGGCTTTCTTCTGGCAGGACATTGCTGATCATATGCTGCAGTTGTTCAGAATAAGAACGCTGGGATATAGTTGTCAAGTCGTCCATATCTTCCTCTATGCTCTCTTCATAAACACCATACACTGAACCATCCTGTATGCTATTTGAATATTCTGGTGTAAAGTCTGATGTTGGCTCTACTGTCAGTTCTAATTGGGATGGTGGTAGTGTGTTGATCTGGTCATCAATACTTTTGAATCTTTGTATATCGGCAGATGGAAGAACCAAAGTGTTTTCAAAACTGAGTCTGGCTTGTGCTAATCGCTTAGACTGGCTAGCTTCTTGTGATGGAGAGTCATTGCAACTCGCTTGTCGTTTCATGAAAATATAAACCTAGAAATCGGAAAGAAATCGTACCAGCATCCAGTTGCAACATGACAATTATTTGGCATAGTTGAAGAGTATATCTTGCAGTCGCATTCACGTAGAATGGAGCAATCAAAGTGCATGATAAACAGACAATCTCATGAAATGATTGATGCCAGTTTACTAGACAACACTGTTATCTAAGCTTCTTGTTAAAGCTACCCATTCAGACTAAACATGGTTTACCAATTTTCAACAGCAGTGTCGCGAGGTAGATCTTCATTATACTGCCTCATATTGTCTATTCTTATGGCTAAGACAGCCACGTTAACACAATAGATTTGATTTCAGAGCCATTTCAAACACAGGAATTGAAGACATCTAGTGAACAAGCAATCAATTTCTAGTAGGAAACGGCAAATATTTAATCATTCTACATCTCAAAGCAAAATAAAGTCAATGCAAGATAAATACATGGTGTTTAACTTTGTGTGAATCCAGCTATATTTATTGAATATCATTTGAATTTTTCAATCTTGCTAGATTTATCCAATTCTATTGTAATTTCAGGTAAATTCGCTTACTCAGCAACTGTTGATAGTCTAAACTGACCTGCAGCGCACAAGCTAACATCTAGTCTACTCTCTCAACAGACAGCTTTGAATTCAACCACACCAAGTTTTGCTAAATGGTCAAGGTATTCATATCCAATGTTGACACACCCCTTGGCCACAACCTCTCGCGACTGCTGGCCAACACTGTTATTGGGTCGCGTCGAGAAGACGAGAACGAAGAGGAGGAGGAGGATGCACAGACCACTGCTGTTGCTGCAGGCAAAAACCCTGCTTCTGAAAATCTAGATGCTTCACTTGAAGGCTTTGACAAAACTAAACCAGACGATAAGCTGGTCAAAGAAACCTACTTGATTGTTGGTACAATGCAAAGAAAACCAGATCTGTCTGAAGTGTTAAACAACCCACAACTTGCACTCTCTGCCCTATCTTGTCCTGGTAAGATGATTGAAAGTGGGGATAAAAAAAAGGATGCAGCTCGACGTGAAGCAATTGAGAAAATGTCCATGCTGGGGCAAAAGCCTAAATGGGTCAAGGATATAGTGAATGTGAGTTTAAAACGGCATATTTTGCAGATGATGGACAACCAAATCAATGAATTCAACTCATGTCATGGTTTGATAGAATACCGCTCGCGACCAACTCTTACAGACTTTGCTTGCGTCTGATGTTATCATCTATGACATGACTAGCAATCTTGATGAAACTGCATGGGCAATTGAAGGTAAAGTATTGCACCTGTGCTTTTATAAATATGTAGTATATTTGATATTTTCAATCGGTCTACTACCTGAGCTTAAAAAGCGTATATTCAATTACCAGACTCTAATTCTGATTTAAAACAACTCCTGCAATATAGCTCTATCTGAAAAGGCAGATACGTTTGATAAGCCAAAGACATTTATAGCAGTATCATCCATAATGACATGGGCTCGTACAAAGGTTGAATCAGATGATGGCGACGGTTCAATTGCTGAAGATGAATTTCGTCGTCGCAAGGCACATCCAAACTGGAAAAACCATCTTGCACTTGAAAAAAATATCATCAAATACGGGAAAAAGACAAATCTCAAAACCTATGTTGTTGCTGCCGGTTTAATTTATCATGCTGGAGACAGTATATTTCACTCGCTGTTCAAGGTAAAGTGCACATATTGTTTTACCCAAGACTAATCAGTGCAGATAGCAAACGTCGCGTGAAAATGCAACTTTGGCTAACCTAAAACATGTTCATTTTCAATTCCAATTGATTATAAAACTGACATAATGTATTCACTAGGCTGCGTGGCACAATGAGCCTGAACTCCACTGTTACGGCGACGGTTCCAATCATATCCCAACAGTCCATCTTGATGATTTAATTAGTATCATTGTCGAACTCATCGAGACCGCTCCGGAAAACAAATACCTTGTCGCAGTGGATGAAAGCAAAAACACTCTGTATGAAATTATTAAAGCCATTAGTGAATTTCTTGGCACTGGAGCAGTCAAAAAGCTTGCCAAGGAGGATGCATTTCTTGACAAATCGCTTTCTCAGGCTGATTATGATATGCTTACTGTGGATTTAAAACTAGATCCTAGTCATACAAAAGAAATGTCAGTTGAATGGAAATATGAGGTATGTAAATATTGGGAATTGAATCCATTCACTGTTTGGAGTTGCTCGAGTCATGATTCAAGAATGCAAATGTTTGATACTTGCCATGTTTTGAATTCTGTTATAGAGTGGATTTGTTGAAGCTATTTCCATGATAGTTCAAGAATTTAAGGATGCTCGTGGAATGTGGCCGCTCAAAGCTGTTATTCATGGTCCGCCAGCATCAGGTAAAACCACACTAACACAAAAGATAGCCAATCATTACAAAATTCATTCCGTCGAAGTGGATCAAGTAGTTCAAGAAGCCATGAATAGACTTGTAAGTCTATTGATTTATTCTGTCAAGCTTTTACACCTTTTATTTTTTAATTCAACCTGATTTCGGTTCAAATGGTCTTTTAGGAACGACGCGTTGCTGGCGAGTTGAATGAAGAGGATCAGGAGGATGATATTGATGCAGGAAAAGAATTACTGAATGAAATCAAAGAGGCCACAAAAAACAATAATGGAAAATGCCCAACAAGTCATGTCATCAATTTTGTCAAAGAATACCTTCGCTCAATGAAGTGCCGAAATCAAGGGTATATTTTAGATGGATTCCCCACTACTACTGAGGAAGCCAAAATACTTTTTGAAGGTGTGGTTGATGAATCAATTATTTATCTATATTGGATGTCGAATTGAGAAACGCTATATTGACGCTTCTGCATGCTATTTATCAATTCGGATAGCGAGTGATGAGGATTCCAAAGATGACAAGACATTACTGACAGATGACCCAGTTTTCCCAGAGTTTGTGTTTTCTCTTGAAGCGTCTGATGCATTTTTAAAGCAGCGTATTATGAAATTACCGGAAGCATCTATTTCTGGTACAAGAAACTCGGAAGAAGGTAATTTCAGGTGGCTTGTTTTGGAAGCAAAATGAGTACCATATCTCGGCACCGACAGTACCGAGCTCGATTGCTGACATATGCTTGCTTTTACAATAGCATTGACAAAACGGCTTGAAGAGTACCGTAAAGTCAATACAGACGAAACTACAGTATTGAATTACTTTGACGAGCAGGAAGTTCATCCCACCATAATTGATGTTGAAAAAATGGAACTGAACGAGACAATAGAGATGATCACTAAAGTCATGGGTGGAGCTCGCAACTATGGGCCAAGTGTGGAAGAAATTAGCGCAGAAAGATTTCAAATGGAGGCCGCCAAGGTATACCATATATAATTTCAAGACTGGATACCAGATTTGCTGTAAAAAGTGTTTGGATCTGCCTGTGTTGCTTATTTGATTCCTTTTTAAATCTAGGCCAAGTCGGAAGCACTTGCTGCCGAGGAACGTTCTGCTCGCGAAAAGGAAGAGTCAGAGAGGCATGCAAAAGCCAAGCTGGAATGGGTGAGTCTCATAAATGCTAGATTCAAATCATCTTGAATAAAAACTGACATGTTTACTTTTAGAATATGAGACTTGAAGAAGTCCGTAAACAGGAAAAAGAGGTTCTTGAAGCACAGTCCTTGCCGCTTCGCAACTACCTTATGAAGTACATTATGCCCACTCTCACGGCTGGTTTGATCGAGATTGCAAAAATCCGTCCAGACGATCCCGTTGACAGTCTTGCCGAGTTTTTGTTCAAGGTAAATTTCCACAAGAAATGCATGTTTGAAAAAGTATATTTCAAGAAAACCCACAACCCAAATTATTTGACTCTAATGCAAAATGTAAATGGGCAATTGACTTGTATAGCACAATCCTGGAAATACAGTTTAATCCAAAAAATAACTTCAAAAATTGGCAAGATCCAATCTAATTAATAAAATTGTCAAGCCATTCTGTATTTCGGAAACCTAGAAAGTGTAAAAATTAAAAGTAGCTACTGGGTGTAGTGTGGGATGCAGTCAATGGCTTTCCTCCGCCTTGTCGAGTGTCCAGTGACGTGAAAGCATTTGCTGCTCCGCTGTTGAAAGAAGTAGTAGCAATTTTAGATACAGTTGTAGGATTGTTCTGAGAAAGTAATTTCCCAGCACCAACGCTTGTAGAAGCACCTGCAGAGGTGCGCTGAGTGTAGGAAGTTTGCAACGATGTTCTACCAATAGCTGTACTATTGGTGTTTGCGGAATATCCTGGAATGTGACCAACAGGCGAGGGCGATGTTGTAGTTCGGGCTGCTGGCTGATACGCTGTAAACTGTGACGGAATTTGTGATTGAGTTTGGTGCTGGTAAGTTTGGCCAACTGGAGAAACAGTGCGATGATCTTGTGGAAGATAACGACTGCGATACGTAGCAGTGGGCGATCGGAGCTAGAGATCAAACAATAATGGTTAATTGCTTTGCACTCAACATTTTCCGGTAGCCCAAAAGTACTCGAATAGCTTGATCGACTCATTGAAGACTGTCAAATGATAGTATTACCTTTGCGTTGTCCGCTGCCGTCGCATTAGTGTATTTGTCAAAATCAACACCAGTAGCCATACCTCCATTGGCAAGCGTTGTTGTCAATGGACGATTAAGCGCATCATCATTTAATTGTTTGTGAAGCCATTCAATTACTAATAAAATAATCCCATAATTGGCATTATTAAAAACAAATCAATACATTTGGTCTCAAACAAACCTACAAAACAATATCCCACTGCTTACCATGATTGTTGTCTACAATGATTGCTTTACCCTCTTCTATCTTTTTGGTCAAGTCTTCGATCTTTTCGCGAAGAGTACTAGTCTCCTCATTTTTCTTGGACAGCATTTCTTTTGTCGACGCAATTTCTTTTTGAAACGACTCAATTGTATTGCCACGTTCAGTTACAAGTTGTTCTTGTTGAAGGGTAACAACATTTTTGAGCTTTAGCTTTGTTTTGGTCGCTTTCAGCTCGGTTTGAAGCTTACGAATAATCTCATTTCCCTGTAGTGACACAAACCATAGGGAAGCATATTTAAGTACTAGTACATTGACAACTATGCTAGCTATTTGCTATAGATCAACTGTGCCAATTACCTTGGTAATTTCGTCGCGAGATTTTTTCATTCCTTCTTCGAAGCGAACATTTTGAGTCTTGTATACATCTAAAGACTCTTCCAATTTTGCCTAAATAAATGCAACAGTTATGACCAACCATTAGATTGCAAGAATTGTGTAGGTCGCATCAAAGCCAGACCAGCCCACCTTTTGGTCATGCAGTAGACTCAACTGGTCTTGCTGTTTTCGATTGATGTCGTCAGTATCTCTTTTTTTATGCTCAAGATTTTCAATGCGTTCGTTTGCTGCTTTTAATGCTCCGTCTAGATCAGCACAACGATTCAGAGATTGTTGAAGCGAAGCAGATACACGATCTAGTTCTTGACTAATGGATTTGTTCTCGTAAGCAAGAGTGTTGTTGTCCTTGTTTGCTGTCAAAAGCGTGGACTCGAGGGATTGAGTATGTTTTAACAAATCTGAATGTGCTGTGGTGGACAAAGCCAATTTTTGGGATATAGACGACAGCTTTAAAATTATTAGATTGACAGATATTGAATAGTGATTATAAGATATGCGTGTCTAGACTACAATAAACCAACCTCAAACTCATGTTTCCGCTCCAAGTCTCTTCGCTCATTTTCATTCTGAATTCGAATAGATTCTCTTTCACGAGCGCTTTGCTCTCGCTCCTTGGACATGTCTGCTGAGTGTTCTAGTTTAAGCTGACTACTTAAATTTGAATGAGATATTTTAATCTGGTCTAGTTCATTGGTTAAACGCAAAATAGTAGCTTGAGCTTCATGAACTCTCATGGTAAGTGTATCGTCGGTATCAGAAAGTTTGTTTCGCAGTGCTATATTTTCAGCCTGTTTGAATCATGCATATTCAGGTTCAGTCAAAGCAAATTTGATTGTATCAAAATGGATGATTGAATTCAGTAATACATACTTTAAACTCGGTAACTAAACTAGCCAGATACTGCTTAATGGCAGTATCTGTTCCGGGAATAAATTGAAGGGAAAGGTGATTAATATGCTTGAACGAGTTTGTTTCAACCACATTAAAGGTGGCAAATTTAGCATTCGAGTCTGCGACAAGATGGGCTAAAAATCTAATAAAATCCCAAAACATGCGAATCAAGACAAATATTACAGCTGGTTAGTTTTGAATAGGATTGATATAGACTGTGACAGCAATTGTTTCATACTTTGGATGCTCATCCAGTGCTCCTGCAATACACTCTTCCAAAAGCTCAATGAATTTGATGGGAAATTGAGAGAAATCAACCAGTAGGTTTTGCTGTGTTCGTAAACTATGAAAATCATCTTCAGCAATATCCAGATGATAAAGAAAATAAGGATCTGTTTCGTCTGTCAACTGCACTTCAAGGGTCTGATAGATTAAAGAGTTGTAGAATCAGCATAGTAATTAATACCAGGTTTTCAAACAAACACGACCAGAATATCAACAGATGTCCGATATAGTGAATTAGCTGCTGAATACCTTGAAACGACCACCAGCCTTTGCAGCCATGGAAACATTGATGGTAATACCAGAATGTTTCTTTTCTTGAAAATGGGAACCATCGCTGACAGTATTAGCCAAAGGCGATGCAGTGCTAGTGTGAATTTGCAGACCAGAAAGTCCGCCAATATGTGAGGGCAAGTTGGATGGAAATGGAGTTGCAGGCGATGGTTGGCCATTAATAGATGAATTTTGAGCTGGATAAGATGCAGACAATCCCAAAGCAGCCTTGAGAGTAACGGGAACCTTTTTACAAAAAAGAGTGTCCTGTGTCCTGTCCATTGTACTAGTGGTTGTTCAAATGGATTGATGAAATGATTAACAAGAAAACTTGCAAATCAAGATTTAATGTGATGATCAAAATCTGTTTTTGGTTAATATTCTCTACCAAAAACTACTGTTGGACAGTTCAGAGATTGTTGTCAGCAAGACTTGCGTTTTAAATATTCGATACGTTTTAATTAAAGAGAACAATTAGGAATCCAGTTACAGTGTCAAACACAGCATTTGTCATCCATTTCAAAGGCTGGAACAAGTCGAAAATTCACCAGTTCGAGTATTCGTTTAACATTCCATTTGACGTGAAATAGTTATAATTAACAGTTATTCGAGATATCAATTCAGCCGAGTTTCAATACTTTCAACCGGCTGTTGATTTTCTTGTACTATTTGAATGACTTTTAATCCATCATTCAGACCCACTCCACAAATATCTTTGGTGTCTAATAGCAATACAATTCAAGATACAGTCATGACCACTGCTGCTTCTGACACTGCTCAACTCAGGAAATTCGCTGCTGTCGAAAACCCTTTTGAAGAAGTCTTGAATTCAGAGCATCCTTGGTCTATCATGGATATTGGCTGCAATGCTATCTCTGTAAGCCTACTAGCTGGCTTCTTACTATATCATCTACAACTGTATTGTCCTAGACATTTGTATTCATGCCAAACTATTTTAATCAACGTTGGTATCAATTTCTTATACGACTAATAAACTTTAGGGAATTGCCAATGATTTATCCTCTCAAGAACGTTCTTTCTTATCAGGTTCCAAGGGCTTGAAAGGCATGGATACGCTGCCAGTGATTCCATCTACTCCTATTCGCAAGATCCGACTTTCAGAATTCGACCCATATCTACGCACGCTAGTCGATGTTATTGACAAGCACCAACTAAACCGCGCTTTGGGCATGGCTGCTACTCAAGGCATCCCGCAGCTGGGGTCCAGTACAAATTCCCTCGATTTGACATGTGCCGGATATCCCGAGTTTCAAGATCTTACCTCCAAAGTAGTAGGAGCAACAGCCACTGCATCAAGCGGCATTACCAAAATGCAACGAACACGAATGCTCTCTGTAAACGTTCCTTCATTATCTACCATTCCAACTATTTTTATGGACAAAGATTTCGATTTGACCAATCCGCATACATTCAACGCTGCTTCTGAATACATGAACGTTGTGGGTTCAAATGCATCTGATGAAAATGTAGCAAATCGGCAGTTACAGGATAAACTCACCCATCATCTGGATACGGTAGAGGTGCATCTACTCAAGGAAATCTCGCGCCGATCCTCTTCATTTTTTTCTGCATTATCCAATTTACAAAGTCTCCATAACGAGACGGAGGAGTGTGTTGGTAAAATTCAGGATCTGAGGAAAAAACTTGCTAGTGTATCTGCCCGAACTGCCGAAAATGGGTTAGAAGTGGTACGACTGAAACACCGACGTGGAAATGTTGGTATGTTGTATGGAGCCGTCAAGCTATTGGTAGATATCAAGCATTCACAGCCAACAATTCAAGCTCTTCTTGGTCAAGCAGATTATGTTGGTGTGTTGGATCTTATTGAAAGCACAAGCTATATTTTAAAAGGACTCGATTCAACCAATGCATCTGGCCATAATGCATATCACAGTTCATCTCCAATCAAAGCTGATTCTCCAAGCAATGTAACAGGAAATGAGCTACTTGCACTTTCAGAAGGAGTTACTCTAACACGTTGTCACTCCATCATTCCCAAAAATCTAGACCTGCGCGGTGTTTGCTCTTTGGTTCATTTGAGTGGAAAACTGTCTGAACTAGCTCGTACAATCTCAGTTGTAATGGAAAATGAGTTTATTGAATTACTGCGAGTTGATATCCAAGATAAAGTCACTCAAATGATTTCAGATTCCATGTCATTAATTTCTACTCCAACTGCTACTGCAGGATTTCCTGTGCGCATGTCATCTACTTCTCATCGAATTTCGGGAAAATCTGCAAAACAGAAACTTCCCATTTCAACTTCTGTTTCAACACCATCCAATGCCACTTCGATCTCTGTGACTGCTCCAGTTTCGGATACTCTTCCGCCTATCAATATCTCTCTCAAAACTTGCATTAAAAATATTGTAGATGGAAAATGCACGTTTTCACCTGTTCAAACTCCAAACACTGCCATTACTACACTAGGACCCGAAGTACGACACGGAGAAGAAAGGCTGTTGGTTAAGCTTACTCCTATGATTTTAGGTCTACTACGAATGGATAGGCTTGGTACTGCACTGCACGCATATTGTGAAAATACAATCAAGCAAGTAAAGGCTTTAGTAAAGCAGCATTATCCTGTACCTCAATCAATCGAGTCAAAAACACTCTCTACCACAGAAAACGCAGTTGAAGCGGCAGCCATTCGAAAAAAAGAAGAACAAGCTGCTCTTTCAACCCAACTTCGATCCATGACATTTGAAAAATTCTACGCCATGCTGATCCGGGTATATGTCACCTCGTTGAACATTATCCAACGTGTATCGACTGTGCATCAAACAATACTCACCATTCTTCAAAATGCACAACATCGTGGAGTTGAAATTGGATCAAATAGCGTTCAGAATATGGCCGTTGCATCTACTGTTAATGCTGCACCTACACCTGCTCATGAGACTAAATCTACACCTAAACGTATGCTGTATGATGATGATGATGATTTTGGGTCTTCAGCCAACTTACTGGATACTCTTCATGATCCACTTGTGCGTACCAAAACCAAGGATGAATCAGTTTCTCAATCAATCACTGGATCTGATACAGTATTTGATGGTAGCATATCCACCTATGGCCAAATGTCAAATGAGTCGTTGGATGTTCTTTCCACCATATCTGATCTCATTCATGCTCGATGTGCCAAATTAATTGGGGTACGCTCTGAACAAAATGCCCAGCTCAATGCAGCAGATTTTTATCGCATATTTGGTGCTACATGGGAATTCATTACTTCAAGTGAAATCATTTGTGGACGCATTTGTTTTGGCCTTAAAAGTGTTATTCTTACTCATGCCAAAGCATTCATCTCGCACTTTCACGACGAAAAATCCAAGCAAATTGCCGTGTTGGTGGAGAATGAACAATGGGTTCACGCAGATATTCCTATTGACTTTCAGCACATCACGGAAGCGCTGCAGCTTGATCCAAAACTAATTGGTGACGAGTCTGAAAATAAGGAGTCATACTCTAGCATAAGCGAAGATTTCGATGTAGAAGAAGATGTCTTGTCAAGACATAGTGAAGATGACAATAGCACGACTGAAGAGATGGATCTAACTTCTTTTGCATTTATGAAAGCAAATGCTGCCGAAATAAAATCAGAAAAAATTGCAAAGCAGCAGGAAAATGCACCAAAGACTCTTAGATATCTAGCAGTGGATGGCGAAAAATACTATGTAGTTGGATCTGTACTACTGTTTCTAAAGACTCTGACAGATTATATCAACTGTGCAGAAAGTCTTCCTGTTTTGACAACTGATGTGCTGAATCGGATTCTCGAGCTTTTAAAGGTACACATTTACAAATGTAAAAATACTAGTCTGATTTTTAATATTTATCATGTAACTTTGTCGATTATTTTGAGTGTATAGCTATTCAACTCACGTGTGTGCCAAGTCATTTTGGGAGCTGGTGCAATGCAATCTGCTGGACTAAAGAGCATCACTGCTAGGCATATTGGTATGCTTTTTAAATTTTTGGTTAAAAAAGTTGCGAGTTGTTCTATTCAATACACTGATAAACGTTTATTCTAAACCAAAGCTCTTGCTGCTCAAAGTATTGGCGTTATCATTGCGATTATCCCATATATTCGCAAAGGTATTTCACGGCTTTTGTCGCCCAAACAGCAAGTATTGTTGAGCGACTTTGATAGGATTTTGCGTGTAAGTATAGATATTCAAGTTTTTATTTTATATATAACGCCGATCCATGAGTTTTGGGAAATGTCTAATTAAACTTTGGATGCCAATGCCAATAATAGGATTTTAGAGAGCATCAAAACGAGCTGTATGCCAAGTTAATTTCCATCATGAATGACCGACTTGCGCTCCACGCATCGAAACTAGGAGTATGAATATCAATAGACCATGTATGATATTTTGCATTTTACTCGAACAGCTATTAAAATATTTGTCTTGTCATGTAATTTAGGCTATTTCATGGGACAATCCTGACTCTAAAGAGATTTCAGCTGAAGAAACCGTGACTGTACATATGGCTGTTCTTATCAAGGAAACAACCACTCTACATAAAGTGTTGTCAAAATACCTACCTGCCGATGCACTCAAGGTATATTCACCAGTCAATTATGGATCCAATCTATATAATATCATATACTTACACACCCAACCATCTATTCAAACTATGCATTATGTAAAAAGAATATCATGGGTGAAATTTTTCGAAATTATGTTCAACGTCTTGACATGGAATTTCGTAAAATTGATTTGTTTTCCAGTTCGGGAAAAAACAGACTGCTTATGGATGTGCAATATTTTATTGGACAACTTTCTGCATTGGATGGAATTGATGGACCAGGCAGCCATCTAGAGGTATGTGTCAACAATATCAAAATCAAAGAGAAGCGATCTGCAGCAGTATTAAATTCTGGTCGTGGTGGAGCTGGACTCAATACCCTGGCGATTCCGTCACCTTTTAATGGAAGTACTGGTGGAACGTCGCCATTAAAGAGTCCATCTTTAGCGCGATCAGCTACCTCGACAACCTCTACAGCATCAAATGTGTCATCTACTTCCACACAACAGCGTCCGACTAGCCAGTTTGCATATAATTTTGGCAAAATGTTACGAAGTCAAAATGAAGGACAATAATAAAGCGTGGTTGTTACGTCATGTCCTGTTTTAATCAGTAGATGAATCCATGAATTTTATACCGACTCATCAATATTTTGGTTCTCACCCAAGACTGTGTTTATAATATTGAAAATAAAACAGACTCGAGTTTATTATATAAATAATCTTTATTATCATGAGCTAATAAGATAGTTTTGGTGGGTAAACTTTCAAAATGAATAGATTGCATATTTTAATTCATAAAAATATCAATTGAACAGGTCTGTCTGTTTGATTCAATCCAGTATACTATGTTCAACAAATATGACTTTGTCTTTAGCCTATAAATATTCAAGGTACTTGTTAGAGCGACGTTCTTCGGCCAGGTTGCTCAGCAACACTATGCCTTTGAGGCGTATGATCACCTAAAAGCAAATGTTCATCACTTGTCGTGGCCAGATTATCTGCAGCCAGTACTACCAACGGAAATAGCAACAGCCAAATTTGGCAAAATTCTGTAAATAGTAACGATACCAGGAACCCAAAAAGGTTGGACGACGGTGGGGCCGCAACTATGATCAAAACCAGCGACATGCAGAGGAGTAGTGGAATCAGCTGGAGAAATTTTACCAATAGTCTGGTTTGATTCACGATACGCGAGGTTGAGACTGAATCTCTCGGTGCATGGTTCAAGGTATAGATGATAGGAAGGGCCATGATGAGGTTAAGAATACAATAAGGGCCTACAAGAAGAGCATTAATAATGGCCGTGAATACAGAGCTGAAGTTTTGGACGCATTTGCCTGGGAGATAGGGGGTTGCTAACCCTTGGTAATTCAGTAACACCACGGAAGCTACTCCAGACATCACAGATAGATACGTGGCAATGTGAAAGTATATTCTGTCTTTAATGACCCCTTTGACTCGAATGTAAAGGGCAAACAGTACTGTCAGACGCAAGATAGACAGGCAAGCAAATGAGCCATCATGTGCGGAAAAACAGTTGATGGTGGGAACACCTTCTACACGCATGACGATGAGAGCTCGTTGAGTTAGAAATGCACCAGTAGCAATAACAATAATTAGTCCTTGAGTTAGAGTTTTTGCGTTGGAGAGCCCCACACCAGCGCCGTAGATAACTATTGACGAAAATATGGCAGATACGGCTGCAAAACTTGCAATGAATGCCATAGTAATGCGTGTTTTGATGATGTATTTTGATATGGGAGCTCAAAATCAAGAAAAAACTAATTAATACATCGAATCTGATGTGCATCTTAGTAGACTAACGTCCAGCACAACCAGGATACGCGGATACTACCAATTTATGGTTGTATTCACGTAAAATGAACCACTTGTATCTTACCTTGTATCACTTCTATCCTGCTTCAGAATAAACAATAGTTGAATGTTTGTCGAGTTTCTACTACAAATTGACTACTTTTTCAATTGATATTCTCAATTTTTTTAAAATATAACATCCATCAAACTATAGTTTTGAATTGCCCTTTTTCTATTTTTGGCATAACCATACATTGCACGATTACCAGATTCATCCATTGCAATTCAGATATTGGTTCAACCGCTGTCGACTCTGTAAACCCATGTTTTCTGCATCCAATATCTCTCAGATACGTTTGCGCTCTAGTTCAATATTTTAAAGTTTGCAAGAATGAAAAGACCAGCAAACTTCAATGAGTTCAAAGCACATGGTGTTGTTCAGTCAATTTAGTGCGAATTAGTATACCACGACTGTCTTATACTTGGCATTCCTATTTAGCGTTCTATTTTACGTGAATAGGGTTGTAATTCAATTAATTCGATATGTGAAGCCAATCATTCGACTAAACAATAAGACTAGTGACAAAGCGTATAATTCAAAATATTACTTGGTGTGGCAATATACAACTCTTGCTTCAAATTCCTGGACGCTCCTATATCAAACATGGCAATTATTGTTGTATGTGCTGCAACCATTTGAATCTCGAGTTTTTAGTTTTGTCGCAGGTACATCAAATACAGTCATTAACACAAATCGTATTATATGCTGCAACTTTCAGATATTTATATCTTGCTGGCGCATTCCCTGCAATTTTGACATTGGCAGGATCGTTGGAATAAACAGCGACCAATTCCTTCATCTCGCTCAAATACGACTCCATTTGACACTGGCTCGATCATACCAAAATACAAGTAACGCTTGAACCACATACACGTAGATACCATATGATGTGCAAACCCATAGATGCTTATAATCGTAATCAAATTTGTTTCAGCATAGTACAGACCACCGTACACACTTGGCAATACATGTGAATTAAAATGCACACGATCAAACACCTGAATAGGCAAAATAAAAGATATAGGAGGTTTTATTCCAGGTTTAGACGCATCATCACAAGAATCAGGTAATCCAACAACAAACACTACATAGCAAGCAGATATTTTGGTGTCGAAGAAAACTTGGCATATGACTTGATAACCTTGTTCACTGATTCCAAAAAGTCTTTTTCAGTGGCAAGCTTACGTCGAGCACGAATTGCAAACATGCCAGCTTCAGTACACACACTACGCAATTCAGCACCAGTAGAGTTGGGGCATAAACGGGCAATAAGCTCGAATCGAATATCACGCTCAACGTTCATGCTTCTGGCATGGATCTTGAGAATATGTGCGCGACCCTAGAATTGAGCAATTCAAATCAGATTGGTCAATAAACTCAATCCTATTGACCTAGGTTTGAAAATAGTAGCGGATAGACAAGACTAGAAATCGCATTACCTCGAGATCAGGCAAGTTAAACTCAACCTTTCGGTCAAGACGGCCCGGACGCATCAAGGCAGGATCAAGTGTATCGGGCCTGTAAAGATGTAAAATAAATGAAATGAGTAAATCAAATTTTGTATAGAATCAAATTTAAAACATCAAAATCACCTGTTGGTAGCCATAAGAACTTTAATATTACCGCGAGGATCAAATCCGTCAAGCTGATTAATCAGTTCCAACATAGTACGTTGAACTTCATTATCACCACCAGCTCCATCGTCAAATCTAGCACCACCAATGGCATCGACTTCGTCGAAAAAAATAATACAAGCTTTTTTTGTTCTGGCCATCTCAAATAGCTCACGAACCATTCGTGCACCTTCACCGACATACTTTTGAACCAGTTCTGATCCTATGACACGGATAAACGTAGCGTCTGTGCGGTTAGCTACAGCACGAGCTGAGAGAGTTTTGCCTGTACCTGGAGGACCGTAAAGCAAAACACCCTTGGGTGGATCAATACCAAGATTGACAAATCGCTCAGGCTAATACACAGTCAAAGTTTAGAATGTTGCATCATGATAGTATACTCGAGAGGAAACAAGTCAAGTATATACATAAATCAACTGACCTGTAAAAGTGGAAGTTCCACAACCTCACGAAGTTTTTCTATCTGATCTTTGCAACCACCAACGTCACTATATGTCACATCTGGTTTTTCCTCGACTTGCATCATGGTTACAGAAGAGTCAATTTTTGGAGGAAGTGGAATCTGAATTTGATACTTGTGACGATCGACACTAGAGAATATGCATTTCAATTTAAACCATGCGACAGCATGTTAAATACAACTCAAGGCAGATATCTTGTCAAATACAAGCTTATTTGTAAAACAGCAGCACCTACCCAACACGCATGCCCTCTTCAATATCAGTAGGCGCAACACGCTCACCAAGACCCACAACAAACTTGGCAATCATCTTGATATTAATAACATATTTTGAATTTCCTCCTTCACCAGCTTGAATGATTTTTGTGCATCGTGCTACCTAAATGGCATAGTGGCGAGAACAAGGGGTTTTAACGAAAACATAAAACTGCAATCTACTTGGATCAAACGGACGTGATAGCGACATACCTGTAGCACCTGCTCCTCCTGCATCCGCTGTTTATCAGCAGGAATATCCCACAAATTAGGCGAAGCAAGACCAGTATCGGATTCCTTGACACCTATTTTACACAAGTGTATCACATCCATATCAACAGATGATATCGTTTGGTTACAATATCTAATGCAAGAGCAACGCACCCATCTTTTCGTTGATTCGTTTTTGGATATCTTTAATATCGCCTTCAATCTTTCGTAGTTCACGAGCATACGGTCCTTGTCCCTATATCGGATGTATGAACATTGAGTGACAAGTTCAACAAGACACATGATAGTTTACAGAATCCCGATAGCATACATAAGTTTTTAGAAGAGCGATATCACCCTCGTCAAGAACTAGACAAGTCGCAAACCAAAGAACATGCAGCAGACAGAACCAAGATCATATGTTTGATCGTCCAGAAACACAAGTTGATGAATCCCCATGAAAGCAAAGTGTCAGTAATAAGCATGTATGGCCAGGGGAAATGCATTCGATAGCCATGATGGACAGGCCCACTCATACAAAACTAGCCAAAGCATTCAAGAAATCTGCAGCAGATGAAGAGAAACACATCAAGATGGAGTATAGCCTTGCAGCCAGTATCAAGTGCAGCAGATGGATAAAACACTGCATGACAGATAAGAAAGCATGAGTTTTGAAAACAACAGCCATGACATACCTTTGATCTTTTCCTTCTCTTTGCCGTCATCAGCAGGTCCATTGTCTAGAAGAGCAGCAGCAAGATGAAGCCATGAGAATAAGATGGCAGTAATGTGTTAGCCACGACTCTAACCAGACATCAAACAATAGTTGATAAACTAGAAAGCATTCAAGATATTCATACACTTTTCCCAGTCGGCTTTAGGAGGCATATTTCAGAGTAGATAATAGTTGTAATGGACAAGGAAAGAATTCCAAGATAAGCGTGTCTGATAGCAAGCTGGATTCTGATAAAGTTCAACAAGCGGGATTTTAACGAGATTTTTAAAGGATTTTAATGAGATTTTTATACTTGATTCAAGCTGTTTGTTAAAATTAGTTCAAATGACTGAAACTGTCACTCCTGCTAATCCAACCATTTCTGCTAATTCTGTCACTCCTGCTAATTCTGTCACTCCTGCTATTCCAACCACTCCTGCTAATCCAACCACTCCTGTTACAGATGCTACCAATGTAATACTATTTAATCTCACAACTCTAGTATAATAAACTCTAACTCTACTTGTATCTAGGCCGCATCTGAACTACTAGCTGAAGCAGATAAAGACCTCTTGGAACTTCAACAAAAGAAAAAACTACTGGACAAAAGTCTGGCAAGTAGCTGTACCAACCTATTCCTTCCATATCACTCCATTCATCTAACCTATATGTATAGGCTACAATTGAACAAAGTATATATGCATTGGAAGGATCTTATTTGGAGGATTCCCAGTATGGAAACATCATCCGTGGATTCGATGGATATTTGACCAGCAGGCCAGATCGTCGTAAATCTAGACACACTGACAGTGATCGCTTGTTCTCTCAGTCATCTGCAACATTCCGCAAGGTACCCTTCAAAAGTTGGTCTTCTTTATGGTCGGTTGACTATCAGTCTCTAACTTACTTTACTGTTTGGTGTTGTAGCAGAGTAGCGATATTTAAGCTTTGATTCCAATTTAGCAAGCATGAAATGCTCTCTTATAAATCTCGACCATTTCTTTCTCTCCACATAGGCATGTAATGATTTTTTATTTCAAACAAAAATAGAAAAAGCACAAAAATATATAGCCGCAATACCAGGTCATTTTTGGATAAGAGGCTGGTAGAAGTGAGGTGACATACAGTTGGGTAGAAGGTGGGTAGATCAACCACAACTCCATCTGGCTTGTACATAGTAATCTACTCCCAGTTTCGCAATGTTATAGAGTACCACGTGGTTTTTTCCATTAGAGGCAACAAAGCTTTAATCCATCATGCCGTCATCTGGACGTTCTGATGGCTTGACCATACCTGGAATCTTGAGTGCTGCTTCAAAATCTGCCTTTTTGCGATTGGCTGCCTCGGACTCCCGCTCGTCCAAATACAGCTCTTGGTTGTCATCAGTTCCAAACTCCTGATTATATGTTTTAACAAGGGGTTTAAGTAAATCAGTCGATCAACAAATAATTGAATAAAATACTTTAAAACAGTACCTTGAGAGTAATCAAAAAGTCACGCAAGTGTCCTTTGAATGCCAGAGAATCCAAATGTAGTCGAAATAGACCCAAAACAAACTGCTCAATCTGATTCTGCTGAAGATGCGGAAATGCTCTCAAAAGCAAATCCGCAACATACACTTGCACATACTCTGCATTGCCAATACTTGGATTGGGCACATTGTTGGGATCAAACAAAGGTGCAGTGATTGCACCAGAATCTACCAACTGGAACATCTTCATCATAATCATACAGTGAAGCTTAAAACCCGACTTATGTGACGTACTAGTGAGTACAAAAAATATATCCTGCAGAATACTGATGAAATACGTTTGAAAAAAGGCATTCGCAATAGTTGCGTCTGATTTGGAAAAATTGTTGAGCAGATCAAGGATAATCGTGAGACCAACATCCCCAATATCACGCATCGTGTGCTTAATGGCCCATACAATACTGTCCAAAAACAGGCGGAATTGCGGACTGGGCATGCTAAGCAAAGCCTGGAAGCAGGATACATTGATCGCCTGCATGAGTTTGAAAAAGGCTACACGGTGCTCAGGGTACTCTTCAAAATTCTTATTAATCATGTTGAGAGTACACTCAAACACAGAATCCAAAATACCAGATACTTTGTCGGTCATAAGTGACTCCAATCTAGTGACAACGTTGGCAATCACATTCAGCACCTCAGAGTCCTTGGCTGGCTCAACACCGCGGGCATAATCACCCAAAATAGCCTCAAGAAGTGGCGGAATCATGGTCTCATTGAGTGCATTCAGATCCTCTGCCTTGCTAATATAAACGTCAATCAATTTAAGAATCTCTCGCTTGATGGTGCGCATACCACGAACACGCGGAGTCTTGGTTGCAACTAAACCTTGAGTAACAACTGCCTGGGAAATCAATTCGCTCACAGCCTTATAAAGACCTAGCATTTCATTGAAAATACGAGCAATCTGGGTACCAAATCCAGGTCCTACCGAGTTGCATCCAGATACATTTGTCTTGAGAATATTAGCAAGAATCTTAATGTTATCACTGTTGTTGAGCACGTCAATATTTTCGGCTGCCTGAGCCATAAGACTGTCCCAAGCACAGTTGGGCAAGTCCATGTACTTGACAATCAAACGTTCCTGTTGTACTTTGTTGGGCTGTGCTGAAATCATGCTGCCAACGGCTTCATAAAATGTGTGCACTTGTTGAGGCTGCAGGTCAGATGTGATGGTGTCAATTGTCGCAAGAACCTCCTCGATAAAAGGCATAATTTCATTTTGCTGCTGAACAACAAAATGACGACGACATTTTTGTGCAATTTTAATAAAAGTGTCGCATGCCATATCCTGGACACCTATTTAAAGTAGAATGCAGTTGTAGATCATAAACGCCAGATGGTGTCATGGCAGGTTTTTAAAAGTAAGAACCATGAAATGAAATGCAATAATGCAAAAACTTGCTACGCATTCAAAAAACAAACCTTCATGAAGCTCGTGCATGAATTCAAACAATTTGTTAACAACCGTCTTGAGAAACTTCCAGTGAGCCTTCAGGAAGCGTGGATATTGGCCAACAACATACATGATGTTTGAGGCAACAACAGCCTTGTTGTCTTTGCCCCGTTTCATTTCGCAAAGAGTAAGCAAGTCCTTGATCACCATGACAAGAAATCGTTTTTCTGCATCTTCTGGAAGAGCACCCGAGATAGAACCTACTGCCCAGCACAGGCGATTGAGATTATCCCACGACCATTCTGCGCCATTCATCTAGATATAGATGCATATGGATTTCATAGACGAAAAGTTAGCACATTCCTATCAAACAAGTAAAATATATCCAATGCATCTTTAAATAGTCTGATAAAATATAGGGCATTCTGTGAAAATAAATCTAATCATAGTCCATACCTGACGCTCTAGCTTGGATGACATGATACGCTCTGTGTCTTCACTGTCTAGATGTGTCAAATAGACCAAAACCTCGCGCATGCTTTTATACAGCATAATGGTATCACTCTCCTTTAATGTTTCTCGCACAATCTCACCCTCGTCGTTTTCAACAATTAAAACTTCTTCAGGTCTGACCATGCCTTCAATCATAACCACACGCAATTCGGACAGAATTTCGGCATAGACATTTTTTCGAAGGTTGGCGCTGTTCATGCGATTGCTAAGATTGATCGAAGGAGACAGACTAAGAATGGGCATTTCCACATTGTGGAGAGCTTGCATTTCATCATACAGTTCGGCAACAAGTTTTGTCCAGTACTCGAGACAGATCTTGAACACCTCTCTGTCTTGGACTCGAGATACTTTCAAAAGGTATTGATGGGCAAGCAAGAGAGTATCGCGATTTGCAGGAATGGCAGCCACTGATGATTCGACAATCTAAACAGTATAATAAAACAAGATGAGTTCAAATGTAGTGTCATCAACAATATAGCGGATGTAGTATAAAAATATGCATACTTTGAGATGCACGGTAAAGAACGAGGAGAAAAACAATGCAAGATTTTGAATAAAATTCTGGTCACTGTCTGTACTATTTTCGTAAATATCCGCAAGATCTGCATAGATTAACAACGTTAGCAAAACATACATATTGCAAATGAATGAAATTCAAGACACTTACTAAGATTAATGGACATGATGTTTGAAATTCCAGACATGACCATGGTGAAAAGTAAAACAAATTTTTCATCATATTCTGGTCCAACCTGAAGAGCGCCAATTTCAGTGAAGCATTTAAGGGTAACGTTGCGAAATTCCGGCACCTCAAAAAACTAAGCAGACACAAAAACCAGCTTCAGTATAGATCAAGTATTTTGAAGTTGTCGTGGCAAATAGAATGAATTATTACATACGCGGTTACGTAGAATGTCAATCAAATTGGTTTCAAAAATATAACCAAGTGGGATCCAGTTGAGAAAGCGTAGTAACGTCTGCAATGTGGCCTTGATAAGTGAAGGTTTGGATGCCTTTTCAAGAACCTCGTGGCAAAGACGAAATATTTCAGAAAATTCACCGCACATTTGATTTTTGAGGCTCTTTGCCTTTTGCTGTGTAAGTTGTTCAGCAGAATAATCAAATATCTCTTCACTATTATGTAGATGTGTGCATTATCAATGGATATTAATAAAACAGTCAAGAAAAAGCCGCCCGAATGCAACATTTTACCTAAGAAGTTTAAGAATAACCATATTGTTTTCACATAATGATAGATTGGATTTTGAAGAAGAGACGATTTCAGAGATAAATGTTGGCCAGTTATGTGGCCAATCTTGTTTCAAAATCTATTGTAAAATGAATTGAATCAGTTAAAATAAGTTGAAGCAGAATCTAGGCACTATCGATGATGGTAAATGCAAATCATTGTAGCGCAGTATGATTACCTGAACCAAAACAATATTAAGTTTTCCTAATAAAGTGCGATTTTTTTCCAGCAAAGTTTCGTCGGATGAAGTTTTGATAATAATTGAAACAATAAAGTTTTTAATACCCTGACGTTGCTCTTGAGGAAGAATCTTCCACATGGTTTTAATTAGCTTTTCCAAGATCTGCAAAGCAATAAACTGAAGTAGTAAAGTATATTAGCAAACAGCAGTTGCGACATGCGGTGAATTAAAACAAACTGCAAATGAATTTGACCGACCTTGGACTCAGCTAGTGCCGAGCGCTCAAGAATAGCATCTACACGCTTCCATGCGTCAGGATGTTCCTGAAACTGCTCAAGGACTTGCTTGGCAAGAAGTTGCTATTTTATTGACATGGTAATAAACAAGAGCGAATAAGATTTTAGTTTTCCAGCAGTGTAAAAGGTGAGTGGTTAAAGATATTCAAATGGTGCACATGCAATGCTTATATAAATGACTGAAATGGCAACTGTTGGGTCAACAAAATCTCGAGTAAATTATTAAAAGACAAGATTAGGGAGAATAAAGCGGCTGTTTTGGCTCTAATGAAGATGGAGAATCAAGGCATGATATTTTGATTATTGGCAAGATGAACAAAAGTAAACTGGAAGTGATTTCATTAGAGCAATCATTAAAATGCACCCAATATGCACAAAGAATGTACACACAGTAGCACCCTATGGTTTATGTATTTTAGAAACAAGACCACAGCAAGGAGGATGAGTGCAAGGGGATAAGATCACGTTTGATCAATACTAATCGAATTACTACAGAAAAGCTGGAGTGGACAAGCATTATGCCACCAGTATCCAGACAGACCAGACAATCTGAAGATAGTTTTGGAAAAACAGGATCCTTGTCCAATGAGTTTGCAGGATTACAGTCAGTGAGACTTGATCAGGATGACAGGGCCATAACAGGACAACCAATCCAAAAAACAAAGTCTGGACAGCCTTCATGAATTCACAACGACTTCAATTGAAGCTCACATTTGGCAGTGTTTGAATTTAAAGACATTCTCAAGAGTAGACCATCAAACAGCAGCAATATTAACAGCAACAGCAGTTGTATTTACCTCTGGACCAGCAGACTTGAAAAAGGTCGAGGCCACACGGTCAAACAATGCAACATCGAGATCGGTAGAAAAGTCCAGCAGTGATTCCATAACTGAATCAAGTTTAGTATAATGTCGAACCAGGAAGAGTAGATAGTATCAGCAAGGGGATACCTGAAGCAGCAACCTGTTAGAAAGGAAAGGAAACAAAAGAATTCTGCGAGTAACAAGGCAAGAAAATACAAACTGATTCTCTAGTGAAACTCGATTTATACTTGAAATTGTTCAATATGAGCTCGAACAGCATCGCATTTGTACTAGAGTAAAATCGACTTTAAAATGACATGCTCGCTGCTTCAATAAACTCATTTCAATCCAGTTTGAATTCATAAAACTATATAGCCATTTGGGTTGGAAAAGAGTCCAATACGTTGATCAACGTATTGGTAGATTTGAATTGGTTATTGATTCATTATAACATATCTGTCCAGTAAGAAACACTAGTGTTGATGTGTTCCAAATCGGGAAAGAATGGATATTTCAGCTGTAAATCAGATCGTGGATGTTGTAATATAAGGAGATCGCGCAGCAATCTCTTTGCTACATCTTTTCACATACATCACTTTGCTAGCGTCATTTCAAAACAAGAATTAATTGGGATAGGCTATTACAAGCACAATTTTAGCCACTACTTACGACTTACTAGTGACGCAAAGCAAGCTCATATCAGTGATTGTTAGATTTAAAGGTATGTGTATGGTATAAAATGCATGGATTGTAATAGATGCACAAGAAATCTACTGGTAGAGATTTGGATAAAAATAGCAGAATCTTTACCTTGTGCAATCTAAACCAGTTTGGATTATACAAGGTAAAGATTCCAAGAGGATTGTACTTTAATGTAGTACAACAAAAACCAGCAAGAATTAAACCAATGTCAGTCTGTAGAGCAGATTAACTGAATTTAACATTTCAATGACTTTTAATAACAAACACCAACTCTGACGAAAACAACTGACAATCCGTATCCATCAGTATTTGATAACAATGAAAAGCCTCAAGCCACGAGTGGTAAGTTTTAAAACAATCTATTCATGAAACATATTGATGGCATGCAAGAGTCGACCATTTAAAGATGGATCGTGTCTTCAGTTTGCAGACTGAATCTTCGTGTGGAGAACAATAGCATTTAAACCCTCCGTGCATGCGTTTTCTCCATTCTATTCTTGGAATTTCTTCAAGTTGGATTAAGACTTATTGACTGCATTGGATTGTCAACCACTGCTCATACTAGGGAATTCCTCAGCTCTCTTCAAAGAACAAAAACCCACAGGACTCTACGTCCCCTCAACAACAGTCTGCTATTGCCACTACCGGGCAGATTGCTTCTTTGCCATCTAAGCCTGGTGCTTCCCCTGCAAAAACTGCCCTGGCTCCTAATCGAGACAGCAAGCCCTTTAATACTGCCACTGCTGGCCTGCCACACTCCTCTACTTCACTATCACTAAAGTTAAAGGACGTTTTCAATCCTCGACCTGCTATCCCCTCTGTTGTCCCTGCTCCCCAGAAAAACTCTTTGGTTGCACAGTCTACAGTGCCTGTTGCGCCTAAAATGGACGATGTTGTCATGGTTTCTCGCAACTCTGCTACCTCTTCTACCAACACCGCTCCTATGATGCACAAGGTCGATAAGCTCGAAGTTCCAAAGAGCGGCGCGCTAAATCGTATCAAGAATGGTGCTGGCAAGGACATTCCTGTCTCGACAAAGGCTCCGCGTCGTCAACGATCTTCTAGATTTCATATCACTGAAAAGGTCGAGTTGGAAAAGCTGCCCGTCTTCAAAGGTATGTCTTGATTTGCTCATTCGTTCTTCTCACAGCTACAAAAACTATCATGTTTCCCATACCCTTATCGCCATCAAGTGGATTTGAATTACCTTTACACTTTATATAACTGTATCAACACCCAGCGAGCTATTGTGTCTTTACTTTGCTGAACCCCTGTGTAAACTTTAGATGTTTCCACTGCAGAGCGTCAGGATCTTTTTGTTCAGAAAATTCAGCAGTGCAACGTATTGTTTGACTTTAATGAAGCACTATCAGATCTTAAATGCAAGGAAATCAAAAGACAGACACTCGCCGAGTTGGTTGACTACGTTTCCAACAACAGAAGTGTCATTACTGAAGCAGTCTACCCAGAAATTATGAACATGGTAGGATTTATATAAACTATGTTGTCATCTTTTGTCTGCTTGAGACTAACACACTTGATCATGCATCGGCTTGATACTTGACTTTGAAATTGACGTGTTTGAACTGGTGCCTAATAATACATCTATAGTTTGCTACAAACCTTTTTCGCACACTCCCTCCTCAAGTCAATCCATCTGGAGACGCTTTTGATCCCGAAGAAGACGAACCCGTTTTGGAATCAGCTTGGCCTCATCTCCAGATTGTCTATGAATTTTTTTTGCGATTTATCGAATCTCCCGACTTTAACACTAATATTGCCAAAAAGTACATTGACCAGCATTTTGTACTTGAGCTACTTGACCTGTTTGATAGCGAAGACCCTCGCGAGCGTGACTTTCTCAAGACCACCCTACATCGTATTTACGGAAAGTTTCTAAACTTGCGGGCTTTTATTCGTAGGTCCATCAACAATGCCTTTTTCTTGTTTATATATGAAGACGAAAGACACAATGGAATCGCCGAAATGCTGGAAATTTTGGGAAGTATTATCAATGGATTTGCACTCCCTTTGAAAGAGGAACATAAAGTCTTTCTGACGCGAGTTCTCCTCCCCTTGCACAAGGCCAAGTCGCTCACGCTATATCACCCACAACTTGCATACTGTGTGGTGCAATTTCTCGAAAAAGACCCCACACTTACCGAAGAGGTCGTGGTGGGTCTTTTACGTTTTTGGCCAAAGGTCAACTCTCCTAAAGAAGTAATGTTTTTGAACGAGTGCGAGGAAATCCTTGATATCATGGAGCACACCGAGTTTGTCAAAATACAAGTTCCTCTTTTTCAACAAATCTCTCGCTGCGTCTCCAGCCCGCACTTTCAAGTGGCCGAACGTGCCCTGTATTACTGGAACAACGACTATATTGTCAACATGATTAATGACAATGTATCAGCTATCCTCCCAATTATGTTTGCCTCATTGTATCGCAACTCAAAAACTCATTGGAACAGAACCATCCATGGGTTAGTGTATAATGCACTAAAATTGTTCATGGAGATGAGCCCTAAACTATTTGATGACTGTACCAACCGCTACAAGATGAATCGGCAACTGTAAGTAGTCATGCTATGTTTGATCGAGTTTGCTTTGGTTGATGTTTTGCTGATAGTATAATGAAACGTGCACGCTATAATGCATTGGGATGCTTAGAGAACGAAAGAAGCAAAAAGATCGTGAAGACATATGGGCAAGGATTGAATTGGATGCAGCAGCAAATGCATCTAAACTAACAACCAATTCTGCTCGTCCGAGTACTGTTCGGGTTCAAGCACCATCATGTAAGTACTACTTTGGGTTGCTCTTACCACATGAATTATTACTTGGGTCACTAAAATGCACATCTATTCTGATATTGTTGGCCAGATGCTTCCTTTTCGCCCACAATTGGAGCACCAGCCGATCAAGCTGATACTATTATGGAGGATGGCTCGAAAAATGAAACAGTCGAAAATGACAATCTTTCAAAGGACCTTGTAAGTTTAAACTTTGGAATTCGTTTTAAATTTCAAGGACGATGCTGAATCTACATGTGTGATTCTACCACTGTCTATTTTTAATCTTGAAACGTTTTACTTATCAATTTTTTTGAAATCAGCAAACGTTTCAAGAACGGCCACAACCTCAACGATTTAGGAGAAAATCCGTTCTCCCAGTGGATGAATCCGTTCTATCTGAACTTTCTCGACATAAATCATTGGAAGATCTTATTCATAGCAAAGCGACTAATCCTCAACCAGAATAACTCTGTTCATCTGAAATTTAATTTGTCAAGGGTTGATCGTTAAAATAAGGGTGATTTGTTACTCGGTCATTTTCAGCTTCTGGTCAGTGCCTTGGACCAATTCAACTCTCTAAAGCATCTTTTTGTTTAAAACCGATGCTCTTCAGAATATTCACTCTTTAACAAAAAAATCACTGGAAAAGTTTATGAATCTTACTTTTATCATTTACTGCACATTGCATTCTTTCGCTTTGTAGTATAATTGCATTTTTATAAAAACTGAGTAGAATACAGCACTACCAAGTACACTCTTTGTATAATGAAGCTTCAACAAAAAGAAAAGAAGCCTCGGATAATCAGAGTAGTGTTCAGCCCGAGCACTTTAGCTTGCAGATGGGTTGCAAGTGTTGGATTAGAACAATGGTTCTGGTGAGATATTTGCCAGATACGAAACAGTCTGTAGCCATGAATATAAGGGGAATTCAACCCGAATACAAACCACTGCATACTCCTAAACTAGTTGAATATAGTTTCAGCAAAATAAAACATTAAATGTATTTATACACCAAGATGAGTTGAGCAGAAAATCACCAGTTCCAAATATCAATTTTTGGCAATTGAAATTTATTTTTCTTTCGTATTCAAGTCATTCATCAACCATATTGTATGCTCATATCTGCTACGCTGTCCGTCCTTGTAAATCTGTGTTGTCTTCATACACTACAATTCTCATCTTATGTTTAGCTCGGTATATTACAGCAGCAATCTTTTTTGGTGGATTTCTCCATATTGATTCATGATGAATTAGATCAATTGAATAGCAGTTTTGTCCTAAAACCGATTGCCATTTACAATTCAATTATAAATGGCTGGCTGTACCACTATTTTTTTCTACCTCTTTATATCCAGTCAGGATAACATACTATTGATCATTCATGACTTTATTGCTTTTTGTAACTGACTGTTGCCTGAATTGACTGCTCATTGAGGTATAATGTTAATGCTGACACTTTTGATTTCTACAACTTCTGGCAGGCTTCACTTTCTTTGAAACTGCAGGTATTAGAATGAACTCATTAGTAGTAGCGTCACTCATTGCTAGTCGTAGTGCTGTGTATTCTAGCAGATCTATTGGAACTTCCACTTTTTGTTTGGCAGCATCATCGATTTTGGCCACTCGAATTTCTCCTACAAATACGACAATACCATGCATGCCATCACTGCGTAATTTTTCAACGTCTATGATCCAATCTGATTTACATTCTACAACAATTGCATTGGAATCTGATGTGTCAAAAGATTCCAAGCCATTGGACAACAAGGCACAAGTAGCGGCCTTTTCAGCTCGTACTGGCATTTTGTTTGACACTCCTGATATCCTGTCACTTGTAATGACCCATAAATCAGCCCATCTTGAAAGCAACGACAGATATGTTTATTTAGGTAATTTTTAATACTATTTCTTGTTTGATTGACACGAATCTGATAAATCTTGAATGACGTGATTAAAACTATATTGCCACTGTATGAGTTGATATCTGACGGATTCATTCAGATTGTTTAAGCCTGATCATTTGTGAATGATCAGTATCTATTGATCTACTTGTGTTACCAGACCTAATACTTTATTCTGTATTTAGGCTCGACTGTTCTCAAAACCTTTGTTACAGAATATGTACTGGCAAAGTACCCTTTGATGCAAGCTGATATTGCAGAAAGAGTGATTGAAGCGTATATCTCCACTAGTGTGGTCGCTAGTGTTGGACAGACTCTTGGTGTGCATCTCTTGATGAGATGGAAGGTGTGTGTCTTGATTTGCCTAATTCTATATATGTTTTACTGCGATCCTAATGCATTGCATTGTTTGTTATGTCAAGGGATCGACTGATGCAAATAGCAATGCCGTGAGCGATGGTGTCAATACTGTTCGAGCCTCTGTCATGCATGCACTGATTGGTGCTGTATATCAGCACAAGGTAAGCTATTTTGACGAGTCAGATCCTGCCTATTTCTGTTGACTTATTGAGCCACTCCATTTTGGGTATCTTGACTCATGCCTTTTCTACTCGTGGCTTATGCTGCTAGGGACCACATGCTGCACGCACCTTGATTCACAAGCACTTTCTTTCTCGAGCGACTGATGTGCAAAGCATTGTTGAAGCTCAACTCAAGATGGATAAGCCACGTAAGCTGCTGGCTATTACATGCAAAAACCTTAAAAAACCCAAACCCATCTCAAGGTGAATACAGTGTCTTTTGTCATGGTTTGATGTGAATGTCGTATTTTGCATGGATTCTTATACATAATGGATGCACTAGATTACTTGGTGAGACTGGTCGTCTTTCTTCACGCTCTGTCTTTTTAGTCGGCGTGTATTGTGGAATCGAAAAGATTGGAGAAGGTATGAAAGATGAATTGAAGCATGTGTTAGAATGGCGATACAGAGTTTATTGACACTTTAGTTTTGAATCTCAAGGCTATGGATCTTCAATCAAAATGGCAGAACAGAGAGTAAGTAGTTTGAATTGAAGCATTGGTAAACATGTAGCAGTTTTTGTAGTTTAATGAGATGGTATGTATTTTTCATTTGGTTAATTAGGCATGTATTGATGCCCTGAGCAAACACTTTTTGACGCAAATCAAGGATATTACTCTTCCTTCGGATACAACCACAGATTCAGAAGAAACCACTACTTTTTTTGAAAAACTGCCTGAACAATAATTAAACGGTTAAAATGTTTTACAGTTTTGTTTGGTTTATTGAATGGGTGAGAGTGGAGTTATGCTTGGATGGTAGTGTTGGCAGGAGTGAGACATGCGCTCGACTATATAGAAGCATCGATGCATAGATTTGAATCTTTTGTAAGGAGAGCAACTGTTATAACAAGAGACAACCCAATGAAAGCCCATTTAGTTTCCTGCTCTAACCTCGGTTTCGTCTCCTTCTTCTTGGGACACGAGGACGAGGATGACGCTTTCTGGGGACTCGTTCGGGTCTTTTGCGAGTAGCTCTGACGAATCGGGCAGCAGTAGCAACACCCTTTGCATCCTTGGTCAGAACCACAGGACTGTTGAGATTGAGAAGTTTCGAGCAGTCGAGTCCTTCAGGACCAAACGTCTTGTCAAGACGAGCAGCGAGAAAGGTGAACAAGGAATTACCGACTTCGGGATCGGGTGAGGAAGCCTTGATGGTAAGTTGTTTATCTTTGGCAAGACGATCAGGAGCGATTTTGAGGATGTTTTTGCAGTAGGAAACAGAGTTGTCGTTTCGAAGGGAGGCAGGCGGCTGGTTGACTTGTCTACGGTAAAGAGTGGTCTTGCGAACATTGGGTTTGCCATTGACTAGAGTCATAGGGTCATCAATGGGGACGAGAGCAACAGGAGCTTTTTGGAGTTTATTTGCCATGAGTTCATTCAAGGGAAGTGCAGTGATGCGGCTTCCAGGGTCGGCAAGATCAGGAGCAGTGAATGGTTTGCATCCGAGAGCAGACAAGGTCTTGATAAGCAGACCATTGTCGGACATATTTTCAACAATGTCGACTCCAAACTTTCGACGGTTTTCGGCAGTGTTTTGGGCCAGTCGGCCCGTGCTAGCAATGATATAACTGGTAGCAACATTGTCCGATTGGTCTTGGTCAACAATGGAAAAATCACGAACGGTAGGACAAGGAAGTCCGTTGGTAGCAGTGCCAAGATCCGGCAGTTTGACTTTTCTAGCAGCTCTAAAGAAAGCATCGCCATTACAAGCAGCAAATTGTCCAAAATCCGATCTACCGAGACCATTAACACAACGGCCTCGATTGAAACCCGAGCCAGTCAGATGGATGGTATCAGCATTGGAACCAAACCACAATCCAACAATAGCACCCTTGGGAAGCTTGGGGACAACTGGTTTGATAGCGGGTATGGTACCTTTGGTGATCATTAAAGGATTATAAATCGAGATGGTGTTGGTAGCAGGATCATAAATAGCTCCTTGAACGAACGAGGTTTCTTTAGCATCCAATTGATTGCAGCCAGTCACAATATATGGTGTTGCAAGACCCCGAGCAGAAAGGGGATCAGCAGGCACTCTGATGCTGCAGACGGCTTCTGTAGTAGAAACGGTAGTAAGAAAGGCTACAAGAAAAGACAGGATAATCATAGTAATATGAACGAGAATACAAGCAGCAAACAGTAATTAAACGCCGTAATACTCGAAATTACGTCGAGACCAAGGTTGCATTATATACAAAAATAATCCAATGCTAAATTGTAATTAAAACATATATATTCAATTATACATCGGCTAAGGCGGGAACATAAAAGGCAACTCATTACCTTATGCAAGCCGCACTTTCACGTAATTAACCCTGAAATAACCGTAACTATGACGGGTCAAGGTCATAATATCATGTGTCAGGCGATTGAGGAGGCGTTAAACAACAGGTCGTGTCAAGACAGTTCAGATTGTCGTCGTAGTACATAAGATATGAGTGATAGATGCCCATATCATTTAAATTAACAAAAGAACATAAAAGTGTGGTTGAATGAACTTGTAGTACCGTCTCGGATACACTGCTGGCTGCTGACAATGTTCATCTACATTCCCATCCCTCGAGTCTGTAAAAACATGACTTGTCCGTGTACAAATTGCTGATTAAAACACCAAGCAAAACTGACAAATCTATGCAGCATTGAACTATTTTAGATTACATTCAACTAATTCGTGGGACCAGTGTTGAAGTAGTCTGGCAATAGATTACTGCCGTATTCATGTAAAATGGAATAGTAATTAAGGGTACTAAACTATACAATAAACAGCTAATCTTGTGAATTGACGCCAATTTTTGCCAGATTTACCAGTCAAATTGGTTTTTGAACAAGTTGATTGATATTGATGCTCATTTTTGTATAAAAACAAATTACATCCATCCAATCTGTTCAATCTTGTTTTCTACAAAGCATTGGGTGACTATAAAAACAACCGTTACATTTCAGAGATTGGTTTCTTGAGCCAATACAAGAGTTTGTAGAGTTGTATTAAAACAGTTGAATTGAAATTGAATTGTACGATTACCAAATGAGAATAGTTTGTACAATACACGCTGTAGTGACTAAAGAATTAAGAATATCAATCCAAGCAAACTATTAGGAATATAAATATCCAACAATTGTTCATCTCCAAGCAATCGTTGCAAGAGAGTTTTGCATGAATATGGCTGTAAATGCATTGGATTAAGTGTTTTATCTTGAATTGCAACAGCTAAACATTCAAATCACTTGATAGGAATTTGCTACTATCACTACTGCAACTATCATGGACAGCCAAGCGTTTGCTATAGATGACTCTTTTGATTCCCATTCTGGTCCTCCCGTCAAGCACCATAGTACGTCTTGCATTCCTTTAAAACTTTCATCCAAGAATGCCTGGGCATTCTTGGATATCTAGTCATGTAACTTGCAGTATAAATGCTCGAGTGTCTAACTGTCTTGAATGCAACTGCTTCGCTGTCTAGATGGTCTGAAACTATCTCCTGCAGAGTCTACTGCATATGCCAAACTGTTTAAAATAGCAGATGTTGCTGCTACTGGCCTTATCCTTCCTGCTGCTGCCGTGGCCTTTCTCTCCAAATCTAGGCTTCCTAAGAACACTCTAGGCTTGGTAAGATCTGCTTGTGAGACTGCTTGATGGACAGTGGGTTGTTGATAGCAAGTTCAAGACATTCATTGCATAGTAATCTCGGTTTGAGATGCTATTATTGGCTGGTTATATTCAATGTTTTATAAGCTTAATGGCTGACTTCAATTTCATCCTTTGTATAGATCTGGTCTTTGTCAGACACTGACAATCTCGGGGCTTTGGACAGTCCCGCTTTCAATCGAGCACTCAAATATATTGCTGCTGCTCAAGGAGGCCATCCAATCACACCTGATTCTCTCTCCATCAGTAAGTCGGATGTGCGTGTTAATGTAATGCCAATCGCTTATTGAATTCAACGAGTTTTAATACCCGAAATTGTATGTTGGACAATCTGATACAAACTTGATCAATTAGCAACGGTTTTGCCTGTATTTGACGGTGTTCATATAGATGTTGCTCCTGCACTTACTTCTCAAACTCACTATTCTGCATCATCACCGCTACTTTCTTCTGATGTAGGCTCTACTCCTATGCTGAGTATTCCTACCCAACTGACAGGAAATCGCATGATGCCACAAAAAACTGGAGATAGTCTCGTCTTTTCTCCGACTCAAGCATCCGATGCACATATGACGGTGACCTCGGAAGAACGAGAACGATTCACTTCCTTTTTTAATGCAGCCAATCCAGTTAATGGTTCCATTACTGCTCAAGTTGCTCGTGAACTTTTTCTCAAATCAAATCTGCCCATAGAGGCATTGGGGAAAATTTGGCAACTGGTTGATCCCACTGGTTCCGGAAAGCTTCCACTCAATCAGTTTATCGTTGCTATGCATTTGATTACTGAAATGCGTCTCAATAGACTGGTGGCAGTGCCTACATCTATTTCTCCAGCATTGTGGAAATCAGCTTCTATGGCTTTGAATTCTAGTGCTCCACAGTCTCCCTCTACTTCTGGCGAAGTTTCCTCATCTATTACAGCCGCTCCTCGTTCAAACTCCACATTCTGGGATACCCATCAGAATGCTGGTGGCCAGCCGTTTGGCTTCAAACCATCTAATGTTCAGGAGCCAATCAGTATGGCACATGCAAGTCCTACAAGCACGTCAGTCCCTGTTGCGAGAAACTTTATTGCAAGCACAGAAAGCATAATTTCAGATGCCTTTGTTGTTCCCGAGGATGAAAAGAAAAAGTTTTTTGCGTTTTTTGATCAATTGGATACTAACAAGCGTGGATATCTAACTGGCGAAGAAAGTTCATCTTTTTTTCTAAAATCAAGATTGCCTTCGGCTGATTTGGCTCAAATCTGGGAATATGTTGATGTAACCAAGTCTGGAAAAATCTCTAGAGATGGATTTGCTACAGCCATGTTTTTCATTTCCAAACGTATGGCTGGCGGAGATCTTCCACCCACCAGTATGATAAACATGCCATTGGCAGTAGACTCAGTAAGATTAGGCAGCACTACTGATTTAACCTATGCACGCGGAACCGCTCCTGCGCTATTGGACTCATTTGATCCTTCTAACTCAGCCCCTGCTTCTGAATCAGTCGCACATATAGCAACCCAGCCTGCGTTTGACTTGTTTGGACCGGAACGCACACTCGATTCTACCAGCATGGCTCAGAATAATAGCACGGCATATTTGATTCCTCAGATCCCTGCTGCTGCATCACATTATCGTGAAGCAGCAGAGCGTGAGGCAGAACTTAACCGTCGTAAAGAAGAAGTGACCAGTCTTACTGAGCAGTTAAAACTACTGCATCCCACAGCAGAGGAACTCAAGAAAAAACGGTCTGATATTGATGCCGAATATAAACAAGTCACGGATGAGAAAAATAAGCTTACAATTCAGATTTCTCAAATGCGCGCTACCTATGAGGCCGAGGTGCAGATTGTTCGTGACAGTCAAAACTTTCTTATGACTGAAGTACAAAGACTTGAATCAAGCAAACTCGAACTAAACCAAATTGAAAAGGCAGTTGCATCCATTAAAGTTGAAAAAACCAACCTTTCTGAACAAGCAGCCCGCTACCAACAGGAAATATCTGAATCTAAAAAGAATATTCAAATTCTGACGGAAGAAACGAACCAATGGCGAACTGAATTGGAAAAACTTCGTGTCGATTCTCGCCAGCAACAGCAGCTTGCTGATCTCAATCAAAAACTGCTGCTTAGTGCACAAATTGAAAACCATCAATTCAAAATGGATCTGGCTCAAGAACGCGAACGGCTTGAGCATGCCAAACAAAAGGCTGTACAATTTCAGCAACAAGCCTCGGTTCTTCAGGCTATCAATCAAAAGGAGTTGGCCCAAATCAAGGCAGCCGAACAGCAGCGAATTCATGAGGTGTCTCAATCACAAGACCTGCTTGCTGCTACTACTGCCATCAAAGACCTCGCTCCTGCTGCTGCACCTCTTGTTCCTTCGTTGGCATCCAAACCTATTAAAGGTGAGCCTTTTTCTACCTTGGTCTCAGACTCTGTTGTTCACAACTCTGATAAATTAAAAGCGACTCGTTCCCTATCTGGCTCATCAACGTCTCCAGTGTCGATGGCAGATCCGCAGTCCGTTGTTACACGAAAATCTCAAGATGAATTTCGTGTAAAGGATACTAGTGAGCCAAATGATATATTTACATCCAACATGCCAAAACCAAATGACTCTGAATCCGGAAACTCGTCAGCTAAATCTATCCAGTCAATGCATGCAGGTGCTACTTCGGTAATCAAAGAGCACTCTATTCCTATTTCAAAATCTGTCAGCGCATCGCCACAGTTTGTATTCGGAGAACCACAGGCTACTAGTCCAGTCATTTCTCAAATATCTTCTACATTGCCTGTACAATCCGTCACTTCGACCTCATTGCCAGCCTCTGCGACCACTGCCTTTCCTTCCAGTTTTGATGATGTCTTTGGCCCAGCTTCTGTCGCTATTCCTGCTTCTAAATCAGCCACGTCTTTTGGTTTGGCTCATAGTGCTACAACTACCGTCGCTCCACATGCAAATAGTCCGGCCAGTGATCCTGCAAAACTGTTACTGACATCTTCAGCAAGCTCAAGTGCTAAAAAAGCAGCTACAAGTCTTCAAAATTTTGATATTGATGCCGAGTTTCAAAATGCTTTTTCTGGAGATAAACGCCTTAATGCTGCCCGCGACTCGAGCACAGTTCAATCTATTCATCAAGGTATTTCACGAGTAAAGCCAAATGACTTTTCGGCGGATGCATTCACGTTTGATGCATCCTTTTCTGACGCTAAGCCTATCCGATCCAACACCCCGTCTTCTAAGCTCAACTTTGAGACTGTATTTGATGCACCATTGAGTTCCACGAGTGTAAAATCCATTGGGAACGCTTTACCTATCACCTCAGCAACCAAAGATTTTGGTCCAGTAGATTTTGGTAATGCATCAGATCCAGTTGGGATGGCCAACTCTGCTGCAAGCACCACTGTTGCCTCTTTTTCCACTAAGGCTGGGGGCTCTGCGTCGTCTACTGTACCCACAAGTGTGCTTGCTGAACATACTGCTAAAGGTTTTGATGAAGATCCTTTTGGTGCTGTTGATTTTAACAAGGCACTTTCTTTACCCCATACATAAATTACTTTTTGATTTGACAGCTTGATTAAAACAATTCTTATAAGCGAGTGGACAGTCTGTTTTTGAGTCTAATTGAATAGTGACAATCTCACTTGTCTATTTAAAAGTCATGTTTGAAATATAGTGAAACTATGCTCCGCTGATTTTTACCCGAGTAAACTATCTAAAACGTTTGTAATGATTCCTATTTTAAAGTGTTTACATCAATATCATTGAATATCCCTGACACGGCCCACTTTTAGACCAATATACTATTTGACTACATTTTATTCATCTAAAAATGCAACGATTAAACTTTACGACATTTCCAAACATCGAGTCAGGCAAGGAAAAACTTTATGATATTTAAATTCAAAAAGCTGACGACGTTGGTTGGCGACGTAATCTGGTTTAACCCGATCTTTTGCTTTGGTTTTCAACTCTGACCACGGGATTGCTTTGATGGCAGTCACATTCGCTATACATACTTTTAAAAGCGACTGTGCTTCTATCTAATTATGCAATGCAACGGGGTGAGCAAAACATCAACTTTTCACGATTGCAAAGCCAAAGTACTAGAGCGCTTTCATTTCAACACATACCTTGAATGGATGCATTGTACTCATCGAATCCATCTGTTTGATTGCAGTATTCAAACTCGCTTTTGCAAGTTCAAAAGTTTGAACGCACTTGTCAACTATTGTCTTGACTTGATCTGCATCCTTGATAGCATAGGCCAGATAGTCTTTTGTTTGAAGCAGCTGTGGACTAGCAAGGATTGTCATAATTTTGAATCTATGGGCATAATGAGCCGTTTCAGTATATGCCTTATGAAACTCGACTATGTCAAGATAGCCCAATACTCGTAATGCAACAGAAAGCTAAATAATAACAAATACGTTGATATGGAAAATGAGTACAAGGGCTAGAGCATCAAGTTTAAAGCAGTATAATTCTCATCAATAGCATAGAGTACACGTGCAACATTTTTATATTAAATTGGCCTGCACTCATTCAAAAAACTTACGTCAAGAAAGGCTACAGATAATTGTTGCTTGGCAGTGTCCGAGTACAATTCAGACATTAATTGAAAATCAATGTTCTTTTGCGAATAGTCGGATAAAGATAATGCTCCCATTCTTGACTCTACATTTTCATCTCGAAGGGTGCGAATAGACTGAATACAGTTGATACGAGCAGCATGCAGCTCTGCCAAATACCTAGTAAGATATATAGAATGCACGGTTTCTGTTAGTTTAGAATCCAAGATGTTATTTCATTCATTGGCATTCAAACTGCCCAACAACGAGCACGATCTACCAGTATATCATTGGATATTCATTTACTGAATACAGCTCTAGCTCAAATCCAATCGAGTAGCAATGCGTCAAAACATGCAGCTTCTGTAAATAAACCCATCGTGTAAAGTAAAATTGATTCTGTAATTAAACAAAAACAAGCATGAGCAACTGTAGCAGAATAAAGTATGGTGAATATATCATCCAACTTTACCGTTGACAAACCAAACTGTGCCAGCTGCAACTCATCATCCAGTGATTCGGCCTAAAGAAAATAAAAATATCATTACGCTTCAATATTCCACCAAATTAAGCCAAATGATCATGCTTACCTCTTGCTGGAATAGCTCCCACACCTCAATGACCTTGAACATATGACGACGTTGTCTGGCTTGATTAAAGCAAAATAACTCCAAATTATATTTAAACGCCTAGATACTAAGCGTATTAGGCATATACGAATTCAAAGACATGTGCAATGGACAACAGATTAAATCAAATACCTCGGCGCATCGCAAATTCAAATGTTCCAGTATCTCTTTGACTCTTGGGCTTAAAGTTGCTAGATATGGATGCAACGTGGTTTCAGACATAATGGTACGTACTGATGCAACTACTGTTTGTTTTCCGACAAGAGCCTCTTTTGAAAAAAGCACAGCCTATGATATCAAATATGACCCATAACACGGAAAACACATTAGACGAAACCTAAATCCTGAAATGGACAGCAGTATGGCATAGACCTACATGAAGTACAGATCTGGTAAGAACATTTGCATTCGTGTAAGCGGTGGAAAATGACTCCACTGTCATCTAAAATAGTCATACAAATTAGATTATTTTTGTTGGACACTCAACAATAGCCAAACAAGACACTTTTAAATACACGATACCATAATACTTTGAGCTGATTGTGATTGCGGCCATTGGCAAATTGTTTGAATATGCTTCAGAGTGGACTCCCATATTTTGAAAGCATCCGCGTTGCTTGATTGCTCCATTTGCTTGGTAGGATACTGGGAAAACCGCTTGCGATTGATCAATTGGTCAAACGAGGCTACCAATAAAATCACGAATATTTAAAATTCCAAGTTGATCATGAATGGAAACTCACACCGACTCTTATTATAGTCTTGAAAGTATATTATGGTTACATAAACTACTTACAATCAACGATGGCTGAATTTGGGTTAGCCAATATATCAGCGAGGGTAGCATTTGCAAGAGGAATTATTTCAAGTGCCGCATCAAAGTGGAATGTATGAATCGCTGCAAAAGTGCCAGTAAGGGATTTTAAAAACTTCATCCGTTGAAGAAGCATCATCATATCTTTTTTTAAAGATTCAAAAGCAAATTGAGATTCATCGATCTCTAGCATTAAATCGCCAATCCCTGTATCAAAAGTCAGTAAATTGGCAGATTAAAAAAGATCAGATGCAGAGCATGTGAATCGAAGCAATTGCTAAAGCATGTGGTAATCTGACAAAATACCTTGTGGAGAGTCATCGACATAAGATTGTATTTGAACTATCAAGTCACATAGTAGATTACTTGGATTTTTGTCCTCGTTATCAAGTGGTTGTTCCAATACAAATCCCGACATGTCCACATAAAAATCCTCCTCCTAAACTACAAAGCATCAGTGGACATCTACATGTAATCATTTATAATATCAGGATCTATAGCAAATAAACATTACAAAAAATATCTGCTCTGCCATAATAATAGCCCTTGCAAGTGACATTTGTTTTAAAAAAGCTTCTAAAAATACTCGCATGATACGATTTGAAACATTCTGTATATCGTGCATATACACACAAGTAAATACTGTTTGGGCAGCAAGCTTTCCTGAAAGCCATTCAGTCTAAATTATTTAAATCGAATCAGTCGAGAATCAACAAACGATTCAAAAATGAATCAGGTGCACGATCTATACCTCCAAGGCCAGTAGCCTGTCGCAGACACCACAGATCTCAGATATTGTCCAATGATTCTTTGTGGGAATGCTTTCCACCGAAATCTTTCCTCGCTCGCTGGAATCTGGAACTGCCATTCCAGTATCCATCTTAGAATCCATGATCTATATGCATGGTCGTATCCATACGAGTATCAAAACAATAAAGATTGGTATTTTTATATCTGGATAGTAGACTGGCTTATCTAAACCAAAGAATACTATAAGAAACTAGCAAATCAAAGTAATGCTATTGCACTTACAGACACACCAGACATGGCCTGTACAATGGAAAAGTGTGAAGACATGAGCATTTCACCAAGACCCAGCTCTACAATAGCCGACATGGAACAGGAGTAACACAAAAAGAGTAGAACAAGACATGAGCATATGCAATCGATATGGAACAGTCATTAAATTAGAACTCAATAAAATAGTGCATTATTTCATCAACATTTACGCCTATCTAGACAATCACCTTGAGTAGCTTCTCTCATGAGTCGAGTCACATCCTTGAGCGCAGAAATTGGTTTGTTTGGCTTGATACTAGAAAAAAAGTTGGTCATGGTGGGATTATCGAATGGAAATGTATTGCTGGATCCGACAATGCAGCATATAACTGTGAGGTTGAATTCCAGCTATATTCACGTAAAATGGAACACTTGCATTGACCACTTTTGCAATGGTTAAATAGTCATTGTAATGGTTAGAAATCGCTTGAATCAACACAGCGATCATCGTACAACTCTAAACTATTTCTTTCTTATTTGACAGTCACAATCATCAGATTATCCATTACAGTCCAGATGCTACATTGAACTGTTCAACTCTTGCATTTTAAAATCATATTCGCGCTCTAGCTCAAAAGAACAAGAACTGCTTCATGCCAATCACCAAGAGAGAACCCAAACAACTCAATGCTGTCCAATAAACCAATCAATCACTTCATGAGGTCGGCTGTTTATTATACATTCTTGGTGTTTATTTTACGTGAATATGACTGTAAAAGTTGAATTTCAACTTTATTCAATAGTCTGCAACTGTTATGGGATTTGATTCTGTAATCCAGCCATTGGTCGACAGACGACTGTCTGGAGCTGCTCTTTGCTCTAGTCTGGGTGCCTTTTTTTGTTCCTTCCTTTTTCTTTACTGTCCTTCCGACATCTACACTTTGGGTAAGTATGAGCATTTGCTCAGATGTAAATGTCTGGTTTATTGGTATTGCTCTAATGTAGCATTTTTGGATTCATATCAATCCCTTGACACTAAACTACTTTATCAACTTTGTTTAATTCATGTATTTTAGGACTAAAAGACTTATTCAGTCAATCTGCTATTCTGCTGTCATTTGCATCGGCTTTGTTGCTGATTCCTATACTGATCTTGAGACGATCTTCAATGCAAGGTATCTGTTTCCATGCACACTATTATCTGACTGGCGTCTTTACCAATTGCTCAATTTGTATGCCCATACAACACTACCGGATAATTTTATTACAGCTGCTGATCTTTACTATGCATCTGTTTGTTTCAATTGCTTTTCAACATAATTCATAATTTAAAGCCTCGCCAGCTATTTATTCAAACAATATACAGTGGATCTATCAAAGCCTCAGGTTTAGTGTGGTCATATCAGTGTTGGTACACCTGGCTGCTACCATAACTCTATCAGCACTGTTTAATTATATGCGAGATATCAACTATCCTATGCTTATTCGTTCCAAGGGGTAAATTTGAAACATGTTGGATGTGATCAACTCTATCGTTACTACAAATGGTTAATTTAGATTACTTATTGTTTGAATTTAGAGCATATGCACCTCATTTGAACCCAAAATTCGTATACATGTGTGGGGTGTATTTGGCAGTTGGCCCAATATATGCATTGTATCGCTATATTCAGCAAGCCGATATACTTCGATTTCCTCCTATCCAGGTTTGTATTATTACTGGTTTTAACGCATTTTGATTTACAGCCTTATTCGCGTAAATGGAATACTTTTCTGTATCTACCTTGTATCACTGCCTCCATTTTGATTTGGAATAGGCCGTGCTTAAATGTGTTGTCTTTCTACTACAAACTTATTGTTTGCTTAATAGACACAACGTCCATCATATGATACAATCAAACTATAGTTTTGAACTGTCTTTTCTACTCTTTTGGCAAGCCATACATTGCAACCCAGACCTTGAGTTTGACTGCTTCCAACTCTGTAAACACGTTTTTGCTGTATTCTAAAATCACTCGGATATGTTGCGCTTTACTTCAACAGTGATTGTAGTCTCGGGAATGCAACTGTTTTTATGTTGGTCGCTAGAGAAAAGACCAGTAGCTTGTCAATCATTTCATGAGATTGTTTATTATATTGACATCCATATTTAATGCTCCATTTTACATGAATACAACTGCAAAAAACTTACAATTTATATGTTTTCCCAATCGGCTTTGATCCAACTTTACTCTTTTTAGAGATCCATGAGAGTATGGTTTAAATCTGTCATTACAAAATCTATTGTTCGTGGTGTTCGACTAGGATGCTGTTTATCGGTTGTATGCTGGTTTTCTTTTTTTTTTGCAGGCTGGCCTCTATACTATGCTTTAGATAGCACACTGCAGCACTGGAAATTTACGTAGGTCTCATTTTAAATTTTTTCAGCTACTATTGCATATCGGCAATCGACTTTAGCTCTTGGTCATGGTTATGGTTTGTTTTGATTCAAATTGACTAATCCGGCCGTAATAATGGTAGTTTAAGTAGCACACCTAGAGTTTTGCTTACCTGTCTTACCGATCTTCAGCTTTTTATGAGAGCCTGCTTGACCGCATCTTTTGTCATAGTGCTTTTGGAAATTGCTCATGATCAATTCTCCTTGCATACGACCTCGGTAAGTGAAATGTACTGTTCATTGCTCTATTGGCCACACACGTTTGTGGTGTATATTTAAAAACTGTCTAGTACTGGTCTAATTTGAAACAATATATAGATTATTTTGGAAAACCCAAGCGTGTCATTGCTTATTGCGTCGTTTAACGAAAACCTATCATCATACAACACGGTAAGTTTTGAGCAGGCTGGCCATCTTGAACTGGATGCTTTGTACCTCTCATGTCTAACTTTAATCGCGTATTGAAACGGCAGTACCTTGCCATATTTCAAATCAAGTGGGCCGTCCAGTTCTCGCCTGCATTAAGACAAAAAGTTTTTAATGATATCGATACAGACTGCTCTGCTTGGAAGCTAATATCTACTGCATTGATAACTCGACTAAATAATCTACGCTTGGCTTTTGAGGCTGATATGGGTAAGATGGCCATTTTTGATTTTTTGTTGAATACTATTGCAGTTGCTAATATCAAATTAATATTTATGGCTGCATTATTGCATTTATAGAAATTAAGAAAACTCGATCTGAACTGTCGACAGAGGAAAATACCTTTTCTGAACCGCCGATTTCTAATGGTTTAGTTTTTGGTGATCAATCTACTCACAAATCCACACCTATCTCACCTACCCAAACTGGTATTATTTATCCTGCTCAGAAACCATCTGTTTTAAGAAATGCTGCTTCTTTTATCCTAGAACCTACTGTTTCTGGCGGAAATATATTCATGTCTGATGGACGAACTCCAGAATTGGTGCAAGGTAGTGTAGAACTTGAAACAAGTTTAGAGGTTCCGAGACTTTTGCGCCGAAAAAATCGGTCTAATGCAGACCAGGCTCATGCTCCAAAACCAGCAGCAAACGTGTCCATAATCAGCATTCCTGGATCTCAAGATGTGATGAATGCGATTGCTCAGATGATCACCAGTTGGTCGTTTGGACTGCAGCTAATGGGTGAGACGGTTGTCAGAAAGGCAGCATGCATTACCAAAGATATACAGCTCGATATTTGGACTATTGAATGTAGGAATCAGACTTGAATGCTTATTTGATTTTCTTAATCTATTGATACACATTCTAAATCTCTGGGTTTACACTGAAACTATCAATATCCACAAACCATCATGCTTTAGCATTGTCGAGTCTTGTCGTGGCATCTACACATGAAGACAAATACGGTATGGTGCACAGGGATGTTCCACATATTTTGAACACGCTTACATTGCTCCTTATAACAATGGAGCGGTTCGTGACTCATGTTCATCGTGATGGCTCTGGACGTCCTATGGCTGCTGGGATACTGTGGAAAAGACATACTGCTAGATCGGCCACATGGGTTGTGCCACAAGAACTTCACATTTGCCTATTGGTGCTTCAAAACTCCATTTATCGCATTGTAACCACATACTATTCTCATTTATCTCGATTTGACTTGTTACCCGAGACAGCTGCACGACTCCAGCAGTTTCTTGATTTCCATGAATAAATCTTTTTTGATAGCTATTCAACTTTTTTTAATTTATCTTAAAAATAGCTTGAGTGCAGGAACATGTGATATTACATCTGCACTCATTCAAACAGTTGTGACTGCTTGTACTGAAACCTGAGATTCAAAAAGTTTGTCATGCTTTGAACAAAAAGAGTAGGTCGATCCGAGAGTCGAACTCGGGTTGTTGGATTCAAAGTCCAAAGTGCTAACCACTACACTAATCAACCTAGAATATGTCAAGATCACATCCATATACGACCTAACGACATCTCTTATTTTACAATCCCACAACTACTAACAGATAACAATGTCTCTGAATTATCGCGACTCGGACATTTCTATAAAATGAATCCCTTTTACCTCATTTATTCGATATCGTGTGAATAACATTTATTGGGAGTAAATGTTGCTTTTCGTTCAAGAGTTCGGTTCGGGATCGTGTCAAGTGTTGTGGATGACAAGAGAGAGACCTCCATCCTTCAGCTTCTTGTAGTAGTCTTTGGGGATGTCGTCCAAGTCTGTGACAAGAAGCTGAAGTATGGGATGGCGGTCTCTCTCGTCATCCACAACAAATAATTTTTTATTTTGTTTAGTTATATTCTTAATTTTTACGTTTTGAATTTGCATTGTTTTCAATGTATACATTTGCAAGCTTTCACCATGAGTATCATCTATGCCAACTACTCTTGATACCATCAATTCTGGTTGTTTGTTTCAACATTATGGTTTTGGTTTATAATAGCACTGTTGAACTTTTGGATAGCTTGAAAAATTGATTTATGGCAGATATGATCATGATGAAAATGCATATTTCATGTATTCACTCGCATTAGCATGGTATTATATTCTCAATATTTTGTGCTGAAATGAAATCATATACTTTGACATGTGATATCAAAAGGCTTACACAAATCACCAACTATCAGAAACAACTCGTCATATTTGGATTGGTATCGATATCATTCAACCACAGCTCACATGTGTTGTGGTAGATCCTTTTGCAGATTATTGTTTATCCAATTCCATATAAATACACATGATCCATTCAAGCATCGTTTGATCTAAACTTTAACAATAAAATTCACTTTACAAGCCAGAACGATCTTGCAACAAGATGATTTCCAAGTTGAATTCAAACGTCGTTTACCTGGCTGGGATAATATCATTAGGCTTTATTCGCCCAACATGTAGACGTAAATATCGTATCTAAATATTATTTTGGTAATAAATTAGCTCAGTTTACAATATAATATTATTGTAAAATGTTTAAATGGCTTTAGAATTGCATAACAGCAGCCAGAATACTGAACTAATGTCAAATGAAATATTATGATTTAAACATGTTTATTTAAACGTTATAATAATCAAATAAAGGTTTGTTTCTCCCATCATCTACTTTGCTATTCTTGTTCTTCCTCCTCACCGTTCTTGGAAGCCTCCAATCTGTCGCGTTCCACTATCTGGGCCAGATTCTCGACACCTTGACCAAATTCTTTGGCAATGCCATCCCATTTAACGAGTGCTTCTTTGGCACCTTTTTCGCCATTCCTTACTTTTTCCTTAAGCTCTGCTGATAACTCTTCGAGATCCTTCAAAAGTCTTTCTACCCGAGATTTATTTTTCTCACCGTTCAGGCATCTGGTCTGGATAACTTCAAGCTTGCTCATAAGATCTTTGATTTGCCTCCTCACATCTGGATCTTGTTTCAAAATATCAGGGATGAGACTACCCAAGGCGGATTGGAAGCGTTTCCAGAACGCTCCGCCATAACAGCGTGCCGTATCAGCAGCATATCCGAGATAGCCTGTTACCCCGCTTAGCGACGATCCTTCGCCTGAATTCGAAGTATACCCAGAAGCGCCTGATTCACCAGTACTTGTTGCACTTGATTCGCTGGTACTTGTCGCACTTGGTGTACTTGCACTTGTACTCGATTGATCGGTGCTTGTTGCATCAGGGCCTCCCGTGCTTACACTTGCTTCGGCGGGAACAACTATAGCATTGGCAGTCGCGCTAAACACTGCAATCAACACAATGGCTTGAGAAAATTTCATTATTAATGTAAACGATTGTTTATGAGAGTTCAAAGGCTTATTGATTCAAATGGATTATTTGAAAATGGTTACAAATGCTACTGTTTTTATAGTAATAAATGCCTTGGCGCACTCAATCAAGCATCCCTTTATTTGACGCATTTTACCACCGCTATGTAGCTCACTAAGCTGACTAACCCTGATATGGCATCCCTTGTGTTCATACTCGTGTTGATGGACATTACTGTCAAGTAAGATAAAATTGAATTACTCCGCGTATTCCAAGAACCGCTGACAAAGGCATCGCTTATCATGATGTGGTGAGTAAACAAATTATACTGTAGTTTATTTGACCCAAATAAACCGTCAATTATTTTGGTTCAAACTTGAATTGCATTGATTCGGTTTAACTCAAGCATTCACATCACCCTTTAGCCAAATACAACATAGCATACTTGGCTAGAGTATCAAATAACTAGGTTAGGGTTGATTAGATGGAACATTTAACTTTGAGTATGATGGTCCTGATAATGGAAGATTACGGCACCCTATTTGATAAAGCTGTAAAAGGGTACAGGGCCAAGCCCGTCATGCCTATCGGGTCAATAAAGCTACATCCGCTGCTATATTGCCCTATACACTGGTCATTTACTGGGATGTGAATAAAACCAACTTGTTCATGCACCAAACCATTAAAAACTATTCAGCCTTGCAATTCAAAGTTTTAATTTTTATTACAACATCATAAAACAGTTGGGTACAATTTGATGCCTATGCATTCGGTATGACTGACCATTTAGTTCAGTGACAGCCAATGTGACCAATTGGTTTGCATAAACAATCGTGTGGAAATTCGTCAAAGCAATTTATAATTTAACCGACCCAAGCAATTTTCAAGGTATACACAATTTTAAATGAATCATATTTATCTAAAATAAACTCGAGTGCAGAGATACAAGATTATCTCATGCTAGCAAGCCGTACGAGCATAGGCTGGTGGTGCTAAAAGTTTGTTAAATGTCACAAATGAAATATTATGGATTAAACATATTTATTCAAACGTTATAATGATCAAATAAAGATTTGTCGTTTCTCCCATCATCTACTTTGCTATTCTCATTTCCCCCCTCATCGCTCTTGGAAGCCTTCAACCTGTCGATTTTCTATTTTTTGCCTGAATTCTCAGTACGAGAAATAAAACTATCAAGAGTGAATTTAAGATTGGCAAGTGCTTCTTTGGCACCTTTTTCGCCATTCTTTGCTTTTTCCTCAAACTCTGCTGATAAAGCAAAGATCTCATCTGCGAACCTGTTTTCTCGGCCTTCAGCTGTATCCTCATTGAATTTCAGCAGCATAGCTCGGAACTTTTCTGAAAGTTCTTCAATTTTCTTTTTCACATCTGGGTCTTCTTCGGCAGCAACAGAAGCATCCAAATAATTCAAGGTGAGTTGGAAGTGTTTCCAGAACGTTTTGCCATAACAGCGTGCCGTATCAACAGCATACCCAAAATAGCTTCCTATCTTGCCTAAAAACGATCCTTCGCCTGAATTCGAACAAGTATACCCAGAAGCGCCTGATTCGCCGGTACTTGTTGCACTTGGTGTGCTTGTGCTTGATGCACTCGATTGATCAGTACTTGTTGCATCAGGGCCTCCCGTGCTTACACTTGCTTCGGCGGGAACAACTATAGCATTGGCAGTCGCGCTAAACACTGCAATCAACACAATGGCTTGAGAAAATTTCATTATTAATGTAAACGATTGTTTATGAGAGTTCAAAGGCTTATTGATTCAAATGGATTATTTGAAAATGGTTACAAATGCTACTGTTTTTATAGTAATAAATGCCTTGGCGCACTCAATCAAGCATCCCTTTATTTGACGCATTTTACCACCGCTATGTAGCTCACTAAGCTGACTAACCCTGATATGGCATCCCTTGTGTTCATACTCGTGTTGATGGACATTACTGTCAAGTAAGATAAAATTGAATTACTCCGCGTATTCCAAGAACCGCTGACAAAGGCATCGCTTATCATGATGTGGTGAGTAAACAAATTATACTGTAGTTTATTTGACCCAAATAAACCGTCAATTATTTTGGTTCAAACTTGAATTGCATTGATTCGGTTTAACTCAAGCATTCACATCACCCTTTAGCCAAATACAACATAGCATACTTGGCTAGAGTATCAAATAACTAGGTTAGGGTTGATTAGATGGAACATTTAACTTTGAGTATGATGGTCCTGATAATGGAAGATTACGGCACCCTATTTGATAAAGCTGTAAAAGGGTACAGGGCCAAGCCCGTCATGCCTATCGGGTCAATAAAGCTACATCCGCTGCTATATTGCCCTATACACTGGTCATTTACTGGGATGTGAATAAAACCAACTTGTTCATGCACCAAACCATTAAAAACTATTCAGCCTTGCAATTCAAAGTTTTAATTTTTATTACAACATCATAAAACAGTTGGGTACAATTTGATGCCTATGCATTCGGTATGACTGACCATTTAGTTCAGTGACAGCTAATGTGACCAATTGGTTTGCATAAACAATCGTGTGGAAATTCGTCAAAGCAATTTATAATTTAACCGACCCAAGCAATTTTCAAGGTATACACAACTTATGACTAAATTGTGTATACCTTGAAAAACAACTGACTGATTTTTTTCATATTTGACGGAAAATTGGACATATAGCTGTGCCTTGAATTTTGGTAATGCGCAATGTTGGTGTATTCCGCCCTGATTCTGATTCTGAATACCAATTCCAAGATACTTTTGGTGAAATTCTAGTATTTTTCGATTGGATCAATGATTTATCTCTGGATTATTTACACAGCCAAGAGATTTGTCGAATAAACGATTGGCAATCCGATGATGTAGGAAACTATAGTCGTGGTCACGTAAAACGAGTCACTTTTATATTCATTCACTGGCCGCCTTTATTTTGCTCTGGAATAAGCAATGGTTGGAAATATTTGCTGTGTCTTCATACTAGAAATCGGTAGTTCAAGCCCTTCTGTATCTGGAGTCACGCACCGCACAAAATCGTTATTATACCCAAGTTATTTCCGGCAAGGCTTAAGAATGTGCAATAAGAGGCTTGATATCTTGCAACATTTCTGCTTGTTGAACGGCCGACAAATCATGTTTAATCAGCGAATCTGTAGTTTTGTGAAATGTTATGTTTCTAGAACCAAATAATCATTAAAAAATGGAATTCCAGTACACTAAAAAATCTTGAATATCAAGCATTTACAACTCTTTTGGTCCATCTCCAAACATAACGACCATCATATGATGCACACAACCAAACTATAGTTTGAACTGTCCTTTGTTCACATTTGGCAGTCATACACTGTACAATCATCAAATTTGAAACCAGATTCATTCATTGCAATCCAGATATTGGGTTTGACTTTGAATATTGCCAAAAAGTTGGTAAATTCCCCTTTACCGATCTGCTCAACACTCTTGAACCATGCAACTGTACATTTTGCAAAGCGTTATGTGAAATGGGAACCATATTTTAGTTTCATCAATCGACAGTGCGGAATCATTTCGAGTATCATTTTGATACTCTTACAGACCAACCACCTGCAATTTTAGAACACAAACAGTTGTTGACTTTACTGCAACTTTAAATCACAGCTACCAACAATAAAAAATCCAACCAATGCACATTCAAAACAACAAGATCAATGGCATACATATCTTGAAAAATGACCTCATACATTAAGTGTACAAAACAGGAGCCATGATTTTTGGAGTTCAATAGCAACTTTTAAAACTTGTAATTTCGCTACGGCTGTTGAACGTTTAGCAGCATTTTCAATTGTATCCAAGGTTCTTTTCAAAAAATACTTGAATGGATCTTCACCCAAAGACATATGGAGAGCGGTCAGAAAGAATCAAGCTTTTCATAGAATGACTAGACGGATTACAAATTTTGAACGTCATGGCAAGCAAAAGGGCTTAAAGACAGGAATCCGAAGACTAAGCTGGCCGAAAAACAAACTCTGTACACACTCCTATTTGCTGTATTTTAAAATCCCATAAATATCTTGCGCTCTAATTCAGCAAAACAAAGATCGTACGTCTCAGAAATGCAACTGTTACTTGCATGCCAATCACCAATCTGATTTGTTGGCACGACCAGTTTGCTCAACTTGCTGTTTCTTTTGATTCAATATAGGACAACATCACTCATTTGGTCCAACAACAGCTGCTTGCTGGTCCTGTTTTAACGCGGCTTCAGCATTCTGCTTAGAGTCTGTACGCTAACCCAAAACAACTGTACAGTTTTAAAAAGAGAATCCATTAAACAGGCTGCTGTTGTAGCATTTGATGAATGGTTCAAACCAGTGAAATTGAGTGGAGAATACAAATACATTCTGTGCTCACTCTTTTTCTGTTGTAATTTATTTTGTCGTGTTTTGCTCCACTTGCCCAGTTCCTCACAAACTGCTTTTCAGGTACCGTCACTTCCTTATTGCTGCTGTCAAAAATGCATGTCTGTATGCTTTATCAGTGCTACAAGACATATTCTCTACGCCATGTCTTGCTATTATACAAGTAGCTTTTTATACCTTTCCCATTCCCTAGAATAATTGACTAGAATATCGCCTACACTGAGAAAAATGTAAAAGTGAAGATTGCAAACCAACTTGATATTTGAAAGACAAACAGCCAGCGGCAGCAGCAGCCGGATAGAATCAGTTTCCTATTGCTCAAGAAAAAAGTGCCAACTTTGTTTCGAGTATATAAAGTAACATTGGAAACAAAAAGACTGCTTGAAAAATAATGGCTGCATACTTTTTTGATCTATCCATTATTCTCTAGTCTGTTGAATTAGACTACCATTTGTTATCTTGATACTACATCAATTGTAATTTCTCTGCAACTTCAATTGACTGTCTTCTAGATTGGTAAATCAGCATATCAACTAGCGATTGTCCCTGCTAACCAGCACACTTTGGCTTGGCAGTCGCATGTTTAAACCATTATTCAGATCTACATCATGGGAAGTCTGACATTTATTCGCCTACTGATTCTACTGGCTCTGTTTGTTTGCTACATCAACCTCATTCTGGAGATAATTCCTTGATACCTCGTTTGGACATTCTGTATCAGATTGACTAGATCGGATTATGCTTTAAAAGAGGGTTGAATATAAATTGGCGTTTTGTGAGATCGGTAATCTCTTTGAAAAGTCGATTTTTCAATACAAATTGATTCAACTGTCACATTCTAGCATGCAGCTTTAGTTCAATCTGAACTTGTCTGCAACTGGCACTTAATTTATCAATCGTTTTGTATATACAACCTGTGCTTTAGAACATGTCAACAAATCAAGCCGATGTTTCAGAGGCCATTGAGGCTCCCGAGGTTGCGATGGATGATAGCGTTGACAAGGTGAGTATTTGGGTTTGATTATTTGTGCACATAATCAGTTACAGCACGATCTTGGATGACTAAACAGTTTGTTTTGGAAACCACGACTGATACTATTCCATGCTTGTAACTGCTTAGGAGATTGAAACAATGAAGAAACGGGTCAAGGAAATGGAAGAGGAAGCTGCCAAACTAAAAGAAATGCAGGCTGAAGTAGAAAAGGAAATGGGTGCTCAATCTGGTAGGAAACCCTTGGAAAATCGGTTTTGTAATCTATTTGTATATATTGTATTTTCTAACCAATAATGCACTTTTAATATAAACCGACCATCTTTTGGCCAACTTTTATCAATATTGTATACACATTCTAGTCAGTGACAAAGAAGAAGTGGATTTTCGCTCTGTTTACATTGGCAATGTAAGTTTCTGCACGCAAATAGGTTCTTAGTATGCTACCATGGCTGATTTGGTACTATGTTTTGCATATCCAGGTTGACTATAGTGCCACTCCAGAAGAAATCCAGGCACACTTTCAATCTTGTGGTACCATCAACCGAGTAACCATTCTGTGCGATAAATTTACAGGACACCCTAAAGGGTATGCGATTTTTGATGTTTTCTAGTTTAAATCTACAAAGCATGCTGATGTTTGCTTTTATTTTTACAATTAGATTTGCATACCTTGAGTTTGCCGATGCAGGATCTGTTGCAAACGCAGTGGTTTTAAGTGAGTCCATGTTCAAGGGTCGTTTAATCAAGGTCACAGCTAAGCGTACCAATGTGCATGCATTCTATTCGCGAGGTCGTCGCGCATCTCGAGGATTTCGTGGTGGATTTCGTGGGAGAGCACCATACAGGTATGGAATTAAAGGTCCAGAATCAACGAACAATGCTAATATTTGAGCATATTATTAATTTCTAGGTCTCGCCGAGGATTCTACTCTCCCTATTAGACCATGTCACACCTCTAAAGTAGTTTTAGTACAATGAACTGTTTCAAATGATTGTCGTGTCAAATACTGTATTTAGAGGGTTGCGATTAGTGATGGCTGTGATTTTGATGAATATGTAATTGGTGTTTCTATTAAAAACAAATAAATGCTCTACAAATATTGCAGCTATTGATGGATATTGCACTCTTTACATTTCCCACACATGTAAAAACCAATATTTTACAATCTAAAATACAGGTCGTTTGACAGTTTATTGTTGCTATATTTGAACGAATTGTGTTGATTTAAACTAGGAGTTGTTTATCTTGGCAAACCAACTCGATCGAAATCTAAATCAGCAGAGCTGAACATTGTATACATTGTATACATTGGCCACTTTTATTTTAAGAACAGATATGTTTACGCTATAATTCAGAACCAAGATTGTAGAAATGACCAGTTGTCTCCATGCCAATCATCCAATATTTGTAGGAGAATTGTGGATTAAACAAGTGTGAGACTATTGAAGCGGATGTGAAGATTCATTCAGTTGTACAGAAATGAGCATGGATGAGAAATCTCGGTAGATTAAAGTTCAATAATATTGTCCAGTCAATTTGGCAATCATGTCATGAGACTGCTTATTATGCATTTTGACACCCTTATTTAATCTTTCATTTTCGTGAATACGAGTTACTTATACTTATACAACCACTGCAGACTCATGGGTAAGCGATTGTTTAGTGTATTTAAGATCAATGCAGTAGCCATGATAGTTTTTGATACCAAAAGTATTAATCAGCAGTCTGGGTTTTCTGATATGCTTCATGTTCATTTAGATCACTATTTGCATTCTCTTGGAGCGGGCCAGCATGCTGCATCATCCCCCTTAGATATCAAAACCAACCTGCATTCCAGCCCTAGTGTAGAGTATATGGAATCTGAAGAAGGGTCTTTAAAACAAGAGTCCAAAGACAAGATAGTATGTTTAATGACATGATCCGAGTTTGTATAGATGTTTATTATCCGACAATGTTTGAGCTTTGAAACACAGCTGGCCTATCAAGGCATTGTATATCTTATGCCATACTGTTTGGCCATTCTTCTATTTTGTATATATCCAATGGCTTCAATGCTTGATATAGCTTTCGCTTATTTAAATGGCCTTCATCTTGGCAACCCTGGCTGAATCTTGATGGCGGTATTGATCCATTTATTTAAATTGGTATACAAGGAAAATCGCATTCGCACAGGAACCGTAACAACAGCCGGTCGATATCTTGAACACTTGTCTAACCCGCAGCTATCTCAGCCCAAAGATACGAATTCAGCGTCTATTCAGCAAGGCCGAGTGCTTGGAACCAGCAATACGGGTAGGTTGAGGGCTTGATTACACCTTCCATAAACAGATACCCAGATGTGGTGATTTTGAATGGGGGTAAAATACAGTTTAATCTGACGTACAATCTAACATGTATGTTTTAGATTTATCACAGGTGCAAATGGGCAAGTTTTTATCTGGATTCAAACGTTTCAGAAAGGTGCGAATACGTCAATGGTTTTTGTTTAGGAATTTGTTGACAGAATGCAATGGTTTGAGTTACGGACTAGCTAACATGACCGCATACTTTAGACATACTTTGCCTCGAATACGGCCTTGTTTGATTCTCTGAAAAAGGCTCAAAAACCAAAAACTGTGCTTTTAGGATGCTGTGACTCGCGGTAAATATACTCGAGTATTTACTTTTACCGACGGTTTTTAATCTTCAACGCACATTTTCAATACTAACCTATGTTTTAATCAGTGTCGATCCAGCCATTTTGACAGACTGCGATCCAGGCGATTTATTTGTTATTAGAAATGTGGCAAATCTGGTTGCTCCATATGGGCCAGATTCGGGATATCACGGTGTGGCTTCTGCTCTTGAGTTTGCCGTGCTAGTACTTGGAGTCGAGAATATTATTGTGCTAGGTCATTCCAAGTGTGGTGGTATTAGTGCTTTGCTGCGAGGTGTGTCGCCAGATTTTGAGTTTATTGCTCCATGGGTGTCTATTGCCCAACAAGCCAAAGAAAAGACTTTAAAATATTTCGGGGACAGATCCGAAGAAGAACAGCAGCGTGCATGTGGTGAGTACATTTGGTTCGATATGCTGAGATGTTATTCAGCATATGTATGCTGACAAGTTGATCATTGTAGAACATGCATCTATTTTGCAGACCATTGAAAATTTGGTCACATATCCATGGATTAAGGATAGACTCCAAGCTGGACAACTTAATTTGACTGGATGGTATTTTGATTTTGAAAGTGGAGACTTGTTGGGATATAATCCCGAATCGTTAAACTTTGAACCTCTTGTTCAAGATGAGCATCCTGAACGTGCAACTTCAGCTCGCTCAACTCGAGCATCTGCTGCGTCTACTTCTCCAATCAATCGGACGACTTTAACTGCCGATGAACACGCCAGGTCACCCATCCTACGACGTCCTTATGAAAACATTCGTCCGAAATCGGATTGATTCTTGGTAGAATGCTTACAGATGTATTTTATCTCAAAATCCTCCTATTGTTGTGATTTGAACTAGCATTGATGTGTGGAGAATGGCTAGGTTCGAGCCGAATAAACACTTCTTTTGCTACTGACTTGAAAAAGAATCTTGGGTTTTGAAATGCCAAGTCTGATCTAACTAGAATGTTTTTGGGATTTGATGTATGCGAATGGAATGGATTGGCAGTTTAAGGCTTCAATTTAATAAAGATTAAAAAGCAGTCTGGCTGCCAGTCGTGTAGATCTTATTGGAGAGGATTGATGGCCAGCATTGAAATTTACAATTGAATCTTGTCCATCATTGAACAGCCGATTTGTAAACCAAGTAATCGATAGCCAATCTTTATATATGCATTTGTTCCTTGCTACTGCCTTGTGGACTGCTCTCCTTGGTCCATTGATCTTGTCCTCTGTCACTGGCACATTGCTCGACACTAAAATCAGCCAGCTGAACCACATGCAGCATGCCTCGCAATCTATCTTGGCTTTGGATGAACAGTCGTATGAATTGCTTACTCAAAAGCCTAGAAACTACACCTTGTTTGTAGTGCTCACTAGCACCGTGCCTCAGCATAACTGTAAACCCTGTGTGTAAGTTGTCTTGTTTTCTAATATCAAGCTGGTGGTTGGTGACAGTCCAGGCTAATACCTTTCTAAATCTCTCTACTATAGTGAATGGCATACTAGATACAAGATTGTAGCAGATACATGGGCAAAGTCGTTTGAGTCTGGAAAGCTGTATTTTTCAGAGCTGGACTTTGTTCATGGTCAGAGTGTGTTTTCCAAGGTGGGCATTTATGATTTGCGACGACTGCAATTGTATTCAAATAGCTATACAAGTCAGATCTTTATTGCAGAGTGTTATACCAAGTCTGACACGATTGAACTTTAGCTTGGGATCCAATCAGTGCCATTGGTGCTACGTTTTCCTCCTACCGATGGGCCACAGGCAATCAAAGGCATCTATGAATTATATGATCTGAATCGCAAGTGAGTCTGAAATTTTATTAGGCGATGGTTTAATCTGAAATAATGATCTGTTAGTGATGTTTGATGGCTATTTACGTTTCTTATTTTAATGTGTACGACAGCGGTTTTTCTGTCGAGCCGTTTATTTCCCATATTGAAGCAGTCACCGGCGTCAAGGTATATTGTTTTTGATTTATTATGCAGGTTTTGTCAATAGGTTTACAATGCTAAGACATGATTGGATTCTTTACCATGTGTGCATAGATCAAAATCACAAAACCTCTGGACTATGGCAAGCTAGCAATCACTATTGTAATTGGGGCTACTGCTGCTATTGTTATTTTCACTTTCTATACTCAAATTATTGCGATTATTACTCTCAAAGCTTTATGGATTTCGCTCACTTTGGTACGTTGAGCTATATGTAGATTCTTTGATCATGGCTGATCTTTCCCGATGCTAATTAGTCAACACTTTTTTCAGACTACTACATTGGTGATGTGTGGTGGTTATATGTGGAACACGATCCGCACACCTCCATTTATCGGTGAAAACGACGGAAACTTGCACTTTCTTTCTGGCGGCATGCAGTATCAGTTTGGTGTAGAGACTCATATTGTAGCCATCATGTGTAAGTTGGTTTGTATCGCTATTATAGCAGCATGCTGTTGTCTTGACTAATAGTCGTGTTTTATATCAATAATTGCTGTCCATATAGACGGTATTGCGTCCGCTGCATTTATTGCTCTAGTCGTATACGTACCAAAAATGGAAAATAAGTCTGCTCAACGCACCACCGTATTCCTATGCTTGCTTGCATTTATGTTTATCTACTCGCTTATTTTGGCTGTTTTCAAGTTAAAGGCTGGCCAGTATCCCTTTCGACTTATGTTTTGAATGGATCTTTGCTGGGGCTGCAGAGTATGAAAATAAACTTGGTTTACAAAATTCATTCGACTCGATTATTTTGAAGTTTATTATAAACATACTTTGTTAATAATGCTCAAAAAAATAAAGAGCTGCTCTTGTAAGCAACAATCTCAACTCAAATAAATACAGGCCTTTAAACCTTTTCAATTATAACTGGGTATTCAAAAAAATCCGGGCAAACCAATGTTTGGAATTCTTGGCACATTTAGTTTATTTGCAGGCTATACTTTTAATTGAATGAGCTATAATTTAATCAAAAAACCTACTTTACTGTACTAGTTTCTAAAACCTTAGTGTTTCATTTTACGTGAATACGGCTGATAAAATGGAATCTGACAACGAATATGAAATGACAGCCTGATGCCCAATTAATGAGTTTGTGTAGAGAATTAGCTGTGATGCCGGTGGAGCAATTTATGCTTCAATATCATACTCTTTCGACCACAACAAAAAAACAACTGTTGATCATTTCTGCTATCAAATATCATCAAACAATATGCACTTTTTCATGGTCGAGATTTACTCTATTCACTTTACAAGAACGTAATTCTCCTATTACTCGAGCTGTCCTTTCTTCATCCAGAGGCGCGTCAGCTAATTTACCTCATCCAGATGCAATGCTATTGCTACTGAAATACTTACTGCTGACCCCAGTATGACCATACCAATAGAAAACGATCAACAGAAGGCTATCGAACAGTAAAATGAACATTCTCCTATTAGAAGACAGAGAAGAGATTCGGCTGGTTCAAATGATTCGTACCAAGACCAACAGCTAATAGGAGACAATTAATTGAAGAACCAGTTAATGAATTCAAAGTACAGAGACTGTTATAAACATTCGGACATAAATAAAAGTACCAGTGATACGTTGATACTCACACAGTTCCTCGGCCAGTTTTTACCACTACTCAATACAATGAATTACTGAGAACAACCAACGGAAGAACCAGTTGCTAAACCCTTTATTGAAATCAAAGTGAATCTTTACCTGGCACACGAAAATAAATCTAGATCAAATCACCGCCATTTTGTGGTAGTGGAGAAACTAGTAATGCTGAAGGAAAGGGTGGGAGTTGAAACATTTGACAGAATGCCGCTAGATGACTTTTCCATCCAAAAAGTGATTTTCGACACCACAATTAGTATAGATTGGGCACCGAATGATGCCAGTTTTTTTAACCGATAATTACCACTAAATTTGCTCTCAAGTTGTCAAAACTAACAATTTATCGGAGATAGGCCATTCATGTCAAAAACCGTGGGATAGAGCACTGAATAGCTTACAAGTCTGAATTATTAGGAGCTCTACGTGCCAGTTTCATACTTGCTTTGTATTAGTACAACAAAGTAATTATTGAAAACTGAACAAAATATACTGACTAGACTACATTTTCTTGTCCTTGTCAGGTAACCCAGACTCAGAGCTTGAGCTTCAAAACAAATCAACTTCATCTTTCACCTCCAACTTGATTTCATCAATATACAACTGTGCCTTGACACCGATTGTTTTGAAAAAAGAAATTGTTTCTTGGTTGTAGTCAGCGTGAGGAATGATGACAAAATACTTTCCAGTGCTTGTTTTTGGTAAATCTGCATCGTGGATTCTTGCGTTTGTTTTTTGGTTCCATTCTTTCAATTTCACCCATTCATCTGCATCAAACAGAAGTTCCTCCACAGTCACCACCAAAGGATTCCAAGGGATTTCTTTCAAATCTGTAACAAGAGTTCCTGAGTCAATTTCAGTGATTCCATCAGGTTGAAGGAGAGTGAGTTGCACAGCGTTGTAACCATTGAGTAAGTGAGGAAGCTTGTTTTTGATAGCACCTCTGAAGTCATCAACATCAGCACATCCTTCAGTAGATACTTGTTCCTTGTAGGTCTCATTTCCCAGTACGAGGTGAACGAAATGAAGTGTCATATTTGAAAAAAAATAAAGGAAATTATCACCAAAAAAAAGAAAATGAAAGAAATATACGCTCACTTCAAAGATTTCTATTCTGTAAAAAACACTCAAGTTTCAACTGTCTTGAAGTCTTTCATTTGATATCAAGTCGGTTTTATTTCAAATTCAATTTAAATCAACTATTTGTTTGACAGGTTGAACGAAAGCAATTACACAGTGTGGTCAGACTTTTTGTACTTTTGTAATCGCTCTTTTTCTTTTTTTGAATTGTTAACAATAATTGCGATATCTCAGTCGTTCGGATTCCTTGTTTTGGGTCGTTCGAATTCTTAACGCAGAATACCAATAGTTTTCATTGAATTATCAACTTAATTTCAATTATTTCTTCATTACTTGTATTAAACAGTAAGAATGAGATTAACGTCACACTTTGACTTGATGAAAATACGCAATATGAAATATACTTTTCTACAGTAACCACACGATTAATCCAATGCTTCAACGCACCTCATTTTGTCTGTATGACATGCTCCAAGAAATGTCGACGAAAAGGTTATTGTGCTCAGTTTAGAACCACACGATCGTTGCACAATAAGCCCCTTGAGAAAACCATTAAACAACAAATGATAGCAATTACGAGGTTGATATAACACACTTGACCAACGATATCACACAAACTGACATAACGTATTAGCTTCCTGATCAAAGTGTTTGGCAGATATACAACTATTTCAATAAAACAAAATGAGTCAAATATGTTGAAGCCAACCATTCCCATTGAAGTTATTGACTTGCTGTTTTATCCAAGAACTAATTCCAAAGAAAGCAGGATGGAATGGATCGATTCTTCCAACAACTACTGGATACAACAGTGACATTGAAGATGAATAGTTTACATGATAATTTCTTTCACATCATCTGAATTAGAATCATCATCGCTCATAACAATTCTGTACAACTTTTCCTGTAATGATTGCTGTTTCTCGATGACTCTTGGCAGCATCTTTATGTTTGCAAAGATTCGATAACCCATCATTTCTAGATTAACCTTCGCATTGTCACAAGTTGGATAATGCTTTTTGAAAAAAACAACTAACCCATAATGTAGTGAATAAATGGTATCGTTTGTTTCATAGCAACTATCGCTTATCATTTCTTTAATCCTTTTATAGTGATTTATGTTGATGCCGCATAATAGACTGGTATTGTTTTCCAAAGACAATATTCTGCCTTTTAATAGTTTCGATGGATTAGCCTTGATTGGGTTTTCTAGTTTAAACACTGAATCCGGAACATCATCTAACACAACCGCTTCTTCATTTCCAACGTAATTATACGCTGCTTTCAACAGCGAATTATTGACACGCTTTTCAACAACTTGATAGATATGATTATTTCTTGGATCGAGATAAATGGTGTCCATTAGTAAATTGTTGATGTACTTTGATCTCGGATTTGAGCAAGGTAAATTCAACATATTGTTTAAATCTAGTCTAGAAAATAAAAGATGCAATATTCAGTCACAGCCACTATCATAGATAGTTGATAAGTTTAATCCAAGATAAAATTGAATATTTAATTTCTTTTAAAACGATAAACAAGTTCATCAGAAATGTCAAACATATTGGAAGAAACCCAAATTTATTTGAATGGAAATGTTGTGTTGACTAAAGGAAATGACAGCACAGTTGGTCTGTACAAGGTTCTTTTTGAAGTAAATGGTATCGAGAGATATCGATTTGCTATTAAATACAAGACAAAAGAGAAAACTAGTACAAACAATTGATTAGTTCAATTACAAATCTGGATGTCGGACGGGCTAGAAAGGTTAAACTAAGATTCAAAAGCACACTCAAGGGATCTTCAGTGGAATGGACGATGCTAAAGCCTATCACCAACTTTTACAGTTACAAAACAAACAGAAAGAGAGCTGGACAAGAACAACGGTTGTTTTCACAATATCATATCAAGAAATATTCGTTCTGACCAAAATCAAAACCAATTCATTGGTCGAGACACTTGTTTACAAATTTAGATGAATTGAAGTTTACCATCAAAGAGAATCACAAAAAGCAAGCATTAAGATACTGGTTCAATATTCAATTCGGATATGTGCTGAGGAACATTGAAACTGATGATAGAGTTCAGTTTTATCCCTCTGATAATACCTGCTTTAATATCAATGATTCACCACTAGTTAATTCCACTATTGATACGGTACTAAACCAATTGGATGGTGATGATATACTGGAAAAATTGAAGTGTTCAAACTCCAAATGGAGTATTGAAAATATCTACGAGTATGTACTTTTAACAACACCCATTCCAGAGGTATCAATAGGCGCATCTGTAATTCTACCTGATTTCATCAAGAATAGCAAAAGTATTGTTTCATTCCAGTATGTCACAAATAACCTTTGTTTTTGGTAGTTTTGCTCGTTATAAGTATCCAGAAATCAGATTAGACAGATTATCAAAGAAAGCAAAAGATCTTTACAAGGATTATTACAAAACCAATGTAAAGAAGTGTTATCCCAAACTTGATATTCAAGAATTGAAAGAGATTGAAAGCCATTTCTTTGTAAATGTCAACATATACCGATTCAATGGAAAGAAAGCGGTTATGGAACGACATTCAGGTAAAGAATACAGGAGGTTATTAATTTGAATATATACTCTGATATAAGCCATAAATTCCATCATTTCTCCTCCATTATTAACTTGTCTCAGTTAACCAGTGTTTCAATGTCCAGATGCCATTCATCCTTTAGTGAATTCAAAAAGATAAAACGACACTCAATTGTTTGTGCAAAACCAAAGATAATATTTGAAAATGGAAATTATCAACCAAAGTTGAATGTATTTGAGCATCTTGAATTGAATGGAATTAATATACCGAAAGAAATGAGATTTTATCCATATTTCATCTACTTTGATTTTGAAACTTGGTTGAAATCAGTCAAATCTACGACCAACTTGAAGCTCATTCATTGAAACACACAAACTTTTGAGCACAAGTTTCATTGGAAGTGAAGAAAACAAGGCTCAATTCATCCCAGTTGAAGGTACAACTAAAGAAGTTTTGGATATAGTGATGACAAATGGATCAAATACGACACAAATATCTGCAATTGTTGTATTCAAAGTATTCTCGGTTTTTTGGAATGATGGCCAATTTGGACGATGCAAAGGTTCAGAAACGATTAAGATTACAATTACTAGAATGTTTTGATGTTCTTCCTATTTATGGCTTCAATAGCTCATCATATGACATCGACATCATCAAGAAATACCCTCCACAAGTCTTGAAACACTCTAAAAAACATGGAAATGTATCCAAATGCGAAAAGCCTTGGGTTAATTCAATTCAAGGAGAATTAGATCGTAATATTGAACAAAGCGAAAAGACTGAACGATACAATGTTGATGACTACGATGAAGAATCAAACACAATCTATGACTTTCTGGGATACTTTTTCCACTGATGTAGAAAGTGTCACAAATCAGAAGATATCAATCCTTTAACTGGAGATACGATGAACATATTGTATGAAAAGACAGCAAATAAGGAATCAGCTCTCAAACAATGGGATATACCACAAGATCAATTTGGGGTTGTGAGTTTCATTCAGCTGAAAACGGTCAAGTGAATGACATTATTAAATGTAACAAATACCGAATGATATCAAATGGATCGTTTGCTTTTAACGACATTCTTGCTTTTCAACCACCAAATACTTTATTTGACAAGTTCTTGAAAACGTTTGACACAATCACAAAAGGGAATATTTCCACATAAAGTAACTCGGAATTTATCGAAATACATTGATGAACATCCAGATTTGACACAATATTCCAATAATGTCATTCAAGTTC